TGCGCTGGCGATGAAGTGTCTCTCTCAGAAGATCCTGACACTTTCCTCCGCATCTGCCAGTCAGCCCACGGCATTTTCGTTCCTCAGGCAGATATCTCAACATATGGACTCGTAAAGCTAGTAGAGATCATTGAAAGATATCAGATCAAAGCCACTGCCCAAATTTATGGGTTGGCCGAATTTTGCTGGATCGTTCAGACTTTGGAGCCCGCCAAGCTGTCAACAAAGCAGATAACCCATCTTCTACAGGTAGCAAAAGTGCTTAGCGTTGCAAAACTCCGGCAGTTTCTACGTGACATATTTTTGCATTATCGCATTGATACTGGATATTTCTTCCAGGAAGAAGAAAAAGAAGAAGAAGAAGGACTTCATCTGTTACTAGGTAAGAGAGCATTGCAATAATTACAAATCAAATATTAAGGCGACTCTATAGCAAGTGCAGTAAACTGTATTAAGTTTACACATAATAAAGTGGCATGCAGCCTGCTGAAGTACTATGAAGCGGCTAGCTACCAACATGATTCCAACGCTGAATATGCACAGAACATGTTTGCTATTGGCATCTGGATACTGGAAGAGTACCCAAGTTTACATATCATCCGCAAAAAGCTGAACAGTGTCCCGTGCAGACATTACGATGCTGGGATCGACAGAGGTATTTGGGATGCTCTTGGAATTATCGCCCAGGCAGAAGAAGACTTTTCTACGTCGATAGAGTGGGCTACTGGCAACAGTGAAAAGGATTAGCGTAGCTATATGGTAACAAAAACACAAGTTGCGTGATCAGGAGAATGTATATCACCGAGGACACTGATGATGACCCCGATGGGACCTGATCATTGCTCTGGAGCTGGAACGTAAATTTCCCGTGTCAACAACATGCGGACTCTGTTATCCAGGCTTCTCGGGAACTGCAGTGGAATTATTTTATAGCAATCAATCGGGTATGCCATTTTCATTGCGACTCTTCGGCTAGTTTTCCTCAGCATTTCCCTCTAATTTTCTAAAATGAAATTCGTAATTATATGATCCTCATCACCATGGACTGGAACGATGTTCGCAACTCTCCATATGAGCTGAATTTCCTTGGGTTCTGATCGCATCGAAAGATGCAAGACATTCCCAACAGAATTCATAATAGCATACCGAGCCTAGTTTGTTTCAGCCTCTGAAAGCTCGACCATAAGGCAGTGAGTATACGTACAGGTCATGTGATCGCATCCCCCATTCTTCTCGATATTCCGATTGCATCCAGGTCCAGGGCATCTCTTTGTAAGACAACTGATGGCTCTGACGCTTGCATTCTCTTCAAGGATCCGTTGCTCATTTCGTTGACGATCGTATTGCTCACACGTGAGACCTTCGTGCCAATTGACGTTGTGAATCACGCATTGACGAGAACCACAAGCATTGCATTGGAAGATGTTTCCTGCACCCTGATGTATCTGGCCGGATGTGCACCCCGGTGTCCCGCACCAACGAAAGTCTGGAGTGCTGGCTAGACTGCTACGAGTGACTAATTCATCGTATCTATAAACTGTTAGAAGTTTGCGCATCTAAATAGAATATGCTGAATACCTTTCGAAAACTTGCCGCGAAGCATGATACTTTACCTCATAGTAACTCAAGATGTGACGACACCCGTTACCAGGGCATTTAATGCTGTTGCACCCCTTGGTTTCCAATTGGGATTTGATCCATTGAGAAAGACACCTAGAGCACGTAGTCGGTTTGTGCGTACATTCGTCTAGAGCAGGAAAGTGTCGTGCGCGGAGATTTTCCTGGCACACATCGCATCTAATGAGCCTCGATGTTTCTGTTGAAGGGATATTTCTTATTGTTCTCGTAGAGACTGGTTCTATGGGTGGAATATCGTCGAGAGCGATGGGGTCATCTCGAGTACCCTTTCCGATGAGAGGACTTCGCGGGTCTCGAAGTGAATGTCGTGTGCGAGAAGAACGACCATTTGGATTCCAGCGAGCGGATTTTTTGTTACGAGTACGGAAGTCGCCTTGTGCTGGAAGACGTCGCGTGGCAGAATTGAAGGTTGGTTGTGATTCTTGTTCCATCCGGCTGGTTGAAAGGGTGGATTCCGAGGAGATAGTCATTGTATGGAGAAGAGAATGAAATAGACAAGACAGAAAATGGCAGTCTGTGTCAGTACAAGAATATAAGTATACAGTCACACGGCCCGGGTAGCTTATCGTGTTCCCGCCCCCATCCATCAGTCGCTTCATTGGGGATGCTCGTCCCACAACTTCCCTTGAAGCGTAAACCGGATACGGCGTAGGACCCACACAAGCAATGCCACCCCAAAACGAACTCTGTGCCGATCAAATATTGCTTGCCTTCGGGTGAAAACATTACGTTCGCGCTAGACCTCGCTGAGGACATAAATAGCATAGAGTCACTCAATAGTTACCACATTCAATGCCCGACATGCTTAGCATAGCCCTTGTTTCTCTGTACCTCTCTCAGCTGATATCTTCTACGACTATATCAGTCACCCCGCATGATCAGTACTCCTCTTCTATCGGCGTTCTAGGTTGCTACATCGACACTAACCGCGTAGCATATTTCCCATTCGCTCCGGGATGCAACAATCTCTGTGTACACATCTGGTCAGAACAAGCTGATTTGTATCTTCTTCATGTAGATCAGTCTGGGGGTGCATTTGACATATCTTACGATGCATGGAACTTCTTGAATGTCGGCGAGTCAGCGATAACGCGGCCATCTACTGGTGGCGGTATATCCGTGGGATACAAATTTGTTGACATGGCACATTGTGCGTCTTTAGTCCAGACGCCTGATGGCAAGCTACCTCTCATGGCAGCAAATTCGATGAATTATTACACTGCATGCATGGAAATGGGCATATCCGAGAAGTCTACCCTCTATAATATCCAAGATGCCTCCTGCACCCTTGGATATAATGAAATATGCTTTCTTGATCTCTTAGTTAGCAATCAGCCATCTTGCCCACACATACTGGGCAGCCAGGAGCCTTTAGAAGGACTGCAAGTTAAAAATATCGTATACGGCAGCTCTTGTACTGCTTAAGCAAGAACATGAGCAATAATCACAAATTGTTCGGTGCTCAATAGACTGTGCTACATTCCTAAAGAAACTGTGTTTCGAAGCTATAAATAACTCCGCCAATAGTTTCGTTGTTTTAGCATAGTTTGCCAAAATTAGGAGTGCAATGCAGATCTGTGAGGTACAACCGTGATTGGCATAAAGACACTAGGCGGTTGGTTGCAGTGCAGCGGGGATACGAACTTAGTCTGAACATATAAATGCTATTGTGACCCCTTCATGTATCCACGATAATAACCATCATTCTGCATTCTCTTGGACGCCATTGGAAATCTCAGTATGGGTGACATGAGCATCTGGTCGCATTTGTTTGGTACATGTTTGTTTGTATTAAGTGCTATTTTTTTCACTGCAACCTGCCCAGACCCCTTTGCACAGCAAGCTATTGTTATCTACATTTACCACGTTGCAGCTGCGCTCTGCTTTTTATGCTCAACAATATATCATCTCTTTGCTCACAGTATGTCAGCAAATAGATGGCAGTGTGCCGATCATTCTAGCATTGCCATCTTTATTTGGGCATCAACTGTCTCATTCATCTTTTTCTCCTACAACAGTGAGGGTTTCATTCAGTTTCAGATTATAATTACATCTGCACTGCTGATTTTAACTCTACTGTATATATGGACAACATGGTCTAGTCTATTAGGCAGACAACACCGGATCGCCATTCATGCTGCTTTTGGTGGAGTAGCAACACTCCCTGCTGTCTACCACTGGTACAGTTATACAGAAGGACTAGAGCTTCAAGCTGCATTTGCAAAATTAGTGTTTATCAATACTTTAGGAGGCTTTATCTATGCAACCAAAATCCTTGATAGTGCTCTAGGAGAGGCCCTAAATCTATCAAACATCAGTCATCACACTATGCATGTCGTGGTTGTTCTAGGAGCGTGGATATACAGGCAAGGTCTAGTAGAACAGTATAGCAGAACAGTATAGTAGAGGAGTTATTATGACTCTGAGTTAGTCATAGCTACGAGTAATGTCTATTTTGCTACATAATTACATGAGGATCTGAAGTTATGACCGAACCTGCAAGCTAAATGGCGGGAGTGCCTTAGGCATTTTGACACTATTATAATTGTGTACTCTTTAAACTCCCTTGTCATGCTAATACAGTTGTTGGAAGAGCATACTTTGGCTGAATCTTTTAGGGGATCTAGGAATTTGTTTGTAACCATAAATTCGTTCTCGTCACTTAGGTTTGCAGTAATCGATTCCCATCGGCTAATCTCACACTCCGTTATCTTGTTTGTAATAGCTTCCTTCCTTTCAAGAGGTAGTCCCTCCTTCCCTTCAAGAGGTAGTCCCTCCATAACAGCAATGCGCGTAGACGTTTGTTGCATGCTGTAAAATGCTCTTACTGCATCCTGGTCCGCCAGGGATGAAAGTACTGAACAGATTGTATCTAAGCTTTCGTCGCCTCATTTCAGAATGATACTATCAAGTTTGACTAATCCAGGCCATAGCGTGGAATCTAACAAGTCAAAGAGGAAAAAGTTGTCCTTCCGACAGCCCTGCTGAAGCTCAATAAAAAACGATCGATCGTCTTCTCGCGATTTGTACAGTATTGCTTTCTCCTCTGAGTTAGCAAGACCCCATCTATAGGCTAAATATTCGCTCTTGGTTGGCATAAAGAGTGTTAATTGAATGTGCAGGTGCTTGTAAGGTAGGAAAGGAATGTGGGATATATATTCATGGCCATGGAAGGAGAGTACATACATGAACTTTCTCATGCCCTCCATTATTTGCACGGAAGCCTCACTTTCAACCTTAATTATAGCACCTCAAGTTTTACACCCCCTTTTTTACACCTTAACGCTCTTACCAATAATATCTTTAAGAAGAAGTATTTAAAAGACATGTTGTCTCTAATTCAGTACAGACAAAAAGCCTCTGCAGTACTACAACGTCTATTTCAGAGCCGCAGTAAGCGCTGTATAGGATGTTTCATATTCAAGAACTCAAGAACGAAGTTACAAAACTTCTACCAAACTCTTCATTCTTAGACTTCCTAGAAGCAACTCCTTCTCGAGCCCCTGAGCATTCGAAGATATGGAATCGCATTTTCAACGATAATGGAAAATGGCTAGACTATGCCGTCACTCATCACAATGTCCAACCTGTTCTCCTCTGTAGCGACTTTAAAAAGAGAAATCCTTACATAATCCTCTGTATAATGGACTATGGCGGCGATCTTTGTTATGATGAAGAGAACTTTAAGAAGAGTTTAAGACCATACAAGAAGGACAAGAATACAGGGCTGCTGAAATTTAAACGGACATCTATCAAACAGACATCTGGTAAACGGAAATCTAGGTGGAGAGGCCTCACACTGCGAGTTTTCGGCATGTATTCTGAAGTTGCTTACACGTCTGATTGGGAATCACATCGCCTTATTTCTCAAAAGACTGAAGACACTTTAGGTCTTCAATATTGCTTTTGGACAGACACAGACAGGAAGATCCAGACAGTTCAAAGAAACGAAATACGTGGTATAGATGGCACAGTTACAAGAATAAAGGATCTCGCCCCAATATTTACAGTAAACCTGCCAATATGTCCTGATAAAGGACCAATAGAGATAGTATTCGCCTGGGGGAACATCAAAGTTGTAGAGCCTCACCAAAGTAATAACTTTCGCAATTACTATGGAGTTGAGCTTGTTGATTATTGGACCTTCACATTCCCACATTACAAAGAAAACCGATACAGAATCAAGGACTGGACTCGTGTTCACGAACAGGATGCTATAGTAGAAGGGAGGAGATCCGCAAAAGGAGTGTCGAATGAGATCTGAGGTTGACCTCGAGAAGAGCTATCGATTACAGCATTTAGAATCTGTGTCTCTTGTTTCAGGATTTTGTAATGCGTTAGGTGTTCGATATTTTGTAACTAACGTGCCAAGATTTTCGACTTTTATATTTAAGTGTCAATTTTTAAGTCTTACATCTTACCTTCTACCCTATCTTAAAGCACAAGTAAACTTTGACAATAACTTACAACCCTTCTGCGCATGACACATTCCCAACAAAGATACAACACGAAAGAAGAAATTAAGCATTCTCTCTAAGTATATCTGTAGACATGGGAGCGCAACTAAAGGCAAGAAGAGCTGCGAACAACAACTACTACAAGCTATTAAAAACTCTTGGCAAGAAGTTCACCAAATTATCAGTAGACTAGTTAGTTGATTAATTGTTGCCCACTCTGCCGGAGACTTTATGTACTAAAACCCGTTTACACCCCCACCCCCGGCCCCCGCACTCAATCAATCTCGCCTTCGTGCACCTAACGTATCCTATCAGTAAGCTGCCCACATCAGTAAGCTGCCCACCTACCCACCACCACCACCACGATTTCTCCTCCTCAATTAGCAATGGCGAAGACAAAACGCGTCAATCAATCGTCACAGGAAGGCAGATTGCTGCTAGCAGCTGCAGCAGTCAAATCAGATCCTAGTCAATCAGTTCGCTCAATTGCCGACGCGTTTGGCGTCCCACGGTCAACCCTACGATTACGCCTACGAGGCACCCTTCCACAACATGAGAAACGAAGCACGAATCGAAGACTGCTCCTGTCAGAAGAACAAGCGTTGGTTCACTGGATTCTTGACCTTGATCGTCGTGGCTATCCTCCTCGAGCTATTGCTGTTGAACGAATGGCCAATACATTGCTTGCAGCACGCGGTTGCAACCCCCCACCTCTACCTGTAGGCAAGTGCTGGGTGACGCGTTTTGTCAAGAGCCAGGCAGAGCTACAGACAAAGTGGAACAGGAAATTCGACTATCAGCGCGCAAAATCAGAGGATCCTGTCGCAATCAGTGCGTGGTTTCGCCTGGTTCAGGACATTCGCCAGACACACGGTGTCTTGGATGAGGATATCTACAATTTTGATGAGACAGGATTCGCGCTTGGAGTAGCAGCAACGTCAAAAGTGATTACAAGTTCTGACAGAGCTGGTCGAGCAGTTGCAATTCAACCAGGCAATCGTGAATGGATCACGACAATTGAAGGCATCTGCGCGTCAGGCCAGACTATTGCTCCTTTCGTGATCCTGTCTGCAAAGCAGCACCAATCTAGCTGGTATCACGACCTGCCTCCTGAATGGATGATAGCTGTTAGTGACAATGGATGGACAACTGATGTCCTTGGCCGTGAGTGGATCAAGCATTTTGACAGACAAACCAGGTCTCAATCACTTGGTTTCTATCGACTCTTGATTCTCGATGGCCATAGTAGTCACGCTACACCAGAATTTGATAGCTACTGCAGAGAGAACAACATTATCACGCTCTGCATGCCTGCTCATACATCTCACGTCCTACAGCCGCTAGATGTAAGCTGCTTCTCGCCTTTGAAACGCGCGTACGGTCAGGCAATCGCTGAAATGGCGCGGCGAAAAGTCTATCATATTGACAAAATCGACTTCCTAGAGACGTATAAGGACATTAGAAAGACAGTTTTTACAGAAAGGACTATCAAATCAGGCTTTCAGGATGCAGGGCTTGTCCCGTTCTGTCCAGAACGTGTCCTATCGTCGCTTTCAGTGGTCAGAACTCCGTCACCCCCTCGCCTTGAACTTGACAATTCAAGAGCCTGGGTGGCTGAAACGCCTCACACGATTGACCAACTTGAGCAGCAGGCTCGACTGATTCGTGACTTGCTTAATCGTCAATCACAGAGTCCTAGCAGTATTGCAATTTCTCAGCTAGTCAGAGGTTGTCAGATGGCAATGCACTCAGCTGCTATCTTGATAGAGGAAAACACGCGGCTCCAACAATCTGTAACGCGCCAAAAAAAAGAAGCAGCAGAGGAAAAGACAGTATATAGCAGTTGGAGGCGCTCTGCAGTCAGAGGAAGGTCAGAGGTTGGCTCAGGAGGCTGATAGATTGATTGAAGAGACAGATCGTTTGCAAGCAGAAAGGCGACCACGCGCGCCAAGAACCTGTTCAAATTGTCATGAACAAGGCCATATTCGGACGCAATGTAGACAGAGATAGTCTTGATCCAATCAAACAATAATCTCCTTGGTTTCAAAGGTGGTTGGTGATACAATTTGAAATTGGTGGTGGTGGTGGTGGGTAGGTGGGCAGCTTACTGATGTGGGCAGCTTACTGATGTGGGCAGCTTACTGATAGGATACGTTACAAACTCACTACTTACCTCATCCACCCCGCCTCCAACCCAGAGCCATGTCGAAACCGTCCAGCCCATTCACCTCCTATACCGACACCGCCAGTACCTACTGGCCGCCCGGCTGGAACTTCCAGCGGTATGCCCACGCCACGCCCGCGGACAACGCCGCGCTGTCGGACGAGGAGCGCGCCAAGATGCAGGCCGGCTTCCGCGAAGCGCTCGGCGAGGACGGCGTTATGGAGATGGCCCGCGTCGTGTGGCAGGAGCAGCTGCGCCGCATGAAGCTCGAGAAAGAGTCTTCTTCTGCCGCCACCGCGTCTTCATCGTCGTCTGCGCAGAAGCAGCAGCAGCAGCAGCAACGGCCTCAGCCACCTCCCCCCGACTGGCTCAAGACTTGGCGCAAACGGGCGGGCGGCGACGGCGGCGGGGCCTGGGGCTTCGTCGCGTTCTGTACTTCCAGTGCCATCGCCGCCATGCCGGAATCGGACATGGCCAAATTCCACACACGCGCACGGGAGATGGCGGAAATCCCGACCCAGAAGGCGCTGGAGGAGGAAGGGCAGCCGGCCGACGAGATCGCCGAGGCGCGACGCTCGTTCGAGATCCGCTGGGTCGAGGTGGACGACGACGACGAAGACGCCAAGGGCGAGGAAGGAAAGGTGGAGGCGGGGACGGGAGGAGACTGGGTTGAGAAGGCGCGCGCCAGTTATCGCGCCATGCGCGAGTCTGGCGTCCTCCCGTCGGGTCTCGATCTGCCCGTCTTCCTCTGCGCATCACCCGCCGCCGTGGCCTCGGTGCTGCGGACGTCGCCGGCAGAAGCGAAGGAGGCGCACGAGGGGAAACCGCGTTGGCGATCTGGCGACGTCCCGTTCCTGCTGGTCGCGGCCGCGGAGACGGAGCAGGGGATCGTCGAGGACGACGACGAAGAAGAAGAAGAAGAAGAAACCAAGGTTGGCGGTGGGGAAAGGAGCTGGTTCAAGCCCGTTTTCAAAGCGGCCGCCGAGGTGCTGGTGGACGAGCTCTGGTGGGTCGTCGCGGAGCAGATGATGTCGCTGGGCCAGATGACGAGGTTTGTTCGGGGCGCGACGGTGGCTGAGGAGCATGTCACGACGACCGAAGAAGAGAGGCAAGGGGAGGGAGGAGAGGCGGCTGATGTTGGTAGTGGACGGGCCGAGGAGTCGGGCCATGACGACGGGCTGGATGACATCTGGTGGACAGTTCACATGCCGCCGCGTCAGATGAGGAAGAGGCGGAGGGTATGAGCGAGATCTGGATAGTGAGTCCAAAGAGCTAACCCGAGATACTTTTCTCTTCAAAGTACTTCATCCGTTTGGTGCCGGGGATGGGGATGAAATCTAGAAATCAAGAGAAGTTGGGACCTAGATAATTTGGGGAACCAAGTGTGCATATGCTATATCGAGAAGAAAAACCTGTAACTCTTAGAACTGATTACACTGGGGAGGTCATTATATCTCATTCAATTAACATTCTACTAAAAGAGGGTGACCGTTCTCAGGGGTTATCTACGACACTAACGACAATCCATGTGACGGGGCTTTCCGTAGACTGACTGCTACGCTGTGGCCCGTAGGGGTTCTGGTGGGAAATAGGTAAGATGTAAGTAGTAACAAGTCACTTAGGTGTAAACGTCAATCAATCACTACGTGAGTATGTGTTGCCAAAGACTCAACAGTAATCTTCCGTGTAGAACTGGATGCAATCAATGTATCGTGGATTGACGATGAGTACCTATCTATGGAATACATGCTGCTTATATAGACGCTCTCCTTGGCAGGTTAGTGGATGAGTACTTGCTAGCAAGTACTAACCAACTATCTGAGACTTCGTACTTAGCAGTCTGACTTGGATTACTATCTACTAACCCACACGTGATCCCAGGTCACGTGTTTATGTTGTGCCAAGCGTCATCCCGAGGTCCCCATTCCACGACTCTGGGTTGCTGCTAACCCAGTTGTAGCTGTTGTTGTTTAGCATAGCCATAACAATCCACGTTCTTGTATCATTGTATGGCCAACAGAGCAAAGATGCCCCTGCTAGATATCTAGTAGAGACTACTGCAGCCCAACAATAGCAGCTATGTAACGGGGTCGTCTGAGTAGGGACTTAGACACGTGACCTCGAAGGGGTTCTGTTGAGTAATGAGGGCCGTAGGCGTAGTATTAATATACTGGTAAGGTTGAACGTCAATCAATCACTGTTGCGCAAATGTGTTGCCAAAGATGTCACAAGTAATCTTCCGTTAGGAAACTGGATGCAGAGAACTGTATCGTGGATTGACGATGAGGACCTATCTATGGGATACATTCTGCTTATATATATGAGTACGCTTGGCGGATTCGTTGGGTTCGTGGGACGAATCCACGAATCCGTCACGTGTCCAAGTCACGTGTCCAAGTCACGTGTCCAAGTTATGATCTGCCTCGTCGGCATAGAGCCTGTCCGCGTACTCCTGTTCCCAGAGGTCCTCCTCGTAGGATTCCCTGTCGCCCTCCGGCCACTCAGAATCGTCACTGTTCGGTTCATCCGTAACAATTACACTATACCTGTAAATAAGAGCATCAAGGAACAACAAGAGCTATAAGGCTACTTGCGCACTACCAAATATATCCTGTTATTCCTCTCACTCAATTGTGCCTGATAGCCCCTAACTAATCACGTCTTATAGATAGATCGTGACAGTAACACAGGCAGCCAGCCTAATGCGCCTACCCTCTGTAGTTACCCTAACTAAACACCTGCTTCCGAGATCCGTCTTGGATATTCTTGGGGTTGTCTTGGCAAGCATATGCTAATCCTACAACAACAAGTGTTCGATATGTGCAACATTCTGTATACATCTTATCTTTCAGTTTAAGCAATACACTGTACTGTGTACAGAATACACAGAAGTATAGCTATAGTAGAGAGTTCCTATGTGCTTAGCTTAGTATTACTTGAGCTCTACTAGAGAAAACTTACTATATACAACATCTATCAACATTAGTAACTGAATTTTCTTTCGTTAGCATCTACTGTATCTACAGCAACAGAAGTCGATGCTTAACGTGAGCACGATGGAAGCTATATTCCTGGACGGTTGGACTGGTGCAGATGACTCGGCCATATCCCATTCAGTCGCGCCATGGCCTGCCTAGATAGCTCCTATTGCTTGCAATCTAACTGTACGTACATGTTATAAACTCATATAACTAATCCACTACATACCACCAATATTACAACTCCCAGAGGGAGGTTGGAATTCATGGAATAAGAAACGAGAGCGCGTGTGAAACCCACCAAAAGCAATGTCGCCATCTCACACTGCCACGCGTGCCAAATGATCTAGTCCCGCTTTCTACTAACAGGTTACGTCTAGTAAGGCAATCTACATGTGGTTCAGAGCTTGGCTAATGCTCAAGCTTTTCTGCCATGTTATCCTAGCAGGATTGTGCTTACAGGCCATACAGTGTCCAATCAACTTCCGCAACAACCCAGTTGTAGCACCATTGGGGCGTTGCTGTCGCCTCCCAGTGCCTGGTTAATGCTGCCCATGACGTCTGTGTTGACGGCCGTAAGATGAGAACTTTTATGTCCTTCTTGGCGGATTATCGCACGACCATATCCTTGAGACCTTTTGTACAAAACGAGTGCCCTAACCGTTGATAGAATGCTTTTTCTTTCAACTCATCGGGTTGGATGTCTCTGTATTCAACCCCAGGCCTCTATGTTGCACTATAGCTACATAGTTCTAGACACCGCGCGAAATTAGCATCATCTCCACCTCGAAATTTTACTCAAGACCTTTCTCCTGGAGCTTATCAGACAATATGGTTACTGTCTCTCTGGTCAAACTTCGCGATTGGATTGCCCCGCCACCGAAAACATCAGATGACGGACGAGATCAGTGGCCTTCGCGTGCCGCCTTTCTTTTAGCTGCCATGGGAGGGTGTGCAGGTCAAGGAAACCTGTTGAGATATCCAAGTGTTGTTTATAACAACTATGGCCTTCAATGGTTTGTTCCCTACTTACTGGCCGTCTTCCTCATCGCTATCCCCACTCTCATATTGGAGATCTCCATTGGGCAGGCATACCGAGGCGGAACCGTGATTGCGTTCAACAACATTAATAAGAGGCTCAAAGGTGTCGGTCTGGGTCCCATCTTCGTCAGCTTCATCGTTGTCCAGTATTTCACCGTTAACCTGGCCTGGATCATGAACTATTTCCGACATTCTTTTACTAGCCCATTGCCGTGGGAGGGGAGAATCGAGGATTTCTACTGGAACGATATCCTGAAGGTAAAGGATGAGGTCCCTGGCAGCCTGACAAATGACGGCAAGACGGTTTCATCGTATACATCGTATCCAGGAAAGGCCTTGCTTGGTGAAACGGTCGGTTGGAGCGTTTTCATCTGGTTTCTGATTTGGATCTCTATCGTCCGCGGTGTCGGCATGACCGGAAGAGTAGTGTATTTCACTATGGGTTTGCCTATGTACGTTTGTCATATAATGCGTTTTGCCTCCACTGGTTGTTTCAATTGCTAACAATCAGGTGCAATACAGTGTGACTACCATCATCTTTGTTGGGCGCGCACTCTCTCTCGAGAATGCTGGAGAGGGCGTCAGGCTATTGTGGGCAACCTGGCGAACCGATCAATTGGCATCTGGCACCGTATGGCAAACCGCTGTCGGCCAAGTCTTTTTCTCGACTGGTATTGGCTTCGGATACTTTACATCTTATGCCTCATACAACCAAAAGCACTCGAATGCCGTAATGGATGCCATTTTGATCTGCGGAAGCAATGTTCTGTTCGAAAACTTTGCCGCATTTGCCGTCTTTGGAGTTGTAGGATTTCTTCGCAGGTGGCCACAAGATGGTGTCAGGTTGGGAGCTTTCGTTGTTGGTTTTCTCACACTCCCAGAGGCCGTTTTGCAGATGCCCGGTGCCAATTTCTGGGCTGTCCTTCTATTCTTCACTCTCGTGGTGCTTGGGTTCAGTTCGGCCTTCGTCATGCTGGATGCTGTCGCGACACTGGTCGTCGATTCAGGTGTAAAGTATTCACGTCCTGTTGTCGTCAGTGCGCTTACGTTAGTCTCGTTTTTGATGTGCCTACCATATTGCACGGAGTTCGGCTATCACCTGCTCGATGGAATCGATAGATGGGTCAACAATGTGGCACTCATCTTCGTTGTTTGGTCAGAGGTCGTGAGTGCGACCACTGTCTATCGCTGGTCCGATGTCATCGCCCAGGTTGGACCAGTGGCATTCTATGTCTACAACCTCGGTTTCTTCGGGGCCCAAGTCTTCGGTATCGCGTTGGCTCATGGACTCTCCAATCCTGTAGCAGGTGTTATTGCTGGCATAGGATTCTTCGTGGTTTGCAGCATTGCATCCGTGCTCCTTGCTGAGACTCCTTCTGTGAAAGCTGCATGGCTCTGGGGAATGAACGTTTTCACGTCTCGATTCTGGTACCTTGCATTTTACTCGGTAAGTTTCATTTCCGCGGGATGTGTTGTACTTGAAAATAGTCTAACTCATGTTCCCAAGGGCAACCAACTACGACGTGATCTGAATATCATTGTTGGTCAGGGCAGAAATTGGAAGATCCCTATTTTCCTTCCGCTACTCCTTCGATACGTTAGTGGTCCTGTCTTAGCCATTATTTTCAGCTTTGCCTTTCCCGAGTTCCATCAGAACCGCTATAGCCCAATGATGATTGCTGGCTTCATTCTTGCCAATCTGGGTCTTGTTCTGATCGTTCTTGGCTTTGTCATGCCAAGGTATTACGACATCTTTATACCCCCACATCGACGTAGTGAGGGAACAGAACCAACAATCGCCAACGAGCCCAAGGGTGAGATCGAGGCGAGAGCCGCTCACCAAGCGAGAGATTACGAGCAGTCTTTCGGCAATGCGGAAAATGGCATGGAATTTGCCTCCAGTGAGCACGAGAAATCTCACGGCAAATAGACGCGTAGTCACCTATTGATGCTATTTGGAGGGTGGGTAATTGCAAAACAATTAACGGATGTGAAATGCTTCGAATGGCATTGGTTGAAATCTTTATATATTTAGTCATTTCACCACGAATATGTTAAGCTGGTGCGATGGATGAGGAAGGTCAGGTGCACCATCGATCTTAGGGGCCCTGGATCTCGTAGGCAAAAGAGAATACCTCGCCATCGAATGTTGCCATACCGGGTATTATATTTCGAAGATAAGGCATAATGGAACATGGTTAGCTGCAACGCTGTGCGGTTTGATTCAGTTTCTAGATACAATTCATAATTAGTTCTAGAAGAAGAAGAAAAACGGTTAGAGTCGGGGCCTTGTCCTACATCCAACTACATTTGCGCGTTATTCTAAGCCTTGGGTATGCATTGAGCATAGATTGCTAGGTAATGTGGAATGCCTTGTGTGCGAGGGGTGTTACAACGTTGTTTTATTGACAGCATCAGTCAGCTCTTAGAACGCTTTTGGTGTAAGTTTGAAGGCGATTTCACTACAAGGCAGATATAGCCCGAACTGACACTGGTTACTGGCTAAGCGGTAGATTTTTCGACTTACTCGCTATCATTGTGACCAAATATCTGTAATATCGAGTTCCATGTGTCGACTAGTTTCGAAAGCTGCATTGCGTGAGTTTGGACAATGTCTCAACGAGATTGTGCTAGGCTGGTACATCATTATTCACGGTAGAGAGCCTAGTCTTACAACCACTGCAACACTGCCAGATGCCACATTTATGACCCATAGTAAAACTGTATCAGTTCACGTGGTTGAAGCATTCGCGCATCTCGCAGACAGACATCATATGAGTGGAAACACTTTCTTGCACGGGAGATATTTTACCAGAGGAGCCACCTGTTGGTAGATACTGACCTGAAGTTGTGGCGAATACCTATTACAGGTTGCTCTTGGGGTCAACTTTCTCTTGGATTTATTGAGGGATTGTATGGCCAAAGATGGATTAATAGACTCTGAGGGGGACACAATAGTACGTAGAGACCAGAACAGCACAGTTGCTTCATAGCGTCGTGCAACATATCTAAAAAAAACATCAGGGCATCAAAACTACTTCCAATGAAAACTTTTGGAACCAAAACCAAATTGCATTCTTCCTATGACACAAAGTACGGACAAGTAATGATAGTCACTCACTCCGTTAGATCATCCAATGAATCCAGAAGAATAACATCCGGCCCATGATTTCATTGTTGCCGCAAAGCGTATATCTGGGACAGTAAAGTTATAAGGTGATGGTAACAAAGACATTGCCCTATTAAGCCTTGAACTTCTCTTAATAGCCGTCCAGAGGGCGGGTTAATTGCATGGATATATTACGGCGCCAATGTCGAACGCTTCTACAGATCACAAACCAATAATCCAGTCGTCCATTATTTGCGTGTTTATCTTGCTTGCATAGGTAGGTGGTACGGAATGGGTAGAAACATGTGTACATGGCTGGAACTGTTCGTATCGGTAGTATGCAAATGGGGTTCTGGACTTTGATACTATCTTCATGGCCTTGGACGAATCGTAGAGTTGTGTGAGCTTCAACGCTTGCTGCTAGCCAATTTGGTTGTGATAATGTGGGCTGTGATAAGGCTGGAGAATGGAAGGTAGAGACGACCAACGAGAGCTCCAGCGGCGTAAAAGAAATGCAATTGATATTTCATAATACACCAATTTAGCGACACATGCCTGAATCCACGAACCTATTATGGGGCCATTTTCGCATCCGATGTCTTGGGAGAGAACATACAGGGTTCGCAGGGTAGCTGCACCGGTTGGGTTGCACAACCCACGAGCATCGTCGTGTGACTGGATCAGAAACGCCTGTGCTAAGGGGTTAACAGCCTAGTAGTCAAACATTAGTACTTGTAATTTATTGGAGTATATGCGAGCGCGGCAGCATGGAGAGCCTTACATGTCATGGCACCGATTGGAGAGTAGTCGGTAATGTCGAAAACACATCTATATGCCAGGTAATGCCTGAGATACCGCCGATTCGAGGATGGTGGTGAATGTATGTACAGAGGGTTGACACGTCGGGTTAAACACCTGCTAGTATATATGCACACTTTAACCTTAATAAGTTTCTTTACAGCGTCTAAGAGCAAATAAGAGGCTATATATGCACGTATTGTTCCTTGTCTCTGCTAAAAACGCCAGCAGGTGTTCAACCCGACGCGTCAATCCTCTGTACTTCATAGACACATTCTATCCGACTTCTGCTTACCTTGGCGGCTCTGATACGAGTACAATTTCTGCAATGGCTAAGTTTCCTGAAGAAATTTGAAGTTTCAGGAAGTGCATAAGATTCCGTGATTCGGAGTTACAGGACTACGAAGAATGAACTCATCGAGACACTGACATAGATCTAGACCCCGTAGGACGTCTGCTCTACACGTTCATGCATGTACTGTGTCAAAATCCATGGATCATAATGCTTTTGGCAACGAGGATGGCATGACGAACGGGGGTATGGCATCCATGTATTACCAGAGTGAAGGATCAACGCAGCGCCCATAATAGTAATTTTGACGTGACATGCATGTTGTAGGCATGTATTGATCAAGTATGTGGGAGCTACAGAGGTATCTAGGTGTGCAATTATGCATAGAACAAACTTGGAACATATTATCTTGGACCCTAATATCAATCTGATTGGATTGGTGCCGGTTGGAGAATGGTGGCACGGCGGACGGTGGACGTGACATACCAAGGGTCGATAGCCGCGTAACTTTTGCCTTGGTACGCAAAGTCTAGATAACCACCTCGCAACAATGTATTCCGCAGCCGCTGGCAGGGTTTTAATTATTGATAAATGGAATGCATCTATAATAGGTATATAGAATGTAAGAGTAGCACGTGAGTGGGTAACTACCATGGGGTATCGTTATGCAGGGTCTCCAGTTGTCAGTCCCCGCATAGACGTAGCGATTCTTGTTTTGCGATCGAGAGTTCGGTAATCACTGAAGTGCCTCTCTAGGTAAGAAAGGTAAAGTTCAATTGATTGGTCCAATCTCGGATCTTGGGTTCAGCCACTTCGTGTTGTGCTTTGTTGGATCTGGGGCCTCTTCTCGGCGAGCGAGGGCGCAATTCACCAGAGCCGCATCACCTGCACGACTTCACGGGACGCTGTATTGAGTCCGTGGTCCCCTGTATACATCGCCCGTTCTAAGTCCTGGCGCAGAAAATTCACCAACACGTCCAGGGAACCGTTTGGTGGGTCATTACTTAGCGAGGACCATTACAATTTACAAGTACAAGTATACTCGAACCAACTACTTGTACAGTATTGTGCGTCCAACTAGAGAGAGTAGAGTAGGGCACGCGATCCAAGATGTCTAAATACCCATCAGGAATGGTTGTCGCCAGTTGGCGTCGGATGTGTTCCACAGGCCAAGCGCCTGGGCCTGAAGTGGGAAAAAACCAATAACTACATGTACCTCAATTCCTGTAACAGTAGCACGGGAGGCGAGGCTAGGCCATCCACTATCCAGATTCACACGCATGTGAAGGCGGGCAGGGTGATGGCGCGGAGTTTGGGAATTGAAATTGGAGATTAGGGTGGGGATTGGTGAGAAGCCGGCCCTGTCAGCGTCAGGCAGTAGGTGAACCTCCACCGGGGCGGTGGTCTGTCTGAAGTTGTAAACGAAGGCGCATCGACAAGGTTCTCCAGACGGCTGTGGCGAGCAGGAACGCGAAAGGTGACAGTGCTAAAGACGCCACTAGGGCTTATGAGTACTTCACCTCATCTCACTTCACCATCGTGACCAGCAGACACTTTCTCCGCCCATGAGACACTCGGGCTGGTGCAACATAGCCCAAGTAAAAGGCACCGTGGCGGCGTTGTTGCGCTCAGCTGCGGGACTTTTATCGAGAATTTTAAGAGGCCCCCTTTGTGGTTTCTGCTAGTTCGCTCTTTCTGGGTCATTATCAGTCTTGTTAGTGATATTCAATGCCAGGACGGGTCAGATACAGACACACAGTGTGACGCTCAGAGCAACTAGGAGAGTTGCTTGTTTTTCAGTAAATACGGAGTACGGGTCGTTGCTATTATCCATCCCTCTTGCGGAGTAGTACCACAAACTTTGTAAGGCAACGCGGCCACCCGACCTACAGGTACAGACTAGGATCCAAATTCTATACACAAACATACGGCTACGTCGTATAGCCATTGGATTGGTCCATACTGTGGGATTACCGTGGGATGGACCAGATCTGTTGTTGTACAGCACAATGTATTTCCATCTGCCTGGCACGCGGGGCACTATGCCAATTATCTCGCCCACCAAACACCGTGTCGAGCAGGGTGCTTGTAGTACAGACACTAGACATGGGCATGGGGTTGACCGCAGTACCTGAGGGGTTTGCGATTTGCAGTCAGTAATGCAAATACATTCTGATAGTCGACGAAAGAGAGTGAACACTCGGGAAGATGGGTACTGTGTACCATCCGACCTACCGCAGTGGCTTCACTGTCAGTATATTGTGAACTGGTAACGATCATTGGGAGATTCATCATGTTCCAATTGAGAACGAAAAACAACAACATCAGCCTTAGGGACGACACCCAATTGGTTGGAACGGGGCCTGCACCAATGCGGTCGGGTGAGCGTTGGACATTGGCGCATTTAGTGGTTGTTGTCAATCGTCACAACGGATCGGGCTCTATACCTCATTGGAAGATATGCGACGCCAAAAAGGAGACTAAGGACGACAAGCAACATGATGTGCACGGAAAGGAACGACAAGGAAATGAGCACGATGATCAATCGTTGACAAACATAGAGAGAGAGGGAAAGAAAGTGGTGTGTGTGAAAGAGATGTGCACACACACACGCACATACACATGCATAAGTCCCTAACGTAGATATGCACGTACACAGACACACACACACACACACACACAGAGGAAGAAAATGTTGGGGAAAAGAAGTCGATCAGGGCGGAGAGGGTAGGGATGAGGAAGGGATGGGGAAGGGGAGGGGGTGGCCGTGACTGCGACTGCGACCGTGACCATGATCAGTCGACGCCAAAAAGTCTACCATGCAATCTGTAACATCCAATTGCCTTGAGAATTTGCATCCACAACTCGAAGCAGAAAATCCTACCTCGGCCTTGCCGCTAGGCAACTAGGTAAGTATGATGTGAGCAGATCTTCGTAATTATGTAATTGGATGGTTACTGTACGGAGTAGAGAGTACCTATTGAGTCTTCGGTTCATATGGGTACCGATAAATATTAACGAAAACATGTAATTACGGAGTACTCTTGGAGTCTGTACTAAGAGCGAGATGTTTGCTAGGCCAGGTCGAAAGAAATAAAAAAAAAAATCTGCAAGCCCAAACGGTTGCGCCCAAGGATAACAAGTTGCAGGCTAACAACGGAGTACTAACCAGTGCATGGATTAGGCATGGCACGGTACACGGTACACGGTACAGTGCAGTGCGCAGTGCACAGTGCACAGTGCATTCATGGCATGGATATCGACATGGATTCACGGAGGCACGGGTACGGTACCAAAACAAGTAATCACTTAACTAGAGGCTGCCGATTTCCCCATGGGCCATGGACCATGGCAGCAAGCGCGAGAGTACTCCGTACCTACACAGTAGGTAGTGTGCGTATACGTGTGTCGTGACCTGTTCAGCGCCGAACGACTCTGGGAGAATAATTAGTTACACCGTGAAAGTACCTACGTACGGAGCACTCCGTACAACAATACACCATACGAGAACAGTGGCTGATGGAGGTAGGTCTATTGCTTGTGCTGGCTGTATGGAGTATTTGTTTTCCTTGATTCGACAATGCTGACTGGATGGATCGAGATACGATATGTTCGTACATAGTAGCAAACATGTCAAGTCGTACTCAGAGTAGCAAGTGTAAAAGACTCTACAAACAAACCGTACAAAACACATACACACATTCAGAACGGTACTACTCCATAGGAGCTACCAAGTAGATTGGGAGAAACCAATTAATTTTGGTGATTGCAGTACCGAGTATGGTGGTAGGATGTTGTAACTTGCTTGTGGTTGTACGAGTTTCTCCACCTCTTTTCTTCTTTCCCGGTCCGTGATCAGAACTTCAGCCCCTCTCTTTTGCTCCCCCCCCTCTCCCTCCCCCCTTCCCGCCTCCACCTCCACCTCCTCCCTCCATCCTCCTCTTCGGCCCATCCTACTCGTACATACCTAGTACATACACACAAAGTACTCCGTTCCGTATACATACAATTTTCTACTCCAGTCTCCACCTCGGCCGTCTCTTATTAGAGCCTCCTCTCTCCAGTGTCTCCACATATCAAACCAGTTCCAGTTCCAGTTCCAGTTCCAGTACCAGTTCCGGTCCAGTCCAGTCCAGTCCTGCGGCCTGCCCGACCCCGATTCATCACGATCCCATCCCCTTGTTATAATCCCATCCCCACCACACAGTAGTACTGAATAGGACAAGGACAGCACCACCCACAACAACCACAACCACAACCACCGCTAAGACGACCACCAGTGATCAGGCAATGCTTGCCCCGTCTTGTTTTCTTGGCTACCTAGACCTATCGAATGATTGGCAGGGATGACTCTTCATTGGCCCAGACCAGTTCCTATCCCAGCACACAAACTCACCCGGCCCCGGCTCATCAGTTGGGATTTCCAGACAGAGCAATATCGCCGGCTATGCATGACCCGCGCCCACATGCACACACACATGTCCCAAGTTCCAACGTGCTGCTTCGACGGCATTCATTTAATTGATTCCTATAATCCTGTCCTCCGTACCGTGTAACTAACTGAATACGGCGTATACAGGTCTGTACCGTATTGTATTGTACTTTGTATCTGCTTTGTACTTGTACCTCCACGGTATATACATGATACGACACTCAATATGGTGTATGTACGGAGTACTTCCTTTTAGAATAAGATCACGCGTGGTAACCATAGACTCGACCACCACCATATATATCACACGACACAAAGTAATCGTGAGCTGTGCTTCGGGAAGGCCATTCAGCATACCTATACGGAGAAAGGAGCAACTAGATTGCGAATCTGGCCATCCCTGCGGCACAGGAGAGAGAAACGAAGAAGGAAGTAAAACCTCGTACAAGTACAAGAGAGTACAGTGCATACTTCTTCGTAGCGGTACTGGCCATAGAAATTGGAATTGAACGGAGTACATAGCTCCCGACTCCCAGCCAACTATCAACTAGTTAGCTTGCCTTGCTTGTCATCTTAGTTCCAGCCGCTATGGTTTCTGGACACGGGCACCCGTAAAGATCACGCTGGTGACTGATCTGAGCCCTTGAGGGCAGCAATTTAGTGCCTTAATCTTTTCTAGAAGGATGATATACGGAGCTACTACTGGATTCAGCTTAGCGTCCCAATGTGCAGATGTTACTGTACCCATGGACCAGAAGCCACCATCCTGCAGTATCACCAGAACTGGGGTCCTTCTGGGGTCAATGATATTAAAAGCTGGAGCTCCGCGCTCCTCTTGTTGACTTTTGATCGTCGAAGCAATCTCCAGCCAGTTCTCCTCACTCCTCCCTCTTTCCCACCCACCTCCCCTTCGTGGGTCTTGTTCTTCTCTGACAGTACCATAACTAATTCTTTTAATTCAACCTGCAACCAGTCACGTAATCATGCCTGGCGGAGGAGTCGTCTCTGTCACCGGCACGACTGATGTCAATCGTGTCGAGGCCCCCGTTACCCTCAGAGCCTACCTGATCGTCGCCTTTGCGGCATTTGGAGGTATCTTCTTCGGTTATGACACCGGCTGGATGGGAGGTGTTTTGGGAATGGACTACTTCATCAAACAGTACACAGGCGCAGAATATCCCAACGTCAAATTCCCAGGCTTGGCCGCAGACGACCAGATCATCAAAGACTATCGCAAATCCACCTTCGTCGTTCCCCAGTGGCAGCAATCATTGACTACCTCGATTCTGTCTGCTGGTACTTTCTTCGGCGCCATTATCGCTGGTTCGTATTGCACTTCCTACCAAAGCTCTTCATCGTGCCTAACAACATTCTAGGTGATTTGGCCGACTTCCTTGGTCGCCGTGTCGTGATCATCATCGGTTGTCTCATCTTCAGCGTCGGTGGCATCCTCGAGACCGCCTCCACTGGCTTGAATGTCATGGTTGGTGGCCGTCTTGTGGCCGGTTTCGGTGTTGGTTTCATCTCCGCCATCGTCATCCTGTAGGCTCTCCGGTGCTCTTACCCTTTGGAAATGGGTCACTAATCGACACCAGGTACATGTCCGAAATCGCCCCTCGTAAGGTGCGCGGTGCTGTTGTTGCCGGCTACCAATTCTGCATCACTATTGGTATTCTCCTCGCCAACTGCGTAGTCTACGCTACCCAGGGCCGACGTGACACCGGATCTTACCGCATTCCCATCGCGGTTCAATTCCTCTGGGCTATTATCCTTGGAGGCGGACTTGCCCTTCTCCCCGAGTCGCCCCGTTACTTCGTGAAGAAAGGCAAACTTGATCATGCAGCTAAGGCTTTGGCACGCGTTCGTGGACAGCCCGTTGATTCTGAATACATCCAGGATGAACTCGCTGAGATCATTGCTAACCACGAGTATGAGATGTCAATTGTCCCTCAAACTAGCTACCTCGGATCTTGGATGTCCTGCTTCGAGGGCAAGATCTCCAGCCCTTCTTCTAACCTTCGCCGTACTGTTCTCGGTATAGTGATGCAGATGATGCAGCAGCTGACTGGTATCAACTTCATCTTTTACTTCGGTACCGTCTTTTTCCAGCAACTGGGAACGATCTCGAACCCCTTCTTGATCTCTCTCGTCACCACACTTGTCAACGTTCTGACTACTCCTGCGTCTTTTGTCATGGTCGAAAAGATTGGACGCCGTACCATTCTGATTTACGGCGCCGCCTCCATGGTCATCATGCAGTTCATCGTTGGTATCATCGGTGCCACCGCTGGTAAAGACACCCCTGACCACCCTGCCAACCCCAACGCTGTTAAGGCCATGATCGCTTTCATTTGCCTTAACATTGCCTCCTTCGCTACCACCTGGGGACCTGCCGCGTGGATTGTGATTGGAGAGATCTTCCCTCTGACTATTCGTTCCCGTGGTGTTGGCCTTTCTACTGCTTCCAATTGGTTCTGGAACTGCATTATCGGCGTCATTACTCCGTACCTGGTGGCCGACCAACCTCATTCGGCAAAATTGGGCTCTAATGTATTCTTCATGTGGGGTGGTCTTTGCTGCATTTCCTTCCTCTTGTAAGTATATTCTTGGCGTATCCTCGCTCCTTGGATTGCTCATTCTAACATTCGCAAAGTGCCTATTTCTTCGTCCCCGAAACCAAGGGCCTTACCCTCGAGCAAGTCGACAAGATGTTGGAGGAATCGACTCCCCGCACATCCCGCAAATGGAAGCCAACCACCACATTTGCCGCCGAGACCCACCTCGCGGACAAGCACTTGGAGATTCCCCTCGAGACCAGGACAGTTGAGCCCAAGGTTGCGGTTTAAGCACACATCTTGTCTGACGCGGCTATACATGTGAGATCTATGGTCCCCGAAGCACTTTGTTTGGGGGGAGGGGGAGCAATTTTATGGTAATGGGTTTATACAGCCTTTGATTAGTGTCAAGGATAGGGCCATCGAATAAATATATCGTCTATCCATCTCGAGGTGACCCAGTCGCATGATCTACCATAGTACTTCAAACGTGCTCTCTTCCCTGGTGACGATCTGTGGCGCTGCGTCCCTGATTCATTCTAAAGCCAAGCATGAAGCAAATGCTACCCATTGTCTATTAGTTCCTATGCAATGATCGAAAGCTCAGCTTCAGGCCTACCCATGTCTCGTAGAATACCGCCAAGGATGGTTATCGTTTCGTCGGATCCACCGGTGCGGTCCGAGGCTTGCTACAGGTTACACCAGCGATAACAATGAGATAGGTGGTACAACCAATACGTGGCTCGGGCTGGAACTGCTGGCCGGCACTCTAGATGTAGCACAATAGATCCATGTGCCTAGCTCTGTTTAGACAGGTTTTCTATTGGCAAATGGCTTCTAATCGTCCATGGGTATGTTCTTCAATGATAGGTATTGGAGCAGACGAATGAACATTGCTCGACTCTAAAGGGGTAAGCATATTATTTTGCATGCCACCGCCTATCGATATAATTCGTCCTACATTCAAGAATAACATTGCACATAGGTTGACTTAGTAACGCACCACCGGCATTGAATCTGGAAAGTTCTAACGGCTCGGGCTCGATTTTCGTTGAAATGGGCGACATGCGGCCCGGCTATTCTTGTCGTTACATAGAAGTCTATATTGGCTACACTATTATCATTGATCTTCTCATCAATCATCCTAGCCTTCCCAAGATTGCAATGCTCACACTCAATTATTGTTGCCTGTAGATGTCAGGTGAGAATTGAGAACAATACCTCCGAGGCAACTTGCGCCCAGCCGATGTCCATCAAGACAACTTGCCTCGCTCTCATTTAAGCGTGCTTCTGCATTGTGGTTGTTCAGAATGCACAAATTGGCGAATCTCCTAATCGCCATTAGAGAATATTTACTATGGAGCCGTCAGCACCAGAAACGCGACGCCAAAATTTCATAGGGCTGGCGATGCTTTGTACATCTGGACACCCCGGTCTACGCGAATGCTTAGGCTCATTGGGATGTTTAGGACCGACGGTCAGCAATTCAACAATAAATCATATGGATCAAAGGCGTCAATTCCTACTATAAAGAAGCTTCGCCGATAGTTTAGCCAACTATCAACGTGGGCTCGAGCTACGTGCCAGTGGAGTGACGAGTTTAGGGCTGAGTGCACCATCATTAGCCGAAAGTCTTCCAGGTTTTGCTTTGACCATCTCATTTTACATTGTCGGGCATTCCAAAGGTCAGTGAGTCATGACATGTCATATTTCATTAGAGCATGCTAAACCCCACATTTGCGATGGCTAAAAAAACTATGATACCGTGTCGACAACATGGCTCTACATGTCGGAAACACAAGGTGATGAATGCCCCTTTGATTGTGTATTTACCTAAGTAGGTAGGCGAGTAACGCCGATAAATCCAAAAATATAATGGAGCATGATATGCTTTGATGCTTTCAGGAGCAAGAGTGCTTCAGCGATGGTCAAGCTCTTCAAACTACTGTGCTCGTGTTCTTCTCTCGAAGGAAACCTTCTATACTGGGATCATCCTTTGCGTCGATCCTCTTCTCTAATTCCTTCTGTTCTGGACTCTTAGCCACTACTCCATCCTCTGTTTTTAGCTCCGACTTACTCCCACCTGTCAAACCCGCTACATTGCCCACTGCTGAACCTACAGTTGATGTCACCGTGGCTGCAGCTGTGGAAGCTACCTGCTTGGCTTGTTCGACGTAACCCGGCGCGGGAGGTTCTTGAGAAGGGATTGTGACATCTTTTGGTGCTTGTCCTACTGTTCCAGGCTCCATGGTCACGGTCTTATCCCCTTGCCCATGATTATTGACTGCAGCATAAGGTGTACCGTCGGCAAGCTGGCCTGCAGCGTGGGTCTCGTGTTGTTGCTCGTAACGTGTGTCTGATGTTCCTTGTCGAAGTGGAAGGTTGCGACCTTCTTGTTCTTTGAGCGCTGCAGGCGAAGCAGTTCCCCCCTGCTCTGTATTCGTACTACCGGTGATTCCCTCGCTCTCCAGCACTTCTGCATCCGTCGGCTGCGTTGCAGTGCCATCGGTGGTGAGTCTGAGTTCTGCTTCATCGATAGGTGTATTTGGTATCGGGGCTTTCTGCGCTGCTTCCCTGCCTACGGGATTTGCAATGGTGAAGATCAATTTCCGTCGAGGCTGACCATCTTCAGACCCAACCGCAATAGCCTTCATTTCTCCATTTTCTCCATGCTCCCACTTCATTGGGCCAATCGGAAATGTGTTCTTTCCATTTTGTTGAGCTGGTGATTCCCAATGGATTGCTTGTTCTATCGCTGGCTCCAATACGGGCATGTTACCCCACTCAAAATCCAGATTGCCGCCATATTTCTTGGGAATACTGTCAGGATCTATATACTGAGACAATGTGGGGAACACATTCTCCTTGGATAAGATGAATATCTTGGATACGGTGATGGGGTCGAACCAACGTTTAACCCAGCCCCACACGGTCGGAAAGAAGGCGGGAGCACCTATGATCTGGGGAAAGTCAATAAGTTGGTCTGGAGTAGAGTCCATCCACCTGGGCAGTGGTTATAAAGTTGACATACGAAGATTCTATCCAGTGTTTCGGGATAGTGCGCTGTTGCAAGTTGTGAAGCATCTTGCATGTGATTTTTGAGATTCCAAAACTGTTTCAAGCCCACACCGCTGATATCCACGATATTATTGCTCTGCGATATCGGTGTTTCTGGATGCTTTCGGTCTATAGCGGAACATAAAGGTTGCACGAAGCGAGTCAACGATTCGTACAACGCGAACAGACGGAGGTTTTTAGTCGCAACCTTTGACGAAGTGGATCTTGACGCTGCGAGTTGCTTTTCATATGATGCGATGTTCTTGGAGTTGAGAGGGGCAACCTCGAATAAGAACACGGGAATACCGCGTTTGTCGCGGCGACCGAGCCATTGTGGGTACTGGGGCGTATGTGTTAGGGATTGAATGGATCAAGGGGGGTTAGATACGGGTGATGATACCAAACGTCTTGTCTGCTCGTACTCTTGGACTTCGATGGTGGTGAAAAGGTCATCTAAGCCATGCTCCTTACGCCAATCTTCGGTTTCTTTGAATTGCTTCAGCGCCTCTGGGGGACTGAAGCGGCGGGCGCGGAGGAAGCGTCTGGGAATTGCATCGTCAGTGCTCCGCCAGGAACTTTTTAGGCAGTAGGTACATGTCCGTACAGGAGTGTCTCGTCATCATGACTAGCCTCAGATCGTGGTTCAGCCGGGGAAGCAGGTATGTAGTAGCCTTGCTCTAGACATAATGATTTAAAAGCCTCCAGAGCTTGCTGTTGGTCGGCTGAAAGATGTCCGTAGTGGGCAGCAGGGTATTGGAAAGACTCAATGCGACTCAAGTCTGCTGCCATGGTGAAATTCTATTCAGGAGGCGGAACGGGAGGAGTCAAGATGTGAGCGTGCGGAGTAGGTAGGTAGGTGGGATAAGGATAAGGAGGGATCGGAAAAGGGATCTATAGAAACTTCATCGAATTCAAATCTAGCAATTAATTAGTGTAAGAGTAAGAGTTGGAGCAGCAGTACATACCTACTCGTAGCATATGTAGGTAGATAATTACTCGTACCGTGTAGGTGACGGACGGTGAAAGTGGGTGGTAATAAGTCAGCCTCCCATGTGGCTAACAAGTGTTTGACATCATTAGTCAAGAGTAAGATTCTCTTTGGGTATTTCCTGTCCCTGTTTGGCTGTTAGGCTGTCAGGCTGTTAGGCTTTTTACCTCGTATTACTCGTACGGGTATCGTAGATTAGGACATTAACTCGTACGGGGTATAGTTGCCGGATACCCGGCCTAAAGCTCTTCCGATTCACGTGACGTCGCCCGTCTGTCCACATCCTTGGATGGACTATGCACAAACGATGGCATCAGACATCGACTCAACATCAACATCGACGTCGTCATCGATCTCCATCCCTTTCTGCTTCGTCTTCTATGTTGTCGTCTTTATCATCAACATCAAAATCATCACAGCTCCTTGCTTCGAATACCTACCGTATCCACTTTCTTTCATCTGCTCTGATCACACCAAATTGGGTACGGTACTACCACTAGTTACGACCAGTTCATACTACCAAATTCATCGTCATGATTGTGAAATCACGGGATCAGGCCTCGAATATCAATTATAGCAACCTCCGTCCCATAGTAGAAGACATAGCTCTTTCCTCTTCGTCCGACACTGGCTCATAGACCAGGCTTCTATTCTACCAATCGACAGTAAAGAGCTTTTGATCATGCGGTCCACTTCGTCCTTCACTACTCTCCCGACGGAGATCCTTGAAGCCATATTCATGCAGCTTGACCCCCAATCCTTCGTCAGTGTATCAATCACTTGCAAGTCTATTCACAATGTAGCGTCTGATGCCCCTATCGTTTGGCGTCATTTCTGCAGAACTTGCTTTGGCGCCTGGTCTACCCACCACAAAATTCAGTCTAAACTCAGTGGCCCTCTTTCGGAAGTCGACTGGAGAGCCTTATTCCTTCACCGCATGTCTATAGCTGGGGAAGCACGTCGCTTGCTGGACCAGCTGCTGAAGACTCAACAAGGCCGTGTTCGATACATCACAAAAATTGCAGACTTTGGCTACGATGCAAAGGACGTGCTGCTAAAAGAGCTATCTTGTTCCGAAGAAGCAGAGGATGTCTTAGCAAGGCGCTTTTATGCGAATGCATTGCTTGAACGTATACAACGTGAAGCAGCCATAAAGCTTTGGAAAGACTTGGCTACCGGCGACAGCATTCTCATGGAGACGGCACTGGGGGCATACGATGTTTTCGCTCTCACCGGCCCCGAAGTGGGATTCGATCATATCTCACGAGCGTTGGATACTCTTTCCGCAGCAGTCCGAGTCCAGTTCCCAGAGTTCGGGGATCTAAGTACGAGACGCAAGGCCTCTACGTTGGCGTCGTACCTGCGCGACCAAGGCTTCAGGGGTGTATCTGATACATCATACGGTGCCCTGCGCAACTCCTTCATTGGCCTCGCATTGCGCTCCGCTCAACACGAATCCCTTCCATTGATTTCAGTCGCGATATACTGTGCTCTTGCATCCCGATTGGGTCTTGATGCGCGTCCCTGCGGGCTTCTGTTCCATGTATATTGTATTGTATATGCCCCCGGAGGTTACACGCTCGACGGGGTGTATAAACCAACTAGTTCCGAGAGCATCGAATCCATGCACATCGATCCTTTCCGCTCTAGTCATGAAGTTCTTCGGTCGGATCTCCAAGCACAACTTCATAGCTATGGAATTCCATCCGCTGAACATGCACGTTATCTCGCCCACGCTACGACCAGAGAGATGGTCGTTCGCACAGCCCGTAACATCATCAATTCAGTGCAGACTATCCGAGAAACTGAGCGAGGAATGTTTGGTATTCACGCGACCTGGCTCAATGCTTATCCTGATATGGATGCTGCCTTCTATGCTACGATCTGGGTGATGCTAGTTCTTGGGCCAGGTGAAGAGGACAGTGACGATGTTTCGAATGTCTCGATGCGGAGGAGGCAGTATCTGCCATATCTGCTTGAGCACTTCCAAACACACTATCCTTGGGATGTGTCGCTTCTCACGCAGCATGTAATTCCACTTTTCCGTCACCAACCCGAAGGCCAACGACTCCTTGAATTCGTCCACTCTTTGCATCGGGTAGACACTCTACCAAAAACAGTAAAAGTGCGTTCTGAAAATACCCTCGACGTTGAGTTCATGATCGGCCAACTTTTCACACATAAGAGGTACCACTATGAAGGTGTCATTACGGGTTGGGATACCTCATGTGAAGCAGGTGAAGAATGGATACAACATATGGGGGTTGATAGACTCTCCAAAGGCCGACAACAGTCCTTCTACCATGTCTTGTCAGTTTTCCAGGCTTTCTCATTTTGTTATTGGCCGCTAATGTCTACAGAGTTTGCGACAAGTCAGTTCGATATGTCGCGGCCGAAAACATTGAACGCGCACCACCCTCCTTGAAACCATCGGAAGCGATGATGAGAATCGCTGGTCGTCATTTCAAACGCTGGGACGATGCTAAGTCTGTCTTTGTGAGTAACATTCGGGACGAGTATCCCGATGATTAAGTGGATTTACGGGTAGCGGTGTTGCATAAATAAACTAGTGGATGGCTCGTCATACTTCGATGACTTGGGAAGTTCGAATTCAAAGTAAGAGGATCACGGATTGATGCCTACTTAATACTGGCTCAGAAACAGTACACAGACCGTGTCAATGTCGCACAATATCCAGCTGCAACGCAAAATGACATCTAGAGGAAAACGTCGAGGAACAGGCGAGCGAAATGAACAAGGTCTATATTAAGTACACGCTATTATACATCTTATACCGTCGAAGAGGCGAATCGGCTCCTTGCCTGTTGACAAGAATTTGGATCTCCCATGAAACGCCTACAAATGCTCAATCATTTCATTCTTCGTCGAGGCATCGCGCCTCGACGGTCGTGTCTGTTTCTATTGCAGCAGTTTCTTACCCCTTCTGTTCCCCTCCCCAACGACGCCCTGCCCATCCAAGCCCCTTGCAAAACTACACCAGCGATCCTTGATACTGACGACTTCATATGTACCTTCCTCTTGCACGGGAATTCGCAATTCTCGTTCGTGGCTGATTTCTGTCCTGATTTCTAGTACTTTGCTCTTCTTTCCTTTCGCCGCGTTCGTACTTCTTGTATACGTGAACTCGAATGGAGGCGTACCCCAAAATTGAAATTCAAGATCGGTTCCACCACCTTCGTGAATATCCACTTGGGAGACCTGGCCGCCAGAGAGACGCACAGACGGGATTGGATGGATTCGCTTGGTGAGCTCAAGGGCAGCCAAACATTCACTCGCGGAGTCCCGGAGACCAGTGATAGTGAACGTGCCAGGTAGTTCTGCGAGACGCCTAAAGGTTGTGCCCGCATTCGACGCCTTTCGTTCTTGATTCTCAAAGGTGTAGTAGACAGTGAATGGAACCTGTCCACCAAGGGCAAATGATAGGCGCTCACCAACACAGAAGTCAGTGCGATCCTCGAGTGGTGTTGCTGTTGGTGCATCGTGTACGCTGAGCTGAACGCGGTGCGAGACCGACTGTAGCTTGCGCGTACAGCCACGAGAGTCGCGGATTTTGCGGATTGTGACCATTGATGTTCCGAGGTGTAACTTGCGTTGATCAATCTTGACATCGAACCTGTGCGAAGGTATGTTTTTGTGGATGCTGATTTCCGGCTTTGGCGTGCCAGTATGCTTGATCTCAACTTCGAGATAGAAGGGAGGTACCCCTTCCATTGTTACCGGTATGACCTCTTCCCCTTCCACTTCACGGGCAGTGCAAAAGCTGTATACCTTTCCCGGCTTGTCGAAACGAGCACTTGGAAGCGAGTAGACTGTTTGCTGAAGGACTGTCGGTGCGAAATGCTTTGATGAATGATCGTATTTGCTGTCCGCAACCTTGACGAATTTGTATTCGTAGAAGCCAGCTTTTGATGTTTCCGCTCGAATAGATGCGACTGAACCTACGGCCTTCAGATCCTTCTTGCTAAGGGCAGCGGTTTTGCCGTTCACCTTATCCTTGAATTGCTGTTCATAAGTGACATCGTAAGGCGTACTGCCTTGTAGTAGTATGTCAAAGGAGTCTTCGTCACCTTCACATACAGCTTCTTTTACGTACTTAATTCCGTCGAAGACCATAGAGGCTGATTCTGGGATGCTGAGCTTCGGTCGCGGAACCCAGCTGACAGAGAAGACGTCAGCTTTATGGTCAATAAGACCTGGACAGACCGAGTCGCTAACAGACAAAAGTTTGTACGCCCCTTGGGCACTGGCCTCGATGTGATCGTTGGCGCCGCGTACCGTCGTTTTCTCGATCCGCTCATTGTCCAGGTTCTTGTATTCAAGTTTCCAGGGTCCGGTACCGGTGAGACGAAGGGGCAGATTCACCTTCCGGCCTTCAAGCGCCAAAACATCTTGTTTCCCTTCGATATGTCCGAAATAAGCCTTTGGCCGCTCGTGACGCACGTTGACTTTTGCTTCTTCCTTGGTCAACCACTCCTTGCAGTTCATCTTGTCCGTCACGCTTGTTAAAGACAAAATGTATTCGCCTCCAGACTTGAGTCGAGGTGTCTTAATAGTATGGACCTGGTCTTCTACAACCTTGGAGTCTTTGATTCGTTTTCCATTGTGGATTAATTCAAATTCCAGCGTCCAAGGCCCCTCGCCCCATAATCTGACGTTGAAGTCTACAGAGTCGTCTATACAGGCTTGTTTAATATCATGAGCATCTATGAATTGTGCAGATGCAGATGGCTTCACATCCTGCGATAGTTGTTGGCTCAGAGGTCGCTCTGAATATATGCGATCCCGAATGGATTCGAAAGAATACGTATAATGCCCCGCATCGTCAGGAGTGAGTTCCAAAGTACCACGGAGAGAATCGATTTTGACTAGCTTATGCTGTGGTCTTTCTCGGTTCCTCTGCTGTGTGTATTTGACCACGAAAGGGGGCGTACCAATCAAGTCCAGATCCACACGCAGTCCGATAGGGTTTCCGGCGCATTTATCGACGATATCTTCGCTTTGTAATGCCAATACAGGTTCTGGGGGATTCTGTAATAGGCATGAGGCTGGCTCGAGAACTTCACCTTCGCAATATTCTGTCGATACTGACGTTACAGTGTAGAGACCGGCTTCGGAGATCAGTGGTCGTTCTCGAATTGAGCGCATGGTTTCCTTCTTCAGTGTTGCATCCGGTGCGTGTGTACCATCGGGCAGGAGACTGCCTTGGGGAGTAAAGAGGTATTCTATTATGTGTGGCGCATCGATTGCCTGCTTTCCGGTAGATTGATACTTGAGAGGCAATTTCTCAACGTTGCCCTTTGCCACACGAAGAGGCTTCTGCTGGTTGCAGCCATCAAGTGCAACTCTAGGACGTTCATGAACGGAAAAGGATTGATAAACACCAAATGGCTTGTGTTTGCTCACGTGTTCTTCGTCATCATGGACGACATAGCTGACAAAATTGCCGAAGCCGTCCTGCACTTCTTCGATAGAGTACTTCCAGGTTCCACTGCTAGCCAAAGTTTCCTTTAGTGCTACTGTCACTTTCTGCGAGCGAGCCCATGCAACATCTTCACGGCTGCTATGAAGCAACGCCTGGGAAGTATGTCTAGATAGAGGCGAGAGATAGTCATCGGGCTGTAGACTTTGGAATTCGGATGTGCCGCGTGACTGGCCGTTGACAGTCAACCGATATTTGATACTGAGTGGGGGGGTCCCTTCGATTTCAAGTGCAACATTCGCTAGATCATTCCGGCAACGATTTAGATTTGTTGGAACGACGCGTGCTTGCGGACAGGTGGCGACGACCACATTTGATGAGCGTGGTCGTACCTCGAGTTTTGATTGGTCTAAGACTTTTTTGAGGAGATAAATGCCCGTTTTTTTAACACTGTGGCGTAACAGTAGGGGTTCGTTAGGGTCAACATGTTTTGTAGCTCTCCTTGCTTTCTTCAATAAACTCTTCAATTCACCCCTTTTTATAGTTATCGTCTCGTTCTGATTGGTATCGATATCAATGCGCAAGAGCTCAATCTCGACGGGTTCGGTCTGGTTGATAAGAATGGGAATTTCAAGAGCCGTGATCGAGGAATTTAAACAGAAGCTTTCTCGACCCGGATTCAAGATAGCGGATCTATTGAGGTCAGCATGAATGTAGCTATGACTGCAGGCTACAACGACATACCCTTCAGGCAAGATGTTAATGATCTGCTTGCCTAAGATGAGTGAGGCATTGTGAAGAATGGAACCTTGCTTGACGCTACGCTCGCTGATTGCCAGTTCGCTGTCATAGAGGAACGCTAACAGCGACACGCACCAGGCTTGCAGTGGTAACTGTCACACCGTCAGTGTTTGTTCAGATGCATGTAAGGCTCCAACATACCCCAACCCGGAACATGAGCATGACATCCAGGGCGGCGTGAAGGATGAAAAGTAGAAAAGCCGTCGCATTGTTCCACTCCAGCCAAGGTATTTCCAGTAGCGGTAGCCCGAACATCCACACCATATCAATGAAGCACCATTTCAGACATAAACCAAGCGACTCCTCTTGGTCTACTGCCAACGTGTAGAAGTCATAGAGACGCCATGCCCAGATTGCGACATAGAAACCGAAAACATAGAAGCGCTGTGTCGCCGCGTCCAAAATGTCCGTTGAAAGCCAGGGACCAGAGCGGACATGTTCTGTGGCTGTAGGTACGTTGGGCAGTGTCTTTCTGGCATTCGGTCGACTTGGAGTTGTCTCAGCGGTGTTATACACGCCAGAGGACCTGATCGTCTGCGGAGTTGCGGGAAATCCGCCTGGTCCTCGTGGTGTGCTGTTCATCGCACCCGGTGGCAGCTGTATCGAACCGCGGTTGTGCACATGGAAGAAGGAGCCAGTGAAGAGTGACGAGCCGGGGCGATAGAGTGGTAGTCGTAAAACGCGTGATCGTAGGTGCGCGCACGATCAGTCGTAGTGTTTTGCTTTGGGCACTTGTAAATTATGACAAACCTCAGAGACAATGCAATGTCGCGTCGGCCACAGCGCGAGGTGGTGGTCTTGGCATAAAAAGACTATGGGCCAATCATATGGCATGTAGGAGTGGCAGTCTTGGAGCACGTCCCAACCCAACAATCACCTTAAAGTGCACAGTTACACAGTTACGACAGTCAAAAGGCCACGGCCGTTACCTACACAGTATACTGTATGTATGTACAGTGTCGCGACTCGCACCTCACCTGATTCTTCACGTCAAAAGATCGAGTGGAGACAGGCCATAAAGATTTCGACACTACGGAGTATATGAGTATCCAATGCTATTCCAAGTCTCGCCATGCTTCATACCTCCTCGTTACTTCCAATCTCTTACTCTCAACCTCGACAGAAGTTGTGACTACTCTTAGGTACCTACCTAGGTAGCTTATCCCGCATAATCTGCCCTTTTCGCCTCATTACTCTGTCTTGTGGGAAGGTAGGATTCAACCCGCCTTATCTGTGAACAGCGCTATAGGTATTTATAGCGAGGGTGCCATTATCTCTTTTTGCCCCCGGGACTGAGAATTCTCTTTGTTGATTGTCAGCCATGTCGATGCGAAGAGACCTCGAACCTAAATTCAGTGCTGGGGAGACACTGGATCCTGGGCTTTCTACTATCCAGTCTGGTTCGGTACATGACGAGAAGCCTCAAGAAACATCACAAAATGCCATTTCCCATGACAGATATTCGTGGCAGGGTTTCTGCGATATCGAGTCTGAAGCTGCTTACTTCTCGGTCATGCTTCGCGAAATGGGCGTTACCGATGTCACTGTCAAGGAGGTATATGTGGTGGATCCAGACTGTCTAAGGTCTGACCTTCCACAACCAGTTTACGGAATCGTCATGTGCTATCGTTATCGACATTTCGACAGCCACAAGCAAACGCAAGCGTGTCCCGAGATGATATGGTTTGCAAATCAACTTCCTGCCCAAAACAGCTGCGCTACGCTTGCCTTGATAAACATTCTTATGAATGCAGAGGATGTTACACTTGACGATAGTCTAGCAGAGTTCAAGAAATTCACACAAGATCTGCCCCCACTTGAGCGCGGCGAAGCTCTCGCTGGCTTTAGCTTCGTTAGGAACGTTCATAATTCCTTTGCAAAGAAGATGGATATGCAAGAAGCAGACACTTCGCTTGCACGCAAAGCCCACAGGAAGAAGAAACGCCGCCGAGAGTCTATGGACACTGACACCTCCGATGACAGTTTTGAAGAGAATGCGCATCATTTCATTGCGGTCCTCCCCATACGAGGCGACGTTTGGAAGCTGGACGGATTGGATAAGAATCCGACCAGGATAGGTTCTTTCGATGGCACGGGAGAAAGCACATGGCTGCGAAGCGCTTGTCAGGAGATGCAATCCCTAATGTCTGCGGCCGGGGACGCTGACTATACTATACTGGCTCTGTGCCAGGCCCCGACTGTCAGCCTGCGCCATAAATTCAGCCTAGCCCTGGAGACCATCAAACTTGTGGAGAAGCGCCTTGATCTTCTTAGTGAGGGCTGGCAATCTTTCGCTCCCAATGAGAATTTCTTGACTCCTGAACTGATGCAAACACTCGGCGTCGATTACGCAGCTTCCAAGAGAACTTTTCTAACGGCTGATACATCCAACGAGATCGACAAGTTGAATGCACAGGAATTGCTAGCTCGTCGCGACACGCTCATGACAGAGCAGAGCAAGTTGGTAGAGGGCATTTTAGCTTGTCTCTCCGCCCAACAAGATGAAGACCAGAAGGCTGCCGAGCGCCGTTGGGATTATGGCCCCGCGATTACTTTGTGGCTGGAGAAACTTGCTGGAAACGGGCATTTAGAGGAGAATCTCCCTAGATTCAAGAATGAGACCTAAGACGCTCTCTCTATGTATAAGGGCCAGCTCGTAAATGTTATTTTCGTTACAACTGCACGCTTTGGCGATCATATTGAGACCTCCTTTTACATGATCCAAGTGTGATTTGATTGTTTGTGAGTAGTCTAGAAATCACGCGTTCATAAGCTTCAACGTATGACAAAATAATGACGCACATTAATCCAAAACGATGATTGCTGCTCCTACTGTACCCAGACCCAATCTATTTCAGACATAGTCAGGACCACTTGATAACATAATGTATGGTGTGACCTCGCTGTACTTGGATTCTCTTAGCATCAACACTACCCTATACCTAACGGGCGAAGAGGCGAAGTTAGACCAACAAATTGATGTTTCCAATTCTTTAGTTCGATGGCTTTGAGATCTTGAATGGATGGGCCTCGGTATTGAAGACATAGTCGTCTAGGCTAATGACGTCTGGATCGGAAAAGATAAGGTAAAAATACTTCAAGGTCTCTGCCATCCAGAAGCTCTCCATAGAGTCCATCTTCGGCGGATTATCTGTCGATACATCGCTGAGAGCGGCATTTCCAATGTCTGTCTCCGTGTGACGCTGAATGGCAGTGAACATGTCCCAAGCCGCTGCTTGCCACTGCTGTTCACCAGTAATACGGTAGAGGATGAAGACACTTTCGATAGCTTCTGGGCGGAGAATATACCGGCGATCGTCGATTGCAGTGAATCCTTGTGGGAGACGTAGATTGGCGATGTTCTGAAGAGGGTCCTTCTCCGTTCCTGTCAGATCCGCCCGACTAGTAACTCCATCCCTCCAGGCCTGTTCACTCCACGTGCAATTATCCGGACTTGGGCACTGGTGCAGATGTGAAACCTCAGGCATGATCCCAGCCGGAGATGCTTTGTAGGCCCAGACACATCCATTGGCAAGCTTCCTGCCAATTGTAACATGTTCAACTTTGTCGAACAGTTTACCACCAAGTGCAAACATACCGCCAGCAAAACAGCCAAGGTGTTGCAGCTCTGGGTTCAAAGTGGTCGAAGACCCCTCGGTTTGTATAGATCCAACAGCAAGTATATCAGCGTCCTCTGGAGTCATTGGCCTGAATACGAGATGTTTCACCGCAGCATCTGTTGCCTGCTCATACATGGCTTGATATAGTGGTTCCACACCGCCTAATAAAGCATAGGTTTTCGCCAGATATTCGTATGCTGAATCGGCCATAGCTCCAAGAGTGAACCCAGTGCCATGGAAGAAATCAGCCTTCCTTGCATTGATGACAATGGGCCATAATCCTGGGAGTTTCGTAGAGCCCTGTTGTTGCGCGAGAATCTTTGTAATGCGTGTTGTTGCATCATACCATTTATGGTCACCCGTGAGTTGAGAAAGTCGAGAAAACTCCATTGTGAGCGATCCTATCTCAGCAACAAGCACATTTTCATCAGCAATCTGCTCTTTCCCACTACCTGCGTTATTGAAATCCCACCGTGTGACCGGCATGTGATTGGGAGTATCAAATGCATGATAAATCATGTCACCCACTTCCTTTGCCTTCTTCAGAAGTATGTCCTCGCCACTCAGCTCATATGCCGCCAATAGGCCACCAAGGTGTCGAATGTTCGTCTCAAAAACTTTACAGCTTGATCAGTTCATGTGAGTGCTAGAATGTGGGGCGCGAGATTGTACCGTTGATTTGATCCATCGGGGTTCGGCCGAAATTGACTCTTTCAACATCTTTAATTGCAGACGTGAATTCCTCCTTCAAGCCCATGATCAGGAGGGTGTCGAGCGCATCGATCAAGGTGGCTGCCCAACCTCCAAAAGGATCCCGTGCCTCGCCGGATATCGGTGACAACTCGTCGTGCATCCAAGCCTTCATGCGGTAGTTTGTCCAGCATTTCTCAAAAGCCCGTTTTACTTCGTTGCGTCTGCGCTCTCGTATATTCTTAGCTGTCGCATCTTCTTCTTTGAAGTCGAATTGAACTTTTGGTAAAGGCCTCGGTGCTGCAGTAGGAAAAGCTGTCATGGACCGGATAGGGTGTTTCATTGGTATGTTGGCCCAATCGTATGCCCTCAATGGCTTCTGCCCTTGCCCTGGGGGCTGTGACTGCTGCTGATGCTGATCATTGTGCTGCTGTCGGCCTCCAGCAGTGTTATCTGGCTGCTGGTATGGAAAGCTTAGAGAATAGAGCAAATAGAGGAATGTAGCTGCAATGATCGTATGCAAAGCATAGCGCTTCATGAGAGCCATGATTTTTTATCAAGTCTGGAAAGTAGTTCATCGTCTGGCATATGAGAGGTAGTTATGGGAGAGGCTGACGATGATGTGGAATCCAGGTTCCTGGTCGCCAAGCCGGATCTCGAGGAGCATAAGCATAATTGCCTTAGGTAGGTATCTAACCTAGGTATGTATCTCCATACATACATAATAAGACTTACAAGGAAGCGTCTCCTCAAGACATTTCACAGGGTAATGCCTTAAAGGATGTATGTACGGAGGATGTACGTACGAGTTACAACTACGGAGTAGATAGGGTGATAGTCTAGGCCTATCTGGATGAATACACTAAAAGTATGTACAGCCAATTGAACGAGACTGACTGAGTGTACTCTAACCCAGCGATTCGTTACTCGGTCGTATTTGTATGCAACTAATGATGCGTTTCCTTACCTACAAAGTTGGAGTGGCAGGGTGGTCGCGTAAGCACGTGATCCGGGGAATTTCTTAATTTCTTACATAACTACCTAGCTAGCTAGCTAGGTATATACTAACTACCTTCACCGATACGTCACCTCCGCACAACTACGGTTTCTATCGCATACTATGCCACACGTCGAGCTTCTACCCAACTCAAGCTCATCCGCTGCTCCCGGCTGGACATACGTTGTGGACACTGGATATGATCCTTCCAAAATCGCTATAAACCCAAAGAACAAAAAGCGCGCCGCTGCCCAGCCTGGAGGTCGACGAGGAGAGAGTGAACTTTCTGCGCGACAGCAAACGGCAATCGCTCGGCGTATAGTAGAACTGCAAAGGGACAATGATCCCAAACAAAGCGTGCCGGTTCCGTCACATAACTGTAGGTTCCTTTGATAGGCTACAGAGGAGTTTTAATTGACAAAACGTGCAAGCCATTCCCAAGACACAAAATGCGAGGCGGATAATCCAGTACCAACGCCAGATCAAGCATTGGTTAGATGATGAGGAGGCCCTTCTGCAGCAGATAATTACTCCTCGTATCAATCCAATTGGTGGCCGTGCTATTCCGCAAAGTTTGAGGCGACCGACTACAAACAATTCTCTCCCAGCAACACCTTCCGAAGCTTCTCCCGCCCCCGCGACCTTGATAGCCGGCGGCAGTGCATACAACAATGATAAGCCGGTTGAACACGATATATATACCCCCCCAATGAATTCCTCGATATCAAGTGTAGGACCGACAGAGCTTCGCGCTCTCTTATCATCGCCCCCACTGTCGTACGCGGCCTCGCACGCTGGACCTCCACCAGCACACGGACCACGGCAGCGACACTTCTGTGATAATTGTGGCTATTGGGGGAGTATGAGATGTCTGAAATGTGGTACCAGAGTCTGTGGTCTCGAGTGTAAGGATGCACATGAGGCAACAAGGTGTCTAAAATGGGCCTGATTGGCTAGTACCACCATTATTGGGCAAGCTCTATTATCCTCCACTTTTTTTTTGAGAAGGTATGTTATCCACCCATCAACATACTATTGTTCCTGTACAAAACCATATCTATCTGATGAATTTCGTTGCCCATATACCCTTCCGCAAATAGCGGCATGCGCCCTTCAAGATCGTAACTTTTGTCCGATCAACTCCTCACTTACTGTCCCCAGCTTCTCGACAGTTGACGGGATTGAAATAGCCTTCCCAACGTAACCTTCTTTCGTTAGGTTGTCATACTGCCGACGTATGCCATTATATTTTACGGCCCACAGTGGTGACCTGAACGGCTAGCCTGCTATCCTCTGGTGACATCGTACCGTTCGCTCTAAAGCTAAGTGCAGCTACTAGGTACTTCACAAGTATCTCTCGGGCCTCCACATCCAAAACTTCAGCATTGAGTTTGAGAGTAGAGTCTGAAACCCTACATTTGGTTTGATTTATCCTCGAGGTCTTTATTGAAGAGACTCGGTTCTAGCGACATTGCGAACAAAATCCTTGGCAAAATCCTTGGCAAAATCCTTGGATGTAAAGTGTATATTTCAAGGCCTTCGCGCCCTAGCATCTCTACCGACACTTGTGTGAAAAGAATGCTAGCCGAGTTACTTAGGCCATGCCTTCTACTTATCAGACATTGTGCTACCCTCGCAGTCATGGTCGTCGAGACGCTCAGGTGTCAGCATGTGGTCGTTTTTATTTACATTTACGCTTCGGCCCCTGTAGAATACATAGAAATATGGATATCACCCTCGAGCTATGCAGAGATACACTCTTCGAAAGAGCGGCTATTTGTCTGGTCTGCCAGGTTGTGAACAAATATGCGAGTTCTGGGCTCGAGCGATTTTGATTTAATAGTCTTGGCCGTTTCACAAGTCTCGATCTCAGAACCACCAGCTGGGACAATAGGCGCTGATGTCGCGGAAATTTTTCTATGAAAAATGCACCAAGAGCGCCTGAAGAATCGCTTGTTGTCGAGATAGTCATTCTTCGAATGCAATCGCCTGTATCGGACGCAATGGTGGAAGAAACACTTTGCTGTTGATTTACAGAAGTCACCATTGTGGATACATCTTTATCTGTATTCTATGAGACTAAAGCAACTATGTATACCTTACACGGTGTTATAAATATGTAGCTCGAAGGTATGGTCGCTTCAAGGTAAAGAAGCGTAATACAATAGTGATAACATGTTGCAAATACGAAAGCTTATGCTCAGTATCAGATTTTGTTGTCTTAAAAGAAAGAGGAAAGGAGAGGAAAGAGGCATCAAGAAAGTGAAGAACGCTGTCAAATGCTGTATTCCAGAGATTTCGCTCCCCAGGTCTATTCTTCCAGTCGATTTAAGATTGCCAGGGGGCGGGCTCGGTGATAAGGTAAACTGAACATGCTTAGCCAAGTCTACTTGCATTGCAGTCCTAATTTGCGTTCATATTCCAGTCTAAAAGGCATGGAGAAGGCTTGCGGAAAACCCAATTGATCCTTTGTTTAGAGAAAGGATTTGTTGCATTCAATAGACATTATCCTCAAAATGTACTCAAATCGCCCGCTATCATGGAATATCTTGAATCTTTGCGATGCTGTTGCGTTCAGCACATGTAATCCGGTCATTGAAATGCCCACTCTTTCCGGCAACCATTTTCATTTTCCTTCCCTTTCCAAAAGAAACCCCATCTGTCTATGATATATCATTGCCTATCTCTCAAGCTCGTTTATGTCCTGTCAGACTTCATATGCCTTCTCCTGGACAGAGCTCAGCACAGAGCGCTATAACTGTATTTGAAAATGAAGAGTTTATATCACCAGAGTAACATTTAGGTGCAGCAATACATCTGAAGTAATTATTTTCAACACGTCATCATTAGAGCCACATTCCGCAGTGTCCCGTTCATCGAACTGAGCAACACGTTCATACCACCGGTGCTACACAATCACTACTTACATTCCCACCGAAAGTTAATTGATCCAAATGATTACGTCTAACTACGCCTGCTGGGTGCCTTCAAAGAAGCACTTGTGAATGTCGCTGTTAGCTTTTTCTCCCGTTGCTTTGCGCTGATACCAGTTCGGTCCGTTATAGGTTGTGCTTGCATGAAATCATCGAACTCATCGTCAAGACCATCTCCGTTCTGATTTGATGAACCATCCTCGTCGTCGACAATACTCTCATGTGCCTGCTCAAGGTCTGATTTCTTGATCGCTTCAGGTTTTTCCCGTTCATTATCGTCAATAGAAGTTGGGTTCGCAAAAGGCTTGCTGGCTAGGACTCTTCGCCGTATTTCCGCCATCTCCTCCTCTTCATCATCATCATCATCGGATTCGGGTAGATCATATGACCTTTGATGTTCCACCTCTGCATCGCTGTCTTCGCCATCCTCGCCACTCTCTTCCTCGGAGTCATCCACTGGTCTTCTATTCAGATTTCCACCTGCCCATGCATCCTCTTCCTTTCCAGTTTCTTTATCTTCTCGACTTTTCGAATATTCCCGTTCTATCTTTTCCAGCCAAACTTCCTCCGCTTTCTTGATATCGTCTTCGTCCTGGCAGGCTGCATACCTCTTCAGGAGCGATGCGTTGATATCCAAGAAAGCTTCACCATATGAAAAGCTTGCTAGGATTTCTTCTGCCCACTCCTGATGACCGCAGATGAAATAGCAAGCTGCCAGAGCCTCCACACAATTGAGACGCCACGGTCGGCCATAATTGGTTGGATTGGCTGCCACAAGGTATGGGAGCAAGCGTTCACATTTTCCCCCAATGCGATTGAAAGGCACTTCGTCTATGCGGTTCCAGGAAGCCTCAACAACCGCTGCACCATAGGTTTCAAGCAGCTCTCGGTCATTGGGAGCCAGAATCTTCTTAGCCTTTGGCGAAACAATGACGCCTGCAAATTTTTGACCGACGTGCAATTCGCGCATGAGACCGAGGCGAATGAGCTTTTTGCCACTACAGCGCTTCGCATCGCAGTGACCCAGATCCCAACAAGCAGCTTTGAATGCAGGCTTGCTACCTCCGGTATCACCATCGAGATTTTCGGGCCGCGTCCCACGCGGGCGCGCAGGGTTAGAGTACTTTTTGCCGGATTTGTTGAACTCTTTCTTATGGCGCACCATGATGGGGTTTATAAGAAGATCTCGCAGTTAGAGGAAGTCAGCGTGAATAGGGCAAATAATATTCTGAAAACGCATCGAGGGGCTGAGTTGTCTTTATCGATAAGTAACTAGTTAACTAATGTGCTTGATTAGTCATCTAGGATATGGCACCAATTGGATTGCAAGCAAGGCTTAGCTCCAACTTTTTTTGATTCCATTGAGCATCACGATTAAAATAGAAGAAACTATCATCTTCGTCATACCATGTCATTTGACTTCTGTCACGGTTCTTCGATATAGACACCCTTTTCACAAAAGTGATCGCGGGCGTGCAGCAACACGAATCATTCCCTCTAATCTGCAGGGGTTAAGGTACGCCTAAACTACTAATCTCTCCCATCTCATCTTTCCTGATGCCGCCAACCGAATACGCTACCTTCCACCTCATCTTAACATTACTGCCTTGGCCGCGTTGCACACCGATAAGTCTGATGTTCTGTGAAATCCCGTTCTGCTGCTTTGGACCTAACGAGACGCTTGATTGGTGCTCCATCTGTTGCTGATATGCCTGTCATAATGTAAGTACAAGGGCTATATCTTGATGTTGTGCTTGATATACCTTTGAGACTGCTGACTGGAACGTAAGTTCGGTGACGGGGGCTGGCGTATTATTTGAGATCCGAGACTTAATCAATAATGTAGTGTCTGATTCTCTGGATACTGAAAAATGAATGCTGATGGCGCTATTGATAACGACAATCTCTTTCGAGGTGTCTGGAACAGCGGATGTAAACGTCCAATCGTCGTCGTCAGTGGCAGCAGCAGTGCTTTGCGCAGTGAAAGCACTGGGGCTCGACGCATTGCCTAGCAAATCGACGCTTCCAGAGGGCTTCGGTGAGGGTTGCGACTTGATAGATTGCTGGAACTGGAAGGGCGAGGCCTGCCGTGGAGCTTGTGAGGACAAAGCAGCGAATGGGTCAGGCGTTGAGCGAGCGGGTTGTGAAGATGGTGCAGTTGTAAGAGACGATGCCGAAACTGGCAATGGCGATGCTGCTTGTGAAGGAGGACCCGATCCAAATAGATCGACGATGGACTGGGCTGCACCAGGTTGTTGATTATGTGCCTGCTGACCGGAAAAACCGGATAGGCCCAGGACTGCACTTTACATGAGCAATCACACAATGTTATAATCAGTGGGCGACGTACCTGAGCCGTTTGAACCGCCCAACGAGATGCCGCCGGTCTGCCCGTAGTCATTTCCACCAAGCGACAAGCCCAGAAGATCATCTTCCAAAGCGTTACCCTTTGGACGAGAGGGTGCTGGTTCGTCTGCTGCTCTGCCTGCATTGGCTGAGGCACTCGTGGGCTCGGGATCGCCAAAGTCTATCAAATTAAGTGTATTATTCGCACCCTTAGATACACCAGCTCCACTTGAGCCAAGCGTTCCCTTGGGTATGCGATTTGCTGCTTCGACGTCGCCCTTTTTGATGAGTTTGTACCGCTCAATTGTCCGATGTATGCTATCGTTGATCTCCAAAAGCTTAGCAACCGCTTCATGATCCTCGGAATCCTCTTCACACATCTTGCGAATTTTTGGTTGAGCACTCTGCAACGCATTTGCAAGTTCCTATAGTTGATGCTGTAAGCAGAGTTTATCTGGAGAACTTCAGCGATACGAACCTGGAAAACGTCACCCTCCTTAATTTCGTCTCCCGCCCTGTAGCCTTGGAGCATCTCCTCGAGAAGTCTTGCTTTCTGTTGTATCTTGCCAACTTCTTCGGCAGCCTTGGCCCTCCAATCTGTTTTATTCCGAGTATCGTAGCCCGCCATGACTTTCATCAATTTGTTGGCTTCTTGCAGATCTTGTGGACCACCCCTGCGTATTAGTTCTTGTAACTTCGCGGACTGTGCCTCCCGCTCCTCCTCTTCCATCTCCTCCGCAGACCTGAGATTCTATCAAGAACAAGTTAATTCGCCATGCTCTTATGCTAACCTACCCATAAAACTTACATCACTGGGGTTAAGGACTGCTGCATCCTCCTTGCGAATTTGGGGGAAAACGTAGCCCTTGAAACTAAGCAACCGGTGCATGTCTCTTATGAAACCCAGGTCATCTTTATGACGTGAGGTCTGACATATCGTCTGGCGCCATTCCTCAATCAACTCGAGTATCCGATTCTGTACCCGGGATGAATGTACAGGCGGTCGTTCTGGAAAGCGTCGAACCAGTTCGTTGAGAAACTCTTTCGTACTGATTTGGAGATGAAAAGGATAGCCGCAGTTCTTGACGCATATATCGAGAAGCTATAGTAGATAAGTTAACGTGTACGCGTGGGCAGAGGCGGGGCAGGCAATTGTACGTTGAGGGCGAGTAAAGAAACGTTCGGGTTGCGGTGGTTGACGTAGTGCACGATGGCCACAGCGGCTTCCCGAGGACTAAGGGAGATTTCATCAGACAATTATATGCAGGTTCGTTGAGTAACAAGACGCATACGCAGATCCCTTCTTCGCATTGATCAGATCGGTGATCTCGAGGTTGAGGGCTAGATTTGGCTCGAAGTTTTGGGGGTCACAAGCATTCACTACAGAAAAGGAATAATTAATTTACTTTCGTGCGAGATTCGAGGGTTAGAAGTAAACTCACAGATGAATCGCTGTAGCTGCGAGGTGGGAGCTTCCCCGAATGCGCCATAGCGGTCTCTAGCCGCCATGCGCGCCGACGCAGCCTCCATCGACGGCGAGCGAAGATAACAAGTTTGAATATACCAGACAATGTATCGAAAGGTAGAGAATCCGAATGGGTGCGTGTACAAAGGGAGCGTGGAACGAAGAATGCGGTGGGTGAGGTGCCTAACCGACGACCGGCTGGTGTAGGTAAGTGGGAGGATGCTTGAACTTCGAATTGGATCAATTGAGCATAGCGGGGCGGGTGGCGGTAGTGCGCTTGTGGATACAGCCACAGTTTCTACTGTCACGGACACCTCTAAAAGCGTGACCGACTTGCAGTCTTTACACAATACATAAACTGTGACTAATTTATACAATACATTTGTCAATTTCCATTTCATTTCAGAGTCTGAACCGCTGTCGATTATCATCATTGAATTATGATCAATTTCACGAAAAGCTTTGTTGATAGAACAGTTAGCACAGGCTGATCGGTATTCACTTTTATCACTTAAATTGCAATTATTCAGAGTATCTTCTCTTATTACCAGCAATAGGAACATAGTAACCGTCATGTTGCTTTACCGTTATCAATATGAAGGCTACAAGGCGTACATTCTGGTACTTAACGAAGAATGAAGCAAAATACGCAAGGTAAACTAATATCAATGAGATCGACTAGAGGGCAAAACCAAGTCTGCGGTCAATAAAAAATCAAGGCCGTCCGGGCATAGTAAACGGAAGAGCGAATCTCCCTTGAAAAGAAATCGAATGATTCTAGGTTAGAATAAAAGTTGTCACATCCGCATTCGATTGCTCACCAGCAGGCAAGCATTGTCAGCGTACGGTGCATGATGGATACCACTGCCATTATTGATCTATCTTTTAACGGTTTAAGTTGTACCGCCCTTTGAATGCATACACTCCTGCCAGGCTTCTGTGAAAGACTACAAACTGGGTGGACATGATGATACAATGAAAATATGTTTACAAGACTTGGAAGTACCAAAGACTTCCAGAAGGCGTAGGGGTCAAACTGAGGTAGTTTGTATCGCTGGAAAAGCTTCGAGTCAGTTCTGAAATCAATTGACGATCTACTCCGCAAGTACGTACTCAACATTGTGGAAAGCGATTTGGAACAAACATGTTAGAAATCATGATCTCCCATTGGCGAAGAGAGGGGGCTACATCATTTATCGTCTCTATTATTGGTTAGGCGCGACCTTTGCAACGATGGGAGTTCACGTACCGGCTTCATATGCTCGGCGTCATTGTCACGATTATCTTCTCGTGCATCTTTGAGCATGCTGTCGATCCCTCGCGCTCTTAGAGCTTTCTGCTCACAACTAATCAGTCTCGAGGTTGTTACACTTGATCTTCTGCAGCTTGTACTCACAGTCAGACACTGTTCATACTGCTTGAATAACGGCTCGCATTCGTCCGAGGTAGATGTTCCTCGAAGAAACTCTATTCGCCGTCAGAAAATCATATTAGACACGCATGAGCGGGTCCCTTTTTACTCTCGCTGTACCACTTCAGGAAACAGTTGTCGTAACGTCTTAACAAAAGTTAGTTGGCAAACTTTCATTGAGAGGTGGAGCGTCAGAATTCACCACAACAAAAGTTGTACAATAGGAACACTCACTCTTTCACTTCGTTACATTCTGGTGCAAGCGATGCCGACATGATCGGATTTGCAAAAGTTCTGTTTCTAGTCAAATGGTTGTATTGTGTTTGCATTAGGTACCCAGTGAGCTCAGACAAAGGCAGGTTCCTATCGATAAGAAGTGCCAAGGCCTACAACTCTAAATTTCTAGAGCCGATTTCCACGCTTCTTCTCTAGACATCTTCGCAGCAGCCCGTCCGCAGCCGCGCTTCAGACAGCTCACCAAGTTACCGCACGAGATACGCCTGGGTGAGGGTGCTCATGCCAGCCGATCGCGAAGTATAACACAATGGAGCCGTTCAAAGCGCTCCAAGACACTGTTTCTGCTGCGCTTGTCTCCACAACACGCGCCGCAACCCAGCTTAGCAAAACCGACATATCGTTCCAACGCTCACTGGACACAAAGGTTGCTGTTTCATTGGATGCCCAGAATGCGCGGCTTCTTAAACTCGCGCAACGGCTTTTGGAGAATGCTGCAGCGAGCCCGGACGCTGTAGGTTCAAAGCTTCCTGATACCGAAGCCATAGACGGCAATTGGAAGGGGATTGTTGATATTATCGACAGTTTACTTGAAAAGGCCGATACGAGTCTCGACGAATATACAGGCGTAGTGAAGCGTTTGAGTCCTTCGGTGGATCATGTAAGATGCGAAATGATTCTTCAGGCCAACACGTTAACGAGATATAGGTTACCAACATCGCAACGCCGCGCAATACGAAAGTGCCGAAAGTCACCCAGAAGCCTCAACTATCATTCGAACATGTTCCCCAAAACAACGAATCTGGTGGCTTCCGTCCATTGATGACGTACAAGCCTCATGCCCAAACACCATTCGCCGAGTCTCTGCGGACCTTTAGAGACACGAATAATAGAGAACAGTGAGCGGCCAGCAGATCATACCATCTTGCGCACTCTACTAATACCTGATAGATATCCTCACCCCTATCAGACCGAGATCGAGGCTTACGACTATCCAATGTCGGTATACAAGAAATCTGATCCCAAATTGTTTCCTCCTTTCGAGTCCACGACTGCCACATTTGTAGACACACCCGAGGCTCTGGCAATGATGTTGGAAGAACTCAAGAAGGCCAAGGAAATTGCTATTGATCTGGAACATCATGACAATCGCTCTTATATTGGTCTGGTCTCATTAATGCAAATTAGTACGCGGGAACAGGACTGGATCATTGATACCCTCCAACCTTGGAGGCGGAGATTAGAGTGCCTAAATGAAGTCTTTGCAGACCCTAGCATTTTAAAGGTGCTACATGGGGCCTACATGGATATAATCTGGCTTCAACGCGATCTAGGCCTCTACATTGTAGGGCTTTTCGATACATACCATGCCGCGAGATCTTTAGGGTATCCCGGTGCTAGTCTGGCTTTTCTCCTTAACAAATTCGTCAACTTCCAGGCCCAAAAGCAATACCAGATGGCAGACTGGCGCGTGCGGTACGCAACAATTGGAGTTATTGTATGAACATGTTACTAATTTATATTACAGCCCGCTTACAAGCGAACTATTCGACTACGCTCGTGCCGATACCCATTTCCTCCTTTACGTGTTTGATAACATGCGGAACGAGCTACTCGAAAAGTCTGATCTAACGGACCCTGAAAAGAACAAGGTGCTCCACGTCCTAGAGAAATCCCGAGAGACAGCGCTCCAGAGATACGAACATCCAATCTACGATGCCGAGCTTGGCCTTGGCCCCGTAGGCTGGTATCGATTGATCTCTCGAACGCCCGTTCAATATACCAAACAGCAATTTTCCATCTTCAGAGCGGTTCACAAATGGAGGGATGAAGTAGCACGTGAAGAAGACGAAAGTACGACATTCATTATGCCGAACCATGCAGTTTTCACATTAGCCCGGGTTGTACCAATGGACAAAGCTGCCTTGTTCAACGCCGTACAACATGTCTCTCCAATTCTGCGCAACCGAGCCGACGAGTTAATAAAAGTTCTTACGGAGGCTGAACATCTCGAGAATGATCAACCAGAGCTCGAGGAGACATTGGAGAAAATCCATGCTATACAATTTCCAGAGTTGGAAAACCGACCCGCAGACTGCAAAGGCCGTGAAGCTACAAAGCCCACTGCAGATCAACCCATTCCATCTACAATCGATCGAGCGGTCCCCCCACTTCGTGCACCGCAATCCAAATTCTGGGGTTCTTTGTGGTCTGGTGGAGTGTTAGATCCTCAACGACCTTTCTCGAACAGCACCATCAATCTCGCCGTGCCTCTGCCGCCACTTACAGCTGAGATATATTCAGAGGCATCAGGTTCGAACGTTGAGCAAATTGGTCCGGGCATAGAAAAGGCAACATATATGGACAAAGATGCCAGGCCACCAGAAGATCTACGGACAGATATCTTCATTGTGAAACAGCTAGGGGGAAAGAGAAAAAGGACGAGTGCGGAAAATGCCGACGACCAAATACTTGAAACACCACTACGGGAATCGTTCTTGAGCGACAGTGGTACGGATGCGACGGAAGCGGATCAGATCATGCTCAACGAGTATCCGAGCAATCTGAAGTTGCAAGACAAGAAGTCCAAGAAGCAAAAAAAGTCGTCAAAGAGGACCGCGAAGACCAAAATTGAGGGCGAGAGCAGATCACCAAAGGGGGACCCTGATACCGATGTCGCATTTGACTACTCAACAGCCCCTTCTGTCCTCAATGCCCGTACAGCCGACAAAGGGAGGGAAAAGATTAAGCAAAGAAAGGATAAGGAGAGAAAGAATAGTGGCTTCAACCCGTATGCTAATTCAGCGGATGCGCCCAAGGGACTAGGTCGATCACAAAAAGAGGGTCCGGGAAGGAGTAAGACGTTCAGTAACTAAGATACCCGATAGTCACGGCCGTCGGGATACGACCGTGGGAGAGGTCTGGAGCGATCTTGTACTTTTATGCTTGTTTTAACTTTACCATAAATCGATACTACCGTGTCCATAATCACTGCATTCACGCAATGATTCCATTCAGGGTCCTGTAGAAGATGCCAAAGTTCCCTGAGCCATCTTTACCCCCTTGGTCGCCTTTGACGTTATCTAGCACAGCGAAGATTACATCTTCCCACCAGCCACCCCTAAACTCATTCTCTCTCAGTACATCTGCGAAGCAATTGGCTACTTCCTGGGGAGGGTTCATGAACGCGCCACATCCCATGGCACCAAGCACAATTTTCCTATGTTGTTTCATGGCAGCGATTCGCAACACGATTCTAATCTTTTCCTTGGTAGTGTCTACATCTGCGACACTGGCAAAGCCGCCAGCAGCCGTGATTTCTGGTCGTCGCAGTGCTGCTACAGAGATGACTGAAGTGACTGGAAGAGATTCGGCAGTCGTAGAAGGGTAGAGCAGTTGATGGCCGCTTCCAGGACCCATTGCTGTGCGTATGAGGATGCAGTGTGGCGTGTATAGTAGAGAAAGGCAGGGGATGGGGTAGAATCTTGGAGATAAGGCAAGTGAGAGTGATGACCGGTAGCAAAGAGCCTCTGGCCAGCGAATCAGGAAGTTAGCAATGTGTTCATTCGATCATATGGATGCACCCGTCTATCTACGAACCTTCTTGGGCAAGAGCACCATTCAACCAGCCTCCACCTGGGTGTAGCTCCGATGCTAGGTTGAGAACTGCCACAGGCTTCAATTCGATGTCGCCATCATCTGCTCTTGGGATGACGGAGGCAACCTTGGTATCGGGCTGTAATTCAAGGGCTGCATCGAATGTGTCCTGGTCGCAAACCCGAACGCGAGTACCCTTCATTCCGGCTTGGAGGTCATCGTCTGGAAGTGTGAAACCTGGGCAATCTTTCGCCTCGAGGGTTCCTAGGTACCGTGCATGGTGAATCGAAGTCGCTGTAGGATCCAGGCCTTTGATATCGGCCAGAATATCTGGCAGTACGGCGGTGGTCTCTGCCGCCACGGCACGCAATTCATTACGGCGTTGCATGGCAGCTGGTGAAATCCTGCGGCGACCGCGGCCACGACCCCGTCCACGGCCATGCCCACGTTCGTGTCCAGAAGATCTAAGAGGACGTGTTGGACACGCCTGATGAAAAAATTCTCGAATGTCTCTATCAGACATGGTGTGAGGCTGCGTTTGTTGTGTTGCCGATCGTGCGAGAAATGCAATGTTGGTAATGGTGGGTGTGGTTGAGGAGGAGGAGGAGGAGGTGGTGGCGATGGTGCTGATTTTGAAGTTTTACTCCATAGATAGTTGAAGTAATCGCTTGCGTGTAGTTGACTCCCTACAAAAATAGTATCTAGGTACTTACCTGGGTACCAATTCATGTAATACCTGAACTGGTAGGCAGCAGCAACTCGTTAGCCAAGGCAGTCAAACCTCAGTAACATGGAGATCAGGCGGGTGGGCGTTCTTAGTTAGGTAGGTATTTGCTTGTACTAGACAGCGAAAATGACAATTTGCACTCGAGAAGAATCACCACGTACACATCAGATAGGAAAAGAATGTGTGCAGAGAGGTGGATGATAACATAAGATATTCCATTGTTAGAGAGAGCAATTACATACTTGGGTACCTCGTAGGTACCGGTACCTAGTAACTAGGATATATCAAGTGTCAGTAGCCCTACCCGTATCGGTGATAGATGACCGCCAGCTACTGTGTAAATGGTATGGTAGACAATATATCTCCAATGAAACGCAATTTGCAAGAGTAGGGTAGAGTAGAAAGGAAGATAGCACTATGAAAGTGGCCATTACATACCTACCTATGTACCTAGGTAGCTAGTTAAGTGATTATACCCTTATCATTGTCTGGTAAACTCCCGAATGTGTAAACTTTCGGATTATTATGCACAGTAAACAACCAATTAATTGGTTTTATTTACTTTGTATTATGGAGTAATTACCAAGGCATCCAGTCTCTAGTGACGAATGCTTGGTTGGGGTGCGGCGTTGCCTGTCCGTGCTACCGGGTTCGTTTTCCCCTCTTCCAGGTTACTGTGTAGATTCCTTTAGGTATGAGTTACCTAGCGTGCCCTAGGTCCCTAGGTACCTACTTGGGTGGTTATTGTCTTACGAGTACCAAGAGCTCAAGTACTCTGTACACGGCCACGACAGTACACATTAACGACTCCCTAGCATTCACATCACAGCCGAGCCCCGACGTGGCCTACCCTACACCTACCTGCCTACCTACTACTGTATTGCAGATCCATAATTACTATCTGTGATTGTGCAGATCAATTCTCCTCTGCCCCACACCTGCCAGACGATCGCCCGGAATATCAACATCGTAGCACTGCGCATCGCAACGCATCCATATATCCATCATCTACCATCCATCATTGCGCCGCAGCCCCTCCAAGGCTTCATCAAGGCTTGTACCTGGGAAGTATTGGACATATATCTACTCCCCATGTAAATACGAACCCCCCACGATGTCCCCAACACAGCTCTCAGCCTGCCAACCGTCACCCAAACGGAAACGCGATGCGCCGCTGCTCGTTCCCTATCTCAATACCACCCTCCGCCGTGCCTCTACGCCACCAGTAGACTTACCAACCTCCCCCGATGCCGATAGCCCTAGGAACGCTGTCGCGGAGCAGTTACAGGGTATGAGTATTGAAGCAATACCAATGCCCCCGCTTACTCCCACCGATGACGCCGTGCGCAAGAAACCCAAACTTCATTTTACCAATGACTTTTCGATGCCAACACCATCGGATTCGCACCATCTTCCAAAGAAAAATAACAATAATCAAGTCATCCACTCCGATCACAATGTGACGTTGTCGCGAGACACCACGCAGACATGTAATGTTCAGTCGGACTCGTTAGGCAAATCGTACAACAACGGCTCCACACCTTGCAAGGTGCACAACTCGGGGTTAGCTGTTACTGCGGAACAAAGCAATCTACGCGAGCCATCGCCATCACCTTCCCCTACATCCCTCACATGGCAAGACAGCGAAATTACTGGCCATTTAGCAGACCCCTCGACTGATCTAGACGACGACGGCACTGGATTGAACGGAGTAGGATTCCGTCCCACGCCCGCACTGGCCTACCAGCGAGCTCAAAGGCGAAAACAACAATTGCAAGATTGGAAAAGCCGGGAAGCCCGAGAGGCAAGGGCCAAGAGAAACGAAAGGAGGCGAAAGGGCATTGCTGGTTCGGCCATTAATTCAGAAGAGGGGATGGTGGAGAGAGACAGTGCGGTACCGGGTACTGCTGTCCCTCGTGCAGTACGATTTGCCATATGATCAGGTTTCATCATGTTTCTACCTTTTCACGTTTTTCATGTTCCTACTGTACGATGTTACGAATTTATGAGGGCTTCATGATCGAGCGGTGCTAGTGCACATTTGGACCTCTTGAGGGAGCTTTGCCCATCAATCTGCACTTCCCGTTCATCAAATTGCTGGATTGTCATCCCGAATGCGATATGGTCGTATAGTACCCTTTTTTTATACAGCATTTTGTACATATCTCTCTTTTTGTTCCTGCCGTACCGCCAATGATACCCAATGGTAAGTCAACGCTTCTACCAAAATCTTATGTTCTTGTTTATCCAATAGCCCCACGACCTCTTCCTGATTTCTTCATGCCTCTGTAGTTCTTCTATTCTGTCTTGCTCTTCTCGTGCTTTCCTCCGCGCCGCGCGTTTCGCCTCAATATTTGCTCGCTTTGCTTCCATGAGCTCGCGCGCTTGCCTCATTCCATCTCTCTCCTTGCTGCGCTGGTATTGGCAGTATTGGTATGAGGCACAAGAAAAGCCGAGCCAACTGTAGACTGCTATATTGCAACATTGCATCAGAGGTCCTGTCGTTATGTTAGCGATCTAGCCTACGTTTCTCGATGTTGTTCACGTAATTCTTGTCGTACATACTTCGAAGAATGCCCGCCAGACTGCCGCCAATAAATCCAGCTCCAATTCCTGTCAATTGACTGTCTCTGACACAAGGTCGTTTGTGGAAATTGAGATAATACCCAGGCCCCAATTGCTTGATAGCCTGAAAGTACGTAAGGTCTTGCGCGGCTTCAGCAGCTTTCCCTCCGGCGGTATGCGTCATCCCGCCTGGCATTATATTCGCGGGTCCCTTGGGGGGTGGTTGTGCCGCATTTTGGGTTGTTTCGGGCTGTCTGGTATCATCGGCCATTTGTGGAATATGGGTAGGCAGTACGTTGGTAAGAACAGCCGCAAAAATGTAGTTAGAGAGCCGTGGGAGGTAGATGCCTCCAACCTATGACATTCAAATTTCTCCAATGACCGCGGCTTGTGAGGGTCCTATGAGTGGTAAGAAGCGATTTGAACTTGTGAGAATCGAGTGGAAGCGAGGGTTGTCTAAATGAGATATCACCTGTCGTTCGATCGTTAACTCGTAAGTTGAACTAAGCATCATGGATAATTTTCGGCCAATCGACCGAAGACTGCCAAGTCGATCAAGCCACAGCTTGTGCATGTGGCGGTGCAATTAAAGTGGAAAGCGCGACCTGCACGCGCGACGCGAAACTAGTCGCGTCCCCCTCGATTATTGTGGAGCCAGCGTCAATACCTCTAATACTTCGTACCTGATTTATCAATTGTTTGCTCGGTGATCTACTTACACCAACCTCAGCGTCCCTTCGTCCACACCCTCGACATTTATCTACACTCGACCATATGATACCCTGCCTTTTTTGCATTTTCTTCGTCATTTTCGACCGCCGGTAATATGTTCTTCGGCGCCTAGACCTTTTCGTAATTCAATAAGGTTCTATTCACGTTTCCGTCACCATGGCCCCTCGCCGTATGGGCCAGCCGTATCGGCACGTTGGAAAGGCCGGAAACTCTTCCTACGGCTCTCGTAAACCCAGAACGGTCGACGCATCCTCATTACGAAGCACAGAAGCCACTTCGCAGAATGAAAAACTGGAGGCTACCCGCTTGGCGAACCGCATCGATGAGTCTATGGGCTTTCCCCGCTACGATTCCGGGAAGAAGAAAGTGGGGTGGCTATGCAACATGCATTCGACGTCGATAGAAGACGAGAATGTCCCTGGTGGAAGAGCAGGGGTGGACTACTACTTCATAGGAGAGGATGGTGACACATTCAAGGCCACCCTCGAGTACGATCCATATTTCCTGCTCGCTATAAAGAGGGGAAAAGAACCAGAGGTTGAGGAATGGTGTCGAAGGACGTTTGAGGGGCTAATAAAGACAACGAAAAGGGTCGAGAAAGAGGATTTGTCGATGCCAAATCATCTTCTCGGTTATAGGAGAACATTTCTCCAACTTTCGTTCGCAAACGTGAGCGACCTCTTGGCCGTGCGCAAAGTCATCAGTCCTATCACGGAGAAGAATAAGAGCAAATTAAATGCCATGGATACATATGCTGAGGTGGCCAGGTTCGGTTCTCATGCCTTGAACATTGATTGCGATTTGCTAACACGAGTAGCGCAAATGCGGGATTCGACATTTTTGACGACGATCAAGATCACGAACGACGGTCAACTGTGAGCATTGATGCTAGCAATTTCGTCGTAGACATACGAGAATACGATGTGCCCTACCATGTGCGAGTGGCTATCGACAAAGGTACACATAAAGATGATTCGTGCTTGCATAGCAAGCTGACCGTATGCAGATATTCGAATTGGAAAGTGGTATACAGTTGAAGCAAAACATGGGGTCGTGTCAATGACATGCATCGAAGATCGACTTACACCTGCCGATCCGGTTGTTATGGCGTACGACATCGAGACGACGAAGCTCCCTCTCAAATTCCCCGATGCAGTGATCGATCAAATTATGATGATTTCTTACATGATCGATGGCCAAGGTTTTCTGATCACCAATCGTGAGATTGTCTCTGAGGATATCCAAGATTTCGATTACACCCCAAGGCCAGAGTACGACGGACCGTTCATGATCTTCAATGAACCGGACGAAAAGGCCGTCATAGAGCGATTCTTCGAGCACATCAAGGAAGCCAAGCCTACTGTGATGGTAACATACAACGGAGATTTCTTCGACTGGCCGTTCGTAGAAGCAAGGGCAAGTGTCTTGGGAATCGACATGTATAAAGAGATTGGCTTTCGCAAGAACAACGAGGATATATACCAATCGGACTACTGCGCACATATGGATGCCTTTGCTTGGGTCAATCGAGACAGCTACCTGCCCCAAGGAAGTCGAGGTCTGAAAGCGGTAACAGTCGCAAAACTCGGATACGACCCAGACGAACTGGACCCCGAATTAATGACGCCGTAAGTTCCTAGCCATTCATCACGACATTCTTCTAATAAAAGTGTGTAGCTATGCGAGCGAGCGACCCCAGACACTTGCTGAGTATTCGGTGTCAGATGCCGTTGCAACGTACTACTTGTACATGAAATACGTCCATCCTTTCATCTTTGCTCTTTGTACTATACTCCCACTACCACCAGACGACACGTTGCGAAAAGGAACCGGAACTCTTTGCGAAATGCTACTGATGGTCCAAGCCTATCAGAAGGGGATTGTGCTCCCTAACAAACATCAAGCACCCAAAGAAGCCTTTTGGGATGGACACCTATTAGAGTCTGAGACCTATGTCGGTGGCCACGTGGAGAGTATCGAGGCTGGCGTATTTCGGAGTGACATCCCGTGCAACTTTGCTGTAGACACCACCGCCATTGATGAACTACTCAGGGATCTTGACGCTGCACTTCAGTTCAGCATTGTAGTAGAAGAGAAGAAGAAGCTTGAGGATGTTGTGAATTACGACGAGGTGAAGACAGAGATCACTAAAAAGTTGTTACAGCTCAAAGAAACACCGAATCGCACTGAGCGACCTCTGATATATCATTTGGACGTTGCTTCCATGTATCCGAACATCATGACGACGAATCGATTGCAGCCCGATTCTATGATCAAGGAATCCGATTGTGCAGCGTGCGACTTCAACCGACCAGGGAAAACGTGCGATCGAAGAATGCCCTGGGCATGGCGCGGAGAGTTTCTACCCGCCAAACGAGACGAATATAACATGGTCCGCCATGCACTAGAGAATGAGAGGTTTCCGGGGCGTTACCCCAACGCCCCATCTCGGACTTTCCAAGATCTCTCTGTTGACGAGCAAGCAACATTGGCCAAGAAGCGACTACAGGATTACAGCAAGAAGATTTACCACAAGATTCACGACGCAAAAACGATCGAACGAGAGGCCATAATCTGCCAGCGCGAGAATCCGTTCTACATTGATACGGTGCGGGACTTTCGTGATCGAAGATACGATTACAAAGGTAGACAAAAGATTTGGAAGGGTAAAACGGAAGCACTAAAGTCAGCCGGGGCTCCTGCCGCTGAAATCGACGAGGCGAAGAAGATGATTGTGCTTTTCGACTCTATGCAACTCGCTCACAAAGTCATTCTGAACAGTTTCTATGGTTATGTCATGCGTAAGGGCTCAAGGTGGTACTCGCTGGAGATGGCGGGTGTTACTTGCTTGACTGGTGCAAGAATTATTCAACTTGCCAGATCCTTGGTGGAACGCATCGGACGACCCCTGGAGCTGGATACAGATGGAATTTGGTGCATTTTGCCCGCAACATTTCCAGAAAACTTTTCCTTCAAATTGAGCAATGGCAAGAAGGTCACCATCTCATATCCTTGTGTCATGTTAAACCACTTGGTCCACGGTCAATATACGAACCACCAATACGAAACTTTGGTGGACCCAGCGACTTTCAGATACGAAAAGCACAGCGACAATTCGATTTTTTTCGAGGTCGACGGTCCTTACAAAGCCATGATCCTACCTACTTCGAAAGAAGAAGATAAGAATCTCAAGAAAAGATACGCTGTGTTCAATCATGATGGAAGTCTAGCTGAACTAAAGGGCTTCGAGGTCAAACGCCGAGGAGAGTTGAAACTGATCAAGAATTTCCAAGCCCAAATATTCAAATTTTTCCTAGAGGGCACAACCCTCGCTGAGACGTACGGAGCGGTGGCCAAGGTAGCCAATCGATGGCTGGACATCCTAGATACTCGCGGCGCAACACTTGCGGATGAAGAGCTCATCGATTTGATCGTTGAAAACAAGAACATGACCAAGACTTTGGAAGAATATGGGAGTCAGAAGTCGACTGCTATCACTACCGCGAAACGCCTGGCAGAATTCTTGGGAGAGCAAATGGTGAAAGACAAAGGGTTGAATTGCAAGTATATCATTTCTTCTCGCCCAAGAAACGCACCAGTAACCGAAAGGGCGATTCCTATCGCCATATTCTCGGCGGAGGAGTCTGTTAAACGCCATTTCCTCCGAAAATGGCTGCGTGAAGACCCTGGTGACATGGATCCCCGAAGTGTACTGGATTGGAATTATTACCGCGAGCGCCTGGCATCTGTCATACAGAAACTCATCACCATTCCTGCGGCGCTCCAAAAAGTCAGGAATCCTGTTCCCAGGGTTCCCCATCCAGACTGGTTAGACCGACGAATAAGACAAAAGGAAGACAAGTTTCAGCAGAAGAAGATGACTGATATGTTCGACAAAAAAGCCCTAGTAGATGCCAACACCAACATTCTAGGTAACCGGATGGCAACAGACTTGGAAGACTTTGGGTCCGCCAAAATCCCATCATTATCTCAAGCTGCTAGAAAGGGAATGGTGACGAAGATGGTCGCCAAAAGGAAGGAGCCAGAACCGGCAATTGCAGTCCAAAGCGATCCATACGCAGCTCTTCCGAAAACCATGCCTTCTATGACTGAAGACTACTCTGGCTGGCTTCTCTATCAGAAGCAGAAATGGAAGATACAGAAACAAGCTCGAAAACGAAGACGTCAATTATTTGGCGAGCGACCAGTTGATACAGCCAACGCGATTGGCAGTTTCTTTCGAAATCAAGCTGAGTTGCTCTTCATAAGCACATGGCAGCTCGTACAGATCCGGCCTACCGATATGCCTGGAGAAGTTAAAGCGTTTGTTCTGATAGATCAGAAGATGCACTCTCTAAAGATCATCGTCCCTCGACAAATTTACCTGAATCTTAGGGAGGAAGATCTCCCTGATGTTTCCATTGAGGGTTGTATCGCCGAAAAGGTTGTAAATCACTCTCTACCTAACGGACATCGTTCGACGCATCTTTTCAAACTGCAAATGTCTGAACAGACGTATGTGCAAGAATCAAAGCGCCTAGCTGCCTTATTCAACCATCCTAGCGTTGAAGGGGTATACGAGACTCAGGTTCCCCTGAACTTACGCGCTGTGCTCGAATTAGGAAGCATGTGTACATTTGATGAGACACAGAAAGGTGTACTTGGAAAAGGTCTCGAGCAAGGGTTCGATCTTTCGTCTCTCCAGCGCGTCCCTACGCAGACACCATATCTCTCTGGAGCATCCATTAGTTACATGTATTTGTACCATGTGAGCAGTGGTGATCGTAACATATACGCTCTCATGTCAACTTCACGAGAAGGTGCTCATATGATCATTCAGAACAGAACGAGTGACATGCAGGGATTGCCTAATATCGACAGGATATATCGCGAAGCGATACAAAAGCAACAGGAAGATCGCCGAGAGGACCTACTGCAGTCATGCATCGAATATCAAGACGAGGTACACTTTCGAACAATACAAGTGACGACAAGACGAAAGGCATTGCTTGAGCTAGGCGATATCATCAAAAAGATCAAGACAGAGGAATCCAAGCCCGTTATTGTTGTGGTGCAATCGACCAATCACCAGCAACTCTCACATGGTATTCCTGCCCTGAGGGACTTGCCCATTCTTCCACTTCAGCCAGATGGGTCTGACAAGCAGTTACCTCCCCTGGGCTGGCAATCATTCATCGCGAAACGTCTTGTTGGACACTACCTCAACCTTGGTTCCTGGGTCTCACACCTTACAGAACTTGCTCGGTATGGTGACATTCCTCTTTGTAACCTTGAGAGTAATGACCCAAAATTTCTGATCGATGTTGCGTATGCGCGGCGACTTCAGAAGGAAAAGGTGGTCCTCTGGTGGTCAAGCTCCCCCAAGCCAGACCATGCAGGATACGAAAGGGACGATATTCTGGGTCCACTGGACGTAGTCGATATGCCTACTATCAACAATCCGGGCACATACGCATCCGTGTGCATTGATCTGAGCTTGCGTAACCTTGCTATAAACACTGTCCTATCATCATCCCTGATCAACGATCTTGAAGGGTCGAATTCGGTTACTTTCAACCCTGCGGCAGCCCCTGGCGAATCGACGGATGAAGGGGGGACTGCTATCCACTCCGAAGGAGCATTCGCCACTGCGGGCATATATGTGCTGCGGGAGATGGTAAAGACTTGGTGGGGTGAGGCTGAACGCGGAAATCACATGGCAGATGTGATGGTTCAGCATCTGGTCCGCTGGGTTGCCAACCCGGGTTCTTACCTTTACGACCGTTCTTTGCATTATTATGTGCAGATGATGTCGAAGAAAGCCCTTCAACAACTAATGACGGATTTCAAACGCGTCGGCTCACACATCGTCTTCGCTAGTCCCAATCGTCTCCTCTTGCAAACCACTAAAGCCGAAGTTGGGAATGCATATGCCTACAGTCAGTACATATTAAAGACGATTCAGTCGAAGCCGCTTTTCCAATTTCTGGATCTCGAGATCAAGGAATACTGGGACTACCTAGTGTGGTACGACGAGTTCAATTACGGCGGAAAGGGTTGCCACGAAGTTGTTGAGGCCGAAAATCAAACCCTCGACAACATCATGTGTTGGCAGTTCGTGCAATTCCTCCCAAGTAACTTACAGCCTACCTTTCACGACTGGGTCATTGAATTCATTGATTTCATGCATTCTCGAAAGCGACCAGGGATTGCAGAAGATTCAACGACTCGACTAACGCAGATACCGATACGTTCACTTACCGTCGATCCTGCTGAGAATACTCAGATTCTACCCAAGAGCTTTACGAAACCTCTCTACAAGCAGATATCAACTCTCTTACGGCGACAGCATAACGAGATGCTACATCCAGAACTTGCATCGGACTACGAGTTTCCAGTGCTCCCCGGCTCACACCTAGACTTATCGAACCCTGTGCTGCAGCTCGTTAAAACGATCATGCAGGTCCTCAGCTTGGATCGAGCGATAAACTTGGAAGCGCGCCTTCTACGAAAGGAATTGTTAAACCTCTTTGACATCCGAGAATTCAGCGCAGAAGCTAGTTTCATTAATCCCAGTGCCACTCTTTACATCCGCAGCGTAATTTGCGATGAATGCACCTCATCTAGGGATTTAGATCTCTGTCGCGAGTCTTCCCTTTTACCCCCCTCGGAGACAACATCGACGTTTCCAGCCTCCAAATGGAAATGCAGAGACTGCAATTCGTCGTACGATAAACTTCAGATTGAAGAGCGACTTGTTGCGGACGTACAAAAATTGACACTGGAATGGTGCACACAAGATCTGAAATGCGGCAAGTGTGGCAGATTGAGGAGCAACGATTTCATGGAACATTGCGCCTGTGCGGGCGAGTGGATAGCAACTAAGGATAAGGGAGACGTGAAAAAGAAGTTGCGCGTGTATGGCAATGTTGCCGGATTTTATCAATTGAAGATGTTGGAGGGTGTTGTCGAAGAGTGTCTAGAAGGAATGTAATTGGACCGGGTCCCAGAGGAGGGAAGCAGCGAGCCAATGGCGTCTGAGTCAAAAATTACACGACCGGCATAGATGCATGTTGACATTACGTTGGTATGTTTGTTTCTTTAGGCGCGGAGTTTTGAGGCTTCAAAGGAATTTTACGAAGGACTTGACTCGTCCGTGGGGGAAGAGGATTATGAAGATGATTCTTAGCGTTTATGGTGCATTTTCTGGCGCTGATGGCGTATGAATAACGGAGCAATACAAACCGGCGAACAGGGGCTTGAGATGCCAATTTACGAGTACTGTGTGGTCTGAGATGCTTACAGGTAGATAATGCCTAGAGGCCGAGATTTCTTTCCTTGCTACCGAATCCATTGTTCTATAGTAATAGCTTCAACGAGGGGTATAATCGATGATAGAATCACAATACAGTCCAGTTGCGATATTATCATTACGCCCTTCGGGATGCATCAATGGTTAGCCATGCCATGCATTGGTAGTCACCTGCATATATGAAATGTAAATTGGTTCAGAGGAGAAAGCATTTCGCCTGCCCAGCTCATGGCATGATGGCAGGTCTCCTTTACTTTCTATTTGAGTTCAAATGCATCGAGGCCTGTAGAGGGGCACATCCATTTACCCCGCTTGCCAGGTATTCATAATTACGTAGGTGCCAGTAGTAGGTAGGTACGAGTATGGTGTATAGTGATGGTGTACGGAGCACTGTGTAGATTGTTACCAATTCAAGGTTGGAAAGTATGAATGTCGAGTTGCCTCCACCCCTCACTTGTCTTTCCACCTCCGCCCGTCCCCATCCTATTTCAGGGTTCCAGTCCAGTCACGGCTCTGAGCACGTCATCCTCTTCCAATATCACAACAATGAGGCTTGGGCCATGGTTGCATCGGAGTGCCGGCCAACAGTGGTTTATCGGATAGAATGCATGTCTCTCTGTGGCGCTTATATAACGGAGGCCATCACCACTCTGTATACATCCCCAAATAGGTTCCTCCTACCATCCCATCGGCAGGTTTCCAATTCAATTAAATATCATTCATCAGCCTCCGTGTTTCAACATATAAAGCATAATCTACGACTGGTGGCCAGTAAAACTCATCTTTGTCGGCCGCCCCAATTGTGTACAACGATATCGTGTTTTATCAGTCGCGGCATTCAGACACAGTTTGTTCTTCTTCCTTATTCCATTTGACCGGACAGGAATACCACCTATCTCGCCATGGCACCAGCTCTAGCGACTGTGCAGCCAACAGCACCTCATGAGTTAGGAAGCTTCAAGAACCACAAAGCTCCTAGAAATATTTATCCTGATGGCATCAAAACATCTGGACAGCACCCCCCGCTGTATGAACAGCTGCATCAGTATGAGGACTTTCCCATTGAAATAACTGGCCCTACGGTGTGGGATGCCGCCGAATATAAGAACAGCCCCGACCGTTGGACACATGTCTTCACGGATGAAGAGAATGAAGAGATCAGCGGTGCAGCAGACAAATTCCTTGCCGCGAAGTTGCCTTTGACTGGAATATCCAAAGACAACTTCAAACTCCCTAAGCTGGCCACATTTCTAGAAGCACTTCGAAAGGATCTGCTCGATGGCAAAGGTTTCATACTCTTCAAGAATCTCCCCGTGACTGCATGGGGCAACAAGAAGTCTGCTGTCGCCTATATGGGTCTCGGTACCTACTTGGGCTATTTCGTGTCTCAGAACGGTCGTGGTCACGTCCTCGGTCATGTCAAGGATCTCGGCGAAGATGCTACACAGATCGACAAGGTGCGCATCTACCGCACAAATGCGCGTCAATTCTTCCATGCCGACGACTCCGATATTGTTGGACTGCTCTGCGTTGCCCGAGCGCTCGAAGGCGGCGAGAGCGATATCGTATCAAGTCACCATGTCTGGAACATACTACAGAAGGAGAATCCCGACGTTGCTCGCACACTGACGGAACCTATCTGGTATTTCGACCGGAAGGGCGAAACTAGCAAAGGTGAGGAAGAGTGGATAAAGACGGCGGTCTTCTACCTAGAGACAGGAGCAAACCCCCGTGTCTATTCAAAGTATGTCTCCCGTCATTCCGTTTTGAAATGTAGCTACTTACAGTTGATGGTAGGTGGGATCCTTATTATGTTCGATCTCTCACCCGCTTCAGTGATGCAGGGATCATTCCGCCCCTGTCTGAAGCTCAGCAACGAGCTGCTGCCGTTCTCGAAGAGACGTGCCTGCGTCTTTCGCTACACATGATTCTAGAGATTGGTGACATACAGTTTGTCTCGAATGCTCATGTGCTCCATGCCAGGACCGCATACAAAGATTATCCCGCCCCAGCGCCGAGAAGGCATTTGATGCGGCTGTGGTTAAGCACGCCCGAGGACGAGGGAGGTTGGAAGCTACCGTTCCACGATTCCAAAGAGAAGAAGCGAGGAGGGATCCAAGTCAACGATACACCGCCTGTAGCGCCCGAAGATGCGGAATAAAAGCCTGCTGTACTGCATGATAGCAAAAGTAACATCGATATGCAAAATGATACTCCATTGCGAACTCTTAATAGTGATGAGACATAGTTGAAGAGTTTCAATCAGAAATTAATATGTGACAACTCACTGGAATAATCCGGTAACAAAGTGATGTGATTGAGTATAATTAGCACTTTAGCGAGGTGTCGAAAAGGCATCGTCGTGACATCCTCGCCATCTAATCCTTCGCCCCTGCCCTCCGAACGCCGCGTATGCTCTTCAAATAAAGCATACCAGAACAAATCCAGATATGGCGGCCTAATAGGTATCATCGTCGGGGCATACGAAGGGCCTGGGCAAACTTGCATACCCCGTGGTGGTTTTCTCTATATTATTCCACCAATATTCCGCCAAATGTTTGTGTGGTTCAATCTGCAATATGGCATCTCCGCCGTGCCCATCCGTCTCTTTAGAAACCACGTCCTCGTCCACGACCCCTACCCCGTCCACCGCGTCCCCGTCCACCTCCACGTCCCCCACCGCCGCCACCGCCGCCGCCCCGGCCACCCCGATCGGCTTCCTTTCTCGCCTTGTTCTTCGGTTTCGGCGCATCGTCGATAAGTAATGTGTCAAGAGGCAAGGAGTCTGGCAGGATGATGTAACGAATGGTAGAGCCTCGGACGGTCATTGTGTCTAGGGTAACCGTGTCGCGGTTTTTGGGAGTCATCTTCACGGCCCGAAGTGCAGCGTTCATCTTAGGGCTGACGGAAGCGATTGTGCCGTTGACAATGGTGCCTGCAAAACTCAGTTTCCGCATCAAGCAATGCTTGCATCCTACAATTTAGGTCTTCATCAACCATATCTGCGAGTCCTACTCTGATATGTGCAGAATGATTGGGGCAGTAGCATTTTTAAAACACGTGAATACGTACCATTCTTGAGTTCAATCGAGACCGTCTCGTTTTGACATTTCATCAAGAACCTGCGCGACAACGTTAGCTGGTCGCCTTCCACTCACTTCAGAGATAACTGACCGAACTAGCTTCATGTTGATTTCTCCGGTGATGTGTCGTTATAATTGAGACTATCGAACTTCTGTAGGAGGTGAAAGTCGAAGCGCGGGAGCTATATACGGTACGACTGTTCTTGTTATGTGGTGGGGAAAGCTTCAACTTCACCAACGAAATTAGGCTGCCAAGATCGGAGCTGGATCAACATCTTCCGTATTGATGGCTAGCTCTCCAAATACGACCAATCAGATCACGCACTAGCTAACTGGATAGTAACCGCCAGTTTCTACAATTTATGTTGGGGTAAAATAATCGTTGTACGAGAGTAAATATGCAAAATCATATATAAAAAGGTTGATTCTTTGGTTTTGATCTATTTCCGCTAATTCTTAATGCCACTTCGATGTGACTTTACATTATACTAGGCATCAACCTTCATTTTGATAGTTATCACTGTATCCTAAGGATTGCTTGATTACAGTTTTGGTTGGTATATACGCTGATAATATAGTCAAGATTACTACACAGAATAACGGCATCTCAGCATTTTATTCTACGTGAAGCCAGTGGAAGTATTTAAGTAATAAATATCGAAACTAGCTGAGTTTGATCCGTCATAGTCTCCCGACATATGAATCATCAAACAGTCGCACCGAAGGCCAGTAGTTCACTGTGAAAAATATCAAAATGGATATTTCTTGGTGGGCCATCGTGACTCACAAAAATCAATTGCACATACATGAAGAATTGTCTGCAAGTATAATGGGGCATGTTTATTATCCCTAAAGTTATAGCTTTGGCCTAATCATTAGGATGAAAAGAAGCAACATGGGAGGACACGAGAACAAAGGTATACAACATATCAAAGAATCACATATATTGAGGTGGCTTACGAATAACCAATCATATGCAGTCATTGAGAACGAGATGTAACGAAACGGCTCGGATCGTGAGAGAAAGGTTGGTAGAATGTGGGACCAACATACCGTATTTGAATGTATTTGAATGTATTTGAATGTATTTGAATGTATTTGAATGTATTTGAATGTGTTCGAGTGTATTTACATATATTTTGAACTTATTTTGAATGTATTTGAATGGGGTCATAAATCCATCGTAAGCCATACCTCACTGGCTCATAATTATGTCATGGTCTAGGTATAGCCGTATATGCTTGCAACTTCAGAAGCGATAATTCCATAGATGTGGAATACTGCGACCGTTTTGCAACAACGCAAGTCTCGTCTTTAAACCTCGACTTGACAAGCAATTGACGCAGTCCATCTTCCCCTAACAGATCCTGCAGACTATACAGAGGCACTCGCGAGCCTCTCCAAAGAGTGGTCGGCATATCAAGAGGAGGGAAGCGGATTCGGGGTTGTAATAGAGGTATAACGGGCCCTTTCCACCATATAGGAGCGAAGTGTTTTGCACCAGTCGCTTTGTGTGGGTCTAGGTAATCCTGTGAGATGATCGAATAAGCTCGCGCATGGTCATGGCATGCTTCAATGATGTTATTGGCCCGATCATGAATGTCATTGGCATGCGTCTTCAGTGATTTGAAGTAAAGGATACAAGATACCTCTTCCAAATGATTTAGGCTTTCGGAATGCGGTGTATCGCAGGGGACTAAACGACTCCCACCATGCTTAAATTGCTTATCCAACTGCCGTAGCAGACGTTTTTGTAGCAGCGAGTGAACGAGATCTGGCATGTCTTCTCTCCACGTAATCTTTCCAACCTTGCCGCCAAACTTTTCCGTAATTCTACGGTAGACGCCACTCCTCCAATTTTGTTTTTGGTACAACTCTTGCACAGCAAGCTTTCGAGCGACAAATCGGTAAGGTGGGCCAGAAGCCCTTGGACTGGCTGCAAGGCTCACAGGTAAGAGCCAAGGGTCTGTCGTCTCGGGGTGTGGGCACAGATGCAGAGAGATTAAGAAGGCATCGGGAAGAAGTGTGTTTGTACTTCTACACACTCGGGCTGGAGAGGCGAGCGCATGAGCTGTAATCATAAGTTTCCCCCCGGCGTCAAGAGTAGATCTTTGTAAACTGACCGAAGGGATTTGCTAACAATTTCTTCTGAAATGGTGTAAATGCGTCAACGGAAGGTCTAGATTTCCTCTGCTCCCAGCGTGACCTTCGATCGAGAGTTATAGGATCCAACAAAGGAGGTACGGGTAGAGTCTCTCCGTTGTCGCGGCTTCGACGGCTCGCATGTTCAAGGTGCCTGGTGGGACCTAGCTGAACACCCGCAGAAGTGGCAGCTGTCGGTTGGTGGTAGTGCGAGAGAGAGGAGCGTATGGCTTTGAAGATTGGACATGGCCTCAATTGATAGAGTCGCCCACCTAACATCAGTGTGTGCTGTATGGGTCCGGGGAAGGAATGGGCGAATTTGATTTAGGGACTTGCGGAGTATGGACGGAGGTGATGCGGAGGGTGTGTAAGTGGATTGGTGGGTCCAAATCCGATATGATCAGATTGTTAAGCCGGCTTGGCACATTCACTCAACTACGACATACAGCAGCTTGCCGAGCCTGTGCATTACATCTCCCCGCCCCTTTCAGCTCCTCAGAATGACGACAATACTCGGGAGGGCTACGAGGCCTTGTTCGAAGACAACAATATGGAAACACAGTGTCCGAACGATAGCGTCGATCCCTCCCTTTGGCATACAAGGTCGCTCAAATCCCGCTTCCTCTCAGAACCTGCGCGAACAAAGGCAATCAACTACACCAACATCGTGGACCCCAATGCCCTATGTCACAGAGACCATTGGCGGAGGCTGGCACACATACGATATCTACTCACGCCTCCTCAAAGAACGAATCATATGTCTGAATGGCGAAGTAGACAGCACTTCATCTGCCAATATCGTCGCTCAATTGCTCTTTCTTGAGGCCGACTCGCCCGAGAAGCCCATTTCTCTCTACATAAACAGCCCGGGTGGAAGTGTAACCGCTGGACTGGCGATATATGATACCATGACATATATTCGTTCTCCAGTCCACACCATATGTATGGGCATGGCAGCGTCCATGGGCGCATTGCTGCTCGCGGGTGGCGCTGCCGGCAATAGATTTTGCCTACCTCATAGTAGCGTGATGATACATCAACCGAGTGGTGGCTATAGCGGGACAGCAGCAGATGTAGCGATCCATGCTAAGGAGATTTTACGAACACGGGAAAAGCTGAACAAAATATTCCAGAATCACATCACGAAAGAAAAGACACTGGATGAGATCGAAAGAAGCATGGAGAGAGATTACTATATGGATGCACATGAGGCACTGGAATTTGGGCTTGTAGACCGAATACTTGAGAGGAGAGAAAATGAGGAGGGAGAGAAGAGCTGAAAGGGAACACGCAAAGGCTTGAACCCTATTATGCACCATGAGGGATTGCTACAAGCTGCACAATTAAAGGAGCCTTCACGATTTCTGACTATCAAACTCAAGAATAATCTCGAGGATTTGGTTGTTATGTACGATATAAATGCCAAACCAAATGTGGTGAGAACCCTTAATGATAAGCTGGAATCTTTGCCACCATGTGGGAAAACCATGCAACAGAATCGTCGTTCACTATAGATACACACTTAGACATTGAATCCCTGCAACATGGCATGCTGAACAACCCCCATTGGCCTAAGAGCACATGAATCTTCGATCAGGGATTCTCCTTATATTTATCCCTTAAAGCATCAATCTCCCTCTGAAATTGCTCCATGTCATCCAAAATGCTAGAGTTTGCAGTTGCACTATACGTCGATGGTGCAGGCAGAGATTCTTCTCGTTCTTCCTTTGGAGAGTACAAAGTCTGTTCGTTCTCGGATGGAGTGTACTCGCGGCGTAGAGAGCTTTCACTTGCTACGCTAGTTCGCCTTTTGTTGTCAATGCTGTTTCTTTTGTATTCCAAACTGGTTCGGGGTGTTTCGACTGGCGAGGATGATGCAAATTGAGAAGGTCGCTCCTTGTCCAAGCTTGAACGTGCTGATTGTCGTCGTCTTGGGGGAGGGGGCGGTGGGGGCATGGATGAGGGCGCGCTTTCGTTGGACACTGATCGTGGAGCATTTCGATTTGAGGCTGTGGATGCCGTTCTTCCAAGGCCCAATGGCGCCTGTCCTGTTCCAGGAGATGGTGGTGGGGATGAAAGGGTTGATGATCTTGAACGACTCGTACTTGACAGAGGAACGCTAGAACGAAGTGACGACGTGACAGGAAGTTCAGTAGTAGATGAACTGGCACTCGAAGCTGTGCCTCCAAACAGATTCGCGCCGTGACGACGTGCTGGCGGCGGCGGCGGCGGCCCCGATGCTCTCTGGGCTGCTGATGACACTGGATCACTCCGGGGATTCGGACTAGGTACAGGTAGCTCGATGGAATGTTGTGAGGAGATGGTCAACGATGAGTCACTTCGAGGACGATTTCCAAGTGTTGAGGTACGTAGTTGGCTTTGCCTGCGAGCAATGGGTATAGGAGGCGGTATCTTTTTCTGCACAGCGGGTTGATCGGGTGGAGTGGTTGCCTCATTGGATACTGTATCTATTGATAGTGTATCATCCGGTATCTTGTTTTGTACAACGTTATCTACCGTTAGTGATATAGAAGCAGTTGGTGGTGGGGGTAGGGGTTTGTTCAGATCTGAATTCGCACGGGTTGACCGTACCGATATACTCCCAGTAGGTGCTTCTGCAGCGAAATCATCGAAAGGAACGGTCTGTGGTGTTCTTGCATTCACGAGTTTACCATGTCTATGTTTCGGCAGAGGAGGCTTCTTTTTCTCCTGCGGCTGTGAGTTGACCACAGGATCGTGAGCATCTTCTTCAGACGATGATGTCTCGTTCGGTGTGCGCGGCGATTCGGTATGGAGACTCTGCATATTTTCAAAGATGGACTGTCGTGACCCAGAGGATGTATCGGTACTGTTACTGCTATCGAAGAAAGCGCTTCGGGGATTGGGGGAATTGGCGGATTGTAGATGTTTATTTTCACCTGACGGGCTTGATATGCCCGTCATAAGCAGCCTTTTGAAGCCGTCTACATCTAGATTGCCCTTGGCGGATACTTGAATAGGGCTTTCATTCGGTCTCCTTTCTGTCAAATGATCAGCAATTGACAAGATATTGATTGCATTTTTTGCCCTTGGCCAATTGCTCTTCTCTCCACCATTATTACAAGCCATACGGACGGGATTAACACACCATTATGTTGACCCACAGACTGAGAATCGGCCCTCTCGTGTGGTTCTATTGTGGCCAAGGTCCGTGAGAAAGGATTGACCGGAGCAGTAGCAGGCGCTCGCATAGACCTGACCGGGTCTTCGCGATCCATGACAGTCCGCTGATTGTGAACGTTTTTGTTGTATCCCATGCGAGACGGAGCGTCATCTAATTGATTTCCAAATTCATCCGAAAGCCCTAAAAGGGGAGAGAAGGACGACGAGGTGCCGGCATGGTCATTGTGAGCTGCACGGTGAGCTTCAACACTAGGAGCGGTGGAGTGCGGAGGAGACGATGGCGGGGTTTCTATGCGAACCGACTTCTTTGTCCGGGCGGGGTGCTGTGGGCGCGAGCTCTCTGAATTGCTATTATTCCCTAGTCTCTCAATATATGTCATGCCGAAGGGAATTTACCAGCATCATATTGCACCGCTACCTGTTCTCGTGCACTATTCGGCGAGCTCAGGAAGCGGACGGGTGGCGCGGGTTTTACGGAAGATTGGTTCTGGGTCGTTGGTAGAGTAGAGAGACGGAAGGGGTTTCCGGACATAATGTGTGATTTCAAGAACAATGCATTGTTCTACGATGCTATGTACAAGTACACGAAAAGTTCCGACTGTGAACGGTCGTGAGGAACCTTGCGAGCCGGGCCGCGAGCAAAGATGACCAAGGTGAGGCGTTGGGTCGGTAGAGGAGCAGCAGTGTCAGCAAGCGTGGAAGGTGACCGATGTCATGCTTTGCGGCTTGCAGTATCGATCTCGATTCGTATCTGGGGCAGTAGGCGTGTATGTGTGTTAACTTTGCAGATCCAAGAATGCAAGAGAATGAGCAAGATGAGAGGTGGTGACAAGAGAGAGAGAGAGAATATCCCGTTGTTGTTGTTGTTGCTGCTGCTGCTGTTCCTCCTTCCTTCCTTCCCCCGCCGCCGCCTACTACCAAACCATCCACCAATGACGACGACCCACGCAGGGATGATCCTTGGGCTTGGCCTTCCCTTTTTATAATATCTATCAAGTTACAACAACCCAGGTAGGTATCTCGTACTGCGTGGTCCTTACAAAAGCCAAAGTACGAGCAACACATAGTAGCAATAACAGTGCAGACTACCACACACATCTGTAGGTGTGGACGTATTGGAATATAATGTCATACAAGTACCTACAAGGTACCCAGTCATGCCAGTGCATCTTTTCACCCCCTTCATTGGTACAGATTACCTTGTCCTTGTCACAGGTAAGCATTGAAATAAAATACTAATAGTAACTCGGTACAGTTGGAATGATGGCTGTCTCTAGGCTCTTGCCATCGTTCACGACATCATGATAAGCCTGTCTGTCATTCAATCGACATACACATGCCATCCGGCGTCTTGCCCAAACCATCTTCGTGCCAGCTGCCCACCGCTTTCTGTCGGCTGGGTAAAGGCGACCATCGCCTTCTCAACCGTCATTCCGTAGAGAAAGTCTTCCCTCGCTGAGTCCAACAGCCTTGTAGCCACACCGGCCTTTCTTTGCATGGTGCTCGTCCAGATGCGCGAGATGCCCAGGATGGCAGGCACGGGATGTGTGTCCATGGAGATAGAAGAACTCTGAACCTTCGTGGCGGACATTTCAACGGCATCTCCAGAAGTTTCATGGCCCAGAACTGGATAGGCTTCTTGTATCCTTTCCGCAAGACACGCGCCCACGCATTTCTGGCCCCGGACGTATAGATACACCTTGTAGCGGTCACTCATAGAGCGGTCCCGCCTCTGACTCCTTCTTTGCTGCTCTGCATTGACTTCTGCTTCTTCCGCTTCGAGAGTGTTCGAACAAGTACTGATCTGTCCCCATAACGTTTCCTCGGCAATGTTCACCGCACCGAGCTCGGTGTCCACAACTTTAAGCACTTCGACGGCTTTGTTCCGCATTGCGACGGTGTCTTTTCGTCCCACAACAGCAATGAAGCTCCTGTCGACACCAGACCAGATCTGGTTTTTCCTCAACCTGTCCACGAAAGGTTTAGCGAAATCCACACCCCCGACGTTCATGGCATGGAACTTGCGATGCAAAGCGGCATCGTCGGCGTTCGATGGAATGTATTCCATCCCACACATCTTACAAGTTTTGCGCAAGTCTCCTACCAAGTCGAGCTGCATTTGTACCATTCGAACCTTCTTCGCAGGGGGTTGGCTCACTCCGGGGACGTTGTCGGAACGAGTGGACAGAGGAACTTTCGCAACAGACGTTGGGCCTGGTCTTCGTTTCATAAATGAGAATTTCGAGCGCCGTGTATTTATCGGAGGAGAAGAATATGGTGGCTGAGGAGATGAGGGGGGCGTGGACCTGGCCGAGCCATCGGAAAATATTACAGGAGGCGCATTTGGTGGGCTAGAGGCAGGAGTATTGGAGAGCTCGCATGTAGTCGGTCTAGATGTTATCGAGCTCGTGGTTGTAGCAGCCGGGGTAATATTTGGTTGTTCACTCGCTGCGACGCGCTGCTGCTTCGTTGGCCGATCCTCATCTTCGTCAGGTAATAGCCGTTTCTTCTTTCGAGAATATGTCGTGATGGGCTTCCTGAATGCCTATTAGCTAGATGCCAGATTGTGGAATGCCTGTATTTACCTTACACCCCAAGAAGTCATGTTTGGTGTCATTGGGATGAGTAGAAGCTAAACGTGGTGGTATGCCTGCATGAGGTAACTATGGGAAAACGCGAAAGTCGCGTCTAGTAAACACGCACAGACTCCACATGCGGCTGCCGCCCGCCGCCCACTCTCGAGTCTCCATTATTCCTGTCTATGTCCGACCGAACCAACCAAGGAGTCATGGACCATCAGCTTTCTCAACCCCACCAGCCGTGCCACCACCAATAAGTTCCAATACCATCAATAGGAGGTAATGGAGTACGGAGTAATTCCTCCATATTCCGTGCTTGTAAGGTCAATACCAAAAATGGCTTGATGCATGCGTATGGGGACTCGGGAGGTTGTGAAGCTATTGGAATTCATTGATATTTATAGAACTTTGTCTGACTTGCTTGTACTTTCTTCCATTCGTGGGTCCCATGTGCCTGTACGCAGTAAGACATAGCCCTCAGTACGAGATCATGGTATTGAGCCACATGCCCTTGAGCATTTCAGGAAGGTCATTGATTATTACCTGGCCTGCTCTAACCTTTATGACAGTTGACTTTGCCCTGTCCTATCTCCATCAGGCCATTGGAGACATTGCTGACCGTTGAGGCAACCGTCGTAGTAGTATTACCTAGAGGCTAGGAGACCTACAACTATTTAATGACTCTTAACAACCCTCCAAATCCAATCCTGCTCCTCTTAGACCGTAATTGTCTCAGAATTCACAGTCGTGACAGCGCAGAAGAGATTTTAAGCAATACTAAACACAAACGACCAATCCCGCGACAACAGGGAGCGCACTGTACATACGCAGAACAGAATGGCATCCTCGACCTCGCCATCAACGTTAGAGACGGTGACTGCCCAACTTCAGGCCACACCAGCTGACCCAAGCACCATGGCGGCACAATTGGAGACAAACCCCATGGACCCAAACGCACCATTACCGGAACCTATCGCCACAACCTCCAGGCTGATAATAAGGCCAATGCACCCGCAAGATGCGCCTTCGTATGCGCGCGCCGCCGGTACCCCGTTAATCGCGAAGTACATGAGCCTTGCTTTCCCCTCCCCTTACACATTGGAACACTCAAATGGCTGGATCAAGCTCAACCTCACGGACAAAATCCCGAACTATGTCATCGCAGAGAAAGACCACCCGGACGTCGTGATCGGAGGCATGGGCTTCAAACCCGGTGCGGATGTGCAGAGCCATGCGGCCGAGCTCGGCTACTGGATCGGCGAGGACTGGTGGGGGAAGGGCTACATGCAAGAGGCGCTGGCCGGCCTGACCGAGTATGGATTCGAGAGCGGCAGGTGGTCGAGACTTTGGGCAAATGTTTTCAGTGAGAACCAGGCCAGTGTGACGTGTCTCGAGAAGTGTGGCTACAAGCTTGAAGGCGTGCTGAAGGGACATGTCCAAAAGCACGGAGAGGTCTCTGACCTCCATGTACTTGGCCTAACAATAGAGGATTGGAGAAAGTGGAAGCAAAGTAAAGAAACATGAGCATGGATATGTGGTACATTCTTGGATTTGCCAACGTTGCGGAGGGTATCAAAAATACATGGAACTGTCTACAATTATATACAACACCTAGTGAAGGCTCTAACGGACCCGTGAGGATCATATTAGGTTCAACTTCTTCATAGTGCTTACATGTGCTCGGCCAGACCCCCCATTCTCCACCAACCTCTGCTGAGACTGCTTGATAAGACTCTCCCGCCAGCTCCAGAAGATGTCTTCTGTCCGCCTCGCCACAGCCTCACCCTCGACTTCGGCCAGGATATTGCGGACCCAAGCGAAGCGGTGGGAGCTCACCCACATGTTGTCCAGTAAAGGTTGTATCACGCAAATCTTGACGGCAGCTCTCGAGAACAAGGGACCCATCGGCAGATCGTTGGCCTTGAGATACTCATACAAGTAATGGATCGATCGCCAATTCTGACGACGGCTCCGTGTGGTCTCAAGAGAATATTGATATGCGATCTGGTGGATCAAGGAGTTGCGAGCCGTGATCAAGCTCTCAAAACGCTCGTCGTCGACGGCCAGCGGCAGCACACGAGCTTCCTTCGCGCGAGCTAAAATGTGATTGAACTGGCGTCTTGCTTTCAATGCATAGAGAATTGTGGAAACAACTTCTCGATCTATGTTGTAGATGGCCGTGCTATCTTCTACAAGGCTAGTGAGGAGCTCCGTGTCAGACGAAACCGTGGCGTGGTTATCGAACGAATGAAGAAGTCTCATCCAGCCGTCGAAAGTATGGCAGGATGCCTCGGAGAATCCCCTGGCTTTTGGGGGGGAATCAAATGCATCCTCAGGCTGTGTCAAGACCCAATCATGTAGAACATGACGAGGGAGACAATTGAAAACTTGAATGACCAAGGCCATACTGGATTGGGAGGCCCGATGAGACTGTAGAAAACGAGTTATATCCGAGGGGGCTGGCTCTCGATCCTCCAGAATCAAGCATAGAGCATCGCGTAATTGGGAATTGCCGATTTGATCAGCAATTGAATGCATTAATCGTACATCTGGAGCAGAGGTCGTGCCCATGAAGCCCCAGAGGAGTCGATAGAGAGACTTCAGAGAGTCTGGATTTACGGTGTGTCGGTGTTCGTTCTTGTCTAGGCTGTTTGCAAATTTGGCACAGACATTGCCAACATTTGTTGAGTGTCTCAAAGAGCTGTTCACTAGCGACTCGAGTTTGCGAAGTAGCTGGCGGCCTTTTGGGCTGCGCAGGCTCGGCAAAGGCACAGAAGGCCGCGCTAGCCACCAAATGATTGATTCGGGACTCCATTTTGCCTTCACAAGCTCCCCGAGCACCTCGAGAGTGAACTTGACTGCTTCGTCTGCTTCCGAGGCCTGGAACTGGGTGAGGCGATCTAGTTCCGCCAGGCGGTCCCTATTGCGTCTCTTGTCTGCAATTGAGTCTGAACGAATCAAGGTTCGAATCTGACGTAACCTGGCTTCTCGAGCAGAAGCTGTGGATTGTTGGACTGTTCCCTCAATTTCGAGAGCCGGAAGGTGAGACGCAGACACTTCTTCCGGCAACAAAGTTTGGCTCGATGGGTGTGCTGTTTCTGTCTGGAATTCTTCCCTTGACCCAAGTTCAGAGTTGGATGTATCCTTGGCTAGCGTGGCAGATATCTGCAAATGAATCTTTTCCGCTGCGTCTGATGGGTCGGGATGTGGTGCAAGCCTGGTTGCCAGGGGAATTGCGGAATCATGGAGAAAGGGAGGAAGTGCGGGGGCGAGGGGAGGTTGAACTAGACGAGTAAGCAATTGTGAAATCATCGACAAATGGTCGGGTGTAGAATACCATTCTTTGACAGCTCTTGAGGCTGCAATGTGGGTGGCTCATATCTCCAATCTGTGTGGGGATTCGGGCGCGGAGCGGCAAAGAGGGAACCGATGTTGAATAGAGAAAATATGGGATCTCCCTGAGGTATACTTGATTGAATAGTCATGCGCCGTTTCATTGACCTTCGCCTTGCCTCCAATGGCCCAGGAACATGGCTGCCATGGCGCGTTTGATGGCCGCATTGATGTCGAAAAAAATGGCGGATAGTGTGTGAGAGGAGCTCATCCGTGACCCAGATGTAGTGAGTGGGTGGACTTATTGTCTGCGCTGCACGCCTGCAGGCAATGGGCGATCGTTGCATCAAGTGTTAGGTGGTCATCAACGTCCATCCACAGTATATGCAATTGCTCGAGATAGTCCATTGAAGTTGCGATGAGGTACTGGAGGACGGTAAGTGCCTTAGTCAGCAAATCGGAACAGGCGAATCAGATGCCAGGTTGCCGTCAGCATCGCGAAAGTGCTCCATCTGCACACTTGATTATGACAGTGCAAAAGTGTCGGGATGCAGAGAGGGTAATTTAGCATCGTGATGTGACATAGAATCAAGTATGACACCGAATGCGAAATACATGACTCATTGCATTGGTATTAACGACCTGGTAAGCTGTACAGAACACAGTGCGAATTACGCCTACATAGATGGTTCCGCTCGTGAGCCTCCGCTAGGTACTCCGTACCTACCTAGGTATTTACAAGTATTCACATCACCCATGACAAGCAACGCTCCGAATCACATGTAATAAGTCGGGACCACCTCACCGAAGCATCACATATGGGAAAGTCAACAACTGAATCCGATGTCCGTGATTTCTCGTCCAAGCCTTATCTGAGATGTTTCGAACATCCCGCCAGAAGCCAGCCAGGTTACACCACAAGAAGAAACGAACCTTGTAGAAACTCACGTGAGGGCTGTGGCTCGGTTCATCCTTCAATCTCCACCGAGTTGGTTTAATTAAATGAAAGAAGTCTGATGTGCAGGGTGGACGGCACAAGCGATCACCGCGATTCCGTTGTTGGCGGGAGGAATCGATAACGATTCCGTGGCGAAGGCTACGATACGATTTTGTTTTAGCCTACGGTCCGTGTACGGAATCATCTCGCTCAGTGTTGCCATGGTCGTGGTAATCCGCTGGTCTGTCGTCGTCGTGGTTGTCGTCGTCACGATGGCTTCCAGACCGTTGGGGACTCGATCCGGGAGGAGGTCGCGTCAGCATTATTGCATCAGCGCAGCGTTGTGGGACGATGGAGCGATTGATTAGGTATCGGGGAAGGAAAAGTGATCGCATTGAGAGGATAAGCCGCAGGCAGGCATACGCGGCTGGAGCTTGTAATAGAGTCTTGGAGGTGACGGTACCCGTACTTGTAACCTACGAGGCTATGAGTGGTGTAGCGTACAAGTAGTTACAAGTTAGCTACACCGGAACTAGAGTCGTAGACATTGAACTGGCGACGGGGAGGGCGTCACGGACATGGATGGTGGACTCAATTGGGGAAGGGAATAGCCTTGTCGATTCTCGAAGCCTTGTTGGTTTGGCGACCCAACAACTGGTTCAGGTACGCGCTCCGACCAGTCTAGGGAAGGGTGGCTTCGAGGTGGCACACGCGAAGAACGCGATACTGTCAGACTGTGTACGGAGTAGTCCGTAGAGACTGTTGAGATACAGTGCAGTTTTCCGTATAGGTCTGTAAGATGAATTCGTCCATACTTTGATGACGCTGCTACAGTGCAGCACGGAACACACAGGAATGGAAGTACCGTTACCTATGGGTAGGTATTCATTTCAGGAGTGGTAACTAGCCAAAGACACGCAATTGCAAAGAGGCTACGAAGCTACACGATACTGGTGGTTCAATTAGTTCAGTACTCCCTCCGCACATATCACTGCTGTGGTTCCATAGTACTTGTACTTGTAGATATTGTTGGCGTGTTAATGAGTACTGTACCTGCAGGTAGTCGTAGACTGTTGATAGTGGTACGTAGTGTGAATCTGAATGGGTGTGAGAGTGTCTTGGCTAATTCAGGTACAAGGCAAGGTTGATGGCACAGGGCGGCAGCCCGCGGGCACAGGCACAGGAACAGGAACAGGAACAACACACGCGGCGTATTACCTACCTACACAAGAGAGTGTGTACACGGAGTACAGTGTGAGGCACAGGCAGATGGACGATATTATACTTATCTGCGCGAGTTTATCCAACTGAAGATACTCCGTCTGCACAGGTGTACTCCGTATGTACTGTAATACACCATATTATTACACATATTATAATCATCTGCTCCACGGACAGTCCAGCGCCTACCTGCCACGTCTGAGCACCTACAAAAGTACCTATGCAGATATGGGGATGAGGATGGAGACGGAGCCCAATATACGATTCAATATGGAACGCGTGTTGGATGAATACACGCACTCGCTCTCTTCTCTTTAACCTTTTCTTCCTCTTCCTCTTCCCTTCCCTTCCCTTCCCTTCCCTTCCCTTTCTATTCCAATCCTGGAGATTACGGCGTTGCTCCCACTAGTTATTATTTATTGCTGTTCACTATCACTCTCCCCTGTAGTTTCTCCTCTTCCTTGTCCTTCTTTCCTGCTTCATCCCTGTAGGATCCCCTGTCCCTCATGGACCAATGAATGAATGGATCCTCCCTCCACCTCCCATCTTTATTCGGCCTCGCTCTCTTTCCCCTGAGTCTTGCTTGCTGTGCTCCACTTATCCCAGTCAACCAGTCGGCCAATCAGCCAATCATCCACCCACCCACTCACCCCAAATTCATCAAACGCTCTGGTCACTCACGCCCTCACTTTACCTACTCTGTTACTGTACCTTGTACCTCGTACCTTGCCGGTGCCCTACTCTCCATTACTCACGAGTCAACTCACTTCCTCACTCACCCGCCGCTCGCTCCACCACTCTCTCTCCCTCTCTCTCACACTCACACGCTCTCTCCTTCTTCCCATTTCCACTCATTCAATCGTCTGTCCTTGTCGTCACAACCACATTCGCTATCCACCTTCGACTTCGTACTTCATTCACATCAATCCATCGACCATTGATACATTCCTTTCTGTCCATCCACCCACCCACCCACGTCTTTGCACATATACACAAACACACGAGAGTGAGAGAAAGGGGTCAAACGCGTTTCACTGCATTCCAGGGACTCACTGCCCGCAATCCCAACGCTTCGTGTTTCACATCCGGCACTCAACTCACAGGCATCGCTGAGCGAGTCTGCGTTGATACACCAGCAAACCATCGCTTCAACGTCAACAACAACTCTATCCATCCATCCCTCCATCCATCCAGCCCTCTCGACCTGTGGTGTCGCTCGACCACCTCGATCACCACTGCCACTCTCGCCATCGACCTCATTGACCATTACTGCATCGGCCTCTCTTACTCCTTTTCGTTTGCTAACCACATCGTTTACCCCTTCTCACCAGCGTCCTCGCTCACGACTCTGGCCTATGTGTCTGGCTACTTCCCTGTAGACCAACAGTAAAAGCTCTTCGCTCATCACGACAAGAGTGAGAAAGAGGACGTTTGAAGGCTTCATCGAATCCAGTTCACCGGTCTAGACGGATCCTCCATATATCCATATTCAGTCCCTTTCCTTCCAACCCGGATCATCCCACATCATGTTCACATCTAAAGCACTATCCGTCCTCGTGGCGGCGTCAGTCTTTTCCATGGCTTCGGCACAGATCACAACCTCGGCCTCATCCTCGATCGTTCTGATCCCCACCCCTACCTCTCAGCGACCAGCAAGCGCAATCACTTCCATCGGATGCTTCAAGACCTCAGTACCCCTCGAGGATCATGGCCCATGGCGCTTTCAGAGTGAAGGCAACTGCCAACAGATCTGTCTTCAACTAGGAAAGAACGTCATGGGTCTGTCCGAAGGTACCAACTGCTGGTGTGGTGACCAGATCCCACCAAAGAGTGCCAAGGTCGCCAACAGTTCTTGCGAGACCACTTGCAGTGGAATCGATACCGACTTTTGTATGTAATCATGTTTTTCTTCTCAAATGTCAACATCACTAATCTATAGTAGGTGGCGGCGCCGACCACTACTGGGTCGACCTTACCGGATTCACACGGAACAAGGTTGAATTCTACGAGCCGGATTCCTCATCGGCCAGCTCCCGAGTTGCCAAACAGACCTCAGAGGCCGTTGAGACCGCCGTTGTCACCGAAACACCTGATCCCAAGAGCGACAAGTCGAGTGGCCCTAACAAGGTTGGAATCGCAGTCGGCGTGGTCGTAGGAGTTTTGGCGCTTGCTGCCATCATTGGAGGTGTTCTTCTGTTCCTCCGACACAAACGACGACGGGAGGTCGAAGAGGAGTATCGCCGTCAAGCTGCCGTGAACTCTTTTGTCTCGGGAGGAAAGCTCCACACGAGCAACTCCTCCATGACGGACTCACGCCTCGATCCCGAGTTCATGAACAGGAGGCAGAGCAATGGCAGCATTGCTGACAACGAGGACTATTCAAGGCGGATTCTCAAGGTAGGTGCAATGGCATCTTGTGTTAGTCTAGGGACAGTACTAACATCTCTTCAGGTCACCAACGTATAGTTGCGCATGGCATTGGAAGTCACGACACCTCGTTCCATATGCTCTCGGATGGTGAGATCGCCCCTAAGCCATCTCCCAATACCCGACGCTGCTTAATCCGCGCCTCACCCACCCACGTCATGCCCCGCCATCATGCTTTACGAGAGTAAGATTGCATCTCGATTTCGAATAATCAGCTGTATCAACGTTGCTCTATCTAGTGGCTGTATCGAACCTCTACATAGACGGTCACGTTTCGTCGGTTGTCATACCTTCACCTGTGTCATATATTGGTTTCTTGGGCGTTCATGGTGTTTCATTTGGGTATAATCGAAATGGGAACTTATTAGCGGGCACCACGGAGCTCAGGTCACTCCTTGCATCTCTCATTCTTCTTCCTTGGGCTTCTCGGCCGGCTCGCCACGCATTAGAAACCCCATCCGGACATTTCCAGTGCAATCAGATCCGTGCCTTTTAACCCGCAGTCACCCATTCTATCCCATAGTGTCTCTTAGTCTCACCATTGCCTTCCACTCCATCTGACCACATACTCTACCATAACTTTCACCAGAGACTACTCGGGTCTATGGTGCAAAAGCGGGCATTTGCCGAATTTCTTATACTGTCACATAAATATCATAGTTGGAATGACGAGCACTTCAAACATATCGTTTCCTCCCAAACTCAGGCCATCACATTTGCAAAGACCGACCAATGTTTCTTCGTGTATCTCTCACATTGTGGGGTAGTCTCTTTGGGGAACTCCCTTGAGCACCAGGACAGTACCTCGTAGAGCAAAGGGCTGTCAAGTCCGATCGGCAAGTTTCACAACAAAAACTACCAGGAACATAACTTGATCCAAAGATGAATCTACATGGCTGATTGGTGGTGATCCGTTTCATCAATGCGGAGCAAGGCTTTGAAAAGGCCCGCTCATCATCATCTCGGTACCTTTGTTCATGACGTCCCCAACGACATGGCCTTGTACTTTCTCCGTACCCATTTCAGTCTTGATCAACCTTCCTTGACGAATGAAGAACAGGGGAAGATATAGTTAGTTAACCCTACTGGGTATGTTCCAGGATCATTTGATATGTCAAAGGTCGTTGTGATGCAACCAGCGTGAAACTGGTCTTCAAACACGTGCCAAGCAGCAAAGGCCCTCACACTCGTCAACCAGTACGTTTTCGCATAACCAGTACGGTGAATTGATTTGGCCGTTTAGCTTAACCTTACCTTCCTAGTCACAAGAATTAGGGAGAGTGAGGGAATCGTGGCCCCGGCCAGATTTGGTGAAGATGAGCTTCGTCTCTGATTCGGTTCGGTGTTGCGTTGCCTGTTTCCGCTTTGGGTATGGATGGGGGGCATGGTTTTCTTCTCCAGTGTACTGGGTTGCCGGCTAGAAATAGTCGGGTCGGCGTGTTCGACTTCTACAAGTTTGGGGCTTTTGGACGCGCTGCTGCTTATAAGAGGTTGGATCTTGTGGGTTCTGTAATGTAAGAACACAGCTCGTGTAGACATATTTCCTCGGTAGCCGACTGTTATAACTATGCTTTAAGGCCAGCTCCCAGTGGTCTAAGGTGCCTGGGTACCTCTGGTACCTGGTATGTAGGTTTGCGTTTGCAACACATGGCTCCTCGGTGCGCAGAACTTTCTAGAAAACCAACCATACCGTACATATTTGTACTCCATATGAGTTTGAAAATTTCAACTTGACACCAACGTTCTGGTGTGGCTGTTTTTACGATGGATATCCCCGCCAGTTGCTTCATCCAGCCTCACTTTCACCGGGGTATGCACACGCTTGAAAGAATTGACCATGATGCAGTAAGAATAATTGTTGGGGTATTCTTGATCCCTTTACTCTCATTTTGATTGCCGTTATTTTTTTTATAAAAAGCAGAAGCGCATCAATCCTACCTATTGCGGAAATCGTATACCCATCTTTACTACTCCTTAAAGTATTTACCTATTTGCCTGGGTGCCTGGGTACCTGTAGGTACGAGATATGTTATGGTCCCTTAGTAGTTAGTACCATGTGTGTAAGGACATGGTCACATCCATTCATCCAACGTAATCCTCTGAGCCTGACTTGGCTTCCTTTCTAGATAGGCAACCTTCTTAATAGCTACTATCAATGTTCCGGCCGACAAAATCTTTCCTATGAGAGCACCTCTTTACGCGTTTTGTTTCATTTTACGACCCTTTTCCACGTTCTAGATACCCAAGGGGATCCCTACGAGCATGCTTAGTTGTCCCTCATAGGGTTTTGTCGGCTGTCTCCACTTCACAACGTCCATCTCCCCATCGACGTCATTTTCCAGAACTGCTGCCAAGTTTCAACGCCTTACGAAAGCAGGGGCAGGAAGAGATATTACTCGTACTAGGTATAGAAAGAATAATAATACTCTGTATATTATTTCACAAACAACATACCGGACATGGCGTCCGAACCAATTCTACCCCGCCCAACCGTTGAGCAGCTTCGGCATGTGGTGCACAACTTTCCTCTGATCGACAACCATGCTCACAACCTCCTCCTGCCGTCGCATATTGATGCTCATCCCTTCGAGTCCATCACCTCCGAAGCTCAAGGTCGCGCTCTGAGGGATACTTTCAAATCGCTTCCCCATCTTCGGGCGGCCCGGCAGCTCCGAGAATTGTACGAATGTGCCGACGATGCCGATTGGGAAGACGTGTTGGAGCAGAGGATTGAGTGGTTGAGAAGCGATCCTGAAAGACTGTACCAGAAATGCATTGATGGTACTCATGCTATTCTCATGGATGATGGCCTGGCAGGCCCAGAGACGGTGTATGAGTACAACTGGCACGATAGGTGTACCAAAGCGCCCACGAAGCGGATTGTCCGGATCGAGACGGTTGCCGAAAGGCTGATGGAAGGGATTGTAGGAGATGCCACGGATTCCGACTTGAAGCACGCAAGCTACTTCACAGATACCTGGCTCGCGTTTACTGATGACTTTGAGCGCGAGATCCAGGATGCGATTCAAGATGTCGAAGTTGCAGGTTTCAAGACCGCAATTTGCTACCGGTCAGGGCTTGACATTGAACCTAGTTATGAGGAGGCAGCAATTGACGTCGGTCGTCCCTTTGAACGTTATGTTGAACGTTGTGTCCGCAAGCGCAAGTTCAGAATCGAGAGAAAAGCATTGAACGACTACCTAGTCCTACGCACTCTGGAAATCCTATCCGAAGCCCTGACACACCCGGATGCACTAGCAAAACCTCTACAATTTCATACAGGCCTTGGAGATAATGACATTAGCTTGAGGCAATCAAATCCATCATATTTGCAGGCACTGATCGAAAACTATCCCCGCGTTCCATTTGTTCTGTTGCATTCTGCGTATCCGTTCACGCGGGAAGCCGGATACCTTGCGACTGTCTACAAGCACGTTTATCTGGACATCGGCGAAGTCTTTCCCATGGTGAGTCGCGACGGCCAAAAGGCGATCCTACGCCAGTCACTCGAGTTAGTTCCCGGCAGTAAAATCTTGTACTCTAGTGACGGACATTGGTTTCCGGAGACATATTGGCTCGCAAACAAACAGTTCCGCGAGGTCTGGTTAGACGTAAGTTTCTCTTGGCTGTACTCGAATACGTTCCACGATACTGACTGAGACAGTTACTTCTCGAATATGTTGACAAGAATGACTTGACAGCGCACCAGGCCATAAATTTAACAAAGGATGTACTATTCAATAATTCTAATACACTATACGATCTCCGTTACACGGTCGATTTCAGGGAAATAGAGCCGATCATTCAACAATCGCTGCCGTGGCGCCCCAAATCCACTGAGCAGGAATCATTTGAGGCTCCTCCGTTCCCGCCACCACCCAAGTCCATAAGTGGGGATGCAAATGTTCCATCATTTCCACCTCCTCCAACCCAAGCACATGTGTATGACATTCAACTTCTAGAAACCTTCATGAAAGCGAATGGTCACGTAAAATATGTCTACGTGCAGTGGCCCGATTTCTTGGGGACTCTGAGGGCAAGGATCCTACCGATCAAGGAGTTCACCCGTATCATTTCCTCGGGGGAACGTATAGGTATCTCGCAGGGAAACACTGGCACTCTACAGAACGATACCCTTACGTCAGTAGGAAATCCTGTCGGGCAGATCTACGTTGAGCCAGACCTCCGTTCACTCAGGTGTACTCATAAGAACGACCCTTTGCCATCCGCAACAGTATTGTGCTACTGGCGTGATAGCTCAGGGCGTCCGGCACGCGAATGTCCTCGCTCCAACCTCGAGGCGCTCCTCAACGACCTGCAGTACAATCATGGCATATCACTACTATGCGGTTTTGAGATCGAGGTGACATTCCTTCGCCGAAACGACCAGCCCACTTCGCCGGGGAATCCTAGTGATGAAGCGTTCCTCCCGATCACATCAAATCAAGCTTGGGGTACGATGACACCTGACCAGTACCTCGTTGCTCTCCCGCTGCTTGGAGATATCACGGAAGGCCTCGCGGAGGCAGGAATTGAGGTCCAACAGTTTCACTCCGAATCAGGACCGGGCCAGTACGAGTTCATTCTACCTCCGTTACCACCAATGCAGGCAATAGACGTCCTCATACAGGCCCGACAAATAATCACAAACGTCTCAGCAAGTCGGGACCTTCGCGCCACATTCCACCCCCAGCCGTTCGCGGAGACAGGGACGGCCGCGCACGCACACATTTCCCTTCTACCGACCTCCTCGCAGCGGGACATGGCGTTCTTCGTCGGCGGCGTGCTCGCACACTTGCCCGCAATCTGCGCCTTCACGCTGCCCGAGGCGGAGAGCTACGGAAGGGTGAGGGACGACAGCTGGACGGGTGGGACGTGGTTGGCCTGGGGCACGCAGAACCGCGAGACGCCTCTCCGGCGCGTGGAGCCCGGCCGCTGGGAGGTTCGATGCCTCGACGGCTTCGCGAACATGTACCTCGCCATTGCGGCCATCCTCGGGGGAGGAATCTTGGGACTCAGGTCCGTGCCTGTGGGCAGCGACGTCGTTTTTGACGCGAAAGATGTGCCTGTGAACCCGAGCAAGCTTACCGAGGAGCAAAGGGCGACCTATGGAGTTCGATCCAAGCTGCCCGCCAGGGTAGAGGAGGCATGGACTGCCCTGGAAACCGATGAGGAGCTCAAGGGAATGCTGGCCCAGGGCGTGGCGGATGATTTTCTGAACATGAGGAGGGCGGAGAGTCAGATGCTTGGAAGAATGGAGGGCGCGGAGCGTCGAATCTGGATGATCGAGAGATACTAGGAAGTCGGGGTCATTCTCGAGTGAAGTATTGCTGGCTTGATTTTTATTCTCTAGTCATGTGCTTTTTTGGATACCGTATATTCACGTATTTCGACGGCATTGCTGCGACAGTTGTCTTCGAATAATTTAGGTAGATATGACTTGACGGCCTGCAATGCTATCTTCTTCATATACTCGTATATATCTATATGTAATGCGTACCCTTTCTCCGCGAGCCTCATCCTCCCATACCATGATAGATAGTTCTTGATACGCATCGCGAGCGAGCGATACTAACTTTCAGATTATGGAACGGCCATCTCACGCATGGGCACCACGCATAATCGCAGAGTAGTTGGCCGAATTGAAAGATTCGGTGACCCTGCCTTATCACGTATCATCTCCATCATCCCAATTGATAGACTGCGCAGTAAAATAAAGCAAAAGGGCGTCAATACTACCAACTATGCGATTTCTGTATGCGACGAAAGGAAATAGTGAGATTGGATCCTTTACAGTATCCCATGAAGCAGAACATGCTTTCTCTTTGGCGAAAAAAATATAGATGAGTACTATCTCACACAGATGGTACCATGTTCGCTCACTACGAATCCAGAAGCTATTCCATGAGTACGATATGGCTGCTTGTTGCGATTGTCGGCGGGAGAAGAGGGGGAGCGGGGTCTGGGCATGGACGATATGTAGCATTTCGGTATGGAGGACCCGGTACTTGAGATAGATACGGCTCGCTCGCATAGATTGGGTGCGAAGGGGGTAGGATGAGTTGGGTTTGTTACCTGTTGCGACGATGGATGGGGAAGAGGAAGAGGTATATAAATGGTCCACGTATAGCCTGATCGAATGGAAGCTTTATGCTCTCGTTGTTGTACTCGTAAGTGGACGACGTTCAAGCGAAGGCAGTCGAAGAAAGTTGTAGAGGATTAGCGGCAATGATGCGCATGCACACGTCGAATGGATATTTTGTACGGTGAACCTGGAACGCTGCCAATTGTGCGTACGTATATACATGATGGTTTTACATATAGATGCTACATTGAAGATCCCCGCTTGAACATAAATTACGACGAAGCCTTGATCCTGTGCCCATGCCTACGGCCATCACGATTGTTGGCATCTTCCAGTTTGGCGGCTAACTCCCGTTCATCGACGATATCGCCTTTTGCACTTAGAACGTCATTCGAGTCGGATTGCACCTCCGATGGTGCAGTCGTACCATCGTCCAGTTGCTCCGGAAGAGTCAACCCTGAGGCGCGGGGGTAAACTGCTTCGCCAGTCTCGTCGGCATGTCGCAGACGTTGTTTCTGGCCAGTCTCACCGGCACGGCCAAGAACGCCGGCAATCACCTGGATGCATCGGAGACTAAGACATATGATTAGCGATCGTTCTTTGCATTGGCTGGTGGGATATGATCCTTACCTGTCATCGTTGGCCGGAATGGGATATGTCACCCATGTGGGATCAGCATTGGTATCGATAACACCGATTGTGGGGATTTGGTTCAGCGCGCACTCGTGGAGCAACACATAATTTTCCAAGGGATTTAAGCAGACCACAAGGTCCGGACGAAGCACCGGTCGGTCGAACAGTTGCTCCTCGAATCCAGGCACCTCTTCGTCTAAGTGGTTGAGGACCTTGGTGCGGCATTTGCCGAGAATCTGCTGACCGTTCGTGATGCTCCCGGGTATCCACCGCTCGAACAGATGGTATCCTTTGGCAAGTTGAGCGGCTCGAACGACGGCAGTGTCCTGCCCGTCGCGGGTGCCAACAAAGAGGACGATTCCAGCATTCCTACACACTTGCTGAACGACCTTGGAAGCTCTGCGGAGATGCGCTGCGGTGACTTCTAGCGAGATGATGTGAGTTCCTTGACGGATTCCGTGAATGTATCGCGCGTTGGCAGGGTTCCAAAGCGATGTTGCGTGTCCCTGGTGGGCTTCTGAAGCAAGGAGCAGTTCCAAAGTCACATCGGCGGGGGAGGGCGGGTTGCTGAGGAGCGTATGTGGCTGGTAGTGAGGGCTGATGTCGGAACCTAGCTTTCCTGACAGTTGTTCTGCGCCATAGAGTCAGTTGAATGCGTCGGGTAGTCAAGGAATGCTAAGTCAAGATTAGAGACTGACGCTGCTGCTTATGGAGATGGTATTGTTCAGCTATCGACTGGACAAGCTGTGAAGGCGCGGTGGTGGTGTCGACGGTGGCATCTGCCTCGGGATCTAGCGAAGGGACTGGTTGGTGGAGGTGCGCATTCAGCTGGCTTTCGAGTGCCTGCAACTGTTTGAGGCTGTTCTCCGCCGATGTTTCGACATCAGACGACAAAAATCGGCGCAGGGGACGGAGCGTATTCCGGGCGAGGGGTTGGCGGCCTATAAGGTTTAGCAGAGGGTATAATGGAGTCAATTAGAGGCAATTCACCAGCGCGCACAGCAAAACTCCGTATTATCATCGTGGTGAGGGCAAGGTGGAGTTGAATGGCCAGAATGGAACTCTGTTGGTAAACTTTTTGGGAGAATGAATTGCCAAGCCTGGCATCGAATATGATGTGCACAGACCATATCACCGTCTGTTTAGGGTAAGGGCGTGTCGCATGCCATTGGTGGAGGTCCACGTGACATGGTATCTAGCATCAAACCCCAAGAACGCACGCGACAAACAAGGCCGAGGCATCGACTAGGCAATAATAACAACTAGGTATCTACGAGCCTAAGTCATACATGGAGAGTGAGCATGTTCGTAGAGAGTTGATCCAGGTATGAGATTGAAAACGTACTTGAGTAAGGGTTTCAACGTAAAATGACGTGCAGATGGGTGGTAAGGAAAGACAGGAAGAATCAGATGCCATTCCCTTGACGAGTGCTGCTGATGGACGGACACCATCCGTGCTGTTCATAGTCATACTTCGTAGTTACAAGTGATCGCCTCATCCTTGGTTGTATCTCTCTACCTGTTACGAGTCCTGGCTACCGTGTGCTCAACTCTATAGAATGCACATGGACCTAGCCTACGAGTACCTAGGCTAGGCTTAGACACCTCGTACATACCTACCTAGGTAGTCAAACAGACTTATACTCATACTAACTATGAGTACAGTGTAAGTAATTACCTCGTAAGAAAGTAAGCGTGTGATTGGTGTACATACACAGTGCGCAGTACTTTGTGTGCCCATGTCAGCCAGCCCGGCCAAGCTAGGACACCTGTGGTTAGTAGCTGTCACTTTCGGTGCTTGTATTGTCTTTTGTCTCTCGATCGTCGATGGAACATGGCCCATGGGCATATGTACACAGTAGTAGGCTTTGTACTACTCGTGGGTGCTAGGCACGAAGGGGTCTTGCGGGTACCTAGTTAGAGTTAGGATACTTATTTGTGTGAGTGGATTTGTTTGAATTTGTTTTTGCCGTGCGTTTCCCTGAAATTCGACTGCCAACTGCCCCTTGGTACTTTTACCGTAGAACACCCAGGTTGTTACTACACAGTATTATTATTATTGCAATGGTGGTAATGTGAGTAAGACGTAGCGGGCAGTTCTCTCTCTCGGGGGATAGACGAGAGGACGGGAAATTGATGATATCATTCGCTAACCGCTATGGGAAAGTAGAAATGTCCATACGGTTTCGCAGGTTAAAATCCTCCGTAGTCCGCACATATCACGTACACAGTAACTACGAAGTAACCACACAGTACAGTGTACATACTTGACACTACACAGTAATGCGTAAGTTACTACATTACGAGTATCTGTTGTCGTGTGTACCGGTACTTGTAACCGCATCGCCCGTCGCCCACCGCCCATCCCCCACACATTTATACATGTGTGCATACACACTCCGTAATACATAACTGCGAGTACGATGTATTAACTTAGCAAGGGCCTACTCTAGGTGTCTAGTCAGTACTGTGCAGTACAGCTTTCTCGTAGGTCCTCTTGTAGGTGTACTACAAGCACAAATACAACCACGGCCCATTCATATTGTAAGGAATCGACACGGTGAGAGTATCGTAGTAGGTGGCTGTACTGTACTGTATATACTGTGCTTGGAACGCATCTGCACAGTACTTATATCGCACCTAACAAGGCAGCGTGCCCGAAATGCCTCGTACGAACAGGTGTCGTGTCGTATGACAGACCATATACGTGCCGTACGGTTCTGCAGTAATACTGTGCTTGTACATCAATTTTGCAAACAATCATGGCCGATCTTTGCGCCAATGGGTAGGCCCATTATTTGCGACTAATAATGGTGCTGCTGATTAGGCAGCTTGGGCGGCTGGAGGATTTTGGGCACGAGACGAGACGAGACGAGGTGAAACGAATGACACGGATACGGTAACGATGATTACGGTGACGGTGGCAGTACGGAGCACTCTCTAAGCAGTACATATTACTCTAGATGGTAGTAGAAGAATGAAGAAAGTAGGTTGTGCGAGATATCTACCTAGGACCCTGCCTAGGTATAAATATGAGTAGAAAGGAAAGTGGTGGCGTTGACAGGTTTAGTTAACTTGGAAGAGAAGATTCTCTTTGCTATACTACCGGTACTTAACCACGGCGGTAATGGGCTAATTCATGTATTAGTGTAATACATAGTTGTAGTTGTATGAGTTAGTTACTAGGAGGTAGTAGTATCGAATAATGAGACGGCGAGGAGGAGAATGACCGAGAAAACTGGAATCCCATGCTATTGCCCATTTTCTTTTTTCCCACCCCAAAGCCAAAAAAGGCCCCCCCGAAAAGTCCAGTGTAATATCGCAATACCCCATTTCCCCCCCCCCCCCCATTCTCCCATTCTCCCATCCCATTCCATCCCATTTCTCCGCCCTTCCCATCCTTCCCGCCATCAGCATCATCATCATTATCAGCATCCTTACTCCCTCCCGAGCTTCTTCATGGCTCTCACTGTTAGTTAGCAACTAGGAAGGTACCCAGGCCAGGTTACTAGCTATCCAGCTAACCACCTCTTACTTACCTACTCGACACTCCGTACCACTACCACTACCACTACTACTACCGCTACCGCTACCGCCGCCACCATCACCACCACCACATCCACCACATCCTCCTCCTCCTCACCCCTCTCCCTCTCTCCCTCGTTCTCTTCCTCATTCTCCTCTTCGGCTCGCATATTCGCACACGCGCACACCCAACCATCTCCCATGAACCCCTCGGATTCTTCCATCTGACCCTCTCTCCATCGCTCTACCTAACACGACCACACCGCAACCCTCAATCTTACGGCCCGCAACCCGCATCTAGCTACCTTACCACCACCAACCACCACCACGACCACCTCCTCCAGCAGAAGCCTCGTTCACCACCACGACCACCGCCATCGTCTTCGCTACCTTCCCACATTCGCATTTCACAATTCCCGCCCTCGCCCTGATCCTCGCATGCTCTCCATTGCTATCGACGTCGCCAAACCTTCCCCACCCTAAATCGCGACTTCTCATATTCCGACAGTCACATCCTGCTCCATGCAGCACATTATATGCCCATCCGCTATTGCGATAACCTCTTTCCTGTCCTCCTCTGGTTGAGGCTGCCCGCCTCTGCATCGGAATCGCCGCCAAGATGAATGGCTACACGTCCTACCCGGAGCGGCCCTTCCCTCAGCACAATAACTCGCAGAATATGATGAATATGGCGGGGGAAGGCATGGGCTTTGGGACTCCTATGGACGATGGCCAGTCACTCAACGATATCGTTTCCCTCAACGAGAAAGCGAACCGCCGCCGAAGCATGCCTGTCTATCCCAATCAGCCGGATGCCATGCAGATGGGCAGTCCTGATTCCCGCCGCTTGTCCATGATGAATTTCGGCGATGGCTCCGCCGGCGCTTTCGAGGATTTCCAATTTAGCATGCCCGCAGATGCGACCATGGACGGTATGATGCGAGGCGCTACTTTCCCCCGGACCACCAGCGAAATGCAGAATGACCATCGCCCAACCGCCGATTTGGCCATCAGCACCCAGTTTTCCAACCAAAACTCACCCTTTCCTCACATGCAGGGCCCGGGCTCTGCCTATGCTTCTCCCCTACATCATAACCTCTCCCTCGATGCCATGGATATGAATAGTCCATACCCCACCGCTATAGACATGTCCTTGGACATGGGTGATCCCTCCCTCGCCATGATGGGTACCGACATGAACTTGATTTCCGCTCGGCAATTCAGCAATTCGATGATGGGTTCACCAGTCGCACAGGATTTTAATGTACCCTTGCCCGGCCCACGACCAGATCCCTCTTCTCTTACGCCTTTGCCGCACACCGATCAGTTCAATGCATCTCCCATGGGCGGAACCCCCGACCTGCGCGCGAATCTACCCTCCCGCCCCAATAGTCAGGAGCAAAGTAGCGGCCGTTCCAGCGCCCAACCGCTCAGTGAGCAGCAACCTTCTTCCCAGAGCACTCCACACGTGCACCCTACGACATCCATACATCCCCAAGAACGCCCTACACCTATCCGGCTCCCTAAACAGGAACCCTCTCAAGAGATCTACAATGGTATCAAGCTCCCTTGGACCGCACCCCCTGGTAAGCAACCCTTTTTTCCCCCTATAGTCCCAGCTTTCGTCTCTGGAAGTTGACTGTATGCTAACGGTCTGTGTAGGGGGATTCCCATCTACCATGACATCCAATCCTCATATGAAAACGCAATTCAAGAATGTGTACTCGTCCACCGGCTTTGACATGCTTGGTGTTCTGGTTTGTACCTCTGAGGATGCTCATTGACTAATATAATTACTGACAACCTCTCAAGATGCGAGTCGCCACGAGGCAAAATCCCCAAATAGATATAGGCTCGGTCGATCTATCGTGCGCCTTCGTGGTTTGCGATGCAGCAATGGACGACAATCCGATTGTTTATTGCTCTGAGAACTTCGAACGCCTCACTGGTTATAGTAAACACATGATTCTTGGCAGGAATTGCCGATTCTTGCAGTCTCCTGATGGAAAGGTGGAGCCTGGTGTTAAACGGAACTATGTTGATGACGATGCTGTCTTGTATCTCAAAAACATGATTACCACACGACAGGAAGCTCAGATCAGTCTCATCAATTACCGACGAGGTGGCCAGCCATTCATGAACCTCTTGACGATGATTCCTATTTCGTGGGAGGCCGGCGGTCCCATAAAATTCATCGTTGGATTCCAAGTAGATCTAGTGGAACAGCCTGGGTCGATGACGAACAAGAACGCAGGTGCGTTGGCCCAAGCCCCATTGAAAGCCACGTTTTATGCTAATTTCAACCCATAGACGGATCCTACAGAGTCAATTACCAGCGCGGAATGTCCATGCCAAGCTACATTTTCGACCCAGATGCACATAAACCCCACTCGGATGCGGGTCAGACTGTGTCCAAAGACGAGGTATCCAATGTTTTAACAACATATGGAGCTGCAGGCGAATCTGATATTACAAGACGCGTCTGGGATAAAGTTTTGTTGGAAAACACGGATGACGTTGTCCATGTCCTGTCTCTGAAAGGACTCTTCCTTTACCTGTCTCCTTCGAGTATTCGGATCCTGGAATATGACCCAAGTGAACTCGTGGGCACGGCTTTATCTTCGGTATGCCATCCTAGTGACATTGTCCCCGTGACAAGAGAATTGAAAGAGGCCACCAATGGTACATCGGTGAATGTGGTTTTCCGAATTCGTCGAAAGAAGAGTGGGTACATGTGGTTCGAGGGCCACGGTTCCCTGCATAACGAGCAGGGTAAAGGTCGGAAGTGTATCATCCTTGTTGGCCGAGAGAGACCCGTTTACACCCTCAGCAAATCCATCGTTCGCGCATCAGGTGGCATCGGTGATAACGAGTTGTGGACGAAGATGTCTACATCTGGCATGTTTTTGTTCGTGTCGTCGAACGTCCGTCAATTGCTAGATCGCCAACCGGAGGAACTTGTTGGAAGCAGTATGCAGGCACTAATGCGAGCCGAGTCGAAACAGAACTTTGGTCGGATACTTGAATTGGCAAGGACCGGAAGGAAGGCTGAGGTGAAGCACGAGATGATCAACAAAAGGGGCCAGGTCCTTCAGGCATTCACTACCATATATCCTGGAGATGCTACCGAAGGACAGAAACCCACTTTCATCGTAGGACAAACGAGAATGTTGCGACATACTCGAAGCGCCGCCCAGCGACCTTCCATGTATACAAGCAAGGAGCGCACCGGCGGCGATTCTCTCACTCCTGCGCAATCCGTACCTTCTGGAACCTCACCAGCCCAAGGTGGTGCGACGCCTGGAATGGGATCGAGCACTCCTCACACCAGTAGTTCGGGGCAACAATTCCAGTCCACAGAGGTTTCGGCCACCACGATGCCGGGCCAACAGGGACTTGCATTAGGACATCAAGATCAGTTCTTAGCTTCCGACGACAATGTATTCGATGAGCTCAAAACGACCCGAAGCACTAGTTGGCAATACGAGCTTCGACAAATGGAGAAGCGAAATCGATATCTTGCAGAGGAGGTGCAGAGTCTCCTGGCGGCTAAGAAGAAGAGGAAGAGAAGAAAAGGTGCTGGGCAACTGCAAAAGGATTGCGCCAACTGTCACACGCGGACCACGCCTGAGTGGCGACGGGGTCCTTCTGGCAATCGAGATTTGTGCAATTCTTGCGGACTCCGATGGGCCAAGCAAGTGAGTTTCTCCCCTTCATGAATCATGCTTTCCTTCATGTCGTCAGGACAATTTGTTGACAATTTTATAGAATGGCCGCGTATCGCCCAGGAACTCTTCACAACATTCGCAGAGTGACAAGAGCAAGAAGAGCGTGTCCCCACGCCATCCGTCTATGCTGTCAAATCCCATCCAGGAATCGGAAGCCCAGCCATCGATAGGGGCGACGCTCGCCCATGGCGAGAAGCGGACTCCACAACAGACCAGCAGCGATAGCCACGCAGCGAAGATTGCACGCATGGAAGGCTCCGCCCCACAAGGATACGGCGGCGGAGTGCCCGCGAAGATCGAGGAAGCTGTGGAGCCACCAGACTGAGCCTGCCCATTCGGAACACCATCCTATCTATTCCATTTTTCTAATCTCTTTGACGTCTGGATCTGAATGCCCCGCATTCAAAATGAAACGATACCCCTGTCGGCGTTCTCCCTACTTACCATGTCTTTTCCTTTTGGTTCCCGACCTTTCTCTGGGCACGGATAGACGATCTAGACGATCTAAATTCCCATTGGCTTGAATTTGATCTGGAGGTTTGTTGTCTGCTTGTATTGCATATATTCATGTTGCGCAGCCAGCACATTTTCTTCGTTTTTGTTGCACCTGTACCTACCAAACACAGACTTCCTTGTGGAGGCGGCATCGTTCCGAGCTGTTATGAGGTACAGATGGCTAGTGCGATTTTTTTTTAAAGATGGGCGGCTCTGGCACTGGGGAGGGCGCCGTTGCGGGTGCTAGGGAACCGTGGGTTCGAGAAGAGACAAGCTCTTCGCAATCATACGGGTGGTGGCTTCAGCGTGTGCGATTTAAGAATACAAGATACCAATTTATATATCATGACCGTACATATAATTACATTCTTACATTGACAAAGCCTGGCCCAAGACCGCGTATACCGTATGCAGTGATAGTTGATGAGAGACCGCTTTCGAATATGGTTTACTGATCACAGGGTACATAGCACAAGTAGATAAAAGGCCTTTAAAATAGTCGACGATGATGCGGAAGTTGGACTAATGGACTTACGGGTTGAGATCCTTGATGAGCCCAATTGGGGACCTGGCACCTGGGTAAACCCTACGAGTACCTAGGCTCGGGTGCATATCGTTCTGCGGCCTGCGGTCGCCTGGACCCCCTTGTTGTTGGATGAAGCGGCACGCGAGCAAGCGACGGATGGCTGCTTATTCTTCGTTTCGGCAATTGTAATGCTTGCGAGGGGGACACCAGGGGGGTAATGGATTCATCACAGTGCATGTGCAGCTAGACGACTGATGTGGAGTTGTTGATAAGGTATTACTGCACTTACCTACTGTGACAGTATTGTAGGTATTCGATTCTGATCCCGTCGCGAATGTTGATGAGTGCAAGCAGCTCTGGGATGTAACTGCACACATCTGCTCCGCACTCCGTACACTGTGAGTCGAAGATGGATGTTTAGTATTCTGTATCGAACTGCTCATAATGTGATCAATCAAGTCTTCGTACTCTGTTTTCATGCACAAAAATCCGCACCTCATAGACATTATAAATCCTCTGTTGCATGCCTCTCGAGTATCCAATCATTTGGTTTCGTCTTTGAATGGTGTATCTATGTGTAAATTGTTGTATGTACGGTATGAGTACAGTATGCAGGTGACTCCCCACTTGAGGATGAAACAGATGTAGGTCTATGCCATACTGTGTATGGCTTCAATTGCTCCTATCACAGGTTGGGTTGACGAGTCTTTGCGGGATACTGTGCCTCAACTGCACTGTGCCATCCACCAACCCAACCAATCCACATACACGAAGCTGCAAAAGATCCAAGCTCCCAGCTCCCAGCTCCTAGCAGGGCTGAACATAGGGAGAGAGCTACCGTATTAGATGAACGCAGCGGGACACCTCCGAGGTTCGAGCGTATCAACAGGCGTTAGGCGGGCGTTGACAAGGACATGGGTACCAGACATGGGTTAATTGCGGTTCGAGGGTTCTAACTTCTGAGAGTCGGACACGGCCAGTTTTACAAGGGTTGAATGGTTGAAGGGTTGAAGGCGAAAGGGAAAAGGGAAAGGGTTGCTGTCCAAGGACCAAGGGTGGGTGTGTGTGTTGTTGTCAGTGCCAGACTGCAAGTGTCGTGTCAGTGTCAGTGCCAGTGCAGATACCGTCGTCCCTCATTCATTTCGCTCTTGCTTTCTCTCTTCATCCTCTTCTTGTCTCCCAATTTCCACCTCCTCACGATAATTTTCTCAGCCTCTTGAATCTTGACCCTCCCACTCGTTCTCCACGTATCGTACCTCAGCCAGACCGTTCGCTACCATCTACCTACCATTCCAAGCTACTCGTAAAAGTACCCTCCTCACCTCGGCACGCTTTAAACCTTTCACCCCCTACGTTCGTGACTAAACCAGTCGCTACCTTACGATTTCCAAAAAAATAAAGTTTGGCGCACCGGTTCGCCCGCCATAAACCAAACCATAAACCTCCGTCGTGTCCAATTGGGCGCGGAAAGCCGTTGCTGCACCGAGCGAGCTATCGGGAGTCTCGAAACTATAACAGCAATAATCATACAAGAATAGATAGTACATACATACATACCCGGACTGTGTGTACTGTAGCGCTGCGTACGGCGGAAGTGGCACCGTCATTTATCGGTACCTGGATTCACCAATTTGCGATCACGCACCCCCTGCGAGCCCAACTGCCTCGCAAATCAATTTTTCTTTTCCTTTTGGAAACAGATAGATACTCTTGCGAAAGAAAAGATGGACCATAACAATCGGATAACCATCACTGTGTGTGGTGATGGTGGATGCGGTATGCGACTCGGCGTGTAGCAGGACCCCCGACTTTGGGGGGTTCAGAGATGTCTCATTCATGCAGACAGAGCTGATGAAAGGTTGCGCCTAGGTAAATCATCCATCACGTTGCGCCTGGTTAGAAGTCAATGGACACATGAGTGAGTAACGAATCGTTTGCCAGATATTCCAAAAATGTTCATTATCGCTGATTGGTATTCTCTCTTTGGCAACTTCTAGATATGATCCTACGATAGGTACGCGCTCCTCCTGCCCGACCCCATACTAAGAAACATCGCGGTCGCAAACTTTCGCACAGAGCTGAGGTGCACGCATGGCCCTCACGAGTTTCCCTCCGCCAGCGCATTTATTCCAATCCTCCCTTAACCCGTGACCCGAAATCATGTCTAACGTTTTCACGCAATAGAGGATTCGTACTCCGTGACCCGCACGATAGATGGCACGCCATACTTTCTAATGCTCACCGACACCGCCGGACAGGAGGAATACCGCGGACTCTGGGCAGCCTCGAACCTCAAATCCGATGCCTTCCTCCTCGTCTATGACATCACGAACCCATCCTCCCTCGATGCGCTCGAATACTTTATGGAGATGATTGAGATGGAATCGGACAACCGCATAGACAGCGGCGAGGTGCCGCCGGTGACGATAGTCGCGGGAAACAAGTGCGATCTTCAGGCAGCGAGGCAGATTAAGAGCCCACAGGGACTGGAGTGGGCGCGGAAGAGGCAATGCGGGTTCATGGAGACTAGCGCTAGGGACATGGTTAACATCGAAGAGACGTTTGCGCGTAAGTTTCTTTCTTTCAAACGAAGACGGGCGACAAGCACTCGGCGATTGGGCGAGAAAGGGATTGCTAATTGTATCCTGCAGTACTCGTCAGGCGCGTTGTAGAGGCCAGGCGACTGGCATCGGGCGATACTGCAGCCGCCGCCCCTCCCTCGCGAACTGTTGGCTTTGCTCCCAATAACGAGAAGGGCAATTCGATACTAGATGCATCTACCGACGAGAAACGAGGGGGCGAAGGGTCGGAACATGGCTTCTGGAGCAAGCTCAAGTGCTGGTGATCAAAGAACCCTGGAGTCGATCACGAAGAGCGAAAGTAACCGCCATTTTGGGACGTGTATGATCACGCTTTAAAGAGAGAGGAAGAGGGAGGGAGAGAAAGAGAGGTACAGGCCATGATAGCTTCCCTCAAAAGTGCTCCAAGTACAGTGCGCGCTCGTGGGGTTCCCGGGGTTTGTTTACTTTTCCCTGTTGGTTCATTGTCCATTTTCTATTGTTTATTGTACGGAGTGTTTGGTGTCCCTTGTTACGCATTTCTGGCATCTTCTGTATTATTACATATCTATTGGAGCGTTTCGGCGCCGGAGGGGCGCTGCGGGGGGAGGGAGAGCGGTTTCGTGTTCTTTTGGAGGTTGCTGGAGGATATCTGATGGGGATATCAATTCGTCATGGCGCACATTCACGGGAAGGCTGAATGTGCTCGGATCTCTTAGATTTAGTCATGTTTGGTATATTCATGATTGGAGAGAAGGGGAGAAACAGATTCGAATATATTTGCGTATACCATGCTGTTCTGTGTCGTCATTGAAGGTACCAATGTATATACTGTGTACGGAGTAGTAGATGTCGGATATTGGCGGTGGACATCTAGGCGGGTGTTGCCGCCGAGTCGCCGACCCAAATCACGTCAACCGTCGGATAAAACTGGCAATTCTCTAGTAACAGCTTTTGAACATTATCTTGTCTACTAAGACTTGCGATTGTGACAGCTCCCTCGCCCGGAATAAATTGCCCAATTGCCCTGTCCTATTACCGCTCTTTCTTTCACTCTTTCTCCAGTACTTTGGCTCCGCAGGAGTGAGGAAGCACACACCAGAAGCGTTTACGGCGTATAGTTTGGATCTATCAGTCCCCGCGATTCGGCGCTGGCTCGCTCCCTGTGTTCGCGATAAGAAACGAGCACCGCAGAAACAGAAACAGAAACACCAAATATCACCACAAAACCAGGTTAGGGAGACTTCATAACCCGGGAATCGGATCACCAGTGAGCGATTGGATCGATCGCCGGCCATGTCGCTGGATGTGCATGATGCGCTGGAGCTCCCAGACCAGGGATTGAAGAGGACGCTGAAGGACTTGTTTGCTGGCGCTGTGGGGGGTGTTGCGCAGGTTCTACTTGGTATGTTAACTTTTCGCAAGAGATTTGGTCGCCTGAAGCCGTACTCAAGGCTCATGGAAGACTATACTGGTGCAAATTCAAACTACGGCTAGATATTGCTGGTCGTATGTTCAAGCCAGGAGTTTGGTGGAAAGGGTCGATCAATCTTGAAGCTACCATGACATTTGCTAACCACGATAACCAGGTCAACCTTTCGGTATGTCTATACGAGTGCCTCGAGTTCTCAATTTGCGAATGTCCCTGGTGGAGCTAATCATGTTGCTATAAAGATATTGTCAAGGTCCGACTGCAGACTACAACGCAGTACTCGAACGCTCTCGATGCCGCGACCAAGATCTACAAGAATGAGGGGCCGGCAGCTTTCTATAAAGGAACGCTGACGCCACTGATTGGAATTGGAGCTTGTGTTAGTATATCCATAATCCTTGCGCGCAATTGCTCGACATGGAGAAGGGAAATAGACACGGACTGACACATCACAAAGGTCTCTGTCCAATTCGGGGCCTTCCACTACGCTCGCCGCGCCTTCGAAGCACGCAACACCGAGTTGCATGACAACCATCATCTCTCCTATGGGCAATACTACGCAGCGGGAGCCTTCGCCGGTATTGCCAACACGGTGCTCTCCTCGCCCATCGAACACATTCGCATCAGGCTGCAGACACAACCCCACGGCGCCGCGCGCCTCTACAACGGACCCATCGATTGCATGCGAAAGCTATCCGCCCACGAAGGCGTCCTGCGGGGTCTCTACCGCGGCACGGCGGTTACTTATCTGCGTGAAGCACAGGCGTACGGTGCGTGGTTCTTGGCCTTCGAGTACATGATGAACGCGGATGCGAAGCGCAACAACATCAAGCGCGAGGACATCAGCACGCTGAAGATTGCGATGTACGGCGGGTTGGCGGGCGAGGCACTCTGGATCACCAGCTACCCCTTCGACGTTGTGAAGAGCAAGATGCAGAGCGACGGGTTCGGCGAGCAGATGAAGTACAAGAGCATGAGGGATTGCTTTGCAAAGACATGGGCGGCCGAGGGAGCAAGAGGTTTCTGGAAGGGTATCGGACCCACGCTTTTGAGGGCCATGCCAGTCAGTGCTGGCACGTTCGCTACGTAAGTTCTTTCCTTCCCATTGTCATGCCATCTTCTCTTTCCTTTTCATTTTCTTTGCAAGGGAGTTTCTTTGGGACATTCGATCAGCTGACCATTAATCTGCCAGTGTCGAATTTACGATGAGATTGATTAGCTAAGGATATGGGATGTTCTACATCCGCATGCATATTTGCATACCAAAAGGAAGAATAATCAGTGAGAACAAGGGACCACCATGAATACGATCTCACATCCACATACCGTACGATTGGTACTGGTGACTATGTACGGGTATTGTACTGCATCAGCCGGGGCTCTCACCAAATCACATACATAGACACGCACAATGATACCTACCTAGTTGAATGGCCCGTGACAGAACGCACAGGATTAGATCGTACGCCAAGATGCACGGATTTCTAAGTATTGTTGGAAGAGTTAATTACCCCTGGCTATTGATACGGTGATGCCAACCCTACCTAGGTACCTATCTAATTTACTAGGTCTTTCCTGTGAGTTTGCTTCGATATGCAGTACCCAGTTGTTTACTCGGTAGACCACAGACAAGTGGTGTGCATGGAAATATCCATGTCCGGAATAATTATTTGCTGTGTAGGTATTCCATGCAAAGACGTGGGCCGAGCAGAGTGGTGGGAATTATCAGGAACTTCTCACCAATGTCAACAATGCAAGAATTGTTTAGACGAACATACCACATGCACATCACGTCATACACAGTACACTTCACAAGATGGAAGACGAACTCTCTTCCATCACTTGCAATTAATTCTACTCACAGTCACGTAAATGAAATGTTCCAGTGCTTGTCGTTTTGCATGAACCGTGAACCGTGTGCTGGTCTATCCTTCATCTCTTCCCGTAGTTTGGTTTAGTCTCAGCGCCAAATATTGGATGGATATGGCCCATCCTGAGTCCTGACCCGAGGCATGGGAACCGCCCCATCCCATCCCGCGTGTGGGAGGGAGCGGGTGGGAAATAAATGGATACTCCGTTCTCCGTGCCTTTTCTCTAACAATTTGGTTGGTTCTTAACTCTTTGCTTAGCCTACTGTGTAGGTGGATGGTTAGTTACCAACCAGGGGGGAATAGTGTCTAATTCTCTTATATCGCTATGGCCCAAGGGTGTCCCAATCCAAGCTAGCCAGCTCGATCGACTGCATCCAACTCCAGATCACATTTGCATTAATTAATTCTCGAATCAACTCCGTACTTGCATGAACCTGGAAGGATTCAACAGTTGCTGCACGATGTCCGGGTCGAGACTTTTCTTACAAAGTACAGCAAGTAATAGGACAGAACAGAGACAGTATCGAGGAATTGCTGATGAATGAAATTTGGGGCCACCGCAATGATGTCAAATTCTTTTCCTGCTGGTGAGGAACCACCATGCAAATTTCCACAGAAACTCTATTGCCCAGCGTTCTGTCTCTTCTGGCTCTTCTGGAATGTCCGTAACCGTTTATCCGTGCCCTATTGTGGCGTGTCATGGGCTCGTGGCGTGCGCCGGGTGTCCGTATACCCTTGACATGCTCTGCCCCAACTGAAAGGGAACTGGAGAGGGAAGGTGGAATGGAATTGAATTGGGATCATTGCCCACGGTCGACCCATCCAACCCATGCCCATCCTCGTCTGCGGCACACGGTATGTAGGTGCCCGCACGCGCGCACCCTCTACCTGCATAAATGCGTCCGCGATGAGCGTGGTAGGGCTTGGATAACATGGATAGCATGGATAGTAGGGACAACATGGCATGGCATGGGGGGAGGGGCGGCTTGGGTTTGGGTTTGGGTGTGCTGAGGCGGGACATCCCCCGAAATTTCGACTGTGATTGATTAGGTATTATTCTTATTGCTTTACCTTTTAGTATCGATGGCTTCCTTGTGCATGTGAGGCGGGTTGTTTCTCTTCCATTCTCTCGCTCCATTTTCTCCCTTTCCTCTACCCTTCTGGCCGATGTTTACAGCGAGTGAGTACCTCTGTTGACTGATGCTTGCTTGGGCTCCGAGGCGATGCGATTGATCGAAAGCCTGCCTGGACAGCTCTCCGCGCGCACTGGAACAACGTCATTCCACGAATAGATACGGGCGAAAAGAGACAGAGAGGAGAGGTCCATAAGAGATGGCTACTGGCTTGACCACCACGGATTTGAGGACCGATCCATCCAAATCATCCACCAGGACAACGACGACAGCTACCAGCACGATAGATAAAATGGATAGAGGGGAAAAGAAAGGGTTTAGAAGATCTTTGAGAAAATGGAGGGACCGAATGAAGAGTCAGAAGAAAATTGCGACAACATCAACATCACCATCACTTGCCAGACACAATGAACAGACCTCATCGCAACAACAGCAACGGGAGGCCCCAATCACCACCTCCCAAACCGTCAATCCTTTCCCACCAACCACTCAGACGATCATCTCCTCACCTCTGGACCGACGGAGCAGCCAAGCATCATCACCAGCTATCCTCCCCTCCAAACCTTTCGCAACAAGGCGCAACACGGCACCAGCCGATTACTTTTCCTCCCAGCCCACATCGGCCACATCCAAGACGGCGGTCGCCCCCATCAACTCCATCACGACTACCATTAGCGCCAACACGCCTGCTAAGAAAGGACTCCGATCTCGACTGTCTGCATCCTTCTCCTCCTCGTCCGCCACCGCCGCCGCATCAGTAGCCCGGACCTCAAGCCCAGTCCCTCCTCCGACCTCGACGTCGACCTCTTCAAGACGTAGCAGCATCCGGCCTCAGCCCATCTCGCCTACGCCGTCCGCGCCCAACCCGGTAGACCATCCCAACCGGCGGGCGACATTCCAGTTCACGACGGCGGCCGAGATAGCGGCGCAGACGAAGCTGGACAGCGAGAAGCTGAAGGCCGCCGCGGAGGTCATCCGGAGGGACAAGCCCAAGGACTGGATGGATCCGGCCTGGAGGGACAAGGAGGACCGGGAAGTGGCGAGACTGAAGAAGGTCATGGAGGAGGAGGGCAACGATGTCGGGGTTGCGCCGCTGAGGGCGAGCAAGAGTGGGGAAGACGGGCCGCTGAAGAGGTGGGAATGGGGCAGGTGACGTTTCTGCTGAGGAATGTGTCTTTCTTATCCTTTTCCATTCTTTCTACTTTTTTTTTGTGTGTCCTGCGTTTCAGCGATCTTATCATTTTATATTGCGTGCAGCGCGTGTGGAAACATTGGAACGGATGTTTCTAGGTGAGCATCTGTCAGTCAGTGAGCCAGTCGGTCGGAAGACTAGTCATTCCTTTCATGTATATCTTTTTCTCTTCTCTATTTTTGTTTTTCTCCCCATCTACCTCTAGGGAATAAGGCTGGGAGGGCTTCCATACATAGGCGGCGACAGTACATTAGGTATCTATAGGTGGCATATTAGTTGAAGGTAATTGGGACCATTTTCGAGTCGCCAAAGTTTGGTTCACGGCGGCGTCCGTCACTACGAGTAGCTTCCCCCCTTCTCCGTACGCTCGGAATCTTTGTCCGTCCATTGTAGATTGGGCGATGACTGGTGTATTGTTTGTTGTACTCTGCCTCGTGGGTGAACATACGAAAGAAGAAAAACAAAGTTGAATCCGTCATCTACATGATATGCACCAGCCATGTCCCCACGTGTTCCCGAGGTAGTCCAATACATACATTTGACTACCATACATTTGACTACATGATATGGGTTCAATTGCACTACTATACCTATACATCTGAGAGGTGCGCATGTTTTTCCCCTCTTGGAACGTACGCCCTGTATTCTGTATGCGTAATCGTACATGGGGAGTCACGGAGTTTAGTTGTTCAGACAGGGCCGGAACCCCGCCACCCATGGATACATTGCCATTACGAGTACTGTGCCTTGTCGAAACAGTATTCAAATGGTATGAGATGGGGTAGAATGGGGTGCTTCCAAGCATTGCGGACCCTGGCTCATGGGACAATTGTGGCTTGGAAAACGTCATGGACGACCTGGAATGCGGGATTTGAAACCCAAAGAGTGTACCTGCTAGTAGATTATAAGTAGCTTGTAATGTAGATAAAATAAGCAGTATCTACGTGGGAAGTTGTTACAGTCCAACTTCCATTTGTTTACTCTTCCCATCAATACTGGAATATCTAACACACACGCACACGAACGATGAAGTCCACTTTCGTCACGTTTTGTTCGCTCCTCGCGACAGTGGGGAATATAAATGTGCTGGCACAGACAGCTCCAGGATTTCCAATACAAGTATCATCGTCGTCAAGCCCTTTGGGAGTTACGTATGGATCAAATGAGGTCTCTCCTCCTGGCGAATTGTTACCTAGACCTGGTATGTGTACTCCTACTTACGCTTGCACCTTCATCTTCACCTATGAGTACTAGTACTCGTGAATGTCCATTGAGCACCCTGTAATGCATTGCCAATGGATAAAAGCGTGTTGAGATATTTACCTGACCTGACCTGACCATGCATCAGACACTCTCAATCCACCCAACATCAGTTCGTCTGCGCTGGGGTCGGATGAACGAGGGGTGCTCCTGATAGTAGACAGCGACGTGCCCAGGAACGGGACGAGGGTGGAACTTCTGCACTGGCTGGTGTCCAACGTGACGGTGAACAGCCAGAGCAATTCGAGCGGTGCCCTCCTGATTCCGGGTCCCGGCGAGGCGCCGTACTGGCAACCGTCCCCTCCGGTGGGCGATGTACCGCACGCTTACAGCTTCATACTCTTCTCCCAGCCCGACAACTTCTCGATCCCGGAGCAGTTCAATGGCGTGCTGCAGACTAGGGTGTTCTTCAATGTGTCCAACTTCGTCGCGGCGACTGGTCTGTCGGGCAGGGCGCTCGCGGGCAATTACATTCGGGTTCAGAACTTGACGGGAAGTGCGACGACGACATTCCCGCCGCCCAGGCCTACGAATGGAACGAATGGCAACAACAGTACAGGGACTCAGACGCCTGAACCATTCCCAGGAGGTGGATCCGTGGTGGTCGTTGGAGGGGGCATAGGAGGAGGGTTGCTAATGTGGGCGATGATTGTAGGGTCATTGATTGCGGGTATTGCAGCTGTGGGATTGTGAACAATCATTTCGTATGAAGTAGCCAGTGCATGAGGCCAGTAACAACGATGATGATTGCTGTTATTCTACAATTACTATCAGATGACGATTCATTACTACAGGACTATCATTGATCTAAGTACAGCTCTGCATCGTTCATGTCTTACGAGTAACGTGTAATGTGTGTAGAATGAATGAATGAGAAGACGATGACCGAGATCGGCTCTTGTGTCATCGCGGGGTCCTCTTTTGTGTTTTGGCGGGGGAGGGGCAATCAATCAACTGTGACTATGGAGAAAATATACACACACAGAGAGAGAAAGACAGAGAAAGATTATGGTGATGATTGACAATCAATTCCAATTTGAATTACTTGTCCATTGTCTCCCTCCGCCATACCCAGCTGGATTCTTCGCGTTACGTTTGCGTCTTCGTTCAAACCTTGACTCTGATCGATCCGGCCGCGCGATTCTGATCCGATTGGCTCCTTCTCGTGTACTTCATGTGTATCACCTACATACTCCGTACATACAAAAGGAAAAGGAAAAGGAAGAGGTGAATAGAACAACAGAAAGAAGAGGGTTTGACCATACATGCTCTCCCAAAACAAAATGAGAATCATCGTGTGCCTATCTGAATACCCGAATGCCTACTTGTATACCCAGGTACGTATATTAAGAGACAGACGGCAGCCTTGCGACATCTGAAAACATTTGCGGCAACACATGCTCGCTCTTTGATTGGACAACTACTTCACCATTTTTTTCAACCTTCTTTCACCCTCTACACTCTACCGAGTACTCGTACACTACGAGGCATTACTCTACACTACTTGGGAAAGAGTAGATATACAGGAATCCACTCACTACGGGCTGCTAATTCCCTCTTCCCCCGTACTCGGACCCCTCCATCCCTCATCTCTCTGACTCTGACTCTGAGATCTTTTTGATCTACTCTTCTCTGCTTTCGTTCGTGAACCAGTCAACCAACTAAAACTCCGCCCCTCCACGCCCCCACCAGTGGACCGGCGCCATCCACCCATCCGCCCATTCATCTATCCTCGAATTGATTCAAATACCCTCTCCGCCGTCCGCCTTCCCAATTGCCCGTCTCTTTTTCTCTTCTTTCCTCTCTTAACCCGCAACCATGTCGGTTACGGCCATCCTCGGCGCCCAATGGGGTGACGAAGGCAAAGGAAAACTTGCCGACATCCTCGCACACGACTCCCAGATCTGCTGCCGCGCACAAGGTGGTAACAATGCTGGCCATACCATCGTCGCCAACGGCATCACCTACGATTTCCACATCCTGCCCTCCGGCCTCGTCAACCCCGGTTGCATAAACGTCATCGGAAGCGGTTGCGTCGTACACATCCCCTCCTTCTTCAAGGAGCTCGCCGCCCTGGAGAAGCATGGCCTCGACACCAAAGGTCGCATCTTCATTTCCGACAGGGCGCACGTCGTCTTCGACGTCCACCAGCTCGCCGACGGCTTGGAGGAAGTTGAATTGGGCGAGGGATTCATTGGTAGGGTACCCTGTTTGATATTTCTATTTCCATACAGAGGAGAAACTATGCTAACATAATTTTTGTCGATTAGGTACCACCAGGAAGGGCATTGGTCAGTGACGACTCATTCGGAATGATACATCGCAATACACAGATTGACTGACATTAAACCTCATTCAAGGCCCAACCTACAGCTCAAAAATGACCCGAAGCGGTCTCCGCGTCTGCGATCTCTTCGATGAGGCAATTTTCGAGACGAAATACAGGAGGCTCGCGAACGGGTACAAGAAGCGCTTCGGCGATCTCCTGAAGCATGATCCTGAAGAGGAACTCGCAAAGTTCAAGGTTGGTAACCCCCCAATTGGACATTTCCATCTTTGCGTCGCCCCCAATTGACACAATCCACGCAACAGGAATACCGCGTCCAGCTCCAAGAATACGTCGTGGACCAGATCCCTCTGCTTGCATCCGCCAAGGAAAAGAACGCAAAGATCCTCGTCGAGGGCGCAAACGCCTTGATGCTGGACATCGACTACGGAACATATCCATTCGTCACATCGTCCAACACCGGTCTCGGCGGTGCCCTCACTGGACTTACGCTTGGATGGCGCTCCCTCAAGGAGGTCATTGGTGTTGTCAAAGCATACACCACTCGTGTCGGATCGTAAGGCGTCACTCATTCTTTCTCACCAACGTTCCCCCCTCCTCCAAGAACAAGAAGCTCGAACAGTCCTGCTAACAGCACCTTAACACGTACAGCGGCCCCTTTCCTACCGAACAACTCAACGAAGTCGGCGAGAGGCTTCAAAAGATCGGCGGCGAGGTGGGCGTGACCACTGGCCGCAAGCGCAGGTGCGGCTGGCTCGACCTCGTGGTGCTCAAGCACTCGCACGCTTGCAACGACTACACGGCCTTGAACCTCACTAAGCTCGACGTCCTGGACGACTTCGACGAGCTCAAGATCGCGACCTCATACTCGGTCAACGGCCAGCAGATCGAGGGCTTCCCCGCCAACCCGGAGACCCTCGCCAACGTCGAGGTCAACTACGAGACCCTCCCCGGCTGGAAGAAACCCACCACCGGCGCAAAGAGCTACTACGACCTCCCCGCCCCCGCGAGGAAATACATCGAGTTCATCGAGCAGTTCGTCGGCGTCAAGGTCAAGTGGATCGGCGTCGGTCCCGCCAGAGAGCACATGGTTTCCCGGTAACAATAGACGATACAAGTAAGGGGATGGGAAGAGGGCAACCATGGTTTGTGTGAGTGGGAAAGGTGAGGTTTTTATTCCGCGCGCGCAAACAAACAAAATACCCGGAGGTCATCGAATGATATCTTTTGGACAAAGGAATCGTAATGGTCCGTGGGAAAAGCCCGGTAGGTTTCGTTCTACGCGTCTCACATATGACTCCTCGATGAAATGCGCCCTTTTCTTTCCGTAGCAGTACTTTTCTATACATATAGGGGAACAACCACGTACAAACAAAAGAAAAGGATAGACTAGAAAAATCATTCAAATTCCCTAGACAATGAATGTCATTATATTTCTTGAACCCTATAGGCACTCTCTCACGTGGATGTTTCGGTGTATCATTACAAAGGACGGATACACTGTCATTATACATGGCCAGCGGCGGCGAGGAAAAAGTTACAACGCTAGATGTAGCAAGAAAGGATGCTGGAAAGTAAATGATTATGGATAGCGGTATCTAAGAGTACGTTGATATTGGTTTCTCTCCCCGCCCAGAATATATCAAAAACGAACTTTGGCAAAAGGTACAACAACGTATCTCTATTCACGTTGTCGTCTAATCTGCGATGAATTACTGTACTATCAGACATATGCCCCTTCATGCAACGAGACAACTACAACACTACTGTCGTTTCTTTCTGGCCCGAAATTCCCCACCACAACGACAGTGCCCCAAATGAGAACATATATATCAAAGTCCGAAAGAGAAAAAAATTAGTCCAAATCATCGGGGCTCGTTTCTTGCGTCGTTGACGGTTTCGGCTTCTCTGAGGGGTAGAAATCAAGCTTGCCGCTCTGCTGGATGACCCCGAGGCGGTCGTACAGCGACCTAGCACGAACATAAGGATCCAACTTCCAGTAGTTGGAGCGGAGCTCCTCGGCGATGGTGTCCCGCTCTTTCCTCCTCTCCTCTAGACTCTTAGTCTGGGAGTCGCCATCGTGAATCCAGTGCAGGATCGAGCTCTCGTAGTTCTTGAAGAGCTGGGCCCTTGCGGTTTGTATGGCTTCCCGGCCCGCTTCGTCCTTCATCTGGTTGTTCTCTCCCGCGACGGGTTCCGGGTAGGTGTATTCCCATTTCTCGTCTCCGCCGCACTCGGTCGGGATCTGGTTCTTGGGTATGAATGCCTCGAGCTCCTCTACCGTCTTGCAGAAGTGGACCTTGCCGGCGACCACGGGGTCGAGCCAGCCTCGGATGATGCTCCAGATGGTATTGAACAGCCAGGGGGCCTTGTAGACGAGAACCGCTCCGAGGGATTCGGGATAGTTTGCTTCGAAGCACTTGATCATAAACTTTACGGGGGCATAGTCCATGTTCGCCATTGAGAAATTGGTCATGTCGAAAACAATGGTCTGGAAACACGTCAGTCATTGGCTTAGGGTGCAGGATCGAACGGAAGTTAACTTACGGCAGTGTCGACGGGCGGCCTCAAGAGCATCCTGGCGGTTTCAATGGTATAAACGGTGAAGCGCTCTATGCTCTCCTCGCTCTGCTCGCCCTGCTTGTGAAGTCGCACCCTGACGAAGCACAACGGGCGGCCCTCCTTGTCGAGCCCGTGCAAGAAACTCTTGCCCATCCTCAAGGCGGCGAGGAAATCCTCCCCGTCCTTCTTCGTCTTCGCATCGGAACTCTGGCTCTGTTCGTATGCGAAAAGCTCACCCTGCCGGATGATGTCGTCATCCACGTGCATCTCTTCCAACCGCCAGTGCATTGTTGAAACCATCATGACCAGCGCCTTCTCGACATCCCACTTGCGGGCGCGCAAGAACCGCAGAAGGAGCCCATCCGGGTGATCGTGCTTGACCATGCTCCAGAAAGCCTTGCGCAAATCCTCGGGCGCCATGTTCGCCAGCGCGGCCTTGAACTCCTTCGTCTGCCCGTGCTTGTCATCCTCGTCCGCTATTGAAAGCGAGCTGATGTCTGTCGGCGTGGCCGTCCCCGAGGCAGGCGCGGAGTCGGACTTGGCCTCCTTGTCGTCCTTGTGCCTCTTAAACACATTGAGCCGACTCTTCTTCTTGTCCTTGTCCTTCTTGCCATCCTTCTCTGCGCTGTCCGTCGACGCTGCAATTGACGTTGTGTCTGTCCCGTTGGGTTCCTGCGCTGCGACGGGCTCGTGAACGCCAAAGACTCTTAACGTCGCGGCCCAGAGCTCTCGAAGCTTGAGCTCCTGCTCGGGTGTGAGCGTTCCCGGCCGCCCGGCGGGCATGTTCGGGGCCATTATGAGGTACGAATCGGTTATGTAGGAGATGTCGAAGTCAGCGGGTACGTCTGTCGCCAATTGGTCCCTGTTGTTCGGGGACTTGGTAAGAGGATAGAGGATGGCACCAGCGACCGCAATGCCCAAGACGACGATAACCGCGCTGAGTGTGGAACCGCTATGTTTGACAGGGACGGTTCTCGCGGTCTGATGGTACCCGGATCGTAGCACTCGTGGTAGTGGTAGAGGAGGGGAGACCAAAGGAACGATTAGCGAGCAAGGTATTTGATACTTCCTAAGAAAATGCCCGCGTGCCGAGAGAGAATATGAAGAGGAAGAAGAGGTCGACGCTAAGTGGGGTAGATGTAGTAATCTCGTGGATGCGCGGCTACGACAGTACATGTACATGTAGGTAGGAAGAGTGGAGTATATAGGTAGGAGAAGAGAGACTCCGAGAGGGCGAGGAGGTGGGCGGAGTACAGTGTGCAGTGCAGTGCAGTGTGCAGTGTAGCTAATTACATACAGCTGCTTATGGAAGGGAAAGGCAAAGGCAAAGGCGAGCAGTTTGAGAAAGCAAATTACTCGTATTCTGACAGACCAAACGATCCCGGCACAGTCGGAGGGGCGGAGCAGGGAAGTTCTGTGTTAGATGCTACTTTGGGACTTTGGGCTGCCTCGTCGGTGGATGATGGGCGGACGAATCGAAGGCCCGGCGCGCAAGGAAGTGCACGGCGTAAATGTATGTATGTATGTACGAGGTATATGTATGTCGTGATGACGGCAGCAGTCGTAGTTGTCGTCGTTCTTACTTGTGAGGATTGGATTGCGCTGAGTGATCTACTTGACGACAACAAGACTTGGAGAGGGAAATGCCGTCATCGTCATAATTCTAAAGCCATACTGTGTAGTCATAGCATTAGGTACCTTGGCCATAAGTTACATAGTCACGAACTTACAATTGCAATGGGGAAGTTAAAATATGAGTGGGAGCTTGAATGGGTTTAGCGCCTATTCTAATTAGACAGAGAGATATCTGGGGATTTGTTTTCCCCTCCTCTTTGCCTCTGCTCGTATCAAAACAACCAACAAACATGACCGAATGACGGACTTTTGACCAAACATTGGACATTGCACGATCGAAAATCGACAATTGAAATCCCACGAACCCCCCTGGAAAACATCATCCATCGTACAATAATACACTTCACCACCAACACTACTCTACCCCTCTCCATACATACAAGGACCAAACCACCAAATAAACAACCATGACCTCCACAACACCGCAAGCCGAACCCCCATCGACAATCCGCCAGTCACGCCCGCCACGTCCTCGCTCCAAGTCCCCTCGCTCCCGCCCGACAACTCCCCTCCGACCTTCCTCCCGCTCCTCTCTCCGCGACAGCGCGTCTCGCGTCCGGGGTCCCTACGCCCCCGGCTCCGTATCCCCCCTCGAGCTCCTACAAGATGACTTCGCAGAGCTCTCGGACGCAATGGCCGACCTCGAGTCCAACTTCGTCCAGCTGCAGCTCATGCACGAGAGCCTGGCTCGCTTCTCCGAGAGCTTCGCGGGCTTTCTGTACGGCATGAACATGAATGCTTTTTGTGTGGATTTCCCAGAGGTATGTCCATTTTCTCTATTCATGTCTCCGGAAACTACGCAGGTTTGAGAGCATACATGTACTGACATTCCGGACCGCCAGACCCCAGCGCCAGAATCCTTCAAGCGGCCCCAGAACCAACCGGACTTCTCCTCCTCCATAGGGCCAGGAGGCGCAAACAACGGACAGGACCCCGCGGTGCCAGACGTCGAGGCCACGTTCCTGACGACCGACACCTCGTTCGTCGAGAACCCGCCTAGCAGCAAGAAGCCCGGCGCGTCCTCCAGGCTAGATGCGTCCGCTCCGCCTTCTAGGATAGGGAGGGGCAGGGGTATACCGAGGGCTGGTGGGAGGGCGGGCGGAGGAGGTGGGATTCCTACGAGGGGTGGAGCGCCGAGAGGGACGAGGGGGAGCACTAGGGGTGGAAGTGGCATTGCGAGAGGTGCGACGAGGGGAAGGGGGAGGGGGGTGTAGATGATGACTTCACGGCGTTGAAGAGGCCAATGAGTGGCCTTCTTGGTTCACACCACCCAATTCGCACTTGTCGTTTGTTGTCTAAATAAACAAACTCACTTGTAAGACTTCGACCGTAAAATGTCAGAAATGGTGTTTGTATGCTTCACGCACCAGTGGTCTAATGTGCATAGGATGTCAGGGAGAAGTGTATGTACATGGCTTTATTCATTTCATGGTTCGGATAGATACCCGGAGCTCTAACCAAGATCTTCCCAGTAAATCCCAAGAATAGATCGTGAGTTCCAGTATAACTATTCGATAAGACTATCTCCATCCAACAGGACAATTAGTTCATCATCTCATCATCTCGATTTCCTCCTCTACTTCCCCATCCTCTGACCAGCTCAGGGAGCTTTTCAGCCTCGACCCCAAACTGCAAAACAAACACATTCGTCAACGACATTAAGCATTACCTCCGCGTGTGTTCCTCCAAACGAGGAGAGGGATAGAGAGAAAGAGAAAGACCATAAAAATGTGTAAATGCAGCATTTCCGGGCGGTAGTCGCCGTTCCCATAGGAGAGAGGAGGTATCACTGCAAATGGTATCATAAAAGCAAAATCGTCATGAAGGCGAAACGGAAGGAAAAAAAGAAAACAGAGAACTCAAAAGGCTGGACACAGTAACCAAGGTCTGTGTCGCCTTTCGTCTAGGGGGTATGAGTGACTCCTGAGAGCGGACCGGACCGGACCTTCAAGGTCGAAAATTAGGATTAGGTGAATCCATTCCAGAGGAGAATTGATGGTCTTGTAAAAAGCAGCAACGATATGTCGGTCGATAGGAAATGTTCAAGCCAATGCACCGGCAGTGTGCTTGGCATATCGGGTGGTGCTCTCCTTGCGTACCGCCCAGCCCTTGATAGCGATCAAGACGGTAGTCCAGGCCATGAGGAGAGCCGTCAAGCCCATGGTGACGGTGAACGTGAACATGGCGTCCAGGTTGTACGACTCAAGAGCCGCAACAGTGTCCTTGTTGCTCACAATGAAGGTGATGCCACCGGCGATCAGGCAGAAGGAAGTGATGACCTCGGTAGGCGGGCGAGAGGGCAGGAAGGATGAAGGAGGAGAGATGAAGAGGGTGATGTAGGTGAGGCCACGGGCAAGAGCAAAGCCCATGAACATGCTACCCCACTGGGTGTGGATCATGGTAGACAGCATGGAAGCCTGGTGGTGAGAGCTCATCATCTTACCCAACAGCAGAATGATCAGTGCTGGCATGGGATTCATCGAAAAATTGTACTGTCTTGGCTGTTTCCATGCCTCGTCCTGCTGTTGGCCAACAGGCTGAGATGATAGGACGGATGAGTTAAGCAGCTCGCGCATCTTTCGCGATTCGACAATCATGCCCAACTAGCGCATCGGTGTTAGTGAATGGCCGCGCTAACTAACAGGCAACGAAGACAACTTACCAAACCACCACCAAAGAACATCACGGAGATGGAGACATGCTCCAAGTCCTGAGCAGTCCACGCATCTCCCCATGCAGCAAGATGCTCGAGGAATACATTTGTGCAGCCGTAGAGGAAAATGACGAAGGATTCGGTGAACTCGGCAGATGGTACACCCGCTTTCCGACGACCGACTACATCCTTGCATGGCTTCATGTTCCAAGCCCAGCCAAAATCCGCAAAGGCTCCCATCCAGCGGCCGAGAGTTAGAAGTCCATATCCGAAAAAGATGGCGCCTTTCACGTAGTGGGCAAGGACATTGAAGACAGCGCCGCCGTGCTAGAATCCATTGTCAGCCATCCGATAAAAGAAAAGAATCTTCGAGGGAGGGAAGGACTTACTGCAATACCACCATAGACCACAGTTCCGGTTGCAAATGCTACGAAACCTTGAACCAGGATAGTCCTCTCGATAACAACATAGAAGAAGCGAAGCCACTTGAGAGGACGACCCACTGCGAAGCGGGCGACATTTCGTGAGAAGAAATTGTCGACCGCAGTGTTACGCAAAAATTTCGGCTTCTCGGTCTCATCGAAAGCTTCGTCGTCGTCAGAAGTGTACCTCCGAGTGGGTCCACTGAAAAGATGCTCGTCCTCCTCGACGCTGGGAGACCTAGAGTGGCCGAAGAGAGATGCGGAGTTGCGCTCCGTACCCTGGCCCGAATCGTTCGAAAAGCGCGAAGGATCTGGAAGGCAATCTTGCACGCGCTGGTAGCGGGCCATGTTGGCCGTGGTCATGGGTTGGGTTTCGTCGTCTGTAGACTCGGGCGACGAAGCTCGGCCTGCATAAACCTGAACAAGAGCCATGAAAACCCAGGCTGAAGCGATCCAGGTAATGATCCATCCGGTCTTGCCGTGTGCATTGTTTGCATACATTTCGGGGGTTTTGTGGTTGTAGACCACGCCGAGCAATAGGGCGAAAGCATTGATGACGATGAACAGGAATTGGAAAGCCAATGCGAGCCGCGATCGTGCAATACTCAACATCACACCTGTTGAGATTGTTTAGTATGTGCCCTGCGCCATTTCCAATTGAATGCCGGAAGCTTCCGACTCCACTGATTTCGACTTACCGACGGGCAATGTAATGAACCACGCGAGGATTTCGAGACCGATATGCCAATACATGAGGCCTGCATGCTCAGAAAGCGCCCAGTAGCTCTTCGGTTCTGTGCCGGCTGGCACGGGTTTTGGCGCATCATGCATATCCATATTCATTCCTCCGTGCTCGCCATGCTCCTCGCCATTGCCATGGGCAAGAGCTAAAGGTAGAGCGCCCAATAGAAGCGCAGCAGCAGCTAGCTCCAATCCGCGTCCTCGCGCCATGTGTGTAAGTTTGGATGAGACTATAGGATATTGTGGTATCGGAGAGTAACGGATGTGGAGGTATAGATGTCTACTAGGAAACGAAGGCGAGGTCTAAGGTATTGTGTCAGTAAGATCATTCTCCAAAGCTAGAGGGTAGTGAACAGGACGAGGCTATGGAGGCGCACGTACATAGTAGGGTAAAGTAGGTTGAAGACAAAGCTATGGTAGAGCTTCTGAGCACGGCGCAACAGTGATGGGTGGGATGATAAGTGTGTGTGCGTGTGTCAAAGGATGAGGCAGCGACAAAGCAGGACAGCACACACGTTGAAGCCGGAAGGGACGAGTAGCTAATTAATGGAAGGGAATAAGAGAAGGTACTCGGCAGGTAAGAGGTAAGTAATATTATATCTGGATTGGAGGAGGGGGAAGGGCTTTTGAAATATGAGGTCTGTTCGTCCGGTCTCTGCCGGGATGGATGATACAATAGCTACCTACAGCCAACGGTGGTGGGCGGGAGCACCAAAAATCGGAGGAGCCGTTCAGGTCAGCCATGGGTCTTTGTCAAGGACTACTCGTGACAATTCTAGGATAATCATACATAATGTTTCTTAACTGACAAGGGAAATGGGGAATGGGGATAATTAGTTAGTAACCTTGGGCGCTGTCATCTTGGGGGTGGGACAGCACCGACAGCTACCTGCGTCTAGTGAACGATTAAATTGATTGGTTGATTAGTTGATCATTTGTTAAGTTACTCCACATCTGGTTAGTCTGCTTAGCCTTGCCGTGAATCGTTCGAGTGACGTCCATCACATCCATGACAACACAAGACTTTACTATTACACTGACTATGTACTGTATGGTATGTACCCAGGTACAGGTAGACTACACTACTAACTACATGCTGTGTGTATGTAATATCTATGGACTCTTGTACTCTCCGAATCATCCGAATGTCCTTTTTTTTCCTTTTGCCAATTCTCCACTCTCCAGAATGTCTCCACTCTTCCTTCATCCTTCTCCCAAACCGGTCTACAACCTCTCGTGTAAATTTTTCTTTTCTCTTCTTCAGTCTTTCCATCGTCGTCGAAAAGAGTGGAGACCAATGTCTGGCGGCTCTGCGCAATAGCTCCCACGCTCCCACCACCACCAGTCATAGCTTAGCTTACACCCTCTTACCTAGCCTCTTTTAATGCTTCATCATCATTATCTTTCCCATCATTAATAAACATCATCACCGTCACAGTCACCAAGTAATTTCCTTTTCCCATTTCGGTCATCCATAAAATTCCCATGTGTGCTAATTCGTGCTGGGCACGAGGGAGTAGTCATGGTTGTGTCCTATGTCTGTACCTTTATTCCATAATGGCGTATGTACACGTACAAGTACAACACAAACACAGCCAATTAGTATGGTCATTAGTCCGTCGTCAATACATGTAAGCCCAAAGTGGGATCCTGGTCACCGCTTTGCACGCATCCATCCATCTTCCCAACGTCGTCCATGCCCTGCCCTGCCCTGCCATGCCTTGTCCTGCCCAGCCACCAAATGGATTGTGAATCAAATGGCATGCCGTGCCATTCCCAGAGCTAGGCGCATGTTGAACGTCGCACGTCGCAGCGCATGTTGCACACTGGATGCCTCGCTTCCCTTTCCCCGCCTCTTCTCTCTCGCTTTGGTCAGATGTTCTACTGCCATGTATGGTGCGTGTTCCGCAATGTAGACAACCCATGGATCATGTCGGATATGCACGCAATTCTCTGTACTCACTAGCTACCAACTACTCGTAATGGAAACTATGTCTAGGTCATAGGTACTCTGTGCTTGTACGGAGTAGCTAATAAGATAATCAGGTAGGCCAACTGCTATACTCCGTACACCATCTCGGAGTTTAGGAAATCAAACGTCTCTGGCGTGATGCATGCCGGTATTAAACATCGCTGCCTACACATCTCACCCATAAACCCCGTCCGTACTCGTAGTATCTAGTAATACAGGTTGATTGATGCAGCCACTTGCAGCTGCAGTACTGTACAATACAGTCTCGGTGCATGCTGGCAGTGCCGTGCAAACCGTAGTCTTTCCGCTGACTCCCGCAGGCTGTTCTCGGTCTCACCTCACCCACGAGCACTTGCATCGATCGACGTCAAATCGCCAAATCACACATTGATCAAGCTTTCTACGCGCCTTGGCAATACACCAAAACATGCAACCTTTTCCGACTTCATTCTTGTCCCCCTACCCACGCCTACGAGGTACCCACGCCCGCCTCGCATCCCTCGCACAATAGCCACTCCCTGTCCAATCGACCGATCGTCGAACCTTCTCATCGTCCAATCGTCCTGCTTCGGCTTCGGCTGCTGTCTCTATCCGCGGTTTCCGAGCATTGCCCAGATCTCCGAACATCCTCAGTCCGCCCTTCTCCTCCTTCGGATCTCTGATATCACCACTATCCGCCGGCGACTAGAGAAACAGAATGCAAAGCCTTGCGCAGCCTGCCTGTCAACCACGCCATTGTGGTTCTTTCCCCATCTTTCGTGTGAAACATTTCAAGATTGGGATCAAACGTGAGATTCATAGCAAACGTTAACCGAGTTACATAGTATTATTGGTCTGGCTCGTTTCACCAGTCGCTTTGCACTTTTGGATAACAGATAAATCCCAAACGTCATGTTAGTTAGTTACATAGCAGCCTCTACCCATCACCACGCCATAAATGTGACTATTCATACCGTTCATCAACTACCTGCGACGCATTCTGAAGCAAACATCGGTCCCAGTGCATTAGTCCTCGTACACCAGCCTCGTACGAACCAATGCCGGGATATAGATGGTTCATGTGCCTCATCAGTTTTCGCTTCTTTGACTCATTCACCTGCAAGCCCTGGCATTTAGCGTTGTCGTCTTCCAACATAATTTACACCGCTTGCTTTTCGGATCCATTCGCCATGTTTTTTTCCCTAAAGCCTCTAGTCAAGCCCTTGTGCTGTTGTCTTATGGTCGTCCGGTAGGGCTGACCGCTTGAACTGGACTACGAGTACCCTGACATGCGCCTTGAGGCTTGCGCACACCGAGAGCCTGCGCGCTCAATGACGACGTGCCACGATTCGCTTCTTTGTCCCAATCGGTAGGGTATGCCTACGCAATTAACTATACAGATACGTATACAAAGGATCACCTCTTACCCTTGGGGGAAATAAAATGTCTTAGACTTTGATCGCTGTCGTCGCCGTCTTCTTCTTCTTCTTCTTCCTTTCAAGGCAACAGTAATCGACGCAATCAGACTTGTGACTTCCAAAAGTCTAAACCACCTTGGCAACATCCTAACTTTGGCGAGGCAGAGAAGCGCCAACTATCACAACGCCGACCTAGTCACATACGTGATATGCATGTTCCAAGGATGTTCTCGCGGATCGGCCTTGTTTATGTCCGAAGTGCGGGAGGGACCGAGCATACGAGTTATTGTGCTGTACCATATTGCAATCGATTTTTTTTTCTCTCTTTCCGAACCTTGGCCTGTTCTCCACTCTGTTTCCAATATGACAAATGGGTAAATTGCACATGGAACGCTCATCATCACCTGAGTCGCAGCAGAAGTCATGAGACCGTATGCCAATTCCTACATCTCGAATACACATCTGCTACCGGAAAAGTTTCCTTGATCCAGCTGTAGTTCGATATAATATCACTATCGTCTTGATAGCGGAACTTCACATTAGTAATTCAACCATGCATGGTAAAAGATCCCAGCCAATCCGATGCGATACTCGACATAGACCTCTCCATCTTACCCCTCACATGCAGTCTTGAATTGACGATATATGCAAAATGTGAATAACAAGCGGTCAATAGTGCAATTATTTTATCTTCACCCAAGATTGTCCAAGTCACGTTTGACTCATTCGTTGTCTAATGTTCCGTGATGATGACAGAAGCGCGCTATAGTATCTAACCTCACACTACTTGTACTTTATCGGCACGTAGATCATTGACTTCGGCTACTACACTCTTCATGTCGGACACGGGCCGTCTGGCTTAAGGAAAGAAAACAATTATGAAACAGTAACAAGTACGGATAATGTTAATCAGACTTTTTTTTATGAGGCTCAGTCAGCAATGCGGCTCGGATTCTTTTCTGCAAGTCTTGCGATTAGTTGTGAATCAATTCTGGGTCCGAAGTGGATATCGTTCTCTCTGTGCACCAGCACATGCTGCCCAACTTGCAACAATGATAATCGATTTCTATCCATTCGTTCAAAGCATTTCCAATGTAGCATGAACGAAAGCACGAGTAACGTACAGTCTGCCGGGCGAACAAGGCGAACAATGCAAAGAAGCTTAAGCATCTTAGTTATATCTCCGCACGTCTTACAACGTGATGACAACCTTGCCCCTAGCATGCCCTTTCTCCAATCGCTCAAACGCGGCCTCGAATTGGTCCAACGTGTAGACGCTGTCTACGACGGCTATGCACTCCTGCCGCTCAATCAGATCCGCGATGGCGGCCAACTGCTCCGGGTTCTCCTTCACGATGAACCACACGCTGTCCACCCCCTCAGCGACCCCTTGATCTGGCTTCTTGCGATCTGCTGGCTCGGCGACGCTGACCATCCTCCCGTTCCGTCTCACGCACTTCCATGCATCGACGAGGGTCTTGCGTCCCACGCAGTCCAGCACGATGTCGAACGCCCGCGACTCCCTGTCCTCCTCCACCCATTGAAGTAGATCAACAGTGGTGTAATCCAGCACGGTATGTGCCCCCAACCCCTCCACGAACTTGACGTTCGAAGGCCCACACGTGGCTACGATCTCGAGGCCAGCCAGACGAGCAAGCTGCACGGCCCATATACCGACACTTCCCGATGCGGCCGTGATTAGTATTCTCTTCCCTTTATTCTTTGTCGATGTCGAGGAAGCGGAAGCATTGCTATCCTTATTGAAGACAGGTTCGAGCGCGCAGTGATCGAATAGCGCCTGCCAGGCACTCAGCGCACTCAGTGGCACGGTAGCCGCCTCCTGCCAGCTCAGATTCTTGGGTTTGAGTGCGAGTTCCTTCTCCGTGGCCTCGGTGATTTCCCTTGCATTGCCCTTGTTGACAAAGGTAGTCATGGCGTAGATCTCGTCCCCGGGCTTGAACTTCCAATTGGCCGCCGTCGAGGCTCCATCGGGAAGGGTGGGCGTGGAGAGGACCACACCCGATAGGTCGTAGCCAGGTACGGGGGTCTTTTGGGAGAGGGTCTCCGGCCAGGTGAGTTCTTCTCGGGTCAGTGCCGTTGCTCGCGTACGGATCGTGTAGTGCTCTGATGGAGTCGGTTCCGGGTGGTCGTTATCGATCTTGAGAGTTCGAGGCTCTCCTGTATGAATGAGAGCGCGCATGTTGGATCGTGGCACGTGTTACAATTGGAGAAGTTGTAGGCCAAAGGTGGGGATTAGGATGCTGTGGATTTTCTTTGTGAGATATGATTCGAGTAGGTTCGTATGAACATATATGGTGTTTTGCCTACGGCCTCGCCACCGTTGAGAATGCTTGATCAAACGACCGTGGCGTGGAAGTCAATTGCCTTGACAGCTTACTTCATACACATATGAAAGGTTCGCGGGGCGGAATTGATTCCTTAAAAGTGATATCCAGTTTCTGAGTTGATATTAGAATTGCGGGGTTGCAGAAACTCTAATACCACAAAAAGCTATTCAAAACCCATTCCATTGCAACGCTGCCAGTCGTAGAAGGTAATACAGACCAATTATTGGTGACAAATGGCAATTCGGTGTCTCGGCCTTCTTTTTGACAATCAGCGAACGTTGACGTTGCCGTCCACTTTAATCTTCCTGGTACGGATCATTAACTACCAATCCGCATGGGGCAGGTCCAGCCTGCTAGCGATTGATCACTGTATGTAGGGCTCAACACGGTCCTCCAGTCGACAGTCAATTTCGTGATGATTATTGCCCTTTCACGATCTTGGAGATTATAAATCAATTCACAGATGATCAAACTCTGCATTGCTTCAGTGGAGCATGAATCGATAGCTGGAATCAGGAAGTCGTGCCTGATTGACGCTATATCTTGCAAAAATATCCACAAAATTGATGGAAGGAATGGAAAAGAATTAGTTCAATTGATCCGAAAACCAGATATCTCCCTTCCTCAATCGTGCATTGGAAATGTTCAGGCTAGAATAATGTCAACATTGTCTCAAATCGCTGTAATGCCATCGAGTAATTACCCCAGCTACCGTTCAGCCATGAACATTTCCCCGCTTGCGTCATCGAGCAGATCATCCAGCTCCATGAGCCCCCGCTATTTATGACAACGTCGTCGATTGTACTTCTCCGCAAGATATGTCGTGATGAATACGCTGGATTCGTGATCTCGAATTGGTAATCGGCATAAGTTGATCATTCTCCTCGCTACTCCCCTTCTACAGAAAATCCTCTGGCCTCAATCGTCTAACCCCTCGTTCTACTCACCCCAAATCCATATTCAATACCCACCCTAGCACCACAAAGGGTATATACATATCTGAAAGAGATAGAGAGAAAAGGCTATACCAAAATGCCGCCCACAACCTCCCACCCCGACGCAGACCTCCATCCTACAGCCAGCGGCCTCGCGCAAGCAACCGTCGAGGCGCACTCAGCCGCCGCCCCTCACGCCGGCGTCACCCTCTACAGCGGATGGTTCTGCCCGTTCGTGCAGCGCGTCTGGATCGCCCTCGAGGAGAAGCGCATCCCGTACCAGTACGTCGAGGTGAACCCGTACGACAAGCCGCCGTCGCTGCTGTCCCTCAACCCGCGGGGCCTCGTGCCCACGCTCGAGTACGACGGGAAGCCGCTGTACGAGAGCAACGTGCTGTTGCAGTTCCTCGAGGATGCGTTCCCGGACCACGGCCCGCGCCTGCTGCCGGAGGATCCGTACGACAGGGCTAGGAGCCGCATCTGGGCGGATTTCGTCACGAGCAGGGTCATCCCATCGTTTCATCGTTTCTTGCAGGACACGGAGGGTGGGGAGGCGCTGGAGGGGAAGAGGAGGGAGTTTTTGGGGTTTTTGAAGGAGTTTGCGGCGGAATTGCATCACGAGGGTCCGTTTTGGGGTGGGGAGGAGCTCGGGTTCGTGGATGTTGTGTTGGGGCCTTGGGGGATCCGGCTGTGGGTGTTTGATCATTTCAAGGGGGGCTTGGGCATCCCTGGGGAGGGCGAGGGCGGAGAGGACGAGGAGGTCTGGGGCAGATTTAGGAAGTGGTTGAGGGCTATCGAGGAGAGGAAGAGCGTGAAGGAGACGACAAGTGAGCAGGAGTTTTATTTGCCCATCTATCAGAGATATGCGGACGACAAGGCACAGTCCGAATTGGCAAAGGCGACGAGAGCAGGAAGAGGCGTGCCTTGATAAAAGGTCTCAAAGTGTATTGAAAACGGTCGATTGTGCAGCAGATCTTTCACCACTATACAACAATGAATCCGCAGAGAGATATATGATATTCGAATGCTCCTGGTTGGTTTAACGTCGGGAGATATCAAACTTTTTAACACAACCGACATCGAGGCTGATGTTAAGATCGCGGAAATAACATCAGACCAAGATTACTACCACATATACCCCAACACCAAACATCTCGCGCTGAATCTAAATATCCAATAGCCTGAAGCGAAAATAACAACATATAAGAGAGATTAGTATGTGCATAGTTTCAAGGATATGCCTCGACTTTTCCGTTCTTGTCCTCCGTCTTGCTGGAAACCTTGCTCGGTCCGCCGTGACGTCGGAATATATCCAAGCTGCGCCTTCCTTTGCCTTCCTCCTCTTCCCTCTCGCTCTCACTTTCACGCTCCTTCTTCTTCGCGATGTGACGCATTGCCTCCTCAGTCAATTCCTGTCTGTTCATACGCTCGAGGACGTCCTTCTTCCTGGTCTTCTTGTCGCCGAGCAAGATCAACAGACCTGCTGTCGCGTTACAGGTGATGGAAACACATAGAATGACAGTGGTGATCGCAAAGGGGCGGTGCTTGTAGTAGATACCCCACGTGCATGCTCCGAGCGAGATTTGGAGCAGTGAGTGACAATCCAAAAGAACGACGATGGCGACGAGGAGACGAAGGGGAAAGGCGTAATGGGTTTCGGTCTCGTGTGGCTTGTAGAACGAATGCGACTTGCAGAACTTGGCCTGGTGGTGCTCGAGTTTAGCTTGCTGCTTGGGGGTGAGAACGGTGAATTCCAGTTGCTTTTCCGGGTCCTCGGTGTCGGAATCGCGACGCCTAGTCATAGGAGCGTTGTTGGAAGGCAGATCGTTATGGTCGTGGAGTTCTGGCAACAAGTCCTTCTTTCTACGCGACCAAGTGTAGTGATGATAATGCGCGATGTAAATCATGTGATAAGTATCAACCGCGCGGAAGGGAGCTAGACCGTCTCCAACAATGGCGAAGAGAGCAACGAGTACACTGTCGATGATGTGAATGACATAGATCTGGTGGCCACCGACGTTGACCCAGCCGATTAAGAAGAGCACCCATGCAAGACCAAAGAGGGTGATGAGTGTAGCATATAACGTAACGGCGAAGCCCAGAGCTGTTGCGTAATGGTTAGCGTATTGCTGGACGATATCGGGAACGTGAAAACTTACGACGACGAACGTATTGGCCGAAACCTCTCATGGATCGCTTGAATTTAGACCTTCGGGAGTGCAGCATGTGTCGGACGTGATCGTTCAATTCCTGCTTTTCTTCCCTCGTCCAGCCTTCAAGAGATGTCCCATGAGGTAACACGGCATATCGCGAATCGCTCAGATGAGAGTCGATTGTGTTCAGGGTGGTCATGGTGGCACCAGTCTGCGATCTGACCAGCGACGGTGCTGCTTGTTGTGCCTGTTGTTCTTCGGCCTGAGCTGCACGGGCAGGTTCTAGTATGGTATTGATATCTTCGAGACTCTGCACTTCACTTGGCGCAGGGCGTAGAGTGTATGTCGGCCGTCGATTGACAAAGCGACCCAAATTGGGGACGAATAATGAGTTTTGGACGTTGGTGAGCGATGTCAACGTTTGCACTTCGGGATCTGTAGGCTGTTAGTTGCCAGAGTAAAATCCACTTGATTGCTCAAACTTGCCAATAGTGTCCAAAACGTCCACTATATCGGAACGATAGACATTTTGTGGGAGTGGCGTCGTAACATGGGTACCAGTAGGTTCTACGAATTGCCTGTCCTCGCTGCCGGTGCTGCCCATGCCAAATCTCTGTTGGATAGTTTGACTGGCCCTCCTGAAGAATCCTGGAGTCTGTCCGTCGCCTGGCGTGGGTGTCGGTGTGGGAGGCAGTGGATGGGCTTGGGCGTCATTCAGGGCCAGGGCACAGTCTTCGTCGAGGGGTGCCAGCTTCTCACCAGGAGTACGCAACTGATTGTTAGCGGCAGTAGCAGCTTCCTTGTCGGCCTCTAGCTGCTGTCTGAGTTCCGCGTGCGAGGGCATCCGCCGGATGGCGATACTGGACTGACGCATGCTGGTGTTGGGGCGCATAGAAGGACGAGTGGGAGGAGCTAACAGGTTTCGTTGTGGTGCGGAGGTACTTCTTTGTCTACCGGGAATGATGGTCGCATCTTGAGGCGGGCTGCGCGCAACAATTAGACTCATCGCTCGTAGTTTATCATGTCGTAGGATCAGCTCGACTTACCTTAGGTTCTGCCTTGAGTAACTGGAGTAACTTTCGGGATTTGGGGGCCTGGGAAGCGGCTTGGGGACAGGCTTTCCGGCATCGACGGAGGACTGCAGGGAGGTAGGAGGTTCTATTCTAGGCTGAGGCACGGGTTGGTCGTCTCCAGCAGCGAAGTCGCGAGCAGCAGTCTGAGGGCCGAGAATGCCTTCGTTGACAGCAGTGGTGCTGGCATTGTCTTGCGGTGGGAGTCCTTCATGGGGAGCGGACAAGGACGCGGTACCGGTCCCGCGCGACGCACGTTCAGCGACCGTATTGCGGGCAGTCCGGGCCTTGGACTTCAGTTTATCCATGGCTATGGTGGTGATGGTAGCTGTGGTGTTGTCGCCCTCAAGGAATCAAGGTGTTCGCGATGTATGCTACAGTACGCGATACTGCCGCCGCAGCAGCGGGAGGTTGGTGAATACAAAAGCGTGCAGGAGAGGGAGGTAGGAACCTGTCGAGGTGACTGTTGAATTAATTGAGGTCTGAGCCGTGAGCCTCGAGCCTCGAGCGCAACGGGACGAGAGGATGGCGAAATGAAGGAAGGAGCAAGTGAGGAGAGGGAGGCGGAACGAGACAAGCAGTAGTTACTCGTACTGGTAGAGTAGTAAAGTGGTGTAGCGTGGTGTATGGTGTATATGTCGACCAGAGGATGGAGTAAGAGACCGTCAGATGCCTGGCAGGAACGTACCAGAACCCGGGTCCAGGACCCAAGCACGCAAGCAAGCACCAAGGATTTTTAGGCAAAGGTAGGTAAGTTGGAAGTGGTGTTTCTTGACGACGAATACAGCTATGTAATGGGTGGAATTGATCCAAGAAAAGAGTTGGTTGGCAGTCCGTTGCCAGTGAGTCGTGCTTCTTGCTTTTCTCCCCCCAAAAGTCCTAAAAGTCCAAGCCCCCCAAGAAGCCAGAGGGAGATTGAGAGGAGGAGAAACAGAGGAGACACACAGGGAAGGAGATCGAGACCAACCGGAAGAGGAAAGGGCGGATTGAATGGCGCATCCAGTAGTTCTAGTTAGTTACAGTTAGATCGGCTGACAGATCCCGTACTACTTGCTGAGCTAAACCATGAATGGCCGCAATCCATCCAATCAATTCAGCCATCACCCATCAATTATCATAACCCTTCATACAATCCATACCTCGTACCCCTCAAGTCTCGACAGTCAAAGACTTTTGTCCCTATAATTCTGTTCCCTACATCTATGGCCTACACCTGTGACAAGACTTTTGTGCCGCAGAATCAACCACTGATCCATTGAACCCTCCCACCCTTTCAATCGTGGACCCTTAAACTATCCATTTGATGTGATTGACAGAATGCGGGCGCAAGCGGGCAAGTCTCCTTCCGTTGAGGGTGACAGTTGATTACGGCATTGGGACGAGACATCTGCCAAGACAACCACCAAGAACATGGAGAACCACTTGACAATTATTAAAGATTGCCATCATGATTTTTGCAACCTGCACAGTACAGTAATTACGAGTATGATGGTTCTCTACCTGTTTGCATCTAGTTAGGTGTCTGCGCGCGTACGGTGTTGCATGCTTAGGTATGTTCTTGGGTGTGCAGTGTTACGCATTGCTCCCTCCTGTATCCGGCACTCGGATCATTCCCTACCCATACCTCCATACCCCCATACACTGTGGGCGATGCATAGAATAACGTCATAATCCGCTGCAACTTCCCACTTTTCAACTTCCATCATCCTGACTGTCCCCCTGCGTCGATCCTCGCTAATGCCCCATCATCATCATACTCATCCTCATCAGCAATATCATCAGCTCTTCGCAAAAGCGTTCTTGTTGTTCATCTCATCTTACAATCAGCAACTCCCCTCCCTCTCTTTAGTTATTCCTAAGGCTAAGGTAGTTATTCTCCTTCTTCCGTCAATTAGACTTGCACTAGGTGTTAGCGGGTATCCTCTGACAAGTACGCTAAACGTCTCAAGTCAAGATCGACGAAACGCTAACTTGCATCGCATTCTGGGTGTCTGGGTAGTTGGACAGTCATGGCAGTGTAAATAATTAACACTCACTCGTTATGGCTGATGCACTTCTAAGTTACTTGTACTCGAAGCATACCCAGATCTGGATTATTATCCCAGAAGAGTACATTGTAAGCGTCCGTACCTACTGCGTACCAATACTTCAGGCACTTAGACAGGTACGGAGTACTTGGTTACTGTACTTTTCCTTTGTCCCGCACGCCATCTGTCAGCTCTAGCCCGGACCGAACTCCGTCTCACCTTTGCGCTCGCTTCGATTTAATCAATCTATGAGTATAATCAGTCAATTCACTTCATGTGAACGACCTTACCCAGACTTGCTTCTATGCTTCAATCCCCCGTATCTGACTTTCTTCATCACTATTGTAATAGTCACTGCCGTCGGACAGTATTGCCCCGTACCCACGATGCAGGGTCTGGTCGTAGTCCTTGATGGATTCTTTCCCAATCGAGTAATCCATAACTCAGTATCTGGCCAATGATACTCATCTACTCCGATTGTGTTTTGATAGTACCAAAATGACACTGGTTTGCATATCTGATGTTACGAACAACCTCATCTTCCAACCAAACTCTCATCGCTCACAACCTTGCTATTGCACATGGCGAGGCTGAATAGGGTTCCATTACCGAAAGGTGGCGCATATACCTGGTCACTGATAGACCGAGCGCCAAGCATTTCCACTCTTCAGCCCTCACATCACATCGTCTCCAAGGCATCAGGCTGAGATGCACGTGGCGCTCCATCGTGGAACGTAACTCATCAACACGAACACTATGTCGGGCCTCGAGATAGTAGCCAGCATTGCTGGGGTTGCTACTGCCGCTATCAAAATCTCTGTGACGATGAATGACATCGCCGACGAACTAGGCTCAGCTGGTCGTGACGTGCGGTATATCAGCAACGAGATGGCTTCTTTCTCACAGGTAGACTCTTTCTCGCCTTAATAAATGGTCGCAACTGTTTCAGGAAAATCGTAGAAGCAATCCGTCGACTCATACCTAACCCAAAGATTCTATCACCCAACCACAGTGCACCGCTGACACCTTGGCAGGTCCTTCGATTGGTGCATTCGAGCTTGGAAGACTCCACCAAACTCGTCGGATCCTCCATCATCCAAAGTGCCGTCGACACGCTTCCGCAACTGGTCGAGCAATGTGGCATGGTGCACGAAGAAGCAAATGGCCTCATGCTCTCGCTGAAGCCGCAGTCGGGGAAGGATTCATCCCTCCCATTTATCAAACGAGTTCGGTTCCTTTTCCAGAAGAGTAGAATGACCGTTTTACGGAGCTTATTAGACTCCTCTAAGAGCACTTTAAATTTACTTCTGGTGACATTGAACATTGAAATGGCAAAGATGAAGAATCCAAACAAGGCACTAATGTATGCTCTTGCTTCATGCTAATCGATATCGACTTACGGAAATATAGGGATCAGCTCCAATCAGAACGAAGGGCGTTCATCAAGGTAGTCGCGTCACAAACTAAAGCATTAGATGAAGCATTGAAGGAGGTGGAGAAAGCAAAGAAAGAGACAGCAAAATTGAAGGTAAAAGCCGACAAGGAGAAGCAGAAGCAGGATGAACTCGCTAGAAAAGCGAGCGTCAAGAACGGTCCCATCGCCGAAGATGCCTCTCATCTGAGTCCGCCTCCGATATATTCTCTTCCCGCACCTTCAGTGACACAATTCGTATATACGCCCCCAGAGATTACGATGGCTCCCCAAACGGCGGTCATGACTCTGGCCTTGAGCCTGGAGGCACCCAAACCAGCAGAAAGTCCTTCTGACCAAACCAAACAAACGCCAGCATCAACAGGAGATGCATCCTCGCCACCTCCAGATTACTTTGATTTCAATGCGCCTCCAAGCTTTGGGATGCCACCACCTCCGTACATCAACATGCAACCACCTTCCAACCCTCCTAATAAGCCAGAGCCCAACAAACGAGTGTTCTCCGATCCTGGACCCGGGGTGCAGAACCAATTTTCAAACGGGAACCTTCGTCCTGACAACCCCATCCGGGAACGCTCTCGATCACCATATGGATCCTCGCGGAAACCACAAGAAGATCCGCTCAACGTGCCACGCAAACGACCATCTCAAAATTTCCAACCTGAGCCGCCCCCCTTACCACGACGCCCAGTGCCGCCATCTCCTTCAACTCCACCACAAAATGGAACCTCACCCAACACCAAGCCTCAGACCTACAAAGCATACCGTCCTCCACCGCCACCACCCCCGCCAGAACCCCCTAAACCATACCAATCATCCACACCGAGGAATGATATCCCACCGCCGCCCTGCCCACTACACGGGAAGAAATACATATCTCTCCAAGCCTACTCACCCCACGACCCAGGCCACCTGTCTCTCCCCATCTTCTCGACTCTAGTCGACGTCGTTTCCAACACCCCGTCCTCCTCCTCCTTCTCCAGTGACCTCCCCTACCCTACCGCATTCGACTCTTCATCATCAGTTACGAAACATTATTGGCAGGCGTCGTTGGGGAATAGGAGGGGACCTAGGGGATTGCTGCCCTGTGATATCGTGTGCGAGATTGATGATCAGAGGGTGGGGAGTACGCTGAGGGAGAATTGGTTTGCGGGGCAGACGCAGCTGGTGGCGGATGGGGAGGGTAGGGTTTGGGTTGGTCCGGTTGGGGTGTAGGGGTTCTATTCGCCTTTTGTCTAATGGAGACGGTGATTCGTGTAGTGGTATGGAGTGAGGGCGGATGAGATTGAGGGAATTTCTTTCCTCACTGTAGGTGTCTAGTGGTAATGATGTTGGTTGATATTTTGGATAAATTTCTTGCACCTTCATGCGTTGAAGCTTCATGATAGGGTCGTATAATCTACAGCAACATATTTTTCAGTACGAGTGAGTGGGAGTTTTGACTTGACGAAGAATCATCACTTCCTAAAACTATGGTCTTCAAGAGAGATAATATATACCAATTTATATGGAAATCACCCCGTCTAGTATCTATATATGTTGATGGTTCGCAGTGGGTACGAACCAAAACACGAGAACTGCGAAGACGAGATAGTATAAGCATGGTAAGTAAACCGGAGAACTATTCGCAGGTATACAAATGGGCCTATCTCCACACGCGTTAAGTCCCTTACATCCTTAACAAATCCTCTATTGAACCCTTTCTTCTCCATCCTTAGATGTGAAGGATATATTTCTGTCCCTGGAAATTTATAGATTTCGCCGTGATTTTTCACGGTAGAACGTGCTAAATCTATGTTGCCTGGTTTTAGTAGAGCTCTTTATAATAGATATTGATACAAATAGGTTATGCAGACTGATGGCCATGAGAAGGAAGTCATTGAGTGCAAAGTCGGCAGAAGTGGAAAGTCAAACACTACGTCGAAGTCAAAAGGGTGGTAATACTTAGCCGAGCCAATACTATAGGTCTCAGGACTGACGGAGCATATCTATATAAGCGTTACAGCAGCTATGGTTAGATATATTGATATGCATGGGAAGGAAGGCGGCATTCTTCTCTGGTGCATGTCTCGCGACAAGCTCTAATGGATGTGGACATAGCCGAAATCTACCATGGGATTGTGCGAATCGACGAAATGATCACTGCGAATATGTCGATTCACCATGCCCGCATTCGCATCGCTAAACCGCTATCCGTCCCGTCCCGTCAACAGTCTTGACAAAGGCATGTGGCTAGTTCATCGAGCGTGAACTCATCCAGCAATCTGGTAAGTCATTGCGTCACACTCCCGAAGTTTCCAGATAGATATTACAACAACTCCGCTCACATCACCCCTATGATACTTCTCTTCTTCAACCTTACAAAAAAACCAGGCAATCACGAATTTGCGCCATCTTTCATAGTCGGAAGCCTCACTTCCCTTCACAAGCAAACATGTCAGCAGCACTACCCTACACTTCAGGAAACCTTGAAGTATTTCACGGCCTCAAAGGTCTAATCATCTGTAAGACTGCACTTTTTCTCCCGCCATCGCACATCATGACAAAACGCAAATATCTCTGATACTCCTGTCCAGCAAACGCAAAATTGACGCACGGCGGCTCCAAAAACAGCACACCGCGCAGCTACGACATAGTGACCGCAACAAAGAACAAGCAGTATCGGGTTAGCCTCGTTTCGTACGACGACATCTACAAGGGTCCTGGGAAGTACGACGTCGATAGCAAGGTTTTGACCAGGAGTGCCGTCAAGTTGAATCTGAATGGCGCCATGGAGGATCTTCTGAAGAAGGTACAGGAGGAATGCTGGACTTGAGGGGGAAGAGTCTGTTTGCTGAGCGAACAAGAAGGAAAGAGAGGGAGGAGATTATTGTTGTTGGCGGTAGTGGTAATGGCGAAAGGGTCGGAATCGGTGGGAGGCTAGGCGGAATGCGGGGAGCGCTCTTGATATGGCCGCCATTCCCCACGGAGCGTCCGTACACGATATATACCTCTGTTTAATCTGTTTATCTCACAAATTGCTTCGAGTGCGTTATGAAATGTACGTCGTTGATTCTGAACAGCAACATTTGAACTATGAGCCAAACCTAGACTGTAGCCTACGGGTATGTGAATCAACTTAGCATGTGGATTGGCAATCAACGCAAATATTAGATTGTGGGTTTGAAAGAGAAGAAGTTACATTGCAACCTTATGGCCTCATCAATTCATTTGGTTGATTTGCTCACTCTTCGCCAAATCACATCAGATCACCAACGTTCAATTGTATCTCGCTTGCTTGCATCTACCCTCAAAGTCTACCACCATGACCATGTAACGTCATGACTGACGTTCCGTATTTCTGGCTACAAGTTATGAAACACTTTTGAATTTTTCTTTTACGTCTGCGTCACTTGATTGGATCTTGGACCAGTCATTGCGATCTTGGCCTACTTCAACACCTTCATAGGATTCTGCAAACGCGCCACGTTGTTCCACTACAAGATCGGTGAGGAGGATACTTTCAAGCCGATTGAGCGAGACTAGGAACTATCCCTCAAGAATTCGACCTTGATTCATGGCTGCATGTTGAGTGATGTTCTTATTGTCAGTAAAATTTGCCTGTGTCTTCATATTTTATTGTTCCTTCAAATGAAACTCCCCCATCTCTAAATTTGTACCAAAGAGAGGCCGAGCAAACGCAAGGTATCCTTCGTTCAAGACGCCGCAGATAGGCCAGTGGCACGATTGTACAAAAAGAACAGTCCCTTGTTTGACGTCTACGTTTGATTTGGGTATGAGTGCTTCACTCACGCAAACGCCGCACCCATTGTTGGCTCCCCAAAAGGTGATAGGGAAATTACTTTAAAACAACATCGAGCAAGCGGAAACTTGATTGTAATGAAAGAATAGCGTATCTTTGCTTTGTATAGTATGAAAGGGCTGTGTCTGTCATTTAAGGTAAAACGCAAGTCACTTTAAGAATGACTGCAAAGAAACCTCGAAAGAGATCTAATGTATCACTGCAAGTCATAAAGAACACGAAACATCGTACAACATGCGATAAGAGGGATTAAACAAGGGCATGTCAAGGAAATGCTAAAGAACGCGATATTGGCGTTTGGCATGTCGTCTAGATTCACATGTTCTTTTAGGTGTCGTGGGTGTTGATTTGCCGGCCCGAAGTTTAGTGCATGTCCAACGGTGGGTAAAATCTTGGCGTCTTATGTCATCCAGGCCAGGGCTTGACGGTCTTTTTGATCGTGAGAAATTCACTCTGCTCATCGAACACGGTCCTCTACTTCAATCCCTCGTGCGTCGTGTGCCCTCCGCCTCTCCACCATTCCCCGCCGCTGCTGCGTGCGCCCGTGTGTGCTATTTTCAAAAAGTTAGCTACTTCCATAGGATACGTCACCTCCGACGTGTTCATCCAGACTTGGCTTCCCACCGCAACCGCAAGAACATCGCAATCAACAAACTTCCGTTGCAACAAGCTCACTCGCTTCGCACCAGCACAAATCGCCCTTCCACGACTTCGTACAGCACCTGTGACTTTGACTAGTCATGGCAGTCCCTACGCAGTTGGCCTGTGAGTTCCGCTCCTACATTCTGCTTGAAAGGCATGTTTCATTGACTGTTTGTTCCTAGTCCGCACCTCCAAGGGCATCGGGGTTTTCAACGCTGCCCCCGTCTACGAGACACTCCCGGGATTCATTCGGTACGTTTCATTACACAACAAGACATACTGCCAGTGCTGATAACTAGCTCTAGACCCGAGGGCAACCTCAGATGCTGCTGTTACTCTCCGGATAGCAAATATTTCGCGTGGGCATCACCCGAACAGTAAGCCACACTTTGACTCATCCTCCTTTCCTCTAAACTCACCTTTGCCAGGGTTTCGGTTATCGATGCTTCCACCGGCCATGTTGTTACCATCCTCCCGACGCCCAATGTTTTCGAGCTCGGCTTCTCTCCTTTAGGCACCTACATCATAACCTGGCAGCGCCCCACCAAGGACGAGGAGGGTAATGCTGTCAAGAATTTGAAAGTGTGGAGGACCGTCGCCGATAATGGCTCGGAGCAGACTGTCGTCGGCCAATACGTTCAGAAGTCGCAAACCGGTTGGAACCTACAGTACACCTCGGACGAGCAATTGTGCGCCAGAATTGTCACCAACGAGGTGCAATTCTACGAGTCGGGAGATCTTGGAACCGTCTGGAATAAGCTTCGCATCGAAGGCGTTTCCGACTTTGCAGTATCACCGGGAAAGAACCATTCAGTTGCCGTTTTTGTCCCGGAGAAGAAGGTGCGAATAATTGCGAGGACTTCAAGGGTTTCCAAGATATGATATGACTAACTCATATTTCGCAGGGAATGCCCGCCGCTGTCAAAGTGTTCCAGGTTCCCCAATTCAGCGCTCCCGTCTCGCAGAAGACGTTTTACAAGGGCGATAAGGTTCAGCTGAAGTGGAACCAGCTTGGAACTAGCTTGATTGTGCTCGCGCAGACCGAAGTCGACAAGACCAACAAGAGTTACTATGGCGAAACCAACATGTACATTCTTAGTGCAAATGGTACCTTCGACTCAAGGATCCAGCTAGGTGTGTTTGCCGTCCCCAGAGTCTCGTGGATGATACTAATCTTGTCCTAGACAAAGAAGGACCTATTCATGATGTGTCGTGGTCACCTAACTCGAAAGAGTTCGGTGTTGTGTACGGATACATGCCTGCGAAAACCACTATCTTTAACCAACGCGCTGTCGCTCAGCACAACTTCGACCTCGGTCCTCGAAACACTATTCTTTTCTCTCCTCACGGTCGCTTCGTTCTTGTCGCTGGCTTTGGCAATTTGGCAGGACACATGGATATCTACGATCTTGATAAGAACTACAACAAAGTTTGCACGATCCAGGCTGCCAATTGCACTCACTGCGAATGGAGCCCCGATGGAAAACATATTCTTACAGCAACCACGAGTCCACGTCTTCGTGTTGATAACGGAGTACGTATTTGGCATGTGGGCGGCGGCCTCATGTACAACGAGGAGATGGCTGAGCTTTACCACGTCACCTGGCGTCCTCAATCAACGCTCACCCATCCTTTGGAGAACCCTCTTCATCCCGTGCCAACCCCACACCCGTCTGCGTTGGATTATTTGAGCAAGATGAAGACTCCCTCGAAGCCCGCCGGCGCATATCGGCCCCCAGGAGCACGAGGCTCCGCCACACCTAACCTTTTCAAGCGTGAGGACGAGGGCGGCGAAGCCTACGTCAACACAGGTATCTCCTCCACGGCCGCAGGATTTTCCAACGGATTTGGTAAGCCACGCCGTCGCGAGGTTCCTGGGGCCGAGTCTGTCGATACTCTACCTCCAGGTGCCGCCCCTGGAGGTGGTGTCAGCTTGGCTGGAACTGGTGAGGGCGACGAGGGTTTGTCGAAGGCAGCTTTGAAGAATAAGAAGAAACGCGAGGCTAAGAAGGCCAAGGAGGCAGCAGAGAAGGCATCAGGGTTGGCTGCAGATGGTATCAATCCTCCCTCAGGACCTGCTAGCGCTGGCCGAAGTCCCGAGCGACGCGACGCAAGAGGTCAACAACGCAGTCGAAGCAAGAACGGCGGATATGGCAATGGCAGAAGCCCAAGTCAACACCGCAACTTCCATGGCAACAGCCCCCATCGTCGCCATGGCTCTGGATACGATGACCACAACAACCACCATGGTCACCAGCAGCCCCACAATCGCGGCGCTCCCCATCACCAGAACCAGCACAGGCATCATCAGCAGGGACCTGGACCCATTACTGTTCCGCAGCATACCCAAGGCCCAACTCCAGACCTGACCGTTACCAGCCCTGGAGGAGGTGGCCCTCAGGATAAGAAGATTAGAAGTCTTTTGAAGAAGATCAGAGCCATTGACGATCTTAAGATGAGACAGGCAGGTGGCGAAAAACTGGAGGATACGCAAGTGAAGAAAATCAGCACGGAGGAAACCATTCGCAAAGAGTTGGCAGGTCTTGGTTTCTATGAGAACTAGTGGTGCTGCTAAGCCATGGTTACCTGTGGCGTCTTCACATAAGCGCACTGTTGGATACTCCGTATTTGTTGTTGGTTTTACGGACCTTTGAGTGTATTGATCCGGAGTTCCCAGGACCTGACCAATCTAGTGTTAATGGCGATGTACCCTTCGTCTTCAAACAGGCTCTTTCAACAACCTTCCTACATTCGGAAGGTAGAATGTTATCAGATGGAAAAATGAGAAATCGAAAAGTTGTATCAAACCTTTTATGATGTTGACCTACAGACCGTGATCATGCGTGAACCGGAATTGAAAATTCACTATCTTATAATCATGACAATAGCGCTTGAACTCTTATCACGGGGAAAGTATGATGAGCATTTGTAAACTTGAAATTATTCCTATCGAATCGTAGGCTTATCAGGGAAAAGATCCCTATTCTCCCTCTGCCTAAAGTTCTATTGAACCGATATCACTCTCACTCTGTGGCATACCAATGTACCATGGTGTCGATCTGGCCAGGCCAGCAAGAAGCCCCGTGAGAACTGGACAGGTCCACATCAGACATTCTTATTGGGACCAGGCACATTCACCGCTGGCCATTCCAGATTTCCAGTGTCGCTTGGAGCTTCAGCGGGAGCTTCAACGGGAGCTTCGGCGGGAGCTGCGGGAGGAGGCTGTTGCCCAGCGACGGTGGCTCCACTGGCCTGAGCGGGCCGTGCAGGAGGCTCTCTAGGATGCGCATTGCGATACGGTCCGGCACCTGCACCGCGAAGGTCGTTAATTTCGGTCACCACTTGATGGTATGATTAGCGCTTTGGTTCTATGCAGAAGGGCGAAAGAAGAAGAAGAAGAAGAAGCAACTCACTCAAAAGCTTATGCATATGGCGGTGGAGCCAACTGTTCACCTCATGCAAGGCATCCTCGAGGCTAAGACAGGCGTTTGACTTGCTGAGGAGCCTCCAAACCGCTTTGGAGTTCGGGTGGATATACCCGATGAGGGCACAGCGGTACTCGGCGACCTCTCCTGGCGGATGTGTCACTGGCGGTTCACTCAGTCAGCACGCGAGACTTCTGGAATAGGATGATGGGAAAAGAGATGCGAGAGAATCGGAAATTTCTTCTGGGAAGAAAGGTTCCGGTCCAACTCGGCGAGGATGCTGCGCAGAGGGTCTTGACTTACTATCGCGGGCGATAACCACATCGAAGTTTGAGGCAGAACCGTATTGGCGGCCATAAAGAGCGACGGCATTTGCTAGAGAAAGATGTCAGATGTATGCTACGTATGACGTGAATGGATTCAAATAACCCAAGATTTGAGCCTTCAGTGTGGCAGAGTCCTCCCTGACATTGTATTGGGGCGAACGGGTGTAATTAGGATGAACATATCCTGGAGGGGGAAACTGAGGCACGTATGGTGGATTCGAGGGCTGAGAGCGAGATTGCGGTGGACTTGTAGGCTCGGCCGCAGCGGCATTGGCTGAGCTACGATGGCGCTTCCTTGGATTGGGCTTGTCTCCAGAGCCGCTGTTAGGGTTGTCGGGCATGATGGAGATGGCGGGGATAGAGAGAGAGAAGAAGTTGTTGTTGCGGACGTGGAAGGGAGAAAGTAGGGAGAAAGTGGGTTGACAGGATCTTAAAACGTGAATTTATGAGAGGTGAGAATCAATCAGGTGAAAGAAAAGTTCGACTCATTATATTCTTGAGACGATAGATGCCATGGAAGAGGGAAAACAATCACGCGAGTAGTGATTGGCATTCTGAGCTCAGGCACCTTTGATGTACTTTTACTTCATACAAGACAATCGCACCGATAGAGTGATTAGTTATCATCGCATGGAAGATCACTTGGAGTAGTGGTTGGTATGCATTCTTTTACTGTTTCATGACGATATTCGCGAAGTTCATCGTCGAAATCCTGAATGGCTACGATGCATGAATCTTGCATGTCTGTTTAAGCAATAATTACCACGTAAACAGCGTGTCTTTGTATCATGATTAGACGGCGAGTGGCATGATACTCATTATGGCCATAGCAACGGTTATAGAAGAGGAGCGGGGCAGTGATGGGAACGAAACTGCCCAGCGTGGACATTATCAAATGCATCACAGCTAATCCAACAGGATGTTGTGTTTGCTTTAATCTTCTTGGATTAGCTGGTGAAATTGGTTGAGCAATAGACGTTGGACTTGCTGGCTTCTACGTTCCTTGTTACATCTTCTGTTACCGATTATATGATTCAAGGAGGTGGTGGGTGCATGATTCTCATTGTCAGCACGCACTTCAGACTTTAGTAAACACCCATATACACGACGAGATCACTAGTTGGAAATGCGTTCTAGAGCATTGTCGTTTGATTGAAACCCCTACTCTAGGGATCTAATTCGTTGCCACTGAGACATCCACGTTTTCTGGACATTCACTGATTGAATTTGATTCCACCTTCTGCTAAAGGAATCAATTTGTGACGCCTTTGTCCGAACAGATGACGTTCCTCATGAGATTTGCACCATGGGCGTTGTTGTATTCCGGCATCAGACGTTGAACATCTGCGTCCACTTTGCCAATAATTGCCATGCAATCATAATGCCCACCCCGTCTGCTTGATTGGAAGGACACAACCAATCTACCATTCGGCGTAGTTACCTCCACAAAATCTCCGATATTGCAGTAGTCTTTGATGACATGGACATTCAAGGGGTATATGTCAACCCATTTTTCGCAGTTCTTCTTGTCTTCTGTCGATCTCTGTATTGCCGAGGCGATCGCACCAATCATGAGGTTTCGAAGTGCAATATTGTCTCCATAGTAGCTGTCCGTGACCGTGACCTGCAGAGGTTCCTTTGACTGTCCATGCCAGCCATCAATGTAGTTTACGGGAAAGATTCGGAAACCTTCCGGAAGACATCGACCGGGATGTAAGGGATCTAGCTAAAGGTGAGTGGGCTGTACTTCTCTATGGGGTAGCATGTAATGGGCTTCATTACCAGCTCTGCACAGTGATTGGAGACCCTTATATATCATGTCATATATCGCTGTATTCGAAATGATGTTAGCTGTGTAATCCAACCTCGAGCCACTAGGAACATTAGAGAATTACCAGGCCCCTTCAAACCACCGACATTCTGACGCAGAGTTCCAAGTTTCACCGTAACAGTGTTTGCTTGACCTTGACTGATCTCAGACGTAGCATTGCCACCTTGGAGCTCGACACCCTCAACGCGTTGTTCGGAAGATTCAGTCGATGAATCACCACGAGTGGCCAAGTTGTACCTATCTGGGGTTGAATTAAGTCAAGGTTCTGTGCAAGTCCTCAGATCGCCTACCATATCCGTCGGGTACAGCCACGGCAGATGCGGCGAGTACAAGAAAGAAGCCGAAGGCTAGGAAAAGAAGCCTCATAGTTGCTCTCGTACGGATGACTGGTCTTTCGATAACTGAGCAGTCGTCGTATGCCGGAGTTGTGACGTGGGATCAAGCGTTCTTTAATAGATGGAGAAAGGAAGGAGTGAGGGGTGAGGAGGAAAGAGAGGAAAGAAGGAAGTGAAGGAAATGTCGGGTCGGAGGCAGGAAATTCGAGAAAGTGGCGCACTGATTCACCTTGGCTCTACCTTACTTCTACTTCTACTTCTACTGATTGGCATTGTGCAGGGACCTTCATCTGTCTTTCTCACCGAATTTTGTTCTGACTGATTAAGCTCTGGAAGTTGGATGTGTTATTTCATCTCTAGGTGTATATCTGATCATCTATCCATGGACCTTCGAAAAACACAAGAATAGTAATTATGGTAGATATAGCAAAGAGGCCAGAATAGTCACACTAGTGAATCTTCTCATCTTTCATCTCTCACTGTGTTGCTTCTCAATAGTCCAAGCAGTGGGGTATGCAAATTGTTCGTAATCATGCGAATTTACACAGTAGAGCAACCTAGATCTCACCAATGCATCAATTTTCGCATGATGATGTTTCAGCTGAATGAAAGTGATATTCATAGCGAAAGAAAGTATCGAGGGCATTTCAGTTCAGTTCATGGGTAATTCAACGCGTTCAACTGTAGCACGTGCAGACGCGATGGTGGTGGTCAAAGCTCAAATCATCTATGACGTTCCGTCGAGATTCCATTCTGGGGACATGATGGATCAACAATAAAACCATTAAATCCTAGTATTTAAATATGAGCAGCCCGTCTAAGCGGCGGAAGAAGAACGATAGCTCCGCGCAACCAATACGAAACTTGGACTTCTTCTTCGCGAAGCAGAAAGAAGCCGCAACCAAGTCCGCGAATGCCGTGCAAGAAGCTGAGGATAATGTCACCAACTCGGAGGGTCTGACGGACGAGGAACTCGCCAGGAAATTGCAGGATGAATGGAACAAACAGGATCAGGTCGATGCAGCTTCAGAGCGCAATGGCGATCTCTACGACGACCCCCAGGCATCTATCGTAAACGGCGCGTCGGAACAGGCCATCGATGGGGGAAAGGATAGCCCAACAGATAATGAGAGGCTCAACGCCAAAGATATGAAACCAGACCATTCGAATCAGACAAGTACGCTCTCGTTGCAGTCAACAGCCGCCGAGGAGGACACTGTATCCGTCAACATTCCCTTCGACCAGAGCCCCCTCGAATTCGAGCCTGCGCAATATATTCCAGACTTACAGAGACATTGGGCATCTGAGGGAGGACACGCTACATACGCGCTACTTACCCGTTGTTTTGTGCTGGTAAATAGCACTACAAGTAGGATCAAGATTGTGGATACCTTAGTGAATCTTTTACGGGTATTGATCGAAGGCCACCCTGAGAGCTTGCTGCCAGCCGTTTGGCTTGCAACCAATTCCATTTCTCCACCGTATATCGACCTCGAGCTTGGGCTAGGAGGGTCCGCCATTTCGAAAGCCTTGAAGAAAGTCTGCGGTCTTGACAATGCTGGTTTGAAAACCTTGTATAACAAGTATGGTGACCCTGGAGACGTCGCATTCGAAGCAAAAAAACGACAATCATTTACCTTGCGAAAGCCCAAGCCATTGACCATCAAAGGCGTATTCGATTCTTTGGTTAAGATCGCCAATAGCAAAGGTCACGGAAGTGTAGAAGTGAAGCAAAGAATTGTGGAGCGTCTTATCCAAGATGCGAGAGGCGCAGAGGAGAGCCGTTATATTGTCCGTACCTTAGTACAGCATCTAAGAATCGGTGCTGTAAAGACCACAATGCTTATCGCCCTGTCGCGTGCATTCATACTCTCGAAGCCTCAAGGCGCCGATTTTGAAATTCGAGATTCGAAAGAGCTTAAAAGATTGAAGAAAGAGGAGTTGGCAGAAGTTTATGCCCGAAAAGAAGAAGTAGTCAAAGCTTGTTTCGCGAGACGCCCGAATTACAACGATCTTATACCAGCGCTTATTCAGGTTGGTGTTTGCGAGGAATTGCTTCTGCGTTGCGGCCTTGCGCTTCATATTCCGCTACGACCCATGCTTGGAAGCATTACCCGTGATTTGGGAGAAATGATAACGAAACTCCAGGGCCGAGACTTCAGCTGCGAGTACAAATATGACGGTCAACGCGCCCAAGTTCACTGTGACGAGAAGGGCAAGGTCACGATCTTCTCCCGACATCTTGAAGTGATGACGGACAAGTACCCCGATCTGGTTGATCTAGTGCCTAAGATACGCGGAGAAAGTGTATCTAGCTTCATTCTGGAGGGCGAAGTTGTGGCCATTGATCGAGATTCTGGTGAATTGAAGACCTTCCAAACACTTGCTAATCGTGCGCGGAAGGATGTAGTGATTGGGAGTGTTACCATTGACGTATGCCTATTCGCTTTCGACCTCATGTATCTCAATGGCGAGGAACTCCTAGATCGACCTTTCAGAGAGAGGCGATCCTTGCTAAGGAGCCTGTTCGTCGAGATTCCTCACAATTTCACATGGGTGAAGAGCATTGATGCCACATCCGCAGATGTAGAAACAGTGCAGTCTTTCTTCAAGAGTGCGACAGATATTAAATGCGAGGGAATCATGGTAAAAATCCTGGACAATCTACCCAATCCTGATCTGTTAGGCGACGAAGAACACGCCGAGGATGATAAGGTCCCCGAACCGCCTACGCCGAAAAAGAAGGGCAAGAACACGAGTTCTAAAGCAAAGGCAACCAATGGAGAGGGTGGTGCTGAGGGCAAGGGTTCACGTCGGAAAGCCCTTCTATCTACATACGAACCAGACAAGCGTCTAGATTCCTGGCTGAAGGTGAAAAAAGACTACAATACGTCCGCGGACACCCTCGATCTGATCCCGATTGCCGGTTTCCACGGTTCAGGACGCAAATCGAAATGGTGGTCACCAATACTTCTTGCTGTTAGAAATGCCGAGACCGGTTCTTTAGAAGCAGTGACGAAATGCATGTCCGGCTTCACGGATGCTTTTTACAAAGCCAACCGTGCCAAGTACGACAAGGATGATCCGGAGAACACAAGTGTGCTACCAGAGAAACCGCATTATGTGGATTACAACGGAGGGGCAGGGCGGCCGGACGTCTGGTTTGAACCGCAGGAAGTCTGGGAGGTCGCATTTGCAGACTTGACCCTCAGTCCGACCTATACCGCAGCGATCGGTCTCGTCAGTGACGAAAGGGGGCTCAGTACCAGGTTTCCGAGATTTTTGAAAGTAAGGGAAGACAAGGGAATTGACGAGGCAACCGAAGCTGCAGATCTGGCTTCGATGTACAGAAAACAAGAGGCTAGGATTCCTAATCCGCAAGAAAAGGAGCTTGTGGACGATTTGGAGGATGATTGAAACGACTAGACCATGCTTGAGCCAGGAAGACGACTTGAACCTCACATAATAAGTGTACGATGAGAATGTTCGAATCACACAATCTAGCGACCGATGAATGCAATATCCAGATGCACCAGGCTGCCTTGAACGCCAACATCGAATATGTCCCAATTTTCTTCTTGCATCCGTATTCGAATACTGTGGGGGAAACGCACGTTACAGCGTGATGCATTCATGTCTTCAATTGGTCACATTAGAAATCATGTAATCCCTTTGTGAGTATACCCATTGTTATGAATCTCAAATTACCGGAGAGACAGGCGGTATAAAGAGCGTTCTATCGACCTGTGAGATAGTCGAGACTACATAGGTCTCCAAGTAAAAGTTGTAAATTAGGTCCATATAGAAATATTGATAACCTGTCATACGGATAGTGCATAGGCTATTTCATAATTGCGGTATTACATCATAGGATACATTGTCAATGGCACGAAAATATCTGTATCTAATGAAGTCAACATAATGGCATACAAGAGTACAGTGTTCACAGTGCTGTTCGAGCTAGTGGTACAATGGTAAATTCCACCCGTCTTTGTCTTCTCTGTTCCATCTTGGTAAAAGTTCGGGTATGCGGAGGAAACAGATCAGACCAACAATGAAATGCAAAATCGCAATACCCCATTGGGTTTCTGGAATGGCCAGGCGAAGAAGGGTCGGCTTGAGTTTTTGAACTTCCTCGACGAAGGGTCTCAGCTTGTGATCATAGTTCGAAAATGCTTGTGACAAGTCATCAGGATGGCGGTTAATCTCTCCAGCCAATACGTAGGCACCGACTAAACTTGCCGAAGTCCCCATTCCGCTAAAGGGAGAAGGGCAATGCGCAGCGTCTCCGATGAGTACGACTCGACCTTTGGACCACGTATTGGTACACACCTGGACCACTTCCTGAGAGTAGAAGTTCTCTGTCGTCTGCATTCCTTTCAGAAAGCGTTCAGTCTGCCATCCTGCGCCCTTGAACCTCTCGGTCCAGAACTCTTTCTGCTGGTGTATTGAGGTCTTGGGAATGCTGGACAATTGAGGATCATCATCCCTGAGAATGAGATACACTTGGGTTTCGGTATCATTATGCGTTCTACGAAATATCATTCTTCCACCGGGGCTGTGGTACGTCCTACGGATATTGGTATCTCCTGGCTCACGTGGGATGAAATAGTATGCCATGTGTATGCCTAATCGGCGATATGGTTCTGGAGCAGCTGGAGACAAGATGGCTCTCCGGACACGTGAACCCTGGCCATCAGCGCCGACGAGCATGTCGAAGGTGCCTGATGAGCCATCAGAGAAGCGAGCAACTACCTGCTTGTCGTCCTGCTCGAAACTCTCAACAGTTATGCCGAAGACATACTCAACTTGGCCCTTCGTCGCGTCGTATAGTATCCTAACGAGATCTCCTCTCATGATTTCGTACTCAGAGGTTGGACCCTGTCTACCTTGGCCAGATCTGTTTGCCATTATGGTACCTTTGACATTACCGTGGGAATCGATAATTGCTACTCCAGCTTCATCGACGAGCTTGGAACGAATCGTCTCCAGGAGACCCATTCGTTTAGCGACTTCAATTCCTTGAGAACGAAGGTCAATCTGAGCACCAGTGGCCCTAAGCGCCGGGAAACGCTCGACAATGGTGACTTTATGGCCGCCTTTCGCAAGCCAGAAGCCTAGGGCTGGACCTGCGCATCCGCCTCCACATATAAGGATGTTGAGTCGCGACATTCATGAATTGAACTTTGGTAAGGCCTCGGAGCTTTGAGTACAAGAAGAATTGATATTTACTGAAGCACGTTAACTATTAAACCTTTGAGATTTTGCAGTGGCAGACACTTATTTGGTGCTAATCAACATGATGACCTCACATATGATGTTCCCCTCATTTCAGCTGGCCCAGCCGTGTCTTAGCGCCCACGACGCCTTCCCTACAAAACTACAACAACGTCCACCGCTAGCATCGTCGAAGCTCGACAATAAGTTTCTCGCCGAGGAAGCTCGACGATGCTCTCTTATCTTCCGGAGATGATGCCTTTGGGTGGTTGGTGCCAAGACGTTGTAACGGCCGAATCATTCTGGAAATGCCGATCTGCGGTGGCCGCATGAACAGGGAAATTGACATCCACCAACCCGGCGAGTGGGGAGATTTCAGTAATCCGTTCCACCCGAGGTCTCGATTGAATCAAACATCCAGCAAACAAGGAAGCTGTACAACGGACCTGCAGCAGCTATTCCGCCAAGATGGCTAAGGATTCTTATCGCTGCTTAAGTTGGTCAAGATGCCCTGAAGCCAAGCAAGAGCTAGGATGAAGCATCTGCCTATTTAAGCAGGTCGGTATAGTCCCGCTCGTGTTTATCCTGGACCTCGCCATCAGCACGTCAGCAGAGAGTCCCTTGGCCTGTTTGGATGTCAATAATAACAATGCAAGAGGCACGGTTTAAAATGAGGCAGGCCCTCATCCTGTGCCACCTCCATCCCCATCCTCTTCTTTCTCTGCTCAACTTCGAGAGGATAGCAATTGGGAGGAAACGCAATCACACAAGATGGCTATTTGGAAGTCAATTGTCGCTACGGCTGCGATTGCCGCCACTGTTGTCGATGCAGGCACTCTGGCGCCCCGAAATGGTTACAAGTCGCTCGTCGATTCGGTTCGTCGCACCTCACAATACTACACAAGAAGGCATTGCACTGACATCCCATCTAGAAAAGCCTTCGCAAGCAGATCAAGACCGAAGCTTTGAAGAAGAGAGCAGAGACTCTCCAGGACATTGCTTACAGCACCCCTGGAAAGAATCGCGTGATCGGTAGCGAGGGACATGAAAACACCGTCAAGTACATTCAGAAGGAACTCGGCCAGTTCCCTGACTACTACACGGTTGAACTTCAAGGCGTCGAGCTTTCAATTGGTGTCTCGGCTAATCTGACCGCCAACGACAAGACCATTGAGGTCTACGCTGTCACCTTGGCTCCGAGTGGCCATGTCAGTGGTCCCTTGGTCGCCGTTCCCAACTTGGGCTGCGAGGAAGTGAGTGTTGCGCCATCAATTCCCAGCCCTATGCATGGTTGCTAATCTACTTGTACAGTCTGATTTCACTGAGAGCCTAGAGGGAAAGATTGCGATCATCTACCGAGGCACATGCGAATTCGGCATTAAGGTCGGGCTTGCCGTGTCCAAGGGTGCCATCGGTGTTATTGCGTACAACAACGGAGAGGGTACCTTGGAGGGATACTCCCTTCAAAAGTTCGAAGATCCCGAGAACCCATATGTCCCAGTTGGTGGTATCTCCCAGGGCGCGGGTGAGGCACTTGTTGCGCAGCTCGAGGCCGGCCAGGAGGTCACCGTTGATCTCACCACTGTGACCAATGTTGCCACCAGCTACAATGTCATTGCCCAGACCAAGGGTGGTGATCAAGAGAACGTTATCCACCTCGGTGGTCACTCTGACTCCGTTACTGCTGGCCCGGGTATCAACGACAATGGATCCGGCACATCCTCTCTTTTGGAGGTTGCCGCTCAGCTCACTCGATATGCAGTCAAGAACGCTGTTCGTTTCAGCTGGTGGACCGCGGAAGAGGCCGGTCTGCTTGGAGCCACCTACTACGTCTCCAAGCTTTCCCCAGAGGAGAAGCAGAAGATTCGTCTCTTCCTCGATTTTGATATGATGGCTTCGCCCAACTACGCTTTCCAAATCTACGATGGCGATGGTTCCGCTTTCAACTCCACTGGCCCACCCGGATCGGCCGAGGCTGAAGCGGAATTCACCCACTACTTCGCCGATATTGCCGCTGTCAACCACACCGAGATTGAGTTTGATGGTCGCTCCGATTACGGTCCTTTCTTGGAGGCTGGCATCGCTGCGGGAGGAATTGCTTGCGGTGCTGAGGGCATCAAGACTGAGGAAGAAGAGGCCATGTTCGGTGGTGCAGCAGGCGTGCCATACGATGTCAACTACCACGAGGATGGCGACACCGTTAACAACCTCAACTACGAGGCATGGATCGAGATGACCAAGGCTATCGCCCACGTTACCGCTGTCTATGCTCGAAGCTTCGACAGCTTGCCTCCTAAGAACTCTACCTCCCTCCAAAAGAGGGCCGCGAGGTACGCACAGTTCAAGCAGACTAAGAGGTTTCAAAAGTGGGTTTAGAAATCTATTAGTATGATCTAATGTAAATATAAGTGAACGCTGTAATTCAATATCATGAATTAATAATATAGTCACAGTACTTAACATACCTAACATATTTCACTGTCCCTGAGGATCTAAGACTTGACTTGTTTAGATGGAACTGATGGCCCCTAGCGATTTCGTTCTTTTCCATAGTACTACTTTGCAAGTGAATTCACATGGAACGATATCCAGAATCCTCGGCACCTAGATCCACAGGAGGATACTACGACAAACCGGCTCTGTCAGGCCGCGCCGAGGTCGCTTGAAAATATGCTAGGCCCGGAGCAAAGCATTCTACAGCCGTCTACACCACGCCGACTTGGCTTTGTTCAATGTTTTAGACCCCTAATAGGCAAATGCATATCGCATATCTTAAAAAATAGGCTCGACTACATGGCAAATACCCCAAGACGAGGCAATGCTGCCAATCCCGGAGGACATTTTGTAGCAAGACGAACGCCTAATCAATCCAGCAGCCAGGAATGACCCTTCTAAGCCATCAGAATGGGTGTGACGCGTCTCATGTGTATCAGAAGAAATTATCGAAGTGACACAAATCGCGGAGAAACATCAAGGAGAGTTAGTTAATTGGAGGAGCTGGATAATGATTGCCAAGTCAACTAGTCAATTGTGGCATAGCGTATTTCTTTTCCCAATCTTCTCATTGAACCGTCGTCCACAACTCATCATCGCCGAAGTATCCCACGATTTCTTGCATAATCCCAACGCCATCACCGACACAATGGACAGTAAGAAGAGGAAGGCTGATCCAAGATCTCGGGTCGATGGAAATAGCAAAAGGCAAAAAGTGAGTGCTGGTGTAACGTCCGAAAATGCTCGGAATGGCTGTCTTGGCCTTACTGTTCTTTTCTCGCCCTGGATTTCTACTTGACCCGTGTTTTAATTTATTTTTTTGAATAGGGCAAAAAGCAATGGTCCATGCCGAGGAGAGATGCTGCAGAGCCACGGGGAATTCAACCGGGCGATACAGGCATCTGGGCGACGTGCGCCATGAAGAAAGAAGGAAAGTCGGTGGCCGAACTACGTGATCTTTTCCATGAAGTAAGCCAAATAAAAATAATTGCTTCTTCCTCGATAGTAAACGATGTGTATTGACTCTCAGCAGTATGCTTTGAAGCTTTATGGAGTTGACTCAGTGAGTGGTGAGGCCGAGAAGGACAGCTCTGATGAGGAGGGTGGGGGTGATATCGAGGCCGAAATCAACAAGGAGCTTGATGCCATACGTAAACCTTCTGGAGGTTCTCTATTCACATCAGTCAGGCTAGAGACACAGTGCTGTAAGCGTATCAATCCAATCCTGCGCGAAGGACTTGTTTGTTGATGTTGTCTAGTAATCTTCTTCAAGACTCGGCAGCCTGTTGAGCCGGTATCATTCATCAACACGATATGTAAAGATGCTGCAGATGGAGTCGAGCAAAAGCTTTGCCGGTTTGTGAAAAGACTTACCCCAATTACAGCGACAGACAAAGCAACAGAAAGGGGACTGGATGCAGTTGCAGAAGCAGTCCTTGCCCCCCACTTCCACGGTGAAGGCAAAGGATCCAAAAAGGTACGTAAAATGGGCGAGTCCATCTGTCTCGATCTCGATGAGCATGGATTATGACTTTTCCGAACCAATGAGATCTTGCTAATGAGAATATTGAAATGGCAGTTTGCTATACGGACGTCTATCCGGAATAACAAAGAGTTCACGAGAGATAAGCTCATCAAGAAAGTCGCAGCCGCCGTCGGCCCAGGCCACAAGGTTGATCTCTCCAATTATGACCTACTCATCCTCGTGGAAGTCTATCAGGTACGAGGCCTATGATTTCTGCATACCAGAGATGCTTAAACACTTCCTGTGCTGATGTCTCAAATGCTAATCGCCTTCAAGAACATTTTGGGTATGAGCGTAGTTGGCGCTGATTACGATCAGCTCAAAAGATATAATCTTGAAGAACTTCACGGATTTACAGAGCAAGACGCCTCGACAACCAAGCAGTCGAAAGAGGAAGGCAATATCGAGAAGCCGAGGCAGGCAGATCCAGGAAGCAGAGGTACTTTCGAGATAAAGGAGGATGCCTAACATGATGCCGGCTGAAACGTCTTCCGTCAGCTGTTAGCTTTTGAGAATATCATATATTGCATTGTGTAAGATCTCAAGCCACTACAGAATTCCTAGTCGGGTCCCGAAGACGATGCCATTATAACCGATAGTCGCATCTGCAGGCGTATTCATGCGAAGCAAGAGTATGTATGCAGTGCGACCTTGCCGCAAGATTGGCACCATGGACATACCCGGAGGAGCGGCTTGACAGTTATAGTGCGCCTACTAGATGTCGTCTCCGAACGAACGGGTGGTGAGAAACGCTCGTAAGGCGTACGAGGTGGCTATCAGTCTAGTACTTGGCGAAGGTGACGAAAAGACGGCCTGCGGACCGCGGTGGGTTGGCATTGGCGTTGGCGTTGGCGCTGGTGCTGTTGCTGGCGTTGGCGTTGGCGTTGCGTATGAAGAGACGGTGTGATCGTGGGTTGAAGCTTGCTCCGCTTACCCTTGTTCCAGATTCCCTGCGCTGATCGCGAAACTTTGATTCATCGGAAATAGACAATCATTCCAATAATGTTGATTCGCTCTCGCGTACTATTACCACCTGCCGTCAGCAAGCTTTCATCTCGACGTTCGTTTCGATCATGACGCTCGTCCACCTTTGTTCCAACAGGCGAAGATCCAATCATTGTATCCCGTAACCGACACTATACTGCTTCCGCTTGCCTCCAACGGGCTATCCTAGACGAATCTTTACGCCGCCGCTTAACATCTACTGACGCCCCTCGATGGTTTGTTCAATTGCCATACCGGACGAGACAGTCATTTCGCTACACAGGCGGCGCTTGTCAGAGCCTCTTGCATGCATGATACGAATCCTTTACTGACCCCATTGCCCTAGCCCCCCAGATGCACCTGACATATGTGGTGTGGCGCACCCAAAAGCCTGCTCGAAACTCCAACATAATCAATACCCATCCTCTGTGTTGGCAAAGCTGCAGTCGGAGTCGGAACACGTCCATATCAATACATCTCTTTCATCTTGTTCGGTCATGCTCGGGATCATATTACGAGTGCTCCTCCTGACGAACGCCTCCATCATCAAGACCACCAATCCTTTCATGTGCGTGAGTGGTCTGGAAAGCTATTCATTTTGAAAGATCGTTCTGGCGTGCTCCCCAAATTATCTATTAAAGACACAACTACACGATGGGTCCATCATTTCCAGACAGCCAGTTGACTGGGCCGCTTGACTGCTACCAATTCCTACTACCGACGACGAGCATTCTCCCCTCAGATTCCATCGAAATGCATCTTCCACCACTAGAAGTTGCTGTCTACCCCGTAGTCACCATGAGCCAAGGCAGACGCGGCGGCCATGCTGTTAATGCTTCCATAGCATCAACCCCACTTGCCGCAATGTCGACGCCTTCAACTCCAGACTTTTCGGCGATTCAAAAGGTCGTTCGAAATGTCTTTCGGTCCTCGCAGATCAAGGTCCAACAAGTGGAGCGTCTCCAAGGTCGCCTTCACCAGGTTTATCTCATAAGGCTGGTTGATGGCACTTCCCTTGTCATGAAATGTCCTCCAACCTACAATACCCGTCTATTACGATGCGAGAAACACGCTTTGGAAACACAACTCAAGACATTAGAGACCCTTCGAGAATACACTCAACTCTCAGTCCCACAAGTGATCAAGTTTGATCACAATAATGGTCATTTGGGTTCGCCCTTTCTCTTGATGAGCCATCTGCCCGGTAGACGACTGTCAGAGCTTCTGGACCACATCACATCGAGCCAGCGTCGAAGTATCGACAGAGCGTTGGGTCATGCTGTGAAGAGCCTGACTGCGTTGTCGGCCACGCAGTATGGACTCACTCATCGGGTATTCTCAAAAAAGGGGTATCACTCGTGGCGAGATGCCTTCCTCTCTCTTCTTGAGTCTGTTCTCCGGGATGCCGAGGATATGGTTGTCACCATGCCTTACGAGAGCATACGATACTTTGTGGGTCAACATAGTGACTACTTGAACGAGGTTAAAGAACCTCGTCTTGTAGCTCTCGATGTATGTGACCCTCAAAATGTCCTCGTTGATCCGCAGAACATGCATATCACCGGATTGGTTGGCTTCTCTAATGTCATTTGGGGTGACCCTCTCATGACCGACGGTATTTTCAATGGCAGTGCAGCTTTCTTCGAAGGGTTTGGAGAGTATCCAGCTCGGGATCGAGGAACCCATGCTAGAATGTTGCTGTGAGCCCCCCTCTATTCACTTTGATACCTTACGCTAATTCTTCTTGTAAGATACGAAATATATCGAGCAACAGTCCAAATAGTTGCACATCACTACCGATCGCACCTCAACACCGACGAACTTGTGGCTCGACGGTCCTTGTCAGACGCACTTCGCGAGCTTGCAGAGTTGTAAAATTCCACAACCTATTTCATTATACTGTGCTTTGAGGAAGTCAAGCTGCCAAGCAGTCACCTGTAAGGCCTGTCAAACTCATTTGGCACGAAGAACTCTCTATCAGCCTTTGGAGACACAAGGCTCTGTCGCGGTGGCGTTTCCGGGCTTATGTGGCGCCCGGTCATTTTCCCTATTCTGTGGGCGCCACTTACCGGCGGGCAGAGGCGCAATACCTTCCCCAGCTCTAACACCGGTATCGTCACACGATCCACGCGTTCCGCTCGTCACGTCTCTATCGTATTGTGTCCCTTATGCATAGTACATGCACGATTTTCGGTTTTTTTTTTTCACCCATGTTTTAAGGCCTGGAGGATTGTGGCGTTTTGCGAGCGGGAATTATCTCATATGACTTCGGTATATCTTCAAGGACAGCAATGACTTTTGAACAAGGAATCACTTAGCGCGGAGCACAGGGTACTGCGTTGGGTTGGATATATGCATATTTGGCGAAACGCGTACAAGGTGAAATTAATGAAGCTATGCCATTTATTTCTATTTCATATCTTTTATCTTTTACACTGAATCCAGGGGCTTGAATATTGGATATTTCTTGTGGAACAGCCATGCCTGCTTCACGAAAGCCCAGTGTTTTCTCATGGTATCAGTCAAGTCACGGCCCGAGCAAACGGTTGCTATTTTAATGACGAAGTTATACCTAAATCAATTGGAACATGTTGCTAGATTTGACGATAGAACCCCTCTTGAGCGATGCTGAAAACCTTTTGACACAATGAACAAACAAGACCCTACGCTGTATATACTCCGTACACAATCTCGTCTCGGCCTACACCGCCCTACAGATTCTTCGGCAAGCTTACCGAACCACTCCGATAACGATACTAAGCGAACAGAGCAAGGCGAATTCGTTACCATTGCTGGACCAAGCCCTTGTCCAGGCCAAAACCTTGGAAACCAACAAGTATCACACGTTCTAGAAACCGAGCCCAACACCCATTGTCGCGTGCGGTTCCTGGCGATCAGCACTTCGCGTTTTCCTCTGCATAAACCCATTTTCTCAAACGAACGGATTGCCCTTTTCGAACTATGAACATCTTTCTCAGGGTTTCGGTGAAGATCCCATGTCAATGCAGCTTCGCTTGATGTAACTAGCATTCGTATACAGTGGACGCCATTCAAAATGCACCTCAAAGTAGGATATCATAGTGAGGATTTGGAGTGTACATACGAGTTTACCAACGTTCTCAAGCAGCTCCCATGGAAGCAACGATCATTTAACCTCTTGCACTATCGCTTACCCTTGCTTTCCAACCCTCCAGGCCCTCGTCTAACAAATCCAAGTTACCCACCAATCAGCGCGCAGCTTTTGCGAAGAAGCCGCAACGGCCCTGGGAACCCTTCGCTTAACCTTCCCTCATTCGGATGGCCTGGATTGCTCCGTCGGTGTGCGTGGGACTTTTGGTTCATGATGCCCCTACCTGGAAAACCATACCTACGGCGTCGAGGTTACATCGCGGGATGAGAACGAACATTGTATGTATGTACTTGTAGTCGTTGTGTTACTTGCCGGGGGGATCTTTACGGGGACGGCACAGAGTAGAGCGGGTTAGAAAGTAGCGCGGGGGAACATGAACGAATGGATATGCATACGTGGTACAGTAAGAAGTTTAGTTAGAGATGTGAGTACGGCATCGGGAACGCGGCGCCTTGTCAGTGGATGCTGTCCAGATAGATAGGTTCATGAGCAGGAATCGTCGTCATCGCACGTCTCAACGAAGCATTGCTTTATTACCCTTAAAGGGAGGCAATCTTGACTATGGTAACAATCGTTGCTAAATGGGTAACCCGCGATTGAGTAAGGCAGTTACAGAATACCCCGTACAAGAGAACGGTACGAAGAGCATGGGCACGACTTGGGAACATGGGAGTTAGTCTGTATTACGTTCTGACTGCATTGGATCCATCTGATATGACCCCTGTTTCAACATCCTTTTATGGGGCATTTTCCCAAAGCGTACGGCCGATGGGCAGCTATCATCTTGTAAGCTGTAGGAACTTACGGCACACCGTGGTGAGTTAACATTCCTGTGAACTCTTACACTACGTAGTCCTACGGCCGAAAGGCAAGCACATCTTTGGGATATAGTTTCGGTGCTTCCAAAACCCGAGATCATCAAATGCAGCATTTGGGGAGCCTTACTCCTCCTCGCATAAGATGCCAAACATGACATTTCCTCAGCTAGGGTACCACCACTTAGTGACCATAAGTCCAGGGCTATCGTGAGAGATACAGCATGCAATGTCGGTATCAACCTGCAAGTCCGCCTCGAGCCATCTTGCGTGCTCGTTGGTCCCTGCGATTGTGATTTGCACGGCTTCCTTTGTTTGCTTCCTTCCTCTGCCGTGATACTTGCGTGGATTTTTCCTCATTCGAGCCTGCAACATTTCCACCACCTCGCCCTCTCCCCCGTCCGCGGCCTCTCCCGGAATGACCGCCCCTTCCCCCGCGTTGGGCGTCGCTCTTTCCTTCATCTCCTGACTCGGCAGGGCTTCCTCTGTAAGCTGTTGATGCTAGCTCTCGTTGTTGGCCGGAGAAGGTTGCATATTTTGCCTCTAAACGACGAAGACGCCTGGGTTCGCGGGTCATCATGACAGCCCAGCCCTCAATGGCCTCATCCGTCATTCCTGTTTCACTCTTGAGGATAGCCCTGGCCTTTCCTCTCCTCGTCTCTGCATCTCGACCGAAAACATCTGCCGACATGGCAAAGGCCCTGAACAGTGCCTCCTCGTTCTTGTCTTGAAGGTCCGCATCCGCTCCGTCGGGTCCAGGAGCTGCAGAGTCAATCGTACCACCAACATCCTCGACGTCATATGTGTCGTCACGCTCATCATCATCTAAGTCAAAGGCTGCAAGAGCAGCCAGGATTGATGATTTCTTGGGTGCATTGCTACGGTCGGACAGAATGTTGTCAGCAGTGAGTTGCTGATTCTTGCGGCCAATATGCAGGCGAGACGTGTCCACCGTGAGATTATCCAGCTCATCGTTGTCGTACTTATTGCGGCGCTCATAAGCTGGAGGTGGTGTCGACCGAGGTGGTAAATGTGAGTAGGCTGGTGTCGAAGTTTGTGGCCTGGAAAAGTCAGTGACCGCTCAAAGGTAGCATGAGGCTTCAGGGGAATCATGTCTAAACTCACAATGGCTCGCTGCGATCTGCAGTTGCAAGGTGTGGGGGTAAAGAGTCTTCCAGTAGATGCGCAGTGACCAGTTCAACATTATCGTTGTATTCATCTAGCAGCTTGATCACAAATCCAGGGCCAAGATCTGGGAAAAGATCCTGTACTTGAGTGACCAAGCTCATACGGTGGACATGGAATTCTCCAAACCCTTCGTTGTTATGTTCTTCACCCGTAGCTTTGCCCTTGCCTTTATCAACTTTGCGACGGATAATCTTTTTGGGGCGGGCGATTCCCTCCTGATGATAAGTAGCGAGAGATGAGACTATGTTCTTCAATCGTGCACCCTCAGTCCCACTAGATGCAGCTCTGATCCTTTCTACAAGAGGTGTATTCGTAACAAGGTCGGCTACGTAAGTCTTTTCTGTCTCTTTTCTCTTCTGTGCTTGCTCCGCGCTGGTTTTGAGTCCATAAAGATAATCCGATAATAGTGAGAATTTGGGCTTTGGTCCATTTACAAGTGACGTGAGTCCTAAGTATGCTGTTATCACGAGTTTCCTTTGGATGTTTGGGGAAACCTTTGGATACGCCGAACCCAGGGAATCGAAGAAATCGGATCCAGTGAGCATAAATTCTCCAGCCTCTGTAGAATATTTCAATAAGGGACCAAGAGAATCTAGAATATTCTCTACATTGTCTGGGTTCTTCGAGTCCAATAACTTGATTGCCGAATCTTTTGCTAGTTGCAAGGACTTCTCTAGCCTGCTGCCTTCCCGGCTCCAAATAAGTTTTAAAAGCGAGCGACGTTGTTCATTCTTGGGGTAACTTCGACAAACATTTGACACGAAGGACCATTCTAAGAGATTTGTAGGAACAGTGTTCGAGGACCAAATCCTATGGAGCAATACGAAGGCTTTCCGCCGCAATGGTAACAAACTAGGCGACAACGTAGGGTTCCTAGCCAACTCATGGAAAAAGCTGGTGAGAAAATCCTGAAGGCTAGTTCCATGTTGTACGGCGGACAGGAAGTCTTGGTCACTCGATTGGAGATAAAGGTCAGTCAAAGAAGTAGTTGACTCCACGTACAAGTCCCACTGTGTGGGAAGAATAACGTTGCGGACTTCTGCAGTAGGAAATGACGTAAACGGTGGCAGCCCCGCCATTGATAGAACGATGTCGCTGAAAATCGAGGCAATCGACGTAGATGATAATTACAGCTGTATGAACTGTTCTAAAGGTCCTTTTAGATGCTTCCGCGTGGTTTATGTGGTGAATCTGTTGGAGTCATCGAGCCGCAGAAGAAGTGAGGTGCAGCCACGATACACATTTCGGGGTTAGCGCTGCCAAGAAACTCCTTCCCACATTCACTCCATGATCATTTTGGGATTACATGTAGATGCTCATACAGATTTGATGAGGCTCTTGAAATCCATTGATTGGTTTATTATCAAATACATTTGCATAGCGTAACAGCGAATCCGAGGTTGAAGCACGGCCAGTCAATCCATCGACACTGAAGAGGACAAAGCATAGTCCACAAAACACAATAGAGTTATGACAAGAAGGACATTGGGAAAGTCTATTTCGAAATTTCAGAGCGAACTAATGTAAGTGGAATGCAATAAATGGTATATAGCCGGAAAACAAAAATGAGAAACCACCGGTGATGCCATCAAAGCCGATTGATTAAAGCCAGGCATCTTTGTCTAACTCTTGTCTGATATGCCCAACTAGCCACTGCAACAAGACCAACAAAAGCTACGCCTATGCTTCCTACGATGATCCACCACCGCGCATTGTCTCTATGCTCTTGCATGTCATTCGCTAGGGAGACCATTCCTCCCGCCCTTGAGCCTGGGAGTAGGTACTTCAAACTTGCTTTGCAGATACAATTTTTGAAGACCCCAACTAGTTGCATAATGGTACCGCCTATGGATGAGATTATCGCAGCCGCCAGTGCCATCGCGGCTAAGGCATAGACGGCAATCGCTGATTCTGTACAATTCTTGCCCTTTTGCTTTGCAAGAATGCGGGTAGGTGAGGAATAATACAACCACCAAACGAGGATCAATATGATTTGCGAAGTAGCATAGATAAGGTGAACCGTGGACCGGCACCCGAATCCCACCATGGGTGTGGAATAAGAGATCCAACATGCACCAGCGCAAGGGAGTGCGATTAAGACAGATGCGAGGAGTCCACTTATAACGCGAGGAGTGCTTGCTTTGATATATGCGGAAACTGATGCATCCACTGAGTTCTTGCGACTCCATTCTTGGAACACTCGCGCGCGTTCCCATAACCACACCGTGCGAAATATTGATGAGTGGAAATGGTACGACTTGGGTTCGGAAGAGCGAGATGGCGATTTCAGTGCTTCGCTGTTCTCGGAAGCAAGAAATGGCTCGAGTTCGATATTCTCTGAGAGAATGGCCTCCAGGCTTGCGGGATTGTCGATTCCAAGCACAGCAGAACTGACGATTGCGACAATGACAACAACTCCGTACCACAGACCAAAGGCTACGGCGTGTGCGGTGTCGTTATCTCCAAGCTTTGATTTCGCGTCAAAAAGTGCGTAGGCGTATGCACCAAGATAGAAAACGATCGGGACGCCAACTCGGGCACCATATGACGGGAGCAACGCCAGTAGGCTACGGAGCTTCTGTTTTCCAAATGGAGAATCCAGGATGTAAGCGTAGATATTCCCCGATAGGTCACCTTCATGTGGCTGTAGACTGCCCACAAGTGTGAAGGATATCGCTAGTAGCGCAGTGCTCGGATCACTTGAAATGTTCTTCTCAGCATATCCAAGAACCATATGGTCGACAAATGCTTCGTGGATAGAGCCGGCAACGAGTGGTCCGGCAAAGGCGAAAACGGCAATGATCCAGAACAAGATATCTAATAACATCAGACCCATGGCGAGGACCAGCCAAGAATATGCAACCAGCTTGCGCGCTGCGAACCATCGTTCATGACGAGGTAGACGAATGGGCCGAGGGATCGAGATGACGAAAGCCAAAGCAGGTAGGAGGAAACCGACGAGGGGCCCAATCCACTGATTTAGAACATTGTGTTTAGATGCTTCGTAGCCTGGACAGCGCTCGAGGCATTCCGAAACAGATATGGAAATGCTCAGTGCAGGTGGCTTCTCCAACTCGTAGGATGATCTGCATTCTAAATTCGTATTGTTCTCGAGAGAAGGGTCTCTCAATATCATCTCCTTGCGAACATCTTCGCATAAACTGGAGAAGTTGGCATTCCCTTTCTGCCCTATAGATGACTGGACTAGTAAAAGTGTGACAATAATTCCGAGTGAAATTCTGCAGGCATGCAGCATCGTAGGATTCGTGACCCCTCGCGCTGCGATAAATTCGAATGTATGATGTATGGATGTGGTATATGGATTCTGGACGAATGAGGGTATGTGTGGTATTCTATGTACGACGTGAGCCTTTGGCTATAATTAAATATGTATGCTTGATAGAGTGAGGCTGTCGCATCACACCCTACATTGTGGCGTAGGCGATGGCATAGACAGCCACTTGATATAACATTGGGCGTGTGACCATGTTCTTATCTGTGCAGCCTAAACAACCTCTCGGCAAAGAGAGCGCGTATGTTTCGTTCCATATGATAGCTACCCCACGCATTTTACATAGTTATGTGTAGCTTTCGAACCGAAGACGGCAGTGCACACCGCAGGCCTTGGTCAGGTGTGGGAATGTTTTCGGATGTATCTGGGCCCGATGCTCAAGTAGTTGACCGGCAATTCACTGATCGAGTGAAGCTGATAAAGTGACAACCAGCCCCCGTGGCTAAAAGACACCGCCGCGGTGTACGGAGTAGGAGGGCGCGTTCCTCGAGATAAGCTGCGCCTCAGACAACAGCAGCTCGAATGTATCAAACTGCGGGTAAGTCCTGATACCTTAAAACTACCCCCATAATGAAGGCTCACATTCAGGGCTTAGTCGAGTTGCTCGCTACACACAATATGCAGGCTGCCACTGTAAAGTGCTTGGCACTGCTGCCCCTCGTTTCCAGCATCCAAATTTTGAGACCTCGTATCTCGTATTGTAGGTCAGCTGAAGTTGAGTTTCCTATTGCTGGAACTTCCGGACGCGTCGCGTCGTGTTCATATACCCCATGTTTTTGATGGTCGAGGCCGGCATCACCCATGGCGATTGCGATTGCTGCAGCACTGTTGTAGTGGCCGAGACTTGATCCTCGCGACGCAACAAGCGATAATAATCATGCTCAGTATACGCCCACTCTGGATGGTCACAACAACCAGAGATTAGCACCGTTTTCTCCGGATTCAACCGACGAATCGCTCTTTCAAGCGATTTCGGAATGAGAAGTTGCGCAATCCGGTTCTCGGGATCCCAGGCCCTCAAAAGCGCAGTACATACGACCCGAGAAGTTGCCGGCTCAGGCGGAGCAACCATGCCATCGGAATTGCCTTGGAAGTATGGTAGACGGTATTTCTGTGTTCGAGGAAGCTTGTTGGACAGCGCAATGATACTCTCGTCTTCTGTCTCCACCAATTTTACAAGAGAACCGTTAAGCACGTGTGAGAGTCGGCTGGGCTCAATATATTCGCCCATGGACAGTATGCCAATGAATGTTTGTTGTGCATAGCTCGTCTCTTCGTAGCAAAACTCCCACGGTGTCATAGAAGAGATTGACTTCGAATTGAATGTAAACTGACGGGGATCCGATTGGGAACGTCCAGTACAATGGAAGTATGAAAGCATATGCATGCTGCGAAGTTGAGCCTCTGAGTGGGAGAGTTTGTTCACGCTGTACTGTGCTGGAATATGGCTGACCGTAATGCCACTCTTACGAGAGAATGTGTCAACAGCGTCCAATCTCGCAGCGTTCAACTCGTCAATTGCTTCAAGATCGCCTGTGAGAACCACTTGACGAGGTTTGATTTGGGCAAGAACATCGATGAACAACGTAACATCGATTGAGAATATCGATCCAGGCGTGTTGACAATCAGTGGAGCAGGTTGCTGACGTTGCGCATCCGTGTACACCCGAAAGAGGTGTTTAACGCATGCGATGAAGTACGACCAGTAGTTGAAGAGATCATTCGTAGGAACCGAATGAGCATGGAGTATCTTGTTGAAGTTTTCAGAGGACTCATTCTCTGGACTAGGGCGTGTAAAAGACGGCCCAAGATTAAGTTCGCAGATTAACGCAAGGGAGATCTGTCCATGGGGACCATACTCTGGTTTGTTCGGATCAAGGTCCAAGAAATACACAGCTGACATCGCACGTGCACTCTTTCCCAGACCTGTTAAACATCGATTAATGAGTCTTCGAGCAAACATGGATTTGCCTGATGTTGGCATTCCTCCAACAAGGATAGTTGATGGGTTGTTTGCACACTCCTCAATTTGCCGTAACCAGTCCTCAGGCGCAAGCTCAGGTGCTATAGGTCGATTCCATGGGTCGGCGTCGGAATCAGTGATCTTATTCACTAGTTAGTACGACTGTGATAGTATACAAATGTTTGAATTTTACGCACCAAGGAGAATGATCTCTTTCGGTTTTTGAGTGAGGTGCTTGCATTCCAAATGTTGGCAAACAGTGGACTCAAATCGGAAAGTGGTACTGCCTCTTCACAATCTAGGAATCGGACCTCGTTTCTAGTGTCCAATCCTCTGATAACGGTTATGGGAGATATTGATGGCACATAAATGCGATGAACCTGAGGTACCTCCTTGCCGGTTGCCGATAAATTGGCACCATTTACATTGATTGCTCCCCTAAGTACGACAAGATCGAAACATCCAATCATAGATATGGTAGCGTTTCTCTGTAAGAAAACGGTGAGTTCACTCTCAGTTTCAGACGAAATATGGTCTTGACCGTAACGCCAAGTGCAGAGTTGCACACTGCGAAGACCATCATCGGATGTGGAACTTTCATTGTCATCGAAATCAGATGGCTCAGGATCTACCAGAGGACTTGGAGATATATCGATAGACTCCTGTACGGCATCTGCAATTTCAGGTTGAAGAGCCCTCAATTTTGCTGCAGCGACAGCGCTCATTGGTTTGACATTGTCCTCCCCAGTGCCTATAAACACATGTCAGTACTTGATGAATAAAATGCCAGTAGATGTATAGAGGTACCCGACGCACCCTGTGCAGAGACTGAATCATTATTACGCTTCCTTTTCTCTGGCATGTCGGCACAAAATCATCTATTACTGGAAAGTATCTCGAGATTTGAATGCAAGAGAAATTGTCCCCCAGAATTCCGCTCTTTTTCTCTCCAAGTGACAGAATTGGTACTAGCGCGACGCCAAGAGCCAGAGCTATGGGCGGTCAAAAATGGCAGAAAATCGCTCCGCAAAAAAGTTCATAACCAAACGGAGCACCGCGCCCAGCGCCTTTACTATACGACAATCGCAATGAGTAAAAGCCAGCGTACCCCAATCCCACTGCCGGGCTCCACGGCGAGCAAGAAGAACGCGTCTGCCAAAGTTCCACAGAAAGGATCTTTCAAGAGTCAGGAATTCGTAGAAAGCAGTGACGAGTCTGCGACAGAGCAACCAGCGAAGAAGAAGGCTGGCAACAAGCGAACAGATCCCAAATCACCCGCCAAAATAGGAGTACACAAGCCCAACGGAGTCTCGAAGAAAACCAAGGTTCCCCCGCCTACGCCAATTTCCGCGCCTAAAAAGGTCGTGACGAATGACTTGACTACAACTAGTAGTAGCTCGGAGAGCGATGAGACGGCAGAAGAAGTACCTCAGCAGAAGGGCGTGGAAAATACTGGGACAGTTGAGCAATCAGACTCAAGTTCGAGTGAGGATGACTCAGACAGCTCCTCGGAAGAGTCAGAGAACGAGACAGCTCCAGCAACGGTGCGGAATATAGAGAATTTGTGCGCCGCTCCTCCAGAACTCTCACATACTTAAACTAACACGATTATTCAGGACTTCGCAACAGCCACCACAGCAGTCTCATACGGTTGAATTCCGGCCAGCGCAGCCTTACAACCCTCCAAAAGGCTTCAATGCCATACCCACCCCACTTAAGGCTACTTCGAATGCATCCAAAGTCTTCGAAAATCTGGAAGGGAAGCAGATTTGGCACATATCAGCTCCTGTTGACATATCAGTTGCGCAGTTGGAACAATTGGCGATGGACGATGCTTTGAAGGGCAAAGCGATCTTGAAGCATAAAGGGTCAGATTATGGGCTTGTTCGTCGTGGAGAGGGCGAGGAAGTTCAGCGTGCGGTTTTGATTCCTCGTCCTGACGGATTTAAAGCAGGTCAGTTGCCTCTTCATGATCCAGTGTTACAAGCAACCTAACATACGAACAGTTTCCATGCCCATCACACAGACCTTCCATCTACAACAAGTCCTTCACCTCCCTAACATCACAACGAAGCAGACGAACCCCAGCACAGGATCGGAAGCCACTAGAAGCATAACTAGTAGCACAATTCGCGCTCCGCGGCCTCAAGTGAAAGGTCTCAGGATGCGATACTGGCATTCTGGTTTTGGCGATGACGAGCCAGGTACAATAGGATCTTCAGATGACGAAACTGAAAGGCCCACAAGGACACCTGGACTTGTAGTCTCGAATGGCAGTCAAATATTGAAGAAGCCAGAGAAGCGTAAGCATGAAGGGGCAAATGGACCGTCAGAAGCACCTAGCAAAAAGCACAAAAAGCATAAGACTGCGGAGGAAATAAAGAAGAAGGAAGAGAAGAAGGCGAAGAAAGATCGGAAGAGAGCGGCTGAAGCTGCAGGAAGTTCGTAATACATGCATGCATTTGATACCAGTAGGATGCACATTTGGCGTTATATCCACAGGAGAGATACTGAGCAGATGGTAGCTCGGTCGTTCAGAAGCATGACGGGGGGATTCGTGTTAATGAGTAGGACCGAATTAGGTGTCCCATTGAAATTCAAAACATGTTTGTATATCTTGTAAGAGAAACCTCGCATACGAAATCATCGTCTCGAAGATTTTTAAATTATCCGTTCACCTCAGTGTGTGAAATGGGAAGACGGTGAAGATGAAGGACAACAAGGTCGGATTAGAGTGAAGAGTACATTAAGCGCGTTTTAGCGTCGCGCTTGTGCCTGCCGTAGTTTCCTATGACAGTCGCGCACGGACGATAAACACGTTACGTGCAGTGGTAGGGGCATTTCGTTCCTAGCGCGTGTTTGGTCTGCCAGCGAAGAGGGAAAGTCTCAACGGCACGGCCATAACAACACCACAAGCCTTTGGTCGCATGCGCCTTACGCCTACTGAATTCTCCAGACGAGTCGAATATGCTTTTAAGGCAACGTCGGTACCTTTGCATTCCAAGCGATCACCATCCAATCCATTGATTGACCCACCTACGGATCCATGGCTAGCGACGAACCGCTTCCCTCGACCGTCGAGGGAGCGCAAACACAACCTACCGAGACCGACCCTTCCTCATCAATACCTGCTGAAGCCGCGATTGCTCAAGATGTACCAAAAGACATATCGGAGTCCGAAGACGTGCAGTCTTTCGATCTTGCCGACTCTGACCTCCCTCCTTTACCAGCCGAGGATAATGAAAGCTTCCTGCAGTTGCAAGAAGAGGACAGCCAAATACAAAGCGACGGGAGCGCATTGCTAGACCGGGAAATGGACCGCCAGTTGATGGACCTGGAATCAAGTTTTCTGCCCGAGCCTTCAGTAATCCAAGCATCGGGCCCCAAAGCCCAACAAGGGGCGGATGACACTTATCTATTCGGAGGCTCGCCAGGCAATACACGTTCCGCTTCCCGTGCAGCTGTAGAAGAGGAAGGTACTATGTCTTCTGCTCCTGACGAAGGAACTTCCGCGCAAGACTCGTCTTTGTTGTCAAACGAGCCGCCTACCCCTGCGGATGCTTACAAGACACCAGCTGTTCGAAAACTGGATCTTGAAGCAGACCCCCAGGATGGTTCCTTCACGACGACTTCGACAGACACTATTCCATCATCGCCATCAGCCGAAGCGGCAAAACGGAATATCTCAAGAGCAGCGTCCGCAGCTGGCCCTGAACAAAACATGCCATCACAGAGCGAGGAGGATATTGGGCAAGCAGTTCCAGGAGCAGAGCGCCAGAAGGAGGAGCATACCCAACGGCCCACCTCAAGCGCATCAACCGTCAAAGCTCCGGATTTCTCCCAAATGGCGGGCGATTCTTCGCTCACAGAAACAGCAAAACCATCGCCTCTCGTTTCAACCACAAAGAAGTCCACAAAACGTCCCAGCTTTCTTCAAGATCGACACTCAAGCCACCGATCCTCCGTCTCGTCATTAACAAACAATTCCGACATCTCGGCAGATGGGGGAAGTAATACCAGTCTCAGCGCTGACTATGCATTGCAGAGTGGAGGTGCAGTACCGCGGTCGAGTGGCCAAAGTAGGAGCAGCATTGGCTTATCAAGGTTACCAAGTCTCGGTAGCATTGCATCATCAGTATCAGGATATAGTGATGCTACTCCACAGTGGGACAAGACAAGAAGTATCAGCTCCAATTCGCTATCCGGGTACCTCTTGCACCCGGACTCTTCTTTGGGCCCGCTTGAAGAAGAAGCACCGAATTCCAGCACCCCTCCTGCTACACCAGGAACTCCTGTGATCAGAGTCGCAGCGCCTACGGATACCGTTATTGCCAGGCACGTCCAGGATATCCAAGTACCTGATACTGTCGCTCGCGAATACCGCGAAAAGTACTCCCGGTCTCCCGAAAAACGACAGACAGCCACGCCTTTCACACGCAGCAAACACAATCTTACGCTCAAAGAGCAAAATAGCAAGATTGATAAGCTTAGCAAAGAAAACTTCGATCTAAAGTTGAAAATCCATTTCCTCGATCAGGCTCTCCAGAATCGATCGGATGAAGGTGTGAAGGACATGATCTCGAAAAACGTGCAGCTGCAGACCGATCTAGCCAACGAGAAGAAGGAAAATCAGTCACTGCGCAAGAAAGTGCGAGAACTCGAGCGTAAACTAAATACGCAACAAGAGGGAACAACCAAGGACACAACAAGTGGTTCTGATGACGAAAAAAGCGACCAATCGTCTAAACAGGCTGAATTGGAAGAAGAGATATATTTCCTACGAGAACGTCTGGAATCAACCGAAGTGCTTGTCGAGGAGCTGCAGCAAGAAAGCTTGAACAAGGAGATCGAGAAGCGCCGTATGGCCGAGTACATTAAGTCAATGGGGGATAGGAACTCTTCAGAACCTTCCGCCGGTATCAATGAGGCCATGAGCATGTGGAAAGAGGAACTTAAGGATGAGCGAGCAAGGCGAGAGCGCGTCGAAGCCGAATCTGAGCAACTCCGAGAAGAAGTTCAACGCTTAAGGGAATCGGCGCAACAAGCGCAACAGCATTCAGCGGCAAATCATAGTGTCAAGAACACGGTCAACGTGACCCGTCGGAACTTACTGACCACATACACGTCACATTCAAATACTGGATCCGATATGCACGACCAAATAAGACCATCATCTGCGACTGGGGCCTCCAGCACGGTTGTAGAGCAACTTCGCGGTGAAAATGCCGAGCTACGACGCGATCTAGGTGCCCAGACTTCCATGCTTACGTCTCGAAATAGAGAAAGAGAGCGCCTGCAGCAAGAAATAGAAAGCTTGAAGCTTACGGCTCGCCGAGGGGATGTTGGGTCCGTTGCTGGTGATAGCATCTTTGAAAGGTCAATATCTCGCAACAACCAGAGACCACTATCCCGAGCAAGCGGTGGCACGCGTGCAACACATTTGAGCGATGCCGAGCGTGACGAATATGAAAGTAAGTATGCCGCACTTCGTGACGAACTCTCTCAGACGAAGCTACATTACAAAGAACTCGATGATCAATTGAATGGACACCTTGATTTGCTAGAGCAGGCGGAAAGTAAAGTCAGGGAACTCGACAATGAGCTAGAAGCCCAAACGCAAGACCTACAAGCTCTGCAGAGTGAGCGAGATGAAGCTCTCGAGCTTCTCGAGGACAAGGAACAAGAGTGTGAGGAGCTTAGACAGCAGGCTCTCCAGACTATACAGAGACTGGAAGGCGAAATTGATCAGAAAGAGCAGGAGTGTAATCGACTTGTGACTGATCTTGAGAATCTGAACGAGGACTTCAATGCATTGCAACAGGAGATGAAGAATGTAAGCGAAAGCCTTGTACAACTTGAAGACGATCAGAGTGCAAGCTTGAGAAAGATCCAGAATCTCGAGGCTGAGCTCATCGATGCAAACCAAGAGCTGGGCAAACAAGATAAGTTCTTGTCAGACGAGAAGTCCAAGAATGAACGCCTCGAGGTGCAGCTCGAATCTTGCCAAGGCGAGATTGACTTCTTGCGAGAAGAGCAAGAGAGCGACAAGATCAAGATTGGCGAACTAGAAGCATCACTCAACATCGCGCACACCACCATTCAAGATGAGAAAGAACGCTTCCAAGAACTCGAGGAGCGTCTGGCAGAGGAGCGGCGTCAACGCGATATTCTCGAGAATCAAGAGAAGCAAGAGGTCGAAAAGATCATCAGTGACCTCAACTCACAATTAACTAAGCTCAAGGAGGACAACAGGAAATTGCGAAAGAGCCTTTCAGGCAAGGAAGTCGAAGCAACCACTTGGAAGCAACGTTTGGATGAACTTGAAAACAACCTTCGCGAAGCTCTTGGAAACCTCAATGGCACAAGGTCCAGCCTTCTTAAGGTACCACGACCTGACTATGGTTGCACTTGATGATTTACTAACATTAATGTTCCAGGACATCACGAAGCTGCAACGTGATCTTGACACAACCGTGCAGGAGCTTACAGATACGCGAACTGACTTGGCCGAAAAGGACAGGCTTTTGAAGGCTCGCGATACACTGTTGGAGAGCACTGGATTAGAAAGTCGTCGTCTCTCTGACCTTCTTGAGCGTGAACGTGCAGCGCGCCGTCAAGACCAAGCCACATGGGAAACTGCAAAGCGAGGTCATCAGTCGGTGTCACGATCAATTCAACAGCATGAGACTAGGGTTCTCGAGCTGGAGACGCTAAGAAGTCAGGATCGCCGCAAGCTTATAGCTCTCGAAACCCAGTACAAGGACCAGCTAATCGAGCGAAACAACCTGCTCTACGCCCTCTGGAACCGCCTCTCAACACTCTGTGGTGCTGAGTGGTCACGTAATCACGCCGTTATCAATGGGGAACTGACGTCCATGGAACTAATCTCCAAAAACCTCACAGGGTTTAACAAAAATATTATTCTGGCTGTAAAGACAGTGGAAGGAATCATTGGCAATTTCCGCCAGAGGATTCGCGGCATGGAGAAAGATCTTCTTCGTGATTATCAGACACTTGAACATACTCTGGATCTCCGTGTTAAGCGACTTGATCAGCTTGAGAAGATTGTGATTGCGCAAAGACAATCTATTGGACGCCCCAGCACCATCCGCGGAGGCATGGTCGATGTCAGCACAGGAGAGTTGAGTAAGCTGCGTAGCGAAAACAAGACGCTCAAGACAGAAATTCAGACCTTGCGCCAAATCTCGACCGATACACGGAGCATTGCTGAATCTACCAATGCACAATCCGTATCTCCGAGCCTCTCCAAGCGTGCGAGCATGGCACAGACCCTGCTACGCCACCACTCTACTTCTGCTGTTGAAGGCATGAGTCAACCCGACCACCCATATCCACAAGCAAGTGGGCTACAGCCGAGCGAGCAAAAGTGGATTCACAGACTCAAAGAACTAGAAAGGCGCCTCAAGGCAGAGAGGGAAGCTCGTTTATTAGACCGGAGCGGAGCACGAAAAAGACTCGAGCAAAAGGTCGAGGAAAATGCAGAACTTCGCGGTCAACTTGAACGTGAGCGTGGAAGGAATGGCGATGAGGGTAGTGTAAGCGGTAGACAGAGCGTGGCAGGTGGCAGCGCAAGAGGAATGGGCGACGACGAGGTGTATTAGTACGTTGTGCTCTTGGATCGATTTTCATTCTATCGAGCGTGTTCTTGTTTAGCGTTACTTTGGAAGCGTATATCATCATGGCTGGACCTTTCAGGCGCAATATGGTGGAAAACACGGCAATGTTGGTGAAGGAAAGGAGGGTGTGGACTTGTAACTGGCCCATAAAGAATACCTCGTAATCAGCAAGTGAGGCCCTGGTGCCTTTTGAATTGGAAAGGTTCTATTTGACCAACCATAGTCTGGAACGATATTGTGAATTTAACAACGGACTCTGACGCTGAAATACTCTGTGTGCCCGTTTGACCCAAGTGTGAGAAGCATGGTGGACAAAGCGCGCTTAAGATCAAATTTGGCACCGAATCTACCTTTACTTCGTTTCTTGTAGCTGCCTGCTCATGAGTGTGTCTCTCACTCTCACCTGTATAAAGTCCGAGAGTCAGGTCGCCCACTACCTGTCACAGACTGCTGTTGTTGCTCCATACACTCACCTTGGACTTTGTCTCAGACACCACCATCACCGTCGTCAAAACATCCACGGTCGCCTTCAAAGTGCGTGTTGAGATAGTACCAGCGATGGAAAACCAAGATGGATCATCACATCGGAAGGCTCCATACAAAGGTAAGGAATCTGACAGCCTTTCTGAAGATTGATTGGCTCCCCTCTATCCATTTCCTACGACTTCACTGCTTACCACTCCCTACTCACCATCAATATAAACCACCAGGCTTTACAGTCGCTGGTTTCAACAAGTACTTCAAGAAGCCAGACGCATACAGATCAACGCCTCTAATTCGACAACCCACGCCCCCTCCTCCAGCGATCCCACCTGTCCAGAGGTCTCAATTCGGGACAAGACGCCACTACGCTGAGAGTGACAACGACTTCCGCGTGGAAAGTAGCAGACCTTCTGCAATTAGAAGGCGACTGTCAGTAGGTTTTTACTTCAGACTCTCACCCGTTTTGGCGATTCACATCTAATTCTAATGTTCTAAAACTACTACAGCCCACTGCAGTAATGATGGGACGTTTAACGAAAACCGAGACTGCAAAGGCGAGTCGTGGAGCCAACCGAAGTAGTAGAGCTGCAAGCACAATTCCCAAGAAACGCAAACCCTCACCAAAGACCAGCACAGAACGCCGTAAGGTCCGGAAAAAGACAAGCACCGGTACGCCTGACAAGTCGAAGAGTAAGATTGTTATTCTGAAAGTTCCAGGCATCGAGCATGAAAATGAATCCGAGACGGAGAACGCTAGTACTCAAGCTGAGATTGAGGAGCTCAAAGCGGAGCTTAAAGCCGCAGTTGCCCGCAGTGAGGGCCTCGAGGTCCAGATCGAACGAGACCAAATGGATCATATCCAAGAACTACAGAAAAAGGAAGCTGATATCGATGTCTTGAAAAGCCTCCTTGAGGGCGCTAAGAAAGAGCTATCTAATCACAAGGACGAAAGAGCGAAATTTGAAGCAAACACCATGAACACCATCGCCACATTGGCAGCCGAGCGGGATCAGTTACTAAGGCAGAGCGAAAAGCCCAAACCGCCGAATCCACACCACCCTTCTCCACGCCGCGCTTCTCCGGCTCCTGTAGCCGCAGCAGTCAACCCAGCCCACCTGGATGAGAACATGCGAGTAGAGAACGTACGAAAGACCTACCTCAGCATCAAGAGGAGGTACGATACTCTCTGTTGCATAACGAAGGAGGTGGTTCGTTGCACACGTGGAATGTACCTAAGCAATTTTGGTGACTTTGGCCGTTTACTTGAGCAATTGAGGAACGCCATGGAAGACCAAGACAAGCCAGCTGAACATCCGGGGGTAGAAGGAGGGAAGTCTGGCCTAACTGCAACGCCACTCAGTGTGGATAGTCAAGGGACTGTGGGGAAGGGAAGCCAAGGACCGCAGGCGTAAGAGCCCAAAAAGCAAGCATCATCACGATACAGGGCGATCTCTACCATATGCATTGAACAACCCGCGAGTTTCGTACGTGGGTAAAAGAACGGGTTGGTCGTTGAAAAATGTTACATCGGTGCGAATCGTACTAGTAACAAGAAAATTGACTCAAGCTTTGGAAGGGGGGCATGGAAAGCAATATCTTTGGATCTTGCATCAGTGACTTCTAAGCTACACATAATAATCCAATTCTGTATTCATTCATTCATTCATTCATTCATTTGATTGATTGATCACTTGAAAGATGACGTGACGGCGACACCAACTGGCTCGACCAGGATTCAAGACCATACAAAGGTATTCAATGATCGTACATATATGACATAAAGTTGATTGGAGATGCTTTTAATCTCGTAGTGTGGCAGGCACACCAAATCCCCGAACGCCTCATGACCCAAACAAATGCCCATGAATATCCCGTGAAGTGAAAGTCTCACGCAGTTTCCCTGCAACGCCAAAAGTACCATAAAAGATTGCCAACCAGCCTTGCCTTGTGTTTTGCCGAACGCCTAGTGACTGAACCTAATGGAATGTTCAGGCACCAGAATATACTGCCGTTATACCTCGTCCACACTCTACTCTCTGCTCAAACCCCACTGATCTGCCTTTGAGTTTGACCTTTTGCTTGGGCGTTATCTGGAAGCGATGACTTTCTTTTTCAAGCTTTTGTTTCACCAATCCCTGTGCACTGGCTGAGCGGTCCGTTTCGGCATCGATGTCCAGCGGTTGAATGTACGTAGGTGTCGCTACATTGCTTCTTTTGCCACTGCCAATCTGGTAGAATTCGTTGTTTCCCCAGAATAGAATATCGCGGCCCCAGTTGGTATCATTTTCAGTCAATCGCCTCGCATTTCCAGCCACCGCAACACTAGCCACATTATCCATGACGGCAGCGGCATGCGAAGCGCCGACGGAAATGTAAGCAAGTCGAATGGGAACAGCGTGGTTCGCAATTTCATCCCACTCGAACAATCCAGAGAAGGAAGGGACCTTGACGGGGGTTGATTGGGTGTGAATCCAGCGACCGGTTCCCAGCTGTCCTGCCAAGCCATAGCCGAAGGCCCAAGTGTCTGCTGTCACACGGCCAGGGTGCGATGGTCCTGTTTTAGGGAGGTTGGCCTCCATCGTAATGAAAGATGTGTTACCTCCGGCATATACGCCCTTGACTGAGGCTTGCAAACCAGTGCCAGCGTATAGCTTCTGCGTTGGGAGCAACGACGGAGCGTCAATGTGGAGTGCATCTGCGTTGAACTCGAATCCCAGCTGGCCAGCAGAGTTGTCGCCAAAGCTAAAACAGCGTCCGGCGGCGTCACATACTAGACTATGGTAGTCTCCTGCTGCAATTCTGGAAATGGGGAAGCCTTTGAGCGTTGTAATCTCGTGAGGAATATCGAAAGGACCAGGTGGCCGAGTTTCGAATGTTAGTCCCGGTATACCGAGTTGCCCCTTTGATGGAAAATCTTGTGCCCCTGACGCGAAGGAATAGACACGACCTGTAGAGCTCAAAAGAAGTGCATGCTCGAGGCCAGATGCGATATCAGTAATCCGCTCGTTCCAGCCAAGGGACTCAGGCGTCCGAATGCGATAGGATATGGTCTCCGAAGAGCCCCAGAAAGGTATCCAAGAGGTGGATGTAGGCTTAGGACCAGAAAGCTGCTCCTCCTTCGAAACGGGTATCGAGTAGACTGCACCGGATGCAGAAAGAGCAATGATTCGATCTCTGGATATGGCAAGAGATATCAAGTTCTTGCCATGCAAAGTCTCGGTCGGTGCTTTTGTATCTTTGGCGTAATCCTTCCCCCACTGCAGGAGGTTTCCCTTCTCATCGATCGCGGCACCAAAATTCTTATCAAGCTTTATATCCCGTAGTAATTTGCCATCAAAGAAAGATATCCTCCTAGGCGTCTTGATGAAGGTTTCGTCTGAATCTGGAGCAACGACCCCTCCAGCATTTGAGCCCCATGCATACACACCAGGGTTTTCCCAACTCTTCACCACTTGCAGATGCTGTGAACTTATGATATTGCGGTTATCCTCAGCCCCGTGTGCGGCTCGCCTAGGTTGCTCAAAAGTCAACTCCTGCTCTTTCGGCGGCGGCTCCTCTGCATGCACTTCCCGAAACAATCGCTCCCCGTGGTACCACTGCCATGCTGAGGCTGTGCCCCAAAGAGCTGAAACTGTGACTATAGATCGTACGAAATGCTGTTGGCGGCGCTGGGCGTATGGGTGAGCTGCCACGGCACGGATCCTTGGCCGGGCTTTACTCGTAATGTTTCTGGTGCATGATGGCGCTTGCGAAAGACGTATTGCGGGTCTCGACAGGCAGCGGGTCCTATACATTATGTATGGTGTGGTGGTGGTGAGATGATGGAGATTTCGGATTGCGCGGCTCACAGCAATTGACAGAGGCGCGAACTCTGGAGTGAATCAGAGCGAGGGCATTTGCAAAGCTCCAAGATAAGCGACTATCAAGCCAGCAATTGGTAATATAAAGCGCCTCGATAGCTTCGATCTTTTGACCACGGCGACATCGGGCAAATCTAGAACGTCATTACTTTCGTAAGAGTACGTGCATGCTCCATAGTAATCGATAGAGGGCGGAGTTACTTCGGAGCATGCATCCCCTCCATCAAGCCACGCATGGAGTTTAGATACAAGCACTAGTTAGTCCCCATTGACCCCCGACAGCAATTGTAGCTTTCCTACGAGTACCAGTAATTAAACAACACCGATTACACTAGCACCACCACCACTACCTTGGACTTCCACCATTGCTTGCAATGTACGAAGATTCGTGGTATAATGCCTTTGTCCCGCGGGCTGCCAAGCCTGTTCAATCTACCACCCATCGGCGCCGCGAGTCGCTGCTCAAACAGCCAAACGTAAGCCCATCGTCCGCTCTGTCGGTATGTCGAACAGTATTGATCATGTCTTGTGCAGGAGGGTAAGGCTGACGTCGAGCGCGCAGAGGGTATTGCGGAGACCATAGATGAAGGTTTAGAAAAGGTCATTGGGCCTCCGCAAGCAACCGTAGCTCGAAGGGCCAAATCGTACAGCGACTTCTACAACGTAGTAAGGGCACACCTGAAGAAGGAGGAGGAGCTAGAGAAGAAGAAGAACCATGGGGCATTGGCCAGTGAGCTGGACTTCGCCGAATGGTATAGCGAGATCGACGAAGAGCTCCTGGATGTCAGCCACGACGACTACAAGTATGCTACGAAGCCAAACGTCAATCATATTCGAAATTGACATGCTAACTCTGTGGAAGGCTCTACGCAGAACAGCTCCATCTTACTCGATCGCATCTTGACAACGTCATCTCGGACACCACCTCGACACTCGACATTCTTGCGTCCCTAACCGAGTCCTTCAAGATCGTGGAAACCCAGACCACTGCGTTTCAGACTCAGTGCGAAGGTCTGATTGAGGATCAGAAGCGGATAACCAAATTAGCAGATGACATGGAGCAGAATCTAAGATACTATCTCTACCTCGAACCTATAACGAAGAGACTCAATGCACCGGGTGCCGGGAGCATTGTGAGAGGAAAAGAGTTCACCGAGATGCTAGTCAACTTGGATAACTGCTTAGACTTCATGCAAGCACATCCAAACCACCGCGAATCAGCCACATACCGTTCACGATATCGTCTCCTCCTCACTCGCGCTTTGACCCTTATCCGCGTCCACTTTACGGAAGCCCTCCGCGAGATCGCTGCAGATGTTTCGAGACGGATTGCCGATCGTCAACTGAACGACACAACCATGTCAGCGCTTCTCTATGCTAAATTCCGAGTTGGTGCGCCGGAACTGAAGAGGATTGGTCTAGAAATACAAAAGCGCGCAGTGCTGCCTGAAGGTGCTGCACCTGGGGCAGAGGCAGAATATCAGAGTCTGATGAATGAGCTTTACCAGAGTTACTCCGCCACTCGTGGTCGTCTCATCCTTCCTATTGTGACCAAGAAGATTGGAGAGATTGCCCAGGCTCCTAGCACTTCAAAAGACTTGGTGTCGTTTGCTCGAAGTAGCATCAGCTACATCCGTGGTATTTGCTTCGATGAATATGACTTATGGGGTGAATGGTTCGATGGCGAAGGCGGACTGTACGACTTTTTGGAAGCCATGTGCGAACCACTGTACGATCATCTCCGTCCACGAACTATCCATGAGACGCAGATTTTGAAACTTTGCGAGTTATGCAATTTGATTCAAACGCGCTACATGGAGGAGGATGAGGAAGAAGAAGATACGGATGAGGAATCTCCCATTAAGAGCAAATTGGATTTTACCACTCTTGTGCACCCGGCACTACAAGACGCACAAACCCGTCTTGTGTTCTTATCACTAGCGATCTTACGCGATGATATCGAGCGTTACAAGCCGAAACCAGAGGATTTGGATTATCCTGCTAGGAACAAGAAGCTCAAAGCAGGAACCAAAAAAGCCAACGGGCCAGTCCTTTCTGGAAAACGAAATCCAAAGCAGGATGTACCGTCCGCCCCTCCTATGCCCAAAACGCCGATGGTCGTCGAGGAGGAGGATGACTCGGAAGCCCGCTGGAATTTTAATACGGAGGCAGCATTTGAAGATTGGTACCCGACCTTGCGAAAGGCGATCTGGCTGCTCAGCAAGATCTACCGACTGGTTCACGTACGTTTTCTTTCTAAACCAGGTTACTCTTTACTAATGGCATGCAGTCCTCGGTCTTCGACGATCTTGCTCATCGCGTCGTACATGGTACAACTCATAGCCTCACCAGCGCCAGCTCACAGATTGCCAAGTCTGCATCGCCGACTGATGCATCCCTCTTTTTGATATCCCACCTCCTACTTCTGAAGCAGCAGATTGTTGCATTCGACATAGAATACGTCACTCCTGAGACTGATCTGCAATACGACTTCCAAAGCATTACCAACACTTTCTGGGAACTTCGATCCCGCGGTGGTCTCTTCAATCCAAGAAACCTCATGGGAATGCTGATTCCCAAAGTTGTAGAGAATATGCTTGATGCGAAAGCTGAAGTAGATGCTAGGTTGAGACAGGCGATCAATGACTTTACAGGCCAATTTGTGGAGAGAATGACTGCACCGATCGCCACCAAGGGTGCCAAAGCTGTACAGAAATTTCCCATCGCCGAGGCCGCAGCACGGACATCAAAGGTTCGCCAAACAGTTGAGCATGAGACGCCATTTCTTCGCACGAAGGTTGGCGAGTACATTGAGGATGCTCGGACACGGGAAATGCTTATCGCTGCAGTAATGGAGAACGTGACACAGTCATACGAAGATTGGTTTGATACAGTCTACACGCCGTTAATACAGCAAACGAATGGCACGCCAAGGAGCAGCAAGGGCAAAGGCCGGGAAGACGATGTTTGGGACCCAGAAGCGTTTGGAGAATGGTGCAATGGGGTATTCGGGGTTGGTCTGTTTGGGCTAGGGATTGCCAACCACGAACAAGAGGATGTAGGGGGGGCGAGTGACAATGAAAGTTATAGTAGAGCGAGTGGCCGTACGGGGACTCAGAGGACTGGTGGGCTTCGGATCAAGATGTGAATCATAAAATAAACCTGTCTTGTTAGCCCTATATTTCTTCTCACCTTTCTCCGCTGACCATGGAGGTCTCTTCACTGAACTTCAAGCAATGACCAAACCAGAGTTTGGACTGAAAAAGTCAATGATAGCTCTACGTACTAATATCGTATTCTAATTAAAAAGCATTGTAGCATAGCCAAATGGCGTAGATTCTGAATAGAGACCTATTTATTTCGATTGTGCCATCTACACCCGTACCTCTTAGTAGGTAAAACTTTATAGGCTTGGACCCTAAAAGTCATAGAAACCTTGAAACCTGAAGACCGTACAATACTGAAGACTATTAAGATAGATGTTCTGCATATATTAGCTAGTAGAGCTATGATCAATAATATAGACGCTAATAATGTGTCATGTTACTCGGACTTATTATACGACGATATCGTCTACCTAGCTCACCTCCACAATTGTCGTGGGCGCTATTTGCCCGCTTCCGCAAGCCGACGTCAGGCGCATACAAGCGCCTATTTTCACTAACGTGCGCAAGAGGATGCAAGTACAAATCAACTTTTGTGAAAGCTTATGACGCATTTTCAAAGGGTATATAAATTGTTTTAACGGAAGATTTGTCATAACCACTGGACAACATGCCAGAGTGGTTAATGGGTTAGACTTGAATTTCATGTTCATGTCATCTAATGTCTTCGGACGCGTAGGTTCGATCCCTACTGTTGTCGGTTTTCTTTTTTGCTTTTTTTGCTTTTTTCTGCCACTTCTGGAAACTCGACCAACAATGAACGACGAAGAACGAGATGAATGCATCCATTTAGTAGTAGAGAAAAATATTGATCAGTTAATTATACTTTAATGCTTTGCACAGATGTCTCTGATCCGTTGGTTATATATTTGTTGTGTTACGTGTGTAAGTAAGTACCTACGTTTTAAATGTCTTCATTGCCTTTTGAAATATCTCCCTACTACAGTGCCGCTGTTTCGCTCAACCTCCAGGTATCCTTCTCTTTGTCGTGCTTGACTTTACCCTCCTTCTCCAGTTTGTCGAGTATTTGCAGGACACCATACTTTGCCGGCTCCCACAGGTTCTCGGGATAGTCCTTGTAGATGACTTTGACAATATCCATCGCAGTCCACCCTGCCTCTCTCTTCTGGCCCAATACATCGAGTACTTGCTGCTCGCGCTGTTTTCGGTGTTTGATGTACTCTGCAATCTTCGCTGGTCCGTCTTCGATGACCGGTCCATGGCCAGGGTATGCGCGGCCTTTGAACTGTTTCGCCATTCCCTCGAGACTCTTCAAATAAGTACCAAGGTCCTCGAAGACGGCAGTGCCCTGGCCGAGTACATTGTCGGCTGTGAACATTGCATCGTCTTCCTCCAGCACAAAAGCCATATGGTCCTTCGTATGGCCTGGACAGAAATGCGCCCTCAGAGTCGCGCCCTCGGTTTCAAACTTCTCTCCATCGCTGATGCTCAACCACCCATCTACAGGGTCATTCTTATGCACTTCCGTGTCTGGAGAAAGATTGAGTAAATCCGGAACTCCCTGGATGTGATCGCCATGCCAGTGCGACAAGAGGGCCTTTTCGATCGTGATCTTCTCATCGTCCAATACTTTCTTCAGTGCACTGATCCATTCTGGTTTACCCTCTCCTGTGTCGATCAAGAGACGGCTCTTTCCAGTACCGACAATATATGTGTTTGTGCCTGGAATGATTCAGCATATTCCATTGTATTGCATCCGACCAGCACGCGACAAACCTTGCAGTGTGAACTGTTCCCCTCCGTAATCTCATCAGCCATCCGCGCGAAACCAAACAAAGAAACAAGCACAGATCCATAGCTCCAAAAGCAAACTCACCTTTCCCGGATTACCACCCAAGACGCGAATCACTCTACTGCTGAGCTTCTCGACCGTCGGGAGGGGCTTCAAAGGTTCTGACATTTTGGTTGAATACAGTCTACTGGCGAGAAAGGTCGTGGGAGAAGCACGCAATAATCGCCATGCTGTATACATATGTGCATGTTACATCACGGGCACTTACCACCTCCCCTCCTCCCCTCCCAGAGCTTACCATTCGGCGCGCGGGGCCCAAAGTACCTACCTCGGCCGGGGCGATAAAGATGCATGGGACGACTCGCTTATCGCTTAGCGTCCGAGCTGGTTAGGGTCGTGGGGTGAGGCGAGCATTCGGTATTCATACAACTCTTTTCGGAACCAACCAATTGGAAAGGAAAAAAGGAAAAGGTCAACAGGGGAAAACATGGATGACGAGGAATTGCCGTAGGTTAATATCTCCTCTAGACCCGACTAGGCAGACTAGCATCGAGAAGATTTCTGACATACCGAAAAGGCAACTGTCGGCAGACACATTGAGTGCGCTGAAAGAATTTTATGGCGAGCGAGACACGAGGCAGAAGCAGTTCGAAGACCTCAAGTCGAAGGCGGAAGACGACTTCGACGGGACGCAGAAATGGAGCATGGATGCTTTCACGGAGGACTGGAATGCGAGTCAATTCTGGGTAAGTAGGTTTTGCTAAACTCTCCCCACTCCCCCACTCCCCCAAGATGTGAATCTTGATATGTCTATCCCATAATCCCCAATATTGACGACAGGCAATAGTACAACGATGAGACGGCAACAACACTGGCACGACAGCTCCTAGCCGGAGCAACAAAGGACACCAAGATAGCGGTCGTCTCGGCCCCAAGCGCCTTCATCCAACTGAAGAACCTCCTGGCGTCAGGCGAGTACAAAGAGCGGCCGCAGCTCACGCTCCTGGAGTACGACGAGCGCTTCGCCGTGTTCAAGGAGTTCGTGCACTATGACTTCGAGCACCCGATCCGGCTCCCGGCTGAGATGAAGGGCTCGTACGATCGCATCATTTGCGATCCCCCGTTCCTGAGCGAGGATTGCCAGACTAAAGGTAAGTGAACTTTTCCGAATGCAATACGCGGAGAGGGAATCAAAGAGAAGAAGAGAAGATAAATCTGACTTGGTGTGACACAGCTGCACTGACGGTCCGATGGCTCGCCAAATCATGGAACGCGGATGATTCATTCCGCTTCATCTCGTGTACCGGCGAGCGCATGGAGACTCTGATACAGAGACTCTACTCCAAAGTCGGAACAAATACGACGACGTTTGAGCCTAAGCATGCGAAGGGGCTCAGCAATGAGTTCAGATGTTATGCCAACTTTGAATGTGAGGATTGGAAGTGGGCGTGAAGGAGAGTGGGGATGTTCATGAGGCTGATTGACTGAGAACTGCTGGGGAGGAAGTGTTTCGATTCTATTATGATATCCTCTTTCGTAGAATGGACTATTATGCAAATGACCATGGTGACAAGGGAATCAACATGTCATCAAACAAGCTTTCATTATCTGATATTCTTACGAAGCATGTGACATGGTATCTTGAACATCAAAGTGATCGAGACATTAGCTCCAAGGGTTCCAACAAGCAAGTTTTCCTCTTCATCACTTTGGCGTCTCAGCATCATCGACATATATCACAGGCAAAGGCAAAAATAGATTCATCGATACAGTTGCATTAAAATATATCGTAAGTTGAGCGCCGTAAAACAGGCCATGGTATCATAATACAGTAACAAGTCCACCTCCAGGTCGTTAAGGTAACAGTGACATGATGCTACTCGTGACTAAACGACTGCAAGCTTCATAGCGAATGCCAGTTGGTTGGGGCATCTAGTGCTTGTCGCCGAGGCCAAGGGCGTTCTTGGTCTTGTCGACGATGGAGCCGCCAGAGCTGCCGTGAACCTCGCGGTCCTTGCTGCGGCCAAACTTGTCGGAAATTTCTTGTCCAGTGGACTTGTCATGGTCGGGCTGGAGGCCACTGAGAGGAATGTTAGTGATACGATCGTTGATATTGAGGCTCGAGCAGTGCCTTACCGAGCGGTGGTGTCACCGGCGTCAGTGACGGTCTCCTTCAGCTTCTGCTGGGTAGACTTGGTGGAGTCGGGAGTGATGCCCTCGGAGAGCTTGGTGGAGAAATCCTTGCGGCCGGCGTCAGACATGTTGATTGGTAGTTGGTTGTTGGTGGTTGGTTTGGCTGTTAAGATAGTTGGTTTGAGAATCAAGTGTTGTGAGTTGATGAATGAAAGGGTCTTATGGGCGAGAACGTGAGGTTTATATACAAAATCGCTGGCTATAGGAAATGGAATAATCGCATCACGTCACGTCAGAATTACGGATTCTTCTTTCAGCATGGCAAGCGAAGAACCTCTACAGTGAAGAAACAACTTGTCCATGGCGAACACATGGTCTTGTAAACATCGTCATGATGACGAGCCTGGTCATCAGCGAAGTGGATGTTTGTAGTGGAATCTGTCACGAGTTTGCGATCGAGATGGTGCATTAAGAGGGCTGCTATTCGTTGTTTCAGGGTTTCGCCTTTCCGATGCCTGGACGGTGACAGTGGCGATGTTTGAGGTCAGGCTGGCAGGTTTCTATGCAGGCGAATGGCTGACGACCGGCAACAAACAACTACGTCATTTCAGGGTTCATGCCTCGCATCCTTGCGAACTTTTAAATGGGCATCAGATACATACCACACGATAACGCAGTGAATAATGCGCCAATGCAGGTATTTTGCCATGTGAAAAGTGGACGCTTCTCCACAGATGTTTGCGCAATCCAGCTGTCAACCAACGGGTGCCTGCATAGCGTGTAATAGCGTAGCCTTCAACAAGACCAGCTGACAGGGCTGGTTCCAGCTTCCCGCATCACCAACAATACCGAGCACAAAGGGATCAAGCAAGATCCTGCGCATAACAGTCGATCGCCAGATCGTCAGTGCCGGCTCTTCAGGATGATGCGCTACTATTCGTACTCCTCTGCGAACAACGATCATGTGATTTGAGTCGAAGCAATACAGGTGGACTCCGCTTCAAGGTTTGCGAAGCTCCAAAGCTGGCAATGCTGCATCCTACGAGATATATCTCTTGAAGCCGACGTACTGTGTAGTCGTGTATATACCTCTACGACCTACTCTTATACTTTGTAAAAAGCACTGAATGGGGCGTATTTTTACTTTGGCGGTCTATACTGCTTGTTCAGATTGTTGCGATGCAAATGATGGTGTGGACACAATATCATGATACCACTCAGTAGCTGGTTACAATGATGCGACAGCACGCCTTAATTGTTCAACCATCTTCTACCACACCGCGAGAAAGTTCAAAGACACCCTTCTAATGGGGGTTTTGTCGTTGTTTGGACAGATCATAGAGCACCGAATATGCGATGGTGTTGAACAATCAAATCCTGGTCCTAAGGTGCGACATAGACATGATAGTGAATGTTGTACTTGTGTAGACGGTTAAATGCGACGTAAAGATGCATATTGCCATATCTTCATAGTCGATACGGTGCACAGAGTAGTATCACCTCTTGCGGCGTTTGTACGGAGTACTCCGTATAGTTCCAATGAATGGCGGCCAGAGTATCCCGTGAGTGCACCTGCAGAGGTGTTCATACTCGTACTGTGTAGGACTGTAGATACACACACCGCAACTATGCGCTGGACATGCATTCGCCAGTCCACACATTGAGCGGACAGTTAGTAGACGTGGAAACAAACGAGCAGTGACAACGAGTGCTCGGATAGAGCGTGCACGAGTCGGGCGCAAAGGGGTGCCGACTGAATGTGGTTACTAGTGGTGCTTGCTTTATGAGAGTAGTGGCTCGTGGGTCCGGGGGATGGCAGAGTTTGGGCAAGCGACCGATGATATCTCCAGTGGCATTGTTCCACCATAGAGCATCTCTGCCATTTGCCAGTGCCACGTTGGTGTGCGAAAGTGAAGAGGTTGGAGAGGGAACATGAATTGGTACAGCAATCAGCCAGGAACGAGGTCAACGCTTGGCAAGAGTACACCGTACACTGTACAGGTTAAGGGGAAGGGAAATCCAGAACACGTCGTCACGTATTCCGAGGTGGAGCTAAGAGGATTAATATTAATATTTGAGAATTAATGGCAAGTTTGCAGGTGTGATTGGAGGAATATGAGGGTGGATGGGGAGGTTGGAGAGGTTGGGTGAAGAGTCGAGACGGGATGACGTTCCAGGGCCACGGTTGCCCCGGACAGCGGGAATGTTTTGTTGCCAGCCCCCTCGCATCTCCCAGAGCCTCCTCACCCAGCCACAGCATCTGTCTTCCCAACCTCACAATTTTCAAGCAGCAAAAGTGCCACGGCCTGCAGACAAGGCTTCAATTTTCTCACAAACTAAGCTACCTCTCCCCTTCTCTTCTCTCCAATCCACAATCATCAACCACTCCATTATATTCTGTGTATAGGGAAGCTTCTAACCAGTTGCTTTGGCAGTTCTAGTGACATCCGACCGAAGCCTCAAGAGCAACCCACACATTCGCTCTATATAGGCCACCGAAGATTCATTCCGACCAACCACCCACGACAACAACTGCATTCCTACTCACGACATCCTTTGGATACAAAGCCAATCGCGCGCTCGTTTTCCAACATTCTTTCCAGCGGAATCGAACTTGTCTACCGAGACATTCGGCTGCATTCCACCCCAGAAACCATCTCCCGGCCCTTCGGGAGCCACGAGGAGTTCGACAACAAATTTCAGTTGAGCGCAAAGGAGGAATAGAATCATGGCAGCAAACATTGGCTTTTCGGTGCGCATGCGACGTAAGTACTCCACGTGGTGCCACGCCATCCACGGAATGAATGCAGACTAACAACCTTTTCTAGGGTTAATACCGTTCTTGGGCTACCACCATGTACTCATGATATTGATAGCTGTCGCTATTATATTACTATGTAAGTTTTACAATACTACCGGCATGCAGAAACACACAGACTAACATAGTTTCCAGCACTACTACTTGCAGGATGCTCATCTTCCTCTCCTCTCATCCCCGGCATCTTCCTCATTTCCATGTGGTACGAAAAGTACACACCCACCTACTCCACTGAACAAGTCGATCCAGGCGTTACTGCAGCAATCGCAAACATCGTTGGACAAGCACAACTTGGTGTTCGAGTTGGATACTTCGGCATCTGCATCAACACCGACCATGGTGACTGGATCTGCTCAAACAACGCGACCGCATTGATCGATGGTGTCTCCGTCGACCAGGACCCGCTCAACCTGGTCTGGGTCGCCAGCACCTTCAAGGACGCCGTTGTATTCCCTTACCTCCTGATCGTGGCCATCATTCTCGCCTTCGTCACCTTTATCCTCCTCGCAACCTTCCCAGGATGGCACGCAGAACAAGACAAAGACACCGGTTCCGATGTTGATGTCAAGCCGTTCCCATCCAGGCCAGTCTCCCAGGTTGCCCTCGCCCTTATCTTCATCTCAAGCATCTTCGTCCTTGTCAGCGTGTTATGGCAGCACACGGCCTCCGTGGCTGCTGCAACTATAGCACAAGATCTGGGCAATGGAAGCGTCAAGTCTGGAGTCGGTACCAGTGCAATGGTCCTTGGTTGGTTCGGTTTTGTTCTCCTCATAATTGTGACCATTGGTCTACTAGTTATGATTTTGAGCATCATTGTTCTCGACCGATTGACCGATGACTAGAGAGAAGATACCCAACCACATGAAAGAGGAGGGAACACCACTTCAAGTCAACAACTGACGAGAGGTGGTAAAGATTGTGCATATCCATTTTTTCACCGTTTGCATATTATACGGGCTTAACACTACTATTCGGCCTACTTTCGATTCGTTTCTTGTATACCGACATACCCTTTTTATTAGCGATGTGCTGCAGCTTGCTGCAACCAAACGAATACTGGCATTAATCGGCGTTGGACTGGCTGTTTCTTCGATCACGGAAAACGAAATGAGATGGACAAGGGATCACGAGGTCCCTTGGTGGATGGGAAAGGAGGAATGATGAGATGGAAAGAACTGCCTTATGTAGATGAACCAAATGAAATCAACAGCGACCTAAAAGTCAAAAATTCCCCACCCACACTCTTCTCTGCATGCTCCCACATCTATAGTGATGACAATGACTGGCTCATGTTATATTGGGCTTATAAACAGGAACTATCTAGATCTTGGAAAAGTCTTTCCGACGGGCAACATTGATAGCTATTCATGATGATGTGTGTAGTTGTCTGCATAATGCCATAGTCTGGGGTAGTTGATGCTAAGCTTGATCAAGCAGGTTAGTCCATGGTTCTTGACAAGTCGGAAGTGTTCCTTGACCCCAGGTTTCTATTTACATGCAGCAGCGTCCTTGATAACTACTTAGGTAACTATGTATACATGAATATACGTCTGATAGATGCTAGGATTAATCTACTTGATCGAGTCTAGTCGTGCGTACAACTTGTTCTTATTCCTATTATTTGTTTTATGTCACTGATCGTGAACGTTGGGTGAGTACCTGGGTAGACGAAAGGTGGTCAATCCCGAAACGTGATTGGTCAATGCTGATTTGCGCCGGAGTCGGAGTCCCGGTTGCTCCATATTCTGCAACTAACCGCAGTTGGGTTAGCGCAACCTGCCCCTCGCAGCAAAAAAAGTTCAATTGGTAGATACGCCACCAGCGCGGAAGAACCAAAACCTTTCAAGTTCCTGACTCTCTTAAATTTCTCTCCAGAGACTGAGCTTTTCTTCTCTTCTTCTTTCTTCTTCTTCTTCTTGCCATCCCTCTCCCTTCTTTTTCTTCACCCCATCGAAGATACCCCCTCACATCCATTCACCATGTCTTCTTACGCCCTTCCCAAGTCCCACCAGGACGTATGTTCCCCTCCCCGCCCCCAATACGAACCATTGGGAAAAAGTGCCAGATATTGACTCATAAACAGCTCATGGAGAAGTCTTTGGTCGACACTGACTCTGAGGTCGCTCAGATCATGGTGAGTACTCAGCAATTGAGATCTATAATGATATCCTCGAAGACTAAATCCGTGCAGGAGCGAGAGATCCAGCGTCAGCGCGAGTCCATCCTCTTGATCGCGTCCGAGAACGTTACCTCCCGCGCCGTCTTCGACGCCCTTGGTTCACCCATGTCCAACAAGTACTCAGAGGGTTACCCAGGTGCCCGTTACTACGGTGGTAACGAGCACATCGATGCCGTCGAGCTCCTCTGCCAGAAGCGCGCCCTTGAGACCTTCGGCCTCGACCCTGAGAAGTGGGGTGTCAACGTTCAGTGCTTGAGCGGTAGCCCTGCCAACCTCCAGACCTACCAGGCCATCATGAGGCCACATGAGAGGCTCATGGGATTGGACCTTCCCCACGGTGGTCATTTGAGCCACGGTTACCAGACCCCTCAGAGGAAGTGAGTGATGAAACCATCACATCTTTCAAGAATAGTCTCGCTGACCACACCACAGGATCTCTGCCGTTTCCACATACTTCGAGACCTTCCCTTACCGAGTCAACCTTGACACTGGTCTCATCGACTACGACCAGCTCGAGCAGAACGCCCTCATGTACCGCCCCAAGGTCCTCGTTGCCGGAACCTCCGCATACTGCCGTGAGATCGACTACGCCCGCTTCCGCGAGATCGCCGACAAGGTCGGTGCCTACTTGATGATGGACATGGCTCACATTTCCGGTCTCATCGCCGCTGGCGTTAACAAGTCCCCCTTCCCTTACTGCGACATTGTCACCACCACCACCCACAAGTCTCTCCGTGGTCCCCGTGGTGCCATGATCTTCTTCCGCAAGGGTGTCCGCAAGACCGACCCCAAGACCGGCAAGGAGACTCTCTACGATCTCGAGGGTCCCATCAACTTCTCCGTCTTCCCCGGTCACCAGGGTGGACCCCACAACCACACCATCACTGCGCTCGCCGTTGCCCTCAAGCAGGCCCAGTCCGATGATTTCAAGGCCTACCAGCAGCAGGTCATCAAGAACGCTAAGACCCTCGAGATTGCCTTCAAGGAGCTCGGCTACAAGCTCGTCACCGATGGCACGGACAACCACATGGTTCTCCTCGACCTCAAGCCCCTTTCCCTTGACGGTGCCCGTGTTGAGGCTGTCCTCGAGCAAATCAACATTGCCTGCAACAAGAACACCACCCCCGGTGACAAGTCCGCTCTTACCCCCATGGGTATCCGTATCGGCGCACCAGCCATGACCTCCCGTGGTCTCGGCGAGGAGGACTTCAAGAAGATCGCCAACTACATCGACGTCGCCGTCAAGCTGTGCAAGACCATCCAGGGCGAGCTCCCCAAGGAGAACAACAAGCTCAAGGACTTCAAGGCCAAGGTCGCCTCCGGCGAGGTTGAGCAGATCAACAACCTCAAGAAGGAGATCGCTGCCTGGGCCAGCACCTTCCCTCTCCCCGTCTAAATTCCCAAATACCCTCTTCCCTCTATTTCTCCTGCATAGTGCAAAACATGTTTTCTCTTTTGTGCCGTCTTCAACTCGACAAAGACGAAGACTACGATGATGTATGGGCGGCGTTTCTTGGCGGTGGTGTTTCAACAGAAAAAAAGTGTCTGGCATATATTCATTCAACATCTACGGCGAACATTGATGGTTCGCCTCCTCGCATTCCGGTTTTTCTTTAGAGAACGATACACCAGGCTTAAATTTGGAGGGTGTGCAGAGCAGACTGAGCCCTGTAAAAATACAATAACTTGATATTTACATTTCATTAATTTTCGGTTTGGAGTTGCTGCTTAACCAGTTTACTACCAAGAAACCATTCAATCATGCTCCCTTCCCATCTTTGACAATCTTTTGATTATCTGTGAAGTGTAACAATTGACACTTAACTTCCACGGTAATTATACAATTCTTGAAAACGATTGTGAGTCGTAATGAATCGATATCCATGCAACTCGGCAAGACCTGCCCCTCGATCTACTACCCCTCCGTCCGAGTAGCCGTCCCCGTTGTTACCCCTCGCAAGCTCCCCCATCCAAGCTTCTCATTTGCAGCTCCGGACCCGCAACCCACCACGCCATCCTGCCCACCCATTCTCCCACTTCACAGTACACATACACACAACCACCTCCGACGTCGTCAACTACTTTTGAGTACCACAATGGCTGCCGCGTGCATTTTCTGCAAGATCATCAAGGGTTAGTTCGATCCTCCGTCCTCATCCTAACCCGCACATACACCTCAATGTTCCCATCCAATGTCGTAATACGCTGCGTACTTAGTCGTTGTGACGATTACCTTGGGTGCAAGTAAATGCAGCAATGGCAGTAGCAGCCATAAAGAACCCTCATGCTAATTGACAATTCCCCAAACAGGAGAGATCCCCTCGCTGAAGCTCTTCGAGAGCGAAAAGACGCTCGCATTCCTGGACATCGGACCGCTCAGCAAAGGACACTCGGTATCTACGCCCTCCCCCACCACCACCATCCACCATTCACCATCCGCTAACCCAACACCCTGCAGCTCGTGATCCCGAAATACCACGGCGCAAAGCTGCACGACATCCCCGACGACCAGCTCTCCGAGGTGCTCTCGGTCGCGAAGAAGATCGCCGTCGCGCAGGACCTCAAGGACTACAACATCCTGCAGAACAATGGCCGGCTGGCTCACCAGGAGGTCGACCACGTGCACTTCCACGTCATTCCCAAGCCCAACGAGCAGGAGGGACTGGGTGTAGGGTGGCCGACGAAGCAGGCGGACAAGGGGGAGCTGCAGAAGCTGTTGGAGGATATCAAGAGTCGGATGTAGAGATATTCTAAGGGCGAGGGTCACTGTATTGTATGGAGGAGTTGTGGGAGCTGGTCACCAAAAGCAGAGTAGGAATTATGATTGTGGCGCTTCGATGGCGCCGAGAAGGGTATATATTCCATTCATGACTGCTATGTCCAATGTCGTGATATGATCGTCCATATATCTATCGCAAGCCTCCACCAAAAATAGCAGAACAAACGACTTTTCCCGGCCTCTTACTCGCCTCTAAAAACAGGCTTCCTCTTCTCCCTAAACGCAGCGAGCGCCTCGTCCCGATCCTTAGTCTTAACCACAACATCGTACGCCGCATTCTCCGCCTTCTCGCCCAGCGCGCAGCCCTCCACCGCCGCCAGCGCAGCCTTGATAGCAATCGGCCCACCCTCGCAGATCTCCCTCGCCAGCCTAACCGCCTCCTCGAGCACCTTGCCCCTCGCCTTCCCCTCCTGGCCCGCCTCCTCCGGCGTAATCTCGACAAGCCTGTCACACAGGCCGAGGAAATACGCCTCAGGCCCACCGACCCTCCTGCCAGTGAGAATCATGTCGCGCGCGCGAGAGAGGCCGATCAGCGCGGGGAGACGATATGTCCCGCCTGCGCCGGGGATGATGGCGAGCCTGGTCTCCGGCAGCGCGACCGTCGCCGTGGAGGCGAAGACCCGCATGTGCGTCGTGAGTGCGAGCTCGAGGCCACCTCCGAAGGCCGGGGCCGCGAGCGCGGAGATCGTGGGGATGGGGAGTGCTGAGATGGAGGTTAGGGTGCCGCGGAGGTTGGCGAGGAAGTTTGCTGTGCTGGATTGGTGCGTTAGTTAATTGGTCTACTGGGTATAGCATATTTCAAGGAGAAGAATCGAAGGGGTTTGTTTGGTTGTTTACATACTCTTCCTGCGTGAACGTCGCCCGCTCCTTCAGATCCGCGCCCGCGCAGAAACTCGTGTCGACCTCGCTCGTGAGGATGAGCGCCCTCGTGGACCCGGTCTCGCCCTCCGCGTGGATGCTGCTGACCTGGTGGGACAGCTCCGCGAGCAATTGTCTCGATATCGCGTTGCGGGCGGCGGGGCGATTCAGCGAGAGGATGCGTATGCTACCGCTGTGGGGTGCGGGCACGCTTGTGACTTTGATGACGGGTGAGGGCGCGGCGACCGAGTATGTGCGTTTTTGGAATTGGCGGAGGACTTGCGCGGGGCGCGGCCGGAAGAGGAGAGGCATGTTGAGGTGGGAAGGAGGAATTGAGGAGTCTTTGGTCTGAGTGGGTTTTGGAGAGGACTTTGAGGTCGCGATGTGGGTTTCTTTGAATTATGGATTTGTGACGGTCGATGTTGCCTCGGCGCGGCTAGTTGCGGATCTAATCGTTGTTTGTTTATATATTGGTGCTACAACAACATCATTTCAATATGCTATCTTTGAATGTGTTGCATACTGCGTTCTTTTGATATACAGTCTCGAAGAACATAAATCATATTTCTTGATCATGAAATCCCTATCGGTCTCACTCTTCGAATGACATTCCTTCTTAGCTGATTCCTGAGAGATCCCAAGTGATGGAGCAAGCATGCATGTACAACTGCTTTCCAACAGCCATGTCATGTCAGAGAGAAGTTCAGACGATTCGTCTGAAGTTGATATGCCACCTTCACTTGCGTTTGAGCAGCCACATCTGATAGGGTAAAGGCAACGGGTTTCTTAAAACCTCGCACCAACTCCTCCAACCAACCACCTCAAACACTCTCACAACTATCCACTCCACAACCCTAATCTCATATCATGGAGCCAACTGGAATTGACAGCATGGAAAAGAAGGAGCTGAAAGACCATTCCATACTATCTTCATCAGCAATGAAGTATGTTCGTCCATTGACCCGGAGCACATCCACTCTCCTTCACTGAATATGCTAATAAGTTTACGCCTGGAAGCCTGTGTGGCCCCATGACAGTTGTTATAGTCGGCAATTGCAAAATCAATGTACATACCAGCGTCCTCCGGAAATCATGCTCCGACCTCTTCCAAGTGTTTACCCGGCGTGGAGGAGAGGATAACGATGCATCAAGCGTGCTGATTCAAATTGGCGATAAAGAGGTGGTGAAGGCATACATACACTGGCTCTACTCCGGGAAAATTCCCAGGCCGCATGAACCAGTAGACAAGTTGTTCGTCTTTTTCGCCTATGCTTATGTCTTCGGCGACGAAATCGGGGATCCCAAGTTCAAGAATGCAGTTATTGAGACTATGGCTGTCTACGCAAGAGACAATTGCAAATTCAACGCACGAGGGGCCATAGAGGTTATCTGCGGGGGTACGCAAGAGTCGTCTCTTGCCTGGTGATTTATGGCGGCTGTCTATGCACACACGGCTTCCTACCAGGATAATTGGTTCAATTGGTTCAATACGTTGGAGCAGTGCCCAAGAACCTTCAGAAAGGAAGTCTTGCGAATCTTGATCACCGAGAAGTTCACTGAGAGCGAGATCTCATGGCTGGAAAAGTTACCTTTGTACTTCGAAGACGAGGAAAAGGAGAATGTGTGGGGCATGGAGTCGGATTCCGATGTCGATGACAGAAGCAGCTCGTGAGTGCTGGAGGCGCAATCAGGCCACCTTGTTTTCAGCAGCAACGAAAGTCACGTTCAGATCGCGTTGAATCGAAGCAAATCACCCACGGCATACGCGAGACAGACACTTGGAGGAATTTGCGGCCCTCGACTGTGACAGGACACCCGGGCATAAGTACCCAAGATGTATAATATGGTTTTTCAGGGACATTGAATCAGAGGCGCCAGTCACGGAGTAAAGGTAATTTTTTCGGTATGCACCAAATGGAAACATTGAGAACATTGTCTATGATTCATTGAAGATCCGTAACTTGATTCGTGCTGGCTAATATGCATCATCGTCGTCATTATGACTCCGTGCTCCTTCCCGAAGAGTTCCTTCTTACCCAGGATATGATCCGTCTATAATAGTGCTTGCTTAATGTATGTACTCCAGAGCCCAGACCTCACCGCTAAAGAAAATGCCCGAATTAACACCTCCCCCCCAATTAGAAAGAAAAAGAAACCGCCACCGTCGTTGCCTTAGCATCACGACTCTTCACTTCTCGTGATACTGCTCATGACTCAACTTCCACGGCCTGCTCAACCCCTCCGCGGCCCCGATACCAGTCGCCTTCTCCCTTGACTTGAGCAAACCCTTCGTGACCTGCGCAAGGAACTCACGGGGCAGATCCGCATCCGCCTCGAGCCAATCGCTCTTTCCCCTCGCGGTCCAGATATCGACCAGCAACTGCCGGATAGGCGCCTCCTCCCTCGTCCCCTCGTACAAGATGCGGATCTCCTCTGTGCTGGGATAGTACCGTTTAGCGGGCTGTGTTCCGCGGGCGTACAGGACGTAAGCATCGACAATGGCGTTCTTGAACTTGATGTCCAAAAGGCGGTCACCCAGGACGTAGGCGTAGGCGAGGGTGTGATAGCCGTCGGATTCAGGCTCCCAGGATGAATTGGCTGCTGCGGTGGTAGCCGCCTCAGAGGGAACCGAAAGGATGGGAAGTTGCTTGGCGTAGAGGAACGACATGTAGAGTTCGAAGGCGGCTGGGTCGTCCTCTGGGAGTTCGATGGTGCGGGGGTCCGGTCGCAGGTTTGACCATTCGGGCTTCATGGCGTTGGCGAAGTAGGGCGATGCATCGCATATGGCGCTCTCGTGAACGTAGAAGGTCTCACGGGTGGATTGCAGGTCCTCTGAATCCATTGCGGGGCCTACTTGCACTTTGATCATTCCGGAGTTGAGGCTGCCGAACCGTTAGTTTGAATTCTGGAACTCATATAAAGAACAAGAGCAGATATTCGCTACTTTGGGAGAGAAAGAATAAAGCAAGGACGAGCCGCAAAGGGAATGTACAAAATTAGGACGGTGTAGTCACATGATGAATAGAATCACGGACAAGTTTGACTTACCGTACTGCTTGTGATGGTACTACTCGCGTGTCCTTGATCACGGAAACCTGTTGCTGTGAGTTGTCGATGAGCGACTCCAGATGCGACATTCTCTTGCGTTTCGGCGGCGGGCCGGGTGCGAAGAGCGATGATAGTGTACTCTCGTTGAGACTCATATTGCTGACTCTAGTAGGGGGAAATCTCGTCCCCCAGGAGAGATGAGGAGAGAATGCGTTGTCCAGATTGGCTGCTGGGGTAGAGTTGCCTTCAACCCCCGTTTGCTTCCGTTTTAATCAAGTGTCGGTCTGTCTTTATTGAAGCGCTTGCCGTGGATTACCAAAGTCTATCAGTGTCGCTGAGGAAGGAACAGAGACAGTGGGAAGTCTTTTTGCTAGTATCCGCAAGGTACAACCATTCATCACAGTTACGAGTTATTCCAGAGGAGGCTTATAAATTAGCAAAGGCGCAGTTTGCGGCGAGGGAGGTGGAGAATGGAGATGGGGATGGAGACGGAGATGGGAGACGAGAGGCGGATGGAGATCTCGTTTGCTGTTGGTGGGGCCGATGACCATGCTCGATTCATACTAATCCTAATACGGTATAGCGAGTTCTGATTATAGAATTATAATTCACTGTATCGCTCAAGTCTAAAGGTCACAGAAGTTGAAAGTAGAAATTCAGGAGTGATTTTCTGCATTGAAAGATTATGTTACTTCAGCTCGGTATGTACGTTGAATCGGGCAGTAAATTCCCATGGTGCCGAATGCGCAAAAGAGCAAACGATACAAGTCAAGCGCTTGAACGCGACAGAGCTTTTGCCATCCGGCCAGTCCCACCAACCTTGCATAACATTTCAATCCTTCTCCTGACAATTTTTTGGGTTTTCTATCGATATTTGTAGGGGTTTGAATTTTCTTCCACTGGGTCATTGCCCGTTCTTTCCAATACGTGCTTGCTGGTGTGGCTTGCCACACATAACAATTGCACGGAAGAGTCGGAAGCGGGCAACATATTCACAACCCAGCCTGATCTGGTTCGCTTTGTCTGTAGAGACGAGCGATGATCAACAGTTGAATGAGCAGAGAGAGACGCTCAGGGTTACGGACTTAATGGTGAGGGAGTATGTCCGTGAGATTATTTGATGAATGGTCGACTTGCATGTGTGGTGCATCGACAAAACGGTAAGGAGATGATGGTGCAGAGATGGCGGCCAAAGAAGCCAAAGTCGTGGAGAATTGGGGTGGAAGAGCTGCACGTCGAGCGCCACTTGTGAGTGGCGCAAAGTCATACAGTTCAAAGGGCAATAATCATATCCTTGTGTATCGAATAGGCCAGTAGTTGTAATAGGAAAGGGTGGCTCCCCATTGCAGAGAATAGGGATCGGACTTTTTTTAGAAATTACCCGCCCGGCGGCCAATGCTGTGGAGTTGATGAAGAGGTGAAAAAGGAGTGGCACAGACACTCCTTGGTGAAGACGTGGCCCGGCAGAAGAAGAGAGATGCCAGGCGTCCGATAAAACCGATAGGGAAGGAAAAACCGAAGCCAGATCCAGTTCGACCATGGTATATAGTACATATAGGACGGTCCGAAATCGTAGACTCCAAATGCGCCGAGTGACCGATTCGTAATGCCCCAAGGAAATCAGGTATCCCGTATCGAGTCGTCGACAACCGCTACGTCATCGTAAATAAAGAAAGAAACAGAACTCCAAAAAAATACAATGGAGTCGCAAGCGACAAAATCAAAATGCAACCTTCGTCTTCCTGGGCAACGGGAAATCGTGACGCAAATAGTTCGACTAGGTGTGGTTAAGGTCAACGAAAACTGCTCAGACCAAACAGAACTCCGAACTCCACCAGCTGTCTAGCTCTTTAGGCAGGGCCAGCCGGCTGGGGGCGGTTGTTTCTCGGCGGCTGTTGTCCGTTTTGACCCCGAGGTTGCTGGTTTTGGGGAGGGCCGCGACGCTGGCCCTGCTGGAATTGGGCCCCGCCTCTCTGGGGACGGTTAAAGTTTTGGCGGTTGTTTTGGCCTGGGCCTGCCCGTGCAGCATTTGCTCCATCTTGATCCTGGATCTGGCCCTGCGGTGGGCGTTGAGTATTGGAGACGGGACGAGGAATGTTTTCCGGAGAGTCATAGACATAGAGGTTCTTCTCGATAACTTGAGGAATGGGCTGGATTTCAGTACCCAACTCCTGCTCGATCCGGTAGAGGTTGAACCTGTCATCCCAGTTGATCAAGTTGATGGCAAGACCCAAGTGGCCGAAACGACCGGATCGACCAATTCGGTGCAAGTAGGTCTCAGCATTCTTAGGAAAGTCGAAGTTAATGACAACATTAACAGCCTGGATATCGATACCACGTGTTAGCAAATCAGAGCAGACGAGGTTTCGGCAAACACCATTGCGGAAATCATGGAAGACGCGATTGCGGTTATGCTGAAGCATGCGTGCATGAGAATAGAAACAAGAATACCCAAGTTCCGTGATCTTCTTTGCCAGCAACTCGACTCGGTTAGTAGAGTTGCAGAAGATGATGGACTGGTTGATCTGTAGCTTGTTGAAAAGGGTGTTTAAGCAGTGGACCTTCTGCTTCTCCTCGACGAAAGCGTAGTATTGAGTGATACCACGTAGAGTCAACTCATCCATCAAGTTGATCTCGTATGGAGAGTTCATGTGTTTTTCCTGATAATGTTGTTAGTTAGAGTATCAGAATTCCAGAATCTATGTGCATTACCTTGAAGCTCTTAACTACAATAGGGAATGTAGCGCTGAACAACATGACCTGGCGGTCTTTGGGATGGTGGGCGAGCAACTGCTCAACAACGGGAGTGAACTCGGGAGATAGAAGCTTGTCAGCTTCATCCATGACAAACGTCTGGCAAGACGAAAGATCGGCAACGCCCTTGCCAGCCAGGTCGAGAATCCTACCCGGTGTACCAACGATGATGTGTACCGGGTCCGACAAACGAATGATATCATCCTTGAGACCAGTGCCACCAGTTGAAACCATCACGTTGAGTCCAAGGTGTTTTCCAAGAGTCTTGCAGACTTGCGATGTCTGAAGAGCCAATTCTCGGGTGGGGACAAGAATAAGAGCTTGTGTTTTGTTGTTCTTCGGGTTCACGCGCTCGAGGGTAGGAATAATGAATGCTGCGGTCTTGCCGGTACCGTTCTTCGCACGCGCCAATATATCTCGACCGGTCAAAGCGACGGGGATTGTTTCTTCTTGAATCGGCGAGGGCTTCTCAAAACCAGCTTCGAAAATGCCCATCATCAGCTCTCGCTTGATGAAAAAGTCCTCAAATTCGAGGCCTTTTGTTGCTGTCACATCCTATCGAGCCATGTCAGTTCCTACGTGTATGCGTTATAGCGCGGGCGTGTCGTGCGAACCTCGGTCTGCTCTCGTGTGTCTTTCGCGGGGAGCTTGAGATTGCTCTTCCAGTCTGCCGACGCCGATGGCTCACTAGTATCGCATGTTAGCCACATTCTGCCCTTTGAAATGAGGTATGGATGGCGTACCTCAGCTTCGTCGCCGCCAGTTGGTTGGTAATTTCTGATGTCATTGGGAAGAGAGGGTGGGGACCCAAGTGAAATAAAAGGGTGTCGAGAGTGAAGAGTATGCGGCCGATCTATGCGACGGCACTCGTGCTATCTCGAGACTTATGAGGCCAAGAGAGAGAGATTTGCAAACCCGGAGGAGATGAAGCTTATGAATGTGGGGTGGGGTAGAAGAAACGTGAAGGGCAAGCCTTGAGTCGCTTCCGGATTCAAAGATAACTAGATATCGCGTGTTTAGTCTTCTGAAAGGTCCTTCTTCGACGAGTGAAAGTAATGTTGTAGTTGTGGGATGAGGCTGGCAGGTGCGTGTGTAGGGTCGGCTGCGGTGTGAGGGGATTGGATAGTTGGGAGTTGCGTGTGTAGAGTCGCGAATGAAATGTGAGCTCGGAGATGAGCGTGTGAGAGTGTGTATGTGGATGGTGGGAGTTTTCCGCACTGGAAGAGCTTTAGAGTGAGTTTGTTTTGAGGTAGGATCCAGAGGATTGGGATTTCTTTTATAGTAGAATAGTGGAAGGTGGAAGAAGGGAAGAAGGCATCGGCAGGTTGTGATGAGGTCGGTGGGCAAGGCAGGGCAGCCGAGACAATATGATCCGTGCACCCTCGACTGGCCGGATCATGATTGGCCACCCCGACGTCGCTCTTCTCCTCCCTGTATGCCCTATGGCTTAGGAACGGTACCTAACCTATTGACTTTATTACTCGTACTCGTACCATCACTCATTTGCTGGCATATTTATTTTATCACATATAGTTAGGCTTCTGGTGGCATATCTCTACCATCTGTTATTTTCTTTGCCATCGACTGCGACAGAAGGCGAAGTAAACAGCATTCACGCCACCGCACCTTATCAATCTCGCTAACTTCGAATTTTTCATAGTAAGTAGTGTGCTATAGCTAGGCACCTAGCTATCAGACCGCTCATGTGATCATCAACAAGTGAATTGACTATTTACTAGACTAAACTATACTTGATCAAACCATCTTCACTCCGTCAAGCTTGCTGAATTCACTTTAATCGGCTCAGTCACTTGGGTCTATCATTTACCCCAGAAAGGTGCTCTTCATACCGTTTTCAAACAGGGCATCGTATTCTGCAATTACCAGCTGTACGATATTAAATAGATTTGGACAACCAGATCTGGTACTGTCGACGGCCGTTATACATATATTACGATATCGACCAAAGGATAGGGGATGTCGTTGCTCCACTTCACACGCGCTGCAAGGCTACAAGCCTTCGGGACTCTCCCACGGGTAACCAGGACTTGTCAGTCAACCGGATCATCGAAGTTCTTCCAGCCCTCCCACAGTCTCAGCCTCAACCTGAGCAGGCACAACCAAGGATCCTTCATCCGCCGCACCTTCTCTTCAGGATACGGATCTTCTTGGTCTAGCAATGCAGGCCCCAACCAGAATGTCCTCTATGGAGCGATTGGTATCAACTGCGGTATCTACTGCACTTTCCTCTATCTAGACCAGCAAAAGCAACAAGGATACGTCACCAACTACGCCAAGTTTGTCAACAACTTCACACTCAACCTCACTCGCTTCAAGGAAGGATACTACTGGACCGCGCTCACATCTTGTTTCAGTCACGTCAACTTCATGCATCTACTCAGCAACATGGTGTCACTCTATTTCATGGGAGGCTTGTTGGTGAATGCTTCCGTCATCAACCCCGCGCGTTTCATTACGATCATAGTTGGCTCTGGTCTAGCTGGCTCTCTAGGCTATCTTGTCAATCGAGCACAGAAACCTACTAATCGCTGGGGGATAGATCAGCAGCGTGCGCTCGGGTTCTCTGGCTGCGTCATGGGTATTGGAACTGTGGCCGCCTGCATGTTTCCCAAGACGAAGTTTCTCATCTATGGAATCGTCCCGATGCCACTGTGGGCGCTCATGGGAGGTTACTTCCTATACGACGGATACTACGTGTCCAGTGATCAATCACGAACTGCCCATGCTGGGCATCTCGGTGGCCTGGTTTTCGGACTCGGGTACTATCTGTTGGTCTTGAGGAGTGGAAGGGGTTTGAGGTTGAGATAAAATCTGTTCGATTTACGTGTTAAATAATGTTGGCGTTGTACATATATGTGGCAATTGTAAGAACAAGACGCATCAATTTTTTGCTCTACCAATTTTCTTCCGATGTATTGATTTCCTACTCTTCTCATAGTTTGATTCACTCCAACTCAGGTACCTGGCAACATCCAAATAATTGTTTTTATATCGCTAGACTGCGACAAAATTCATCGCCAATTACTAGGTGAGTGATTAAACCAACAAATGTCTTAAACAAATCACATACTCACCATTGATGTTGACCCAAAATCTCCAACTCAAAGTTCACCACTCAACCTCGCACATCAACCCTTTCCTCAATGTTGCCACGTATGCAAGAACCACACAATTCCGAAAAGCCATAATATCGTCATCGCACCACTTCATTTCAATAGATGTCTTTCCCAACGCACCAACCCAACAAATTCATAGTTCTGTTCAACACTTTTCTAACATATATATATTTGCAGCAAATCCTACACTCTGTCAACCTTCATATCTACTCACCCGCCTGAACCTACAAATCTCCCTTTAAAGGATCGATCTATCGAGATCGCTGCTGTGGTACATACATACCTCGTCGGGGAAGCTCAATGAATGCTTGAAGGCATATGGTGTCCTCATAATCAGTATGAGGCGCACTTGGTAGAGATATATGAGACAGTATCAGACAGATATTGGAATGTGAAGTTTTTGGTTGGAAATTATGGCGTTGAAAAGCGGAATTACTCTTGCTAGGTCTACGTGGTTATAGAGGAATTGGATTATAAATAGCTGGAGGGGGTTCTATGCACTACTTTGTTTCGCATCAATGTTTAATATCGCGAAGATTCGGCTGCAATGATAGTCTAGGAGACGTTACTGCTGGCCGTGGACTGTAATCACCTTTGGCTTGATTGAACGAGATTCAAACCTATAGGCCTCGCATAGAGCACTTTTCATTCATGAAAATTCAGATACGACTCCATTGCACGACAGGTGAAAATTATAGCATTAAGAAATACCCTTAGACCAACATACAATCTATCGAATGGACCGGAAACGCCAAAGCACTCCGGGTAGTATTCCCACATGAAAATAAAAAGCCACCAGTCCTCAGTCTGATAATCTCTAGACCGTATTGGACACCCAGGCCTGGATGATGTTGGATCCGAACTGCAAATACTAGGAAAGATATCTTACAAGCCCAAGATGGAATGAATAACACGGTCATGACTATAGTGCCTAGGCACCGAGGTAGTGTGGCTCCGGCTCACTGAGTGAGGCTCTCTTAGCGGGACTCGACTGTCATGTTTGTTAGCAGAAGTTCATACATGAATGATGAGGTGTAGAGAGACGGACCTGGATAGACTCACTCTTCTTTGGCCTTCCTCGACCTTTGGGACTTTTGCCCGTGGCTGTCTTGGTGATGGCTTCGCTCTTCGGTAACAACACCACGTCACCGTCAGAGTCCGAGTCATCGACAACAAACTCTTGAGATATATAGGCTCTCTTGGGCTTCCTCTTCTGTTTCGTCTCCTTGCGGGGCGGTGGCTCATCGCCCACCTCAATTGCTCCAGCATCCGGCACTCCCTCAGAATCGGAATCATCTACAATGAACTCTTCCGAGATGTACGACTTTCTCGGCCTTCGCTTTGTCCTGGAAGGCTGAGCTGGCGCAGTAGATGATTCTACAACATCTTGTTCCTGAGCATCCTCGACCTTGGTTTGTATAGCAGATGACTTATCTTGCACGTCTTCGTCTGAATCAGACTCGCGCACGAATTCTTGTGAAAGATGCGACTTTCTCGCTTTGCGAGTGCTCTTCGCAGGCGGAGGTGCCTTGGCCAATTCGGCCACCTCGTCCTGGTCTGTAATGCGATCTGGATCATCTTTCGCTTTCGGAAGCATGGGCCATGACTTCCGCGACTTAGGTTTCTTCTTCTGCTTCTTCGCTTTTGCTCCGGTGTAATCATCGTCGTCTTCGTCGTCCTTCTTCCATGTTCGGCCTTTGCCTGCGCTCTTGCGCCTTCCCTCGCTCGCTGGCTGGTGTGTGCTTGGTGAGGTTGCGGCCGATACTTGGCTGGTTTTGCTATCTTCCACGGCTGCTGTAGGCGGTCTGGGGTTTAGGGTGAGTTTGAGCCTGGTAGTTCCAGTTGGCGTGATGCTGCTCTTAGGTTTCTTCTCAATCGCCTCTTCCTCGTCGAACAGCTTTGCATGATGGAAGTACGGCCGCTGTTGGGCTGGCGTTCGGAAACGCAAACCCCTTCTCGATGGAGCCGAAGAAGGGCTTGGACCATCCGGAGTTGGCAAGCCAGAGTTCAGAGCGGAAGATTCTGCTACAGGCGTGGATCGGTCGATTTGCTCTGGTAGTAGAGCTGGCTCGGACTGTTTCGGTCAGCCTTGGGAAGCCAACTATAGATAATTGATACAACATACCTTTCTCTTTTTAATGTATTTGCGCTTCTTGGATGATGTGTCAGGTTTCTCTAATCGCGCTTCTCGAGTTGGCGCCGCATTTTCGTCGACATCATCTGACGACAGGATCGGCTCCGACTAAGACAGAGTCAGTTGGAAAATCACGATAACGGGCGGACGATACTACCAAATGTTTCTTCTTCGACCTTCGACGCTTCTTGATTGATACATCTTCTGCGCCTGCCGTTGAGTCTGCAGTCGACGCTGACGAGTTGTTGGCATGTGGCACTCCATTCCCGTTCGTCGTCACTGTTGTTTCGTTCGGCACGGAATTCGGCCCGCCATGCACAACGTCCGTATAACTCTCATCGTCCTGAAAAAGTCAAAATCAACTATTCTAGATTCAACTGGGTTATCTTTACTTACTGAAGAGCTGACCTCGTCCCAGGCGTCTAGAGTGAGGTGATACAGGTAAGGTCCCAGCGGGTGCTCAGATGCCGCCCACTCTTCGTAAGTAAGCCATGGAGGGGACTCGACCTCTTTATACAATGCATACTCTGCATCTCCATGGATAGAAATCCAGGAAGGAAAAGAGCTGAGTAGACTGTCTGGTTGTGATTGATTTTCCATCATTGCTCTTTGTAAGGGAGATGGATGCGGTGAGATGTAAGATGGTTGAAGACAGGAATGTGAATTGTGTGAGACAGATGCAGGTGCAACAAAGGGACTTAACAGAGAAGATAAAGACGAGAATTAAAATCACAGTGAAAAAGGTGGATGCCTTTGCGCGCGCAAGGACGCACAGTCAGACCGTGAAGTGCACTGCCTGTGCCTGCTGGGGTGAAGTGACAGAAAGTTCCAAGACCAGAGGTTGTTGAAAAGATCCACGCCTGGTGGCACGTTAGCTCAACGAACAAAAATTTGGAGGCCTACAGGCACAGCGACGCATACAACACGAACAGGCTAGGGATGCAAAAAGTATCCAGATAGAAATGATGGCACTCACATTATGATCGGCAGGTCGCCATTTTCGATGCAAGTGGTATGGAGAAAGACGTTAGGAAGTGACCGGCGCCCTAGGTACAGCTCGGCTATCTTTCGAATCTACGTATTATTAAAAACCGCAGCTCCACTCCAAAAACCTCAAAATTCCTGCCCTTTGGACACTGTCCTTTCTCTCTTATATATGGACCCATGTTCCTCTTTTTACAAGTTGTTAGACGGCATACATTCGCTCTACTTATGAGCAAGCATTCACTTCCGCCTACTCTCCAGGAAATCAAGCAACGACTATCTCGAGCTCAAGTGAGGTCATCTGGTCCACAAAACGTCACATCAAGGCAGCAAGCATACAATCTTTCTTAAAGATTTACTATTGACAGTTACGATTACTGTATCAAGAACTCATCGTCCGGCATGCTCGATATCCAGTATGTACAAAAAAGCAAGAAGCCAATCTAGTTTACGGACGAGGATCCGTTATATGAAATGAGCAAAATAATGAAAAGCCAAGGCCATGGGTATACAACCAACCACAACCCCAAAACAGCCATTCCGCCAGTGGTGTTGCTCTGACCTGGATAACTGGAAAACGCCGAGAACCCGATGATGTAAATCCGATGATGATGAACCATTTGGAGGCTGCGTCTCACACGACGCAGAATCCTAGAGGACGTAACTTGAACCTTGCCCAAGAAAAAGCCACCAAGGCGACCAGGGAACGAAAAGCGAGAAATGAAGTGATCCCCCAGGCATTTGTTGAGTATCAGTGCCTTGGCAAGGACAACGGCACACGACGAAAATTCCCCAGATGGTACTTCCGATCTCGTAAATCTGGAAGAGAGACGGAGATTACAATGAAGCTGATGCAAATAGAAGTTGTTAAAAGAGTGAAAGAAACGAATATCTCAAGGCGTCTTTTACGCGGCTAGAATGCTCTCGGGACTGATCATGCCGACTGCGCTGCCGTCCTCCTTCTCAGGCTCTGTAACGTTCTGATTCTCCTTTTGAGGCATCTCCAGCTTCAATTTGCCGATTGGCTTACCGATTCCCTTGACTGAGGTGCCGTTCAGACCAGACGCATTCTCATTAGAGGCATTCTCATTATTCTCCTCATCGAGCTTGCGTTTTTTACGAGCAAGCTGCTGTTGTTCACGCAATGGTCGTTTGCGAGGGCTAGAGATTTTACCCGTCGGTGGCAATCGCGGCTTGGGGAATCGTTGCTTCGGCGGTAGATCGTCATCCTCGATGAGAGAATCATCATTGCCGTCACGCAGCTTCGACAAGAACCATTCCTGAACAAGTCCAATTTGGTTGCCGATGTATTGGCTTGTAACAGGCTCGAACTTTGCCGGTTCTGGCATGAGCGCACCAGTAGTGGCAACGTTGCTGTAGAGGTCAGCACTTGTCGGTCGTACAGTAACAAATATAACATACCTGGTGTTCTGAGCAGCGAATCTGTTGTGCATTCTGTTTTGCAACAAATGCAATGGCACGCTGAATGATAACCCGAATTCCTTGTCCAGGCCAAGTTCGCGGAAGCCGAAGAAATCCTCTCCAATGTCTTCGGCGAAATCACCACCAACAAACTGTTCACTACCATCGTTGAAAGCACCGACACCATCCGCACCAACACTACCGTCGAGAGCAGGACGAAGTAGTTCGGCATAATGGGTTCGCATTCGGTCATGCATGCTGGTAAGCTTGACCCCAAGATTTCTGAGATCGTCTTTGGCATATGATTCCAAACTTTCAAGTTCAACTCCATTCGTACTCAACGCGTGCAAAACAGACTCCTCCTGACTGAAGCGTGTAGTCCATTGGGTTGTTCCACCGCTCGCAGTAGGGACTGGGATATCGGATTTCGATTTAGGTTGCTCACGATAAGTCTGGAATGTCCGCGCCAGGTTCTGGAAGAAGGTGCTCGCTATGTCTGTGATCGAGTCCAAGGCGGAAGGCTGAAATTCTTCGAAACCAGCATGGTAAAAGATCTTAGCTACGCTTCGTTCCAAAGCCGCCCGGCAAACATACGGAGCCATAATGGCACCGTCATCAGAGACAACCATTGGGTCGATGTCGGCCTCTGAAAAGGGCTGAGGATCGTACTTCTGGAACTGGTTCTGATACATCTGCGATTGGAGCGACATTTGTTTCACGATGCCAATCTTTGCACATATTTTTCGAGTCTCCTGCATCTGGCGCATGTTGGTTTCCATCTTTTTGGTCAGTGTACTCTCCGGCGAAACAAAGAGACCCTTAGGAACAACTCTCATGTACTCCTCCACCTGCTGAAGGACGTGGCCTTCGGAATCTTCGACCCATTGCAGGCGTTCGTTAAGATCGGGAATGGCGCAGACGGGATCATAGTAATCTGGGATTTGGCGTTCTTCCTCATCCTCGATACCTTCTGCGAGTGTCTCTCCTCCTGTTGCTTGGAGTCCATCTTTGCCGTCTATAGTGGCAGTGGTAGCACCGTCAGCAGATTCGTCCTCGATTGCATGCTTGCGATGACGCAGCCACCTTCTCATGCCAGCCCGACTACGTAGTATTGCGGGTTCTTCGACATTCAGATGATCATCTCGAAACAATCGGTTACGCTCTGCAGCAATAAGAGCTCGATCTTTCTTGGTCACCTGCTTCCATGTCTTGTACTCGAGGTCATCCAGCTCGGCATCGTCGCCTTCAAGAGCCAACCCCATCACAGAAGCAGCGGTGCCATCGGCCTCAGATACGTCAGCTTGGCTGCCATGGGCACCGTTTCGTAGTATGCTATTAGGTCCAAGCGGAGTGAGCGTGCCAGGAGGGGTCGAAAATCCGTTTACGCTGCCTTCCATTTCTGAATCTGCACGGAGGAATTCATTTTTGAAATTCGAAACTGCACTGTTCAATGACGGCCCATTTGGTTTGGCTTCTGGACCGGGTGTGCTCTCCAGACCTGCTGGAGGAGCTTTTCTGGAGTTATTCCCGCCTTTGTTGGTACCTTTACTTGGCGCTTTTCGGCCTCGGGAAGCCATGATCGGCTCTTCTAAGGACAAAACATTAGACAACGTTCAGTGGATCGTGCCTTTTTAAGGGAGCTTACCGTCTTCACTGTCTTCGGCACCATCAGCGTCGGCATCACCATTGCGCATTCGTCGTTCCTCAGCTTCGACTTCGGCGCGGTCTCTGATCCTGATTTCGGGTATCAAGGGTACTAGCTTCTCGGTCTCCTTTCTCATGTAAAGGGCCTTTTTGCGAAGGAAATGACTTGGATCGGCATTGTACTTCAGACAATTGGACCAGATCAACATCAAGTCATCCACAAACTCTTTCTTCGACTTGTAGTGTAACTGCTTGAGCTTTTTCATCATGGTGCCGATGTCCATGGGCTGTTTGATGACTGTGTAGTAGTCGGGTGCTTCTCGTTTGTTCACGCGTTGCAAAAAGGGGTGAGCGTGTTCTCCAGCCTTCAACTCCATCAATACCTTCTCCATGCTTTCGTATAATTCCTCCTGACCAACGCGTTCTTCATTCGCCCATTTACTACGATTCTTCCTAACTTCGCTTATCAGGCTTCTCAGCTGTGTATCGCTAGCGTGTACTTTATCTCGTTGAGCATCTATGCGCGCAATGAGGTGTTTGAGGGTGAGACTCGAGGCCCCGAGGTTGGTGGTGCTCAAGGTCCCTTGTTGAGGTGCGGCGGGAGTACCACTTGTTGGCGCGTTGTTCGATTGTCCAGACATCTCTGTTTCTACTTGGCGATCTAATTCGTCCAATTTCTGTTGTTCCAACATCGCATTGCGGTCATCTTCCAACGTGTAGAACAATGTTTGGAAACTACGTTTGGCAGCATCTTCGGCCGCTTTCTTGTCCTGTTGTAACTTCTTGCGTACATCGTCGGAGGATTTGACTTGGTCTGCGGTCGGGGTACTGGTTCGATCGATGCCGGATTTGTTAGAAAAGGATCGCATGAGGAGGCTTGGCGTCTGAATGGGGGCGACAGCAGCATTTCCATTAGAAGAACTCTTTGCAAATAGGGGGGATGTGTGAGTGTCATCTTCTTCATCGGCTTCATCGTCATCGTCGTCGCCATAGTCATCTTCGTCAATGGTTCGGGCGGGTTTCTTGGGGGTGATAGTCGGGAGCGCGTCATGCGCCGGCGGAGCATCCTCGGACGCCTCCATCATCACGTCTTCAAGCGCATCTGTCAAATCGTGTTTGCTTCCTCCATCTAGAACAGCCTGAAGACGCGCTTCGGTGCGAAGATAATGCTCATGGAAGAGCGCCGCCTGGGGGTCCTCCTCGGCCATGGCGTCCGTACCGTCCCCCGGATTGTTGCTGTTGAAGCCGTTGGGCATGGCCTCATCGCTCAGCGTCGGATTGGGAGTGCGCAGGCGAATCGCATTAGAGGGATGATTGGGGAATCGCGCATGGTGTTGGCGGTCTCTGGAGGATGGCCGATGTAGCGATGGAGCGAGCGACATGTCGTTGTGGGGAGTATCTTGGCAGAACTCCTCACAACGCTGTGAAGCCTTCGCGGCGGCCTCCGACCTCGTGCAAGGTGCGCGAGAGCGTGAAACCAAGCATGTGAGAAGCCAGACGGCGCGCAAGTCGAATGACGACGAGAAACGAGATGGAAATGTTGATGTTGGGGCGTGATTTGATGATTGAGCGTCGCGGCTTGCCGTTCGGCTTGGGGAGTAGGCACGATGGCTGTGAGAGGGAGGGAGCAACTCACAGTCGCTGACTTCCGATTAAGGTTGCGGGCTAACCTCAAACGTAGGGGGTGTGGCTGTCGGGCGCGGAGCGCCACACCCCCGTCAAGTATCAATATCAGAATCAGAGCACGAGCTATGTCAAGTATTTTGTTTACAATATTTAGTATTACTCCATCATCTAATCCTGTTCAAATATAATGGCAAGTGTTGCAAGTATCGTTCATACCCGTTCAATAGTACACTCACAAGATGCCATGGCCAGGCAGGCATGACTTACTCCTATGGAGAGACTATCTAGTGCCAAACAAGAGGCCCTATGTATCTGAATCCCCGCCCTTTTGATTCTTGTACTGCACAAACAGTATTTTTATTGTATGGTCATCGTATGGGACTAGAAACATTTTACTCCTTTGGTCGGTTGATTATCTCTACCTGTTGAAGATCCCCATCCCTTAGATGTTCCAACAAAGGAGTCATTGTTCCCGAGACTCGTCCGGGCAACAGCCTGACCCATCTACATAACATAGGGATATGTCTCTCCGTTAATGATTCCATAAATATAATTATGCGATTTCTCTTTGAAGGCCTTTGTGTGTTCGTGCTTAAACAATATTTACCTAGGTACGTGGCTGGCACTCACTGTGCAGCGTCATCTTTCTGCCATCATTCCACACCCATTGAACTGGATACACAACTTTGTACCAAACTCATTCTCATACCCAATTGCTTCCTACAAGATTTTGTTACGATACTGTACAATATATTTTTCGACTCCATCTTGCATTGGTCGAGTCCAATCCTTGATGCCTGAGGCCGTGGTCGGACTTATAGCAACTCTTGCCGAGCCCCGGATAAGCCGCCTGCGTGAGACAAGGCTACGTTGGAAGTTCACCAGCCTACCTTTGGGAGATCTCGTTCGTAACCTCCATACCGACTCTCCAAGCCCCTCCGAATTATGATCTATCGCCGGTGATACGACAATACCTCCACCGTACATAATCCACAACATGCGCATCCGCAAACCCTTCGCCGGTAGGTCGCCCATCATGCTACATGCCGTCATACCATACCAGCACCCTCGCCAAGCTCCACAACCCATTGTCTGCAGCTCTCACTGCATGTGCAATGCCGTCCTGCATATGTCCCGAATACCAGATTCCTTCAGCGTACTGAACTAATATACAATGCTCTAGGTGCTTTCGTGGGCATTTGCCTGATCTGCGGCCTCGCCGGCTTCGCGCCACACACCCAATATGACCTCCCGAACTACAAGCAGAGCGACAAGGTCTTGCACTTCGTGGCCTTCTTCCTGGTCACGCTGTCGTTCTACTGGATTCTAGAGACGAACAGGAGGAAGGTGTTGCAGTTGACATTCACCGTGTGTACGGTGGGATTGGGTTTTGCGAGTGAGATCATTCAAGGGTTGATACCGGTACGCATCCTCCACCCGCGAGCAATACTAATAAAAGGAAGAATGGCATGCTGACGGCTTCTATACAGAATGGTCGCGACTTTGACTATTATGACATTCTAGCGAACGTGGTGGGATCTATCTCTGCACTGGCGGTGTGCAATTGGTATCATAAGCGAATGCTCGAGAGGAAGCGTGCGGCGCGTGGATACGCCGCTGTTGCTGGCGAGGACGATAGGGATGTTGAGCTAGGAGAAGGCGTGGAAGGCCAGGAGTCAGGTGTGGTGAGACCTACAGTGGAGGAAGAGCTGGAGCAATGGGATGAGAATGCGGAGGACTGGGACGATACAGAGCCTACGGAGCACAGCCATGAGCAAGGAAACGTCCACGAGGGAGAGGATTTGGCCGATGCAAAGAAGCGAAATGATTGACGAGCTAGGAATGATGTAGGCACGATTGAGGATGTGAGATGACTTCAACGGTCTTATACATGAAGCAAATAAAACGATCTACTACTTTCTCATAATGGTTCAACGCCATCGATTGTGAGGATGTTCGAAATATTCACACATGGCGTCACTGCTGGCTCGAGCATTTACTTGATGCAGACCGAATTGGTATTCGTTTTTACAAACTCATAGCTAGCCGCTGGTTTTTCACCGCATCTGGAAGCAAGCTTCTGCAACCATGAATCGTCACATCGTCTTGAACTCCCTTGGATTCATGCACATTTTCCAGTATGAGATTCCGAAAGGACACATAAGACCCAATACCAAGCGCCATGACTTTCATCAACACCCCCCACTGTCGATTTTTCCTTTACGAGGTCTTGCCGGCGGCCTGGTTGGGAACGACTTTCTTTCCGTCCTTGTTGTACCTGACCCTTGGTGGTGGGGCACGGTTACGGCGACCCTCCCGAGAGCGGACACTTTTAAATGCGTCAGCTAACAATATTCTGTATCCTGCGGGTGTGTGGTGAAAACGTACCGGACGATCTTTCCGTGGATGGCGCAAGAGACGCAGTACTGGAGCTTCAAGTACATCTTGGGGACGGTGTACTCGGGGAAGACGGACGCATCAGAGATATCACCTAGCCCATTGTCAGTTTCGTGTTCAGATATTTCCGCCCCTCATGCTGCTTTTCGAATGCAATTCTTCTTCGACGCGTTTGTGGGGTGTGGCGGGTTGAATCCGATGGGGAACGTACGGATGGCGGCAGACTCGACCATGTTCCTGATGGTGAATCTCTTGATTGCCTTGTCCTTGGGAGTGCATCGCGAGCAGTTGGAGCAGCGGATGGGCTTAACGTGGCCGCGGCCCTTCTTGTTGCGACCGCTGTTATTTTGTCAGTCCTGGGTGGATTTGAGGAAGGTAATGTGGTTGATGTGTCGGCACATACTTGGATGCTCGCTTCTTGACCATGATGGGCTGACTCTATTTGCTGTTAGGAGAGGAGGAGGATTGAGTAGAGTTTCGTGGTTATGCGCACCGAAGAAATAGGTATCTAAGATTCAGCAATGGGAAGTTGTCGTTCTGTTGGTGGTGCTGGTCGGCTGTCTTTGGTGTGTCGAAATTCAACGTGGGCCTACGGTAGCGAGTGTTGAAACCGAAGTTGATCCGGGCTAGTGGAAAGATTATCTTATCTCTTGGCGATCTCCCTTCTATCGGTCAATCATCGATCAACAATACCATGTTACTGTGGGAGAAGTCAAAATAACAACAAAGAATTAATGCGCAGCGCTCGAACCGTACACAGTATATTGAGCACTGCACCACTCTTCCCCTATTTCTTAACGCGAATAGGAATTTGTGTAATCAACAGCGCAGCTGTAATCACTATTTCTTCATGATACTGCCTGTCCACTATCTACATTGTAGTCATAATACCAAGTACCTGCAACTGGTAACAATACTGCCCACACAACGTGTACTCGCTTCTTCTGGCGGTAGTTCAATCGGGATGGCAGCACTTTCACGTTCTCATTCGACATATTAGCGAATGCATAGCCTACGTTAAGTAGTAGATCATTATCGATTAAAATTCATTCTTTTCTGTAATAGCGGTGAACAGCTTGGTGCGTCACGGTCGACCTTGTGATCATTCCCTTGGGCCCGCACTTGCCCGACCACCGCGTGTTGTTTTTCCTCGTTGCCAGGCCAGGGTCTCATCTAACTCTACGACTCGTCGTGCTACAAGCGTCCAGACTCCGACCAAGATCGCCCTCGCTGGCTCTACCACGAACGACTGTTCACTGCAACACCTGCACCTATATCGATTCCCTCTTAATCCTCCGAACCCATCAGCCGCAGTCATGTCCACCACAGGTGGTACCATGAGGGGTACACCCAAGAATCGCAACCAAGTCCAATATACCAACAGTCCGTCTGGCATCCCACGCCCTGCCCTCGACCATCCACCACCGCAGAGCGATGCGGGCGCCTCTACTCTCAGTGCCAGCCGGGCAAAGATGTCCAAGAGGGACGAGGTGAGTCTCCTACGGGGAGCTGCACTCTCGCTTTTGGCCCAACACCTAACGCTGTGCAGGCTATCCGCCGGAAGATCGAGACCGATTTGAACAAGAAGAAGAATCCCGGAGCCCGCGTTCGCCCATCCAGAAAGGCACCTCCTGGCACCGTCCTGGCCCTCAAGCCCAGCCAGGCCCTCCAAATCAAGCCCAATACAACTGTAGCTGAGGCAGCTCAGCTCATGGCAGCGAAGAGGGAGGACTGTGTCCTTGTCACCGACGATGATGATCGTATCGCTGGTATTTTCACAGCCAAGGATCTTGCATTCCGTGTAGTTGGAGCAGGCATCAAGGCCAGAGATATCACCATCGAGGAGATTATGACCAAGAACCCACTATGTGCCAAAACGGATACAAGCGCTACTGACGCATTGGATCTGATGGTTAGGAAAGGCTTCCGTCATTTGCCAGTCATGGACGAGAACCACGATATCTCTGGTATCCTCGATATTACCAAGTGCTTTTATGACGCCATGGAAAAGCTTGAGCGGGCATACAGCTCGTCTCGCAAGCTTTACGATGCCCTGGAGGGTGTTCAGGCCGAACTCGGTTCCAGCCAGCCTCAACAGATTATACAGTACGTGGAGGCTATCAGGTCAAAGATGTCTGGGCCAACATTGGAGACCGTCCTCAATGGATTGCCTCCCGTCACTGTGTCTGTTCGCACATCAGTAAAGGAAGCAGCCTCGCTCATGAAGGAGAACCACACTACCGCGGTGTTAGTCCAGGACCAAGGCCAGATTACCGGTATCTTTACCAGCAAAGATGTTGTTCTTCGTGTCATTGCTGCTGGCCTTGACCCCTCCACTTGCAGTGTTGTGCGAGTTATGACCCCACACCCCGATTTCGCGCCCATGGACATGAGCATTCAACAAGCTCTTCGCAAGATGCATGGTGAGTCCCAGATAGCAATTGACTAAAGAATTGTGCTGACGATTTGATAAGATGGCCATTACCTCAACCTTCCGGTAATGAGCGAGGCTGGCGAGATTGTTGGCATGGTTGACGTCCTGAAGCTTACTTACGCTACTCTTGATCAGGTACGAAGGACGTAATGGGCGCGCATGATATGAGACTAACAAAGCATAGATCAACAACATCAGCACTCAGGACAGCGAGGGGCCTGCTTGGAATAAGTTTTGGCTGTCTCTAGATGCCGAGACTGAATCCATGATGTCGGGCGACGGAGGCAGCCGTATACCTGGTACCCCAGACCATCGTTCCATGGTCTCTCACGATATGCATCGACCGGGCCACATGGACCGCGGAGACAGTGTCTTGCCAAACGAGTCTGCCTCGCATCACGGCGACTCACCACCTGCTTCTGCTTTGGCTGGCGCGCCGCCTTCTTCGTTTGAAGACTTCGCATTCCCGTTCAAGTTCAAGGCCCCCAGTGGCCGTGTCCACCGTTTACAAGTCACTGCTTCCGCCGGCATTGAGGAACTCATCTCTTATGTGGCAGAAAAGCTCGGCAGTGAAGTGGATTCAATTGGCGGAACTCCTACATTCGATGAGGGCAAGATCTCGAAGTCTGGCTTCGCCCTTTCCTACCTCGACAATGAAGGAGACACCGTATCCATTACCACAAACCAGGATTTGATTGAGGCAATCAGCCTCTCACGACTTGCCCACCGCGACAAAGTTGACCTCTTCGTCCATGATCCCGAGAAGCCCCCTCTACCAGCGACTGTCGAGCCACAGCCGGCATTGGCAAAGCCCATAACGCCACCTGCATCGGTCCTTCGCGATCGCAAGCAGTTTTTCGACGATGAAGAGGATGACGAGCCTCGTGCGAAATCTCGTGGACATTCGTCACCCGTGTCAAGACAAGAAGAGATCATTGCAGGCGTTCCCAACGACCTGCTTCTACCGGGAGCTATTGTCACGCTTGCCGTGGTGATAGTGGCCGTTTTTGCTCTTGGGCGTGCGTCTGGAAACAGCCGATAATGCTAACGCCTGAAACCTGGAATACATACTATCTGATGAGTGCACGTGTTGCGCATTTCTCTTCGTCTCAATTTTGATATCCCTAGATGCAATCGCGGTCTCTCCGTATGTCGCATTGGCCACTGTATGCTAGGTCATAGGTTAATACTTGGTGGGTTTGTGGTACATCGTAGTTTTGGTAGTTAGTCGTGATAACAGCAAAGACAACATGACCTCTCCGTAAACAAACTGCGTTTCGAGTGCCAATATTATACGCCCCTGTAGCCTATGTAGTTCAACAAGGTACGAGTCCATACTCCATAGTTATGATCAATTATGAAGCTGTGGCTGTAGTTGTCTACGCTAACTGGCCAATTGCGCCTGACCTCTCTCTTTCATTCGTGCATATCTAGGATCTAGTACTTCTTTATAGATAGACTGTGAAAATGTCAATACAAATAAAGGCACCGGGATAAGTAAAGCAAGAATTGTTATCAGTTGTGTATTCTATGTTTTCATCTGCGCAGCCTTATATCCTGTGAGCCAAGAGTCATTGAGCCTGACAGTACATACATGGTGAATAGATGATAAGTACCAGGTATAGGTATCATGGCAACGCTGGCACACCCTCACCAAGCCCTACGAATATCTCCTTTGTCCTTCCTTAGTTTCATCCAGAGGTAGTCTAGGTAGTGTACTACGAGTATTATTTTTATTTGGTTGGTTGGCTGGTTAATCATTACTGTTTAGTTGGTTACCTAGTTGGCTGTTAACCCTACACTTGGTTGGTCAGTCCTGGTCTTGCTCGGCCACAATTTTTTGGCCGTTCGCGCCTCGCGAAAGTAAAGTCTGCAATCCACCCCCACCAAAACAACAATCTACTGTACACCTATTTTTCCCTTAGCAACACAACACAACGGGTCCTGCGTAATCCTCCAAGCTCCCGGATTCACTTCCTTTACTTTCAACTATCTGCACCCACGCGTCTCCTTGCCAGTCTCCCACGGTTCACTCGCAAAGTTCGTACACGCAGAGCCAACCCCACAGTTCACTAGACCGCTCGCTCCTTGCCTTTCAACTGCGAATCTCTACAGCGCTCCGGGGCTGCCACCCCAGTATATACCTACCTATCTACCACAACGTTTCGCCATGTCCGTCCTTCCGCCTGAGGTCCACACCGCGCTGAGTGCCCTCTTGAAGGGTCTTGAGTCCCGCGACAATGTCGAGCGCACTGCCGCCGAGGAGCAGTTGAACAAGGACTGGGTGGGAGAAAGACCAGATGTGCTCCTCATGGGTTTGACGGAGCAGATCGCTCTGGCACAGGAGTCTTCGGTCAGTTAAAAGATGCCATAAAAACAACGTGCAAATGTGTTTACGCCCAAGTGCAGACTCGGATATTCGCCGCCGTCCTCTTTCGACGACAGTCGTCCAAGCCTCGAAAAGATGCCAACGGTCAGACCAGAGACCTTTTCCTGACGCTCCAGCAAGCCGAGCGTGATGCCATTCGGGCAAAACTTCTACAGTGTCTCTCGACTGAGAACGACGGAACCGTGCGGGGAAAGATTGCGGATGCGATTGCGGAGCTCGGACGACAGCACACAGACGAGAGTGAGTTGACCGCACTGTACGCATTGAGGCATAGCATTGACGAAATGAGTAGGCGTTCCCTGGCCAGAGCTTCTGGGTGCTCTGTTTGCCGCCAGCCAGTCGAGCGATGCAGGCCAGCGAGATACTGCCTTCAGAATATTCTCTACCACTCCAGGCATAATAGAGAAACAGCACGAGGATGTCGTCATCAACGCTTTCAAGGGTGGATTCGGTGACAGCGACACTACAGTATGCCAGAATCTTCGGTCAATCATGCCGAACACGTTCATTAACTCCAATCATTAGGTCCGCATCTCTGCGGTGGAAGCCTTTGCTTCTTTCTTCCGCTCAATCACGAAGAAAGCGCAGCCAAAGTACTTCGCGCTTGTCCCTGACGTTCTGAACATTCTACCTCCGATCAAGGAGTCCAGAGATGGAAACCTCCTCACCAAGGCATTGATCTCTTTGATCGATTTGGCAGAGGTTGCACCAAAGATGTTCAAGCCGCTGTTTAACAGCCTTGTTCAATTCAGCGTGTCGGTCATTCAAGACAAAGAGCTTGATGAGACGCCCCGTCAGAATGCGCTCGAACTCATGGCAACTTTTGCGGATGTTGCTCCCCAGATGTGCCGCAAGGATCCAAATTATACCAATGACATGGTCACCCAATGTCTTTCGTTGATGACTGATGTCGGCGAGGATGATGATGACGCCGAGGAGTGGAATGCCTCGGAAGACGTATGTTTCAACGACACTAATTCAATGGGCAATATAACTAACAGGTGCAGCTCGATGCCGATGAGAGCGATTCAAATCATGTTGCCGGAGAGCAATGCATGGACCGTCTTGCCAACAAGCTGGGAGGCCAGTCAATCTTGCCCCCAACATTCAGTTGGCTGCCACGGATGATGACCTCGTCCGCATGGCGAGACAGGCACGCTGCTCTCATGGCCATTTCTGCCATCTCCGAAGGCTGCCGCGAATTGATGATTGGTGAACTCGACAAAGTCCTGGATCTCGTCCTACCCGCTCTTCGAGATCCCCACCCAAGAGTCCGCTGGGCTGGTTGCAATGCTGTGGGCCAGATGAGCACCGATTTCGCGGGAACCATGCAGGAAAAATACCACCAGGTTGTCCTTCCAAATATCATTCCAGTCTTGGAGTCCGCCGAGCCCCGTGTCCAGGCCCATGCTGCCGCCGCGCTCGTGAACTTCTGTGAGGAAGCTGAGAAGCACGTTCTTGAGCCATACTTGGATAACCTCCTCAACCACCTCCTTATGCTGCTCCAGAGCCCTAAGCGATTCGTTCAGGAACAAGCCCTGTCTACCATCGCCACCGTGGCCGACTCTGCGGAAGCCGCGTTCTCAACGTACTACGCGACACTGATGCCGCTCCTTTTCAATGTCCTTAAGGAGGAACAGTCAAAGGAGTACCGGCTACTCCGCGCGAAGGCTATGGAGTGTGCTACCTTGATAGCTCTTGCTGTCGGAAAGGAGCGCATGGGAGATGATGCACTGGGATTGGTGCAGCTTCTCGGCCACATCCAAAACAACGTTCAGGATGCAGACGACCCGCAGGCCTCGTACCTGCTCCACTGCTGGGGCAGGATGTGCCGTGTCCTTGGTCAGGAATTCGTGCCTTACCTTCCGGCTGTCATCCCTCCGTTGACTGAGCTGGCTGGCGCCAAGGCCGATATTCAGCTTCTTGACGACGAGGACCAAGTTGCACAGATCCAAGATGAGGAAGGTTGGGAGTTGGTCCCTCTCAAGGGCAAGGTCATTGGCATCAAGACCAGCACTTTGGATGACAAGAACATGGCCATCGAGCTGATTGTCATCTACGCACAGGTTTTGGAGGCCTCTTTCGAGCCATATGTTAATGACATCATGGACAAGATTGCTCTCCCAGGTTTGGCTTTCTTCTTCCACGACCCCGTGCGAGTCGCCTCGGCCAAATGTGTACCTCAGCTTCTCAATGCCTACAAGAAGGCCCACGGCCCCGAGTCAACACAGCTTGGTCAACTCTGGGAGCGAACTGTGGAGCGTGTCCTTGAGGTTCTTAGTACCGAGCCTGCCATTGACACCCTCGCAGAGATGTACCAGTGCTTCTACGAATGTGTGGAGGTTCTCGGCCGAAACAGCTTGACCAGCACCCACATGGCGACCTTCATCGAGTCAGCTAGGTCTGTACTAAAGGATTACCAGGAGCGTGTGAAGGAACGCATGGAGGAGCAGGCAGAGAACGAGGATGGTGAGGAGGTATCTGAGGAGACCCTCTACGCTATCGAGGACGACCAGAACTTGCTCTCCGATATGAACAAGGCATTCCATACCATCTTCAAGAACATGGGCACTGCCTTCCTCCCACACTGGGAGGGCTTGATGGAGTACTACAAGGCAGCCGTTGTCAACCAGGACCCTACTCAGCGTCAATGGGCCATCTGCATCTTTGACGACGTTCTTGAGTTCTGCGGTCCTCAAAGCTGGGCCTACAGCTCTCACATCATCCAGCCTCTCATCGATGGCATGCAGGACGACGTCCCAGCCAATCGACAAGCTGCAGTGTACGGTGTTGGTGTCGCTGCCCACAAGGGTGGAGAGGCCTATTCGGAGTTTGCCGCCGCCAGCCTACAGATGCTCTTCCAGGTCTGCCAAAGGCCCACTGCCCGCGATGACGACGATGTGTTCGCTACTGAGAACGCATGTGCCAGTATCGCCAAGATCCTTCACTACAACTCCTCCAAAGTACAAAACTGGCAGGATATTGCCAACGCATGGTTCGAGACACTACCCGTGACGAACGATGAGGAGGCCGCTCCTTATGCATATGCTTTCCTAGCCCAATTGATCGACCAGTAAGTTCCACTACCCATATATAGAAACCTTCAATCTTCCCCGTAGAACATTTAAACTAACGTTACCACCTCTTCCAGACAAAACCCAACCGTAATCAACCAAGCCGCCAAAGCCTTCCAATACGTCGCGCAAGCCCTCGAGGCCGAGACCCTCCAAGGCCAGACCGCCAACCGCGTCGTCGCCGCCACCAAGGCTCTCGTCCAGGCCACCGGCGTGGATCTCGCCCAGGTCGCTGGCACGCTCACTCCCGAGCAGCAGCGCACCGTGCAGGCTTACTTCAGCTAAAGGCGATTTTCTTCTTTCAAGGCGACGATTGATTGATTGACGACGCTGCTACTACTTGTTTTGGGAAAATGGCGACGGGATGGGATTGGAGGTTTAGAATAAACTGAGTATGCATTGGAATAACGACGACGATGATGACGAACGCGATTGTCCACACACACTTGTGACATTGGAAAATAGGATGGATGACGGGAAGGAAATCACCCCTTAACAACACCCAGCAAGACAGAGAGAGAGAGAGAGAGAGAGAGAAAGAGATAATACCATATAGTAGAATGAAAATTACCACACCTTTTTTAGACATCTTGTTATGCATATATGATGACATGTCTTTCTATTGACCATATAAATATACATTTCCCCCAAAAAACGAAAACAAACAGATAAGTTTTCTTTGCTCAAAAATTATCATCAAATGCAGCAAGCACCACTAATTAATTGTTATTTTTTTTTTTTCCCCTCTTCTTTCTTTTTCTCCTCCTGCAAGACGTTCGATTCGAAACCAGTCCTTACGTGACGACCAAGTTGGTTTTCACACCCATATTTGTGTATCATTAACACATATATAATATTCTAACGCGCGCTTCATCCTGAATTTTACCATAGCTGCGTACTCATTCATGTGACCCTCCGCCCTCGTCTTCAATTGAAAAAAAAAGAAAAGGGAAGGGAAGGGAAGGGAAGAGTACTACTACTGACGTACAGACGAGGGAGTGAAGTACCTTTCTGTACCCTCTCCCTCTGCCTCATTCTTTGTGATGTGAAGACCACAACATTAATTAAGTACGGACGATGATATTCACAGTACAAACAAACTATCATTGCATTTCATTTCATTTCATGACCTGACCTGACATGTCTTTTGGAATATGATTTCATTTTCGATTCAAAGGATATATTATCATTATAAAAAAAGGCCTCCCACCCCCCTCTTTCCCCCCTCCCCTCCTCCCCCCCTCGCTCTCATGCATCGTCTTTCTACGCACCCTCGCTGCCAAACTCCTTGGTCCACTCGGAATTCCTCGTGAGGTCTTCCCTGCTGACGGTCGGCCGCGATGCCTTGATGGCCTTGACGAAGTCCTTGACGCGTAGGGGGGGCTCGGCGAGCTGGTCGCCGTCGAGGTCGGTCCACGACATTTCCTTTGCTTGCGGGTCGCCGGGGGAGCAGGGGGTCCATTTCGGGATGCCGTTTTCTTCGACCTGTTGTGTCATTTCGTGTTAGTGAGGGAAATGTGGTTGAATGAGTGGGGGAAAGGAAGAGGGGGAGGGGGTACGTACGGGTTTGTAGTGCGTTGCTGTTTGGATTAATCGGACGGGTTGCATGAGGGCGTCTTGCACGGCGATGGAGATGTCGCTTCCGGAGTAGCCCTCGCTCAGCTCGGCCAGCTTCCTGTAGTCTCCTTGGTTGAGCTCGCAGGGCGTGCTGCCGACCGCGAGTTCGAACATCTTCATCCGCGCCGGGAGGTCGGGTAAGCTGATGTGGACTCTTCGCTGGAAACGTCGTCGGATGGCTGCGTCGAGTTGCCAGGGGATGTTGGTCGCGCCGAGGATGAGGACGCCCCGTGAGTCTTTTCCTACACCGTCCATTTGCACAAGCAGTTCCGTCTTGATACGTCTGGATGCTTCGGATTCGCCTTCGCCACGGGGTCCGCACAGGGCGTCGATCTCGTCGATGAAGATGATGGAGGGCTTGTTCTCACGAGCCATGCCGAAGAGTTGTTTCACCAATCTTGGAATCTATGTTAGCAAAAACGTAGCAAATGTGTCGTCACAGCGTCTTACCTCTCAGACTCTCCCATCCATTTACTGACCAAGTCGGAACTTGACACACTGAAGAACGTGCTGTTTGCTTCCGTCGCCACCGCCTTCGCCAGATAACTCTTACCCGTACCAGGAGGTCCATACAACAGGATACCCTTCCACGGTTGTCTTTTGCCAGTGAACAGGTGGGGGAACTTGATCGGTAATATAACGGCCTCCTTCAGTGCTTCCTTTGCGTTCTCGAGACCTGCCACGTCCTCCCATCGGATATTTGGTTTCTCGGAGAGAATGGCGCCGGCGAGCGCGCCTCGTAGCTTCTTGGAATCGGCATCCTCGTTGTCGTCGTCTCCGTCTCCCCTGCGCCATACATACATTAGCATTTCTCGTTACAGCAATCCACCAGGCAACCAAAGTTGGCAACGTACGATCCTTTCCCGCTTCCGCCTGCCGACTTGCCATTCGCGCCTATGGCCCCGGGCTTCTTCCGATTCGCGTCGTCGTTCTGGTTCAGATGCGATTTGAGTTTCTCCGCACGCTCCATGTACTCTGCGACCTTGCCTCGGATCATCTCCTTCGACTTTGGGTTCTTCTCCCCTGCTCCGTTATCAGTACGTTTCCTTTCGATAGGGACCCGTTTGGGGGATGCGTAAGAGGGGTAAACCTACATTTCAGCGCAAGCATGAACAGCTCCACTAGAATACCAATCAGTCATTAGCTCTTCTGTCCTCTTCCCAGAACAAATAGGATTCCCCAGGGAAGGGAATGGGATATAGGAGCCTCTTACAAGCACTGTAGTATAGCTGGTACGCCTTCTCATATTCGCCCGCCGTGTCCGTCTCAATGGCCTTCTTGACCGTCTCGATGGCGCGGCCGAGGAAGTCCGCGTTACTCATGGTTAAATGTATTCCGTGCCCGCCTTTTTCTGTTCGCTTTTCCTTGGCCCGGTGAAATCCTTCTCTTGCACAAACGGAGCGTTCGATCTTTTTATATACTAGGTAGTGGTAGTTTTTCCGTGGGCGAGTGGCGAGCGGGTTGTAGAAGCGGCGTTTGCGAGAGATGGTGGTAGGTAGGAGGAATAGGTGCAGGGCGTGCGCGGGGCAAGCGTCTGTGTACACTGGAGGATGCACGTCACGGCGCGGAGTTTGCGTGATTGATTGTATGCGGGTAATTCGAAGCTCTAGGTATGGGGAACTTGCGATACGGTGGTGTATTTGTTTGGAGTTGGGTGGTGAGAGGGATTGTTGTGTGGGTGTGGGTGTGGGGGAGGGATTGTTGTAGTTGGACGGTTGGAGAAGGTAGAGTAGAAGGTGGTTGCTATGTCCTCTCCTCTCCCACCAACGAGCGACGATACGGTACGGTACCGATACGACACTACCGATGGTTGATATACTAATGACTTGTAATAACTAGGCACTTGTACCACTAATTAGGTATCCATCTAAACTAACACAAGTACCTACGAGTACTGTTTATTATACTACCTGGAAAGGCAACTCTCCCTTCTCTATCTTCTACTGTGTGTGTGCCTGGCCCAGTCTGTCGACTCTTTTTGCCCCGCGTATCCCATCCATCTAGCCCTTTCACAAACTACAAGGCATCACCACCGCCATCATCGGAATCACATATCGCCTCCCGACCGCCGAGCCGTCTACCCTAAATTTATTCCATCTACCGTCTTCCACCACCCTCCACCCACTCCCTCCTCCTCCTCCACGACAGTCTTTACTCAGCAATTACACAACAGCAAAACACAATGGCAGAAGCACAGAAGCTGCAAGCTCTTTCCGACGACTACCAGAAGCTTCAAGGCGGTACTGTCCCCCCTCCTTCTCGTAGAGATTATCCCCCCGCTAACGACAACCCTCCCCGACAGAGCTCTCCACCGCCGTCGAAGCCCGCGAGAAACTCGAATCGCAACAGCAAGAAAACACCACCGTGCAAAAGGTACCTACCTACCCTACCCTACCTACCATACACACACATTTCCTCGCCCGTACATCCCCCCAAAAAGCCACCACCGAAAACACCCCCCCCAGAAATCTCCATACTAACCAGAACCTCGAACAATAACAGGAATTCGCCCTCCTAGACGACGACGCCACAATCTACAAGCAGATCGGCCCCGTCCTCCTCAAGCAAGACAAGACCGAGGCCGTCATGGCCGTCAACGGCCGCTTGGACTTCATCAACAAGGAGATGTACGCTTCCTCACACCCCTTACACCCTCCCCCTCTTCCTTTTCCTCTCCCTACCTCGTACCCGGGAAGATGTTTATACATATAAAGCGGAGATGAGATGAGATGAGATGTGGAGACGAGGACACACAGAGAGCTGAGGTTAACGTTCATGCAGTGAGCGGTTCGAGAAGCAGATTGCGGAGATACAGGATAAGAGCGAGGGGCTTAAGATGGAGGTGAGTACACACATGCAATCTTATGGTCACCGTGGGAGGCAAGAAAGCTCACACGAACGAATGTAGATCATACAAATCCAGAGCGCGGCGCAACAGGCGCAGCAGGCGCAGGTTCAGGCGGCGGCGTAGAGAGGATACCCGTTGTCGGTTATGTGAGGACGTTGGAGGATGACGGAAAAGAAGGAAATGAAAGGAACGATGGAATATAAGGAAAAGAAAAGCGATCCCGCGAGAATGAATTTCCGAGGGAAGCTCAAGAGATACCCAATCCGCAATACAAAATAAATAAAAATCAAATATAAGAAAGACCTTACAATTGTCATATTTCATCGGGAAGACATTAAAGTGATTTGCTTTTCTTAGCCCCAAGGTACGGGCATAGGCACGAGAAGAAGAATTCGCACCATTCGAGTTGAGCAAGACCAGCCGTAGAAGAAGGAAGTCAAGACAGCATATCACGTCACATCACAATTCACAATTCAAACATTTCAATCAAGTTATAAAAAAAATCATTTCCATATTGCCATAATGTCCATAAAAAACTTTCCCCATTTCCGGTAATGTGTAACGCCGCCCCCCCCACTCAGACAAGCAGGGGAAAAGAACAAAAAGACAAGGCTCGAATAACACAAACCATCAAAGTGACCTTTCAGGATTCAAACACCCCACCATGCTTTGGGTAGGGTGGGTAGGAGGAGGGGGAGGAGTACAAGACACACCCAAATCGTCGTCGTCAATTCATTTTCCCTTTTCTCTTTATGCTCGTGTCCTATCTCTTTCGTTTTTCTTCATCTTTCTTTTAAGCATTACTCCACATAGAACGCCCCCATACCAAGGGGGGAATAGGGTAGACTAAGCTGGACAGAGGCTGAATGGAGAGAGAGAAGGAAAGGGGAATCATATTTTGTAATTTACAACTCGTCGTGCTCATCGCCATCCTTGGCAGCCTCGGTGGCCTCGGAAGCCGCCGACTTGACGCTCTCGGTGGCCTCCTCGACCTTCTCGGCGACCTTCTCGGACGCGGCGGCGGCCTGCTCGGCAAGGTCCTCCTTCTCCTCCTCGACCTCGGGCTCCTTGGCCACGGCGGCGGCAGCCTTGTGGGAGCCGTTCTCCTTGATGAACTCGGCGAGGTCCTCGACGGTGCGGGCACCGGAGTAGTCGATGGGGGAGTCCTTCTTGCCAGCGGGGAAGAGCTTGATGGTGGGGAAGCCCTGGATCTCGTCGGGGACGTCGTTGGCGGTGGCGTCCACCTTGGCGACGGTCACCAACTTGGAGAGCTCCTCAGAAGCGTAGAGAGCACCGAGCTCCTCGTACTTGGGAGCAAGAGCCTTGCAGTGTCCGCACCACGGAGCGTAGAACTCGAGGAGAACGTCCTTGTCGTTGTCGATGACGAGCTCCTGGTAGTTCTTGGCGACGACGACGGTGACGGGGCCTTCCTGCTTCTCGGGGATGGGCTCGGACTTGATGCTGGGGTCGACCTTGCCCGCGACGAAGTCCTCGACGAATTGGCCAATGTCCTTCTCGGTGAGAGCCTTCTCCTGGTCGTAGGGGTACTTCTCGTTCTTCTCGGTCTTCTGGATGGCGAAGGCGGGCCACTTGCCGACCTCGAGGTTGAGGTTGCCGGCGTGTTGGCCGAAAGCCTTTGCATCGATGGTGGCGAAGTTGATGACGCCCTTGTGCTTCTGAGCGAGGGGCTTGAACTGCTTGGAGAGCTCCTCGCGCTCCTCGGGGGTCTCGGCGAAGATGTAGGCAAGGGGAATGCCAGCAGCCATGTAGCCGCTGTAGGTCTCAGGACCGACCTCGCCGATGAGGGGAGTGGCGGCGACCTTGGCGAAAGTCTCAATGGCGGCCTTGTCGAACTTCTCCGTGTAGACGTCCTTGCCATCATCGAAGGACTTGTAGAGGACGAGGCCGGGCTGCTTGACGCCCTCAGCCTTGGCGAGCTCAGCGTCGTTGGTGGCTCCGAAGAGGTAGTCGTCACGGAGGCCGTTGGCGACAGCGGTGAAGGTCTCGTTCGAGGCCTTGTCATCGGCGGCGAAGTAGGCGACGAGGACGACCTTGTCGGCGGTCTTGAACTCCTCGATGGTGTCCTTGGTGATGTCGGATACGGCAGGGAGCGATTGCTTCGTCATGTAGGAGACAATGCTGTATAATATGTTAGCGGAAATGTCGAATGCTTCATGTATATTCATAGAACGTACGCATCTGCTTTCCTCTGGCCACCGTATGATGAAATGGTCTCGGGGCCACGGAAGACCTTGAGGGTGGGGTAACCCTCGACACCATATTCCTGGCAGAGATCCTGCTCCTCTGTGCAGTCGACCTTGACGAGTGGGATATTCTTCTCCTTGAGGGTTGTGGCGGCGGACTCATACTCGGGGGCGAGGGCCTTGCAGTGGCCACACCATGGTGCGAAGACTAAGAGCTCAATGGTTAGCTTGGGGAACAGCTTGATTGGAAGCTTTGAATGGTTAAAGCTAGAGGAGACTTACACTCTGCGAGGACGAGGTCGTTCTCCTCAATGAAACCCTTGAAGGTGTCCTTCTTGAGGTCGTGGACGTCGGAGGCGAGCGCAACGCTGGCCAACAGGGCACAGATGGGCACGCTGAAGCGCATTGTGAGTGATGTGTGGAGGGGGAAGGACGAGAACAAGGGCAAGGACAAGAAAAAGGAAAAGGAATGGGAAGGTATGGGGAGGATTGAAAAGGTTGTGTATGGTCTGAGGCGGAAGGAAGAGAGGGAAGAGGAGAGCTTTTGTAGAGGAATTGGGATTGGAGCTTGAGAGGAAGGCGGTGGGGACTTTATTATAGAGGAAGTGAAAGGTACTCGCAGAATGGTAGTCAAGTACCAATACTAAGTAACTACAGTGAAGTGGTACCCGGGGGCGAGGGAGGAGGGGCGGTGATTGGCGGTGATTGGCGATTGGCGTTTTGGATGGTGGATTGCGAGAGACGAAGACACAGTGTCCACAATGTTCACCCACAGTTTCCCATCCACCACCACCCAAGAAGAGTAACTCCAACTAACCAGGTACACAACTGCACAGCAGAATAGAGTGACGGCTGAGCTGACAATCCCCACCCACCAGTAACAGGACATTCACCTCCGCATACCCTTGCCCTGTGCCCCTGCTCGCCTTGAACTGCTCGCTTTCCATATCACACATACGGTCCATACCATACAGAGTCCATACCCATGTCTATGGACACGTTCACCTCAAAAAGACAGTAATAACCTAACAATCAATCAATTATATTGGGGATAATACCAGATATCCAAGCCTATGCTCTTGGTTCCCCTTTTCAATGCAATCTTCTAGTTCCGAATGACTTCCCATTCCCGGGTTTTCTCTTACTCGTAGTAGCTGTAATCGTTGTACTGTACGGAGTAGTAAAGCCTTTGTGTAACATTGCCTGCTGTGATTGTCACACGTGCTATTTCTAATAGCTACCTAGATATCTAAGATGATCTCCGTACAAGATAAACGAAATACGATAAATAAGTAATACTTACTAGGTACGGAGCACGTAGATACAAGCACGCAAAGAGGCAAAAGCGCCTCAATATCAACTTCTTCACTTCCCAATTGGGTTTAGCTCTCAAACACTCAAAGACCCTGTAACTTTACCAACCTCTTCGACCAGTATGGACTATTATTAATATAACAGGAACAGGAACAAGAACGAGAACAAGGGAAGACAAAGACGATGCGGCCCTTCAATAGACTCTCTCCCTTTTACTCCATCTTCGACTTGTCTCTCTTAGGCAACACGCCACCATGTTCTCGCCATCAAGCCATGTCCAATCTACCACTAATTACTAGACCCTCAAGAAGACACATGGTCTTCTTTGGCGCATACCTAATACCGTCCACCATAAGACAGGATTATCACATAAGATACTCCGTACAACAGCACCTGCACACCTACATAATTTCGTGCGCGCCACAGTCCACGCCGCCGTAGTTCGTTTGATGTTCTCCGGAGTTTTCACCATCAAGCAACCAACTGATAAGTTCCGATGGTTTCACACGTTCTGTAACATGCTGCGGACAACCGCCCGTTGTATAAGCCCCACAGGCCGCGGAAAACATAGAAAACCCACCATAAGCCAATCATGGCTGTACTGGAATCCTCAATGCGTGGCATTGACGAATACAATCATCGCGAGCATTTCCTCATGTGCGGGCGGAAACAGCCTGTGCCTGACCCTGTGCCTGGCCCTTTTCCTGAGCCTCGCACTGCACCACATGCAACACTGTATCGCCCTGTGGAGATAGATTCCCATCGGTGCAGAAATGTACTTGATTCAGTAATCAGCAATTACTTGAGCATCCGTTGCCGAGTATGCCCTGACTCGATCACCAATGAGTGACAAAGGAACCACAGGACCATTTCTAATCAGGCACGTCAGGGTCTTGGTAGGCATGTTCATCGCCACAAGCGGCACTGTTCCGGACACATTCCACCCAGCTCAGCTTCCGCGCGCGAACTCATCAGCAAGTAATCAACTAATCATTCCTATTAGATGCTTTAATGCTCCGGCTTCTCGAAGAACAAGATCTATTCCTTAGGCTGACCATAGGGTTCTCAGATTTATAAGGCGACAACTCTCCAACTATCGACTTGCTGGATCACGTGAGACTACCATATGATTAACAACAACCTCATTCATGAAATTTCACACATCAAACTATAGTGATCAACTCATCGAATTTCTGATTCTCCTCGTGGTTCAAATTATATTAACATTAATCCAGCATTGGCTCTATGCCGCCGCCTCGACACGCTTTGCCTGTGGCTCGGCCTCTCCCGTCTCTTGCAACTTCCTCAACCTCTCTTCCTCCTTCCGCTTCATCTCCTGCTGAATTCGAACTCTGGCCGGAACAAGTCTTTGTCTCTCCCCCTGTATTCTCCATCCCTCGAGTCTGTCTTTCCCTACCGCCTTCATGGTCTTCTTTTCCACTACACTATAATTTCCATCTTCTCGATCAAACACGAATGGCTCCTTCACGCTGACTGGCGGGTTCGTAATAACCCTAACCTTACGCAATTGGTTGTTACTCGCAGAATGCAGCATCAAAGGATGCAAAAGATACACATCTCCCACGACACCAGTTGCCTCAACAAACGCTTCATCCGGCATTGACTTGGCCACCTCACAGCACCACCTCAACCCTTCCTCCTGCTTGAACTCCGGGTTCTCTGCACGAATAGTCATGCGAGGCGAAACTCCTTCCGGGTGCTCATAGAGGTGTTTGGCGATGATATCGATGGCCGGAGGACATATCAACGTACCACCACCATTGGGCTCAATGTCTGACCAAAGCGGAATCACCAATAGCGCCTGTTCGGGTGAATCGAGATAGTGCACAAAGAAATCACCATCCACATGCCAGCCGTCTAGTTCCTGCGGCTTGATTACCTTGTTATGACCAGCCGGTGTGCCGAGATTCACGATGAAGCCGTCTTTCCACGTAGAAGCCCCAGGATCGACCCTTTCAGCGCCGCCGAGCAGTGAGCATATGCCTGTCACAAAAGTTAGCAATCCGCTGCCAATTTAACGAGGATATAGTCGAAGTGGGATCTAATCTTACCGCCCCATGCCTTCGGTGCGAATTCCTCGACAGAGAATGCATTAAACCAAGGCATGTTCGTTCGTTCCGTACGCCTATCCAACGCTTTGTTTAATCATCGAAGCAACAGTAGCCTGATTGGAGGAAATCTTACCAAGTCGACATGTCATTTGGATCCATCCCCAATCTCGTCCACATAGTAGCCTGAAGCTCCGCGGCTTGTTCCCGCGTGAAGCAGTTGGTCAACTTGACCCAGCCATGTTCAAGGAAATGGTCGATTTCCGACTGGGACATTGCGTATTGTTCTTTTTCTGCCATCATGGAACGAAGCAACAGATCAGTGTGTAATGTTTATTATATGCTGTTGAGAACCATAATATGTGCTGTGTTTGCAGGGTAAACACCTCGTATACTAGTGCTTAGGGAAGTAACAAAAGCATGTAAAGCGCGACAGTATCAAAAACCACCGGAAGTACAGCAACCCACCGGGGGATTTATACTTCCATGCGCCATATTCCCAATACCGTGGAACCTAACCTTTCGTATATCCGATCATTCGTCATGGAACGAAAGTACGATATCCGTTGGCAATTTAACCGGTCGATCCGACCTACCATACAGCAAAACCACGTGGTGGCTGTCCCGTACAACTCGTTGTAACGTGGGGAAAATGCAACCTATGGTCAACCTATGGTGGGGTTATTCTTGTGTGTGTGATTCGAACCCATTACATATCAGGCAATTCCATTCCGATGCAAGGATGTGATTTTGTTGATCTCCTTCTCAACCTAGCGGGATATTGATCCCGTCGTGCCGCCAACCTACCAAGTGTTGGATGTCGTAACTTGTCCTAGAACCAACGGCTACATGAGTCACTCCGCAGCATTGATGGATACACATTCTTCGGCATCAAGCAGCCCATTTTCATATTCTTCAAAGATTGGGAGAACGAAATTTCCCACCTGGTGGCGCCTTGGATATCTAGATGGGCTTTACGCCAGCCACACATCCTTTTCATGGTATAGGTACATCTGTAATTATACAACCATCTTCTCATCTCGAAGTTCACCACTATCTTCGAACCTCACTCTATCAACTCTTACATCCTTATCAGACGTCGTGTCTGTCTCAGCGATGGTACTTACCTCATCGTCGCCCTCCTTCCACCCCATTTCCAAATCTCCATCTCCTAGTCCCTTCAGCGGTTCGAGTTGACGGAATTCCTGATGTGAGGACTCAGGCGTGTCACATTGAATACCACCATCGTCACTAGCTGGTACACCTATCGTCCGACCTTTTCCTGTCTTGCGGCCGGCGTACGTTGTGCGGGTAGACGTGACGAGCCTGTCCAGATGAAGACCTCTCGCGACCATGCGGAACAGAGGTTTGAAAGATAGCGCGCAGGCCGCGAAAAGATAGAGACCCGGCTCAACGATTGTCCAGGTGATGAGTTCAACGGTTTTGACTGTCGGTGAATATTAGTCTTTGTCTTCCCCTACGGATACCTGGGTGAAACTGAGAGATGTCCAGTCTGGGGTTGAACGAAGGTATACATAGGAAAAAACTGACAAGTAGGATCATCCAATGGATCAACCCTCCCAAAAACAACAGTTCTAGCAATAGACGCCACGATCCCAATACCACCTGTCAAAAATATACACATAAGGCCCCACCGCCTGCCCTTCGATATCTTCAACTCCATAATCGTCTTGACTGGGAGCACCAGCACCGCGACATCAGTCACAATATTAGGCACACTACTACTCGTCGCGAAGGCCTTCACATTGAAGCACCGACCACCTGGAATATTCTTGTTCCAATTGAAGGCGAAAGGAACGCATTGGAACATCGTCGCGATGGTGTACGACAGCCATGTCGCGCCGATGACGTAAATCAGCATCCAGGTTGCACGGCGAGCCCACTTTTCCGTGAAGATGCGAAGGTACAGAATGACGACGCAGAGTTTTGGGATGGCCACGGCAGGGAAGTGGAGGATCTCGCAGAGCATTGTTCCTTTGAAATGCTCTATAATCATAGATTCGTCTTGCGTCACGACGTAGGCTAAGTGCCGGCCGGTCCCCGCGGTTTCCACCATTACTGTTCATCGCTTTCAGTTTCGAGGGGTAGAGATTTGAAGGGTTTTGGGGATCGTACCGATTCCAGTGATGCAGAGTCCCACCTCAGCGAGCCATGCAAATGGAATGAGGACATCTTCGATCCCGAACTTCGTATGCGTCAGGTACCGTGCCCAATATCTGAGTGCAACGAACGCAGTCGACAGGACGATGAACACGCAACTCGCAGCTATCAGGTGTGGCCCTATAGTCTCTGCCAGAAATTCCGGTGAAGGCGGCAATGGACCATTAGTTTGAAGCGACGTTGGCGGCACGAAACCAGCCATACTACGCTTTCAATTCAATATAAAAAGCAAACGAGGGGACGGGTTGACTGCCAGCGCCAACCATGGGAGAGGAATCTATCCAACGAGTGTAAGGTGAGCAAATCCAGGCTACCCATCCCAAAGCCATGCGGATCCCTCATGGTCAAATACTACGCGCGACAAGAGAGAGGAAGGATTGAGAAATGAGCTGGTTGCATTTCCGCGGCATATCACATGGTCGAGTGATATGTGGCTTGGTATTCTGGGGTGCAGACGCTCGGAAGCGCTCATGCAGGCGCGCTGGGCGCAGATGGAAGCCGAATGTGCAGACTATATGCCTAGGTGTGTATGGCATGGGACAGCTGTTAAGCGAGGGCATTGACGACGGAGATCATGGATGTAGAGGCTGGCAATGAACGTGTTGTTCTTACTGACAGCGCGATTGACATAGCGATCTCTGACAAGGTTCTTTTCTGCGAGGCTGGCCGCATCAACGAGGAATTCATAGCATAACCGCGCTCATGAGATTCGAGTACCGATTGGACAATGTAGTGTGATGAGAATCTCTGGGGGGGAGAGAGCCTGAGATGAAGGGGTCAGTGTCAGAAACGGCGTTCTGCGAGAACGCATAGCGACGTACGGTAGGTACCCATGCCGGCATTTCGAGTGACTGGAAAGAACTCGTCGGATGGGATTCTCCGCCTGTTCTATCAGTGTGAATCACTTTCCAGAGTCCTTCTTTCTCCTGAGGGACATCTGCACAGATGTATATCACGCTGTTGGTATAACCACTCCAACGCGCTTCTATTCGTGGTTGGCGAAAAGTCGGCACTTGCTCTCCATGACATTTTGTAAACTCAAAGTTTATCCACCTAGTCTTGTGTATTTGGGTCAAATATACGTCTGCATCGGGGCCTAGCATTAAAACGTCTTTCAAGTTCGGTCGGCATTTCATGCATTAAATGTGCGACCTCAAACGTGCGTTGGGAGGAGGGGGTGGGAACGGGCCGCACCTGCAGCTGAACCGTTGAACCAACCCAAAGCGATCCGGCGAGGGACTCCGTCTTGCACTTCACAGCGACCATTTCGTCCTGTGCGATATCAAATATCTATCGAGTAACATCGATGGATGCATTTCTCGTCTGTTTTCCTGTTTTTCTTATGTCATTGTCGTGTTGAGTGTTGAGCGTAAAACTTCATGCACTCTCAACCCTAATTAAACGTGAATATGTAGGAACGAAGGAGGAACCGATGAAATGTCATGCAGAGCAATATGTAGTAGACGTCAAGTCTCACCAACCAATCAAATTCTGTGATATCTGAGTACTACTGGACGCAAGACGGGAATATATTTTTATGTAGTTACATACACCATAATTATGCAATATACAATGAAAGACCTGTCATTCTTTTGCATCACTTCCTTGAGCATTCTCAATCTTGAGTGTGGTGTTGATCTTGTAGTGTTGGAATTGGACAGCAGGAGTGATGATAAATGAAATGTTGCTGAAGTATCCTGTTTTTTTTTCTGGAAATTGAACTGATGGTTAACTCTGTCTGAAAAAGTATAGTATGCGTTTAATATGTCAACCTGTGGGACGACTGCTATTTGACAGATGTGTATATCAATAGGAGAGAGCCATAGAGAAGACATGGAATCAGACTATGTAGAGACCTGATTGTCACTGATGTTCCAGTAGACAATTTGATCTTTGAATTCATTATTATACATTACCAGTCGTTCGTTACTATTAACTTTACTATAATCATTACCACTTACACCCCTCCCTCCAATCTACTGCTTTGCCTCCTTAAACCTAAGCTTCACCCCATCCGCCGGACTCATCGTCAACGTCAACCCATACCTCAACCAGCCCAACCCGCCCGTCTCCTTACTCTGCCACGTATTCCCCACGCCCACCACCTCCTCGAACCTCTGCAACAACCTCACAACCACATACCCAGCCTCCGTCAGCGCAAACTGCTGTCCAATACAGATCCTCGGCCCGCCATTGAACGGCAAGTACTCGAAACCCTGCCTCTTCCCGTCCCACCTCTCCGGCCTGAACACGTCCGCATCCTCGCCCCAGTAGTCCCGCAACCGGTGCATGATGTACACACTGTACTCGACCGCCATGCCCTTCCGCACGTACACCGGCGCCGTGCCGTCCGGCCCTCCGCCAGTCGGCAGCGACGTGTCGCGCACTGCGCGGCGGCTGTTGACGGGGACGATCGGATGCAGCCTTAGCGTCTCGTTCAGACACCACTGGAGGTACGAGCAGCTTTTCAGCCGGGCAAACGAGACGTCGCGCGGGTGGTCGTAGGAGCCGAAGTCGTCGAGGACGAGGGCGCGGAGCCGGCGGAAGACGGAGGGCTGCTTCGCGAGCTCGATGAAGAGGAAGGAGAGGAGGCTGGCTGTCGTGTCGCGCCCGGCGAGCAGGATGTTGAGGAGCTCCTGGCGGAGTTCGGCGGGGTTGTCGGTGGTTTCCGCGAGGGCGGAGAGGAAGACGTATTTGGGTTTGCTGGGCCCGGTTCCTTCTGTTGTTGTTTGGGGTTCTTTGATGGTGGGAGGGTTTTTCTTCTGGGCGAGCGCGCGGTTGATGTAGTGGTCGAGGAAGCCGTGGCATGTGCGGCATTCTTTGCGGAACTCGTCGTCGTATGCCATCCACCATAGCGTGTCGAGTCTCATGGCTTTCGACATGTAGCGCTGCGCGCGATCGAACGAGGTAGCGAAGTCGCCCTCGTTGAAGGCCACTGGGCTGAATTTCGCCAGTGGCCCGGGGAGGTTCGCCAGTTGCGATCCCACCGTCTCGCCGAAGAGGAATTCGGTCGCCGTGTCGAGCGTGAGCCGGAAGAACAGCGTCTTCATGTCCGTGACGTCGGTCCAGCCGTCCGGGTTGACGGGCAGCGCCTGGAGCATATTCTGCACATGTCGCTCCTCCAGCTCGAGATCGCTGACCTGATCTCGGACGAATTGGGGACGTAGCAGGGCGCGTGAGTGCTCCCATTCCTTACCGTCATTGGCAAACTGTATGGCAGATTAGCGAATTGTCGTTCGAGATATCATGAATCACAGCCGCCACTACTACTCACAATGCCCCTTTCAAGCAAAGGGAAAAACGACTTCCTCCGCACCTCCCCAAGCTCAAAGTCCTTGAACTTGGTCGCGAGGATCGTCTGCACGTTCTTCGGATCAACCGTGAAGATCAGCTTCGCGCCGAACAGAAACTGATAGAACGTCGCCGGCTTGTGTGCCCACGCATCCATGCGCCCGACCGTGCGGTCGTACAGGTAGTAAGGCAGATAGTACCCCTTGTCGGCCCTCATGAGGTTGCGGAGGTTCCCCAGGCTGAAGAAGTCGCCTTCACGCAGCATCATGGGTCGCTGGCTGCCGAGCTGCCGCATGTTGGCGCGGATGCGGCGCTCGTTCACGCACCATAGGAGGAACTTGTAGGTTGTGAAGATGCAGAGGCCGGTTATTGCCCATACGAGTGAGATGTACATGGTGGTGGTGGGTTAATTGATGCTTGCCCGCTCCCCTTGTGCGTGGTGTTGAAAGATCAATTGGAAATAGACCACACACTCAGTCAGTGTGGATTCTATCAGGAGAAGAAAAAGAATCGCGTCGCGTTACAAAACTTCGCTCATGTAAAAATGTCGAGAACAATTGAGAGGTAGCGATTAGTGATACGTAGAAAACGATAATAGACGATAGGGCTTTAGTACCATGTATATGCATCAGGTACCTGACCCGTTCAGGCGGCTAGGCCATGGCAGGACTAGCATCTCGTAGTCTTCACTTGAATATTATTCTACCAGCCCCATTATTCGCTCTGTGGCGCTCCACTTCTGAAACAACACCACGACATAGTTGCATACCTGGGTAGCTGTACAGTTGCAGAAAGGAGACTCGGATTCGGATTCGTCCGTCCGTTTGTTCCGTGTAGGATTGTCATAACATCTGTTGAGAAGATAAACAACTACTCTGTACTTCGTGTTGTGTGTGCAATGACAAGGTATACAAGAATCCTATAGATTTGAAACTCAACTTTCGATCTTTTCAAAATGGTGGTTGGGCTAATAGGGGCTCACGGCTATCATGCAAGTAGATATCACCGTACCGTCCCCTGATGCCGGCAGGCTGCAGCCTAGTTTTCTCGCAACAATGTACGGGTACTTGCGTCGTAGTGCTTACGACGAGGTGGTTCTCTCGACCGTGCTCGCCCGTTTCTCCTTCGGATGCACTGTTTAGGGTGAATCGTTCGTTTGTTGTGTCGGCAGCTTTCGTACTCGTAGGATTTCGACGCTGTACTCCGTACTGATAAGTAGTACGTACGTACCTTGACGTAACGATAGTAACGATTCATATATCGCAAGCATTGCCAGAGTTGGGCGTGGAATGACTTGCAGCAGAACGGTATTCCGCTTCGCTGCCGATTTGAAGAAGTGCAAGCGAGTAGTAGTATCCAAGATATTGGATCGATGAGTGGCTGTTAGAAACCCCTTCGCTCAGCGAATAGGTGAAGTCAATGATCTTATGTTCATATAGCCAATATCAGTAGAGATACGATCGTGAAAAACATAAACATTGCATGCCTATCAGGCTAGAAAATTGGCACACGGGCATCGCACATGGCAATCGCTCCACCCGTCCATCCCTTGATGTCCATGTCCCACCCAATTCCAATTCATGATGCAACATACCCAGAACGCCATCATGCCCCATCCCATCATCACCTTGGTCATCACCCTATGTCTTGTCGGTAGAAAGAATATACAATATTAAAAGCCGCCATCGGTGCTCGTTCCATCTACGCTCGCCCGGTGATGTAGTCTTTGTTCTCAATCGTGACACTCTTGGTCTATTGAATTCAGTCAGTCGTGCGTTGCTCAAGGTTCGAAAGAAATTGCTTACCATGTGATTAACCTTGTATACACCGACTAAACGAGCAGCAAGCTCAAACATGTTGTTTCGGAGTGAGATGACGATGAATTGTGCGTTCTTGGTCCTCTCTTTGATGTACGCTGCAACAATCGAAACCTAGTAAAGAGGTCAGTCGCAGACACGGAAGTCTAAATCCCACAAAAAACTTACGTTTCGGAAATCCAAAGCTGCGTCAATCTCGTCCATGACGTATAGCGGTGTTGGCTTGTAGTGATGTAGTGCAAACACCAACGCTAGAGAGCTCAGCGTCTTCTCTCCACCTGACAGATTGCTGATATTCCTCCAGCTCTTCTTGGGAGGCATGACGCTGAAGAGAATTCCCTCAGAGAATGGGTCCAGACTGTCGACGAGCTCCAACTCAGCGTTGCCACCCATCGTGATCATCTGATACATCTCCTTCAGGCGCATGGAGATTTGCGAGAAGCCTGTCATGAAGCCCTCGAGGCGCAAGTGGCGCAATTCATTGGTTCGACTGCGCGCAGCATCACGAGCAGCAACTGCGCTGGCCAAGTCCTGGGAGCGAGCGGCATGTTCCTCCACCCGTTTTCGGTATTCGGCCAAGACAGACGTGTCAACCGAGACATTCTCGTTCTTCTTTTCGAGGCTGGCGATTTCACTCTTCAAGTCATCTCGGTCGATATCTTGCAGTTCATCCTTTGTGAAGGTTGGTATCCCGTCGGACTCTTGTTCCTCACCGATGTCGCTAAGGCTCTGGTAGTTGAGGTTTCCGAGCTTGTCCTGGAAGGCACGCTGCTTCCGCCGGAACTCCCCAAGGTTATTCTCGCCCTCTTCCAGCTTATTGCGCATTTCGATCTCGATGCCACGTGTTTTCTGAAGCTCGGCCTTTCGCTCGTCCAGCTCCTTCTTGAGCTCTTGAAGCTCCTCTTTCCGCGTCTCCAAGGCTTCCTGTGCCTCTTCTGCACGTTCCCTTGTGCCCTCAACGTCCCGCTTTTGCGCCTCCATGTCTTCTTCGACCTTTTCAATTTCGACGGCGAGCTTCTCCAATTCTTTGGAGGCATCGGCGAACGACTTCTCGTGCTTCAGCTTTTGTTTCTGAACCTTCGACCTCGAGATCTCCGCACTAGAGGCCTCGTCAGTCAACGTGTCGATCCGCCCTTTCAACAGAGCGACTTTAGCATTCTGACTACGAAGCTTGACGCCGCCAATCTCCATGATCTTGTCCTGAATCGCTTTGATCTCGGCCTCTATATCAGCAGTCTCTGCATGCAGCTTTGCGACCTCCTTTTCCGTGCTTGCGATGCTCTTCTCCAGCGCGGATATGCGGGCCTTGTCTGACTTAGTGCTAGACTGCTCGGCACTGAGTTCTTCGATGCGCCGCTGAGAATCTGCAATATTGCGATCAAAGCTGTCCAACTCGAGGGCAAGCTTCTGGGCTTTGGTCTCAAGTTTAGGAATTTGATCCCGTAATTGACGTAGGCTCATCTCCAGCTCACGATGCTGTTGCTGAATATCGGCAAAGGCCTGCTCCAGTGCGTCGCGATCTTGCTCCAACTTGACGACTTGCTCCTTGGTAACATCCGAAGCGAGCTTCGAGGACATTCCGCCTTTTGCAACCCGAGTGCCACCACCGCTCATAGTACCAGATTTGTCTATGAGCTGGCCATCCAGAGTCACTACTCGCCAACGCTTCGCACCATAAGCAATGCGGTTTGCTTGTTCAAGGTCTTTCGCGACGAGCGTGTTCTGCAAGACACTGTAGAAGGCAGGGCCGAACCGATCATGCTTTGGCTTCACAAGATCGAATAGGCGAGGGGCATTCTCGGGCGTATCGATTTGGCTGAGATCTCGACGAGCAAGTCGGTCTAGAAGGATGAAGTTGGCTCGTCCGAGATTGTTCTTCCGCAAGTAGTCTATGCACTGTTGGCCAACTTCCACTGTGTCGACTACCATGTTTTCTAGTTGCGGGCATGCCGTGGAAATGGCTACATCGTATCTTTGATCAATTGTGCCGAGGTTTCCGAGTCGACCATGGAAGCCATTGATACGCCCGGAATCTTTCAATCGCATCAGGCCCGAAAGGACGTTGCCTTGATTTTGTGTTGCTGAAAGACTCGCACGAGCCTCGTCCGCCTTCTGCCTGGCTCCAGACAATTTCGATTGCAGAGCAGGTTCTCGTTTAATCAAATCATCGATCTGCGCCTGGACGTTATCCGCCTCCTCTTCAACCCGATCTTTCTCGTTCTTGCAGTCGTCGAGTTCGGCGGCCTTTGCTTCTTTTGAAGCTTCCAAGGTTGCAATTTTCGCTTCGACCTCGGCGATGTTTTTGGCACCAGAGTTCTCCTTCTCGCGAAGAATATCAAGTTCACTCTGAGCAACTGCGATGGTAGACTGTTTTTCGTTGATCTTCGCACTCCATGGTTCCAGTGACTTTTGTTTCTCTGCAATCTCGTCTGAAAGACCTTGGGTTTTCCCTGCCAGGCTTGCACGAAGAGCGTCCAACTCCTTCTCCTCGACCTTCATTTCCTGTTCGAGCTCTGCAATCTCTTCGCTGCATCGCTCAATGTCATCTGTACATTGCTTAGAGGTCGTCTCTGCCTCGGATATTCCATGCCTGCTGCTTTCTTTAGTCTTTTCCGACTTCTTCTGCTTGTTTGCCAGGAACTTCCTTCTCTCTTCAAATTTGAGGGCCTCCTTCTCGAATTTTGACATTTGATCTAGGACTTCCTGAGTCTGTTTCTCAAGCTTCCCACACTCCTTCAACCCTTTCGCATGTTGCCGGTCGAGGGATTCGATCCCTTCTTCGTTGCCCTTGTGCTTCGCGAGTTCTTCCTCGAGCTGAGCTTTGAGTTGGTTGACTGACTCCTCCGTAACTTGAATATGATCATCAAACTCAGATATGTATAACTGGTACAGTGTCGCGCGCTTGATGGCCAACTCATTTTCGTCGCGGAGATAGGCTAGCGCTTTGTTCTTTTTCTCTTCTAGCCCACTCTTCTCTTTCTCCACATGCTGTACACGGTTGCTTTTCTCTGTGCAGACTTCGTTAAGGGTTTCGGTTTCTGCGGCAGCCTCCTCGATGGGGGTCTTGTATTTAGAAGTGCCAATGATATCCTCCAAGTATTCAAGGAGGCCATCGTCATGTTCACTGGCAGCTTTAGGCTTCATCTGCGCAATGGATTCGACTTCACCCTGTAAAATCAGGAAGCGTTTATGGTCAAGGTCAACGCCTCTATCCTTTAGCAGGCTTGTAACGACGGTGAACGTGGATTCCCTTTTGTTGATATAGTATTTACTGGAGTTGTTCTTGAAAGCCCGTCGAGAAATGACAATGGTCGACTCTGGAACCACCTCAGTGCCCCCACCCGGTAAATCCATCACCTCTTGAAAATGCACCTCGACTTCGCAGTGATCCAGATCGGGAAATGCGGCAGAATTGTGTATAAGCGCAGATATCTTCCCCTGCCTCATCTTGCTGGCACGGAAACCAAACACAAACAACAGAGAGTCGATGACATTGGATTTCCCGGAGCCATTGGGTCCCACAACGGAGGAGAACGAGGCATGGAATGGCCCCACTTCTTGACGACCAGCGTAACTTTTAAAGTTCGTGAGAATCAAATAGGTGATAACCATGCGATTCTTTGGAACGGTGGGCTCCGGTGCAACAATAAGTCCTGCTGCTCTCTTTCGCACCAGTATATCCATTGGTTTTTCAAACACGGGATCTCGAGCATTAGGCTTCTCGATGATCGTATTTTGGATTTCCGTTTCAGGTTCAGGCACTGGTGTTCTCTCGATGATTGTATTTTGGATTTCCGTTTCAGGCTCAGGCTCAGGCTCAGGCACTGGTATTCTCTCATTGACCGCGGAATCTGTGATATCGGCCAGTGGGGTACTGGGAGTTTGAACGGGCTGGGGCTCGGGCGAGGCAGTCGGCTCAGGAGTGAGGAGATGCGAATCTCCGTCTACAGATGTCGCAGCCGCAGATACGCGAGGTTTCCTTGCACTTGGAGCTGGCTTTGTGCTTGTCCTTCGCTTCGTTGGCTCCTTCTTTATGGCCGACTGTGGCTCCGCTACCGAACTGGTAGGACTGAACATCTGGCTGGGCTCGACGCTCTCAGTGGCGCGCGGTCGCCTTCGTGGGGCAGTGGGTTTCGGCGTCGCACTCTCATCTGCGTTTTTTCGTGGTCGTCCACGCCTTTTCGCGGGTAAGGGTGCAGGTGTAAAGTCATCCTCTTCTTCCTGTTTGATTTGAGGGGATTGGTTCTCCTCCTCGACATCGGACGAATCGATGACGGGGGCTTTTCGTCGCGCCGTACCGGCGCGGGTTGACTTCCGCGGCGATTCTGAAGACATTATGTCTGTTGGTGTGAGATTTGGTGATTACAATGGTGGGGTTGTGTTTGGTTTGGTGCACTGTTGTGTTTGTTTTGATGCACAACACGCTAGCACGCTTGGCTTGGCAGCATTCGGCTCAGCCTTACCAGGGTCATCCGCGAAAGTGGACATGGGCGACGCAATGAACCTTGAGAAGCAAGAGAGTTGCGGTATTTACTGGTAGTCTACAGCTAAACTAATCTATTGGGGTGAACATTTCCATACCTTTCCTTCTTTCTCTTGTGACTCGGCATTGTTCTTGTGTTATCGGGTCGCCCTATAGAAGGGATGCTGCTCTGCAGGAAACTCGCCATAAATACATTGAGCTTCCCCACGTTCAAAGATCTTTACACGGCAATCTGAATATATCAAGGGAGTTTCGCTCTGGTTATTTTGTTGCTTCGTAACTTACACTGTGATCTGAAGTCTCCCTCCCATAGCCCTTGAAACTATCCACCCCGCCTCACAATCCACGACGCATGTGCCACTATATCGTTATCGACCGAAAGTGGTTAGTTTCTCCATGACGAACGCCCGAACCATCTACCCAGGAACACTCTCAGATTCTTGCACTCAAGATGCTTGCTCGACCCTAATATCCACCGTCGCCCTAAATCATGCTGAGGCGTAAAATACCTCATGGAGTGTGGCGTTTACCATTGAATGTGCGTGCGCTCTCACGTCGACATGTTGCTAGCAGAGCTAAGCCGAAAGAAAGAGGCACAACGCACTGGAAGAACGTGGAAACGGTACCAGGTTCCCTTTCAAGCGTAATCGCGGAGACGGCGAGGCGCAATTCGGGTCCGGCGAACAAAACTGAGACTGCTCGTATCGTGCCACAGATAGTGAGCAGTAAACTTTGCGGTATGTTCATGGTCGCATTACGTCGAGAAATGGAGCCCCGATGGTTGCTAACTGTTGTGTGCCATAAAACAGATGATGTTATCGATTACCATGGGCATACACTCGAAAAATATAAGGGCTGTGATATCATTGACATCAACCCCGGAGCAGGTGTCTGGACGTCCAAACTCCACGAATTCCTCCAACCGCGAAGCCATATTCTCATCGAACCAGATATCAAAATCTTCGAACAATTCCTCAAGCCGTTATTGGACAAGCCTGGATCGAAGTACAAACTGGCGCCGTACGATCCAACTGTCTTCGAATCGCTCAATCAATTGGTCAAAGATGGGTATCTACCTCACCAAAAGATGCCTGAGCCCAACGACCCACAAGCAAATGAAATCAACAATACCCTACTCGTGACGGGCACAATTGCATGGGATCCAGTCCTGCCTGGCTTCGGAGTTAGCTCCATGGCAAGACAAATTCTATATAGCTATACGGAATTGGCATGGCAAAAGCAAATATTCCACGCATTCGGTCCTACAAGGATGCTCCTTTGGCATTTAGACGAAGACTCAAAAGTCATAAATCCGAAATCGCTGAACCAGCTGGGCAGAGGTACTTTCACACTCAGAAAGTTTGCTGAGACGAGGGAAATTGTAGCACCAGGGCCTAGGGAGAGAGGGTTTGGAAGAGATGCTGTGGGGCGTGAGGCGCGTTACGAAATCGAAGGTATCGCGAAAACTATGAAAGCCATGGAATCCAGAGGCACATCGCTTCCCACGCACCGCAGGTCACTAGTTCACGATATTGTAGACGATGTTATCAAGAAAACAGATGGTACTGCGATCATGACTGTGGGAGAAACTACAGAATATCTTCGATTGCGAGCACTACAAGATCTACCAATCACAGGTCTTGTGACCAACCATGCTGTCGAATTATTCAAGTTCGCCGACGTGATCTGGCCCGGGGTGACATTTGACATGAAATTACCAACATCAAAAGCTCCAGCAAAACGAACGAAACAACCTCCCGTGTTACCCCCCCACATAGATCGAGCCGCTGGTCTTGATCTGACGGTCCGGACGAGATCATTGAGAGGGCTGGAGCAGAAAAGGCAGAAAAAGGATGCCGTAGTGGATCTAGGAGAAGCAGTGTATCAACTCGAATGCCAAATACTCAAGATGGACGATGGCAATTCCAAGACGAAGGCACTTGAGAGATTGAAAGGCCTCCAACAGAAATTCGACCAGGCGCATGCAGCCCTAGACGGTAATTACCGGACTGGCGTAAATACGGACCTGGATGATTGTATGTCACTTAGATCTGGGTTTCCCCGAATTGACTGGGACAAGCGGACTATGGAGCCTTTAGTGATGCAACCCGACGAGTTCTGGCCCGCCAATCGCATGTCGCTTTCTGATATAGAGCCACTCCCTAATTCGGAAGCTCTATCACTTCAGGATATCCAATATTTCATCGATTTCATTTACGGTCTGCTGAGTTCTATAACGGCCGACCTTCCACATGCTTTGGAAGATCTGCAATCTGGCGCCGGAGATCTCATCGAAGAGGTCCCCGCCCTTCGAGACCCTTCCCGAGGTGGGAGGTTAAGTATGGACCGCTTTCGTGCTCGGTCGTTGACTATGGAAATGGCAACTGAGCTGTTTAAAGCTTATAGGGAGTGGCCTTTCCGAAACCCAGACACTGACATCAGCAATTTCTTTAGGTCGAAGTCAAATAAACCGGGGTCAGAATTCACATTTTAGATCTCCCTAGCAATTCTAAAGTGGAGTGCCCTTGGAGGCTTGTAACAATAGTAATTGTAATAAATTGTGAATACCAATATTGCCAAAAGTCTGTGATTCAGACGTCTTTAATATACAAATGTTTCCTTTCACCAGTTTCTCTCTTGTGAATTGTAGGTATTGGCTGATCTATTTCTTCGCCTTCGAAGCAGCAGCTGCAGATGGCTTCTTCCCAGACCCTTTCTTCGCTACCTTCTCTTTCTTTTGTGCGCTGATCAGGTCCAGAAGATGATCCTCCCCAGACTGTCCGGCATCCTAGAGCAGAGTCAGATATTTGAAAATTGCCATGTGTTACCAGCAGACTTACCGATCCCTTATCTCCAGCGCTACCTGAGCTCTCTGCATCCCAACCCCGTCCGAACTTGCTTCTGAAAGCCGCCAACTTTCCGGCTTCATCCTCTTCTATGTTCAACAGCTTCTGGCTCGAAGGATTCCACAAAGGCGTGTTTTTGATATCTTTTGTAGATTTGTATACGGGAGCGGGCGACGTAGTACGGTGAACGAAGGTTGAACCATCGGAGAGGGTGATCAATTGCGTGAAGGTATATGGGCGCTTCGGTCGTCGGAGGAGTGTCGCGTGGCGGACCTGGTGTGTGCTCTGAAGATTCTGCGAGCTTTGAGAACGTATGGACTGACGCAATATGCGCAGTGCGCTGACAGAAGGAATTGGTGTAGCCATTTTGTGTGGTGTGTCGTTATGGTGGAGAGATGTCGGAGGTGAAAGGTTGAGATGCGGAGGTCAGAAAGTTGAAAGCCTTGGCGCGGTAACTTTTTTACTCGAGCGTCATGACGAACATTCCTACAATCCCGACAACATCTGGCTAGGCATTGCCAGCCTAACAACCCTGTGATAGAGAAATGAGAAGTGCTGTAGTATCACTGAACAAGTGACCAATTGCAAAAATGCCTATACCACGACGTTCTGCTGGCCGGTTTTTCGCAGCCTTTTATGACTGGAGCTGTCTTGCACGTATGCTGAAGAACTCTGATGGACTGTATGGGTAATAACATTTGTACAGAACGACCGCATTATACTTCCCGAAGCTTTACTGTTCAGCCCAACGGCGGTTGGTATTGCCAATCGCAAAGCTCTAGATCGCTCACGACTACAAGAATACATCAAACATCGGAAGGTCAGCTCCGCGCGAACACCGAGGAAGATGGCCGAATTATGTCGATTGGCTCTTCAGGTGGAGAGGCGATCTCTTCGGATACTAAGATATTGAGCAATGAAGAGATGGCACAGAACAAGAAAGGGAGCATAGAACAGGAGCGATCGCGGAACAATGCGCCTGAAGAGTTGCAACATTCGTTACGCACCCTAATGCGTAGAGTCACACATCCTATCGTGGTCCTCACAGCAGCTTCCGCCGATACCGAAGGGAATGCAGAACCTGTGGGCATGGCTATCTCTTCCTTCAACACCGTAACGCTCCATCCGCCTACAATATCGTTTAATATCCAAAGCCCTTCACGCACACTCACTGCAATTCGGGATGAAGGTGGAAATTTTCTTGTCCATTTTCTTCCGCCTTCTCTCAAATCTGCGGTGATCGCCGATGCTTTCACATGGGGGAATGGTCCGTCAGCCCTTGCGAACCGGAAAGATGTCCTAAATGATGGTCAAACGCCAGCATCATCGAAGATACCCAACGACCAGGTGGCCGCATACATGTCTTGTAAAATCGTCAAGGAACTCGATGTCGCAGACCATGTAATAATTGCTGCCGAGGTCCTTGACATTCAAGATTGCACGACAAGCGCCGCACCCTTCTTGACATATGTCAACGGCCATTTCATCGACAAGCGCGGCCGTTTATTCACAAAAGAAAACATAAAAGAGCTTTCTCTTAAGCATCGTAGCCCGTCACAGCTCAATCAGACCATAAATGCATCCGAATCTATATCTCATACGACCAAAGACAACAAGCAAGCACGAGATTCTTCATCTGAGGGCACCATGTTCAAGCAGGAGATATCACTGGAGTTGTTGGAAGATCGTGTACGCCAATTCGTGCGGACACGCCCCATACAGGCTGCAACATGGCAGTCGGCAGAGATACTTGCAGCTCTGAATATGGCAGTCGACGCACATGTCACAACTGAACAGGGTGTCATGCCATCAACTTCCGCTCGGATTGTATCTTCGCTAATACGAAAAGCTTGTGGTGAGCAACTACCTCACTTGAATGGACAGGAGCGACAAGTTGTAGCTGCATATTTGAGGCGGTCGCGTGAGACTCCTAAATCGCTACGAATCATAAAAGTTGGGAGCGAACGTTTCGAATGGACAAAATACTTTGCGAAGGATTTCTCAGGAGAGGCGGTTGGTTTTGAGACGGTGAATGAGGCTTCTGATCCAGGCCACGGAAGTTCTGAAGCTGCTATGAAAGTGGCTGAAACAAGGGGAACTTTCGAGGAGAAACCTGTTGTGCCAGGCGCATTCCAAGCATATAAACTCGATGGCAGCAGAAGATCTTAAATTAACAAACAGGCGGAAGGCCTTTAGACATTCGAATGAGGCTACCAAAATGGAGGGGCTTACAGAGTTGGTATCAGGACGAGTGTCAATCGATCAATATTGCGGGAATATGCTACCAAAGATGTCACGAGTAATCTTCCGTGTGGAAACCGAGTGCAAAGGCCTGTATCCGTCGCTGTTCGAGGTAGCCGTAACACTGATAGATATCCACATTCCGCCTATCTTCCGAACCTAATCAATGTATAGGTTCACGCAACAAGATCTTTACAACTTCGATGATTTTGGTGTCAATTCATTTTGTGATCATTTAATTACAAAGATGCTTGGAACCCAGTTCCAGTACTCTCGGTAATACCACCATCAACAACAAGTTCGTGCGACGTCACATATCGACTTGCACTACTGGCCAAAAAGACTACTGCGTTCGCTACATCTGCTCCAGTGCCCATCCATCCCATTGGGCAATTGTGATCCAGTATCCTCTTTGCAGCCTCTTGATCCCCTAAGTCGTTGCTCTTTGCAAAGTTGTCCACCAGTGGGGTGTACATGAGACCGGGAACCACACAATTGCTCCTGATGTTTTCCTTTGCATACATAACCCCCATAGCCTTTGTAAAGCGAATCACGCCTGCCTTGGCAGCTGCGTATGCGATTTGATGTTTCCCTATGTAGCGCATCGCGGTGATGCTGGCGTTATTGATAATGCTGCCAGAGCGTTGCTTTTGCATTATTGGAAGCACATGATGGCAGACTCTGTACACAGAAGAAAGGTTCAGATCGATTTGTCGTGCCCATAGTTCTTCGGACATGGTCGCTGGGTTGCCTGCAGATGTCTGTCCTACGTTGTTGACGAGGATGTCGATTCGGCCGTGTCGTTGCATAACGGTGGTAATCAGTGCCTCCACATCGGACGGCTTCATGACGTCTGCGGCTATGACATCGACCACGGCATTGGTGTCTTCTTCAAGAAGTCTTTCTTTTGTTCTTTCGGCGGCGGGTAGATTTAGGTCGCAGCCGAATATCTTGACGCCGTTGCGGGAGAGTAGTCGTGCTGTTGCTGCGCCGTTGCCCCAGAATGGACTGTCCTTGGGCCCAACTTGGCCGATACCAGTTATGAGAGCAACTTTGCCCTGAAGGTCGGGGTATGTTGGGGAAACTTCAGGGACGGGAGGCTCTGCGACTGACATGATGGATGAAGATCTGGGTCTATAAATTGATAATGTCCAATCCCTCCAATGATTATGAGTGAGCAAACATGCAAAAAGGACAGTAGTTATGATGGAGATGTTTTATGGTACTATTTGTAGGTCGAGCTCTAAACAACATTAACATTGGCTTTCACCATGACCTCTATTGATCGAATTGCCTCGGGTATTGCTTGTCGGTTTTGATGCCGATGTTTCCATAGTCTTGCGATATGCGTAGGGGAGATATTGAATGATGGTGGATGCTAGTGCCGGGTTACTTCGCCCGTTGCCACACCGATAACCCGAGCTTGCTTAGACACTACACTGCGTGACTGTTTAGATCAGTCCCTAGACGGAGAATAAACGGCATATACAGCTACCTAGGTCCAGAACTAGGCTATCAATACTGTCTTTATTAGTCTTCTGTATCTGCTTGAGCATCCTTAGAAAGTCATCTGCAGCCACCTACTAGATCGAATACATAGTAGAAAATCACGATGCAGACCGAAAAGTACACGCTTTCTCCTCCGAGTCTTGAAGAGCTCGCCAGCGCACTTAGAGCCCCTCTATCTTCCAATTTCGAGCATGCAACCGTAGACGTTGTCCAGTGTGCTGATTTACGCGATGCTCCATTTCATCTAGCCACAGAAGGGCTTTCAGGCAACGAGCGAATTGCAGACGTTGGCGGACAACCCAACCTCTTTCCGACTCCGCGGCTGGATACCATCTGGAGCATGAAGGAAATTGCCAAGGCCATGGAAATGGATTACAGCAAAGGCAGTCTGATCGGAGCTGGGGCTGGACCATTCCACCAGGTTGGCCGCAATTGCGAGCTTGTTCCTAATTTCAGCTGGGAAGGGGGAATGGAAAATATCAACAATCAGTCATACATTGCGCAGATTGCAGGAGGAACCGGTGCTCCTGGAGTCCAAAAGAGCCCTTCTTTGGATTGTGCACTGATGATTAATCTGTACGGTTCATCTGGTAACCCTGGCCCAGTCCTCAAGATTACTGCGCGGAAACGGAAAGGCGCCGAGAAAAGCTTCACCGAGTGTATTCGTAAAGCACTTAATACCGCCTTTGGGGAATCGAGAACGGTCAGCCTGGGAGGAGCGTTCCTTGTTAAGTCGGGGAGAGCGCGCTACCATATCATGCCCGATTTTCCTCCTGCTGACGACTTACCTTTCTCATCTGCAAAGCAGCTCAACGACTGGTTAACATATCACGACTTCGATGGACCTGTTGTGTGCCTCTCAGTTTTGCATTCGGCGGACCCTGATAAGAAGATGGGTTTGCGCATGGAACATTCGCATGGGTTTTCGGCGACCAAGGCAGACGCTGGAGGCCATTACCACTATGATATGGATGGGCACAATGAGGATATCGAGTACGAAGGTTATTTCAATGTTGCAAATTTTATATACAGGATAGCAAAGCCGGAGGTGACCTTAGAGCGTGATCTACATGATTGAAATCATCATCAAGATATGTCACAACGCTTCAAGGATAGAAATTGTTTCCTGTAATTGCGTAGTTGTCAAGTGATATAGCCTTTGTAAAGGAAAATCGTGTTCACTTCATGTCGTGCATAACGTACAGCGTGTTCGATTTGGTCGCATGTGGCTCCGTATTTGACTGACACGAGCAAGCCTACGAATGCATATTCTCTCCTCTAATAATATCAGCACCTAAGCTTGCTGTGTGAAATATGCCAAAATTCTACAGCATGCGTGACATTTCAATTATAGAAAGATACCCTGATACAACCACCGATTCGGTCTACCTCTGCATTGAGCCACCACTCCCAAAAAGATTGACCCTAGGCATTAGGATCAAGTGCCTGTTTACCTGCTTACTGAGGTAAACCTTACCAATGAAATGGCAGCACAATTATTCAATATCTATCTTCGAACAACTAAATAGCGGCATCTGTTGGAAAGATCAACTGACGGACTAGATCCACCATGGCACTTCCACAAAAGGCCAAATCCACGGAGTGGATGACAACCTCGGAAAATAAAGCGTAGTGTCAGTCATTGGATTGATCTTTCTTCTGGCACAAGAAAAGCGCGTGTTTTTCTACCCGGAGTTGAAACCCGTTGTTCGGCCGATATCCCGTGTAGGTGCGCCTCCCGCTGGTAAACCAAAACAGAGATTGTGGGGTCTCCAGAATCTCCCCAGCTTTGTTTGTTACATTAGATTATAAAAAATCCTCTGCATTCCCCAGGTTTGGTTCGGTCAACTCAGGAACCAATAGTTCTATGTCTTTGGCCGATCTTTGATACTTATTGTCCTTCACGTTTTCCATCTCACAAGACCGGCCGTGAAACAAGAGCCATGTCGATCCATTCGCTTTCAGACCCAAAGCCTGCTGAGATCAAGCTCGAGGTTTACGATGGAATCGGAGACATCTCATTCAAGCAAGAGGGCCAGGGTGTCGAATACGAAGAGAACACGGTAGAGGAGAAGAAACTAGTTCGCAAGATTGATCTTTTCCTTCTCCCTTGTATCTGGATTGTTTATCTCTTATCCTACATGGTACGATCATCTGATTATCGTCAATCAATCAACTGACAGTCTCCAAGGATCGATCCAACCTCGGTAATGCTAGAGTCGCAGGAATGGCAGACGACTTGGGACTTACCGATCGTCGCTACTATCTCTGCGTCGTGATCTTCCAAGTTGGCTATGTTATAGCGGAGGTTCCTTGTAACATGATCCTTTCTAGATCGAGGCCATCGATTTTCATACCCATCATCATGGTTTTCTGGGGAGCAGTGTGTGCTGTGATGGGGAGTGCAAGAACATGGCAACAACTTATCGGTCTTCGATTCCTGCTAGGTGTTGCCGAAGCTGGTTTTAGCGTAAGTTACTGTGCGGCAATAAATGGTGGGAAGAAAGCTGACTTTGCCAATAGCCTGCGGTAATGTTCATCGTGTCCAGTTGGTACCGCAAAAGCGAGCAATCGAAACGTTTCATGGTCTTTCACAGTGCTGGAATCACATCCGGTGCAGTGGGAAGCATCCTCGCGGGAGCAATAACCTCGGGCATGGATGGTCTAAGCGGAATACAAGGCTGGAGATGGCTGTACATCATCGAAGGAATAATTACGGTCGTTGTTGCATTTGTTGTGCCTTTCGTACTCCTGGATTACCCGTTGACTTCAAAGAAGCTGTCTCCAGAGGAACGCCAGCTGGCATACAACCGACTTGTTGCAGACGGAATCACCAGTCGCAATGACGAAGAATTTTCCATAAGCCACTTTCAAGCCTTGAAGCTTGCATTTTCGAACTGGAGACTGTATCCTTTGATGTGCGGATACATGATCATTATCGGAAACATGACGCTCTCGAACTTTTACCCAACGTTTGTCATGTATCTGGGATATAACAGGAAGGATGCACAGTGAGCCACCCAAGTCATGAAAGACCGAAGAAACAGTACTAAACTATGCGCAGATATATGACAGCACCACTATACGGTGTAGCACTCGCCATTGCTATCGCACTGTGCGTCATCGTAGACAAAATGCCCCGGTACCGTCCTATCTTCACAATGGCAGTGCTTCTCATCTGCGGAACGCTGTTTTGTGGGCTATCAACAGGTATTACGGCTCCAGTACCTCGATACATATTTCTCTGCTTCATAAACACAGCAATCTGGGCTGGAAACCCATTGTCGTTGTCTTATACCAGTACTGTGCTTGGTCCGGTACAACCAGAGGTCAGAGCTATATCTTTGGCTTCAATCAACGGAATGGCGAATCTCGCTCAGCTGTATGCAACCGAAGTCTTCACGGTGTCTAAGCCACCACTAGCTATCCTGGGATTTGGGGTGTTTGCTGGGCTGTTCGCTGTTGGTGCTGTTATATATTTGGCGGCGTTCTTCGTTTACCAGAGATATCCGTATAAGCCTGCTAAGGCAGCGTAGGCAGTTTCGTACGCTCAACGTAGGAACCTACTGACTGGCGTCTCATTTTGTGAACACGCATTTGATAGAACTGGATTGGTTTAGTGTAGTTGCTCATCTGTCAACAATTTATATGCTTTACAAATATATCTCCATTGAACCTCGGTAGCAGGAGGAACAACTTAGCTAGATCTTCTATAGCTTCTATTGCTTACGAGCTGAATAATTCAAAGTTGTAATGTTGAGGAATAATTGATCTAGCATTGAAAGAGCGTCTAGCGCTCGTAATACCCTTAAACCACCAATGGAGTATAGGAAGGCTGTTGCTACTAGGTGGAGATACTTTAGCCCTTGAAGAGGTGGGGAAACTGTACAATAATGATATTCTGCAAAGGGATTAGCACCCTCCTAATGTCTCGCCGCTCTTTTTCACTCTAAATTCCTTGTACTTTACAACTGCTCCCCCATGGAGAACTTCAGTTTCAGTCTCTAGCACCTCTATAAATAACCACGATGGGACGGCAAAATAAAGCCTGTAGTATCTGCAGGGGCCTTAAGGTCAGTTTACAGGATATATCTGCAATGACCATTCCGACAGTGTACTGAAGAATATAAAAGATCAAATGTACTATGCCAGAAACACCTGGACCATGTCGCAGATGTCACAATCGCGGCTTGGTTTGCCTGGTGGACAGGAATCCTCAAGCATCACTGTCAGAAGAAAGCAACAGGTACGCTCATTCCAAATCGATTAATGTTGGTCTTACCCTGTTATAAGATGGCGGAATGACGTCTCGGGTCAAATTCAGCAGCTCCAGACCGCCGTAGATGTGCTGTTGCGCATGTCCAATCTGCCGCAACTCAGCTCCTACAATGAGCGACCACAGCCTACGGCTGATATTCAGCAAGATCTCACTCCAGAAGATGAGGCACGGACAAGCGGCCATGTCTCTGACGGAGACGATAGTCTCCCTGCAGCACCTATTATGACGCCTGTGGTACCGGTGGACGATAATATCTACAGTCTGCCTATCAATTATCTTTATGAAGTTACTCGGCTTCCGTCTCTGGCCACTGGTCCATCCTCACCATCTGCACAGCGCAGTCGCATCAGCCACGATTTTATTTCCCGTGGGCTTGTCCCCATTGTAACTGCGGAACGCTTGTTCACTCATTTCGTCACGCGAATTGACTACTTTTGCTATGGGCTGACATGTCCACATGCTACATTGGAAGAACTCCGTGCCAGTTCAACCGTCTTGACAGCTGCAGTATGCGCAGTATCTGCGCTGCACGATCCTGAGGGTTCTACGGTATTCAAGGTTTGCCATGCCGAATACCAGAGACTAGTAACAAAAAACATGTTTGCAGTTGTACACTCTACCGATGACGTTCGGGCTCTTATCATCGGAGCTTACTGGCTGGCCAACTTGTCGTATACAGTGCTTGGGCATGCCATCAGAATTGCAATGAGACTCAACTATCACCTCGCATATTACGCGGCGATTCGTGATTCCAAGGTTGAGGATATCGAAAAGGCGCGTCTGTGGTATATCTTATACATTCTCGACCATCACTCTAGTATCTTGTATGGCCGACCTGTCATGATATCAGCAGATGAAGAACCGCACCAACAATGGGAAACCTTCATTCAGTCCAATGGTAATCAAGAGGTTGATTTGCGGATGTCAAGCCAGGTCGCGCTTTACCACATAACTTCCAAGGTGAAGAACATTTTCGGCAGCCACTCAACACAGGCTGTGCCGGAACATTTTCTGACTCAGCTTCGCGGCTACTTCTCAGAACTGGATCGATGGTACATGTGCTGGGGAGACAGAATGCGTATGTATAAATATAATTCTCTATATTAGCCAACAGAGTAAGTAACGACCACAGCACGAAACGCTTTTGTAGGCTGGTTTCCCAGAGACGGTGCCAGTCTGCATTATCATTTTGCTCGCATGCATCTATGCTCGTACATCTTCCGAGGGACTTCTGTCGAATCGATTGCAGCATCTTCTCCACAAGTCAAGGAGTACGCCATCGTGGCAGTGACCTCTGCTACTGCTGTGCTCGAGCTCATCATGGAAAGGCCCGACTTGCGCACAGCTCTGGTTGGAATGCCAATCTATTTCCATGCTATGATTACTTTTGCAGCAGTGTTTCTTATCAAAGCGGCAAAAGCAAATTTTCCGGAGCCTGCGGCAGTGGATACAACCACAGTCCTTACTTTGGTTGAGAACTGGGTTCGTGAGCTTAGGACACAAAAGGCGTCACAGCAACATCTTGTTTATCATCTGGCTAATGGTCTGGAGGGATTTCTCAAGGCCCTTTCTAATCCTGATTTGGATGTTTCTATTATATCCGGCCCTATTCGGACTCTGGGGGGTGATCCCGCTTCAACGAACTACATAATGGATTCGATGTTTATGCTTGACGCATTTAATTTGTTCCAATATCCAGGCACTGCAGGCTCGATGGAGGGGGGGATGCTACCAGAGTAGACAACCTTTGAGGTAAACTCAGGAATGTATTATACTATAGCAGCTGTATTTCGTACCTTGTATGAAGCAAAGTAGCAGTGGAAGGCACACATCATTGGTTATTGCATAATGGAGCACTACCTACACGCCGTCTTATGAAAGCCTCCGCTGGTATTGGTGTTATAGGCGTTACAGACATTTACAGGCATTGGCAGTACCTCGTTTAACAAACACGCTACATCCTCTTTCTTATAGGTTCTTGGAGCGAAAGATGGCGGCTTTGGATACCTTTAAGGACTCTCTCTAGGTCAAGTAGCTTAGATGAGGGAGATTTATATGCCAATGACATGGAAATAATTGCACCACTTGGAGAGCATATGCAAAGATAGAGGTAGACTTAGTAATATACCGAATGCTACCTAGTTTAGACAGCTTCTGCCAAGTATGGAAAGTATCTACTCAAGTACTTAATAACAGAGGTTTTGTTGTTACTGCCTAATAGTCGATCAGTACTTTGAATAATTGGGATGTTCCAAGAGAAAAGGTTGTATGGAGAAGGGTTCAGAAAGAGCATAGTATGACGTTTGTAACCATATGGGATGTCTTAAAGACTAATCGAATGTTTTGTGTCTCATCATGTTGTGTGTGTGTGAAGGAGAAAGAATGAGATATGCATACCTTTAAGATCATGTCTGCTAGCATTCAGATAAGCTATCTGCACGATCAAGTCAAAAGCCCTTCAGGACATTTCCCGAGTAATATGCAAGTGGGTAGCCACCCAGAGCATAATCGTTCTTTCGATTGCTTCCTCGAGGGGTGATCGAACCTCTGTGGAGGATGAGTAGTCTTGGATTCTGTCAAAGACAGCAGATCTCGCAGCGTGATCTCGACGCTCATGTTGCGATGGGAGGCTGGATAGGGTGAGTAGTGCATGTGCTCAGCCATCAACCATTTCTTCATCGTGATCCCTATGGGTCTCGAAGCCAGCCCCCTGCTTCAGATTGCTCACGATCTTTTCAATTCTCTCCAGCAGTTCTTCATCACCTCGAGCGCCTCTACCACTGCGCACGTTGGCATTAAGCACACCTACGTCTAGGCTGCCCAATCCTCCGTTTGTGACGTGACTTTCGCTGTCCTTCAGCCTTTCCCTCTCCCGATCTTCATCGCTCTGACCTTCTATCCGCACCGCCGCAATGAATCTAGGCGCCTCTGAAGGAACTACTTTCTCTTTTTCAAGATCAGTGACCTGGGTTTTCAGGGTAGTGCGGATGGTATTGATCTGGATGAACAGCTCGTGAGTGCTAGTCTGGAGGAGATCTTTGCGGCCTTGTTGGGTAGAGAGGGTGGACAGAGAAGTGCCAGGAGTCTGGACAGGATGTTGAGTCAAGAGAGATAGAGTGGAGGCGGTCTTGCGAAGGAGTTCAGGGAGCTGCTCATTGATGGCTGAAAGCTCCCGGATTTGCTTCGCGGCGGTTTCGGTATAGGGTTGGGAAGACATCTGGTCGACTGCCACCGCCGAGGACGTCCTCTTTGCAACGAATAGGTAGAACAAGTGCCAATAACTCACTCGATTTCATTCGGTGTAAAGGAATGAAAGGCACGGCGGTCGCCGGCTTGGTGAAAGCAGAATCAGAAGGTGAAGGTTGGGGGTGAACAGCTTTTTGTAGCTGTGGGAAATCGCGCTTTCCCCGCGCTAGCGTCGGACAAGGGTGTGCCTTGGCATTTCGTCGCGCGAACAATTGAGCTTCAGATACTATCAACCTCACTTTCACGATATCCAACCTTTGCGCTGTCTGTATTCTCCGCCCATTCTCGCCTAATTCTACTAACGAAAGAACTTTAGTTTGCGGAGCCGTCTGGACAGCTTCCTCAATTTCCTCATCGACCAAGTACCGACTTCATTTCGCGCAATCCACCCTCCACCGTCCTGCTCCTGCGCAAGCACTTTTATTCGAACCAAAGAGCCACCCGCATATACCCAGCATGTCAGGGCCTCCGCCCGGGGGTGTGCCTGCGCGCAGCATGAGTGTAGGAAATGGCCCGCCGAGTGCAGGCCTTCCACCTCATAACGCGATGCCACCGCAGCCAAGCTCAATACCTCCGCCAGCAAGCTCGCAGTCCGGAACGCAATCACAGCAGAACTTGAACCAGATTGTAGGTGTTTTCTAGCTCTTGTTGCAATGTTCTTGTTGTATCTGGAGGATGGCGTCATTGGCCTATGTTCACCTTGACGGTAGACTGTCGACGACCAACTATCGAAAGTCTTTTGGGATGACAGGGCTACATCTGTTGGCCCCTACCTGGTCGAAGCTTCTTGCGCTGCCTTGTTTGACGAGTTGAAGCAATGTACTGTCCGTTTGCGCTACCTTACACAATCAACCCTAGAGATAGGGCTGCCCCAAACACCTACAAACATCTTCCATAGATTGAGAACCGGGTGCACTATACGTTTTGAGATTCTTCTGCGAGGTCACAAACCGGGTCGACATGCGACTGTTTCTTCCTTATCGAACACACTATCACGAACCATTACTGACTATGCCGAAGGTTTTGGAGTATCTTAGCAAGAAAGGATATGTACGAACCGAAGCCATGCTCCGCAAGGAGTCAGAGATACAGCAGCCGGGTGCTGATGGAAGGCCGGTGGCACAACAGCCTGAGGCTGGCCTGGCAAAATATACAAAAGCCTATGGTACGTGGAATTCTACTTGTCCATTTCCCAGTACCGGATACTAAGGTGCTACCACCAGAGTTACTTCGAAAATATACCGAAGATAATCTTGAGCTGTATCGGCCGGAACTTCGAAAACTCTTGTGGCCTTTTTTCGTATATTCTTTCCTTGGCCTCTTGAAAGACCACTACATCAAAGACGCGGAGGCGTTCTTCTCCACATACAAAACCTCCTTCGAACGAGAGCACGAGGACGATGTAAAGACACTTGGAATGGTCAAACTTCCGCAGCATCTTGACAGCAGCAGGGTGGCAAAACTCTACCTGGAGAACAGGTACAGAATCACACTGACCACTATGCCTTTCTATAACTTTGTCCAATTTCTCGAGTCTAAGATGTTTGAGGGCGGGCAGACAATTATGGACATCAACCGAGATCACATGAATATTGTTACGGTCGATCGAACAGCAACAGCGGAAAAGAGCATCGCGGCCATTCTAGCTAGTGGGCGGGGCGATGATGATCTACCTGCAGAAGATGAGGGTATTCCTGGGCACGCCCCAGGGCACCCATCCACAAAAGTTGCCCCGGATCAAGATCCACATGCAGATGCTGCAAGAATTCGACTACAACTTGGCGCATATCCGCAGGAAGAAGAACTTCAAGAAGACGTACGTGCCGCGTTGAAAGAAGAAGACGAGAAGAACCCCAGGCGCGACGGACAGAACAATTTGGTCGACGAATACGATCAGCTCATTAAGCGTGAACCAAATGAAGATGCCCCTTCACGAGACCTTATTCCTTTGCCGCCATCACTAGCAAGAGACGTTTCGATGGAAGTACAAAAGGTTATCGAACACCGTGATCGATACAAATTGGAAGGAAGGACGGGTGGTATTGGCCCAGCTGTTAGCGTAATTATGTACACCTTCCACAACACACACGACAGGTATGCAGATCTTGATATTCAAGATACTATAGCCCCAAGCTAACAGGACTCTAGCGTCAATTGTATCGACTTTTCAGGTGACAACCAATTGGTTGCTGCAGGCATGGCTGAATCTTACATTCGAGTTTGGTCTCTTGAGGGAAAGCCTCTCGAGTCAACAATACCTGAGAACACACAACCGTCATCGTCTCGCCGCCTTATTGGACATGCAGGCCCTGTCTATGCGGTGTCCTTTTCTCCCTCCACAGTCAATCCTGATCCAAATGGCCCCCCCACGAATTCACAATATCTCCTCTCCGCTTCTGAAGATCAGACTGTCCGGCTCTGGTCTTTAGAGACATGGTCATGCCTCGTGGCATACCGCGGCCACAGCAACCCCGTTTGGGACTTGCAATGGGGGCCACACGGGCACTACTTCCTCACTGGATCGAACGATCGCACAGCACGGTTATGGTCGACTGATCACATAGACGCTTTGCGCATTTACGTCGGTCATGACAATGACGTTGACTGCATAGCATTCCACCCCAATAACATGTATGTTTTCACGGGATCATGCGATCGGACTGTCCGAATGTGGCATATCGCTGGTGGCAACTGCTTGCGATTGTTCACGGGACATGCTGGCAATGTCACAGCGATAGCTTGCTCACCGGATGGCAAAACCCTGGCCAGTGCTGATGAAACTGGAACCATCATCCTCTGGACACTTGAGACTGGTCGCCGAAAGAAGCGTATGCGAGGTCACGGCAAGGGTGGCATCTGGTCACTCTCCTGGAGTGTCGAATCGACTGTACTTGTGTCTGCTGGTGCCGATAAAACTGTTCGCGTGTGGGGTGCCCTCCAAGAAACCAATGAGTCAGCATCGAAGGCTACTGATGGTGCCGCTGGCAAGGCTGACGGGGCACTTGCAACCAAAGCCGCGGCTGGAGCTGGTCCCGGAACGGGAGGCAAGAAGGCCCAGAAAGAGGCTGGTGTCAGTGCCGACCAGATCAGTGTCTTTCCCACCAAAGACTCTCCAGTCTACAAAGTCCAATTTACTCGGATGAACTTGGTCTTAGCTGGTGGTGCTTACCTTCCACCACCAAAAGTATAACAAAAGCACAAATCGAGATATCATTTCATGTATAAGGAGTAGAGGCGTTTTTGTAACGACCATGTCAGGTCGGGATATGGTGGTTTAGGTGTTCGGGCATCGGTCCGGTGTTTGGGTGAAGGCTCCTCATTCAATCAATACCACAATGTCTTGAGTACAATCTTATTCTTAACACATGGCATTCAGTTCAACTTCATATGCCCCCTATCATTAATGAAAAGTTTCATTCCAATACTTGCGTAGCCAAAATCGCCTTTCGTTGTGAAGATAACTAGCTGGAGTAAACGGCGTCCTGTCCAGCAAGGCGCCACCTTCTAATTTGTATCTCTTACTACCTTTGAATAGCATCTGGCAATGACCTACTCCAATTTGAACACCAAAGCAGTGTCAGCACTGACTTTATCTTTGCATAGCGCATCCCAGCCCTCCTCCCATCCCTTCATACCACTGCCCCATTTGATGTGGGAGCCTGGAATGCCGCCGTTGCTTTTGAATTTATTAAACTCTTCATAGAACTCGGAGAAGTACTCGTCACCACCGAGTCCGATCCCTTTTTCCCTCAATACATTTGCATTGACCTGCACGCTCTTCGTAGATGGCGTCGATCTCACAGTAGCCGTCTTGGGAACCTGTGGCGTAACCTCCCCACCCACTCTCACGAATGTATAAGGATGCGTCTCAGACAGGCCTGCAAAAGCGCTGTCCCAGGCCTCGAGGGCTCCCGGTCTGCCACCAAAGTCAATCACCACCGTTCGATGCGGCCCCGCACTCTCAATCTCCGTCTTCACAGCGTCGAAATCTCCATACAAGACCGTCTTATCATAGAATCCACTCCCCTCGCTCAAACTCCGCGACGCCTCTGATCCAACGCCGATCACGGCCCTCGGCTGATGCTCTTTCGGTCTGTTATTCTTCACCTGTTGCGCGAATGCCATTGCCGTCTTCCCGCTCGCACTCAGCACGATGACGCTTGCGCCCGACAGGTCTGCATCCTTGTTCTTCCAAGAATCAAGGGTGTCGTCAGCATCGTCATTGGTGGTGGGGAGTCCCGTAGGGTGGCAGAGATTCTTCTCGTCCCACGCGAAACCGTACTTGTTGAGGTTATACGACGTCGCGAAGAGGCCCTGCATCAGGGCGTCCCAGGCGAGGAACTCCAGGCCGGGGGAGGCCTCCAGCTCGCTCAGTGGTGGGGTGAGTTGGTACCGGTTGTAGACTTTCCAGAGGTGCTGGCGGTGTGGGCTCGTGACTACGAGTTGGTTCTTGTATCCGGCATCTTCTATGGCTAGGTCCTCAGGGAGATCCGAGATGGGGAGGAAGCCGTAGACTGTGTGGCCCACTGGAATGGAGGAGACGGTGGATTCGAGGATCTCTGCGTATCCCCATGCTGAGATACGACCGTATTTCTCGCTGTCATTGAAGGGTGCTGGGGTGTTTGGGGGCAGAGGGTAGGTGTCCCACCAGCCGAGGATATGGCCAATGCGGGCGTAACTGAAATTGTTCGTGGTAAGACCCAGGATTTTAGATTGTATGCGAATGGAAGAGGGCGGAAGTTGTGGGAGAGGCTCTGGTGGGAGTGTCACAAGATTGTGTTTGGAGTAGTTGGATTTGTCGAGTATGTGTGCTGATGGTGATGCCATTGTGCTGAATATGTGCGTGTATCTTTGAAAGACAGGTAAAAGTTGATATATGGTTATCGGCTCTGGACTGTTGATAGGTATTGCAGCCTTCTTTTATACCTAGATGTAGAAGGACAATGGATGTCCTTGCCCTGATGGTTGGCCTGATAAATGGTTCAAGCATAACGTTAGCAAGATAGGGAAGTGTCCAATTGTCTCCATCCGTATCCCCACTGGCCAAGCATCTCCCCACCCATAGCTCCTGTTCAATGACTCACTGTCAACGTTGATGCCTACAACCAGCATCAAGAGAAAGCTTGATTCGGATCTGCAACACGCTTGTAAGAGCAAAAGGGCATGTTGTGGGCATCCGCTTTGATCCGAAAAGGTATTCAATGCGACTAGCACTTGCGATTGGCCAGAGAACGATGATATACTCAATCCGGCAATACATATTACTTGCGCTATCTTATTCTGATACAGAAGAACGATTTGAGATATTTTTTTGATTACCAACACTGATGCCTGTGATGTCCGTTGATGTAAGATGATGATCATTGGCTCTTTTTGACGAAATGCTTTCGAATGAAAGCTGCTCCTCTTCACCCGGGTTGGTTTTTGACTTGTGTGTGATTGAAAATGCCTCAAGTATATGTCCAAAATCAATACACTGGGCTCTTCCTGTGGTAGAGTTTCTGTGCCCGAGTTCCATAGTCCGTCTGAGCCGCTTCATTGGACGAGGCCGTATAGAGCACAGCATCGAGCAAAGAGCATGCAGCTTGTTCAAGTCTTACATTGTCCTACCTCGTAAATGCTCATCCAACAATCACGACCCCAGTATGTGGCCTGATTGAGCTCAATGGCATTGGTTTTTTCGGTTGTATCATGAACAATCAATGGTTTTTTAGAGCAGATAGCAAACAACTAAAATCTCAAATTACCCCTCACCCCGCAATCCACAACACTTTTACACGGAACATTCCCATTTCGGAAATATCCAACACGAGAACCTTACCCAGGAAGTACATATAAATTCCAATCGCAACGACCTTACAGCAATGCCACCACTCTCGACTCTCCTAGAATCCAAAAGAACGCCGGTAGTCCTCGATGGCGCGCTAGCAACCTACCTGGAGATCCTCGGCGCGGACGTATCATCCGCGCTGTGGTCTGCATCGCTTCTGCTCCACAACCCGGACCTGATATACAAGACCCATCTTGATTATTATCGTGCTGGTGCAAACGTCGCGATAACGGCTTCGTATCAGGCTTCCATCCCTGGGATCTTGAAACATACGGATCTGTCATTGGACGAAGCGAAGGGTGTTGTTCGCAAGAGCGTGGAGCTGGCCAAGAAAGCGCGGGATGACTATTTGCAAGAGATTGAAAATTCTGGAACTGGGGCAGAGAATGTTGAAAGGAGGAGCGATTTGCTTGTAGCCGGGAGCGTGGGGCCGTACGGCGCCTTCCTTGCCGATGGGAGCGAGTATAGAGGCGATTACTCGCTGTCGCGGAACGAGTACAAGGACTTTCACCGTGGGAGGATAGAGGCTTTGGTTGAGGCTGGTGTAGATGTGCTTGCTGTTGAGACTATCCCATCTTTCGACGAGACTTGTGCAATTGTTGAGTTGTTAGGGGATGAATTCGCGGGGACAGAGGCGTGGGTATCATTCACATTGAAGGATGCTGAGCATATCAGCGACGGTACAACCTTAGCCCAGCTCGTCCAAACTGTGGAGAATTCGCAGAAGATCGTGGCGGTTGGTATCAATTGTGTCACCGAAGATGTGGTTCTTGGGGCTCTGGAGACCCTACGGCCATTAACGAGAAAGGCACTTGTCATATATCCGAACTCGGGCGAGCATTGGAATGCCGAAACTAGGAGCTGGTACGGGGAGAGAAATGAAGGAAAGAGCTTAGCGGAGAAAACGCACATGTGGCGAGATGCCGGTGCAAGATTGATTGGAGGATGCTGCAGGACAACACCAGACGATATCAGTGTGATAGCAAAGGCTCTGGAATCTTCATCATGACATAGGACTCGGCAGAGGGAATTGTAGTTGAAAGATCGAAATAGTCTCTAGTATTAAGAAGAATGAGCTGACAATTTAGTCAATGGTATCCTGCATATGCCTGAAAGCTTCAAGCGCCAAAAGAAACATCAACCCTAAAACCTTTGTCTCCCGCACCAGCGGCAGAACAAGAGAAAATACAGAAATTCGTAATTCGTACAATAGCAAGATTCCGAACAGGAACTGCCAAGTGCTTCAATCAAGATTTCACACATGATCGGACTCGCATCCAAAACTGTGCCAATCTAATCACCAACCGCCTCGGATGCGTCTAACCTTCTCCTTGCCCCCAACCCTTCCTCCAGTGATTCTGCGAACCCATCTCCTAATCGCCCATCCTCGCGCCAACGCTTGGAAGAGCTCGATGTCATGGGTCAACTGCTCCGTTCGTTGCGCCAAAATCGCTTTCCATCGTCTCTGGAGGACCATGGCGGCATTCACCAGCACTTCCCGCCTTTGAGCCACGACAGCGCAGTCGGCAGCGACGCGCATGAGCATGACGCGTTTGTGCATTTCACGTCGTGCAAGGTGGCGACGATATGCTTGTTGGATCGTAGCAGCAGCACGATGCTTGACAGAAAGTGGAAGGAGGCGTGATGCTAGGAAGGACAGTGTGAGAAGCGTAAAATCCTTTGATGGTATTGACCTCGCCTTCATATTATTGGGAGCGAACAAGGCAATGAAAGAAGTAGAACAGCCTGCTGCTCTCAATTTGGTGGCCAGGGATAGCTGAGTTGATCCGGTCGTCAGAGCTAATGCTGAGGGAAGATACATGTCGACGATCGCCTCTAAAACCCGTGGGTCCGAGAAAGAAGTTGTCAAGTTGCTAACGCGTAGACCTTGTAGGCGTGCAATGCTGCGAGCCCAAGACAGTAACAATCGTTTGTGATAGTCGAGGCCTTCTAATTCTGTAGTCGCTTCATCATCGTCCGAATCCAGATCGCGCTGGGCATAGTTATCGCGCTTGCGGTACCATAGGTCTCGGAAATGATTGACTTCTTTGACGATATGCGACCAGTCGACTAGAGTGGCAAGTCCGCATTTTCCAACCAAGGACCAAAGTAGGCTGAGAGTCTTCTCTCGATGCCCGTCCACGATATCTTCAGCTTTGATACCACCGACAGCTTGAATTGGAATGCCACGAATGCCAGTAAGTACAGAGAGCCCTAGTTGGACGTTGTATAGCTTTTGTGCACGTCCAATGCTAGGGAACTTGAGATGCTGTGATAGAACCCAATTTTCCTTTTGCTCGACGTCGAGAATGCTCGTGAGCAGTTCTCCACTTGGCAAAGATATGGTGATTGTCTCTTGCTGAGAGGCAGAAGCGGAGGGCGAGTAGAGCAGGAGCTCAATAAGGCGAGTCAGAATAACACCATCCCGTAAATCGATCGCAATGTTTTCGATCTGGTATGTGTATTCTTGAAGAGGATATTGTACGTGGTCAACCTTGTAGTCGAAATGCCCCAGCGGTCTGGTTACATCACCATGCGAAGGAAGTAGCATGCTCGCAAGGTGGTGCAGCACATCGACTGAGGTCTTGTAAGGAGAAGTAGTCTGGAAAAGGCATCCTGAAACAATGTCCGCCTTCTTGGCCCGGTCGAGAACGAGAACGAGCATCAAACTCCGCAAGGCAGTTCTTCTCCAGCCCCAGCCCTGAGAGCCGAAATCATCACCTTGCTCGGCCCGTGCAATACTTGCAATGCTTCCTCCTCCAGCTTTAACTCGCACAGCATCCTCGTTGCGAATTAGGAATGCATCCAGGAAGGCCTCAATAGCTCTACGTTCGGAACGGAATTGTCGGGATCCATCATCTGAGCTTGTTGATCCGCTAGATAACCGACAGGGAACTGTAAGTTGGCGTCCAATGACAGTTTCGGCTGCTGCGCGAAGGGCTGGGAGATCGTAGGTTTTGACCCATAGATTGAGAAACTTCTTGCGCATGCCCACATCGTCTTTTAGCCGTATCGTTTGAGCTAACAAGTCCTTGGGAATGCTTAAAGCCCCATACAGCAGAGATGCCTGAAGGCGCTTGTGTAAAACAGGAACACTAGGCTCATGGTATAGGGCCAGCATCTTGCTTCGGAGGTTGTTAGTATTGTCGTCTGCATCTGTTGTTGATTTCGCTGAGTCGAACAATGAGTTTAGCAGTTGTGTGATGGCAACCTCCTGGTATGTGAGCCAGTTGTCTTCGTATAGTTCTGGCCTTGCCAAATCCTCCGACAGAACAGGGTAAGCTTCTCGGGCCTGTTGTGGCCTACCCACTTCATGCATCATGGTGATCGTGCTTGTTGCTCTCTCGGTTCGTTGCCTGCGGAGTGCGTTTGGTGGCGACTTGTCCATGTGGAAAGGAGAGGATGATAATGGCGCTCGGTCAGCTCTAGGTACGCGAGCCTTCGTCACCATTTTCGTAGATAATCTAGCTGTCGTAACTCGCCTGGTAGTACCTGCTGATCCGTCTGCTTTCGCCTTAATTGATTTCACTGGATGGCCGTCGCTACTCGTCTCGGAACGCGGGCGCTTTTGGGTGCTTTCAGACAGCGATTTCTTGCGAGCCAAAGTCTCGGGGGCGCGAGGAGGTTTGAAATGAACGCGTGGGGCTTTCGTGACCGGCTTCTTAATTTCCTCCTTGACATCCTTGCTGAAATCGAGGAAGATGTCAATGCCTGGTGGGACGTTCTCCTTGCCATTGCCTTTGCCAAACCGGTCCTCCGAAGTTGTGACGCCTTGATGAGATCGGTGGGACTGTTGAAGAGGAGCCCGCTTAGGTGGTACTGCCAGGGATTTCCGCGGAGGCTTCTTCTTGAGTGCCGATACGAGATTCTCGGATTCCTCCTCAGACAGTGTGACGAGATCCAAGCCGATATCTGGCGATTTTGCCCGTGGGTTCCTAGACTTGTGGGTAGGCTGACCAGGGTGGATGGTCATGATCGTAGTGTCCTCAGATGGGACATAAATGGTTCTGCGTCGAGGATCCTTCTTAAGGTTCTCTCTTTTAGAATCCCTCTTGTCAAGAACATCCTCCTGCAATCGGACTGTGGCACTGTCGTTTCTGTCCACCAAGAGCTGCGAAACGCGTCTGCGTTGTGGTTTCATTACTAGATGCTCCTGGACAGGCATCCTCTGTGCTGGATGTGCAAGAATGGTGGATCTCTTTTCCGTCGCGCCCCTGGGCATGATGGAGGTTCGAGACCTTCTTTTTGTCTCTAAGGCCTCCTGTTGAACTTGCTGCTCTTCTTCTTGCGCAACATCCTCGAATATATCCAGGTCGGGATTGAATGCAGGTTGTTTGCGCGCAGCGCGCATTGGTCGCCTAGGTTTCGCCTGCCTCAGATTCGCCTGGAATTCGGTCGTGTACTCGAGATTGGCTGTTGTGTCATCGGTGGAGAAGCCGGGCGCGTAAATTGACGAACGGCGTCCATATTCGGACTGTCTATGGCTGTGATATGAGGGATGCGGTGCTGGGCACGGTGTTGCCTCTGCGTAGCGACGCATTCTGTTGATGTTTTTAAGACTGATTCTTCCTGCGCATGAGGGTAAAGTAGGTATTGTGGGGTGTTGTTGCGCAGGTGCGAGGTTTAAGGTTGGATTCCAAGGACGTTTAGCCGGGTTGCACGGACGCGACTTGATGTTGATCTCATGTTGCGAGGGGCAACCGACGCACCTTCACGACAGAAACTCAGCTATAACGACCATGCGCAGCACTCAATGAGAACTGTCACAGTGTACGAATAAGAAGATTCTATTTTCAACGGAGATATAGCAATCAATTTGATATTCTTAGCTACGCTTGACTGGCCAGTACCAATAAAACCAGATCTGAATGAACGCAAAGGGTGTTCGTAGATCTCCTAGCCTTGCATCGCAATCACGACAATTGGATACCAAGGCACCGACAGCCAGAGAGATCCCAAGAAATCTGCCCTCGAGAAACTAACCTACCTCCCTGGCCGTCCATTTGGTTCCCGGAAGAACGTTTGTCTAGTGGTAGTCTTATAAACCACGCCACCTATGTACCTGCGGGGCCGAGAGGTCACTGGTGCACCAATATTTCGATATTGCTCGCAAGAGTAACGTTATTACAATCCATTCAGAACTCGAACCATTTGTTGAAGGGCGCATGGTCGGGTATTGGATTGACCACCATTGTCACCAAAGGCATATATATCTCAAGAGAAAATATATTCAAGTTCTACCTGACTTCGTCTGAGCTTTCAAAATGTTTTACGACAGATCAACAGGTCAGGTCTATGTGGAGGCCACTCTTCCGGTTACTTCAATGATGGACGAATGGCGACATGAATTTAGAGGTAAATTGATTGACCCCAGATATCATCTGAATGCTGGCAAGGGTACTTGTTCCTTGCGAGAAGCCGCAACGCGGGCTTGTGCATGGCAAAGTGATCAGCCAGCCATGGCTCTTGCCCTCGCTCAGACGGATTCACATTACTGGCCGGCTATCAAGCCAGTGTATGATTTCTTGAGAGAAACGTAAGGTAGCCATTCACTTCATATAAAATTTCGACTAAACTTTTTCAAAGCGACACGCTCTCATTCGAAGCTTGGGTATCCTTCATGTCAGCGTTCAGTGGACATATCATGCCCTCAACTTTTAAGATCTCCGCCTACGAGTTGCCAGGGAGGCCTCTTCCTGGACTTGAATCCATCGGTACACGCCTAAGCGCTCTGACATTCGATACACTGACGTACCTCCACTTCTCTACTGAGGCTATTAAATTGCTATCTCTGAACCGCGATATTTTGAAGTTCACGAACTTGTCTGTCCTTGTGCTTGAACAGGCTCATGATAGCGACGAACTCCTTTGGAACACATACGGTGGTGATTCTGGAGAACGGCCAGTATCGACAGATAGACTATTTCATTTCTGGAGTCGCGCTGTGCACGAAGCTCATGCCTTTTTCAAGCTGAAAGTATTGGTTTTGAGGGGGTTCGTTGTGAGGCCTGAACATCTTGCCGGCCCACTAGCGTTCCCCGCGTTAGCCCTGTGTAGTACCAATTCTGTCTGCCTCCTCAGAAGTCTCCGTACTTCTAAGCGAAATGGAGATGTATACGATGATGGTATCTGGCGATGTCTTCATATAGACAGGTAGGCGTGCTCAGCATCGTGATTCATGATACCAAAACTAATTTCCAATGCTAGTGATGATGGCCACAATAGTGCAGTTGCACTTGGTCACGACTTGGACTATGAGTTCAAGAGAGAAGATCTTACAAAACATCAAAAGATGCAAATACTCTACGACTTTGCAATCTCACGAGCTCCCACGGATAGAGTCGCCGATAAGCCTGTGATATCGATCGCTCATGGCAACCCAAAGCTGTACAACCCAGAGTTCACAAAGGATTGTGTCTGGTTCACTCGTGTTGGGTGGGAATCAGCACCGAACATCCATGATCAGAAAAGTGTCATTGATAAGAACAAAGACGAAGCTTCCCGCGATGGGTCGAACAAGAGGAGGAAGATGAGGGGAGGCAAACAACAGGATATCGGTTCACTGCTTGAATCTTTCAGTGCGTAAACCCTACGTTGTCACAAAAGCGAAAAGGATCTCGTATAAACGGTGAGACATGGCCTGGTTGCATTACCGGCAAGTACGGCTGCTTTCCTTCGACAACGGACACTTTGTCTCGAAGGAATGCACCACGACATTTGAAGCAGCTTCAAGTTTGTAACATGAAGCGCATTCGAAACTATCTTAATGGACTAGGCTTCAGATGCCAGGCACTCAAAAAGATGCAGGTCAGGCAAGAAACATCAAGTACGAAGTAGTGACTGAAACATGTAACTATCGCTGAACAAGTTTGGATATCTTTAATGAGTTATGACAGAGTTAAAAACTTCAACGAGAACGGACAAGAACCTATTTTTAAAGAACAGAAGAAAAAGAGGAAGAAGGAAAATAGTAGCCTTTGGTATTCTGTCTATTCCATCCATTCCTACGACCCCTGAATGCATTCCAGTGCACTCATGAAGCTACCTTATCTCCCTCCGAAGAATTCATTCTACGCTGTGAGGGTCGTGTTGCTAGTCACGCCCTGGCTTTTCTTGTAATCCTCCATCATCTTGCTGATTGGCGCTTGACGGCCCCACTGCTCCAACTCAACCATCTTGTCTACCTCGTTCATGCTGAGAAGGATAGCTCCCGTAGGGGCCGTGTTCTCCTCCTTCGACTCTTGACGGCGCTCAGGCTTGCCCTCAGATGCGGCAGCGCTGGCAGAGGGTCGTGTTGCCTCTTCAGCGCCGGTAGGCGAAGCTTTGGCCTCACCTTCGGGAACAGCAGCTGCGGCCTCACCTGCTGGCCTGGGAGTGGCAGTCTCGGCTGGCTGGGCTCCTCCTTCGGGCCTGGCGGTCTCAACAGCAGCGGCGCTCTCGGTAGCCTGGGGCGTCTCCGGTTGAGCGGCAGCTGGAATCTGACCTTCAGCGGCAGGGGGCTGCTGCTGCTGCTGCCCGGGTGCAATGGGAGTGACAGATTGGGCACCCCTCGCGGCCTCTGCGGTCTGCATCATGAGGATGAACTCTCCGTCAACCTGGTTGACGGGGATAGCAATGCGCATGTTGATGGGATCGATGACGGCCTGGGCCTGAATGGGCGTGAATGTAGGCGCGAGGAGAAGCTGGGTAGCGGCGGGGTTTTGCTGCTGGATGGGAGTGCCCTGCTGGATCTGGCGGGCGACATTGGCGCGGTGCTCCGAGATGTCGCGGGCAAGACGTCCTGCGGGTTGGCCGACGCCTTGGAGTTGGCCGGTGGCGCCGCCAGGGTTCTGGAGGACACCTCGTTGTGCTACGGAGAGAGCGACTTGCTGGTTTCCCTGTACTCCCATTTGCTGCATCATCTGCTGAATGCGTACCGCGTTGACTGGTGAGTGGTGTTAGTCTGATTATCGTGGGAATTGAAGGCGTATACGAACTTGGCATCTGGATAACAGTAGCCATCCTGTTGAGATCGGGCTGGACTGCAGCCAGACTAGTGGTGACGGAGTAGCGGAAATCATCTTCACGGTCTTATAAGTACGCGACGATAAAAGCTCTGGTGCTGCAGACTCACTGATTGGCTCCTGTCCTTGCAACGCCGTGAGCATGCCCCGATCGACGCCATCCTTGACATCGACGTTCATGGAAACCGGTTGGGTAGCACGAACAGACATCCTGAATCCGTCCTGGAACTCGTTCTCTTGGAGACCGGTACCTTGGATGACGACGGTGTTGGCTTGGTCGCTGCCGAAGGGGACGACAAGAGTGTTCGTCTCGACGGTCTGGCGACCAAGCGCCATGTACTCCCCGTCAAGGCTGGTGCGCTTCACCATGCGAACGCTCATGTCGGAGCTGAGTGATATCAGATGGCATAACTTCTTGAATGATACAGTTCATGAACTTACATATTGACGCTCCTCATCGTCTCCTGGATGATCCAAGTCTGGCGGTCAGGTGACAGCATAGCGACGTACAAATTGTCGGGGTTCACGGCATTCTGTTGCAGCAAGGCCTGGTCAATTGGCATTTCCACCTGTCCGCCGACCAGGTCCGTAGCACCATTCGTGTTGATAGACAGTGACAATTGCGACATTGCGACGAAGGGCTGTCCCGTGGTGCCAGTTACCTGGTCGGGAGGGATAGCAGGAGTCTGCTGATTAACGATTAATTGCTGCTGCTTCTGCGAGAAGGTCTCGACCGTCGACCTGTCCGGAAAGGTGAAGGAGTTCAGCTCCATCTGAAGATACAGTGTTAGTGGTAGCCATGTCATGTAAAGTGATGAGCATACGAACATCGCCATTGATATTAAGTACTTGATTAAATTGTGCATTGGGCGTTCTGATCTGTGCCAATGCCTTCGCACTGAAGAAGAGAACAAAAAGGGAAGAGACAGTACCAGACGTCATGGTTGCGGTAGAAGGAATGAATAGCCACCTGGGCTACGTCGTTAAAGTCTGATTAAAGAATACAAAGGAAGGTTAGAATATCTAATGTAACAATTAGAATGAACGGCGGGGGACGCAGCTGATCGAGCAAGCGGAACAGACGACGACAGAACTTGGCTGCGTATCCGGTCAAACGTCTATATATCAAGAGAAAGCTTTCTCTTCATTCCCCCTTCGGCTGCGGCCATTCCGCGGCTGATGTTCCGGTGTCATGTTGCAGACTTGAGAAAGTGAAGAGGCTCCGTATGCGGTATTGTCGTTTCCGATTCAAGCAAGTGGTGTTATGCGATGCGCCTGGAACTATGAAGCCAGGCATGCTGAAATGAGGGCCAAAATTGGGATGGTTTAGTGTGTGTAGCTACAAAAGTTGAAGTAGTTTTGATGTCGGTCACCGCCGTAGCCGTCTTGGCTCTGTGTCTTCTCTGCTTGTGATCTGTTTCATGCAAAAATTTAGTTTCTAGTCTGAAGCTTGAACAATAAGAGGCTTGGCAGCTCCTCGATTATGGGACGTATCCATGAATCATGAAACTTCATAGTTGGTTTGTGAGTCGTTTGTAGATCCAATGCGGAGGCACATCATCGTGACAATTTGCCTCCTTGGTCCATCGATTCTCCGCCCGCATCATGGAGAAGTTCTGAATACGCCTTAAAAAAAGGGCGAGTAAATATCCTAGCCACCCAGCTTGCTGCACTACAGAGTATCCTTTCTGTAGAGCGATACCCCAGCAATCATTTCAAAAAGAAGCTCAACCATAATACCTACCACCTGCAGCAATTAACTCAATTCGTCATGCTAGCATCCTAGCACTCCAAAAAACCATATGATCATACTCTCACGAAGCAGACACAAAACATCGCGCACAGGGTATCTGTCTTTTCAAACGATCGTAAAAAGATGGCGCGAAACAGAGATGTTTGAAGTTGGTGTTTCGAGCTGTGGCGTCGTCCTGAGGACCTACCTCGGAATAAACTTAAGCTTAAAGTCGGATCATCCTATTTATGGAATCTCGCTCCGCTCATTGTGGACTAGCGTCCAAACTCAATGTTCAGGACCATGAACGATTTGGCAAAGAGGTGATGGAAATGGGAAATTTCAAGAAATGGGAAATTGAATTTTAAGAATAAGGGGATCAGGTGTAGAGTTCCTAAGACTAAGATGAATACTATACTTCAAGGCCAGAATCGTTTTGGAGAAAGCAGTGAGGTTATACAAATCTATTTGTTCGTGCTACTGGGTCAAGAACGTTTCAGCTACCACGATTTTCAGACTCGATAATGCAAGGCGGATGGAATCACAGTTAGTCTTGACTGATTCAAAACCTAGCTCCCTGAATTTTCAAGGCAATCAAGTCCATTGACAAACTACAGCAAAGTCGCATTATTATGCACGTAAATGATGGATCTTAATAAAATATTCTTCAATTCTTCGAACTGAGTATGTAGTAAAACAAACGCCATGTCATGCTTTCATGAGTCAATCAGCAATATCCGGTCTAAGCCAGGACATTTAAAACCAGCATCAATAAAGGAAAAGACGAGTAACGCCTCTCTCTATTTACATGCAAGCAGCGCCATCAATGCCGATGACCTTTCCGTTGACCCAGTCGCCGTCCTGGGAGGCAAGGAAGGCGACGACGCGGGCAATGTCGATGGGCTGGCCAACACGGCTGTGTGGTGACCAGGTAGCTGCGTACTCATCGACTTGGTCGTTGTCGAGCTTGTCACCATTGGGAATGTACTCTCTGCAGACTGCGTGGTACATGTCGGTCTTGATGCCGCCAGGAGCGACGCAGTTGACGGTGACCTTCTTCTCACCGGCATCTGTGTTGTCGTTAGTGCCTAGATGTAGTGGGGTAAAGGGTACAAGAACTTACCGATGGCCATGCACCTTGTGAAGGTCTCAATGGCACCCTTGGAGCCAGAGTAGACGGCGTGCTTGGGTACCCCCTTGGCTTGACCAGTAATGGAGCCCATGAGGATGATTCGGCCTCCAACTTCCATTCGCTTGTAGGCCTCCTTAGCAACGAAAAATTGGCCGCGGGTGTTGATGCTCATGACACGGTCATACTCCTCCTCATCGACGTCCTTGAAGTGGCCGAATGAGACAACACCAGAGTTGGAGCAGCAGATGTCGAGCTTGCCGAAATGGGCAATGACCTCGTCCATGAGCATGGCAGTCTCCTTGGTGTTTGCGACGTTGGCCTTGACAGCAACGGCGTCGGCACCAGTCTTCATGGCCTGGATCTCCTTGACGACCTCATCGGCGGCTTCGGAACTGTTGGCATAGTTGACGACAACTTTGGCGCCACGACGAGCAAGCTCGAGAGCCATCTCCTTTCCGATACCACGGCCTGTGCAATTGTCAGGATCCCTTCCCCCTCACGTTTCAGACTGGTTATGCTAGAAGGCTTACCTGAGCCGGTGACAACGGCAACCTTGCCCTCAAGGCTCCAAGTGGGAATGGTAGTGTTAGCGGCCATTGTTGTGATTAGGTGAATTTTAGTAATGGTCGAAGAGAAGTGCTAAAAGAACTTGATAGATTCACTAGGAATACTCGGAAGGCCAAATGGTGCAGTAGAAGAATGCAGATGGAGACCTGGTGGTGGTGATGATTGATAGATAAAGAAAATATTTACCAGCCCAGGAGCAGAATGCAACATATATGCTCTCATCGTTTCGGTACTCAAAGCGGAGAATTGGAGAGAATCAATAGATTGTGGAACAGATGCTTCAGTATCTCAGAGTTCCGCAAGCCATCTCCATACATTCCTGCCCCTGTTGTGGATTGCCATTTCCGCCAGGCCCATTCTCCGTTGTTGCGGCTGGCGGACAAACATCGACACTTCCGTCAGCGTAGAGTAAAGATTTACGATCAAGCCTATCCGCGTCCATACCCCGAGGACTAGCGCCCGAGGGAGAGCCAGAGCCTCGTTGTCGCAGTAGTTGTTTACTTGCTCCTGTGAAGTTTACTGCTGGAGATTTCGGGAAATGGGCGGGGCCGAAGGCACGCTTCAGCCATGATCTTCAGGCGTGTCAGCATAGGCAAGATATCATTGGCTGTTAGTATTAAGGGCATGTAGGATGCAGCAGACAAAGATGAACATCACTGATGAACTAGGAACGTTGAGAATCTTTGGAAGAATTTGTTGTTACAGTTGCATTCGAGATGATGGGGAGAGGTCTGGATGGAATGGAATTCTGGTTGTGTGAGCCGGACTTGGATCGCGTCTGGACTTTGCAATTGTAAAGCGCACCAGTACTAAAGCATCGATCACTTCTGCGAGGAAGATATTAACAGATGCCTCTGGAGCTTCGTAATATTTGAGAACAGCGTAGATGGCAATGCGGATGCCGAATTCGATGACGTTGTCTGCATTGGGCTGTAGGATGGATTTCTTTGGGTGTTCGAGGAATGGAATGGTCATGTGACTCTCCGTTTTGAGCCGAAACAAGTTGGGAGGCTCTGATTGGCTGTCGGATGGGGGTTACCCTATTTCGACCTCGTGCGTTGAAACACTGCATGGCCAAGCAAACATGGCCAAAGTTTACAGTTGCACGGTACGAAGGGAGTCCATCATCGAATGGCTCCCCATGTTCTGTTGTCCACTGTAGTCATACACAATGTCCGACAGTACATGAGGGTTGTTTCGCAAATCGGCAAAAGGCGCTGCATTATCGTGTTGTCGTACCCGCTACCCGTACCCGTAATTAGCAGAGAGCATGGCGCTGCACACACCGCGCGTGCGCATCGGCTCCGCACTATCTCAAGGATTTGCGCGTGTTTTGACTTCGTATCTACAAACAGATAGAGCATCAGATGGCCCGTGCATGTACGGTACGGACCTCACCTCTTCATCCTTTCATTGCCGTCAGTGAAAGGTTCGCACTTTAAGCATACCAGGGATCCAGTTGTACCCATTCAATCGGATGCTTGAAATGGGAAGGATTCGCCGGTGAAGGGGGAGCTTCGTAAAAATAAAAATATGTGCTTATATTTTACTTCTTGCAGGGTAGACACGGACAGTGTCTGCAGGTTCCCGCACATTATCTTCAGCCCATGGTCAGTGATCATTGCCTGAATTATTGTAGGGAGTATCTCTCATACGATATGCCCTCAATATAGAGAGCTGGTCATTGATAAGGATTTCAAGTACATCCCATTTTCAAAGCAATGGTGTTATGCTTGTGGTTTTGCAGCAATCCACATCTAGCTCTTGAAGTTGACCCAGTACGTTCACAATCTCTTTCCAAAGTTCCTGATAACACGTTTATTTGACTGGGTATGTGTCACATATTACCATGGGTATACGTACGCATGAGAGCTATGAGTGGATAATAGAATTCTGCATGCTGCACGCTGAGGAGAGTCAGTGAGTTATAATACGTGCATAACAACGCATCCACGAACCTGGAAGGATACAACGAGAGTTTTCAGAGAACCCAAAATGAGCTGTTTTATTTGAATGAAACAGTCAAAAAATGTGAATCAAAATGGGTATCGTGAATGGCATATTTGGGAGCAGTGAAGATTCCGGGAGGAGAAGCCGGGATATCAAAAGTAGAGAATGGAAGAAAAAGAGTTTCGATATTGGGGCACGAGACGAAGTGCGGGAAACCCCCAGATCTCGAGAAAAGCGCTCGATTCATCAAGAAGCACCATGCGAACCGTCATACGGAACGGCGCATCCGTAATGATGAGAAAGGTTCCCGGCTCCGCGTATGCCATTGGATCTCGTCGATCACATTCACTATGCATGCGAGAGGCACACATAGCTTTCTCTGGCAATCAGCATGATTCTTTTCGGCCCTTTCCAGCATTTTTCTAGGCATGGCAATTACGTCGTATCCATGAATTCTTGGTTCCGAACCGTCTCGTCATGCTTGATAATGGAGATAGGCACAAGGACAAAATAAATGCCACGGATTCGAAGTTTTGGGCATTTCCGTAGAATCAACTTTTACAACTCTTGATAATCTTTCATAATCGAATTGACAATGTACTACTACCAAGATCCGGAATCTTGATATTGTACGTTTCTGCAACACGCACGGATCTCAATATATCTGGCAGGAGTGACAACTAACGGCTTTCCCCCCTCAAACTCCGTCATTTATTGGGGCCCTTTGGGGGCGAAAGAGTAGGAGCAACAGGCTAGCGGATCATCAACTTTTCGGTCGATTGATGCAACAGGGACAAAAACAATAGCTTACCAATTTGCCCAAAACCTACAAGTCCGGTGAAGATCAGTGAAGCGGGACCAGAATGATGGTGACACATCTTAGTGTGCATGCATTCAGATTAGAAGTACTGAGTATCATTTTGATTGTTTAAATTCTGCACACAGGGGGCGGCGAATATCACCGGTTACACGGCAGTTCGTTGTTGTGAAAGGGAGATGAGGTAGAGGTACATGCATGTGGAGCGCCGCGTACAACGGCCTTTGTACGAACTGCTCGAATTGGGATGACGCCCTTTCTTCTATCTAGCCTATGAACGTACTCTCTCTGAGAAAAGTTATTTTGTTTTGCTGGGGATGGTCCGAAATCTTGGGTAGATCTCGATTGTCCACGCAATTCGAACCCACACAATGGATGATACAACAGTCAGAAAGGTGACGTGTAGTCCAAATTGGGCCTTCTAGATCACACAAAATGCCATATGCTGTGTCTCTTTCTAAGAGTCCTTTGCCAACGCTTAGTTCCGTGAGTCCACGCACCGGCTCGTTTTCCACCCCACAGTCCCAGTAACCAAACACTCAAAGTGAATGGGGAAATTCAGAACCAGATCCATCAACTACAATGTCCATATTCTCAATTCTAGACCCTCCAAGAAATCAACCCTATTAAAATCCCATCTACAAAACTTTCTGCTCAAGCAGTTCTGTAGATCTTACCCTTTGGGGCAATTTAACCACCACCGGGCAAGCTTTCCGGGGCGGCAACGGGTTGTAAGCCTTTCACCCAACCAACAACACATGCATGCAAACCCCAAAGCGTTTTCTTCCTTGTCCCCTCTCCCGCCGTGCGCCCCACTGATACACAGGACAGAAGACGATCCCGTAAGGAAATCCTGTAGGAAAATCTGCAAGGGAACCTGTCCTTGTCATCCATCGTCATATCATAGCACACCTACTTACACACATGACGGTGAAAAATAACCACCGACATGCCGGTGCTATGGACGCCATCTATACGACAATCACTTACACGCTTCCCTCTTTGCGTTATACGTATTTGAAAAAAGAGAGTAGTTTCCCATGTATATGCTACAATATAACATATCCGACACCATGTGTGTGACGGATTTCAACGCTACGGTGAATCCAAGTGCGGGCACCCGTTGTCACTTTTATCCATTACCCACCTTTTCTCGACTGAGTTGCCAAAAGCAAACATTCAAACATGAGTAATGTTGGTCTCGACGGTCAATTGAGGCCTATTCCCCTTGATATTGTTGATAAGAAGGGAGGGAAAGAGAGAAAACGTGGTCGACATATCTATGGTACGTACCCAAACATAGCGCAATGGTTCATCACTTGTAATCCAATGCTCTGTACGCATGTATACAGAACATGTACATACGTACGTACGTCAAAAGTCAAATAACGGCCGCGATCGTTTGGGGCCTACGTTCGATGGCGTTTCTTTTGCACTTGCATCACTGCCGACATCCAATCCCAAATCCCATCCACGCCCTCATCCTCATCCTCATTCGAGGACGATGGCTATCTGCACCAAGACCCAGAGAGCCACCGAAAGACAAGGCTCACATGCTGGTTGGCTGGTTCATCCAGAGACATTGACTAAACCCTCCCATCTCCCTTTGTCAACACCCACACAGGACCCTTGGCCCCGTTGACTGGGTAGATGCACTGGATGGACGGATGAATCGAGCCACTGACTGACTGATGCATGTACCCATCCATCCTTCTTTCTGAAGCACCCGGCCGCGTAAGCTGTCCACAATGCCCGTCGCGACGCATGGAAGGGTAACTATGCGAGCCCAGAGTCACTCTCTGTCCAACTCAACTCAGGATGTACCGTGTACACAACACATACGTACGTTCATCCGTCCCACGAGGGCGTTCCCGTCCATGCGTTTTTTCCTGTCGCCTTACGCGGCGCAGATTACGTTTGTGGCGCCTGTCTTCTTACATGTTTGTAGGGCAATCGCCTACAGACCTTAACGTTCGATGTCGATGGTGGGAGTGGAGTGGTTGTCTACTTGACTCGTCGAGGATCTTAGCTCGGAGTAACCCGACCACATCGAAAAAAACCCTTTAGGGAGTATGGACTTTCCACTCCCGGTAAGGATATAACTCTTTCTATTCTAGACAGGGAAGCGTATGCCCATGCCCAACCCCCCGGGACCATATGCACCCAGGTTTCTGATAACCCATCTACCTACCTACCCATTATATCTTTTGATCTACCTACCTGCCTGTACTGCAAGCATGCAAAGCCAAAGCAGTGTGACGGACAAAACCAACGGTTAGCCGATGGAAGAGGGGCAGACATTGACTTCCTACAAACCACCGCAGAACACTATATGGTGTAACAGAGGTACATACCCTTTCTCTTTCCTCACACCCTCCCCCTCCATCGACTTGTCAGAGCCATTGCACTATCACATCGCTTGTCTTAAAGGATCATATCACTTAACACATACACTGTATTCGCCCCTAATCGATACGCCACACCTCTGTAAGAAACGGAAAGCAAAACAACGACTACTACCTTGAGCTCACTTGAAAAAGAAGAGACCTAACCCTTTCCCTACCCTATCCTATCCCCCTTCGTTAAGCCACTCAAGTCATCGACGCCCCCCCCAAGCCCTCTCGACTGAGGGAAAAGAAATGACGAAGCGAGATCCATTGCGTGCTTACTCCACACTCAGGCCCCAAGAGTCGACCCTCACGCCTATCTCGCCTCGACATGTTACCGACACATACACACGCCCACCACGGTGTGACGTTCTTGTCGTAGGTGAAAGCGGTAGTTCGGTCCAGAAACGCACACGCCTCGTCAGCGTGCTGTCTCGACCGCCCAACCATCGACCTTTGACCCCGCCGACGAGGCCGATGACGGTGTGTGAATGAGACCAATCACCTCCTGGAGCAACCACGCACATTTAATCGAACGTACACATGAAACACAAGCGTAATCATTAGAAAAAGCAAATATGACTGGAAGCGATCCCAAGATCAGCCGATGAATGCAACTCCCATTCCCTGATACGCTATCCTCCCTACCCATTTGGCGACCCTGTCCGTCCTATATCAAACGCATATACCCAATCTCGATGATGGAAAGAAAGGTCGCTTGTGAGGGACATAATCCGGCATTACTCTAATTGGTAAAAGAAAGAAAACACCAATGAAAAATATACCCCGCCCCATAAAGACTAGGGCATCCTGTTCGCTGCCACATTAAAGGTAGGCATGCGGGACAGACCTGATAAGGTAGAAGACGGAACGCCTCACATTACAATTTCATCTAATGCTCGACAGTATCCTTTCGTAATGTACATCATCAGTGAGTCCTCAACTCTTGGGTATATGCCCTTATCCAGAAGCCGAATGGAGTTGAAACGATTCATTCCCGAGGATGTTGTTAACGCCTGTTTCGTTACTAACACCAACAATCAAAAACGCCGGTAAGCCGCACATTTGAAAAAACAAACCACAATGTGATGGCTGATGCAATAGCATGAATAGAAGTGAATGGATGCACAACTATTGGAATAGCTCAACAGTTTCCAGGATCGTCTGGGACGAGTCGGTTTCATCCCATGTTGTCATGGCACCCTAAGCCCTAGCAAACTTCTCAAGCTTGCTTCGAATACCATCAGAGAATCTCGTTGCGATGCCTGCGCCAATGACCTCGATGCAATGTAGCACGACCTGGAAGGGATCGTCAATTGGCATTGGCGACCCATCCAGTCTCGATAGCATCGGAGTTCCTTCTCTCGTCGTCAAATACCTCACGACGGCCGGGTGCTCAACGGGTAAAACCTCCACGGGGAAGGTTGCGGAAGCTTGATGAACAGGCGCTACTATTTCTTTGTGGATCGCTGCAAGCGCCCAAAGGATGAGAGCAACGCGATACATGGCACCTGGCCACCACGGTGGCCGGATGGCTAGAGGCATATCTCTGGTGAGTCGAAGCACCTGGCCGCAGTGGACGGCCGCTTCGTGTACATCGTAGATGCACTTCTGCTGGACGAAAGTCGTGGATTGAAACATCGGATCAGCATTCTCCTTTCTTGCCAGCCGCTCGATCTCCGGAAAGTTAGTCACGGCATTGAGGTTGATCAAATGATACATCACAATACTCGCTTGCAGCATTGGGCACATCGGGTTCGACTTAAGGTACCTTTCAGTCAGGTCGAGCCAACGCTGAAGAAGAGATTGCACTTCTTCAAGACGAACCCTGGTCGAAGCAGCCGTCACTGCTCGCGATCCTTTTCTTGTCCCGATACTCTCCATGGAGAAGCAGCTTAGCAGCTGGCAGTACTGGCAGACCATGCTCTGCAAAGGATGGAGCAGCAACCGCAAATGCAATGGCGTTAGGTGTATATCCTGAGACACGATTGTATCGTCAAGGAAGTGACGGAAAAGATCTCTCAAACTGAGTGGTCTGACGCCCGAACCAACTGAGGGATAACCATTAGAGAATTCATGGACATGGTTGAATACCTCAGCCCAGTCTGTCGCTGACTTCGATTGCCATAACCGGTCAGCATCCGGCATTGGAGCCTTGAACTCCGTAACCGCAAATAAGGGAGCTGTATCATGGAATAGGGAAAGATCTTGGTCAACCATTGCCCAGGAGTACACCAACCTAAGAGTGAAAGGGTTAGTAAGCTATTTCACGTGATCATCAAGGCAGATGACCTTGATCTCGAGACAAGGATATTCGCCACTTACCGACTCTCGCTTTCCTTTGAAAGCCAATCTTGCCAAATGGTATCTACAGTCGCAGCACCGTTCGTGTGGAGATCTGAGGCCTGCCTAGGCTCGAGAACACCCGAGTGCCTAAGCATCGCGAAGTACATACCACGCTGGCCCATGGCGATGTCCATTTGCCACTTATCACCACTCCACGCGGCCTGGACTGTGAAGAGAAGGGCAGCTCTGAGGACGATGTTGTCGCTGGCCATAATGATGTTCTTCTCGATCAGATCGAACAAGGAGATGCGGCAAGCCTCGGTCAATCCACCTGTCAACCATCGCGCCTCAGCGAACGGCATCGCCATCGCACCTTGCGCAATCATCATCAGGAGGAAAAGGCTTGCGGCTTTGTCGTTATAGTTCGTCATCAGCTCGTTGGGCTCGATCAAGCCACGAGAAGACATGGGAAAGAAGCGCTCGAAAGAGTTGGCATATGATCGAAGGAAGCATTCGAGGACACGACACGGCGGTAGCAGAATGAAGTTCGATGCTATTGAAGTCGGAGAACTTCCGCTCGAAGGCGAGCTGCTGGCGCCGTCCTTGTGGATTTCCAAAGCCTTATGCAAAAAGCCTTGCGTGATGGCGAGGAGCTTATCGCGAGTTGCCTCGTGTAATGGCATGACACTGACAGGCTCGCCAAGTCGGAAATCGGACTCGTCCCACGTCGGTGTCCATTTTGCCCATAAACTCGAATTTTTGAGACTGTCCTCTAGGCGCTCGAGGTTGAGTTTTGCGGTGCGTGGGCAATGGCTGGAGGAAATCTGTGGCGTACAACGAAAGACAGTCCAACCATCCTGCGCCGCAACGATAGCACCAAGATCTGGAACACGATCTTCGGTGATGGAGGATTGCCTGCTATTTGGGTAGAACATGGAGGCCGAGCTGCCGAGCTGAAGGTCCGAAAATGACTCGTCCACCCTCGGCGTTTGCAACGGCGTTTGAACAGGTCCAAAGCCTTGTGGTGGTGACATTTCGGGTAGAATTCCCAGCATGGGATCTGTTGGTGGGACCATGTTCATGTCTATGTTCATGGACATCATCATCGTCGGATCGATTCTCATATTTTCGAACTCGTTACCCACGGGCATTGACCACGGGTCCATAAAACCATACGTAGGAGGTATGCAATCATGGTCGGTAGGCTCACGAACCGTCTGTGCAAACTCCTCATAACCGGACATGGGTGTCTGCGAAATGAAGCCATTAAGAGGTGCCCCCGGAGATAAGAGTTGCTGCGGCGCCATTGGGAAAGAAGCCGTAGGAGACTGGTCAAACAGGGGCGGGGTCGTCGCTTGAGGGTTGTGGATATTGGGCTTCCCGTCCGAGGCAGCTGGTGTTGGAATGTGGAGTTGCATGGGCTGAGATACTGACGAAGTACGGGAATGTGTCATCGAGGGAGGTGTGGAGAGCGGTAATTGAGATGGGGGTGCATGCTGTTGCTGCTGCTGCTGTTGTTGAGGTAGCGCCTGTCCATTGAGGATTGGTTGACTTTGTCCTGGTGACAACTTGGAGTTTGTTACAGCTTGTGAATCTGCTGGTGGCTTTACCTCGCGGACGGGAGAGTTGCCTCCCGAAACGCTCTGAGATCCTCTATTACTGTTTCCGCGCTCGCTCGAGGCCCCGCTTGCCTGCGGCTCTTCCGGAGGTATGGCGCGATTTAGGTTCTTGGAGGCCCGGCGCGTTGGACGCAGTGTGCAGCGGAGATTTCGGCTCTCACATCGACTGCAAGGAAACTTCTTATCACATTTGGTCTTGGTTTTGGCACAATTGCTGCAAGCAATCGGGGTTCTTCCAGCAGATTTGGGGATTAGACTCGTTGGCTGTATGCCTTCTTGGTTGTTCTGATCTCGTCCGTGGACCGTGTAGTGGCGTTGTAAGAGGTCACTATAGAGGGAACAAAAGTCAGTGGATGAATTCCGCAGTCATTCGAATCGAAACTGGACGGCATTTCTGCTGAAATATCGCGGGTTAACGTACCGGCGAGCAAAGCTCATGTGGCAGGTATAGCATTTGAACGGCTTTACGTTTGTGTCTGGAAGAGGAAGAGATAGTCAGTATCGTGAGCTCTGGGGGGAAGGGGAAATGGAATTGTTCGAAGTCAACTTACGAGTAAGGATATGTCTTTCCAGATGCTCATCTCTGGTGAAAGACTGGCCGCAATACGTGCAGAACACCATAGTGCTCAACGAGGTCGACGTCTTCCGCCGTCTTGAGGCCCTGATAACGTGCTATGTAGAAGCACGTATGTCTCATCCAAAACAACGTATCCTGGATTGATGAGACGATGAACAAGGTCCTCTGAGAAAGACAGTGGCAACTGGAACGTCAACCGGATATATACTTTGGTCAAGGGTGCAATGCCCAAGACGATGCAAAAACAACGCTCGATTTCGACAGGAGTGATGGGAGGCCAGTGCTGTTTGTTTCCACAACCAAGGATGAGAGGGAATTGAACGGTGGACTTGGGAAGTGTAGAATGAGACAATCGGTATATACGAAGTGCTTGTCCCAGGGCCACGGGGAGACTTGAGGTGTGGTTCGAGCGAGCAGCGTATTGGTGGCCAACAGAAGATATTTTGGTAGCGACTAAGAGAGACAGGTTAAGTGTCAAAAGGTTAACGTCGTTCAGCCGAAAGTTTCAGATGGTATGCTCAGAGAGGTTCAGGCAGGCAAGCAGGCAAACAAAGTAGAAAGAGGTTGTAATTATGTCAGAGCGGCTGTGAGCTTGGTGGAGGTGGTGCCAGGATGGGATGGGGAGCTGAGGATAGACGGACGACAATGACAACGATGAGTAGTGCCCTAAGGTCAATCGACGACACGACGACACGAGGAAGAACATGTATTACAAGACGAGCAGGGAACCAGGGCCGGCAACGACTGTACTGTGAGCAAAGCAACAACAATTGAGGGGAATGAATGGAAGGGTTGGGAAAGGAAGCAAAGAAGGGCAGTTGCAGGACAGGAAAGGTGTGCAATTGAGGGAAGAGACGCCGGGCTGGGATATGGTGCTGTGTGCATTGGGTACTCTTGTTAGTGCTCCCTTCCCTAACGGGGAACATAGGGTGCATAATCAGAAGGCCAGGAGACAGGCCCCAAGCCGCTCGCAGCGACGATGCTCATTCAACTGAGGGCTCTTGGGGCGAGGTGTGTCTGGCTCCCTCCGCGACAATGATGATGATGGTGGTGGTGGTGGATGGACATGGGCCAGCTAGTGCATCCGTTACATGCGGCGCCAGGCGCTTGGGATATCCTGGTTAGAGCATGGACACCAGGCTAGGAAGCGTCTGAGGGACTGGACTGAAGTTCATTGAGGCAGTCAGAGTAGAGAGAGGGTTTTGGAAGGGTGGAGGAGGCAGGGTCGGTGTGAGTGTGTGTGTGTGCCCCAGCCCAGTTTGCTTGGCTGAGAACGGAGCACGACAGAGAGGTAGAGACGAGTCGATAAGGAGAGCAGGGATGTCTATACTGCACGACTTGTAGCAACCATTCCTACAAAGTAACAGGAGATAGTTAATAGATGCTTTACAGGACGAAGACGAGGACACGGGCCTTGTCGAAATCTGACGATCACACAAGCACAAGCCTAAGTGGAGCTCAGTGGAGGCTGTCCGATGGGACTATCCATGGTGCAAGACTGCAAGTGTTGATTGTAGGTAAAAAAAGAAGACACACTGGAGGGAGGGATTCGATGGGGAGTGGTCCATGCAGAAAATGACCAAGTGGGAACTGGTACGATATCCTCAAATGGTAGAGGAATGATAGTGTACATTGTATAGGGTGTAGTGGGCAATGGGCAATGGGATGTGCGTCGGTGGCTCAACCCCTGGGCGCGGGAGTGGTGTGAGTAGTGTAAAGTGGTGTAAAGTTAGGTAGTGTAAGTAGTAGTGGGAGAGAAAGTGGGAGGATAGCTATCCAGCACGAGTATCGTCGTTTGTAGGTAAGTCGTCGTCGTCAGTTCGTATCCAAGAATGGGAATGGAACATGGGGATGGGTCAATGATTGGGGAAAGGAACGAAGCGGGCGCTGGCGGGCGAGCGCGGAGCCACTGGATGGTAGAGAACGCAACCAACGCACCCGTACGTACTGCATTGCACCAGCGCCGCACCCACACCTTTTTTCAAACAATGAAACAACAAATCTCGCATACAGGTTACGACCAAACAGTAATCAATCCCATCCCACCGTTTTGATACCGTAATCTTTCCCTTCCCCTTGTTCCTTGATTGCCATTCACCCAAATGCGGACGGACGTGCCTAGGTCCCGTTTTGGTTGGGGGGCAGTGGGAGGGGGCAAACGGGGGGGAGGAGAGGGGAGAGAACCCACACCCACTCACACCTTTCCACACGTACGCCCACAGGCCCCCCTTTACCCACACTTCCCTAAGGCATTCTTAGAGATCATCATAGACGTGCAGCATACTCGCTCTATCAACCAATCAACCTCATCGGAATTTCCACTACGAGGCATATCGTTGCTCCTCGGACTCCCCTTGTCCGTCTACACCACATACATGTATGTATGTACCTAGCTATGTAGCTATGTATGTAGGTATGAATATATGTACGCGCTAATTCATGTGCATATCTTCATCCGTACATACAGTTACAGTCACAGTAACAGCAGCAGTACGGAGCAGAGGCGTTCATATATCGTCTACCGTAAGTGTAATGTCGTTCATGCACGAAACATATCCACGCCGTCACCATCTGGACGTGAATCCCATGGACCAGGAGCTTCCGTCGGGTCGTATCTCCGTGATGCGCGATGTATTGCGACATACACATACATAGTACGAGGTGGTATAGTACATACATATATACATTCGTCCCGTCTGGAAGCTGGATATATGTAGGCACGTAGGAAATAATAAAAGGCGCACGCACGCACAAGTCCGAAACCTCGAACTCAAACCTATAGTCCACACCTCAATATACGATAACCATTTCGTGTTGTCCATCTGATTGATTTCCAGGCGAGACACGGGAGAATGTCCCATCAGGCGGAGGTTCCAAGGATGTTGTGTTGCGAATATGTCAGATTCCAGTTGTCGCTGACGAAGATAAAAAGTATTGGGACAGGGCATATTACCTAGCCTAACTATAACGATACTGCGCTCCATGTACTCCATGGATAGATGCGCATTGCTGCTCAGCATGACCCATCTTTCTCCAAGACTACAGCAAACAATCCTGTCGCTCGGGTGGCCTCCTGGTGAAGCTCTGCGGTAAGGCGGCCGCAACGGTGACCCTTTGGAATGTAGCGTTTGTTGTTAAGACCCACCACCGCACGGCAAGTCGTTGTACCTTGTCTTGCTCACCTTTTCAATGCGGTCTCATACGAGGACGATCGACTTTGAAGCACCGCAACGTCCCACAAGTAGCAGCAAAGGTGGAACAGGGTATCCATCGAGAGGATGGGACTCATGCGTTGTTTCGAGCTTGCATCCGCCTCGAAGAAAGACCGCCCGTATGGGCTGTGGACTTTGGCGAGGAGAGGACATGTACCTCTCTAGACTTGTCCCTGCAGTGGTAACTTGGCCCATAACGTGGTCCAAACCCGCTCAATTGTAAGACACCGGAGTACATGTACGTCCAGCACCTCGTGAGATTCCTACCTGGACGGTATTGCTGGCGCATGCATTGCTCGATGACTTGCCTTGGCTTCAGTAGTTAAGATAGTAAGCACCTCCATATTGCGTCCACTGGCGGCGAACCATGACCCTGCCCAGCGTTCTGTGAACAATGGCTCCGTGGCTCTCTCGAGATGCATTATACGAATGTCGTATCAGTGTCTTGGGGTTGCTCCCGCTCTCTAAATAATTCGGTACCAACTTGCCGATAAGGTATAGAGGATGGATGGTTTCACTCCAGCACATAGCTAGCTCGTGCCCGCCGCATCGCTGGCGCTGACTTGCCTATAATTATCTCACATCTATGGAGAAGAAGTGATTGGAAGGGAAGTTCGCGTCCTTTACGCCAGGGAGAGAGAGTAAACGATCCGCGTCGTCCAAGCTTTTCCACCCTGGCCTTGCCTAGTGGCTTCGGAAGTTTTGGGCGGTGCAAGAAGATTCAGCCCTGTCCTACTTTGGTCAATCGAGTTGGAGGGGGGAGCCCACTATCTCCCCATCAATTCTTGTAAGTAACAGAATGATCTCCCTCCCCCAAACCAATTCTCGCACTAGAGACGAAGCGGAGACCATCAACGGGCGCCATCGTCGATGGGCCTTACCGTTGCGGGCTCGAAAGTGTAGGTGTACCACAGAAACTCCCAACATCCCCCTCACCCTCCACCACCACTGTTCCGTCTGCGTGGTCAAACGGTTTTCCAATACTTTGCACCAAAGGAAACGCTGAGCCTGGATCATTCTTTCCATCAAATAAGATAAGAGAAATTTGATCAACAATTTGAAGATGCGCGCGAATTCGCAAACTCGAGCCTGGTTCGGCGGTCTCTAGCATTCGCGATCGAGTAGCGAATAAAAGAAAACTACGATCTTGAAGAACGCGCAAGCATGCTTCCAATGGATCGCTTCCATCGGCACAATGCTTGTAGATAGACAAACAATTAGAACGTGGGAAGATAGAACTACTTCCGACCATCGAGACCTATCAACTGCTGAAGCCGGCGAGAGGACCCCCAGATCGTCGCTGTGCCCCGGATGCGAGAAAAGCGCTGTTCGATCGTCCTTCTGGCTTGGGTTCTATCGTATTGCCTCCCCTCCTTCCCCCACCCAATCTCTACAAAGTAAAAGGCTCACGATGGCGAACGGACACCTTCCGAGGAAGAGGCAGTGGTTGAAAGGGCACGCTAGGCAGGCTGCGGAGAGCAATAGACTCCATTCCCCGTCTCCCAGCAATTTCCTTGAAAGGTCAGCAATAATGTAATAATTCTCGTCGTTACATCACCCTCGCCGACCACGCCGAATCAATAACATGCGAGTAATTACAAGCATAGGCATTTCCCACCCCTGTTGCATGAATTGTGATGCTTCAACGAGGTGCAGTATCTTGAATAATTGATCTGCGTATGTTGACACTTCATACTCGGCGAGATTGGAGAGGCGTACATTATAAGTGATGAGGCTGCCTGAGGGAGTTCCTGTTGGGAATAAAGTAGCGACATGAGCGCCGATCACTGCGTAGGCGACATGACTTGTGACTTTCCCTTGTACATACTGGACTAGAACTTGGACTGTACCGGTGTCTAATCCCCTTCCCTTGGCCAAACATTGCTAAGCGTCTACACGTATCACACCGCACACAATCCTCCCTCATTTTCCCCCCTGTTGCTTGCATAGCTAAGTTGCTTGTTATTTGCCGTGACCGGTCGCCACAAGTGCTGGCAATTCACTTTAGATATCCTCATTCTGGCGGCAGTCTGGAAAGCGATATGGTCCTAGCGGATCTACATAACATCTCGCTTGGAACAACTTGGGGTAAGGTCGAAATGCCCAAAGGAGACATGGAAACGGAACGGGCGTCACGGAGCATAACCATGAATGGAATGCTCCCAGCATGGTGGTTCGTCAAACAAACCCAGGTCGGCGATGCGTTCCCAGGTCCCTGGACTGCGAAGGCGCCCTGTGGCAATCTGAAAATCGTAGACGCACCGAAATGGCAAAGAAGGGACCTTTTCGATTCTTTCCCTGGTGGGATCACTGCTTGCAAGGATTCGACCGTGACACAGCCATCGGTAGTTGGTTATCTGGAAGATTGACATTTAAAGAAAATGGTTGATGGGATTCGGTTATCGACCGCTCGAAAAGGTTATTCCCGACATCGTTCAGAGTAATTCAGTTTGATCGAGGCCTCATTGGGTACTCAATTTCTGTTGACATGACAGACTCGAACGTGCGCCGCCTTCCAAGTACTATCGTTTCAAAGTCTAATGAGTCGACTTTTTGTTTGTCTATTTTTGTTATTGGTGATTAGTTTGTCGTTTGCCCCGGAAACCAAAAACAAAATCAGCGCAAGATCAAAGGATTTGCACACTTATTTCGGTAGGGCCCACCCTACTCGTTTGATTGATTTGACCATCGTTGGGTGAGGAGGTACGATCCACTGCCAAACCAAGGTCTTGGGAGTCACGCCTTTGCACTAGATACTTTCCAGCCACAGGAGCTCAACAACATCTACCTAGGTAGACAATAAAAAGCGTGGATTCAGTTCTCGTCGCCTCGACGAGAACTTCGAAGAATCGAGATCTTTCTTTTGATGTTGCAAGTTGCCCTGCATCCGGGGTTTGTGGTACCGATGCGGCTCTGCGATGAATGCGGAACCGCCTCAAAACAATGTGAAAGGTAGATAATACTTTGTGACAGAGATAATTACCTTTTGTCAACAAAACAAGGTAGCTTTCAACCCATCTGATTATCGTCAAGTTCGAACGTGAGATTTGGATCCAACTGGATTCACTACGGTAGCCGTGTTGAATCTTGAAAGTAATTTCGCATCCGGGGTCGACACAATGCCATCATCACTGAGAATCTGTTGGTGCGCGAGCATCGCCCAAAAGCAGACGGTGCAGCCAGCCACTGTACCCTTTGCAGCCTAGGGATGCCACCACAGCCGCGCGCCGCCGGCAGCTCGACCGTGAATGGTGGAGAACGAGGCCTGGGAGACACCTGATAGGAAGGGGGGAACGGATGGCAACGTTGCAATTAGAGCCTGTTAGTCCAAAGGACTTCAGTACGACTTGGAAGATGCCTCTCTCGTATGTTGTGCAGGGGCGGGGGACAGGTTCGATAACGCCATTGACATGTGGCAAGCACTGGTGACGATAGATGGCAGAGAAGGGTCTTTGTAGTTCAAGCCTTGTGCTCAATTCCCGGGGAGCAACTTCACGAGGGACTTGAGCTGGAGCAAGCAAATCTGTCTATGATGGACGGCCCAGCTGCAAGCCGTGATCTGTGCCATCATGATTGAACTCAGACCATAAAGCAACAAACCAAGCCAGCCAGGATCTGAGGCAAGGCATAGCACAACACGGGACATGGAGCGGAGCGGAAAGTGCGCGGGGCGGAGGCATCCCTCCTGTAATGCGCCTCAGTAGGGTTTAGATGCCCATGCTTCGCAGAAAAGGAGATAGGATGGTCATGTCTGCTTCGTCGTACACAGGCTGGAGCAGCCACAACGATGCAATGTCGCTCTCACAAATGTCTTATGGCATTTAGATCGCATTGGCAAGAAATCGGTTCCCCACTCGGCTTGATTCTCTTAATTATGGCAAATTCCCAGTCTGATGTGAATGAGTTGTCAACTCCATTCACCGTCGCAGGCGGAAGTTGCGATAAGACTGGAGAGGACAGGCACAACGCGATGGTAGAAAAACGCACTGTAGTTGGAATACAACGTCGTTGGCGATGCTCATAAGAGAAAAGATCTGTGACGGCGATCATGCACGACTACTGCGCGAGAATATTGGGTGGCTGATGATGCCGACTCGAGGTACGCGGGGCAGTGGTCTAACAAGGCTCCCATAAGCGGCGGGGTAGCGCGACGCCGTCACCACAGCTACTTCCTTTCAAGCTCTCTTCTTATTTTTGCTGACAATCTGTGACAGGCAGCCCGTGTACGTCGATCCCACGCCGGCACATCCTTAAATCATCGCGGCGTCCCCTACGGCTTGGACAACGAGTCCCTAGTGGCTGTCTGCGGCTGCGTATGTAGCAATAGGCTTGAGCGGAAGTTGCAGTCAGACGGGATTAACGTCGCCGACCTGGTCGCATCGCTGGGACGACGTCGATGGCGTCGTACCTTATCCCCAGCGAAGTCAGTAGCTACGGCTTTTGATGTACCTCTCGTTGTACGGACTCCTTGCGTGCAGTCTTGAGTGCTGCAGAGCTTCCTTGGGCCTTGTGCTAATGTCTTGAACCGCAATGAGTATCGTTAAATCTGTACCAGTAGCTTCAGACTCCAATGGGATGTGTACATCTTATTTTCCCTAGCGTAAGGCTTCGCGAAGATCCGTCAATGTCGAGCAAATGGCTGTTGATTGCGAGAAGTCAGCTTAGAGTCTTAAGTCTCCGCAATATGTATACGATGTACCATGTAACGTGCGGGTCCACAACGGGTCGGTAAAAGGTCAGCTCACGCAGAGACCTAGCTCTCATTTTCCCATCCCAAGATGTTATTCATAAGACTCTCTGATATTACAATCATAGTCAGCAGTGACGAAAGCAATATTTTTTCCATGTCAAACCGTTGTTAGGCATACCAGATTCCGCCTATGAACATCCAGCGAAAAGTGGTTTGCTTCTCCAATTTATACCTCAAAAGGTTTATTGCGCATCGTACTGACTCCCAATACCCAATTTGATTCATGATATGCGCCTTTTGACCGTCCGGGAAAAGAGACATGTCTAGTGCCCTCCCCCAAAGCGGCTTGAATTGAGGAACCCTGTAGATTTGATATCGCGTAGCTCTTGTGCTCAAACACAATGACGACTAATACTTCCATTGCAACGGCAGAGCAGAGTTCCATTGAATCGATACCACCACATCTATTCCGTGTACTTGCTTATTATTACTATTGCCGAGCTCTGTTTATCCGGGTATACCTCGAGGAATGAAGGATTGGCATTCCACCCATGGAACCCGGAATTTCACTCGAGCATGGTACAGCATGATTGACCAAGAGGCTCAGATTCCGTGGCGATGGATATCTGTACCCTGATTGTGACGCCCTAGCATCTATAGGAATTGTCTGGGTAAGAACCGACTGAACCAGATTACAATTCCTTGTTACGACAGTCACCCGGCCACACAACCGCGCTCCAGATGCAATAAGTTTGCACAGCATTTTGCATTCTCGACACGGGTATCGGCAAGAGCTAGATTCAGTAGTGCAACTCGGCTTTCTATATCTCGACCCATCGGATTATCAGCGAACGGCATCGGGTACGTGGAACGAAAGTGAGGTCGTGGCCTGAAGGGCCGTAGTAGTTCCATTTCCACAGGTACATACATCTGCATACGGCATGTTAGCCCAGCTCAAAGCAAATTGTCTTGACGTATACGACTCTCAGGGCTGTTAGAAGATTCTTTGCCACATTTGGCGAAGTGAGACGGGGTTCAAGGATTTAATTCCATCGCAATTAGATTTTGACAAGTCGAGCATGTCGTGGAAGGAAACAGGAGTTCAGCGTATGTAGGCGGTGAGTATGTGAACTGTGACTTGTACCACCTCACCCCTGTTGAATATTGTCATCCAATCGTCACCACATGGTACTGGCATCAAGATGACGGATCCTGTCGAGCGGGTGCAAATATCGTTTGGCTTACTCAAGGTGGTGGATGGATGCCGGGCAGAAATGCCATCTTCAAAGCTGCAGCAGCAGACGAGCTGAGTGGGCTCCGTGATATGTATGTGTTTACGCGTAACAATGGGATGAAATCCGTGGTCGTTAACATATCCATCGCACTACCGAACTCAAGGCCAGCATATGCGAAGAACAGTTGTTCCGACCATTAGGAACCCTTCATTCGCATGTGGAGGAGTCCGCATATCTGGGTTCCAAAACCTTGACGAGCATTACTTCTCGATGCGGGAGAACGCTGTCAAGTTCGATCTGCGGATTTGTGTCACACCTGGTTCTGGATGTTCCTGCCGTGGAACCGGCTAGATTATGCACGACGAGATCTTTTGCAGCTTCAACGCAACGTGCTTCTGGACTGTCCGCTTCCACGCCCCAGTGCCGGACTTGTGAGTCGCACAAATGATCACCTGTTTCGGACCCTCTGGCAGAGGTCTGCTTGATCAACTCGTCGGTGCTGAGCGCATGATCTCTGGAAGCGATGAAATGCGGTGCAACCGTGGAGAACTAACATAGGTCTATCTTTGTCTTGACGCTAAATCTTTCCATGTAGGGATCGGAGCAAGTCGTATACTGCGTGAACAGTCTTCTTCTGTTCGATAGAAAGAATACGATAGGTAAGAGGCCAGATAAGAGGTGATACCCATCACCAAATTAGCGATACTCGGAGGCAGTGGCCTAAGCCTGCAGGTCAATTCTCTGCATGCTCGAGCATCCTAAAGCGCATTTCATCTGTAGGTACTTACAAACTCAGTAAGCTCCCAGGTATGCCCTCGGTAAATGGAAGCAGTTATTGGCCACGAACAACTCAGATAATGTGAGTTCCTAGAAACACTGAGTCCCCTCAAAACTACTGTGGATGAATACTCCACAGAGACACCAACCCGGCCTCAGATCCGCGCATCTACATTATCTATCATTGCAGGTCAACCCAATTTGAGATATATGGAATCCAACCACAGGCGATGGTTATCGTTCCAGGCTGATAACCCCTGCGTTATTAAGTGTTCATGGAAAAATATGCTTGACCTGCTTACCTGGTACACTTGAATGAGCCTCGGAATTTCTGAAGTGATGTAGACTTCATATATGGTTCTCTTGGTAGTTGTAATATTCTTGTCGCCATCACTGATCTCTGGATTGCCGTTCATTGCAGGCCAAAGCCTGCTGCAATCGAGAGTTTGCTTGCCCTACCTAGCCTGCCTGCTATGTGAGTAAAGCCCGAATACCAATAATCGCGTTTTGCGTGATTGGTGATACGCCATCGAATGCGTCTCTCGTGATGCTGATATGGATGGTTTTACACTGAGGTCCTGTTTCTTCAGCTGGAAGTAAACAAATACGATTTGGTGCCCTACTCCTCGTAGGATCACGTTGAATGCTATTTTATCGGTTGATTCGTATACGATCGCTATGTCTATGGTATAAGCACCGCTCCGCTCCTATTAATCCTGAGGAAATTTACGCATCGATTCAAGATGAAACATGAACTTCAAGTGAAATAATTGGCCTATTGATTCACCAACCGCGAGGCGCTCCAGTACCCACTTGTGACTGGCGGAGTGGAAGGCTAATGGAAACAGCTTCTAGCTTGCCGGTCGCTACTACCCTGTTAAGGACGATACCTTTGCTTTGTAAAGAAACATCGGCCGGCCCGGTCGCAACCTGAATTTCTGAGTGACATACACCTGATCACCGACGAATGATCAGCAGTGACGGCGCATGCCTGGAGACGGCTGCCTTACACTTACTGTTCGGACAACCAATCCCTAAACACCACGACCTTCGACGCTCTCGTTGATGATCCTCGTTTGGTGCGTTTATTAGAGTCGGAAATCGTGCCCGATGAGCCAGAGAGATAGTCCTGATTATCCGCGGGGATAATTCACTGATCTCGGGAGCACCTAGGCTGCCAATGCAGCCGCCACTTGCAATGAGATAAGCGAGAAAGCAATGGACGACAATCATTTGAACTATACCTACGGTCCATAGTCCTGATAGTTGAGAGTCCTGTGAGCTAGGGATGCGATGGCGAACAACAGAGTGTGGCATTTTTCGTTCTTACCTTATCATTGTTTCTGTTCAACTGAAAGATGATTCTGATAGGACTTTTGCTGGAATGTACAAGAACAGTTGCGAGAGCTGTAGCAGGGCTGGCTAAAGGCTCCGATGACAAATCCGGACATCAATCCTCGGGAAGTATGGACTTGAAGTTGGAAATCCGGGTAAATAAAGCGGACTCAATAGTGGGGGTTGCATACTATTCATCCAAGCCACAATTTCGAGCAGGAGGGAATTGGAAGGCATTGGATAGGCGACTCGTGAAACAGTGCACCATACCGTAAAGCCGTCCTTGCGACTTAGACTCAAGATGACCTAGTTTCCAGGCCTTGGATCGCGGCCTATGGGATGAATTTCAAGTATGCAAAAATAGTCAGCTTTCGCTAAGAGTGCCGTCAATTGATATCGTTTCACGGCGGAAAGGCACATGATCAAGAAGCAAGAGCAACCAAAAGTCTGGGTCATACGATTTGTGGCTGTTTGCTGATGGCGATTTTCGACGAAACGGGCAAATATTCATAATACCGACAACTTAAACTTGATTGATGCACAACAAGCCATGGTGCTCGACCGGGTGAACGAGAGGCATTGTCCAGCTTGGCGCTTGGTGATAAGAAACCTGCGAACGCTCTTTGGCCGTGCAGTGGATGCTTGCATGGTGTAAATTGTGACTTTCAAGCGGTAGTGGAGTCTAGAGCTATTTGCACACATCAGAAAGGCGAGGCATTCTATACGAGGGTGTTCAATGGTTGTCCACAGATGCACATGGATATTACTTCCAGTAGCTTCACAGTCCGGGTCGAGCCACAGCTCAAGAAATTCGAGAAAGCGTATTTGAACCCGATGCCATTTATCGTTATTGTGCATGATGATTTATTGTACTTGAGGACTGCATCACACTTGTTCCTCGGCGCGTACTATCAAGCAACCTGATGCAACCCAGGCGAACACCTCAGATTCATCGGCCACCCAGTACTCGGCGAAAATGACGCGGATTGTCCCGTAATTCTTGGACCCAGCAGTGTAATGAGTCTTCTCACTTTGCCGAGCACGGTAAAGTATGTGAGGGACGGAAGCACGGAGTATTGTTATACTTGTCAAGGCGGGCTCGTGTAGTCCCTTGGACGTTTGACCAACTCAGACCAAAGCGTCTATTCCATGAGCTGTGTCCCAGATCTACTCTGATTAGCTGGCGTCATCTCGGAAGTGAAATTGCAGTTCTACGACGAAATAAAGGTCGTGATAATGCTAAGCATAGGAATGTAACGGGACATCTTGTCCCACCGTTGCTCGAGAGAGTCACATGACACGATTATAGACCGTAGTGCAATTTGGACTGGTACACAGTGCACATGAATGATCTGCATGGTGGCTGGAACGTGGTGTCCGTAGCAAGGAGTATGCAACAATGGTAGCATTGTAGCAATGGCATGCTTGGCGTCACGGTTCTCGCGAACGTGCTCGGACAAGGCCGAGAGTGTGGCGAGGGTTTCTGGCGGTGAGACACAATTCGTGATTTATTCGTAAGCAATGAGCTGTTATCTACGCTCGTGTGGAACTATGGATCGAAATGATGATAGTGTGAGGTGAGGAATAAGATAGAGAGAGAGAGAGAGACAGAAAGTGAGAAGAACCACATCCCAGGGTCGGGAAATTGGGGAGTTCCGGTCGCTAAATCGACGCTAACCAGGCTAAACCAAACACGGAAACGACGACCAACCTCACCTGTTCAGCCATAACGATCGTCCATCCAAATTCCCCATTCCTCCTACTCATTGACATTTTGCTAATGCCACAATGCCTTGGAATTGCACTGCAAATATTTCTTCAAACAGACTTCGTCCTTCTTATGCAATCGAGAGCTCGGGTTCGATGGTTCGAAGCGCGCATCGCCGCTCGTCGATTACATGACATGCATGATACGAAGTGGTCTATCTGTAATACTCACAATGAGCGCACACAGACGACATTTGCCTTTACGATTTCCCCATGTTCCGGTACTGCTATCTGCGCTTCCTCGGCCTGATGGCTTTGCTACGGCTCGAAGCTGCTGGCACCGATTACGAGCCGCGCCGTGCCGCATTCGATGGCTGATGATGCATAGCAAACTTGCCTGCTGCTCAAGCCAATGTACTTCCGCATACTCAGTATCGGTACGCCCTTATCACTTTTCGAAGTACTGTGTACGTTGTAGATTCCAGGTGGACTTTGTTACTTTTCCAGGCACAACCCATGTCAGATTGCCCATGCAGTCACTTTATACGTCCTTAGCGCTATGTATCCCTTGCCCGGCTGTGCCAGAGTACCCGTGTGGGGAAGCGCAAACAAGGTCGTAGCTGATAGAGATCAGCGTCAATTCAATAAGCTAAGGAAGTATCGAGGTGTTGGACAACGATAACCCTCGATCTGAAGTGCGCACAATCGAGATTGCTTCCATAGCATTAGCCTCGATCTTCTGTGGGTATCGACACTTAGACATGAGGAACATGTGGATAGGCTTGAAAAGTCATAGTATTTTGATCTACCAGAGGTTTGTATGCTCAGAACGTGAACCCAATTTTGATATTGAATAGATGTCAACTCCATTGACCGTTCTCGGACGCGGTCTTCCGAAAGCGGCCGGCGCCATCCCTTGTTTCGTGGGAGAGGATGTTGACCACGTTGACTTCCAGATCAATAGACATCGGAAAATCCGAACGGTATGCTCACCGCATGGGCTGTATAGGCTGTCGTAGTTTAGTCTACAAGCGAGATTCTTAGGCCATCCGATAACACAATCATAGAGCGACTTTGAAATCTCACAACACCATCGCACAGAAATAAAAATTATGGCCTCACGTAGAGCACTCACGTTCTGTGGAATTGGAAGTACGTTGAGGTCTTTGTTCGAAAGAAAGGCAGACATCTGGACCTTAAAGTCATACTGGAAAGCGGCCATTTGCGGTACTCATTCGACCCAACGAATCAAATTAGCTTCTGACATCGAGATCAATCCCAATTGCGATCGTCCTTTGGATGTGTGCATGTAACAGCATGTTGAATATCAAGTCTGGATTTTGTTTTGGAGTGCTAATGAATACCCTGACGCCGGTCCCAGATACTACTGCAAATCCAAAAACTACCTATCGACCTCAACTAATCTAATGGTAACAATCTTATCCCTTTGAATGCAAAACTAGACTCGTTTACGCCTGGTAGGATGCTTTTGCTGACAAAAGTTCACAGCGCGACTCGGGCTCTACCACCAACCCCGGCTAATGGGGATCCGATAGCCTCCACCCGAATTTCGAGACACGCCCTTACTGCCTCGATCTCCCACGTCTCATCTCTGCTCTCATCAGACTTGCATCAGCTGGAAAATTCCAGCGGCTATACTATACGGCCTAGCTTGCACCAACTGAAAATAGCCATGTATGCTTGTTCGGAGCTGCTCCCGCCCTGTGCGCGCCATAGACTCTCGGGACGATGGAAGCGCCAACCAAATGAGGAATAAACAACTACTCCACTCTCATACTCACGTCAACATGCTCTGCTGTGCATCGTTCGGCAGCCTGTGAGCCCCGTATCTGTGCTCAAACAAATCCGGTACGGATAGAGCTTGTCGTCTAGAGATCGCCGCCTAGGCCTTCCACTTGATTGCCATCACATACATGGGGACTTTGGCGGAACGTACAAATATAGGGCGCTCGCCTATCCTCCCTTTGGTTCATCTTTTCCACAATTCACAGTCAGTCTTTCAGGCTTCAATCAAATATCAAGTCCCCTTTCGTCTCTGATGAAGGTCCCAAACTTGGGTAACCATATAGAGAGACTAACTTAACCCTCGTTCACGCCGTTGTTGTTGCTGTCTCTTTCATTCTTCCCAGACTGCAGATCGTCTTGGGACTCTGGGTTCTTTGTAATAATCCACCCAATCTTCTTAATATATACCCTTCCATACATACTCGTCACCATGAACGTCTTTATATTTGGAGATCAGACAGCCGACCAGTACCCGCTGCTTAGGAAGGCCAATGTCTGGAAAGGCAATGCTCTTCTATCAAACTTTCTGGAACGCACGAGCGTCGTTCTCCGAGAAGAGATCCAGCGACTACCCAAGACCCAACGGGAACAGATCCCAGACTTTCTCCGACTATCCGATTTGGTAGAAGCCTATTATGCTAAAGGATTGAAAATTCCCCAGATTGAAAGTTCCATGGTTACAATAGCGCAGTTGGCACACTATATTGGGTAAGTAATCAACTCTCATAGGCCAGCGCCAAGCTGACGTTTCAGATATTTCGGGGAGAATGTACAAGAACTCCCAGTGCCATCCAATACTCGTCTACTCGGCCTCTGCACTGGACTTCTCGCCGCCTCGATTGTTGCTTCTGCAAAGACGCTCGACGAGCTGGTACCACTTGCGGTTGAAGCAGTGCGGATTTCTTTTCGAATGGGAACTTGCGTAGGAGCCGTGAAAGATGCACTCGAACAACCTGCCAACGCAAATGAGAGCTGGTCTACCATTATTGCGAGCATATCGGAAAAAGCTGCGAATGCTGCAATTGCCGAGTTCCATCAAGAGCGACGAATAGTGAAGTCCGCGCAGGCGTATGTCAGTGCCGTTAGCGTGATGGCTATTACCGTTAGCGGTCCACCTTCAACAACCAAGCGCCTCTTCGAGGACAGCGATGCATTCTCCAGCAACACGAGGGTACCAATCCCAGTATATGCCCCTTATCACGCCTCTCATCTTTACGGTGAAGCCGATATTGACAGGATCTTGGGCGACGAAATCTCAGACATACTGTGCAAATTCAGGCCACACTCGCTCATTCATTCTGCATCTACTGGAATCTGCCATACTGCCACGAACACTCTCGACTTGGTGAAGACTGTACTGGCGGAGATATTGCTCGAGCCTGTCCGGTGGGACAACTTGCTTGAGGAATGTGTATCACAGGTGACTGCCGTTAGTAATAACACTTGCAACATCACCGCTATCGGCGTGACCAATGTCGCCAACAGCCTGGCCTCGGCGCTCAAAGCTGGAGGGCAATCATCCGTTTCGATCCGCGACCACACCTCTTGGATCGCAAAGACAGAGGATGCGAACGGTCGCACTCAAAATGACAAAATTGCAATCGTCGGCATGTCTGGCCGCTTCCCGAGTGCTGCCAGCCACGAAGCACTCTGGGAACTGCTTGAGAAAGGTCTTGACGTCCATCGCGAAGTTCCATCTGAACGCTTCGACGCGCAAGCCCATTGTGATCCTTCAGGAAAGGGCAAGAATAAGAGTCATACTCCATATGGATGTTTTATTGATGAACCGGGGCTCTTTGACCCTCGGTTCTTCAACATGTCACCACGCGAAGCCGCTCAAACCGACCCTATGGGACGTCTAGCTCTCGTCACTGCCTATGAGGCTTTGGAAATGTCTGGCTATGTCCCTAATCGTACACCATCCACTAAGCTTCACCGAATCGGAACTTTCTACGGCCAGACTTCAGATGATTGGCGAGAGATCAATGCAGCGGAAAATGTGGACACCTACTTTATCACTGGTGGTGTGCGCGCATTTGCTCCTGGAAGAATCAACTACTATTTCAAGTTCTCTGGTCCGTCCTTCAGCATCGATACGGCCTGTTCATCGTCTCTCGCTGCAATTCAGCTTGCTTGTACCTCATTGTGGGCGGGCGATTGTGACACTGCCTGTGCTGGTGGTTTGAACGTCTTGACCAACCCCGATATTTTTGCCGGGCTTAGCAAGGGCCAATTCCTCTCAAAGACCGGTAGCTGCAAGACATACGACAATGACGCCGATGGTTATTGCCGTGGCGATGGCTGTGGAACAGTCATTTTGAAGCGTTACGAAGACGCTATTGCAGACAACGATAACATCCTCGGATGCATTCTGGGCGCAGCGACCAACCATAGCGCCGAAGCGGTTTCCATCACACATCCTCACGCAGGAGCCCAAGAATACCTCTACAAGCGTGTTCTGGCAAATGCTGGCGTCGATGCACATGACATAAGCTATGTCGAGATGCATGGTACGGGCACCCAGGCTGGAGATGGAATCGAGATGACATCAGTTACGAATGTCTTCGCACCGCGTCATCGTCAGCGCCGCCCAGATCAGACCCTCCATCTAGGAGCTATCAAGGCCAACATTGGACATGGAGAGGCAGCCTCTGGCATCAATTCCATGATCAAGGTTCTCATGATGTTGAACAAGAATGCGATCCCAGCCAATGTCGGTATCAAGGGAATTATGAACAAGACATTCCCCAAAGATCTCCTGCAACGAAATGTACACATCGAAACGAAGCAAGTTGCCTACCCACGTAAAGGAGCGGAAAAGCGCAAGCTTTTCCTAAACAACTTCTCTGCTGCAGGAGGCAATACCGCTGTTGTGTTAGAAGACGGGCCGCTTCGAGAAGCCCCCCTCGCTACGGATCCCAGGTCCACGCATACTATCACCGTCACCGCTAGATCTATAGCATCTCTGAAGAGGAACATCAACAACCTCATCAAGTACTTGGATGATCACCCAGACACTACACTTCCAAGCCTGGCATACACCACTACGGCCCGCCGCATTCAACACAATTATCGCATTTCGGTGTGTGTGTCAGACATCACCAAGGTGAAAGACGCCCTACAATCTCAACTGAAAGACTCCTACAGTCCGATCGCCATGGTTCCCACCAAAACAGCCTTCACGTTCACCGGCCAAGGCTCGCAATACACTGGGCTTGGACAAAAGCTCTATCAAGACTTGGAGACCTTCAAGGCCGACATCGACCAGCTGGATAACCTTGCACGGCTTCACAGCCTTCCGTCCTTCCTCCCGCTCATTGATGGCACCGATGTTACTACTCTTTCCCCGGTTGTCGTTCAACTAGGCATGGCATGCATCCAGGTTGCTCTTGCTCGTATGTGGGCATCCTGGGGCATCAAGCCGTCCGCCGTCATTGGCCACAGTCTTGGCGAGTACGCAGCTCTGCATGTTGCCGGGGTTTTGTCGGCCAGCGATATGATCCTCCTTGTAGGTCGCCGTGCTCAAATTCTTGAAGAGGAATGCACTGCCAATACCCACGGTATGCTTGCCGTCAAGGGTGGCGTTGAGGCCATTCGGGAGGCTTTGGGTGATAAGATGACCGAGATCGCATGCATGAATGGTCCGGAGGAGACAGTTTTGTGCGGAACCGTCGAAGTCGTTGAAGCGACTGCGGACGCGCTTGCAGCCAAGGGCTTCAAGGCTACAAAGCTCAATGTTCCCTTCGCATTCCACTCCGCCCAGGTTGAGCCAATTCTCGAGAAGTTCAAAGTGGCAGCCTCGTCTGCCACTTTCAACAAGCCTGACGTTCCTGTTCTTTCTCCTCTCACTGGACAAGTCATCCGTGAAGCTGGTATTGTTGGACCTGAATATCTGGCTCGACATGCCCGCGAGACTGTCAACTTCTGGAATGCCTTGTCCAATGGCAAGGAAGACAAAGCCTTTGACGACAAGACCGCGTGGCTTGAGGTTGGTGCACACCCGGTATGTAGCGGTATGGTGAAATCATCTCTCGGTGGTACACCCTGTACGGCCAGCTCTCTTCGCCGCAATGAAGACCCATGGAAGACATTGGCTACCAGCATCTCTACCCTCTACCTTGCTGGTGTCGCATTCGACTTCAACGAATACCACAAGACTTTCAATGGCGCACACATGTTACTCACTCTTCCAACATATTCATTTGATGATAAGAAGTATTGGCTGGATTACCACAATAACTGGACTCTCACCAAGGGTGAAGCCCAAGTGGATGTCACGCCTAAAGCCATCGAAGTACCTGCAGAAGTCCAATCGAAACTCTCCACAACGTCTTGCCAGAGAATCGTCCGCGAAGAGCTACATGCCAATTCTGGCACAGTGGTGGTCCAGTCTGATCTTAATGAACCTAAGATAAAGGCAACAATCAGTGGCCATCAAGTCAATGGAACACCGCTTTGCCCCTCATCTTTGTACGCAGATCAGGCAATGACTGTCGCAGATTACCTCTACAAACAGTTGCGCCCTAATCTTGAGACACCTGGTTTGAATGTATGCGCTATGGAAGTCACGAAACCCTTGATTCCGTCCAATCCTCCGCCAGCTGGAGGTCAGCACATCCAGATCGAGGCCACTGCCGACCTTGAAACCAACCAAGTGGAACTCAAGTATCGCACTGTATCCGCCGACGGCTCCAAGGTTCTTGCAGAGCATGCTTTCGGCCTAGTCAAGTATGAAGATGTCAATGCTTGGAAGCAGGAGTGGGCTCGCACACAGTACATGGTGCAAACCCAGATCGATATTTTGAAACAGAAACTCGAGTCAGGTGCGGCGCACAAGGTACTCCGTGGTATGGCATACAAACTGTTCAAGGCACTGGTTACCTATGCCGATAACTACAGGGGCATGGAAGAAGTCATCTTAGATGGAAAACAGACCGAGGCCACTGCTAGCGTCAAATTCCAGACAACGCCTGCCGATGGACAGTTCCTCTGCTCTCCTTACTGGATTGACAGCTTGGCCCATCTTTCGGGCTTCATTGTCAACGCTTCCGATCATCTTGACTCGGAGAACTCTGTCTACATTTCTCACGGATGGGGCTCCATCAAGATCGCCAAGCAACTTTCTCCAGATAAGAAGTACCGCTCCTACGTGAGGATGCAGCCAGCACCAGGAAATATTTCCGTCGGCGATGTGTATATCATGGAAGATGGCGAGGTTATCGGGTTGGTGACTGGACTTAAGTTCCAGAATATTCCGCGCCGTGCTCTCAACATCATGATGCCACCTGCTGGCAACAAAGCCTCGGCTGCTCCCGCTAAGGCTGCACCAGCAAAGGCATCAACTTCCGCAGCTTCGAAACCAGTCCTTGCTCCTGTCAAGACATCGAAACAAGTCACCAAGGCAGTCAAGCCAGCAAAGGCCGCCCCACGTGCTCCAAAGCAATCAGCTACCTCGATCTCTTCTCGTGTCATGAAGATCATTGCTGAGGAAACCGATGTTGATATGTCTGAGTTGGTTGAGGAAGCAGCCTTCGAGAACCTCGGCGTGGATTCCCTAATGTCTCTCACCATTTCTGCCAAGTTCCGAGAGGATCTCGACCTAGAAATCAGCTCTACCCTCTTCACCGATTACCCTACCGTCGGGGAAATGAAGAAATTCTTCTCCCAGTATGATGGCGGTGCACCACTTGTCGACGAGGACACCGAGTCTGACACTACGGATGAGCCATCGGATTCTTCAACTCCCTTTGATGAAGGTACCGTTAGCACTCCAGCCAGTTCAGCACCAAGTGTATCGGGTAAAGATGCTGGCGTGGAGAGCCACACATCCGCAGTCGCTCCAGCCATCTCGGGTAGTGGCCCCAGCCTTGCCCGTAAGATCGTTGCTGAAGAGATGGGTGTTGATGTGTCTGAGATCACTGACAAGCTCGACCTATCAGAGATGGGCATGGATTCACTGATGAGCTTGACTATTCTAGGAGCTCTGCGTGAGCAGACTGGGGTTGACCTACCCTCAACCTTCTTGGTCACTAATGTCACCATCGAGGATATTGAGAATGAGCTCGGCATGCGCCCCAAGCCCAAGGCCGTTGCCCCTGCCCCGACAAAGCCATCCAAGGCACCCCAGCTCTCTGAGGTGAACAAGAGATTGGAAAAGTCCGTTGACGTTTCTCGTTTCCCGCCAGCAACCTCGGTGTTGCTCCAAGGAAATGCCAAAATCGCGACTAAGAAATTCTTCTTGGTCCCAGATGGTTCCGGCAGCGCGACATCCTACATCTCCATCCCTAACATCTCGCCTGATATGGCCGTCTATGGACTGAACTGTCCCTTCATGAAGAGCCCTGAGAAGTGGACATGTGGTGTCGAGGGTGTTTCCGCTCTCTACCTCAAGGAGATCAAACGCCGCCAGCCTGAGGGACCATACCTCATCGGTGGTTGGTCTGCTGGTGGTGTGATGGCATATGAAGTTTGCCAGCAGCTCGTGAACAGCGGAGAGAAGGTCGAGAGCCTCGTACTCATCGACGCTCCCTGCCCAGTCGCTCTCGATCCCCTTCCCGCCCGCCTGCACATCTTCTTCGATCAGATCGGTCTCCTCGGTACAGGCAAGCCAGGTGGTACACCCGGCTGGCTCCTTCCTCACTTCGCGGCAGCCATCCAGAACCTCAAGGACTATGAACCAATCCCCATGGACCCCAAGAAGGCACCACCCGTCCTCGCTATTTGGTGTACCGACGGCGTCTGCCCCAACCCCGACGACCCTCGTCCCCCACCAGGCGAGGGTGAAGATCCCGCCCCCATGACCTGGCTCCTAAACAACCGAACCATCTTCGATGACAACGGCTGGGCGCAGCTGCTGCCGAAGGACAACTTCGAGTACGCTGTCATGGGAGGCAACCACTTCACGATGATGAAAGGCGACCATGTAAGTTCCTCTCTCTCTCTCACTCCTTACATTTCTGTTCAAAAACACTAACAGTCGGATCAGGGCGTCACACTCGGCAAGCTCCTTCAGAAGGGCCTCAAATTGTAAACAACAGACTGGATTCACATAAACGAACTAGTATATGCTTTTGTTGTTTGTTTTTATCTAGACCACTATCCTTTTCATTTGTAAATGGCATAACCATTCTCTATTCCTTGCTTGCTCTCTCATTCTCTGCCTCACAATGGCGAGATGAGGCGGGCAAGGGGGGACAACCAGGGGGAACGGTTGGGCGTCAAACCGGGGAGTTTTTGGATCCTCGCATTCAAGCTCGGGCATAACACGACATATTCTCTTCTTTATTTCTTTCCTTTTCTTTTGGATCTAGGAGGGCGTTTCAAGTGGATTGGGGTTGGCTGTTTATTCCTTTTCTTTTTTCCTCTGGGAAGTAATTTTATTTGTGGCTTTCCATTTCAATAGTTAATTCGAAGGATGCTTTTTCCCTACTCTTTTTACTTTTGAGATGATATTCATGATGATGATCACGATGATATATGAATTAGAAATGAATTTTCTACTGATTACTACTTGTCTACCTGAGACGTTACTATCTCAGGAAAATGCTTGCTGAGAAACATATCCCACCTTGAACAGAACATCACCCATCACCCTGCCGCTGCCACCACAATCACGTGTCACTCAATTCATCTCATTCTCAAGCATGTGCAAGTATTCCCATTCCGAATTTTTCATCTTCATTTTCTTTCTTAATTCCCATGCACTAAAGCAACCTAAGTGCCGGAGATACCGGCAAGCGCAACCAAAGGTTCGAGTAGAACAGAACCGAACCACGTTCCATTTTACTCTTTAGTAATGCGGGAAGTTGTGGTTCTCGGGAAGCATACCAAGGTTCGGATACGCGGAGTGAGGAGCTAGGTTACCTACCTGCATATGTTGTTGAAACTCACATGTTAATTGTTGTTTGGATGATGCTTCACGCAGATATCGTGGCAATTCGGGGCAGATTTGGTGGATCGTTTGATCAATTGGAGCTGTTACGTCTATTGCTTCACTTCTTGCATGTAATAGTGGATAGATAGATAGATAGATAGGAAACAAGCTTTCGACAAGCAAAAGATCGGCAGTGTGATAGGCCGAATAGCCCCACACGGAAGATCCGGGGGGGGAGAGAGAAGGTTGCGAGTCTCCACAGAATCTCTCCCTTTCCTCGGAGTGTGAGGTAGGAGTAACTAGTTGAATCGGTAAGTGTATGTACATGCTTCACCCGGAAACGGATGAGTTTGGCTTGTTGTTCGCGCATTTGTAAGATGGTTACATTTGTCCGGAACTTCGGTGGACGATGATAAGTCTTGTCCAGTGCGTACGAGATCGGTTGCAGGATGCACAGATGGATGATACCTTGTTGAATCTGTCGGTGGAAAGGAGAGTTAAGGGTACGGTTTGTTTGGATAGCGTGCCGGATTCTTTGAGTCGCCCCTCGTTGGGCGTGACGCCCAAGACCTTGAGAGGGAATTAGTCGAGGCGTTAAGTTGGGTACATAACTCATGGAAATTCGCGATTGGGAAGATTGCAGTGTTGATCATTTGCGATGTCCATCTCCTTCCTCATATTGGTACTTCTTGACGACGAGGAGAAACTCCACTTGTTTGAAATACCGGACGGCTAATTGCTCCCAGGATTTGTGGAGATAAAGAATGGCCAGTGCTTGCGTATCAACGCATGAGAGGTTGTTTGAAAGATTCCAGTGCCGTGCTCTTTTGTGAAGCCACTGAGGTCCCGTCTATCTAGTGACAACGTTGATCTTACTGTGTTGAGATATTGTATCTCGCACGTAAGTCTAAATAAGGTTAGCCATGGATGTTACAGGGGGACTTTTCGTCAGATTTGACCATAGTCATCTTGGAGAAGTGATGTGTTGGCGTTTCTGACTTCCTTGGTCGGCGAAGGCTGGAAGTATTGCTAAGGTGAATTCGGAGAATAGAAGTGGAGGAGTCCGGCAGGCAGAGCTCCCTACAGGGCTAGCTAGGGTCAATGCATGCCTGTACGTCGATCACTTTCCAGAATGCCATGTTATTAGACGAGTTCTGGTTCTTGGGGATGGATCGTCATCTCCGCTGACATTTTTATTTCAGATGACTCATGGCGTGGGCGTATTGCTGTAATCTTTCAAAGAGGCGGTCGCCAAGTGAGCTGAAGTCTGAGGACTCAACATCATCACGATGTATACGAACGGTGGCGGTCAGGACGGACCCGCGCGCCAGTTGATGCTGGAATTATCCCAAAGGTGAGATTTCAGGGACTGTGGAAATGCATTGCGCCGATCTTTCAATAGAGGCAATGCAAATGAAGGCATTGGCGTGGGACTGGCGATACGCAAGTAAGAACGTGGGGATGGAGGATAAGGCAACATGCCCTATTGGGTTTTGTATCACTTCCGCGTCCGTATCTGCAGCACCGTAGTAGGAACGGGCCATGTCGAATGGTCGTTGTTTGCTAGTATCGCGTTGTGGTGGCTGACGCCGTCGCGAGCCGGTAGCAATAGTCGCTCCGCGCTGTCAGCACTTGTCTTGCCTATCGAGATAGGACTACAGCTGTGCTATTCTTGTGATGATGGAGGCGGCTTGGCCGTTTTGATGTGCAGGCCATGAGGCATGATCGTGAGGGGTCGTGAAGCATCATCGTAGGGTCGAACGGTGACGCGAAGGGCGTCTGCCTGAACTCGTAGGTGGCATAGATAGCTGAAAATGGTTTCCAAGTTTACCTACGAGGCTACCATTAAAGTTCGTATTCGCCAACGATCCCTGAAAGTAAGGGACCAGTTGACGAGGAGCATGAGGTCATGGCATTTCGGGTGGCTTGTGATAACAATTAGGGAAGTGGTCAAAGGATGGATGGCGGAGGTGGAGGAGGAGACAAGGAGGAGGTCAGAGGAACGGCGGAGTGGGAAAGCGGGGGCGGAGAGGGGTAACCATTGCCAAGGTATTCCGCCGAGAAATAGTGGGCGTTGCAAACACAACAAACGCGCACTTGGACATGACATAGTGGGGAATTCCACCGCCTTCAATAATTACATCGAACGCTGCAGGATGGCTTCCGCACTGAAGCCAGGCAGGTATGTCAAGTACTAAGCTACAGTAATTCATTTCTCTAATTGAATGACAGCAAAGATGCGCCCACAAATCCACGAGGCATCCCCGTTGCGCCGTTCGTCGACCGAGTCGAAGATTATGTTACGGACCGTTCAGAGGTGGAGAGCACAATCAACAGCTTCAAGGAGATGATCTCGTAAGCCCCAATATCTGTGGATCTATTCAGGGCTGGACTTATGATAAGGCTTTAGAAAGTACCAGTTCATGGAAGTAAATACGCAACGACGGGCGGCTGGCTTGAGGGATAAAATTCCTGATATCAAGAAGACCTTGGAGACGGTTCGCTTTCTCAAATCACGCGATGTATGTGGACATGAGAGCAGCGCTATTAGATATACAGCTAAACCTTGACAAGGCGGACGCAGAGCCCATCGAGACCACCTTCGAACTAAACGATACCCTCTACGCAAAAGCGGAAATTCCTCCCTCGGACGAAGTGTACCTATGGCTTGGAGTAAGTGGAATGCGTATCGCGAAGAATTGGAGTAGTGGCTAATCTGGAGATTAGGCAAATGTCATGTTGGCGTATCCCATACCCGAGGCTGAAGAATTGCTGAACACAAAGCTTTCCACGGCGAAACAGAGCTTGGCCAATTGCGAAGAAGACATGGAGTTCTTGAGGGAGCAGATCACAGTGAGTCATGAGTCTACATTGATTGAAATAGTGAGGCTGTCCCGTAAACTGACTTGTCGTAGACATTGGAGGTTGCTTTTGCCCGCGTATACAACTGGGATGTCGCGCAACGACGGAAGGAAAGGCAAGAGGCGGAATCGGCAGAAGGAAAAAAGGAGAAGTCTTGAGGAATTAGGAATTCAATACTATATACTGCCGCTTGGGTCATACACGGACTGAGGGTAGCTTTCCAAGATGATGACATTGGATTAACAGAAAGAAATTCCTGAAGTAGGCCATATCTCGAACAAAAAAATGAGAACCAATATATCCATCAATCCCAATTTTAGACCATTTACAAGGTGTAACATCATCTTCCTGCCATCCAGTCAAGTGATTCTTATATTGTTCCCCTACCTTGGACATTGCATCACCATAGACAGTCTCGGCCTCACTGTCGCCGTCCACTGTCGATGAAAGCTTTCGTGACACGAGACACATATAAGGTGTGAAGTTGAAGTGTTTGAATGGAGTGACTTTTCGTTACGATTTCATTGAGAAAGAACTACTAGATACATGCGGCCTTCAAGGACCCAAGGCGGTTTCCGTCAACCCATGCCAAGATATCCCAATTGCAAACGTGCAATACTCCAGGTCAAATCAATCCACAGCCAGAAAAGCGATGGTTGACTCATGGGGTAAGATTCTTGACTTTAGATCAAAGCGACGAGACCCATAGCGCCTACGATCACGGCGCCGAATCCATTGCCGATACCCATGATATCAGCAGCGTTGGTAACCTCTGGAGGATAGGATGCAGTCGGAGTCTGAGGAACTGAGCTAGTCTCGATGTCAGTCTCGGTGACGGACTCTGTGACGGACTCGGTGACAGACTCAGTGGCGTACTCCGAGGTAGGAGTGGGAGTAGCAGGAGTGGACCAGGTGGATGTGACAACAACCGGGGTACTCTTGTGACTCTTCTCAACAGTGGAGGCAGAAGGGACCTCAGGAACGGTATGAAGAGAAGAAGTCTTCAACACCGAGGAGATCTCCGAGGTATAGTCGATGGTGGTGCAGAAAATCTCGGTGAGGGTCGCAGTGACAGTGACGGTAGCGCTCACTGTGACGGTGGGGGCACAGTTGTCTGCAGAGGAGGAAACAGTCAGTGATTGAAGAACAAGATTTGGGTGAAAACAAACCGGTCTCATATCCAGAAGAGATGCGGGTGGCACCATAGTTGCGAGCTCCAAGCTCCGGGTACTGAACCTGATTGACCTACGCAGAATGTTAGTCTTTCGGTCACCAAGAGATGGATATGAAATCTTGGTCGAAATGAGGATGGACTCACATGGCCGTTGGCACTGGCAACACCTAGGAGAGAAGTCAGTCCGAGGACGACGGTGGGGATGAAGGTAATCATAGTTGCAACTGAAGATGCGTGAGTGAGTATTTGTATGTGTTTGTGTGTGTGTGTGGATAGATGGTAGTGGATGTTGGGGATTATCTGTTGAAGAAGTTAGCAGGTTTCTTTCTGAGAAGGAAAAGGAATGCTGACGGTTTTGTGTTTGTGTTTGTGGAGGAGAGAGAGAAAGAGAAGAGAGGAGAGGAGAGAGTGCGTTCTTATAGGCAGGAGGAGTGGCGAAAAAGACAGTCGCGCGTCGCCGCGACAACCTCGCGTACCAGGAAACGCGACGGGTTAGAGGGACAGGTGAAGGTGAGAGGTAAAGTGAACATGAAGTAGGAGTCAATCAGAAGCAGCCGTTTCCTTGGTTCCCGTAGATTTGTTGAGGATGTGTTGTAGCCAAAGCAGTGTCCGGACTATCACTTATCATTTACAATTTGACACTATTCGCGAATATCGTGAGCACAACGTAGAATATCAGCCATATAGAAGAGATCGAGAAGCCCCTTTACATGGAGAGCAAAAGAACAATTGTTCAATGGAGTTACTTTCCTACACTTGTGATATCAGAATTGTGGGGTTTGGTGGCAGTGTTTGTATGAATGCGTGCCCACTGAATTGAGCTGTTAGTGAAGGTAAAGTAGATGCAGGCGTAAACAAAAAGCGTGTAACCGTCAACAGGGACGATAACACCAATCACGCGATTTCTATCTGGTTTGGACAAGATAGGAGCGTTTGTTGTGGTAACCATTACCATTGCGCACGTTTGCCCTGCCTTGCTTGTAGTCTGAACAAGTAAGTGAGTGGGTAAGTTGGCAAGCAGGCAAGCAGGCAAGCGAGTATCTAAGTAAGTACATGGCTAAGTACCTACCTGGTACCTACCTGAGTGGAAGAAAGAAGAGGAGGAGGAGGAAGTACCTCGCAGTAAACTGTAGCTGCCGTGTACAATCTCCCTCTCTGTGTGTATATCCGTGCTCCCGCCCTAGCGTTCATCCACAAACCACCTTCTCCTACTTCAACTCCATCTCTTCAACCTCCAACCCCCTCCCCTCCCTCCCAACACTGGTACAGAATCGTTTCCCTCGTCTCTCTTTGATACCACATCACGCTCATTATCAAACTTCTTCTCTCGTGTCTGTTCATCTTCTTCCCCACACGCTCGTTTCTCATTCACTCTCTGTCTGCATTTGAGAACGTCAAGATGAAGCTGCTTCACCTTGCCGCTTTTCTCTGCGGCCCTGTGGGAGTCCTTCAAGCTTTGGCAGAAGGTAAGTTCATCAATTCATCTTTATCAAAAGTTTCGTGCTGCTTTACTGACGGTACTCCCAGTTCTTCCCAGGCAGTTCGAACCCGTAACTTCGATCTCCGTGATCACCTCGACCGTCTTCACCACCTCCATTGTCTCACTCACCCAGTGCGGTACATATGTCTCTGAGTGTACCAATGCTGGCACCAAGATCATCACTTCGATCGTGGAGCTCACGGCTACCGCCTGCCCATTTACTTCTACTTCCAAACTGCCAACCACCTCGATCGGGACCACTGTTCCTACCATTCCCACCCCGCCCGGCATCTCTGTTCCTGCAACGCCTTCATCAGTTCTCCCGATTTCCTCACCTTCATTCACAAATCCGCAAGGCACTGCTGATTCTACCTCGGGCTACTCTGGCGCCCCTTCTGCTTCCTTGAACACGAGCTCTCAGGCTGAACGAACCTCCCCTCTTGGTACTTCTCCGGTGTTGATATCTTCCTCGACACGAGAGGCCACCGATTCTAACGGGACTCCGACTGCCACCCCATCAACGGGTCTTGTTACAGGCTCTGGAACAACCCCATACGCAACCTCCGGCAAGACCACCGGAACTGACTCGGATGGCGTACCGACCTTTGCACCAACGAACTCGAGCCTGTCCTCCAGCCCAGTTGCCACAGTGGCCCCGTCCCAGTCTGCTTCTGTTTCCCTGTCAAATTCTCCAACCGGGACTGTCTCCACCAATTCCGGTTCTGTGTCTTCTCTTTCATCCCAGCCTGTTACCGCTTCAACATCGACGATACTGTCCGGACCAACAACTGCTTCCCAGTCGATCACCGAATCCCCTCGACCTTCCAATGCCTCTTCAGGGGCATTCACCAACTCAGAAGGCGTACCGACATCTAGGAGGTCATCGTCAAACGGACTCTCCGAGACCAGTTCTGGGGGCTTCACTAACTCTGAGGGCGTGGTCACTTCCAAAGCACCAGCCACGACCACCACTGCCTCCCTGCCAATTGTCAGCTGGTCAAACTCTTCTCTCACTGACGCCCCCACCACTGTTCGTAGAACGAGCGTTATCACACGTACCCTGACATCTGTTATGACGGTACCTAATCCAGCCGCATCGAATTCGTCCTTTATACCGACAACGATCTTAACCACCGAAACATACACCTCGGTCTTCAGTTATCCTGTGACCAGTGTTAATTCGACGAGCTCCAGTGCCGCCAATAGTACAGTTACTTCTGGGGCGATTACTCCTAGACCTAGCTCAAACATCGAAGGTATTAGCACCAATCCCGGAACAACAGCTCCTGTTCCCAGCTCTGCCGAAGGTGTGACCACCAGTTCAGGAACTGGTGTGACCGGCCCCAGCTCCAATATTGAGGCAACGACTACTAGTTGGGCCACCGCCCCTACTGGCTATCCATCTGGGTAAGTTTATTCATCTATCTTTATATATCCACTCATTGACCCTTGCGCTTGTAGGTGGCCCAACGTGACTGTCAACGGCAGCATCGTCCTCCCTAGCCCAAAGCCGTCCGAACCAACCTTCGATGACGCTGGCGATAAACTCATCGGGGCCAGCACCAACTCCCTGTTGGCGATTGTCATCGCATCCATGTTCGCGCTCTTCGCCTAAAGGTCAACGACTTGAAATGATACTTTCAGCTGGTGTTCCATGATCGGTCCGGTTCTCCCCATTGAAGGAGTTTCTTTTCATTATTGTATTACTTATATCATAGCATATTCTGGAGGGTGGTGATGGTGGGCGTGAACAACCTCCTATAGCTGTCAGTTTTGTACCAAGGTCTTTCCGCAGCATGTATTACCGAATATGGCCAACAAGTAGTAAGTAGGTAGTCCAAGAACCTTTTATGCGGCCCACAAGTTTTTTCGATAATACAAGACCTTTGACTTGCATTGCTATTACCTTTCACTAGGATATGTTTAAAGCTGCTTCTGCTTCTAGTCTGAGCATGATGTAGGCGAGATCGACACTGCTCTCTTGATATGGCCGACCTCTCGACGTTGACGATGAACCCGCATGATGACAATAAATACCGGGACAAATCATGAATAAAAGACCGATAGTTGTAGAAATAATTCAGTTTCCAGCTCGTCAATCCTTTTCAAGGGAGTCTATTTCCCTCCCCTGCTAGATGAAGTCATGATGATTCGTCAAAATTCGCGCCGTTGAAGACAATCCCGTTCTATATCAAACCAACAGTACAGCCTCGCATTCATTCCAGGGGCACCTGCATCTCGCTCTCGCCATCGGCTCCCTGGAACCTCCACTGCTCCTCACTACCGACCAGACTCTCCCCACTCTCCTGCTGCTGCTGCTGCTGCTGCTGCGCACCCTTCTGAGCCAACCAATCATTCGCCACAAGCCTAGCGACATTCTTGCCCATCAACGCGCTCGTCTCCATGGTGGAAATGAAGCTCTCAATCCCACTCGTATAGTACACCCCGTCGTCCAGCCTGATTTCCTCGAACGTGACGCGCGGCAGCTCGTACGGATAACTCCGCCACGCCTTCCTGTACAACCACGACACAGCGCCGCTCCTATCCGGGATGTCGACCTCGCCGTCCTCTTGCTCCTTCTCGTCATCATGGAGGGCGGGGATATCGACGTCGTGGCCGAGCAGCTCCGTGAGGTTCGCCGCGGTGATGGGCGCAGGCGAGAAGATCTTGTAGATATACTCGCTCCTCCGGTCCTCTGCGAAGGGGTTCCGCCCCGTCTTCACGACCGACACGCTGAAGAAGCCTGGGGAGCCTGCGGCGCCGGCGCCGCTTTCGCCCTGTGGGTTCTTGGGGCTGGGCGGCTTCTCGTCGTCTGGGAGCGTCGTGAGTACGAATTGTGGGACTGGGGTATCCGGTGGCAGGTTGAAGCGTGTGGGGGAGAGGCGGTGCGGGGAGGCGAAGAGGGTTACGTGGAGGTGGACGTAGGGGATGGGTTTGGGGAGGTGGGAGGGGGAAGGGTGGAAGGTTAGGGGGGAGGAGAATTGGAGGGGCGTGGCGAGGATGATGGTGTCGTATTGTGCTTCTTCTTCGGGCGATGATGCTGAGGAGGATGGGGAGGAGGTTGTGAGGGTGAATTTCTGGGTCGAGGGGTCCCGGGTTATGGATGTAACGGTCGTGTTTAGGTACGTGGAGATGGAACTCGACGAGTTGAGCATGTGGGCGAATATCTGCCAGTTCCCGCCCTTGATGGCTTTCGCGCCGGACGTCGCCATGCAGACCATTGTCTCCAGGCCGTGGATGAGGTTGAGGTGTGAGGCATAGTTCACACGTGTGCTGCAGGTCGACGTTAGCATCTGCAGAAGAGATTGTGTGCGTGGATGGTGCGAATTGAATTGGGTAGACGTACCTTGCCTGTATAATCTCCTTCGCGAACTTGTCCCCAATCCCAGAGGCCTTCAGGAACTGCTCTCCAGTGTGGCTCGTCACGGTCGTCAACCCAACCTCCTCGGCCACATCGCTCAAGCTTTCCCAGGGGAACAGCGGCTCATCGTAAATGCGGAGGAACTTGCCCACCGTATCCTTCATCAACCTGTTCGTCTTGATGGGCGCGAGCCCATACCTCCACAGCAACTTCGCCTTATCCCACCACCCGTCCTCCGCATTCGTCGTCACGACGAACTCCCGCCCATTCCATATGCCCAACTCTGGCGTACCAGCCGGCTTCACGCCGCCATCGTCCTCGTCTTCGCTGTCGAGCCCGGACGTGGAGAGGTCGAAGCGCTGGGCGGCCTCGACGAGGATCTGGTTGACAGACACGAAGATGGAGCCGCCGAGCTCGACGGGCTTGGTGGCGAGGTTCCACGCGGGCACCGTGGTCGTGCGGCCGCCGATGTAGGATGAGCGCTCGAAGACGTCGATTGAGAAGGGCGTGCCGTCGAGGGAGGCGTACTGCGAGAGGTGGTATGCTGCGGAGGAGCCGCCGGCGCCCGCGCCTGGAGTTATCTCGTTAATGATTTATTGACGGAATAGGTGAAGAATCCAGGTGCTTCATAGAAATAAACCTGGGGTCACAGGGATGTCCTACCTATGATAGCAACTCTCTTCTGCGCGGAGCTTCGCGGTGGTGGTAGCTCCTGGTCATGTCCGCTGCGGAGCGCGGAGGTGAGGAGGGGTGCGGTGACGAGCGGGATGAGAGCTTGAAGATGCATCGTTACCTACAATCCAAAGATTCTGATCTTGTGGTATGTCGTATGGATGCCTTTCGAATTTGATAAATTAGATACTCAGAGGCCTGGGTTCCCCGCAGCCCATGACCTGAGTGCCGCGCAATGGATGGAGAAACCCGTCTGACGTTGAGGTGGTTCGGGTGAGGAAGCTTGGACGTTTTCCTGATGCGTGGTAAGGATCACACCATCTGTACATGTGCTATCCAGCCTTTCAATAATGGTCAATAGAGGGTCAAACCTATCTGGTAAGGCCATTGATGATCAAGATTGCAAGACTTCTTTCTTCTTTTGGCTGTAAGATAGTATTTACTGCTACAATTAGAACTCCGACTTTGAAGTTTGCTTCGCACACTAGCACTCTGGACATATGAGTACCTGACTAACTTATCCTGGCGTGCTTTATTCAACAGTCTTGACTTGATGTTCCTCATTATGACCCCATATACTGCCTTGAATAGTATTGAAGTATTGCGGATGATGATCACTTGGCCAATGTCCTCAGATTAGTCTGCAGTTCCCTATGGCTCAATTTAAATGGATAAACCCAGGCATTCAACAGACGGAATCCCGTAAACCATGTCACAGTTCACAGCCAAAAGCACAGTCATGCGAACCATAAATAATTAACTATTCAATCTAGTAGAAGGTAATAAATATACAATCTTCAGCTCTGCTGGCAAACGAATAACAAAAAACAGATATAATCGGAAAAGCGTTCATATGCCGCGGGTATTTGCGCTCATCTCGTGAATGGTAAGGTATCTCTGGGTCATAAAATCGTCGTTAAAGTAGAGGAAAAGTTTCATATGATTCTGCCGCCGCAACCAAAGGAAAACATGAGTTGGGAAAACCGGAAAGTGGAAAGAGGCCGTTATACGCCGACAAAGGAAAATCATAATTGATGATGGGGGTGTGTTTTGGAATGTGGGGGGGTTCGAGGTTCTACGCCCTGGACTCTCTCCTGAGGAACTTGAATCGCTTCTTCTTCTTCAGCTTGGCTTCTTCTGGGGGTGGTGGCGCGTGGGCGATGAGTGCGGCCTGGGCATTGAGGCGCTCTGCTTCTTCGTAATTCCAGGGTATCGTCCAGTTTCTCTCAGGGATCTCCCCGAGCTTCGTGCTGTCCGAGGCGAAGGTGTAGGTCGATGGGGTCACCTTGTCGATTCTGCGTCTCACTGGGGAGGGGATCGCAGATAGTGGTACGCACTTCTCTTTTTCTTTCTCTTTCAAGGCTGATGTTTTCGTTTTCTTGGGAGATTGGGAAGGCATCTTTGGCACTGGCGGCGGTGGCATTGACGGAGGCATTGGCTGGACCGGTACGTTGATCTCGGGTTTGGTGAATGGCCAGGTGGTTGGGCGAGGGCCATCGATGGAGGATGCGCGTCTTCTCCCCTGGTTTGGCGGGTTGGCTTTCGCGTGCGATGGCTTCTGCGGGGGAAATGGGTCCTGAGCGGAATACAGTGGCAGTGGTGACCCTAGGGGTGAAGCTTCGGGGGAGCTCATTGCAGTTATCGCCTGAGACTTTGTAGAGCTTGAGCTACTTGAAGTACCTTTCTTGGAAGAAGGCTTCGGGCGGAGGACTACGAGTTGCGGTTGGCCTGAGCCTTTCACTTGCCACTTCATGACTGTTGGGCCACTCGGTCTCGATCTTGACGTCGACGACCTTCGTTTCACATTGCTTTTGGGTTTCGCGACCACTTCGTCGCCCCTCACGGCCCCGGAGCAATTGAAGTGCTTTCCACTTCCACATTTGGGGCATACACCAATTCGTTGAACATGCAGATTTATATGTGATTGGCTCATCCTTTGGCACAGCAAGTTCAACGAGCTGACAGCTTCTGCCCGCGAAGCGTCTGATAAACTCGTCAAGGACTTGTAGTCCAAGTGGAGAGGGCTGGATTTGGGATCATGATGCAAGAAGGTATTTATGATGCTCACGAGTCCCGTATTCAACCTGATCAATGTCTCGGCAAGAGAAGCATGGGCAATCGCTGTAGTAAACGTGATGATCAGCATAGTTCCCGAAATTCCATAGCGCCCCCAAGGAACATCCATGGGATGCGCATATTGTTTTGTTTGTTTGTGTACTTACCATCACCTTTTGCAAATCGATTACCGACCTGGCTGTAACCTAAGTTGTATGTTTGTTCAATGTCTTTGGGTCCTCGCCGCAAGCTCTTGGACAATTGCGTCTCCGCGCGCGAGACGACTTCATTCTGGCTGTCTTTGGATTGGCGCTTCTCTTTGCGCTTTCGCCTAGTTTCGCGTAATTTCTTGAAGACGTTGAGGCTGTCGGTGAATGCTCGGATGAGACCCGAGACACAATTCGAGACCTCGGCGTCGCTTGACGTCGCCATCTCTTTCGCCATGTTCGCGCGACTGTCTTACATGGATAGATTTGAGAGGAGAAGAGAAATCGATGAGGAGGAATTTTGTAAATAAATAAACAAAAAATAGGGAGAATAAATATTTGCGAATGTGCGTGATTAAACGAAATCCAAATAAAGCGATCGGACGGACACAGGCCAGCAACAGCACAGCAGCACAATTCGCGGAGTCAGAGTCGACGGGTAGTAGTTAATAGTCGATGATAATTGAGGAAAGTGAAGAGTCACAGACACGAAGGGGGAAAGGCTGGACTGTATATCCCAGCCACGGGCCCTTGTATGCCAGACCCGAAAGTGCTGGCCCTGCGAGGTCGCCCTGCTGGCAATCATCAATGGTTGTCCTGGAAGAGGGCCTGTGTCTGTGGATTCTCGAGGCGCTTGGGTCCGTCCTCTGTTCCTGCATCTGTGACTGGCTTCATCCCATTGTCCGCGGGCGACCGTTTCAACTTTGTGCTGCGAGGGCTTGCTTGTTGATGCTCGTAGCCGCTGCGGTGTAGAGTCTTGGAGACGTTGTAGGATGTGAGTGGTTGAATGTTTGGTCGAGTGGGCGAGGGTCCTGGCAAAGACGGGATTAGGGCGTGGCTAGCCTGGCCTATGCCCTGCTATGCCCTGCTCTGGCTGCTCAGGCTGCTCAGGCTGCTCAGGCTGCTCCCCGTCTGGCTCGATACCGCAACCTCCCCGCACAACAACAAACCCTCGTACGGTTTACTTACCATGTGCATGCAGTGATGCACCCTAATTCCTCCTTCTATCTATCTATCAGATTCGAAAGATGTCCTGCGCATATGCATATACCCACTCTCCTCCCTCCGATGCACCATTCACCAGTACGCATTTGCCTGTAGTACAACGTATCTACATCTGCGGTGTGGGGTGAACAGTCTGCATGTGCATGCACGCTGTCAGTAATTCATTTCGGCCGGGTTGATAAGCATGCTTCATTTGCTGCCTTAGGACGTCAACACGTAGACAACACACACCATGGTGACCAAGGGTTCGGCATTTCTTGTGATAATTGCCTCGTCTCTTGTCCAATAACGAGATTGATATTTCCTATGACAGACAAGTGGAATGATCATGTTGAACCGCTAACGACCATCTTCACGATGGATGCGATCCACCATCGAAGCTATTCTGAGCTTCTTCCCTAATCCTGAAACGCCTCGCTATGCATGCCTGAGATGCCACCAATGTTTCGTCCCTATTGTTCGTTGTCTTCTACGTCTTCGACCGTGACCGCCCGTCGCCGCGTGACGTCCTCGCCTTCGGTACCGCGCTCCGCAACCGCAGAGCTAGAACCTTCCGCCACGTTGGCCCCCGGTAAATTTCCGAAGCTCCAACTAGATTCTAATGAGCTGGGCTCGGCTTGCTTAGATGTTGTTTCTCCAGGACTCGATTCTGTTGGCGGTGCAGACGATGATGGCTGCTGTTCTTGCTCAGCCTGGGCTGGCGCGCTCGATGTTGAAGAAGATGGTAATTGCTCCCCACCTACTGCCCCGGTGGCTACGTCATTGGGTAAGAACGAAGGGAGTTGGTCATTCGTTGGTTGTGATGACGGAGCCATTGGCCTCAGTGTCCAGCCCTCAGGCAAGACCAGTCCTTCGGGAAGTCCTGTGTCACCTTGTCGTAGAACAGGTCCGCTGGAAAAGTATGCCTGAGGACTTGTCGTATTGAATCCCAAGTTCTGACTTAGAGGTGCAATGATGGGCAGCTCTTGACCGCTAGCTGCTGTGATACCAGATGCTTGCTGAAGCCGATTGAGCTCGCCAAGCAGTGCGTGAATGTATTCTAACTGACTATGCTGAATGTTAAGTTGCCGGAGGGAGCTTATGATGTTGTACTGTAGGCGTAGAATGTCGGCCTGTATATCAGTAGGATGGTGCGGATAGACCGCGGGTGGCAGTCCTCCCTCGAGCCCGGGTAGCTGAGGTAAGCCTAGTTCATGATCCTGAACGGGGGTCTGATGCTGGTTTTGAGCCTGGTTCTGACCCTGATCGAGGTTTTGTGCAACCTGTTGCGCAGCATTATGCATGCCGTTCGCGTTCAGGTTATTGACAGCCTCCTGCGCGTTGGGAAAGCGGCCAAGCGCGAGTCGAATGGGCCCGAAGTTGTACACCCGCATATTTCCACCCGGCTGGTCTCCTTGTTGTTGCGCACCGTTGGGAGCTTGAGGCGGCGGGGCTCCAGGCTGGCCACGCTGAATCTGATTTTGGAGATCATTTCGAAGATTGGCAAACCCTCTTAGTTGTTGCGCATTTGCTTGATTCTGTGGGTTTTGGTTTCCTGCATTTGCCTGTGTGTTTTGGTTGTTTTGGGCTCCTCCAACAAGAACAGGACGGCGACATGTAGGACACACTTGTTGCCTTTCCAACCAGCTTCGGAGGCAGCTGAAATGCAATATATGTCCACATGGCAGCTTTTTGGGCCGTTGTCGTTCGTCCACACGTCTTCCAGCTTGTTGTCCGGCTGCTGCTCCATCGGGATTCCACGGTCGCATCTCTTCTCGGCAGACAATACATGTGTTCTCCCGCTCCAGTTCCTCCACTGTCGCATCGGGGTAGCGTGCGTTCATATCTCGTGTTGCGTTTCTGTACTGGATAAAATCGTTCACTCGTTTGATGAAGGAACGTAAGGTCATGAACAAGTCGCGCATAATGTGAAGAGGAATGCCGTAGAAGGCCATCAGAATCATAAAGAAGCCAATATAGACAACGGACTTGATGAAGTCTGCTAGTCTATTAGAAAATCTGCGGTCATCAAATACTCAGAATACGCACCTGTGGCAAGATCGAGGTAGAACACCCATCGCCCCTTCTCTTCCCAGCCGGGAACGTCCCCCTCGTCTTCGTCTTCATCCTCTTCAATTTGTTCCGTTGGTTCGCCAGCATTTTCGGATGCAGCTGCCTGCTCTCGTGCGCGTTCTCTTGAGAGTCGTCGAGCTTCCACTCGGGCCTTTTCTTGTCGATGGACAACGACAATTTCTACAAGCGATAGAGCATATCGTAGGAGACTTGAAATCGAAGCTATTGCGAGTAGCACGTATTCAAATCCAAACATGACCATCACGCCGGGGCGCGCATTCTGAAGGATGTGATCGATGCAGTATTGCATCATGACTACGTCGAATGCCACGGAGAAGAGCAGCGAGCTCATGAGCCGTATGTGGAAAAGGCGCGGGTTTGCTGGCGGTTGTTGCTCAAGGTATTCCACTCGGCCTTCGCCGATCCACTGCCAAACCTTTCCTCCCAAGAGACACAGGAACATAGCAAAGAACCATATACCAATGTCATCCCGAAATATGGTCATCGCCAATAACGTCTCGCTGACAGCGAACCATGCTTTGTCGTAAAGCTGTTCGGTTTCGATCGCGCGGAGTGGCCCATAGAACAGCCGTTGGAGTCCATAGCCAATACTTCCAGTAATTATGAGCGCAAGATTGATCAGGAACTTCGTTGGATTAGTTTGTAATCGCCCATTGTCTTATGTGAATGCTGACCATAAGAGAGCCGGTGCTCTGCGAGATGTAGACGGCAGCGGAGTAAAAGTTGGGTCGCTCATAGTATGCACGCAAGAGGACGATGTTCGCGAGAACAGTCGAACCCTGACAGCCATTGTTAGTATCTCGTATGATAGTATCGAACCATGGATGAGGGTAGCTTTACCGCGACATATAGTTGTAACCTCGTCATAGCGGCGACTTATGGTGTAGCATTGGGGTATCAGAGAGGATAGTCGATATCCATCTGAGAAATCTGCTGCCTTAAATGTAAATGTACAATGAATGGCGGCGTTTGATGCGGCGAAGTAGCTCACGGTCTTGACACGGTAGCTCTGAGAGCTGCCACGTGATGATGACGGAGCATCCGCCGTTGCCAAGCCCTCTTAATCCCCCACATTATCAACATCAACAACTCTTGCACTTCACCATGTCCTTCATCATCAATATCGGTGTATTCACCATTTCACATTGCACCTTTTTACGAGTTCGAAGCAATACCGGTAGCACTACCTTAAGTCATTCATTTCAAGTAATCGAGAAATCTTCAACCCTGATTATTACAGGACCATCATCAATTGTTGGTATTGTTCTATCGCTAGAAGGCACCCCTTTCATAGGCCGAACTCTTCAATCACACTCCGTGATTCTGTGAAGCTGTTATCAACCCCAATGAATGGCGTCTTTAACCCAAACCCTTCGGGACCTCCAACCTTCAATCCTCTTTCAGTCTTCCACAATGGATGTGCTGGTAGAGCAATTACGTTGACCCTGAGACCATATCGCAAGTCTTGGGAACCGATACCCTCGCCATCTTGTCCTAGGATCGAGATCAAATCTGGTACTGTGCACACGATCTTTTGTGATTCTTCCGAACCCGTTTCATCGCTCAAGGCAGCGTAAAGATACTCGTTCTGGAACGGTATCGTCATAAAAGAGTTGCCTACTTGTTGATCAGGGGTAGATTGACTGTCCTCGTCATTGTCCGGTCCGATGATCACGGTACCCATGGTGTATCCGCCACCAATGTACCGGCGTACGTCTACAATCTTGCCCGTGAACAACAATTTGCCTGCGCAAACATCAAACTATAACATAGTTAGCGCGTGTAGAAGCAGGTCAATAACACAACATACAATCGCGTCAATGTAGCTTCTCTTTACTCGTCGGGCCAGGTGGGTCGCACGGCCTAGGTACCAGGCCAGCGACAATGTGTTGGGGATGCCATAAGATTTGATAACAGACCCTGGCAGAGGGTTTGCACAGACTGCACATGCTAGTCCAAGCTCGATTGCGTTCGAGCGAAGCATTTTCTCAAGCCTTATGGGAGAGTCGGTGTTCTATAACCTATATTAGATCATGTAATCGGAAAGTTGATGTCTCTTCTGCCTTACCACTGTGACTGATATGTTTCCTCGTGCGTCTGAAAGTACACACGGCACCAAGGGATATCCATATACACTGAAGATTGCTATAATCGATCAATACACTGTTCAAAGACAAGGTTGGTTGTTATGCATGACTCACCATGATACATGGTTGGATACGCTCTTCCCATTGCATCACCATCAATGACTGGCGCATCGAAATGCACGCCAGTAGGGAAAGCGCTCATACCGTTGCCGCCACCACTAGAAATGTCAGTTTCGTTTCGGATTTTGTAGATGGACGAGGACAAACATTTCATCGATAAATATTCCACCTATAGAATCATCACCGGTGATCTTTTTCATGGCTTCTATACCCAGGGAAATCTCGTTCCCACCAGCGATGCGCTCATTGATAACGCTTGGGCTTCCGTACCAGGATCCGAAGAAAACCTTGTCTGTGTCATTGAGTGCCTGGGGTGAGATAATCCGCATCCTTCCCTTTTCGCTAGTTCGTAAGGCATGTAAACTCTTGAGGTACTCATGATGTGTTGGACCGCCGCCACCAGTACCTAAGATTCCACAGCCGGTTGAGATGAGCTCCAGATCCACCTCAGAAACGTACCATACTCCTCCCCGAACGTCGGGCCTGTAAGTTTGTATATCTGTATTAAGAGAGGGTTTTGTTGTTGGTTCCAGTGCATTGGGTACCGAAACTTTCTGACCTTCTTGCTCCTCTTCCTCGCCTTTTTCGCCATGCAACTGTGGTGATGCGGGTGGCGTGAGCTCGTCAGGGATTTTGAGCGGTCCACATGCGCGAATCTGGATTCGTATTGCTTCGTTGTCTGTGTATGCAAGTGGCATTTTGTTGACTTCGACAATGCGAACATGTTCTCTCGCTGCACCCTTCTGAACGGCTAAGTCGATAGCCTTCGTACGGGCTGCATCAACAACCTCCGCCTCTGGCCTTCCAGCTAGAATCTCGACGGTGTCAATTTCACCCGAAATTTTCGCAATTGCTGCGCCAACGGCATTAGCAGCACCTTGGTGAATCGGTTGTATGCATTTGTCCACGCCTTGTAGGTCTCCGGTCACAAGAAGTGAACCACCACCGACAAGAAGAATGTGCACTGGCGCAGAGGACACCTTCATCTGATCAATGACTGCCTCAAGTAGCCTGTTGATCTCGTTTCGCGCATTTTCAACGACGTCTGTGGGTAGGTCTTGGACAAGCGCAGGGTTTCCCAGCTGAGATTTACCAAGGGCAACAATAATGTCACTCGAGGTCAGCGTATTACCGCCAAAGACTCGCGCCTCTTTCTGGATAAAATGTCCTACTGAACCAGGGCCGACTGTAACCGTTGAGGATCCGTTGAAAGAATCAATGGCGACCTTACTTCCACCACCTAGACCAATGGACACGACCTCAGGCATAGAGAAAGCAGTTCGAACTCCTCCGACTTCAACGAACCCCGGAGCCTGCCGTGGGAATCCTGAAGGCAACAGAGCACAAACATCCGTTGTAGTGCCTCCGATATCAACGACCAAAATCTGAGGCTCGACAGAATCGGGCTTTTCAGCCTGGTTATCTGCATTGGTGGGCTGGACTTTATCGAGACCAGCAAGGAAAGCAGCACCCGTCATACTGTTCGTCGGGCCACTAGCAAAAGTCTTGATGGGGTATTCAGCAGCTGCATCCGCCTCAATGAGCGTCCCGTCGTTTTGGGAGAGGTAGAGCGGACATGACAGTTTGAGACGTCTCATCGCACCCTTGAATCCCCGAGTCACTCTGGAGGCAGTTCTAAGAATCGCGGCATTGAGAATGGTGGCGTTCTCTCTTTCGAGCAGGCCAGTTGGGCCAATGTCATGAGAGCAGACGACTCTCAGTTCGGGCGCTTCTTGAAGCATGATTGCTTTACACTTCTCTTCGTGGGTTCCCTCATGATCAAGTGGAGAGAACACTCCGACCAGCGCAACGGACCTGAGACCAGAGTCGACAATGTTCCGCGCTGTGGTTCTGATCTGCTCATGATCTAGCTGCTGGATTTCGCGTCCATCAATCTCGAGCCCTCCGTCCAGGTAATACGCGCCACCATCGAGAATGCCACGCAGTCCTACTGGAAAATCCGAAAACGGGGGGATTTGTCGTGTGAAGGGTCCGCAGAGCCGTACCACGGCGACACGGTCTAATCTCCTGGCATCGGCTTCGATAAGGGCGTTGATGAAATGTGTGGTTCCTATTGTCACGCTGAGGACACGGCTTTGGTCGACTTTTGACTCTCGGAGAACGGCTTGTATTGCGGATTCGATTCCACTGGTAATGTCCTCGGTTGTGGAAGCTTTATGGGATGCCAATACACCACGATGAGGAGTGTCCGATGCTTTGATATCTAGAATCGCGGCGTCGGTGTTGGTTCCTCCAACGTCTACTCCAATGCGATAGAGAGACATTGTTATATTCGTATGCTTCCTTTGTCGAGTGTGGTCCAATGAGTGGGTTGTGGAGGCTGCCTCAATACAATGGAAATTTGTTGCAGTGAGCTGTTTGCGATATTGCTGCTCTCGATAAAAAGGCAGTACCTGATTGCTGAGGACTTGGACGGATGTTACACGGCTGCTTTGGTGTGGGAATGAGCAGAAATCCCAGTCTTCACACTATAGCGACTATACAGCTATCAAAGCAAGAAAACGGTTGCTCAGTTGGGAGGAAATAAGCATTTATGTATTTAAAGGAAGGTTTCCATCTCTAACTTTGCCTTCCATCGCAACGGTCAGAATTGTTGTTTCACAGGACCCAACCCATTGCAAGGTTCACCTTCGTAACTAGGTAATCATACGTGCCGATCAATTTATGGGGGGTAATCGGCCAAGTTCAGTTCACCGATGCGCTAAGAGAAGTTCGCCGACACTTGGGATCAGAGAAGCGACGAACCACGCGGTAACGTTGTCGTCTTTGGATTATCCTTCACTTTGCCGACGGTTTTGTCGTTCGCCTATCAGCACTCGCCCCTTTCGAGACGGTCATCGCATCCATGAGGGTCTGGGGCCCCATCCCGATAGATTGGCAACCTCCGCAGTCGGATATGTGACAGAAACATCAACAAATTGTCGACTGAACCATCCATTTGTCTTATCTCGGGCCAAGCACGGTGCCCGGGAGAGATAGGTATCTAATGCTCGAGTGTTAAAAGGCATCGCGGCGCGAACTCAAGTTCGACTTCTCCTTCAACTTCGCGGTCGGTCCGCTCCTTTGGGAAAATTTCATTTGCCTTCTTCCATCCTTACGATTGACAGCAGGTGTTCACCATGAAGTTCGCGAATCTTCTCAAGCGAATTGAGCTTCCTGCAGGATCGCAATGGGTTGTATGTTTGTCTTGATGTTCATGTACACAAGAAGCTAACTGTGTAATAGAACGATGACCTTCGTCCCATAGAGTCCGCCCGCCGGACTTGGACATTTTTGACCTTTCACAATTTGTGTAGGTGAATTACAGCCTCTTCAACCCCTGAAACTAATTCCATATCAGGGTTGCTCATAAACTGCAACATTGCCACCTTCTTGACGGGAAGTGCACTTATCCCTCTGGGACTTACCTGGTGGCAAGCCATCATTGGTAAGAGCGGACAATTCTCCTTTGGCTCAATACCTCTATTGACATCGGTTCAGCAATCGTGCTTGGAAATATTTTGGCGACAGTCGCACTTCTGTTGAGCTCTCTGGCTGGTGCACACTACCACAGTAAGAATGCCGCTCTCTCCATTCTCGATTCCTCACCAGTACTAATCGTACCAAAAAGTCGGCTTTGCAGTCTTCAACAGGAGCGTATGGGGCATGTGGGGTTCTCAATTTGCAATATGGAACAGGGTTTTCTTGGGATTTGGTACGTCCCTTAATAACTACCTTTAGCCAGATCCCGCTAACATCGGCCTTCAGTTTGGTCAGTCGAATCTAGGCCGGCATCGTACACGCTAGGATTCTACTGACATATACTCTAGGTATGGCTTTCAGGCATGGATAGGAGGTGAATGCGTCTACCTCATACTTCTTTCTTTTGATCCCAAATATGAATCGCGCATACCAAACACCATCCCCGCAGAGACTGGCATGACGTCCGCCCAATTCGTCGCATACGTCATCTTCTCCCTTATCAGCCTTCCTGCTCTTTGGATACGTCCTCACCGTCTCGAGAAGTTCTTCATTTTTGCCAGTGTCGTAACGCTAGTCTTCTTCCTCGTTCTTCTCATCTGGGCACTGGCTACTATGGGACCTGAAGGCTTTGGCGACACACTTCAATCGAGCACGGGATACACTGGGACAGGACCACAGAGCACCACTTGGCTTATGATATATGGAATAATGTCCACGATTGGTTCCATTGCTGCAGGCATCATGAACCAGAACGATTATGCACGTTTGGCAAGACGTCCCAGCCATGCGATCTGGGGTCAAGCCTTCGCTTTCCCTGGTTACGGCATCTTTGCTTCGGTCCTTGGAATTCTCGTCACGGCTGCAACCCAGAACCGTCTTGGAGAAGCAGTCTGGAACCCTCCTACTCTTTTCGTGCGGCTCCTAGAGCGAGACGAAAGTGCTGGGACCCGCGCCGCGCTTTTCTTCGCCGGTCTCGCACTCTGTATCTCCCAGATTGGAAGCAGTCTCCCAGGAAACGCTCTTGCTGGAGGTATCGATCTTGCGGCCATCTTCCCGCGTTACATAAACATCAGAAGAGGCGCTTACATTATCGCCCTCATCAGCCCTGTCGTCAACCCGTGGCGTCTTGTCAATACCGCTACTACGTTTCTCACTGTGCTATCGAGCTACAGTGTGTTCCTTGCGCCAATGACGGGTATCATGGCTGCCAGCTATCTCGTGGTCAACAAGCAGAAGCTGAACATTGATGATTTATACGTCGGCAGTGAGAGTAGCATTTACTGGTACAGTCGAGGAATCAACTGGCGTGCGCCAGTAGCAGTAAGTTCCCTTATGAATCCAATCACCATCGCCATCTCGACGGAGATCCTTTGCTAACGTCGTTGTTTGTGTAGTGGATCATTGGTGCCGCTCCTTGCATACCTGGCTTTGTAGCCGCCGTCAATTTCTCTGTGGTCGTATCTGATGGTGCCACCGAGCTGTACTATCTAAACTATCTATTCGGCTTTCTTGCAAGTGCTGTTGCGTTCAGCATTCTGCATTTCGTTTTCCCCGCGAAAAGAGTAGATGAATTCGTTCGCAGCGATATGAGTTCCAAGGGTCTTCGTAAATTTTACGAGGATCGTTGGGAGGTGATTACGGTAGTTGGAGAGAGTACAGGATCTGTGGATAATGCCTCTGAATCCATGGAAAGGTCTAAGGACATGGAGTCTGCTACAAAGGCACTCTAGTGGGATCAGGTGCTGGCGATTATTCTGATTTGTAATTACTGTTTGATACTGCAGCGCGATATTTGTTTCTAATTACTGCATATACATATGTTCCCTTACATGCCTTGGAAGAAACCATTGCTTGGTGAAATTTACTTAGTTTTACCTTACTGTTGAGTCAATTATTTTGTCGCATTTTGAATAGTAATTTCCAACATTAGTAGAGTGCCATGATAATATCTATAGCTTTGGCTATTATAGCTAACAGAAGCAGCTGGTGGTAAATACGATTTAGTCATTTAAGTAAGGGGACTTCTCGGATACATTTCGCGTAGGTCTTTGTCGTTTTTTGCTCTAAGTACTGAAATAGAAACCGAACTTTGATATATTTTAACGGACGAGAGCCTCAATTTCACTCACTTCCTTCATAACCATGGTCAGATTCTCATAACCGTCGTCCGTCACTAGTACGTTGTCCTCGATGCTGTACCCGTCAGCGCGCTGCAACCCTGATCATTCACTAAATGCGACTTACCGCACGCCACCAACCTCCCAGTACCTGTTCAACACATCTTCATCGATAAACCGTTGATGTTTTTCGGACTCGAGGTGCGGTAAGATGATCTCTTTACAGAAATAAATCTACATTATTAGTTTCAAAAGCCTTCCACGGAATCATATGACTAGCTTACTCCAGGTTCAACAGTGACCACGGAGCCTGTAGGAAGCGGGCCCCGTTTTCGCAGATACCGCATCATACCATTCTCGTCCCGATCGTTCGACTTGCCACCAACGTCATGAACATCTAACCCGAGGTAATGTCCTAAGCCATGAGGGAAGAACGCAAGACTTGTCTGAGAAGCGAATATCTCTTCCCTGTCTCCTTTCATGATTCCGAACTCCAGCAGGCCGTCAATGGCAATTTTGTGTGCTTGGATGTGAATATCGTCCCAATTGGCGCCTGGCTTTATCATGGCCATGCAGTCTTTCTGCATCTTGAGAACGAGTTCGTAGATCGCTTTAGATTCGGGAGAAAACTTGCCGGATATGGGGAATGTCCTTGTCTGTGTAAAAAATGAGCAACATAGATACATCAATATTAGGTGGCCATACAATACTCACAATATCGGATGCATAACACTCCCATTCGGTTCCGGCATCATGTAGAACATTAAGTTTTCCTTCAAGACTTGCATTATTGTCTTCGTAATGCAAGATCGCTCCTGCTCGTCCACTTCCAACGACGGAAGGATATGCCGGCGTCCTTGACCCTTTCACTGTGCAATTCGCTACAAACCCTGCCTCGATCTCTAACTCTGATGATAAGGTTCTGACTCTCTTCATAACTTCCAGGTGCGCCATGCTGGATATGTAGTTGGCCTTTCGGATCATGGCGACTTCATACTCGTCTTTGATAACACGTGCAGCTTCGATGGCATTCTTCAGGAGTAGAGAATCATCTTGGCGGAATGAATCCTTGCTCCCGAGTTTAAATGCTGGAGATGGCAAGGTATACAGAGTCGACTCCGGGTATTTTGCAATGAGATGCTCTAACAATGTCTCGGTTTCGGATGTGTAGAGGACGTGATCAACATCATAGCGGTCCAGAGCTTCTTGGATGCTTAGAGGTACTCCAGACCAGATAATCTCTTCTGGGTCTGCAGCGGGAATCAGCAGCGTTGATTGGCATGATTGTATGTCGAAAATGAAAGAGCAGTTCTTTAGGTTACATCCGGTAAGGTAGTAGAAATTGCGGCGTTGTCTATTCGTAACACCGCATTAGTTATCGTTGCTTCTGAAAGGAAGTATCCCTTCATGTTGAGGAAGAATAATACCTGAATGTCTCTTCTAGATCACTTTCTTCCAAGAATCTGGTTTTGCTTCCTTCAATGTAGATGAGGCCTCGGACATCTGGTTCACTGTCCCGGATCAAATTCACGACGTTCTGAACATGCTTCTTCGCGGTATATTTTCCCTTGAGGATTTTCTCATAGTCTTCAGCAACCATCTTGGTAGGGAATTGAAGGAAAAGAGGTCGTCGGCTATTAGAGGTTCAAAGAGAAGTAAAGCGGAGCAATTATGCCTGATCTTCTTCGATGTCTTGTAGCCAACACTCACTCTATGCATACCAATGGACAAGAAACATACAATCGATAACTAGTACTCCAATGCCACCCAAAACATGTTTTGCGGTCCTGGGACCATTGTGATTGGTGAATGCACGTGCCACTCGCGAGCTTCTGGTATACCGATCTGTTTCGGTGAACCGTCGGCGAAGAGTACGCCGATTATCGCTGTTCAGAGCTGAGTCCTCGGCTCGTCGGCTGTGTAGCATATAGTTTACAATCGAATTTCTCAGTAGTTCAGATTGTAGCAATGTAATGGCTTATAGAATGCGATAATGCTCTTTGATAATCGATCATCTTGTCGTTGGAGGCGAATTGATTGTCCCTGTTCCGCCTCGCTTAAGCAAATCGGGAGCTTGAGCGAAAAAGGAATCAATTCGCAGCATAACTGGCCGGAAGAGTAATCTGCCATCGATGTTTCCCGTGGTGCCGAGCCTCTGGAGCGTGTGATGGAATTGCTCTAGAAGTCGGAAAGCTGCTTGGACGTGATCTGGCTCCGATGCCAATAGGAATAGGTAGATGAGAAAATTTCCGCATAGGATGAGTTGACTCCTAGCATCTACATCTATGTCAATATCTATTGTCTCAGGTGTTGATCAAGGCGGCAATCTGCGAGGAAACGACTTACGGCGAACCCAAAATGACTCTAAATCCCATTCTGTAAGACCTCCCATAAAATTTGTGAATGATTGAAATTCGGTGAGCGCGCAAGTAAACCAAGATCGCAAACTTGACGCAGGGTTATTCTTTGCCTGTCGTGTCGCTGGATACATGAGGCCCCGAAACAGTAGCACTTGCGCCGCATAGAATGACAGATGAAGTGGGGCTATGATTATCAGCGGCAGCCTTTAGATTTTTGGTTCAAGTGGATTACCATTCCAATGGATCCCCAGAGTCCCACTCTGTTCCACGCCGAGACAGTGGGGTATTAGAGCTCTCCACTCTTCGCTACCCTGCCGCAATGCGACAAGTTGATCTCGAGTCTTTTGGACTTCGTCGGTCGTTCGGTGTGTAGCATTGATCTGACTATTCAGTGCGTCAGATTTATGTACACACGTAGCTTTCATTCAGTAGTACACTTACAAGGAACAGTCAAGTATTTTGCGCAAGTATATACTAACCTTTACAGTTTCAAGGAACCTGACAGCGTCGTTGATTCTAAAAGTGGTGCTTTTTGGGTCAACCAAATGAGCCAAATCTTGAGGAACATCTTCATCAAAACGTAAGTCATCAATATGGAGCATCTCAGTATCAAATGAGCTTGGATGGATGTGGGGTGGATTTCCATGGCAGACAGAGGACCAGCAGTCGGTCATATAAGTTGCCCACCATAGCTTCTTGCGCAAGTGTTTTTCCCATGGGGCAATCTCCCATTTCTTCGGGTCTCGGTGAAGTCCTACCATCTGAGCACATGCTGTTGCTTGTGCTGCCCATATCCATGTGTGCGGCGTCTCTACACTGTCTATATCTGGAGGTCGTGGGTGAAGCAGTAGAAGACAAGACTGGAGCTTGGATATGTTAGGTGCCTCGAGTTCTCGGCGTAGTGATGTATGAGCACGATCCATCAGATCATGCTGAGTGAAGGGGCATGGCAAAGGCAAGGATGCGTCCTTGTCCCAAAAGATGCTTCCCAAGGCATAGACAGCTCCACGCAGCGAAGCCGGCAACCCTTCTTTGCGCTCAGAGTATTGACGAAGAAAGCGAGTTTTAGACAAGATCGGGTATGCTGGATGTACCAATCTGAAATAAAGTCTTACAAGTTTCGGCCCGTAAGGATGAACTATCATTTCGATGTCATCTGAGGCCGACTGCATGGCCCGGTTTGTATGCTCAGGGAACTCATTCTCTAGAAGTAGAAAATGTACAGGGGGTTCATCTGGATGAGAGGTGCCTCCAGAGACTGTGAGAATGTTTGCATCCACCTCATCTCTGTCGCTATAGATCATCGACCTGAAAGCGTCTAATAGATGAGAATCCTGCTCCGCAGCTGGGCCCATGCAATGTGATGTTCTGTAGCCCACATCTTCCAGGGAAGTAATACCAGTAAGGGAATTTGAACGAGGCTCGATCACTGTGCTTGAAGGCAGGATTTGGTGTGAAGGGGTCTGTAGCGGTGCCTCTATTGCCAAGGACACAGCATCAGAATGTGGAGAAGGGTTTGGCTCGGTTCCAGCATGAGGAGACACAACTACCCCAGGATTGAAGTGAGCAGGGGGGTGCTGCAGCTCATCCGGTATGTGGGTTTCAGTTGGAACATCAAATGGATGATCAACCGCTGCGCTTTCGGTGTAATTGGTCTCAGATGAACTGAATTGGGTTCCATTCGATTCACAGATCAATCCGCGACTCCTGCAAAAGAGACCTAGTCCCATCAGTCATGCCCCTTGCAAAGTATGAAGGGTGTATCTCAGAGAGAACTAGATCAAGCTTACATGGTGGCTCTACAGGAATAACGCATGCTGTTTTCCGTTTCTTGCAAATGTCACAAGGTCGACTCTTGCGACTTCCCCGCTGTCGGGAGCTACCGAACTGACTTCGGATCGTGTATTTACGGGATAGCCTGGACCTTGAATCGGATCCAGATGTTGGGGGAGATGATCTACTTCGATCCTGCATGATGAAGCACGCGCAGTCGATTCGAAGAGAGCTAGGGGAAGTACACGAAGAATATGAACGAGTTCGGCGAAGCTTTGTTTGCTAGGCCGAGGAGTTTGCCGATGCATCCGTATTGGGCAAAGTAGTGCTATGCTCGTCCGACATTGAGTTGTAAACTTGCCGAGTCCAATGATCGTCTCGGACAACACCAATAAACCAGATAAGCCTATGGAAGTAAATCTATGGACAACATATGAGTATACTAGATATGACACCCCGTCAAATCTGCCGAGAAAGGGGAGATCCAGGAAAGGACAGCTCAATTGGCTATCGCGCCTTAAATTTATATGAACGACCCGATCATTGCCCACTGAAGACTAAAAGGTTTGATTTCTCGCAAGGAATATATATGGAAAGCAAGGGGAAACAATAGCCCAAAATAAGAGTACCGCGGTAGGAAAAAGAAATCAAGTATAATTAATCGAGCATTCGCTCTACTTTGTGTACGGAGTAGTACCAACAAGTGTAGCACATTCCTAAAGCAAGTCAACGAAGTGTCAATAACAATGCTACATAAAGGTATGATATTGTCATAATCATATCTGCTCGCAGAACGAAGTCCTTGTGCAACATAACGAAATCTACCCAATGCCTATGATAGCATTGAAGCAGGAGCGAATCATCGCCGATAGCAACTCGGTTACTTCCCCGCATGGTTGACCCTCCAGTCGACATTCTCTCCACCTTTCTCCACGTTTGAACGGCATATTCATCACGAGTTAGCTAGCTCCATCTCCTAAACATGGCGGCCATTCAAAAATTCAAGATTGTCTTCTTCGTTCCTCCCTCTGCACTTTCAGCCTGCAAGACTGCAATTTTCAACGCCGGGGCTGGTCGCTTCCCAGGCCCAGCAGGCTACACCGAATGCGCCTTCACCTCGAAGGGTGTTGGTCAATTTCGCCCTGGAGATGCTGCAAACCCGCACGTAGGTATACCTCACTACAAAAGGGCCGAATGTGACTCAAGAATTAGATCGGAGAAGTTGGCAAGTTAGAAGAAGTCGAAGAGTGCAGAGTAGAAGCCATTTGTCTGAATAGAGACATCGCGGTCCAGGCTATTAAAGCCTTGAAGGAGTAAGATGATGCACCCGTACGCAAATATGCATACAAGACTGACAGTCACAGGGCTCATCCATATGAGGAGCCTGCATATGAAGTGTACAAGATGGAAGAGTTTTAAGAAGTTTCACATGTTACGTGAATCGGTCTATTGGGCATTAATCTAAAATGCTCATGAGGGGAATTTTAGCTGTTCACTTCAATTGCCACTCAGATATCACATCTTCGAATACTCCTTTAATGATTGGCAAATCCTTGTTCACGTCCGCCATCCAGTTTGAGACGGCAAAGCGACAGGCTGGCTTGCCTGCCCAAGCTGTGCCTGATACATACACCTTCTTGGTGCCTTTGATCCGATTCACGAGCTCATCATTCAAGCCGTCATCCTTTGCTCTGAAAAGAACAATGATGTAGATATTTTGCAGAATCTGTGTCCTCTCACTTTCAAATTGTGGTAGTAGCTCAAAATGCTCGCTGTCGAGAATATACTCCGCAATACCGCGGGAAAGTATGATCTGGCGCTCTAGCATTTCGCGATACCCATCCCTTCCATATGCTGCTAGGGAAGCGTATACAGGAAGAGCTCGAAGCCGACGTGAATTCTCTAAGCCAATGTTCAGCGGTGACATGATGCCCTCGTCGGCCCCGGCACTGAGGTACGCAGCATTTGGGTTCTGAAATACGCGTGAAGCTATTTCACGATGACGAGAAAGAAAGAAGCCACAATCATACGGGACGTTGAGCAGTTTATGGCCGTCTCCAGTGATGGAATCTGCCAATTCCAATCCTTCGCAGCCTCTAATGATACGGCCGTAGTCGGGGGAACTTAACAAGCGGCCCATTAAACCAAATGCTCCATCGACGTGAATCCATGCGCCGTATACGTCGCACAGCTTTCTGATTTCCTGCATTTCCTCTAGACCCGACGTCGCAAACAGGCCAGTATTGACTTCGCTCGCTGAGATCGCAACAATAGATGCTGTGCTGGGGTCTTCCAAGAGCTTGCTCAGGAGAGGCATGTCGAACTTGTGGGGATGAGATTCCAAGCCGATGTTACGAACAGCAGCTCGGCCTAGTCCAAGAATACTCGCCGCCTTGCTAAGAGAAGAGTGAGGGACTGTGGTCAAGATCTGAATCTTATTGATGCCTGAGCGGTGCATAGCTTCAAAAATACCGATTTCACCAATGCTGATGGTGGCATCGCTCCTAACCGCAGCTACTTCTTCAAATATATATTCTCGGCCACAGGCTAATCCAAGTACATTACTTGATGTTGCGCCCGTGGTGAAGGTTCGATGCGGCCATTGCGAGGGGTCGAGCTGCAGCAGTTCGCAAAGCAATGTGAGAGCCCTGTCCTCTAGATCCGTGGCAACTGTTTCGTTTGGAAGATGCACTTGAGTGTTCTGGTCATAGGCGGTGACCAAGTTGTCCGCCAGGGTCGCCGCGGGGGTGCTGCCTCCAGTGACGAATCCATAATAGTTTGACGACCGACTGGATCCATTGAAACCTGGCACTATCTCTTGTCGCAAATGCCTTATCGTTGCTTCTAACCCTAAGCCTTCTGTAGGTAGTGTTGGTATAAGGGTTTCCCGGGCTCGAGTCACAACGTCTTCGGAGGGCAGCGCATTCTCCGGTGGGGTTTCCGCCTGGATTTCTGCAATTGCAGCTGCCAACCTTGGTAAGGATCCGATCTCTCTGAACATAATTGCGCCTAGAGAAAAGAGGTTGATTTCGAATTGCACAGATTCTATCACAGAGTCCATAAGATTTTACTGTCTCAAGTGGACGGCCTGAGGTCACGTGTTAGCGCGAATAGCGTTTTCGGCGTGTAAGCGAGGCAGGCGCGTTCTTGCCCGGGATTCCAGATCACAACAGACAAGAACATTGCCACTTTTGCAGCGTCCATACACCACCGAAACGACCGCATATACACGCGTTTTCCAGATATGCATATGGCACGCTCGATGATGCGATAAATCCATGCCACGTAACAACCTCAGCGAGCATTTGAAGTGGCTATTGAAGGAGAAGCCATTCGTCCCCCCCGCCTCTCCGCTTGCTGGCTACGATCCCACCGCAACAGACTCGTTCCCGGCGAGCCAGAATGCTCCAGCTCTAGATTCAAGTCTTCCAAGTAGACATGAGTCTGAACAAACCCTCGTTCATACTGTCCAACCTCCGCAACAACCCTCCGGCTCAGACGCTTCGACCGCCGTCACACATACACATCCCTCTGATGGAACCCCGACAGTCGACATGGCGAGGTTGCGAATGACTCCCGGAGCCGGGCGACCAAGATTGGTAGTGGCAGCACCTGTATCACAAAATACTCCGACAGCATCGACAAGCAAACCGCTCCGGCGAATGGTAGATTCCAATCATAGCACTTCCAGGAGGCAGCTACATACCTTCACGTCTTCAAGCCCCCACAACGGGTTCGGCAGAGAAAGCTCCATAGACATCGATGCGATTGACCTCACAGGATTAACTGGATCTTCGCCTTTGTCAAGTCCAGCACACAGAGGAAGAGGGAGGAAACGGAAAAGCGATGAATTCGAACAGGATCTTCAGACTGCAAAGCTCTCGGGCCCTCCACAGGCTGTGCGAGCCCCCAGCCCGGACGAATTTGATTCGACAGAGTTTCCGGATATTGAGGAACTCATGCCACCACCTCCCGATGACCCGCCACCACCATACTCAACCGTAGTTCCACGTCGCGAGGCTATAAATGATACACCACTGCAGGATGAGACCTTTGACGACAGTTACATGGACCCTGTTGTTATGGACAACAGTGATGAGGCGTACAGGTTAGGTGTGAATAATCAAGAATCGAATTCTGCACGGAAGCGGAAACCTCTTAGTCGTGTTGGCTCCGATGTCATCGCCCCACCACGCAAGATTGGAAAGCAAAAGGACAACAGTATAGAACCCTGCAGGCCGCCTGCTTTGATGAGTACTACGAAGAATAAGCAAGCTTCAACGCCAGCACCACGACGGAAATTACCCGACGAAATCCTTGACTCAGAAGAGGAGGACTTGGAAGACGATGGCTGCGAATTTGAGGGGTTTGAGGGGTTTGACGGGCTGGAAAGCGGCCCTGTATCTCCAATCAGAAAACCCCAGTCTTCCCCGAGAAAGGATAGGGTAGCAGAATCTCCTCAACCTTCAGCCCACTCTGCTGCTTTGCCGTATCGTTCTCCGTCGAAGAGATTGGAAACCGTGAGCCCCCGGAAGCCTCGAATGGGACGCGATACACCATCCATACAGCCGCAAACGGGTCCTTCAGCGCGTACATCGCCCAGAAAGTTAGGCCTTACACCAAAATCCAATATTCAATCACCATGTAGTCCTTCATCTTCCGGGTTGAATAAAGAGGAGAAGAAACGTATTAGCGAGGTCGTCGAATACTTCCTCGAAGCCGAGAGCTGTCGGCTTGCCCAACTGTCGAAAAGCGCATCTTCGCAGTGGGATAGAGTGCGCACTTCTTTCCACAAGCAGGTTGAGGAATTTGGTCATCCAGATCCCGATGACTTTGCGAAGTTGAATAAATCCCGCGCGAAAAAGGAAGCTTTGGAGCAGTTGGCCACGCTCAGCAATACACACGCAGATTTGAGTGCGAAACGAGCTGAACTAAGGGAGAAGCTGATAGACAGGCTCAACGAAGAGTTCGATTTTGTTGTTGGTAGACAGTCGAACGAAACCTACACAGCTTTATTGCATGTGCAAGCCCAAATCTATGCCCTTCTGGAACCAGCTGGAATGAAGGCATACTTGAATCCCCCAAGTGGGAGCTCGAACGATGTCGAACATATCATCATTGAGTCAACGCAAGGCACTCCCGTTAAAAGGGAACCAGATGACGATGCGTACCAAGATGATAATAGAGTTCCACAGACTCAGTACGCAAAACCAAGTCGTGCTCCCAAGCAAAATCAATGGGATCGTTCCGAACGCATAAAAGTCAGCGAAAGTCCTCGTCGATACATTGAGCCAACTTCGATGATCGGCTCTCCTAGCGATCGTAGACTCGACACTACTAAGAGGAGGCTGCGTTTTGAGGAACAGGATAGTATCAATAAGATTATCGAAACTCCACTCCGCGGACAGGCTGCGATTCTAGAGATGAGCGAAGATGAGGCTTATGATTTGGCCAGCGACTTTCCCGACGACTTTGAGGTGAATGAAAATCTCTTCGCTCGGAATATGGGAAGCCCTAAACATCCTATCGACGATGAAGAAGATTTCTGTAATGATGATGACGACGAGTTCCTCGAGGACTTGGCTAACGCGGAAGACTATGAATTTGATTGGAAGGGCGACAAAGTATATCCCAAAGTATATACCGGACATAGAGATACGCTTCAAGAAACCTCAGGAAATCCGGTACGACAACGAAAATTGGACACACCACCAAGAAAACCACAGCCAAATGATGCCGGCATGGGCCATCCATGGTCGAACGATGTACGACGAGCACTCCTTGAACAGTTTGGACTTCGAGGGTTTCGGCCTTGTCAACTGGACGCTATCAATACAACACTTGCTGGGAAACATTGCTTCGTTTTAATGCCAACTGGCGGTGGAAAGTCGCTATGCTACCAGCTACCAGCTGTCATCAGGTCTGGCAAGTCTAATGGCGTCACTATTGTTGTGTCGCCACTTTTGAGTCTGATGGAAGATCAAGTAGAGGCTTGCAGAACCCGCTTCGGAATGCAAGCTGCCCTCATCAACGGACAGTCTACCAAGGAAGAGAAGGCTCACATCATGAACGGCTTGCGTGAATCGGATCCACAAACATTCATTCAGCTTCTTTACGTAACGCCGGAGATGCTTAGTAAAAACCAAAGGATGATCGATATTTTCAGGCAGCTACACGATCGAGGCAAGCTCGCTAGGGTCGTTATCGATGAAGCCCATTGTGTTAGCCAGTGGGGCCATGACTTCCGACCTGACTACAAAGCGCTTGGCGAGGTGTTGAGTCAGTTCCAAGGCTTACCCATTATGGCACTCACTGCTACTGCTACGCAGCTTGTCCGCAAAGATGTCACGGCCAATCTAGGAATTCGCGGATGCAAAGAGTTCTCTCAGAGCTTCAATCGGCCCAACTTGACCTATGAGGTGATAGCCAAAGCGAGGGGCGCCGTCGCCAGCATCGCGGAATTGATCAAATCCAAATACGCGAAGAAGTCTGGGATAGTGTACTGCTTGGCCAGGATGACTTGTGAGAATGTTGCTAAGCAATTGACTGCATTGGGCGTCAAAGCTTACCATTATCACGCTGGGCTTGACCCTGCTCAGCGGTCTGATGTACAGCGGAAATGGCAACAAAACAAATATCACGTTATTGTCGCCACCATCGCCTTCGGTATGGGTATCGATAAGGCTGATGTCCGATTTGTCGTTCATCACAGCTTGCCTAAAACTCTTGAAGGTTATTATCAAGAAACCGGCCGTGCTGGTCGTGATGGCAAACGCTCCGGGTGCTATTTGTATTACCAATACGGTGACACTAAATCTTTGAAGAAATTCATCGACGACAGCGACGGAAGTTGGGAGCAGAAGCAACGACAATACGAAATGCTTCGGAATGTTGTTCAATTCTGCGAGAACAAGAGCGACTGTCGCAGAGCTCAAGTTCTTGGCTATTTCAGCGAGGCATTTGATCCTCAAGACTGCAACAAGACGTGTGACAACTGTCAGTCTAGCGCAACTTTTGTGGAGAGAGATCTCACAGAGTATGCACTTCATGCTGCTAGACTGGTTGAACAGGTTCAGGAGCATAATGTCACCCTGTTACAGTGTGTCGATGGATTTCGAGGCGCGAAGAATGCAAGACTCAATAAGTTGGGATTGAAAGAAGGACTAGTCGGTTACGGTAAAGATCTGGAGCGAGGAGATGCCGAACGTCTCTTTCAGAAAATGATAGAAGACGGCGCACTACGGGAGAAGAGCATCTCGACCAAGACGAAGACTGGTACTTTTGTGAACAATTATCTACAGGTATTGCACACTGCAGCCTTGTTTTACAGAGCAACGGCTAACTCATTACACCAGATTGGCTCCAGAAGCGGCAACTATAGCGAAAAGAATCCGCTCACGCTGAATATTAGATGCTCGCCCAGCAAGCATCGAGCTTTACCAAAGAAAGTCGCACGCTCCGAGTATCCATCAACAAATGTTTCCTCCCCTATTCGGGGGCCTGCGAAACGTAACATCAGACAGTTCGCTTACGATGAAGCTGACGATGATGAAGATGACGAGGACTTTCAGGACATTCGTCAGATTCGTGGAAAGACCCATGGTGTTAATAAAACGAAGCGCTCTGGTTTCGCTGTCGAGGACGAGGACGAGGACGAGGAACTTGGCAACCTGCGCACGATTAAGAAAGTAATTAAGTCTACGAAAGAAAAGAAGACTGCCGGACGATCGCTTCAGGACCGAATAGGAGAGCTCACAGACTTCCAAAAGACGATTTTCGAAGACTTTGTGAACAGTGCTAGGTCCATTGCGCAGAAAATTCGTATCGAACAGAAGCTCACGCGGCAGCCATTCACGGAAGCGGCCCTCCGTGAGATGGGTCTCAACCTTCCCAAGAACCTCCAAGAGCTCACCATGATTCCTGGTGTAAGCACCAAGGCCGCCCAGCGATATGGTCAGAGGTTCCTCCCTATGATCCACAACACTCGGAGGGTGTTTGGCACGAATCTACCGAATTCAAGGGCGCACGAGGTTGTCGAATTGGATGACGACGAAGACGAAGTTTTGGATCCCAATCATCAGAACGTGGTCGATCTATTGACAAGTGAATCCGAGGGGGAGCAATCTCCAGTTGACTCGGATGAAGAGGACGAGCCCGTCGAGGTGAGCCATCACTTTGTGCAGGCGCCGTTAGATCCTCGCGTGGAGGAGTACAATAGGCATGCACCTCAGCCAAATAGACAAAATTCGGCATCAACATCCTTCTCGTCTCGTGCTTCGCCTCATCCACACGCCAGAGGGAGGGGAGCAAAGGCCCGGACGTCAAGGAAGGACGGTGGTAAAGGGGCGAGAAGGTCCTCGGGGAATGGAAGTAAGAATTACAGTGGTGTGAAGAAAAGCACGTTCAGGAGGTCGGCATCTGGTGGTGGTAGGGCGTATGGGAAATCAGCAGGGGGTTCCGGTTCAAGGAGGCCGCCTGGAGCTGGAGGAGCTGGAGGAGGAGCTGGGGCAAGCGGATGGAGTTCGATCATGGCCATGCCTACATAGGGTATGGTCGAGCAAGCAGATGTTGTTATTGTCGTCGTATCAAGCAAGGTTGGCCTGTCAACCCCGCGAAGGCGTTTTCACAATGTCGAAAGGAATTAACGAATGGAACGGAATGGATATGGTATGAATCAATTGAGCACATTTGAACGAATGGAAGCAAAGCCCGCTTCTTGTTGATCAAATCTATCCCACAACTATAGAGTGAGTGATGAACGGAGTGGCCAGACCCTTCTTGAATCCCTTTAGAATCTGACCCTGCATTGCCCTACGAGTAGTATTGGCTACTATTCAAATCAAGTTCTACGGTGCAGATGTCACCAAATCGCCGGTCGCAAAGCAAAGCCGTCTGAATCAGATAGTAAGCAAGGCCATGCGGAGGCCTACTCATGACGAGCGGCCAAATCTACCCAAGGCCTCATCGCAGGAAGCACGGCCCTGTATGCAATAAGACGCCTATTTCCCAAAGGAACCAGACAGGTTAATGTCTCCCCCCCTTGGTCCGATGGTTTCCGAGTCTCCGATGAAACGGTCGGAAGGATTCGCCTGCTCTCTTGAGCCTCACTCATCGCTATACCTAACACGTACCTAGCGCGAGGGCACATTTTCCTCAACCGACGCGTTAGAGGCGGTAGGGGCGGTTAGCTCCCGCCTTGGATTTCCTCTTGTGGCGGGAAGAGAAGGTCGCGCCGCACCTACTTGCACCCAAATCTTCTAATGCTTGCAAAGTTGCAACTCTCTCCAAGTCCAACTTTCGTCCCGGTTAACCAATGCGCCAGAACTAAGAACAAATAGTCGAACACAGTACGATTACTTAGTCGCTATTCGTTCATTGCTAACGATTGCTCGAACGCTCATTGGCGATGACTATGCACCAGCCCCCCACGTCCATACGCCCACACCCGCAGACGCAGCACGAGTCGTCGTTCTGGGGAACATGGGGAAAGCAAGAAAGGACCGTGGCCCTTGTCCGTTCGACGAGAAATTGCGGGTGAGGCCGTGCAGTTTTACTCAACGCGTAACAAGTTCAGAAATCATGCCCCAGTGCCATTCGCCGCGGTCTTTGAGCGTATGTACGTCATTTATGCCTCGATCTATCTATTCGAGGTGTTTCTATGGTCTGAATGTACTTTGGGATTTTGGGATTTGTACGTGATACTGTGATTGCCGCTATGGAGGCTATACACTGTGGCCAAAGCCTTCGAAGAACGACAACAGACCAATATAAAATGTTCACAATCTTAAGACAGGCTGCCATGTACAAAATGATATTGAAAACACACTAGGAGTTTCCTTGTTCCGATACTTGAGTCGAAGACACTCGGCGTCCTTTTATTTTTATTCGCTCACCTGCAATTGGTTCCGAGCTGGAGCTAGAAGGATCTCCTAATGACTTCATCCACGCCTATGTTTCTCTGGGATGGAAGGACGCCTCGACGAAGCTGCCCAAGCCCTGGCCCTAGAGTACGAAAAGGACCGACTCTGTAACGTGTAATCCAAGTTCGTAATCCAAGTTCGTCACGCGTCGGCAACCGGAAACGTGATTGACTTGGAACCAGTCGTGCCAGTCTTCCAATAGAGACTCTCTTGAGGCTCTCGATCGCCCTCTTCCGTACTAAATTAGTGTCCATCACTCGCCTCTCCACACCACGCCAAATCAATGCCAACCGAACCGTCTTTCTCTCCGCATTTGGTCCAAACTCGTAAGGAATTTCTCATTCTCTTGCTCAAAGAGACACACAAACCTCATCTGCCTCCGCCTCCGACTCCATCCCTCCACATCCTAACACCCACACTTACACAGACCCCCCTGGACCACCGCAGACACCGATCGTTGGGGTCTCCAAACCAAATGCCGTAACGTTATATAAATGCCCTTGAAATCTTCCCCAGAGTCGTGAGTTTTGATTCCCCACCCTTCTCCTCCACAGAATTGGTCTTCCTCTCATCACCTCGACACCATCCCAAGTGGTCTTGCTCTTCTATCCTTGAGGCATTGTCCTTCATCAAACCTTCTTCTTCATCTTTTGTTACTTTGTCCTTGTTAGCAAACATCAAGTAGTGACGCAAGTACATTGTTAGCACCTCCAATATAATTCACAACAATCCCAAGATGGATAGGAAGACAGACGACAAGATCGGCGTCGACGCATCGTCAGGATCTAACGTGCACCAAGAAATCATCGGCAGCATGCATGACAGCCAAAATGCCTTCGGCACCCGGGAGCCCTACGGCCCTGCTGGGTTCAGAGGGTTGTTCACCAACCACTACGTAGCCATGTGTGCGACATTCGCCACCATTGGTGGTCTGCTGTTTGGATATGAGTAAGTCCTTTCTGATCCACCCCTGCAAATAGGGAAATCTGGGGAAGAGCATAATCGCTAACCTGGAATCGCTGTACAGTCAAGGTGTTATTTCCGTGACATTGGTCATGGAGCAGTTTCTCGAGGAATTCCCACGTGTCTCTGAGACGGCTTCCGGTGCTGGATTCTGGAAGGGTCTCATGACGGCTATGTTGGAATTGGGTGCCTTGATCGGTGCCTTGTTCTCAGGTTATCTCGCCGATCGATTGAGCCGCAAGTACTCCATCATGGTCGCTGTCGTTGTCTTCACTGTTGGTTCGGTTCTCCAGACTGCCGCCGTCGAATACGGTATGCTCACTGTTGGACGTCTGATCGGCGGTGCCGGAATCGGAATGTGAGTAATTCGATGATACTGTGTCCAAGATCTTCTAGAGATGTTAGTATCTAATACGTTCGACAGGCTTGCCACCATCGCCCCACTGTACATTTCGGAAATCGCACCCCCTGAGATCCGAGGAGCTCTTCTCGTGCTCCAAGAGTTTAGCATCGTCTTGGGCATCGTCGTCGCCTTCTGGACCACCTACGGCACCCGCTACATGTCGAGCGATTGGTCGTGGCGCCTCCCCTTCCTCATCCAGATGATCCCCGGCTTCATCCTCATCGTCGGAATCTGGTTCCTCCCCTTCTCCCCCCGCTGGCTCGCCTCGAAAGGCCGCGACCAGGAGTCTCTCGAGAACCTGGCCAGGCTCCGCCGCCTCCCGACCAACGACCCCCGCGTGTACCAGGAGTGGTGCGAGATCCGCGCCGAAGCCGCCTTCAACAAGGAGGTCAGCGCCGAGCGTCACCCCAGCCTCCAGGAGCCCACGCGCAGCAACCGCTACAAGCTCGAGGTCTCGTCGTGGCTCGACTGCTTCCGCGCGGGATGCTGGAGGCGCACGCTCGTCGGTGTTGGCATCATGTTCTTCCAGCAATTCGTCGGTATCAACGTAAGTCAAAACAAACTGATAACAGAAACGATGTCAAAAAGTTCGATTATCTAACGAAGAGAAAAATAGGCACTTATCTACTATTCCCCTAGCCTGTTCGCCACCTTGGGCCAGGACTACGAGATGCAGCTCCTCCTCTCCGGCATTATCAACGTGACCCAGCTCGTCGGCGTCGTCACCTCCCTCTGGACCATGGACGGCTTCGGTCGCCGGCCCTTGCTCCTCGGCGGCGCCTTGCTCATGTTCATCTCCCATCTGATCATCGCGGTGCTCGTTGGCAAGTTCGGCCACGACTGGGCCACGTACTCCACCCAAGGTTGGGTCGCCGTCGCTTTCCTCTTCTTCTACATGTTCTCTTTCGGCGCTACTTGGTAAGTTTCCCATCCCCTCCAGAAGCGCAAAACCGCCGGGATGCTAACGACTCTTTCTTGCAGGGGACCCGTCCCATGGAGTGTGCCATCCGAAATCTTCCCCAGCTCTCTCCGCGCAAAGGGTGTCGCCCTGTCAACTTGCTCCAACTGGCTAAACAACTTCATCATCGTAAGCTCTCCCCCTCCCCGTCCCCCTCCTTCTACCCCTCAAGAACCCCATGGAAACTAACACTGATTCCCAACAGGGCCTCATCACCCCGCCGATGATCCAAAACACAGGCTACGGCGCGTACACCTTCTTCGCCGTCTTCTGCCTCCTCGCCTTCGTCTTCACCTACTTCTTCATCCCGGAGACCAAGGGCGTCAGCCTCGAGCAGATGGACGCGGTGTTCAAGGACGTGTCGAGCGTCGCCGACGAGGAGCGCAAGGCGCGTATCGAGCGCGACATCTTTGAGAGCAGCGCGGAGCAGCGGGCTATGCATAAGGCGTAGAGTCGCTTTGGCCTGCCTTGCCTTGCCCCGACTCGCCGTTTGGGTGGGTAGGTCAGGGGGAGAGATGTGTGAGGAGAGGGAGGAGGGGGAGAGGGAGTTGAGAAAAGACGTTTCTCATAGTAATGATAGGAACGCCATTATTCATGAGATAGACGACATACAAACATACCATGTACCAGTAGCTTTATTTATATTCAAATTTCGAGCATATTTTTCAGATTCGAAAATTCGCAAGTGTTTAAAGACAAAACACACAACCAAACAAATGAAGAAACGAAAGTGTAAAAAGAAGTGGAATGAAGTACCTCTACACAAAACCCTCTTTCCATGACCAAAGAGCGCGGGACACGACCTTCATATTATATCCTTTCCATCTTCCCATCCACCATAACTAAATCCGAGAATTTCCCAAAAAGAAGAAGCATCACACCACCATCACCTTTCCAACATCACGATACTTACCACGTCGGGACAGCATCGCCGCGGTAAATTTCTACATCCAGCAGGGTGAGCGACTCAAAGGAGGACGAAGGGCGGGATATGGGTTCCGAAGGATTACGATACCTGGGCTGCGAGGGTTGTGCTGGCTCTGGTTCTGGGAGGGCGGAAGGGGAGGGCAAGGGGAGAGGGTCAGTCATGTGTACATACACTGTACGCTGTGCTGTGGGTCAAGGTTTTTGGGGGAAGAAATGACTCTTGCGGGGGATATTGCCGTTCGGAGGTCAGGGGCGCGTGGAGGGTATTTCCTCCCGCCGTCGCTGCCCAGCCTCCGTGCTCGAGGCTCTGCGGAAAGGGGTATGGCAGGTTTGTTAGCTCTTGTGGGGGGAGGGGGATCGTGAGGACGCGTTGTGGGATTGGTGCATTGCGTTGTCTTGGGGGTTTGTTTTATGGAGTACATGTTGTATTGTGTTATTGAATGCTTGTGGAGATGGCGTGGGCGGGCTAGATCGAGTCACGCGGTGTGCGTGCAGGATGCCTAGGTATATGGAATCATCGAAGGCTTCTTCGGCGTGGTTTTGTGTATGTATGTACAGAGTAAATTGGCTTGAGCCGCTGGGTGAGATTGACGGCCTGGTCTTCCAACAGTGGGAGACCCGCTAATCATAGACCCGCAAATACGTTGTTCCCTGATACCAGCTTTTTGGTCATTACCCCCAGTGCCCCCTCCATTGTCGGACTCAAAGACTCTCCTCTTCTTTCTGCAAAACGAGTGGGGAGAATACGCCCACTTTCGACTCCGACCTGGCTGCCTACCAACGAGTTCCAATCAGTGCCAGTTCACGGACCGTGTCGAGCTGCTAATGTGACCTCCCGATGCAGTTGCCAATTCTTGGATGAGTCCTCGAAACCTTCCCAGCGTCCATTTCTCTCGAAATCGTCTCTCTACCACGCAGGCTCTATCCTCTCTATAAGGCGTGGCTTCTAAGGTGGCTATATGCCCCTCAGAATGTAATTTTGCACCTCCAAGGCGGTTGTCAGAAAACGACCTTCGAATCCAATTGCTCTTCCTCAGTAACCTTGACGATACGGCGTCGCGATGACGGACCCTCCTTCCAATTGGACGTTATAAGGAAGAGCCTGCACATGATAAGGGTATTATTACGGCATCCCAACAAGGGGTTGGCAGCCCGTGAACTCGGCACGTTATGCTTGTGTCGGGACTGGAAAGAATCATGTGGTTGGCGCATTGGAATCTGTCTCTGTGCAACCTCGTTGAACAAATTGTTCTTTAGGATCCAGGGTCGGGTACATATCCTACAGAGTATTTGAGACTCGTGCAGCACTTTGGATTCCACCAGTAAGCAAGCTACAAGACTGCGGTCCTTTTGGTTTTGCTGTGAAAACCTCACGGACGTATTGCTTCGCTTGCTATGCGCATTCCATTGGAACAACAGGAAGCAAAGAAGGGCGATTTATGACGTCCGCACGATATAGCTAGGAAAGGCGATGGCATCCTAGAAAAGAACTGACCGCTTGAGAACTCGGGTACGTGTACTTGTGTACACATCTGTTAGGATCTTCCGGGTTCGATGTTGACCATAGTATGGTAGATGGCCATAGAGACCAAGTCCAGAGGAACAAATCACCCTCTTACTATCTTGTGCTCCTCTCCTGGTGCTAGGCTGATTATTTCAGTTTGGGGGAGCTTGACAGGCTTCAGCTCATTGTGATCCAGTTGAAACATCTTCTTAACTTCGTCGACAGCATATTTCCCGATGCGGACCTGCTTGACCGATATACCCCGATTGTCCTTGTCGGCATCATGAGCACTGATCCAAGCTTGTGCGTAGAGGCTTCGAGCAATCTGCAAGCCCCCGGGCGAGCCGGCAGATACGTTACCACCTAGCCACCAAGGGTTCTCAACTCGATCGAAGGAATGAATCAAGGCGCTCAAAGGAAGGGCAGACTCCGCTACAAGATGAGATGATGCATAAGGACGGATGATATCGTATGGTACACCGTGTGGAGAGTACACAACGGAGATGGTCTTCTCACGATCATTGTTCGGCGAGGGTACAATGGTGCTTGGGGAGGAGGCAATTGTCCTAGGGGAGCCTGGAGAAAGAGGCGGGCTCATGGGAAGATCAAGGTAATATCCTGGATTGGCCGAAAGAACGCTACATGGAGGACGGTACGTGATGCCAATGGCATGATGTAGATTGGTGACGTCCCATTTGGCGGGCAACCAGGTCACCGTTACCTCTCCACAGGAACCTCGAGGGGACATGGGAGGCAAGACTAGGCGATATATGGAGCGCGAGTCTCCCTCGGCATATTTTGGGAGTGTCTGGACCAGCTCAGGTTGGAAGTGCTTCCATGACTTGATCTTTCTTGCGGCGGGAGGGGTGGCTAATATGGTGGATTGGCAATCTTGAGGCAATTGACAGAGCGTCTCCTGATGGCAGTGGTCCGGCTTATCCTGGGAAATCAAGATGAGATCGGGTTCGTGGTCCAAGTCTCTTAGAGATTTGATGCAAGGGGCGTTTTTCTGCTCTGATATAGAAAAGATGCTGTTGAGAATGATTGAAGGACCCGTGAGCCATGGGTCTATCAGGATGGTGAAGGAGCCTGGAAAAAGGCCAGGAGATGAGAGAGGAGGGGCTACAGGAGGCACAAATGTTAGGAGGAAAGCCGTATCACCGTTGAGGCTCCGGACGGTCAAGGACATGGTGGATGGTGTTGTTCGGGGCGAGAGTCAGGGAGTAGGGAGCGAAGATGATGAGGGCGGAGAAGACCGACATGAAGTCGTTAAGAGTGCGAGACTGCTACGATGAGAGCTAATGGAGGCGTAGGAGTAGGGGTAGATGACTAGATATAGATGTAGGTGGAATGGGAGTCGTCATCAAGGCGCAGGTTCAGCAGGAACAGCAAGCAACACGGAACGGTGAACAACCAACAAGAGGAATAGGAACAGGAACAAAACGTCAAGGTATCTAGGCACGTCCAGGTAATCAGTTCAAACTAGTGCAAGCCACAAGACACGTTGGGAGGGAAGAAGGAAGTTTGAAGCGGGAATGTCGAGAGAGATCATCGTAGGGGGAATTTGGAAGAGACGCTGAGAATGGATGGGAAGGCCTAGCCGATCGATATATCGTGGAGAGGCAGGAGGAAACGAAGGGTAAGAGTAGCCTCGCCTCCACTCGCCTCGCCTCCGCCTTGTCCTCCACATTCGAGGTAATACATACAACTACTTGTACGACTATTAGATATAAATCCTATAGTTATATATATCCTATAAATACATAGACATGCCACTCCATGTTTATGTTTCAATCTATATAATACTCCCTCCTAAACCTTCATCATCATCACCGGATTGGTCTCTAACCTGGTTTGCTCTCTCCCCTCTCGGCTCCTCCCGCTGCCGTGCTCCCTTCGATATTAATACCATCATGTGTCTTCGGTCGTGCCTCATGCGTCTCATCTCATACGTCCTGTTCTTCCTCTGCTGCCCAGTCTCGTGGTGCCCGTCTCGTCACGTGTTGTCCGGACGGAGGCTGTTGCTTGCCAGTGACTCCCACGCGACGCCTTGACAGATTGCGAAACACCTGGGACTTTATGCCCATAGCTCCGCTACTATACAACGAATTTCAAGAGACGGGGTCCGAGCCGATGATATACCTCTGTCACTGTTCTGAAACGCCGAATATGTCACATTTCGATAGAGGGCGAAAGGTAATGCGTCGAACGCAACGTTCTCCCCAGCTTTATTTGGATATTCGCGAGAGCGCATTCCATCCATCATCTCACACTCAGATTAAAACAATTGTTCCTCAATTAGGCGCGGCTGCAAGAAGAGGGTCGCTTGTGTTCACTTGCAGCGGATGACTGCAAGCAATCTGGACGTCTACCCAGAGACAGTAGTAACACCGACAATCGATCACGGGGACAGCGGCCTGCGAATTGCCCGTGTAGAACAATCTACCAGTATGGTTGCTGGTTGGCGACAGCAACTCAACAAGAACAGATTGTGCCAGAGCTCCAGTAGCTGTAGTAGCTATGGTAGGAATGCTGAGCTCCAACTGGTCAGCACCGGGATTGGAGTTGTTAGCCGGACTCCAATCTACGGGGACTACCTGGGAAGATGACGCCCGGAGCTCCCCTGCCCGGTCAGAGCTCCAAGCACCCCCTCATAGCTGGGAGCTGGGAGCTTCCACTGCTGCACTTGATGTTGGAGCTCAGCAGGGAGACTCGAGGCCGAGCTGCGCTCCTCTCCTGATGAGAAAAGTCTCGAGCTGAGCGCAGGTCTTGAGTTGAGCTCGGGGCAGGGCAGGACAGGGCAGTGAAAAGGTTTTTTTCTTCCTTTTCTTCTTCTTCTCTCGGCTCTTTTCTTACACGCGATAGGTACTGAGCCAGGGCTGCGTAAAAATCCTGATTGTCGATGGACGGACGCTGATTGGCTATTGAGCTTCAATGATTGGCCCTACGGCAGTTCCGCACAATGCGTAAATCAAATTCTGCGCTGGGACCGAGAGGAGTCGATGGAGCTTGTCGCTGTCGCAATAATCATAATTATTGTCTCTGCTCTTACATCTTGTATGCGTGTACATATATACATGTGCAGGTGTGTGAGTCGTGTTCGGTCATCGTGTATCGCTGGTTTCATGTGCCAGTCCCGCATAGCCGACTGACAGATAGAGGGAAGGATTGGTTACTTGAATTGAATTGAATATACTGGAACTCCATTTCCCTCTATTAAATTTGTTATTGCCCTAAACGACATTAAGCAGGAAGAAAAAAAAATTAGGACAAGGACAGGCATGTAAATAGGAATACTCTGTAGGATAGGATAGGCCGATAGTAGAGCTATCGCCTCCCCACCAAGCAGGAGCAGCTGGGAGTTGCCCACATTTGCCCCTCACCATGTACCGACGCCCACCACCACCTGCGCCCACCCAAACTGATCCCCCCTCTTTGCCTCTCGTCTCATTATTCCCATGATTATTCCACCCCAAAAATCTACCAGCTACAATATTGTCAGCTACTCTTACCAGCTACCAATAACCAGCTCTCAGCTCTCAGCTCTATCTGACACACTCATACTTACCACTGACTGACTACCGCCACTACTCCTTGTCATAGCTCCCTTTGTACCCATACGCACCGTCTCCCACCCATTACTCAACCTCCCACCTCCAACCCATCCTATTATTCTATACCAGTAACCTTACACCACACCAGAGCTGTCAGAGCTCTTTCAACAGCTATCCCAGAGCTCGACACCTGCCATTGACATAGCTCCACCTTGTTCCATCTGTTCCAGCTGCTCTTCTCTCCTCACAAACAATCCCAATCCCTCCCTCCACCCACCGTCCCTGCTGAAGGGTACATGCAGCTGGGGATGCCGCCTCGAGCCTCGCTCACTGGTTCCTTCTCCGTATCGGACGAGAACAACGTCGTCGTCTGTCCTTTACGCAACCACGATGGCTCGGCCTGTAGAAAGCGCTGCACCGGCGTACGTCCTCTTCCTCTCTGTTTCTTTTCCTTTTGTTGTCTCTGGGGGCTTTCTTCCTTCCTTCCGTGGCTCTCCCCTCTCTAGCCAGCTTCGAGTCCACAGTCGCCAGCTCCTACGTCACGCTGCCGCTTGACTCGGACCCTCGAGAAACGCAACACAACTGACATGGTGCTTTGTACAGGAGAAACGATATCGCTCCATGCAGGAGCATATTCGCCGCGCACATCCCGAGCATTATATCTCGAAGCTCCCCGCAACCGAGGAGAGCTTCACGTTGATGGTCAATACGCCTCCGTCTGAGCGACCTCCCCCACCTCCACCTCCAATCACCTCAGTAGCAGGCCCACAAGGTTGGTGCCCTAGTCTCGTCGGTAGCTCCGGAGACTGACACTCTCAAGGCTTTGGAGGCGAGATCAATGCCTTCTACAATGATGACTATAGCTCGAATGCCGCAGGCAGAGCCTCGGACGAGATGCGACGAGCCTCCCTCTTACCCGCCGCCAGTGCGGCCGCAGCCCTCGCTTCGTTGCATACCCATCGCCCAGACTACGACTGGGAGTCGGATGCGGTAAGAATACAACCCTCATGCTAGACGTTGAGCAGTTCCAACTGACGTCGATATTGCGACCAGGAAGCAAACTCGGAGCCCGATGCGCAAGGCTATCGCCCACGAGCCCGCTTTGCACCCACAACCGTCGAGCAGCACATAACCGCCGACGAGCCATACTACACCACTGCCTCGTTGCAGCGCGAGCTATTGCCTTCGTCCCTTGCACGCTCCCCTCCCGGCCGCTCCTCTACCTTACCGCCCGTTCCACGATCCATAAAGCCAAACCGACCCCGTAAGTCCTCTGTCGGCCAGAACGCCCGCAAACCGAAACATGAACGCACAAAATCGAAGGAGCATGCGCGAAGATTGAGTCATGACCGCAAGGCATTTTCAGCCGAACCAACAGCAGCAGCAGCCCTGTTCGGTAAGAGGTGGGAGGACCTTATTGATGCTGCAGCTTCCGCAACCGAAGAGGATAGCCGAGACCTTACTCCGGTACGTATGAGGTATATTGTACTTATGTATCGTTACTCACGGTTTCATGCTAGGTTCCCGGCTCACCGCATCATTCTCCAATCATAACTAACAGGGCATCACTTCCCCCATTCCTCGCAAATCAGTTCCAGTCATATGCAGCATCTCCCTTACAAAATACCTTGACTCCGCCTCCCCAAGACCTACCAGAGCTCCAAGCCTATCCGTCCGTTGAATCTTCAATAGAATCCACAGTGTCTGGTCAAAATTTCCACATTCCATCACAAGGGTTATCGGATTCCTCACCGACATACCTTCACCCTGTACAGATATACTGCGCAGCCTGTCGAAAATTGTCTATACTGAAGGACAGCTACGCCTGTTCCGAGTGCATTTGCGGTCTATGTCAGGACTGTGTTGATGTTCTAATTAGCGAAAAGATCGGAGGCCGTACTGCGAGAGGGTGTCCGCGGTGCGGAGCCGTCGGTGGGAAGTTCAAGCCCTTCCAACTGGACATCAGATGAATTGTTTATTCTTTTCTGGGGCATTAGGTCTTCGTTTCGACTTTTTTTTTGGGTATACACGCACGCTCTCTTAGGTCCGAACTTTGCATATGGGAGTTTTGGGGTGGCTTTTTTGATATCTAAAGATCTCGCGTCCATCTTTTAACAGGGAATGAGGTCTTATTTACTGGTCTGTCTACGACCAACTATCCACAACTACACGACAAGGGCACCGGCGTTTATGGACCAATCTATTTTTTTTTGGTTTACATTGGGGCATTGCATAGACTACATTCTGATCAGATCATTGGGTGTGGGGAGTTTGGCGTTCTTCTTTTATTCTTCTTCTTTCTGGGAAAAACGAACGGTACGGAAACAAAAAGAACGAATGTTTCTTCCAGTTCGTCAGAGGAACCCGACGGACGAGCCAGTCCAAGCAAGCATCATGATATATTTTTTTCTCTTTTCTTGTTATTGTCATGTTTTCCTATCATCACGCTCTTGATAGTTGGAATCCACGCTAGCCGCCGATATGATTGCAACGCTAATCGCAACGCAATACAACGTAACGCAGACGAACGCAATGAGGGCGGAAGGTGGGGGAAATGGGAACACCCCAACCAACCAGCCAACGAACTGAATCAATTGAATGAATTGGATGACACATTTCTTCTGCCTCATCCATGAGAATATTTCCGTGTTGTATATCATCGACACTTGTATTTTTGAGGACTGTTCGATACTCTTCACATTCCCTAAACGTGATTTTGATAAATCTATACATCCCGTCCCGTCCGTCCCTCCCTCCCTCCATCTACCCTACTATCTACAACAACATCACCACCATTCCCTTTCTCTGTCTTTTCAACACTACTCGTCCTCAGCAGTAGCTTGAACAGGCGTCCCCGAACTCTTCGGTGGTCCACCTTTAGGTGGCGGCGGCGGCCCCCCAGCGCCCGCCTTCTTCGGCGGCGGAGGCAGCGCGCCGTCCTTCCTCTTCGGCGCGTAGTCCTCCTCCTTGCTCTTCTCCTCCCCTTCCTTGAAGTAGTCATCCAGGCCACCGCCTCCGCCTCCAGTCGCCGCCATGGCGTGATGCGCTCTTTGCTTCTTTTTACTCGATGGTGGGGGACCGCCGCCGGGGCGCGGTGAGGTGGAGGTGGGCGGCGGTGGTGATTTCGAAGGGATGGCCATGTTGGCGGGGACGAAGAGCTGCTCGCCGCCTCCTGCGACGGTCGCGATGCCAGCGCCGCTCTTCTCGTCGAAGGTGGTGTCTGCCGCTGCTCCGGAGGAGTACTGCTCGGCAGCAGAGAACATGGTTTCCCCCGGCGCCTGCGGCGGCTCGTCCAGCGCGGCGGGGATCCTGTGCAGTGCGCCGAAGCCGAGCACGCAGCCGAGCGCGCCCTCGCCTCCCCAGCCGCGCGACGGCGTGATGGTTAAGGGGCGAGTGACGTCGTACTCGTGGTTGTAGACGAGGAGGCGGAGCGGGCGGTTCAGGTGCGCCTCGACGAGCTCGCCGAGGCCGGATTCCCCGCGCACGATGCCCTCGGGACTGCCGATCACGTAGTCTCCGTACGGCAGCAGGCCCGCGACGTCGGCGGGGGAGTTGGGGATCACGTCGAGAATGTGCCAGACGTCTTCTGCGGCGGTTAGGGGCGTCCATTGGAGGGTTAGGCCGAGGGTGGGCGAGTTGGGCGGGATGGGGAGGTAAGTTTCCCGCACTTTTTGGCCCTACGGTGCTTGTGGTGTTAGTATGGGGTTTGGTGTTTCTTTTTCTTTGGGGTTATAGAGGGATGGAGGGGGATTGAGGTGTATGATAGATGTTGGAGGTGGTAACGTGACTTGTGGTGGACATGGTGGATGGTGCGTTTGATATTGATATAGATATATGCAGAACAAGCGATAGAGTGGGGGAAGGAGGCATTAGGGAAACGAGGGGTATCGAAACCAAACCATGTAGTAATTGAAGACAATGACTTACCTTTGCACTGAAGACTCCCAGACTGATGGTGGTTCCCGCGCAGTTGCGCACCTCTGTTGCGAAAAGATTCGGGTCGGGATTGTCCTGTACGTCACACCTCGAATATTAGCCTTTTTTATATCCCGGAACTCATTTAAATCAGAAATGCTGCTAGAGAAGTCCCCATGGATCGGGCTGAGTCGTGAAGAGAAAGATCGAACACAATACATACAATAGTCCTTCCATTAATTCCAATGATGAAATCAAACCAGGGCTCAAGAGCCAGCTCCGTATTCGTGTTCCTTAGGACCTGGAAACCATAGGCACCCTCGACGCTCGAACGCTCCTCCTCGGGCGCGGCATCAAGCCGCGCCATGAAGCGGTTGAGAGCCCCAAACATGGTCGTGATGAGGTGTGGTGATGGCGAAGGTGACGGTACTGACTGTTCGGGTTTACTACTATCTGGTTGGGGGGATGATGGAGACGCAGATGGCGACGAGTCCGAGGCCAGGTGTTGTTGTTGCGGCTCGTCGTGGGATTGCACGTCGGGGTTTGTGGCCATAGCTTTATGATCTGCATGCGCTAGTGCGCCGTTCGAGGTTGGACTCGCTGGTGTCGATGTCTTCGCCATGGTTTCTTTCATGTTTGAATTATTGCGCGCGACGGAGGATGTGAAGGCATTTGAGGATGAAGTTGGTAAAGGGTTTACATTGAGAGATGTTGCACAAGTGAATTTCCATCGACCTGTTCATTCCTTCCTTGCTCGCCTTGCTTGGGTCGTGCCAGATCGGACAGCTTGTATCAGGTTAGCGTATCTCAGCCCTATACAAAACCAGTCTAGCGTTGGTTGTGGGCAACTTACTTAACTTCACCAAACGGCGCGACAAACGAGCAACACCAAAACTACAGCTTCTCCTCTCGAACGTGTCGCTTTTCACGAAAAGTTTTATCAACGATGGAAGAGGAAGAAGTTCCAGATAAGGAGGGAGTCCACCAGTGGCTCTCCGAAGATTGGTTCCCTGAACATCTTAAAAAGTAAGAAAGTTTTGATTCGAGTTTCCCCATTTCCACGAAGTCTGGATTCGTGACTAATAGAAGGACTCAGATACTGGTTTCAAAGACACCAGTGGTGGTCGAAGTACAACGATGGGATTTGGATGACTGAACCTGCTTGGTTCGAAGTCACGCCGGAGCCCATTGCTAAGTAAGTATACTTTAAGGCCCTGTCGTTTGGTCTGCGAAGATCGTCTAACCTGCCGGACAGTAAAATTGCGGCGCACATCTCAGAGGCTGCGCCAGAAGATAAAAAGGTCATCGTGGATACCTTTGCCGGCGTAGGCGGAAATGCTATTGCATTCGCCCGTGAAGGCCGCTGGGATCAAGTCTTCGCCATCGAGAAAGACGAGAAGGCTGTCGCGTGCGGGAAGCACAACGCCAAAATCTACGGCGTTGAAAAGAAGATTGTTTGGATCACCGGTGACTGCTTCAGCGTGGTCGAGAAGCGACTGCGGGGCAGAAAAGACGTCGTTATTTTCGCCAGTCCGCCATGGGGAGGTGAGAGATCCCTTCATCAATTCGAAGTCAAGGTTTCATTCTAACATTGCCAGGGACCGAATACAATACAGAGGACATCTTCGACCTCACTAAAATGGAGCCGTACAATCTGGATAAAATGTTTAAAAGCTTTTCCAGAATCACCAGCGAGATTGTGTTTTACCTTCCCAGGAATTCGGATCTTAACCAGGTGGCGCAGTATGCGCCTGAGGGTGACGGGAAGCTTGAAGTCGCCCATTACTGTATAAAAGGTGCCAGCAAGGTAATACATATCTCCAATCGAACCCTACATCTACTAACCCATGTGCCAGGCGCTTTGTGTCTACTTCGGTAACTTTGATTTTCCACAAGAAGAGGAAGAGGAAGAGGAAGAGGAAGAGGAGGAGGAGGGAGAGGAGGAGTAAATATACAAGAGCAGTAAAACAGACCATGTTTTTCTAGGCACTTTGTTTCATTCGTGTATTTAATTGGCACATTAATCATCATTTTCAGGGTAAATGGAGGGGACACCCTCTACTATTGTCGGAAATCCTACTATTCAATGTTTTGATTCATACTGTCTCGATCATCCAGGCAGCGATCGTCCTCGCTTCTTATTGGCTAGTGATGACAGTGATTGCCGTTGAGTCTTGGCGCGCCGGCTCCACCTCTCCCATTCATCTTCACGGTCGTACTTACACGACACGCCCATTTAGCAGTTTCAACCATCCTACAACCCTCTCCAGCCTCAGTTGCAACCTGACACTATCGTATAGGCTTGAAGTCGATCATCTAATCTCTCCCGCCAAATCTGTGCCATCACGCGACCCTCCTTTTCGCGACAACTTTGATGCGGTTCAATCCGCCCCTCAAGGCTTGCGCGTTGGACTGCGCGCTTTCACTCATCGAATAGTCCTTTGCCATCACAACCTTCTCTTTGATCCACCTGCATAAGCTCCACTCGCAACCCACAAACTTTACCCAAACGTACACCACATGCCGCACGCCACCATGGATAATGGGGATGAGCTCATCGCGGCCCTCGGCCAGAGCGAGACTGCTCAGAGGAGCGAACTGGCAGATTTCCTTGGAGACGAGGCAGCGGGAATGAACATCGACCTAGATGCGCTCAACGACCAAGAACTGGATGTGGGAGAGAAAGCCGACGATGCTATCGATTACGAGGACATATCTGACGATGACCTACCGGACGAAGAGATGGACGACGCGAACGCGGTGGGACAACTGAGTGGGAGTACTGTACAGGACGGCCACGAGGAAGATGATGATCTTGAAGATTTGTTTGGCGGATCGGATCCAGTGGACGAGCCGGCGGAGAACGATGAGACTCAAGAGCAACAGGACGGGGACGCAGATGACGACGCCGCTGCGGACGATACCGAGAAAACACAGACAAACTTCCGCACAGTAGACTACGGCGCAATGGAGGATTCAGACGATGACGACCCGGAGTGGCGCGAACAGAAAGCATTGTTCCAGGCAGCTGCGCGAAAAGGCGCAGATGACGGTCTCCCACCCCCTCCACAGACTTCCAAGGAATACTTCGATCGCATTTGGCCGAACTTCGAACCCGGAAGGCCGCCTCGGTTCTTCAGTCTCATCCCTCGAAAACGCGCCTTTTTCGTACCTCGTACCCCACTCAAGCCGCCGAAGCCCATGCAACTCAATAAGATCAATCTCGAGATCGAACCAGATCAGGAGAAGGCTTTTCGTCTGCCTTCTACAGCCGCGTCCAACAAAACAGGGCGGCAGTTGGAAGAGGAACAGAGGGGCATTGTCTACATCACGGATGGCATCGAGGAAGTGGAGGAGAGCGGGGAAGAGATGGACCTTGACGATCTGGGAGACGTTGACGAGGAAGAAAAGATTGGCAACGTGTCATGGAACGACCTCAAGATTGCTTGTGAAGATTGGGACGCCATTGCTACGGACATGGAGTCAGATCACGCTGACGAGCTTTTGACACCTCCTGACACCCTCACAGACGACAGTTCTTGGATTCGCGACCTTGCCGCTCCACCAGCAAAGAGGCGTAGACTAGGAGATCGTGCCGGCCCAATACAATTCTCGGTATATGATCAAATAGATCTTCCATCGTGGGATGACCCGGAACTAGCCACGGCCAAGATCTCAAAGAAGATTATCCTCGACATGAACGACCCTAACCTTCTCCTCGATGTCTCACAAGCAACCGCGGAGCCGCAGAAACCTCGAGCTTCCACTCTAGGAATGAAGCGAGACAATCGTGGAAGTCTGGCCAATCCAATGTTCAAGAGATACAACATTTCTAACGACGAGGCGTATGATGCGCTTAAGGAAAACAGCCAACAGAAGGTCCGCGCTACCTTGACTCACACAAATGTCGAGCACAGTTTGCCCGCTCTCAAACTGCAGTATCCCTTTTACAAGGTCAACCTTGCAGATCGCGAATTGCGGTCATTCCATCGTCCGACCATCAACTTCAAGCCTGGTGAGCGAGTTAGCATCTCGCCGCTCAAGACACATATCAAAAGGAAGCACAAGAAGAACCTCAAGCCTTCGGATGCCTTTGCCGTCGCAGAAGATCTCAATATCGGCGACAGCTCTGACCTGCTCCTTGCTGAGTATTCGGAAGAATATCCTACTACGCTTTCCAATTTCGGTATGAGCAACAAGATCGTCAATTACTATCGTCGCAAGGATGAGCAAGATACTTCACGACCCAAGAAGGACCTCGGAGAGACTTCTATCTTGCTACCTCAAGACAAGAGTCCATTCTCTATATTCGGCTATGTTGACCCCGGCCAGACGGTGCCGACTCTTGTCAACTCCTTGTACAGAGCTCCGGTCTTCTCGCATGGACCCAAGCCCACCGACTTCTTGGTTAGCAGAAGTCACACTGGCACTCATGGATCCCACTACTACATGCGCAACATCCAAAATCTGGTGGTGGTTGGCCAACAATTCCCATTGGTCGAAGTGCCTGGAACGCACGCCCGCAAAGTAACAGAAGCATCCAAAAAACGATTAAAGATGCTGTCGTTCCGATTGTATCGCAAGGGTCAACAAAAGAACGCGCGACAGCCGTGGGTCAGCAATGAAATGATCAAGCACCATCTTCCCGGTACCGAAATCGCCCAAAATCGCAGTAGGATGAGGGAAATCATGAAGTACGAAAAGGAAACGGGAACGTGGCGACCGCAAGACGGAGAAGTCATACCGGAAGAACCTGCTCTTAGGTCCTGGATCAAACCAGAAGACATTTGTTTGATCGATTCCATGCATGCCGGTGACAAACATCTAACCGACGCTGGTTTTAAGGCGCAGGATATCAAGGATGATGAGGATGGAGATGCTGGCGAAAACACCGAACTCAAGCTAGCACCCTGGCACACTACCAAGAACTTCCTGAACGCCTGCCAAGGCAAAGCCATGTTGGAGCTCCACGGTGTTGGTGACCCTACTGGACGTGGAGAGGGTTTCAGTTTTATCAAGGTCTCAATGAAGGGTGGTTTCCGCGATGTAGGTGAGAGTTTGGCCGATAAGCTCGATGCCAAGAAACTTAAGGAGAATGGAGGCCACAGTTACAACGTCAAGAGGCAGGATGAACAATATTCGAATGCCATCAACAGGATATGGAACAAACAGGCAGATAGCCTGTCGTCTACTATGGAGCACTCCGATGTCGAGATGGACGACAACGTGGATGTCCGCCAGGAGCAACTCCGTGGCCGTACGCCCCGCTCTGAATTCGGTACACCTGCCTTGATGCGGGACGACGAGACTATGAGTCAGTTCAGTAGGAACAGTGCCAACGACGCGCAAGGAAAGGTCTTGCGGATCAAACGCTGGGTCAAGAATAAGTACGACGAAACCGAGGTCCAAGTGCAAACAATCACAGATCCGGAAGTGATTCGTCTGTATACCAAGCGGAAGAGGCAAGAACAGTTGGAGGCCATGACAATCGATAAGATCCAACCTACTGGTAACGCAGAGTTTGATGCACAACAAAAACTCAAGTACGACTCCGCGTACATTATTTCCGCTACTTATATACTAATGTTCTCTCCAGACTCCAAGCCGAACTCGCTCGTCTCAGGCGCAACGTCGAACGCCGCGAAGGTCGCGAAAAGGCCAAAGGCCTTCACAACTCACAAACGGGCGGGCCTGGCGCCGGCAAGGGTGGTGCTACACCACGCAAATGTGCAAACTGTGGGGAGGTGGGACACATCAAAACAAACAAGAAGTAGGCACTCCACTCCTTTTTTCTATTTTATTAACTCTTTTTCTCTTTCTCTCTCCCTCTCTCTTCTCTATTCCGAAACAGATACCCTGACAAGACATCAAGACTATGCCCCCTCCTCAACGGCCAAAAGAAGCAGAGCGATACCTTCAAGGACGCGAACGCTGGCTCACCTGTTGCCACCGCTACCCCTATCCCGGCTACACCTCAGAGTGCAATGTCGCCCCTATAAGTATAATTTTCTTACTTTCACCACCTCTACAATCATCCCTTCACTGCCAACCCTTTCCCTACTTGCCCTTCCGATTTTCACCCAGGTCTTGCCAGCCTTTCATTTTTCCTTCCCATATTGCATAGCACTGGCGTTATTCTATCTACTTCTCATCAAGACCAATGGACCACGTCTTGTCTTTCCATCCAAAAGGAAGATCACTCAACATGGGCATATCGGCGGAAAATCGGGGGTTTCTTTATTTCCAAAAATTGGGCTTTCGAAAAGGTCGTGGAACAAAAAATCCAGACCATTTCTTTTTTTTCTTCTTCATCATAATATCTTAACGCTATGGCTCCCAGGGGGGGTTTCTTTTGGGATACATCAATTACCATTTCTTCGGAGGAAACGGGGTTTGTTTTACCCCGCAATCACTGTATGATCAGACCAAAAAGAGGATTAATAATTTTATTAAACGACGGGGGAAAGAAAGGAAGGAATTGGAAGGAAACAATTGACAAATTACACAACCGCACACCGTCTCTTCCCCGTTTTCCTCTTTTTTCCCACAGTTCTATTCCTGGAGAAAAACAAAGAATCATAACTGGTGGAAAAACATCAACTCGACGCATTGTTGAGAACGCCCTTTTTTCATGCAGAGAGGTGGTGACTGAGTAATTGCTTTGAAATCTGTTTATCTGGAAGGTCGTGGGAAGTCTGTGATGCTGAGGTAATCATTACATACGGTGTAGAAAACGTGCTAAGGTTCGATTTGGGGTATATGGCTTGTTGATCAACTTATCGGGAAGAGGAAGGAAGGAAAGAAAAAAAATAAGCACAGCTGGAGTAAGGTAGTATCTGGAATTTTCGTCTTGCGATTATTCTGAGGAGATGGGTTGATGTTAGTATTGGTGGGTGCGGAGAGATCGCGTGCACTGTCTAAGATCCCAGGCACGTTGGGCGCGGGACGATTTTGCGGTGGTCATGATGTATATTTACTTTGGCTCCGATCTCAAGGATATCTAGCATGAAGAGAGAAAGATAATATGAAACGCAGAAGAAGATAAAATAATCCGAAAATGATGGGCTGCTTCCCCACCCTCTGAGCGCAAAAGGAATCTAGGAAGAAAAAGATCTATCGGGTGTGCCAATTTCCCAAGAAGAATGAGACAAGAAGAGAAGTAGGAAACAGAAAAGAATTCCACGTTTACATGATGGCGAATTACCTCCTGCGCGCTGAGATCGTAGGAGAAAGGTATCGTAAGACATGAGCCAATTCAAACAGCGGATATGATGGCATCGTGGCGCAACGAAAGATCCTTGAATATGTGTAACTATTCACTCCTCGCCGTGGCCCTTATTTGGCTCGTAGGCCACAATGTTGAGACAGGCGCCACCTCGGGCGGACTTCGTATACATGCTGTTGTTGATACAACATGACGCAGCCACCATCCTCTGTACGATGTCGATGGTCTTTGCAGCGTCTTCCTTCATAGGCCATAATGAACTTTACTAACGAGCGGCTCGAGTACTCAGAAGAACACCATAGGATCGGCCTGGAGATTCGTCAACCCTGGCAGGAAATCATGCACAACCGTGCAGAATGCGTCGTGATTGGGCTGGTCGTCCGGATTGTCCGATAGGAGCGTGAGCCGAATCTTCCGGACTTGCCGTTTAGCCTCCGGGCTCAGGTGCCGTATGAAGTCCAGCACCGGGAGGTAAGTGAATCCGTAGAAGTGGAAGAGGTTCTCGGAATACATGATGGAAAGGCACTCGTGGTAAATTAGCCGGTTGGTCCGGAGGATGTCCAGGCTTAGGTCGTCGGGATGCGGGCGACATTGGTGATTCCATTTCTTGCTGATGACGGTCGTTTCGCAGTCGGTGTAGAAGCGAAATTTCTTGTTTGATGAAGGGAGAACATATCTGAGGATCTCGCGCCGTATCTCAGATGGAATGCGCAAAAACGGTGGGTAATTGTCCAAGGCAGTTATTGTCTCGGGAATCGATATCTGCTTTGCCACAGAATCCCTTGAGCGTGTCCTGGGGCCATTGTACAATTCTTTTGAACTTGATTTCGTCTCAATGGGAGCAGGCTGATTCGAGGGTTAAGTATCACCACAGATATAGGAGGAAATGAAGATGCTCACTCGTTTTGAAAAAGTCTTGGCTGGCATAATGAAAGCGCGGAGAAGATGGATAGCAATATGATAAGTTCAACAACGCAAGAGAGGATCAGAAAGGTGGGTTGAGACAGGGCACGGGATGAGAGGGGAGCAGATTAGTCACGAGGACGGGTGACCGGCGCTTGATATTATCGAACAACACGGCGAAGGAAGATCGAAGGCGATATGTAAAGTGCGCGCTGGGTGCATGAAGGAAGGTAAATTAATACAAATTCACAACGGGCGGATCAGAGCTGCGTAGAAGGGTCGTACAAAGCATGGAAGGGAGATGGAAGGTTGGTCGGCTTTCGATGTCGTTGATTGAGGCTGCCTTGGCGTCGCGGAGCGGCGTTTCTTCGTTCCGACGCGTCCCAAAAATTCAAGCGGCGGCCTGGGGGGGTCGACGACACGATAGCTCCGAACTCAAGACTTCAACGTGTTCTACCCTGTTCGAAGCTTATCATCCCACCGAGAGCGAGTCTACACGGATTTCCAAGGGAACCTGACGTTTTTCACGCCCCGTCACCATGTCTTTCGGCGGCCAAACACCCACTATCGTGGTCCTGAGGGAGGGTACGACAACCAGCGCAACAGTTGTTATATATCATGTCGAATATTATACTGACTGAACTGAAAGGAACCGATCAGTCCCAGGGCAGAGGTCAAATCATATCCAACATCAACGCCTGTCTTGCCGTACAATCAACGATAAAATCGACGCTCGGTCCATATGGCGGGGATCTGTTGTTAGTGGATGAAAATGGAAGGCAGACAATCACAAACGATGGCGCAACAGTCATGAGGGTAATTTGATATCTACCATCAGAGACATGTTGATTATGCTTAACTTGACTAACATTCACTTAGCTTCTCGACATCGTTCACCCCGCAGCACGCGTTCTCACGGATATTGCACGCTCACAAGATGCCGAAGTCGGTGACGGCACAACCTCTGTGGTTGTCCTGGCTGGTGAAATATTGAACGAGATCAAGGACTACGTGGATCAGGGTGTCAGCAGTCAAACCATCATCAAGGGCCTGCGGAAAGCCTCGAACTTGGCGGTCAATAAGATAATGGAGATTGCCGTGGATACTGCGGAGCACAACCAGAGGGAAACATTGCAGAAGCTTGCCGCGACTGCCATGAGCAGTAAGCTGATTCACCGTAACTCTGCATTCTTCACGAAGATGGTCGTCGATGCCGTTCTCTCTCTGGACCAGGACGACCTCAACGAGAAGCTTATTGGCATCAAGAAGATTACTGGTGGTGCTCTACAAGACTCCCTTTTCGTTAACGGTGTTGCATTCAAGAAGACCTTCTCATATGCCGGTTTCGAGCAACAGCCCAAGACCTTCGAGAACCCTAAGATCGTCTGCCTGAACGTGGAACTAGAGCTTAAGAGCGAGAAGGACAATGCGGAGGTGCGAGTTGAGCAAGTCTCGGAATACCAGGCCATCGTCGACGCTGAGTGGCAGATCATCTTCAACAAGATGGAGGCGCTCTACAAGACGGGTGCCAAGGTCGTTCTCAGCAAACTTCCCATCGGAGATTTGGCCACACAATACTTCGCCGACCGAGATGTGTTCTGCGCCGGTCGAGTTGCCGCCGACGATTTGGAACGCGTATGCCAAGCCACCGGAGCGAGCATCCAGTCGACATGCTCGGACATTCAGGAGAAGCACCTCGGTACTTGCGAGAAGTTCAACGAGCGACAGATTGGTGGCGAGCGATTCAACTTCTTCGAGGGCTGCACTGCAGCAAAGACGTGCACACTCGTGCTCCGTGGCGGTGCCGAGCAGTTCATTGCTGAGGTCGAGCGCAGTCTGCACGATGCCATCATGATTGTCAAGCGCGCCATCAAGAACAGGAGCATCGTTGCTGGAGGTGGAGCCTGCGAAATGGAGATCTCCGCTTACCTTCACGCCTTTGCCGACGAGTCCGTCCGCAGCAAACAACAACCCATCATCAAGGCCTTCGCCAAGGCTTTGGAGGTGATCCCCAGACAGTTGTGCGATAACGCCGGTTTCGATGCCACAGATATCCTCAACCGCCTGCGAGTGGAGCACAGGAAGAACCACAACATCTGGGCTGGTGTCGACTTCATACACGAGGGTGTTGCCAACAACATGGAGACCTTCGTGTGGGAGCCTAGCTTGGTGAAGATCAACGCTATACAGGCAGCTACCGAGGCAGCTTGCTTGATCTTGAGCGTTGACGAGACGATTAGTGAGTATATCCACATGATACAGAAACTTCCGAATACACATACTGATACCTATCGCAGAGAACCAAGAATCGGCCCAACCGAGCGCACCCAACCAGCCCCTACCTCCGGGCGCCGCTCAGCGAGCACTCGGCATGAGAGGACGTGGACGCGGCATGCCCAGGCGGTAAAGAAGAAACAATTCAATTCAATCAACCGTTTCCTCACTAAGAACGAGGGGCGTTGTTGTTCAGGGGTGTGGGAAAGCAAAACAAAATTTTTAAAGAACTTGACGCTGAGTTAATGTATACCACTGAGCAGATGCAGGCAGGCAGACATACACCCCCGCCGTATATTAGATTCTGGACATAGAATTGCTACACACACATCCCGAATGAAATGAAAAGATACTGAATGAACATAAACATGAATATGAACAAGCAGTTGCAGTGATCTCTGAGTGGCAACAATGATTGATATATTTGCATTTCAGGTCTGGACGAACCACTCTCGACGTTCTATACACAACGCTCCCCTCTTTAACTAATCAACGATCCATCACCACCATCACCTCCTCACAACCAAACTCCCCCCTAGCCCTTGAACGTCGTACCCCCCTCCTCCCACCCCATGCCAAAGCTCCTCACCCTACTCCAATAAAACGGCCTATCATTCTTAAGATTAAAAACCCCCCAGTCGTCCGTGAGACGATTGAAATCATAGTACCCCTGCCAATTCAGCTTATTATTCCTCGCTCCTTTCCCCGCCGTCGCCAGGGACAGAATCATGCGGTTCCAGTACTTCGGAGTCGATCCCTGCGTCTCGACGAACAGCGTGCCTTCTTTCTCTCCGCCCTGCTCGTCCTCCTCGGTGGTGCTGCCGGGCTTGGAAGGCACAGATGGGCCGGAGAGACGCCACCGGCCGAGCAGGGAGTCCTTCATGGGCGCGGAGGGCAGGTTCCCGTGGTTGCGGTGCACGTGCTCCATGTGCAGGTAGGGGACCACGTCCGCGGGCTCTGACGTCGTGAGGAGGCTGATGCAGGTGCCGTCGCGGAAGAAGCGGAGGTACCGGTAGTAGGTTACGATGTGGATTGGGGAGTTCCAGGTTATGGTTGTTGGGGAGGGCGCACCGGGCCGCGTGTAGTTGACCGTGGAGATGTAGCAGCCGTTGAAGCGGATGCGGGGGCGTTGGCGGAAGAGGGCGCGGTAGGTTGGGTAGATGGTAGGGACGAGGTGGGCTGTTGGGTTGGAGGAGGTGGTGGTCCTATATGTTTCGTCGTCGTCTTCCGTGTCGGAGGAGGATGAGGAGGTGCCTAGTTCGTAGCCGCCTGCGCCGTCGTGGCCGAGAGGTTTGCCGTCGAGCTGGCAGGCGAAGTCGTAGTGCATGGCGGCGAAGCCGAACTCTGGGCCCAGGGCGATGCGTTTCCAGATTTGCTCCTCGGTGTGGACGAGGTAGGCGAGCCGTTTGCAGACCTGGGCGAGGCGGACAAAGGATGCTACGTCGTCGATGGCGAGGTGGAGGAGCACCTCGGTGAGGATCTCATCTGGGATAGAGGCGATAGGGCATGGCGGTGGTGGAGAGAGATCTGTTGGCGGGGGTTCGCCCTGGATCGAGAGGGAGGAGAACTCTTCCAGGAGGTTTTGGAGGGTCGACGAGGTGCCTTGTAGGGAGTGATGGGCGGTATTGGGGACTGTTACAGGCGCGTTGGAAGGGTTTGGGTCCTGTGGTTTCGGCTTGGAAGCCTGTTGGAAGAAAGATGGAGGAAAATGCTTGTTTTTATATGTTTGATGGACGTTGGAATCAAGCTGCGGAAGGATCGTTAGCTCACATATCTATGCGTTTCTTCTCCTACGAGAATGGGGAGCTGAGACAAGATGGTATTTACCTTGAAAGCTTTCCGGTACAGATTTAAACTATCTCCCAAACTTCCTTGACTCTCTTTCTCTACGGCCTTTTCGTAATGCTCTAAAGCGGATCGCGGCTCTTTGCTTGATGAAGAGGCAGAAGGGGCGCTGGTTTCATCCAGCCTCCTTCCGTGCTGCTTATCTCCAAGGTCTGGGTAGACATGCGGTTCGACTTCATCTATCTCTTCAATGCTGCGATGGCGTGCATGTGAATGTTCATGTGTATGGCTATGGCTATGGCTATGGCCCTTGTGAGCATGGGTCTTGCTGGACGATGCGTGACTATGCTTCGATGTCGTCGCAGCCGACGGCCCAGCCGCGGATTTATCCTTTGACTTTGCAGAGACTTCTTCTCGCCATTTCTGGCGGAAGGATTCGAGCTCTGCCTCGGTGTTTGGGATGTTGTTATTGTTGTTGTCGGGTTCCATAGTGGGTATGTGGTTATGGTGGTGGTGGTAAGTAGCGGTGGCGTATCTTAAGTCCGGTACCGGTACCTGGGTGCGTCGGCTTGAGATGGAAAAGTGTGGAGAGCCCGAATCTATGGGAATTCCGCGGCCTTGGACCAGTTCTAATACTCTATTCTAGTCGGACTTCAGGAGCTGAGAAATCCAAAATGGACATGGACGGTGCAAGGTGCGAGTAGGGTGTAGACAGTGACTCAGAGAGAGGTTGTGATATGCGCTGTGTCGGGTGGGTTACATGGGTTACTGGGTACGCGGAGTAGTTGGATACCTTATACTGTGTAGGGGAACACGGCCTGTCGGTGCAATGAGATGACATGTAAGACTGATGGATAGAGTCATCAGTCTTGTCCCTTGACTACTCTGAGAGCACTTCACTCGCACGAGTGGTTAATAACAATCGATGACATGCAAGATACGACACGCGAGCGCCACACACCATTCACTACCTAGTATGTAATACTAAAGATCAACTCCGAATCAATGCATCTCCATCTGATAACGAAAGATGTCCAGTGATGATCATTTTGGATAACAACGACCACAACATAACTGCAACAAATCATTTGTACTTTTAGTTTACTCATGAATGTTTTACAATCAATGCTTGTGTTCCGAGTACAATATATATTTGTTGAAGTGTAGCCAATGATTGGCATAGTCATGGCCATGGCCGCGGCTCCGATCGATCTCTCGGAAGTGGAAAGGGACTATCTTTTTTAGTTTGCATCATCACTATCATCCATCACTCCCGCCGCCGCCCATCGCCTCCACCTCCTCCACTTCCTTCCTCCCATCTCCGCCCTTCTCATAACTCGTATCCTTCCTCCAGCCCTTCACCCTGAAACATGCGCACAACAATCCACGACTCTATCGATATGTGTCTTGTTACCTCGAGGTAACTCCATCTCAGTATCCGCTTCCGTCTTTGCCTCCGCCTTGGGGCCTCCGCACCGAGACGGTGCGACTAATATGAACGACGAACCTGAAGAAGTCGTCATGGATGGCAATGTGTCCCTCACCCAGAAGATGCTGTCCGCAAGCACAGGCAGCATCTTAACTTCTTTACTAGGTATGTTATTCCCTTCTGTTCTTCTGCATGCCTACATTTCGTTCTCCTCACCGTCTTTTTTTTTCTGGTTGTATCGTCGCTTCTGCGCATACCCTCGGCCTGTCCGCCCGGATTGCCCCGATCAGAACAAACAACTCCATACAACATATCGGCAAGGAATTGAAGCCTAACATACCGTAGTAACACCTCTTGATGTCGTCCGAGTACGTCTTCAATCACAATCGCATACGCCAGCCCCCGCCATAACGCCTCGCTCGTTTCCTGGACTCTCCCTTACCCAATTCCGCGATTTGCCTCCGAACATCGGAATATCGGCCTGCTGTCGCGAGGTCTTTTGGATGAACAACTCTGCACCTTACTGTGTCGCCGGGCCAGCAATTACGCCCATCAATCCTGCCGATGCTGCATGTGCTGTGGAAGAGGTGGAGCGAAGGACCATAAACAGCACGTGGGATGGACTACGCAAGATCGCACAGCACGAAGGCCCAACCACATTATGGCGAGGCCTCTCGCCCACCCTTGTCATGGCAGTTCCCGCCAATGTCATCTATTTCGCTGGGTATGACTGGTTGCGAACGGCACAATCATCTCCTCTACGAAAGACCGTCTCAGATGCATACATACCGTTGGTGGGAGGAGCCACAGCGCGAACATTAGCAGCCATCGCCGTGAGCCCGATAGAGATGTTCAGAACAAGAATGCAGGCTACCAATCAGAGCGCAACCGCCGCGGGACACTTCCGAGATACCATGGATGGACTTCGGGAGCTGGTCCGGTCCGAGGGAATGTTCAGTCTTTGGAGGGGCCTGACCTTGACATTATGGAGAGACGTTCCCTTCTCTGCCATCTACTGGTGGGGCTATGAGAGTGGCCGGAACATCATTACAGATATGCGAGGCAGAGCAGAGGCCAGGCAGGATGGTGGCGAATTCCGCGTTGGACGCGGAGAAGAGAAGAGGCGCCGTCGGAGCGAATCTAGGAGTCGAGAGAATCATACCGAAACTCTGATTGACAGTTTCGTTGCCGGTGCAGGATCCGGAGGTGTGGCCGCATTTGTGACAACGCCCTTCGACGTAGGAAAGACCCGCCAGCAGATAGCTCAACACGCAAGCGATTCCGCAAAAAGCCAAGTCAGCTCTGGTACCATTCGCCCTGAGAATCTATCGATGCCACGGTTTTTGTGGCACATCTTCGAAGAACAAGGATTGTCGGGACTGTTCCGAGGTTGGGCAGCCAGATGTCTGAAAGTGGCACCTGCTTGCGCCATTATGATCAGTAGCTACGAAGTTGGAAAGAGAATGGCGACGAACATGAACGAACGACGCGAACATCGAAAAGATTCCTAAAAAAAATACGACTATCAACCAGTCAACCATACCCGTCCCGAATACCTTACATGTTTAGCGCTTCACTTCTACTCACTACTCTGGATTTCTTAGTCACGGAGCATTTCGGAAGCATCTTCACTTTAGCATAGATTGGGCGTTATTGGAAACCCAAAAAAAAACAGCGGCTGCATGTTTTGGATCCAGACGCGCTGTAATGATACCAGCGCGGAGTGCTGATATGTCATTCCGCGCATGTACTATAAATGGGACAGCATTATATACATAATACAAATCGTAAAACATCCTTATAACATCAATTTCCCATACCGATTGTTTGTCATATTCTCGCGATAAAGTATCATCTTTATCATATTAAAAACCACTGACCAGAGTTCACTGAATGGGATGTCGGGAGCTTGGACCGCTTCACGTGACTTCGTGAAGGCATGCTATTCCGTCTTCATCTCTATATTGACTGCCTTTCCGACGACAACACACCAAGCTTCGGAAGCTTTCGCGCAGCCACTCCAGATACCCCCACTGTGTCAAGTTGTTCCAATCCCAGAAAATCGCCAGAATGCTCGACATTGAAGACTTCGACGCAGTCTTCCCCAATAAGCTTGCCTACAGCCATGCGCTGTCGCAAGAAATCATTCACTGCCGAAAGACATTAGGTGGAAGAAGTTTCTTCGAGCGCCTTTTAGAGCTCCTTCAGATCAAATGTACCTTGCCTTGTCATTCTTACTCACCATGCGACTCCAAACTAATCATCGACTGGAAAACAGGGCGAAAAGCATACCCCCCCTCTCATGACGGCCTGCGCGACCTCCACGAGCGCATCGTCAAAGCGCCAATTGCTCTACACTACAAGCACTGTCTCCTCCTGTACCTCCTCAAAGACCTCAGCCCGATCTACCGCGACCAAACAGACATCGAACTCGCGTCCTCCTTCGCGCGCAACGTGCACCTCGAGAAGAAATTCTGGACGTTCATCGAGGGCCTCTGGTCGCTGGACCACCTGCAATTCGACACGGCGGTCAACCACCTGACGCACCCGTCGATCATCCCGACGTTCCCGGACGAGATCATGCTGGTGCTGCTGAACCACCGCAAGGAGCAGACGGGGCCGAACAACGGCGACGTGCTGCCGCTGGCGTACTACAACTGCGCGAACCCGCCGCTCGCCAGCCAGGAGGTCAAGACGGAGTTCATCCGCTACATGGCGGAGCGCAACGTCACGGAGACGCTGTACTGGATCCGCGCGAGGCCCGAGTACGAGCACCGGCAGCTGCTGGAGGCGTTCGTCGAGGAGACGCTGGAGCGGAGCCAGTGGGCTCGGAGCCACTCCAACGAGCAGGGGTATCCGAGGGAGGAGATGGTCGCGGAGTTTGTGGGGCTGCCGTTCACGGACGAGGAGGAGACGTGGCTGGAGGGGTTCCTGACGGAGGGGAAGGGGAGGAATTTCAAGAATGCGGCGGATACGCTGACTATGAGGAGGATTGCTACGGGGAGGTTGGCTGAGGTCGCGAGGGATGCCACCGTCAAGGGGAGGAGGATCGAGGGTGTCAATTGGGATATCTTGAGGGATGGTGTCGGGAGGGGGTTGGGACCCAGGAAGGATTGAGTCAAGGTTTCTTCGACTTCTCCTTTCACATCAATTTCGCTCCCGACCTCACGATCCGACATGTTCCCATCCTCCCCTTCTCTCTCTCTAAATCTAAATATCCACCTTTCCAGCATAGCGAATGGAGTTAACCTTCTCTTTTATTTTACTTGAATCTACCTTTACTCTACTTTGCACTTAACGTCACTGTCACACACACCCTCTTCCTCTCCCTCCAGATCCACCATGCATAATGATACAACCACCCCCTCCAAAACTCCTTCTAGCATTCAATCCACCCTCTTCCGATGCCCTCAATACAAGTATAAAACCACCTCTGCTGACTAGACTAGACTAGACTAACTACCAATATCAACACTCCCCCTACAGACCCAGAAACAGCCCACCCACCATCTCCTCAGCAGTGAGTAGTCACACCCTTTTTACGAATGATCCGCCATAATCCATGCCATCGAAGTATCCCTGACTCCGCGTACAGTACACCGCATGCGTGTGCGTGCGTGCACTTCTAGGATGGGAGTAGGTGTAGGGGGGTTTCGGTTTGAAACAGTGGGAGATGAGTGAAGAGTGTTGGTTAGTCACTCTGTGTGTGTAGCTGTACATATAATTATATAATGTAATTTTACAATTTGAAAGATATATTCTATTTTTATACTTTCTAATAATACACTTAAGAATTCTCTTAATATTTTTGGAATTCAGAAGTATCATCTCTGTGTGTGTACCGCTGTAGTTATGGTTTGTTTGTTTGTTCTGTGAGCGTTGTATGTGTATGGTGGAGAAGATGGGAATAGGGGGTAAAGGGGCAGATTTTGGTGTTCTGAAAGGTTTTATCTATGTGGTTTTGTGTCTGTCCAAGGTATGTAGGTGCACATGGGAGGTAGGAAGGATGTATTTACAATTGAAAAGGGGAAGTTGATGTTCTGACAGTTGTGTATATACATGTATTGATAGTTATAGGGCTAGTCATAGTCACACTTTTTCCACATCTCTTGGTTTACTATATAGCTTATACATCAAGTAGGGGTAGAGAGTAGAGGGTAGAAGATTCATCATCAGTCAGTGTTCATATGACTATAAATACTCCTCCGTACACGCGTATAAATATATACGTGTATATGTGTATATGTTACACGAGTGAAAGGAGAGAAGATGTGATTGAAGGACATGCCAACGCGTCAAGTGCAACATTCTCCTTGTTTCCTACTTACTCATTGCCTTGCTCAGGGCGCTCAGGAGCAGGGAATGCAAGGTTGGCACTAGAACTGTGGTGTTGAAGCTATCGATATAGAGGAGCAGATAGTGCACAGAGTAGGGAAGTGTAGATGTTCTTGTTATTGTGTGTCGTGCATTTATAGTAGATATAAATACATCTGTAGAAATAGCTTGATATAATAGGTGAGAGGGTAGGGAATGAAATGTCGTGCTAGGGGCAGGTTCAAAAGCAATGTGAAGAAGAAAAAAGAGTGAATGTAATAGGGACATAGTAGACTGGATCGTAGAAGAGCATGCTACTGTTGTTAGCAGCAATTGCAGTGATGCAATCTAAGTTCAAAGTACGTATTTAAGATGTATAGGGGGAAGGGAATAGGGAGACAAGCAATAACCAGCGTATTATATACGATAGTTCTCGGTGAAAATAGTCTCGATGATAAGAGATGAGGCACAGTAATGCGGGAATATGATCTTAGATCCCCTATTGGTCTTTCCATGCCAAGCTGAAAGCCCAAGACTTGCTAACTGCCCAATCTGCAGATCTATGTAATTTTCCGAAGAACGAAGGGCTACTCAGTGGTGATCGTTACCTTTGCTAGTGGCTTGTAATGGGACTGGCAACCAGGCTTTCGACTGACATCAAGAGAAGCATATCCCATGCATTTGACGGCCATGCAATCCATAAGAACGAGCGGGTAGGGGGTCAGTGTCAAACCAGGGGGTCAGAGAGCTGGAAGAAGCGAAAAGCGGAGAATGTCGGTGTGTACAAGAATAGCACTTACTGAGTCAGAAAACAGTGACAATGGTCCTAAAGCCATGTTCACGTGGAATAGATCTCTCAAAAAGAATGAAGGGGGGCGTCGATAGGTGAATGTTTGGAAGGGGATCCACAAGGGGTTCGTCCGACAGCGAGCAGCAGTGGACCCTTCGACATTTCGGAAGGCATTCAAGATGAATGCAGGGTCCTTTGGATAGGCAGATAAGACAATAACACGAACATCGAGATCAATGTCACAGCTCGGCGTTCATGGGGCACAAGGGGGCGTCCAATAGAATTAGCCAACAATGAGGAATGTCGATAAGCGAAGTCTGGGGTGTTTTGAAATGTTGCCTTTGTATGGAGCAGTTAGCGATGCAATGCCACATCTGACCATGATCAGGGGTAGGGGCACGGCACGGGACGGCCCCAAAGAAATCAACAAGTGGCACTCAGAAGGATTCCAGTGACGTCGGTCAGTAACAATGTGCGACGCGGCGTCAGGTGCAAGGCAGCCCTACCTCGTAGTGAGGTAAATATCAACTGTAAGTCCAGTCCGCAAAACAGCCCATTGCGGTTGGTTCAAGAAGCGAGTCAATGGAAATGAAACACATGCGTCGAGCCATTCTGGCCTTGCAAATTGATCGATCCATATCTGGATATGTGACGTAGGAGAACAATGTAGCCTCATAGATAGTGATGGCTCGTCGTCAAGTCTGAACTGTGCCTCAGTCATGATTGCGTGCCGATACACCGAATGAATCGGAAAACCCGGGCGTGCCGCATGCAACGAGAGTAACCTTGACGGAGCACGTTCCGAAAGAAGAACCACCAAACCTCGCAGCTTATCACTTCTAGGGCGCTGGTATGTTAGATGGCTTGGGCATCGTATCGTCAAAGACAAGCGAGCGGGTACGGGGAGACGCTCGACCAATTGGTAAGAAATTGACTTCTAGAACTCGACGTTGGGTACCTCATTAGAGTTTCTGAAAGCTCGGCATCGGACAAAAAGGCCAATTAGAGGTGGCCTTCTAGCTACCGTTTCCCACTCGGTCAATCATCTTGATATCGAATTCCTTAGCTGCATGAGCAGCACAGCTTAGATCATCGACGACGCGACTTTCCAACAGAGCATGTCCTGAAACTTGGTCGTGACAGACAGCTAATACGAGTGATGAAGATTATGCATGGTGGCATGATGTTATCTCTGCATCTCGGTTGATTTTCGGTGTTTCTTTATAGTTCAGGACGGGCCGTTTGGTACACACATTACCTCGAAGGTGAAAGTTTGTGCAATGCAACGGTTGAAAGGCGCTGCGTTGGTTCAATGATATTAGGTACGCTTTTCGCGGCAATGGACGGATATGTAAGTGGTGGAACGGATTTCCGGGGGGTTAAGGTCTCAAGCCACCGGAAGCATAAGTCTATGGGATTCGCGTCATTGATGGCAATTCCAATGCATATTTGTTTATAGATCTACACAGGAAGCTGCCGAGATGAAAGTTTCCAGACGTTGAGGTCAGACCCTGTGACGTCAGACTGCGGCGGGTAGGCGAATCGATAGAACGTGGCTAGACGCTTTACCCTTTTCCAATACCCAAACCCATGGGACTATGGATAATGCCCTACCATATAAATGCACATGCTTTGCGCTACGTCAATTCATAAGACTCTCTTATGGGGGCCTTTTCCCTCCTTCTACTTTTATAATTATCGTCTGTCAGAATCCTCGAGTATTCGTTCTCTCTTTCCCAGATTTTTCTCTATTGTCTGCTGTATAACCTTCTCCGAGGCTGACAAGCGAATCCGCATTCCCCCCATCAGGTATGGGGCCTAGCCCAAGCCCTCCTCTACATAGACTTACTTTTTGACGGGCTGACAACGCGGTCTAGAACGATGCTATATGAATTTCAAGAGTCTTGAAGGAAGTCATGTACTTCTCGATTAGGAAGTCAATTGACCCTTCGCTTCCCAGCTGGCTGCCTGGTCGAAACACCCGTGACTCCGGTTCTTCCAATTGCCATGCTGGACCAATCGTGCGACACGTCCGGACTTCTAGGCATATTTGTTTCTAGGAAGCATATAGAACGTGCTCCAAATATAATGATTTTAAAACAACTTTCGACAAGTCCAGACAAAGCCTTCAGCGTCTCGAAGCAATCTGATGGACGCCATCTGTGAAGTCCGAATCATCAGATCGGAATAATCCGCCAGAGTATGGGCTATCACCCAGGAGTTGGAGACGAAATATTTCAGTGCAATCTTGCGCCTTTGAAGGGCCTTTGCGCGTAGGGTTCCGTAAGGGACCTATCCTTTCCTAGGAGGCCCTCTACTCTTGTTAGGTAACAACAAAGCCTTGGTGCAAGGGATTCAGGAGCATCTCCACGTCGATATCGTTACCCAGGTCTATTGAAAGCCTTTCTTGATGTCTACATGTGGCGTATGAACAGATATATGCATGTCTTCACGGACTGCGGCCGTCGCATTACTTGGGGTTCCGTGGATCCGGCGCTCAAGGTTATTTTCTCGCCTCTCCAGATATCTTTCTTTAATTGGTGCTGGCGCTGGGCACCGAGCCAATCATTTGCATAGAGAAAGGATCGCCAAGCAAGTTCTTTAGAGGCCTGCTGCCATCTCCATGAGCATAGTCGCGCTTTCAACGCGGTGAAAGTCCTACAAAAGGGGCATGGTTTCCCCATCTCATCATATGTTACTGTACTACGAGACACCATGCCTTTGCCGCTCTCACGACCACCCGAGGTCAATCAATACGGCAAGGTAGCCATTCCAAGGCTCGAGAGACGCCGGCCTGATCCCCCAAACCAGTCGGACTCCAACCCATATGAAACCAAATCCAGAATGACCACTGCCTGTCTGGCCTGCCGGGCCCGCAAAGTCAGATGCATTGGAGCACAGCCGTGTTGCGAGAATTGCAAGACCAGTGGCAAGACTTGTGTCTGGCCACAGGGTCGAAGAGACCGCCTTGTCGTGTTGGCTATACTGATTCCATCACACTACGGTCATTCTAATCTTCTGCAGGACTCTGGACCATAACGCTGAGTTGATTGCCATCCTCAGAAGCCTACAAGATGGAGCCTCCGACGAGCAGAAACACGAGATTGAGGCTGTCCTCGACCGAGTATGGCTACTCCAAAATTATGCTATTGTCAAACACCCCGCGTTGGTCTTTCTAACAGATCTCAAGGCCACAGAGTTTACAGTGGAAAACACAGATCGATCCGCATCCATGATAGCAACCGAGCTACGAGATGAAGCTGTCTCGTCCACGGCAACTCCTGCTGCCGATGAAGACATTGAGATGGGCCTGTCAGATCCAGAGCCTCTTCACACCGAGTATGTCAACGAGGCACCGAATCCCTTTTCGCCACGCAACTCTGGCGAGGACGCTGACAGTACTAGCGGATATGGATATGCGGACAAACACTCCCAGGCATTTGCCGTTGGTGATAGCACAGATGTTTTCCCTCAGCCTACCGAAACTTCCACAGCTCAGGAGAAGGTAGCCCGCCGCAAGGTGCCGCCTTTCAGAACTGCGCAGAAGTTGTTAGACTGCTACATGGACACGGTTCAAGACGCTTTTCCTGTCTTGCCCAAGGCCGGTTTTCGCAGACAATTCATGGAACTCTACGCGTCGAACCCGGGTTCCCAACCAGAGTCTTCGCCTATCGTAACTGACGAATGGCTGATCACTCTGAATCTTGTCTTCGCCATCGCGGCGAGGTATTTACACCTCGTCGATGCGGATTGGAAACCGAACGGCCAGGAGGACGATGTTTATCTTTCACGCGCTCGTGTATTGGGTTTGAGAGGAGTTGCCCTGATGGCCAATCTCGATTCATCGCAAGTCCAGATCACCGCCCTACATGCTCTCTATCTCTTCTCGATCAGAGACTTTCACAGGTACGATTTAGTCTCTCTACACTAATTCCATCCAACATTGACACCGTCACGTCCAGAGCTTGGGTAGCCATCGGTACCTCGATTCGATCCGCATACGTGCTAGGTATGCACACACAGAAAGGAATTTCGGACGAGGCAGGAAACAATCCTCTACTACAAGCATGGTGGGGGCTGCGGTGCTTCGAGAGAACCATCAGCACCGTCATGGGCTATCCGAACTTTCAAGCGGATGACACGAACTCGGTCTTGCTGCTATCGTCACCATCGGACATGGTGTCGCCTTACGACGAACCACTGCCTCCAATGGCAGTCAGCTACCTAATTGGTAGAGTTCATATAAGTCTGGCTGCGGAAAAGGCTCTCATGAACCTCTACTCATTTGGGGAAGTCCGCCCGTCCTTCCCGAGCATACAGCGTCTGACGCAGGACCTCATGATACAACTCAATGGAAAACTGCGAGAGTTGCCGCCCAATCTCAATTACTTCTCCCCGGAGAGCACTCCATTGGCCTCTCGCGAGCAGGTGCTCCTGAAGTTCCAATACATTGCCACCCAGATTCTGATTTTGAGACCATGCTTTTGCAGGGACGATAGTCGATCAGCGGATGGAGTCGAGGGCTACAACCAACGCGCCACGCGCACCTGCCTCGCCGCAGCAAAAACGTTCACAGACCTGCTGCCAGATCACCCTGACGGCGTGCCCCTCTACCGTGCTGACACCTGGTGGTCGACAGTGCAGTTGGTGAGACAGACAACCAGCATTCTCGTCCTGGAGCTGGCTTTCGGAACGGTTGTATTTCCAGAGACCGAAGACACCATCCTGCCACGGGTCAAAAGACTCGTACGATTGTTACGGTCCATGAAGGGAATGGATCCTTTCGCAGAACGCATTTACGGAACGATTCTCGGGGTGTTGCGGAGATTGGCCGAACGAGACGACTTGGATATTGCAGATCTTGTAGCAGAAGACGCCCACGCTAAGATTGGTCAAATTGGCCAGCAATCTTCATCAAGTGCACGCAGTCCAGGTATAGCTTCACTGCCCGGTGAAGACCTAGCACGCCTGTCCTCTCCAGGCCGCCAAAATGATCTCCCTCCAGACTACTTGTGTTCGAAGCCATGGATCCAGTATCTGTTTGGCCATGTATTGGATGAACACAATCCGATAACGTCTGCGCAATTCGTAGAATCGCTTTAAAGAGATATATTATTGTATATCCCAGTTCCAGTTGGATTAAATTGCATCACATCGGTTAGGATTTCCTTTGGTCACTGCAGGCATGGGCATTTTATAGGACACTCTCTTGTTACATGTCTTTGGACAAAACTATTCTGTGCTACGCATAGGTAGTTTCCCAGTTGGAATTTCCTTTTTCCGCTCTTTGGAGCCTTCACCTTCGTTTAGATCTCGGTTTGCCATTGTTCCTTTCAGTTTTTGCTTTCTCATCACGAATCATGAATGAGCGACATACAACACAGCACACGAAGTGGAAGTATGCTTTTCGGTTTTCTACATAGTTCCTTGAAGCTTATAAATCTCCTTTTCCAACTGGGTTACAATATATCTTGATCAGCCTTTGCACCATCCCTTCCCCACGTGATATCAAAAATTGGCTATATATCCAACGCAAGCATGTTGTCATTTTCTATGGGGGGCGTGAATGCGGACAAGTGGAAACATCGCCATTACTCACACATGAAGACCTCGAACCTATCAGGTCCGCGCAGTGACATACACGATGTCGAACGCGACCTATGACTGCGCATCGCTTACCCTTACAAGTGCCTCCAGATAAGCGAGTTTGCGTGCTGTTTCGGAATATGTCGGTCGTGCTGGATGGATGGCTATTGAACGATATGTATGCGAACGCCGTGTACGGTGTAAGACATACGCATAAACTCGATTGCATAGAATGGGGAAGGAGTTTTACAAAGACGGACATTTGAGCGGAACGTGAAACGTGTTGATCTATATACAGAAGAGATGATCAAAATAGCCAGCTAACACGGCTGGCAAAATGCCACGCAAAACTACCACAGTTGCGAACATTGCTTGTAGGTCTACACGGCTCTACAAGAGCAACAACAAACGATATTGAAATTTTGTCTAAACAAAGATACTCTATTACTCTTGGTACTATCAAATAATAATCATAAGAATCCTTGGTGCAGAATTTATTGTCTGAAGTAGGTAAATAACATCGTGGGGTGTGGCGTGTTTTGCGTACCGCCATGGCAGCGTATTCCGTATGCACGAAGAGAGGTGAATCCAAACACCGACAACAAGTGTGCACCAAGATCCAATAACGGATTTCTTAGCTTTCAGCTCTGTGGTCAGCAAACCAACTTGAGATTTCTCATACCATACCAATTGGGGTTCATTTTGCGGTGTCTATGCCGCGGAGAAGGAGGACTCGACGCGAATCTGAGCAGGCTGAAGACCAAACAATACCTCAGCCTTGGGGCATTTTAGCGCTCGGTTAGGCGCCCGATTTACCCACTCACCCGTTTGCACTGTAATTCAATTCCTATCACCGAGAAAAGGGCTAACAAACCCTTCAACGCACATCTCATTTCTCTGGATTTTGATTTTGTCTTGGTTTATCAATGAAATAGGTTGGAAGAATCGTCAACAAATCACAAGACAATGTGCCAGAGTGGTTAATGGGTATGACTCGAATCCTCCTTCTGGAGCACACCGATATCATATGTCTTCGGACGCACAGGTTCGAGTAAGTTTGATTCCACCTGATTCCGATACGTTAAGCTAACAGCCTCTTTGATCCTGTCATTGTCGCTTACATAATCTTTTTTGCTATTTTTTTTGCTATTTTCCTGTATTTATTTTGTTTATCCTTTTTTTGGGCCAGTATTCGATGCTAGGTGGCTTCTGATGCTTTTGCAAGGCGCGGCGGGCAAAGTGCGTGGCCAGGACGAGGCAGACGCTAGGCGCGCACGGACGTCCCAGGCTGGACACAGAGGCACAGAAGGGTCGGCACGTTAGGTTAACAGCCTGCTAGCTTCTATACCTTATATAAAATATAATACATGCATTGACTATCCCTTAATTACTGTAAAGGAACCGTTGAGGTCAAAGTATATGTGATACTCGGGGGTAGCAGGTAGTCAGCCCAACGTGTCTATCCTCGTGCCTCTGTACATGGTATTCGGTCGTCCCACGCGACACACATCATCTGCTACACCTACATAATTACTACCTCATGAGAGCGGATATCTCACGTACTGCTTACACACGTGTTATTGAAGGTTAAATATAGTCATTCTGTCCTTGTTTGCTACATTTTATATATGTTGTAATTAGAATCATGAATGTTTGCTAATCTATCTATGTGAGAAGTGATCATGGAGGACTTCAGTTGACTACCACTCACTCCTCACGTGCTCCTTCAACCGTGGAGTGGTTGTAACTGGGAATCTGGAGCCTTACTTGCTCCTTTTGCTTGTGGCTGGGTTACCAGAGCTTGCGCAACAGCGGTGGTCTTGCTGGGAGTCCACGAGCAACAGGGTCGGCCATAGAGATCATAGCAATTGGTACAGACATTGTAGCCAGTGCCTGACTTTTGCACGCACTTGTCCGTCCCTGCTCCAGCAAGGGCCAGTTGACATGTATCGCACGTCTTTCTGTTTCTAGCCGCCGACTTTGACCCAAATGCAATGTTGACACCCTGCAACTTATACTGAGGCTTTCTCATTTCCTGCATGATAATGTTGTCGGGTATACGATACGATCCTAGGTCGTTGGGGTAGGCATTTTGGTCCCGATAGCTCATGATCTTGAGCAGATGGTTATAGTCGACTTGTTTGACTCGGGCGAATCCTAGATTGGTGATGAAGGCACGAGGCCCAAGGGGTACTCCGAATAGGAAATGCATGATGCCCACACCGTTCGCATAGGTGTCTATCATTCCACGGCTGCTGTCTGGGATTCGTTGTGGGGTGTCGGATTGACAGTAACGAGACCTCCAAGACCCCTGTGGATCTCGCCATTCGATTCGTAAAGCCCAGCTGTTTGCGATGTTCCAGTTCGTGAAGGGCCCAATGTGTGGCAACCGGGCCCAGGATCGTGAATGAGGTTTACCGTCCAATCGAACCTCAAACACTAGTTGAAAAGTGTCGTTCTTTCGAGGGGCGTCTATACCATCGACCTGGTTGACTAAAGGGCGAAAGCGGAAGCTGTTGAAAGTTTCTTCCATTTGTGTCCAATGCACTTGTACTTCGTATACCGATATTCGGAAGCCTTCCTTAGTCTTATCGACATCATGAAGAGTTTTGGGGGTGGTTCGGCGGAAGTTGGCGACCGGTATAACACCTTCCCCTTCCACCTGGATCAGTGCATCGGTACGGAGCCAAAGAGCCTACTCGGTTGTGCACTCGGACAGCGGCGACGAAATATTTACCCCGAACTTGCATCCGAAAGTAGGTCGAGAAGTCCCACCAGGCCAATTGCTGACAGTCGCGGCTGCAAGGTAAACCTGCCGCAAGTGGGAAGCGCACTCAACATCCGCCTCAGCATCAGGTCTATCAGATAGTGTAGAGGTGTTGCCATCAAGGATTCCAGGTCGGTATGTTTCCAATAGACAAATGAATACCTGCTCGCATACGAAGAAGGGCGGTGATGCATTATCGCCAGCGAGAAAGCAGAGAACATGCACAGAGTCCGTGGTTCCTGGGTGGCTCCTGAGGCTGTCATGGTATCCGCCAGTTGGTTTATCTTTGTACTTTTGGTATTGCTCGTAGAAATCCTGGGCTTTACCAACATACGCGTGATGTTCTCCTTCGTGATCCCGGTACCGTCGAAAGTATATTCCACCTGATCCTTTGGGGTAGTTGTCATCAATGGTGTGAGCAGCATTGTCCAACATTGCTTGGAATGAGAAGTCATGCCTGTTGAGCACCTCAAGCAGCCCAGCCTTGTGAACACCCGAGTTCATGATGCTAGTGATGCCCGCGATTTCGGTCCCAGCTTCACCACCAAGGGTTTCTTTTATAACGTCCGTCATGAAAGGCGCTTCACACTTAGCAAGTGCCCTTAGGAAGGCGTCGATAGACCGAGAAAGCAAACCGGAATCCGAGTCTTGGTTGGGCATAGGCGTAGGAACAGTAGGGGCGAGGGTGTCCATGTTGGTTGTCCACTCCGTGTTCCATGGGACCGATCCACCTTTGAGACACTCTTTTGGTATGTGCACAGGATCCTTCACTCCTGGGATGCCCACTCGAGCCCATGGGCGTTTGCCTTCCTGTAGTAGAATGATCTTGCCCTGAGTGCCGACCTTGAAAGCTATGCCCGACTTTGGGTCTTTGTAGTATTTGATGACTTCGCAGGCATAGTCAACTCTCAGAGACATGATGTAGAGCGTCGGTGTGTGTGTGTGTGTGTGTGTGTATGTGATGGTGGTGGTGATGGTGGGTGGGTGGGTAGGTGAGTGAGTCGCGGTAGGAAGGAACGAAGAAGGAACGAAGAAGGTGAGTGAGCGTGTGAGTGAAGGTAAGAGAGACGACACGAACCCAGACTCTACCCACTACTACTACCTTCCACCTACCCAAGTGTATCTAATATCCGTCGACTACCACAATCAATACAAAAGAAGTCATTCAGATTGAATGATAGATGGGGCATATGTGCCTGCCTACAGCAGCCTTTTATAGTAGGTTTCATGGGTAACATCAGTTTGAGCCCAGCCAGCATTTCAAATTCAAAAATCAATCAATCCATGTCCAGCCAACCTTTACGAGGACCAATCCGACCTCCCTCCTACCTATGGACGAAGATTAGTAGGGTAGGGTATGCTGGATCGTCCACTGCCACTTCACCTTCACTCACTCACTCCGCTCACTTCAGATACCAAAGACACAGGTTCCGAAGAAAAACACGGTTAGAAGCTACTATTTGCAACTGATTGATTTCATCCCAACCAAGCCACCGACCCGTCCCCTCCCACCCGTTTCGAATGGCGCGGGACAACGCACGATGGTCACGTACCTACATACATACACGTAAAAGAATTCAAGAAAGGGGGGGAGGATACAGTCCCCCCCGGACAGGAAAACGAAAAAAAAAGGCAAAACTCCAGACCTTATGCCGCGGCGATGAATTGTCGTCGCCTGCCCTATTTTGCTGAGACATGCAGAGAAAACAATATACTGTCGCCCCCCAGAAGACACTGTGTGAAAAGGAAAAGATGCAGATTGATTGTGTGTTGTTTTTAGCTCTTAGATATTACTGTCCAAAAAAACTAGACTGAATCACAGGGTGCTGGGGTCCTTCATGCGCCATCATCAAGATACCCTATACCGCAGAACTGCCGCAGCGACCGGACGTCCAGGCTGGGTGTGAGGAGGGCGCTGAGGAGCGTCTCTTTCTTGGGCAAGACGTCAGCCTTGACCTTCCATGTGCTGCCTCCGAACGACACTGTGTCGAAGTCGAGGTCGTCGTCGTCCTCCACGTCCGAATCAGCGTCAGCGTCAGCGTCTTTTGAAAGTGACGTGTGGCCATTCGCCCGTTGGTGCGAACCCTTCACGAGGACATCATTACCCTTCGCTTTTTCACCCAACCTCTTCAACATGGACAATGCACGATGAACAATGAGTTGGAAACCTTGGATGTCGGGGTCCATGGGGCGCTGATTACGACCTCCACGATGTTCGGGCTGGGGAGGCAACATCGTTGCATCGGTCGCGCAAAGCGACATGGCGAACTTCAGCAAGCTAGCGGCCCACCCATCATCCGACTCCAACCATGACCGACAGATTGGGCTCTCTGAACCTGGAGCGAGGCTAGCAAGAATGTCTGCCGCAAGCATGCCCTGCATGAGATATGGCTTCCTGGCTTCCGCGATACGTGCCTCAGTCTGTCGAACTTCCTTGATCCGCGTTTCCGACGCCTGATGCAACCTGCCCGACGTTCGATCAGGAACAACCGAAATCGCAAGAGCAAAGGCGCGAGTCAACAGATCGTGGGGCGGTGATGAGGAAGCGTCGCTGGTGAAGATCTGTTTATAATACGTCCGGTTGGGATCATCACGGGCGAGCAATTTGGCGAGACTATCCACAGCCGAAGGAAGGTATCGATGCACCTGAGGGTTGTAAAGTGTGAAGCTTACGGGTGACGAGGGGCGCGGTACAGGAGCGAATGCGCAGAGGAAATGGAGGATCGCATAAGCATCGTCCCTGGATGGCAGGACGATCTTGGTGCTTGTATTAGAGAAGAACGTCACAAGATCCTTCATGAAATCAAACGTGTTCATGTGCGTCCTGAGGAAGAGGATGCGCGTTCCAACTAGGCGAATGGCGTGTGAGAAGAACTTCAATACGCTTGGGCTTGCAAGCTGGCTGTGATTTACCTCCAGGAACGACAGATTCCTAAAGATGGTTGTGATCGCCAGTAATCGGTCTGCTGTCCGTCCCAAGTCGTATGCTTTTGTACCAAACTCTGGCAAATCTTGGAGAGCCGATATCTCTGCTTGGCAATTATGTATGACATCCTCGTAGGCCGTCAGATCCAGAATGTCAGAAACTTCGGGGTTGTCGTTGGCCAATATCTCCAATTGATCCTCAGCAAACTCGGCTAGCACTTCGGCCAAATCTTCACACTTCTCAAGCTCCAACGTGAGTTGGTGCTCATAAGTGAGTCTCGAAAGCGTATCGAGCGCGACTCGGGTCTCGGCGTGTAAACCGGATCGAATGCTCATGGTTAATGCGCGGATGTCCACGACGCCCATCTCCATGACGTTTGGTACGTTCGGTCGGTTAAAAAGAATCGTATCCACATTTCTGTTCAGACCCTCCGAATCGAAGTCCAACCCTGTCCATCTATTTATCGTTCTGGTTGTGGGTTTATAAGTCTTGCCATCAATGATGTCGGTTAAATCCTTGCTCGCATCCACATCTACAGCGCCGACGGGCTTTCCGATGGAACCCGGAGGGATAGAGAGCCTCTGTGCATCAAGAGGTGTGGGCGTGCCTTCCAATTGTTGGCTCATGCTCTTCCTGTGTTGATCGAACGCGTTTCCGTGTAGTTTCCCGTCTGCTTGCGGGGTACTTCGGCCGTTCATGGTCGCCAACGTTGCATTGCCCTGCATTGGTGTTGCGTGATCAAAGTTCTGGAGGTGAGGCTGTTGAGGTTGGGGCTGCTGCTGTTGGGGAGTTGGTGGTTGTTGAGGTTGTTGGGGTTGGGGTGTCTGTTGAGGTTGCGGAGGTTGTTGTAGCGGCTGTTGCATGCCCTGATTGAACTGTTGCTGCTGCTGAAGTTGTTGCTGTTGCATCTGTTGCTGGTGTTGGAGTTGTTGCTGCTGCTGTTGCTGCTGCTGTTGCTGTTGTTGTTGCTGCATGGGTCCTTCATTCTGACGCTGCAACTGCTGTTGCTGCTGCTGAGCCCTTACTTTGCTTTGTTGCAATTGTTGCAAGTACTCCTGCTGTGCGTTGTTGTTCATCTGACCAGATCCTCCGGGTCTTGTTGGAGACATCTGGCCCATCATCGCATTGCCTCCCATTTGTTGCGCCTGGCCCTGTGCCTGACCTTGCGCCATGCCTTGCATCTGTGACCTTTGTTTCGCGAAGAATGCAGATTCGTAGAGCCCCAAATTCTCCTGGTAGATCTTAGATAACTCCGCAGGAGCATCAGGAAACTGTCGAGGGTCAATGCCCAGTGGCGGACAAAGTTTAGGCCAGCCATTCTGTTGCGTTACGCCGGCCCAGCCCTTCATCTTGATCACGAACGAGTACAACTGATAGAGATTGATGGGGCGTCCTGCAATCATCGGGTTTGGATTGAAGCCGCGACCATTCTGGGCGTTCAACGCAGCTACGTTCTTGAGAAACGTCTGAGGATGCATCTGTGGCATGCCCGGCATTTGCTGTCCCGGTACCATGTTCCTCGGCATGTTCTGCGGCTGGCCCATGGGGCCGGGCATCGGCCCAGTATGGTGACGCTGCTGTGCTGCCATGTTACTAGCGGCCAGATTGCCTAACTGCTGTTGCTGATTAGCGGCCTGTAACTGCATGGCATACCGCCTTTGCGCCTCCTGCTGGCGACCTTGTAGATTCGCCGACAATTGGACTCCCTGGTATGGCCCGGCGAGGTTGGGGTCGAAACCTTGGCCCATTGGAGAGCCCTGTGGGAAGCCCATTGGGGACATTTGCGGCGCGTGTGGATTCTGGGCGGGAGAGGCGGTTTGCATTCGCTGGGGCTGCACCTGGCCGGGTCGGAAATGTTGATTCTGCATTGTCGGAGATGGAGTATGGGCGAAACCCTGCTGTGGGAAGCCAAACTGAGGCTGTTGCGACGGTGTCTGTGAGCGCGAAAGCGTTGGGGCTCCATTCGAGTCTCGCTTCTGGGGCACCGATGACATGGGATACGCGCGCGAGCCGTTGACTTGATTGTTTGCGATCGCGTTTGGATCTATGAAGCTGTTCGGATCGAACATGCCGTTCTGTGGGGATTGAAAATCCATGATGCGCGGATAGGCCGACGGGGGTGGCCGTCGGGGGTGAGGTTAGGGGGAGATGGATTTGACGTGAGGGCGATGACGAGGATCGGAATAGACGATGGGAGGTACTCGAGCGTGTTTGATTCACCTATGGATCAGTGTGTCAGTATGGGATTCGGGTTCGCGATGATGGTCAACATGGTCGCATTGGTGTCGCGATGGCCGCACGTAGTTCAGGCCAGTGAAGGAAGGACACAAGTGGAAGTAGGGGAGGAGAGTGGACGCACCACGCGAGAAGAGTGTAGCGCAAGAAGCGTCTTGACATATGGAGAACCGCGAGGGACGGTCTGGGATGGAATGGTTGACAGAAGTCACGTACCGCACCTCTGTGGACGCGATTTGCGGTCGGCTATGGGGGTTTGATCGATTGCTTTGCTGCGCCCAATTCAAGTTCAGTTCACGCAGCGGCGGCACTTGGGGGTCTGGGTTTTTAGTAAGCGTAGAGTGTCACGTGTGGCCTATTGGAGGGAGGGGGGCCGAAACAGGAACGACTACTATTAGTGGAAGTGAGAGAGAGAGATAACTCTGATGGCAACCAGCACCCCGTAGCAAATTGGGGAAAACAACGAGCCTCAGAAACAAAAACAAATAATATATCAATGGGTATTTTTTAAGCTCTCCTAAATTTTAAACAAGAATTACAGAGGACGTCTGCATAAGGATCAAAGCACGCGTTCGCGCTCCGCAAGCCAACCAGTGGAGTGGCGGTAGTAGCCGGGCAACTCAAGCCAGTCTAGCCCCAATTTCACCACTCCGGGTCATTCGCCGTCTGGTTACACGGGTAGCACATGTCTCTCTCCACTTATTACATCACTCGCAGCTCGTTCGCATCAGACATCGTGGTCGTGTAGGGTCGTGGGTGCGTGTTAATTAGCTGGGTTGGTATGTTGTATCTAATGCGCCGCCTCTTAGTTGTTGGCGAGATCCTCATCGTCCATGGGCGTAGCGTTGTTTAGCGTTCTCGTTGCCGATACGGTGAACCCCAATCCCGCATTCTCCTCACCTCTTTACCCTCGACCTTGACTCTCCTCCCACACTCCCAATCAAATTTCCTACCTTTACTGAAGCACGGGTGAGGTTCTGAATCTTCTCTCCAGACATTGTGACACCCGATTTTGCTTACCCCTTCTCATGCTGATGCTGTACATCAGTATCTGAATCTCATCCTACTATGGACGACTACTGCGACTAGGTACTATCACTCTTCAAGAGTGCGCCTGCTTCTGACTTCGTCAACAAAGTACCTAGTCGCTGCACTTTTTACTCTCGATGTCGATTGCCTCTGAATCCATGGCCAGCATCTTCTACTCGTAAGACAAGGCAACAACAGCTGACTGGAGGCTGTTTGGAATGTGGTGGGAGGAGAGACACCTGCCGACGGGTGATGCGGATTCGCTGCTTGACACGCCGTAAAATGACCGGGGTGTCCACATATTAGGACACTACCTGCCCTCCCTCCCTCTCCCTCTTCTATCAGTTGCTCGCGGTGGGGGTTGTCGTTCTTTTCCAGTGTTATTATCGTTCAATTGCTTCGCTTCGTGGACCGTGTTGCTGCTCCTGACAAGATGATCCAGGACTTGAAAGACTTGCCCATCCCGATTGGGATTACAGCTTCACCCATCCCATATATGACTCGAAGATACACAGATATTACTGAGAGTGGGTAGACGATCTACAACAAGGACGATATTGTAACCTTAATAAAGACCTCCCCTGGTGGCTTCGGCGTCAGGGTTCAGCAGAAGTCAATCTCTTGGACCTCAAAGCAAGGTGGCCCAAGTCGTTGCATCGCTGATCAGTGTTCCACGGACCAATAATGAAGTAATAAAAGCGGGCAGACAATCATGAATCGCTGCCTCGTGCGATGTCTGGCAGCTAGGGCGGAATCAGGCCAGACACATGTTGTTGAATTAACGACGAGAGCGTTTCTCTGGTTCGGAAGCGGGCGGTGAAATGTCCCAGACCGTTTCGACCCTTCCGACGCATCGTGCATTCTCGTGTGCGCTTGGGCCGTGATTAGCTACATTCTCCGGAATTCATACATACCTACCATGTTCTTGCAGTTAACTATTGCTATGACCATGGGGTTTCCACGGGAGTTCCTGTACCGCGTGATTCTTCACAGGTTCTAAAACTGTTGTAGGATATGTAAAGGAGTCCAGTCTCTGCTACAGGCCTTGACCATTCCCCATGACATTGCCATTGCCGGAACAAGACTAGAGAGATGGAATTCAAAGGCGAATATGTCATCACGTGACTCTGTGTCGGGGGATTCGCAGGTGGTCTTGGCGGTTTTAACCCCGTTACGTCTCCCAAGCTCCATCACGTTCGATGCTTCACTACCTACCACATCCTTCCTAACAACCTCTGAGAATCCCACTCTTTGACCGACCGAATATAGCTCATCTCACACACCGAAAAGCCGACTCGTCCCACATATCCCCAATCTTTCCGCACCAACATGGCTGACGCCGCCGTCGAGAACCCAGCGAACACGGTGCCGCCTCACAAGAAGCAGCTGCCTTCATCGATACCAAATTTCGACTCGTTGGAGGGGTTCTCTACCGATGGCAACGATGACTACTCTAATTTCAAGAAGCTTCAGCGGCAACTCGAGTATGCAACAATCCCCACTGACAGCGTCCCAGCCTCTTGCTAACAGGTATCAGATACATCCAGCTCCAGGAAGAATACATCAAGGATGAACAGAGAAGTTTGAAGAGGGAGTTGGTGCGCGCACAAGAAGAGATCAAACGCATTCAGAGTGTTCCACTAGTCATAGGACAATTTATGGAGGCGATTGACCAGAAGTAAGCCTCACGAAACATCCAGCGTCAAGAGACCACAAAGCTAATTCACGACAGCACCGGCATTGTACAGTCGTCGACTGGTTCAAATTACGTCGTCCGCATCCTCTCCACCCTCGACCGCGAGCTTCTAAAGCCCTCATCCTCGGTCGCCCTCCATCGCCACTCAAACGCTCTTGTTGACATACTTCCTCCCGAGGCTGACTCGTCCATCGCCATGCTTGGCCAGGATGAGAAGCCAGATGTGACATATGCAGATGTTGGTGGTTTGGACATGCAGAAGCAGGAGATCCGAGAGGCCGTCGAGCTTCCGCTCACACATTTTGATCTGTACAAGCAGATTGGTATCGATCCACCTCGCGGTGTTCTCCTCTATGGACCTCCCGGAACAGGAAAGACTATGTTGGTGAAGGCGGTGGCAAACAGCACAACAGCATCTTTCATAAGGGTGGTTGGCTCCGAGTTCGTGCAGAAGTACCTTGGTGAGGGTCCTCGTATGGTTCGTGACGTCTTCCGCATGGCCCGCGAGAACTCGCCATCCATCATCTTCATCGACGAGATTGACGCGATTGCCACGAAGCGATTCGACGCTCAGACCGGTGCCGACAGAGAAGTTCAGCGTATCTTGCTTGAGTTGCTCAACCAGATGGACGGTTTCGACCAGACCGCCAACGTCAAGGTCATCATGGCAACGAACCGTGCCGATACATTAGATCCCGCCCTCCTACGTCCTGGACGTCTTGATCGAAAGATCGAATTCCCATCCCTACGCGACCGTCGCGAGCGCCGTCTAATCTTCTCCACCATTGCCGGAAAGATGAGCTTGTCCCCCGAGGTCGATCTGGACAGCTTGATCGTCAGGAATGACCCTCTCTCCGGAGCTGTCATCGCGGCGATCATGCAGGAGGCAGGTCTGAGGGCGGTGAGGAAGAACAGGTACAACATTATCCAGAGCGATTTGGAGGATGCATATGCCAGCCAAGTCAAGGGTGCAACAGAAGCCGACAAGTTCGACTTCTACAAGTAGAGAGGAGGGGGGAAGGGTTCGCGATAGCCGCTTATCGGCGCACAACAGTCATCTTGTAAACTACCTTAGAGATGGATATCAGACTCGACGGTGCCGATATGGTACGGCCAGTGCGACTGAGCTCTCATGGACAATAGTAATAGATAACGTTCATGAATCATTACATTCGCATCGAATCTGCTATCCTTCCGAGTTGATGTGAACAAACACCATGCGTATTCCTAGAATAAGTTCGATTGCTCTCTCCACAAATGGCAGCCCAACAAATTGAAAGAATAAAAGAAAGGCTCCTATACGAACACGTGAAACAGCAAATACAATGCAGTTATTCATAGCCCGATGACGCGCGCGCCCGCTCGCCGGACGAAAAGCCCCATATGTTTCTCACCCGCCCGGATTTCCCCTACATTTCCATTTTCCCGATTATCTGATCAGAAGTGGGCCGGGAGGACCATTGCGCCGTCAGCCAATCAGAAGCATTATCGCAACATGGCGCTAACCACGTAGAGAATACATTCTGATATCATCCTTCTTGACAAGATATTCCAAGAGGAGTCCGCGGGCTCCAGGACGGTTTTAACGGAGGAGATATGAATGGATGGGTTGATGGGAATGGTATTAAAGGAGGTTGAAGTGCGGGTGTTGGAGACGTAGGTTGATATCAATATCATTTACATCTTTGAGATATAACAGCGATCGAGCCATTATACTCGTACCACAGACACTGAATCTGCAACTCCAAACTTTTACATATTCTATATAACTACCAATGTCGAACTTCAAGTTTTCTATCCTAGTGACGGGCGGTACCCAAGGCATGGGCGTCGAATGCGTACGCTCACTAGCCCAGCAACTCCCAGACACTCTCATCGTCACATCCGCACGAACAGATCCCAAAGACTCAGCAACCCTCATCAACAAACAGCTCAACCAAACCAACGTCCAATTCCAACGGCTCGACCTCTCCTCCCTCGCCGCCGTCCGCACCTTCGTCGAAACCTGGTCCACCTCCAACCGCCCGCCTCTCCGCGCCCTCGTCCTCAACGCCGGCATCCAGTTCCCCGACGACATCCAATACAGCACCGACGGCATCGAGAAAACCTTCGCCATCAACCACGTCGGCCACGCCCTCCTCTTCCACCTCCTAACCCCCCACCTCACCCCGACCGCCCGCATCGTCATCACCTCCTCTGGCGTCCACGACCACGACCTCAAAGGCGGCTTCAAACCGACCTGGCCCTCCGTCCAAGAAATCGCAAACCCCTCCCCTTCCTTCTCAACCTCCACCTCCGGTCGCACCCGCTACGCTATCTCGAAGCTCGCCAACGTCCTGTGGACGTACGCGCTCGCACGCCGCCTCACCGCCCAGGGTCAGGGAAAAACCGTGGTGACGTTCGACCCGGGTCTCATGCCCGGCACGAATCTCGCCCGCGACGCGGGACCCGTGCTCCGGTTCCTGTGGTACGTCGTGATGCCGCGGGCGATTCCGCTGCTGAGGAGGGTGTACCATCCGAATGTGCATACGCCGCGGGAGAGCGGGGAGACACTGGCTTGGTTGGCGGTTGGGGAGGAGTGCAAGGCGGAGAATGGGGTGTATTATGAGGGGAGGAGGGTGGTGGGGAGTAGTAGGGATAGTAGGGATGAGGGGAAGCAGGAGGGCCTTTGGGAGTGGACGGTCGGGTTTGTGGGGAGGGATGAGGGTGAGAGGGGGGCTTTTGGGAGGTTGGAGTGAGGGTGAAGGGGGAGATGTAGCGTTTTGGGGTGGTGGAGGTGGGCTTTTGTCGTTTATGATTACGTTTTGAGGGCGGTGTTGTAGATGGGTTGGAGAGAGGTGTTGCGTGTGGTGGCGGAGAATTTGGCCTGGCTTATCGACTTGCTTTAGAACTGCGGATATGATCATTTTACCACCTTCACATTTATATCTAGAAATTTGAGTAGTTTATGTGTATGACCTTTCATGTGAGAAGATATTTCCGTTGAGATTTGAAGATTTGGTCGGTGTCAACATTCGAGTGTCACTCATTTAAATGTCGATATACTGTGTATTACGTGTACTTTAAAGCCTCATATACAAACAAGATAAAAACATCACGACAACAACAATGCTCGAAAATGGCCAAAAATAGCTACAGTAGGTAGTAAGGGTGATTGTCGATCATACAAAAAAGTAAGATAGTATTTATACGACGTGGACATAGGCCAGTCTGGAAACAATTTGCCATATCGCGATGTATCGCGAGCGCGAAGGCCTTAATCATGAGATGAGAAGAACTTCATGTCAACAAAAGATTGAAGCCCATGAATTGCATTGTGAGAAGAGGGAACATGATACGCTCAATCAAACAGTCACATTTCCACAGATTCTTGGTGCCAGTGCTATCTTGGTCGGTCTGCGAATGGCCTCAACATTTCGCAAGCCCGACCACCATCGCGAGAGAACGCGTTGTCCAAGGCTCCCCCAACATAATTATAAAACACGCAATCACCATGCGCAAACTTATTTTAGTAATTTAGATCGTCTGCCTCACAAGAACCACGAGTTTTCGAGTCTCAGTGGAGATTGCAAGATAATTCTCTGTGGGGGACGAAATGGCATCGAAGGTGGGGAGAGGAGAACATCACATTCAAGGCCTCGTTCACATTGCGCCATTTTCTATCGACGGCCTCCTGCCTTCTCCTCGCAAACCACATCCGCCAGGAAAAAAAGGCACACGTCCATGATGACTGAACAGATTTACATGCCTAGACGAACTAAAAGCTAGTGCAATAAATCGAATAGAGGTTGGGAGTCAAAAGGTGGGAGCGATCAAAGTCGGAGCGAAAGCAAAGGTGGGCGAGAGCGAAAAACCGTCGAGGAGAGTTGGGGCCGACTCTCCAACTCTCTCGGTCCACAAGACCACGTACCGGCGATTTCTTGGGATCAGAAACACTGGTGAATCCCCAGAGCCTAAGTCGACAGGAGGCGTATACTAGGACAATGTAGCTATTCTTGCGTGGCAAAGTGAGGGGTTGGCTTCGAGGATGTGAGACGCGTGATCAGTTGGCTGCTGGTTTTCTCCCAAGTGCCTCAGTAGCACTTGGAGCCGGATGAGCGACTTGGGGAACTGTTGCGCCCCCTTCTCTGTTCCCCACGATGGCTGTGCAGGCGTCACGGGAGGCAGTGGAATAAATCAAGACATGTGTACATTATGAACGAGGCGCATGGAATAATTTCTCCAAAGTTCTTGAAGAGGGCGAGGGATTACTCTCGGAGTGTTGCGGATCGAAACAACACGGGGTTTCGGGGAGGGAGGGCGACGCGTGAATTCAAAACATCAGCGAACAAAGAGCAACAGGTCATGGCAGCGAGCGAAATTGTCCAGACGATGAAGATCGAGAGAATGGAAATAAGGAAATGACCAAGGCTGAATCAGATCTTGAGGGAGGGTAGGCAACAGGTTCACGCAGTCATGGGGTCAATGGCATCATTGAAGGGTAGTTGGGAAGATGTGTGTATGAGCGTTCGCTGTGGTGTGAATGGATTGCCGAGTTGGGCGAACGGGGAAAATGGATCGATTAGGAGATTGTGAATAGGACATCCAAGAGTCAAGACTGGAGATGGAGATTCAAAGTAAACTCCAAATTAACTTCGACAAACGGGCAAAGGCAAGGCAAGGCAATCATCAATGCAGTGTCTCGGGGCGAATCCCAACACATCCGCGCCGCATGCGTCCAGTGAGAAAGCACGGCGCCTAGGGAATAATTGAATCTCTCTCTTCACACGGTACAGTACGTACAACGGAACAAAATGTCAATCTATCGCAGTTCATACGGTTCAGGTATGAAATATTGCCTTAATCCTTCCTATTCGGGTTTGGACTGCTCCCTGTCGTTGTTGTTGATCTGGATTGCCCTGGCTCGGTTGGGAATTCGTATATAAGCAAGCGTGCCCCCGCTGCCCGCGCCGTAGCTGGCCCTCCCATCTACTCCAAGAGCTTCCACCACCACCACAATCCCCATCTATTCACCCGTCGACCCCGTCGTTCGATTCTTCAGAACCAGACAACTCAAGTCCATCAACTATCTTCAACAATGCCTCCCAAGAAGTCCACCACCGCCGCCCCAAAGAAGGCCTCCGGCTCGGGCTCCTCCCACCCTTCCTACCAAGGTACGTTGTCCTCCCCTCTGACCAACCCATTCCATGACCACCTTGTCGCACTCTTCCTTCGATGCTTCTATCGTGATCGCCATTCAATTCTGACTCGTTCCCGCAGATATGATCAAGGATGCTATCATCAAAGTGAGTTTATTCATTCCGGCGCATCGCGATCCCCGCTTTCGTCTTGCGACACCAAGAGCTGCCCCCCACCTGGCGCATGCCTCACCAAAGTTTCCCCGTCCACCTTCAAATGCTTCTGAGAGTGAACATTACTGACGCGTTGTCTTCGCATTATAGCTCAAGGAGCGAAATGGTTCAAGGTTAGTCATCCCTCTATCTATCTGACGTGTTGGCAATGCCACCGCCACGTCACGCTTCCATGCGAAGCGCTTCAGTCGAACGTCTGCTGACTTGTGTGTCCCAACAGCCGCCAGGCCATCCAGAAGTACATCAAGGCCAACAACGACCTTGGTGAAATCTCCGACAACATGTTCAAGAGCCATGTCAACCGCGCCATCTCCAACGGCGAGAAGAGCGGTGACTTCCTCCGCCCCAAGGGTAAAGTTCACCGCCTCCACCTTATCTTATCGCGCTAACGGTCACGTTCAGGTGCATCTGGAACCGTGAAGCTTGCTAAGAAGGAGAGCGCAAAGCCTGCTGCTAAGAAGACTGAGGCCAAGTCTGAGAAGAAGACCACCACCAAGGCAAAGAAGCCTGCTGCCACCGTAAGTCCACCTCGCGTCCCTTGTGATTCTTTTGCTCATTATGATTGAAGGCTAAGGCTGCTACTACCACAAAGAAGGCTGCTGCCCCCAAGAAGGAGAAGTCTGCCACTGCCGCTGCTAAGCCTGCTGCTGCTAAGAAGGCGACTGCCGCCAAACCCAAGGCCAATGCCAGCAAGCCCAGGAAAGCCGATGATGCCTCTAAGGATGAGTCCAAGGCGTTGACCAAGACCAAGACCGGACGTGTCACCAAGGAGAAGGCACCTGCGAAGGCAGGTGCTAAGAAGGCCGCTGCCACGAAGAAGGCAGCGCCCGCGAAGAAGGCTGCCGCCGCGACGAAGAAGTCCACACCCAAGAAGGTCGAGGCATGAAAGTGCTCTGCCTGAGCATTCCTCTTCTTTCCGTTCGTGTTGATCTCTTCTGACTGGCGAACGCGTTGTAGGGAGAACGCCACCCCACGTCCTCTCCCTCCGGCGCGTGAGCTTTGTTCGTGATATCCCTCTTTATTCTCTCTTTTTATATCATCACCATCGACGATGTGTGGGTCCGGGTTTCTCTCTATGGGCTGGTTGGGTCAAGCGGGTATGGGTGTTTTCAACGACCTGCGTGGGGATTATTATTTCTGTTGGGCCTTCCTTCTCTGTCTATCTGCCTGTCTTATGGATCATGTCATGCTGGGTTCGTTCATCACTGGGGGTGTGGCGTTCATGGAGTCGTTTGGCTTAAGATGAGCGGGCTTGTATTTTCTCTTTTTCCGACCGACCGGGTGAGGGGTGGCGGCGCGTCGCGACGCAACGCGGGTGTTCTTCTCCAATTCCTCCCTCATCGTCGGTTCTCTCCAAACCTACCGCTGCTGAGGACGATTGGGTTTTTCGAAAGGAAAGCAAACAAACAAAAAACAACAGGGTAGCGTAGACGTGATGCTATCGTCATCGAGAAATGAACATCGATACATAATTTCAAAACCAACACCTTGCCTTCTCTCCCCATCTATCTATCTACTTGCAAAATATGTGACGAACGGAACAGAAGAACGAGCAGGAGGAACATAGCGGAGCGGGAAAGTTGTGGTTTGTTGTGATGATCGGCGGCAGGTCTTTCGGGCGTTGGTGGTGGTAAGCCGACGCGTCGTCGTTGCACGTGTGTATCGTGTTTGTTATTGTTCTTGGTGCCGCTGCGAGCAACCGAGTACCGATTCGCAACGAACGATCGTGCACGCACTTGGCCCAAGGCTGAACGAACGTCCATGTAAAGTACTCTGCCTTCCACAAATACCTACCTAATTATACATCTTCCTTATTTCTCCCTATACATAACTACAAAGCGCAGGTAAAAAGGCAACGATATCAGTGCGTAGACCTGTGTTCACACGTGCGCATTCGATTCGAGTGACTGGTTCGATATATGAGTCCAGACCTTACCCTCGGGCCTCACGATCCCACGATCTACGAACGATCCAGGCACGATCCATGCTTCCACACAGAGTTCCGCTTGAGTGAGAAGTCCGGGATTGCGTTGTTCTTATTGTTATATGTATGTGTTTATGTTTGTATTGTACTAGAGACGTTGTAAAATGGTAGATGTATATACGAGTTCTATTTCAGTTTCTTCGTTGCTTGGGTTAGGGGCCTAGTGAAGAGCGTTGGATCGCACAACAAGTAATGATATACGAAGATGCTTTTGATGTCGTTGATGGACGGCACGATAGGAGACGATTGGGAGTTCGTGATGTACAATCTCGGTCGATATCAGCTGGATCTTTCCTCAGACCCTTGAGTTCAGCCTCGATAAGTAAGCTGAGATCTGTGGTTTAGTACTTGACATGATGTTGCCTTCCTGTCTTCTGTTACCTTTCTCTTTTAGGTACGTAGGGCATGTGTTATGCCATATAAATATCCATGTATACACATGTATGTGTACATAGTGCATAGATCCTCACTCAGAGTCCCAGGAAGAACCGAGGGATTGACGTTATCGCCGTCGACAAGGGATAGATACAGTGGACTCGGAGTCTACCTACCTATACCTTCCAGCACAGAGAGCTTGGAAATGCTCCATTGGAAGTTTCCATGGTGGTGTTTCTACAACGGCAATGATGTTGACTATGATGATAAGGACGACGATGAACGACACATACAGAGCCGTGGAGAAGAGAGAGAGGGAGAGAGTGTGTGTGCGCGCGCGTGCAACTGCTACTTATCGACATCGCCATCATCACGCGGATTAGTCCACGGCGGTTGATCGCCCAAGACTGGTTTAGTGTACGGAGGATACGGTCGTCTACAAATACTAGTTTTCTGTTGTTGCGGGATTCGAATTGATTACTTTAGGGTATTTTCGATTTTTCGGGGCTTATTTTCGTCGTCGTTGTCGTCGGTTCGTGTGAAATGACGCGGATTATTACACGTTCGGCGCTGGATTTTTTGTGGGGGAGGTGGATTGGACTGGGTCGGGCTGTGAGGATGGAATGTTGAGCCAGGATGGTCGGATTTGTTGTTCTCGTTGTTGTTATTGTGTCTGCATGCGCGTTGAATGGATGGAACGACTGTATGGAGTATGTATGGAGGAAAAGAAGAAGCTTGTGGTGGTTTTGGAAGGTGAGTAAGAGTCAGGCTGTCAGGGTACGAGAATGTATGGGAGAGGGAGATAAGAGATGGATCGAGGATCGCGGCATGCGTCAGGTCCTTTCTTGAGAGATACAAATGAAACGGTAAGCTGTGTCCCACTGCGTTTGTGAAGAGATGCTGCTGGTCCCGGAACCCCACAGAGGCTGAGCTCTCGCAATTGTCCTGGGTACGGCGTAATTAGATGTAAAGACAATCGGGGCGGATTTTGAAGGCTATTATCATCTGGACTATTGGGCAATTCAAGGTCGTGTGCAATCGCTGCAATGTGTGCTATTCTTGTTACAGCGCTGCAGACCCGTTATCCGCACACAAACGAACGCGGGCCGCTGTCTATTGCACCTCTCATCTGCCTCTCTCTCGCTCTGCCGTATGTAAGTGGGCATGTAAGACCTGTGCCACGGACAGGCGCTCGCCAATTGGGAGGGAGTGGCTCGTATCCATCCCTCCCAAGGTGAAATGAAAGCGGAGAGAGTGCGGCGGGTCTAAGTACCCGGGGTCCGCGAGAGATTGCAGAGGTCGCTAGCTCGCCTGCGTCTTAATGGAGGTAATGTATCCAAGGAGTTCCTGTCGTGCTCCTACGGCTTACGAAGAAAGCAGATGTACAGCATGAGATGAAGTTTCGATGCAGGGTTGGACTTTTTTTTGTATGTATGTATTCAGACAGACGACGGACGGAACGGGCAAAGGAATAGAAGACTGTAAGAGAACGAGTGGTGGCAGTCCGAACAGGCCAGCCTAGCCCACAGAGCCCAGACATGGAAGCCATAGAAGCCATAAAAGCCATGGATACGGAGTGTTGGTACCAACTCCCCTCTGGACTGCATACAATCACATCGTAGGCGAGAGAGTGTGGCTGAGGGCGAACCTAAGAGCTGGGCCGCCGCCAGGGGGAAGACTCTAGAGAGGAGCGAGGAGCACGACACGACACGTCGTTAAACTGTTTCCATCCGCCATGCTATGCTAAAAGTAGACGTTCCCACTCAGGCCAATCCAGTTTCCGGGGCTGCTGTGTAATGGCAATAAGGTTACTATGGTAAATTAGTTCAACTGAATAATGACAATAATCGCTAGACTCATCCGCCCTCCATTATTAGTTGGTTGGTTGGTTGTTAGTTAGTTGATCGTTCAACCTCCCCTGACTGATTGATTGACTTTTGACGTTGCCCAGGTTGCGACGGTGGGTCTACCTCTTCTTCCTTCGTCCGGGTCCATTTTATTTTGCCGTTTACTTGTAACTGCTTCGTACCGGTGGGAGATGAGGAAGAGGATGAAGAGGACAGCGAAGAATAGGAATGTATCCAGATCATCAAAAGGAAGGGAAGGAGATATAAAGTAGAGTAGGAGTAGCAAGCTGTCGTTTTTCCATCCATCACCATCGTCATCATCATCGCCATCAAGCAGCGACGGTGCCACCATTAGTTATACTGGATGGGGTATTAGATGATCGGTTGCAGTGCAGGAGGAGCCAGGACAGGATTTGGCGCCTCTTCGGTGTCTTCGTTACAGTTGAAGCGCGAAATTGATCCGTTACCCGGCGCGGCACGGACCCTTTGCCAATCTTGCGCCAAAGCTGACGGAGGACGGACAGACAGAGAGCGAGGGAGAGAGAGAAGGTAGTTAGTTGAGTGAAAGAGAGAGACACAGACAGTAAACTAGACAGTCGGTTCTGCAGTGACTTTGCCTCTGTCTACGCCTTTTGCCTGTGCCCGTACCTGTGCCTTGCTTTGTTTCTCTTACAACAAACTCTCCATCCACTACCACCACGAAGACGCCATCCACCCTCACCCTCTACTAATCTATCGCATTTACTCTACACTACTCAGACTCACCCTATTCCATCGTCCCAACTTATCGAAGCCATCGCCCATCTCCTCTTCGTCGCCTCGAACCGTCGTCCTCACCCATCTACCAACCCCCAGCCTCTATCCTCCTCTGCGCCACAACTCACCATCCCTCTGGTAACCCTTTCCTCACTCGAGCCATCACGACGTACAAACAAGCAACAACGCTGGCTACGGTGACGACTCCCAAGTTGCAGCACCCCTCCGACGGAGCGTCGTCACCGCTGCTGTTTATCGCAACCACCCATGACATGCGGATGATGCCCACGCCCGTAGAAGACGGCAACGAGCACCCCAACACCTCATACGGCCTTCCCGCCAACTTCAGTCTGCCCTATCGTACCTCCATCGGCAAGCCGCTGTTCGGGAAGGAACATGCTGAGTATCTGGCGAATGGAGACGCTTCCCCGATGAATGGCAAGCCGTCCTCCAATGGTACACCCGTGATGCAATCGATGCCCAACGGCCGTGTGGGCGTCCACCGAAGCAATTCTGATAAAGATACCACAGTCGCAGATGGCCTTGGAAACCCGGCGAGGCAATGGAGTTGGGATGCCAATACTCCTTATAAGCCATCGGAGGGCCGCGGAAACTCCGGCGAACTATCTTCTAGCAGGGATGACGGATACTTCGCGTCGGTGCAAAGCAGCGAACAACAACACGGCTGCAGAACCACTCATGTCAAGTTAGGCAACGTGAACCCCCAGGATAGCAGTGCCAGAGACGCTCAAGGGGAATCGTCCACAGGCCCCGCGCCCGCCACACCCGTCAAACGCAGCATCGATTCCCAGAGCCCCTCATCTCACGACTCCCAATTGCAGATTCCCGGCGCAGGTTCAAGCTATCGCGTCTCCGCACCTCCCGCCATCAATCACAACACTTCCTCACCCAGTCAGCATCCGTACCGCTTACAGCATCGTCACACCCTCGAGGTGCCCAAGGTGTCGACGACGCGAGCCCGTGAGCTCCAGGGACTGCCATCGAACGACGAGGTCGTAAGCGCAAGTGGAAGGTTCTCTCCCAACACTCCCACCCGGCGGAGAGGCTCGATATCTCTGGCTCGGAGGGCGACGCGGTCCATACACTCGGACATGCATCTCGACGAGGTCGCCCAGGATGAAGATGCCGCTAGGTGGGCAGAACATATCCGCCAGAAGCGTGCGAGCAAGCGGAAGCGAAAGGAAGACGAGGACGACGATCGCGTCGTCGTCGGCACCAAGGTGGACCAGAATCACGTCAATTGGGTGACAGCATATAACATGTTGACTGGCATCCGGTTCTGCGTGTCTCGCACCAATGCGAAGATGGATCGTGAGCTTACCGATGCCGACTTTGATGCGAAGCACAAGTTCTCCTTCGACATGTATGTTGAATCTTTCCATTTTTTAATGATCATCCTTACTGACGAGCAATTGCAGAACCGGCAATGAACTCACACCTTCTGCCAAGTACGACTTCAAGTTCAAGGACTACGCTCCCTGGGTGTTCCGTCATCTTCGAGGCAGATTCCGACTGGACCCCGCCGACTACCTCGTGTCATTGACCAGCAAATACATTCTTTCGGAACTCGGTTCACCGGGAAAGAGTGGCAGCTTCTTTTATTTCTCCCGCGATTATAAGTATATCATCAAAACCATTCATCACGCCGAGCACAAATTCCTCCGAAAAATCCTCAAAGATTATTACAACCACATCCGAGATAACCCCAATACCTTGCTTTCCCAGTTCTACGGCTTGCATCGCGTTAAGATACCCTATGGACGCAAGATTCATTTCGTCGTCATGAATAACCTGTTCCCACCACATCGAGATATACATCGCACATTCGACCTCAAGGGTTCGACGATTGGGCGAGATTTCAGGGAAGAAGATTTGGAAAAGAACCCGCGTGCAACACTGAAGGACCTCAATTGGTTACGACGGGATGCGAGTTTGGAATTTGGACCCACGAAGAAGAAGGCATTCATCGAGCAGATGCAGAAAGACGTGAAACTTCTCCAGCGACTACATATCATGGACTACTCCCTGCTTATCGGAATACACGACTTGGAGCGGGGGAATGAGGAGAACCTGCGAGACAAGACGTTGCAGGTATTCCAGCCGGGCGGAGTGGAAGAGGAGCCAGGCCCGAGCATGCTCATGCGGACGCCGTCAAAACTTGAAAGTGCCCGAAAGGCGAAAGAGCTGAGGCAGATGATCAAGACCCAGAAACCCGTGCCGATGGATCAATCCTCGAACAAGATGCCAGACGAATTGCAAGACCCTAAGGATCCCAAGAGAAACTTCTATTTCTATTCCGATGACGGTGGCTTCAGGGCTACGCACGAGGACGACTCACCTGGAGAGGAGATCTATTACCTAGGCATTATTGATTGTCTAACACATGTAAGTCGAGCAGCATTGATTATTATGGAAACCCCACTGACATAAGCTAGTACTCTCTGATCAAGCGTATGGAACATTTCTTCAAGGGACTTGCCAACACGGAATCTCAAATCTCGGCAATTCCTCCTGAGCGATATGGCGACCGGTTCGTCAAATTCATCAGCGGTAACACGAAAACGAAAGAGGCTGCGGAGAGAGAGAAGCGAGAGCAGGCTGCAGAAGCGGGTAACGACCCACAACTGTCTGGTGTGAACGAAACGCAGCAACAGCGAGCATCGACAGAGAGGGTCATGGAGAGGGCAGAACAACAGGCCGAACGATCCAGGGCCAGGGGTGCATCTGAGGAGTCTATTCCGGACCGCTCCATGCACCCTGTGAGGAGTCCTTCTGCAGAGCGGGGTGAACTGGGTACTACTTTGCCAGTCGTAGACGAGGCTGTTGAATCATCTAGCACAGGAGGACGCAGCGGAAGGAGCGGGAGGAGTACAGAAACCAATCTCCAGTCTACCGCACCACCCCTCCGGCCAGAGGACAGGTCAGGAGATCACACCCCCCAAAGGCCTCCACCTACTCCACCGAAAGATTCAGGGACCGCCAACAGCGAAGAGCGACCTCCCACTCCCCCCAAAGACCAAGGATACAGGAACCGTAATTCGGGACCACCAACACCACCAAAGGAGGAGCAGAATAGAGGGCGGGATAAGGATCTCCCGCGGACGCCGCATCTAGAGACTGTTGTACGGGTGAACTGAGGCAACTTTGCCCAGCCGTCACAACAGAAACGCATTTTCTTTTCTTGTAATGTCCCATGGCGAATTGCATATTTATTACTCATCATTCCCTTTGTTTTTTTTCTCTCCCCCTTTTTCTCACATAGAAAAGGAAAGAAGTATCATAGCAGCAGCAACTCTTACTCCTGCCCGTCCGTCTGTTCGTCCGTCTCGAACCATACCACCGACCGACCTCGACCTTTTTCCAACTGTCTACACTCACACTCACAACCACACACCCACACACCAACCTCCTCTTTTTTTATATATCATATTACTCGAAGCGCGAAATGCATGATACCAATTCCCCATTGGCGAACACTCACCCCAAGACGGACGGATTTTACGTAGTCGTGTTTTATCATAATTGTTCCTCTCTCTGTCTCTCTCTCTCCTTTCTTCTTTTTTCTTCTGTTTTAGGACCGACCTTAATTAAAAGAAAATTCAAATCATTCGAATTGTATAAGATAACAAGCACTTGTGTCATCCTCATCACTAACTGTCTCTCTTCGTGTGTGTGTTTTCCCTCGTTCTGACAGTATATTTGTAGGGATACGACGTGTAACAACCTACTTAATGTATACTTACGCATATGCATGAGGTCAGACGCCTATACTGCTCTGCTCTGCCCCTTTCCCTCGACCAGAACCTGTACCACACCCATCTTTCTATTCTACTCTCGGGTTTTTTGCCTTCGTTGCTGCTGGCTGCTGCGCCTTGGGAGGGGGTGTTTAGGGAGTAATGAATAATATCCACATACGTTTTTTTTGTGCGTTGGTGGCGCGTTTGATACCTCTAGAATATGCTCTATGGGATTGTTGTGTTTGAGTGTCCAGGGAAGGATAGACAGTCATCGTGTAGAGCATGAAATACCATCGTCGCGCTGCGTGAGAGACTGGGGGGAAGTTTAGTCTCTTTCACTGTCTGTCTGTTTATCAAACTTCACTTGGTTCGGCAATGATGGATGGGAGCTCGAACACTGTCCGTCTGCTTTGCCTGTGTAAGATGTGTAGGTGAGGTGGTAAGGAAGGAGAATATGTGATGTGATCGATCATCAATTTATTTCAAGGTGTTTTTCTTTTTTTTTGGGAGAGATTCGGCCGTTGTGCAAGGTTTATTTTGCGTGACTATGTGTCGTGGTTGATCTAAATGTGTATGCTTGCCTTTTCCCATTATATTTGAGTTATACAATTTTTTTCTTCAATTCCCATCGATGCTATCAGGACTTTCTTAAAAACAAAAAGAGACAATGATTTTGATGTGGGTGTTGGGGAACTTTTGTTTTATTTCGTCTACTTGATTATAATTTAACTACAAACAGTAGTTATACATATAAAATATATACCACCCCTCAGAGTGCCGCTATGAGAGAAACTTATATATTTTAGTCCTCCAAATCCTGGAATCACTGCTAGTAGGCCTTTCAATTCCCCTTTTAACGTTATTCTCTTCTCGACTCATGAGGAAGAGATTTTGTGGTGTTGAGTATCAAGTTTGGCGAGATTACTTGCCCGGCATCTTCATCACATAACAGCATAAATGTCAGGATCAGAGTGAGGGAGAAGAAGAAGTATGACAATGATAAATCCCCGCCGTCTTTTTCCGGTAGGTTATTGAATAAAAATAGTTATTTGTATGTACATGAAGAATAAAATTATAGCGATCTTTCCGTCAGTCCGTCACTCGACTCGACTGACTCTATACAGTAGATCAGATCTTTCTCTCCCCCTCTCTCTCTGCCAACGCCAACGACGACTCGGCGAACTTAGATCTTACCAACACCAGCGGTGCTAGCAACGCTCGTGCTAGCCGCGCTCGCCTTCGCAATCGTCTTACCCTTAAAGTTCGACAAGAACCCGGTATCAGTACCGCCAAGCGCGCCACTGCTTCCGAACGAGTTGAGCACGCAAGCATGTCCCAAGTTAGCCGAGCAGACGGCATTCGCGCCCGTGGAAGGCGACCCGAAGAACTGGCCCTTGTTCTCGAGGAGAGGTGTCTTGACGTTCTGGAAGACGTTGCCCTCGGCGACGACCTTGCCGCCGGAGGCGCCGTTGTCGAATGCGTGGCCCGTGTTGTCGTGGAAGTAGTTGTTGACCGCGTGGACGAGCGTGTTGCCGCCGATCTTGGGGCTGCGGCCGGAGGTGTGGTGGATGTAGTTGCCCTTCATGGTGACGAGGTCGGAGGAGCCGGTGAGGTAGATGCCCCAGTAGTGGCGGCCGTCGCAGGTGGCCGACCACTTGGTGTTGCCGTCGAACTCGTTGTTGGAGAGCGTGACGCGGTTGGAGGCGCCGTTGCCGAGGACGAACATTTGGCGGCCGATCAGGGAGAACTTGCAGTGGTCTGTGGCAGTGTTAGGATGGATGGCTCGAATGTGGTTGTTGGAGGAGGGGATTGGATAGGGGAAAGGGGATACGTACCGACCCAGACGAGGTCAGAGCCGTCGACGGCGATGGCATCACCACCCCAGATGTACTGAGGGTTGAGCTCGGTGATGTGGATGTTCTGGATGATGACGTTCTTCGCGCCGTTGGCGATGCGGAGGCCCTTTCCGCGGATGACGCCCTTGGCTCCCACGCCGATGAGGGACTTGTTGGATCCGACGAGGAGGCCAGAGACACCGGCGGTGTCGTAGGTGACGTCGATGGTGGTGACGCCGGCGCCAGCGTTGCCGTTGGTGCACCAGCTGGCCTTGTTGATGGCGTCCTGGCCTCCGTTTCCGGGGCACTTGTTCGAGGCCGGCCGGCAGCCCTTCTCCTTGGTCGTTCCCTCGCTGCCCTTGAAGTTGAACTCCTTGTCGAGCACGATGCAGCGGGCCGTGCTGTCAGCGAGCCAGGACTTCAACTGGGCGATGCCGGATGGGATCTGGCATGCGGCGCTGCCTCCTCCAGTGACGCCCGTTGCGAATCCCTCGGGCTTTCCGACGACGGCGTATGTTGCTCGCTGGCCCAGCACAGCGGCGTTGACAGAGATGGCGCTCCCGAGCGCGAGAATGGAGAACTTCATGTTGTGTGTTGTGTAAGAAACGAATGGATGCTCAGTGAGCCAGTGTTTGAAACGAATGAAAGAGTGAATGAACGGTTGGAAGAGAATCTTGGAAAACGAAATCACGTTGTGCTCAGCGGACAGGAGGTTTTATGTCTGGCCATTCTAGACTAACCATACATGCCTGTCCACGATGATTTCTACATTACCATGATTACTAGCATACCCGCAGTAATTATGTCGCGGTGATAAAGTACAGAGCTAGGATCTAGTTGCCGTCGGTGGGTGTTTGGGAATTGATTTAGTCTACCGGGCGAGGAACAGAAGCGGTTACGCCCCGAGATGCTTGTCTCATGTCACAGGGCACTCGAGCAATTCCAGAAGGGCCTAGGAAGCTTTTGTTGCTTGCTTGTTTGTTTTGCTTGCCAGGCTGGCCCGCGGAAACATGAGCAAACATCCCATCCCAGCTTTCAGGCGACCCAGACGCCGCGGTGGCGTGGGAAATGAGGCGTTCATGCGAATGAGCTATTGGGTCTTTGGGATACATGTCCGTATTCGGTCCGCGCCTTTCTGACAGTTCAGTCGGCAATCTGTGTCCCGTTTAGTCCATTGTTCTTGATTGTAGAGTTGTTTCATATCGTAGTTTTGGTCGAATGTTCCTAGATGGTAGACTTTGGTTTCCCCTGGATCAGGTGGATGGATGGATGGATGGATGGATGGATGGAAGTCGGCAAATAGGGCTGAAGCTACCACCACCACACCTTGCATGACACGATCAAGACCAGAGCTCAAGGACACCCAGTCCAATACAAACCCGGTCCCGGTACACACGTGTCCTACTATAACCAAAACCATTAAACATGCATAGTTAGTACACATTGTTATTCCATGTGCCGCCCATGCAATTTCACCAATTCCTCAAATTCGCAATTGCAGAGTGAGTCCAGACGTTGGTAGGTCGGGTAGCCAATCCGGAACATCAGACCCCGATCCTGGGCCCACGTTTCCCGCTCGGAGAAATTACAACAGTAATCAAAGGCACACCCAAGATAAAACAGATCCCCTATCCTAGTATCCCTTAATGATCCGCCAATGGCATGGTCGGACGGATGTTCGTGGCCGGAAGCTTATACGTACACGAATACGCTGGAAGGGAGTGGGTTGTGGTTGGTATAAAGCTGGTGAGCATGCATAGCTTGTATGTCTGGCTCCGTGAATGTGTTTGTCAACGTGAGGGGATGCAATGCCATGAACTTCGTTGGTAAAGCGCAACTTGTCGTGAGTACAATTACATATATCTAGAAGTCTTGAGGTTGTATGCTCCGTATGTACGTACTTCTAATCTTGAAGATCCTCTTCATGATAACCAAGTATAACCAAACACTCTACAATGTGATCGTGTTTCCGTAGTAGTCCATCCATATTCGTACAGCATGTTTCCAATCCATCCTCCAAAGTACAAACCATAATCATACAGAACAAAAGGGAAGCCCCCGTTGTCGTGAATCATCATCACCTCTTACCCGCAGCATACCACTCCGCCAATCCCTTCCTCAACTCCCCCTCGTTCTTCTTCAAAACATCCACACCCCTCTCTACACAAGCCCGTAGCACCTCCTCCTTCCCCAATCCCTGCCACCCGCCGTCCCTCTCGATCAGCCCATCGTCCTTCTTTAGATACGCCAATTTCCTCCCCACGCCCCAGCGCAGCAGCGGCTTAGGCGGAGTCACGTACAACCAGTCCCACACCCTCGAATGCGTGTCCAACCTCGCCGAGATCCCAAGCAAAGTGTACAGATCCAACCTATCCACATCCTCCAACTTGACCGCCCTCGGCGCCACCATCATACCCGTCGCTTGCCCACTGCCCGCCCCCGCCCGCCGATCAGCCTGCACAAGCCTCGCGGCATCGACGCCGAGCCTCCGCAACCGCTCCCTCCTCTTCTCCTCCGCCTTCCTCATGTCCCGCTCCACCTGCTTTGGAATCCTGCACGGCTCCGGGATCAGCGGCGTGATGTACAGCGCGAGCAAGGGCAGCCACTCTCCGAACAGGAGCACGAGCGTCGCGAACGCCGGCAGCCGCAGCATGTCCTTCCTGCTGCGGCGGACCGTCTGCCACTCCGCGCGCGTGAGCACCGTGCTGGCGTCCTGCTGCGCGGAGGCGGATTTCTGCCGCAGGGCTTTGGCGATGCGCGCGGAGACGCGGACGTGCTTGATGCCCGTCTTGTAGAATTGGATGTAGGCACGGCCGCAGGCGAGGAGGTAGCTTGGGTAGGATTGGGAGGAGGAGCGCGTGGGAAGGTCAATGGGCGGGGCGTAGGTTTCATGCGGTGGGTTGAGTTTGGGGTTCCATTGGGCGCGCGGGGTGAGGTTCTGGGTGGGTTTCTTTGCTGGGACGGTGGTGGAGGTTGCGGTGGAGGTGGAGGCGTGGCGGAGGGTGTTGTAGTTATAGCTATAGCGAGGGGTTGAGGACGGATTCTGGGGGTTTGTTGGCCATTGGTGGCAGTGGAGTGCGGAGAGCACGGCTGGCGAGGAGATGGTGAAAGGGGGTCTTTGGGTGTGGGGAAGAATTGGGTGGGATTTTGAGTATCGTGTCGATGAAGATATCAACCTTGACATTGGCCGTGGCTTCATTGTGTATGAGATGAGTTGAGTGGAGTAGGAGGAAGAGGAGGGGAGGGTGAATGATATGCTACGTATGACGGACGGACGAAAGTGAGATACGCGAGAAATAATTTCCAATGTCGATCTATTATATCCACGATGTCATCGGACACCGTGGAGCGCGTTTCGGTACGCTAACCCGGAAACGGTAGCAACATGACATTTCTCGCAGCACAAAGTCAACCCTCAGCTGCCGTCTCTGTCTTTTAGGGAGTCTGCGGCGAATATGAATAAATACGATCAATAGAATTTCTTCATTTGGTTCCAAACATTCTCCAAGTTCTAATCTCTAGTGCGCAAGAAGAAGACATCAACTCCTTTAACGCATTATCGATGTCAATTCCCATGTACCTACACAGGGAAGCGAGACCCATAACGCTCTTATGCTACTGTCCATCCATGTGCTCAACAAATCAAACGCCTCGCCAAAGGTACGGGAAGAATTTTTGAAACAAGTCGACTAAAACAAACAAATGGGGTAAGAGTGGCGTAACAACAAGTATTTCAAACACGCCCTGATGCACGCATATCATCCATCTACCAAACTCCTACGGGTGAGATAGAAGCCATAAAAGGAAAAAAAGAGATCACTGCCAGAGCCCTAGACAGCTCATCGCTGGTACTTTGCTAATTGCGCCATCAGCTCGTTCATATCGGGCTGTCCCTGTGCATTGGGACCTGGTTGAGCATCCTGCGGACGAGGTGCACCCGGTTGTGCAAATGCAGCATTGGAGAACGCTTGTGCAAAAGATGTTGGAGTCGGTTGCGCACTTGGTGTGTACGACTGCCCCTGCACGGGCGTGGTGATGGATCCGAGCAGGCGTGCGAGTTCTGGAGTAATGCCAGCGACTGGCGACTGGGCTACTTGCCCTTGTCCAGCGGCATTGTTGGAGACCGCTCCAAGTAATTGCGAGAGACTCGAAAGAGCAGCATTGACGTTTTGACCTCCAGGAAAGTGTGGAGCAGGGGGGTTATTCAAATAGTTTGGAAGGGCCGGGGGCGGTTGTCCATAATTCTGCCCATAGGGCGCTGGTGGCGGCGCCTGAACAGCCTGAGCGGCAGTTCTTTTTGAATTTGCAACAAGGGCACTGGCCGTGTCAGGATCGAGATCGGCATATTCTAGTCAACAATCAGCATTTCCGTTCTCAGCGAAGTTTGGGGTTCAATGCTCAACATCCTGTAACGCCAGGATGATGTGGATTCACTTACCAAGGAATTGAACACTGCCAGAGCCGCCCCTCCGATCAAAGATTTGAATGTTAATCTTGCCTTTGGTCATGGCGGATGTATCGAGTTTGACAATCGCTAGGACACCTTCTATGATTTGTCTTCGTACTACAGCTGCTTCAGACAAGCGAGGGCTCAAAATGAGAACGTCGATACGGAGATTCTGTTTCCTAAAAGCATCTTCAACCCAGCGAATGAAGTCGCTGAAGATCACCAGTTAGCAAACAAAACATCAGGACCACAAGGACCAGCGGGAGGTGGTAGCATGTCCTTGTGAATGAGTAGGACTTACCGATGCAGTCCTTCGTTGACGACCAGGACCTGAACATCTGGGACTTGCTGAGGGTCTCGATGGGGGAGGGGAAGATCATCGTCGTAGTTACGTCGAGGAGACGGACTCCTGTATCGTCGTGCCGACCTCGATCGGCTTCTCCTCCGACCATCGTATCGTTCCCGGCTCCTGTCACGACTTCTCATGCCTCGACCACGCGCCGGTGAAGGTGATCTTCCGTGACGGTAATCGTCGCGAAATCGCCTGTTGTCGCGATCGCGCGGCGATAAAGGGTTCTGACCGCTGCTGTATCGATCTACGTTTCGGGGTTGACCGTTGTTGCCTCCTCCCCTGGAGTAATCAGGCGATCGAGACCGTCGGCGAGCACCCTGATTCCTATCGCTGTTTTGAGCATCGGCCTTCTTGGTATTGCGTTGAGGTTTCGAAATTTCGAGATCTGAAAGATGTTAGATCCGCCCACGTAACAGGCAGAAACCCCCATAAGAACACTTACGCATCTTCCTGCCACGAATGGCCTGGCCCTGTTCCGCTTGCAATGCCCGATGACATGAACTAGACTCCAAGAACTGAACAAATCCATATGCTTGCTTTATTGAGATTTGCGCGAGTGAACCATGCTTGTAAAATCGGTGGAAGATATCGCGCTTGGTGACCTTTTCAGTGGGGAGGTTGCCTGTAAACATTAGTTATTATCTTTGATACTTGGCTTCGCCAAAGTCATGCTCGTACAACGTACCTATGAAAAGGCGGGATCCGTTCGGAAATTGATCCCACTGCCCATCCGTAACATATTTCCTCTCACTGTTCAAGAAATCTTCATAAAGCTTGTTTATCTCCGGTGGCCAACGGCTGTCTTCGTCTCCAGCCTTCTCCTCTCCAGCGTTATTATCCACCGACTGTCGACCGTATCCAGGCGTGCTGGGACTAAGCCTTGAAGCTGCATGGGGTTCAGTACTAGCCCGAACGTCCAATGGCTGCAATTGACCAGCAGCTGGTTTCTGAGAATGGGGGTGGAATGATCTTATGTCTTGACTCGCATTGTCCTGTGCGGGAGGTCGGGGAGGAAGGTTTGCGCCGGCAGGTATTGTGGAAACGGGCGGCTGACCCTGGGTTGGGGAGGGTATAGGGTTATGAGGAGGAGCAGTGGCATTGTTGTTCGCCGCCGCAGCTGCAGCCGCCGCGTTCCAAGAGTCTAACAAGCCCTGGTAATTTGCACCACCTGGGAAAGGCAAGACCGCGGGAGGCTGCGTAGCATTTTGGAGGGCTGCATAAGAGTTCAGATCATGAGTTTGAGGGTATGCAGGCCGGTTGTCTTGGACAGACGCAGGGGTGGCTTCATTAAAGGAAGATGTTGGAGCTTGAGCTTGAGCTTGAGCTTGATTCTGGTTGTGTGAGAAATTGTGGATTGAAGTATCTTGAGCTTGCGACCCGTGTCCGCTACCGTACTGCGTCGCAGTAGCCTGTCCCGCTGGAGCAGCCCCCAAACCGCTTTGTGCAGAGTTCTGATAGCCAGAGGGGATGTGTTGTTCGGCGGCGTAGTAGGGGGAGGTCGATTGCGCGCTCGGCGATTGTGTTTGCTGCTGAGACTGTGACAGGTACGACGCAACTTGGAACGAGGCTGGGGTGCCTAGATTGAGAGGTGGCTCATTGAACATTGGGTCCATCTGCTTTTCAAGAATGGGTATATTGGAAGGAGACGGATAGTGAACGGGCTTCGGCGACTCGGGGGTGAGGGTCTTGCCGCGGATGTGTTCTGCTTCTTGTGGTGGACTGGATATCATGTATGCTAGGCCAGAGCGCGCAGAGCCGCGCTTCTACAACAACAGCCACAGAGGGGAGAGGGTTGAGGGTTGCAACTCAAAGCATCAACGGCGCGCCGCCGGGCGACAACAGGATATAGAAGGGCGGGCTCAGACTGGCGCGATGGTGTTGGAGCTGTAGCTGGTGGTGTATGCTTGTGTGTAGGTAGGTCTAGCTGTGGTTTGGTCAAGGTGTTGTAGATATCTGACTTGCGATCAAAGGGCGGGGTGGGGTACGCTTTGATGTGAGCAAGGTGATCAGTGCAGTGCAGGGCAACAATTGTCCAGTCAAAAGGTACCGCGTACTAAGCAGCGGCAGAAGAGCATATGAAGATGATGATGATGATGATGATGGAGGGCTGAGGGAGGCGGGTACAGAACCAGCGATAAGGGAAGTATCAGCAGAGCAGATTTGCATGTAATGGTAGTCGTCGGGTGTAGTATTGGAGAAATTGGTGGTGACGGAGGCGGAGGCTGTTGGTGATGACGGGATGATTGAAGGAAAGGGCTGGATGATGGATTTGCGATGAATGTGCGATGAGAATAAGGAAAAAGAGGATGTCGAAGTTGTCGTTTGACGTTGTTGAGTGGTGTGGAGGAGAGAGAGTCCTGGTGATGATGACGATGAAGAAGGAAAGGGAAGGAGAAGTCGAGAGTAGAGAGGTTGAGGCTGTAGAGAGAGAAAGAAGAAAAGTAGTGTAGGAAGGTACGAGTAGGGTAGGGTAGGGTAGGTAGGAGCAGTGAAAGGTGGCGAGGTCGGATGAAAGTTTGGTTTGGGTGCAACAACAGCTTATTAGTTAATAGATTGTTATTGATGGGATGGGATGGGATGGAAGGGAAGGAAGGAACGATTGGATCCAAGGGAAGGAGCACACGATTTCGGTCGTGACTCTTTTTGCGCGAAACCGAAAGGAAGTTTCCTCTTCCCTATTGTTACTGTTACCATCGAGTACCAACTACCAACTACCTAGCCCTAGGTACCCACGTACCGTACCTTAGTTATAGTTCCTTTTCCCTTCCAAGACAAAGCGTAGTCGAAGTCGGGGACGTATGAATAATTGGGGGTCCACAAACTAGGTGTAAAGAAAGATGTAATGTACTCGGACTCGAATAATGACTAGATCACGGGTACGTACCTCGAGGAAGGGACAATAGTGGCTTGCAGATTTTCCCTTCAGAGCTTCAATAGAAGTAGATGACTAAGCCCCACTTATTTGTTTGTCTAGAAACCTTTCCTAGTCTTGGCCGAATTCTGCACTGTCAATTCCTACATACTGTATACTGTGTATGTGTACTATGTAGTGTTACATGTATCAGAACAATAGTTGATGCCCTTGTTCTCTTCGCATAATGATCCGTTCCTTTTAGTCCTTACTGAGTAAGTCTATTAGACACGGTGGGGTTCTTTGATCCAGCTAGAAATTGCTCGCCCTGGACCCTTTGAGTACCATACCATACCTACTACCACCTTGTTCCTATTCTTCCCTGCCACTTCGCTGTTCCACTTGTTCCACATGTTCAGCAGCATTGTTGCATCACTCTGACAATATCGCGATGAATTTGCACACACTTTTCTCTTTTCCGTTACCCCCCATGCCCCTATCCTCTCGTCTTCTCCATCTTCGGGACTTCTCTCGGATATCCCCCACCGTCCTGAGTAATAGGAGCAGACCAAACCCTCATACCACCACTAATCGCTCTTCGTATAGCAGCAGCACGAGCTCCGCAAGACCCTCCGACCACGAGATCCAGACCGCGCGGGAATGGCTGGAAAAGCTGCATACAAATACCATTCCGAAATCAGTTGGCTCCATAAGCTTTAGTCGAGCATCAGGGCCAGGGGGTCAGAACGTAAATAAGTAAGTCCAACAAGTCATGCCCACGAAAAATAATGCCGAGACCGCCCGCACTACTCGTACTTTTTGTACCGTTTAGGTAATTAGCTAGTGCCCTTGGTGCGTGTCGCGTCGTTGGTAAAGACGTGTATTGTCTTGTGCGGTGCTATGCTGTGCTTTTTTCAACTGCGAGCCGTTCCGATTTGATCAGATTAATCGTTCTCTAATCCACCACTACAGAACCGAATCTAAAGCTACCCTTAAAGTCCCCTTGGAGGCTCTACTGAAACATGTCCCCTCCGCACTTCATTCCGAGATCAGGTCCTGCCGATATTATGCTAAACGGACCGATGCCTTGATCTTCCAAGCAGACGAGAGTCGCAAACTGCACGACAACCTCGATAGTTGTTATGCAAAACTCCACCAGGTGGTGCTCGATGCGGGGAAATCCGCTGTACCGGGCGAGACATCTGCTGAACAGAAAAAACATGTCAAGAGCTTGTATGCATTGCCCCACACAAGTCTATGCTTCCCGCCAAGACTAATAGGACTACCAGACAAAAGGCCGACAATGAACGGAGGTTGAAGGGAAAGAAGCAGCATAGTTCGAAAAAAAGCTCGAGAAGGAGTCGAGGGGACGACTGAATCTCGATTGACGGCGATTCGAATGGAAAATCCGTAGCATAACTTCGCCCAGATGTAGGTCCTGCCGAATCGAAGAACTTGATAATGGTATGTAGCCTTCCTTGACGCCGCTGTCGTCAACAAATCATTCAGTCGGCACAAAACTCAATGTCTCGGATGAAATCAAGTGTTTAAGGCCCGGTCCAGCTGGATGAGACGTTCGTTTGTGCCCCACTGCTTTGTGCTTGCTTGCACCAGCCTCGCTGCATCGGCTCTCTTCTTCTCTTGCACCAAACCCTCAACAAGATCCACTATGCTGTCACCGCTTGCTCCTGTACCATGTTCTTCGACCAGTCGGGTGTACTTGCGAAGACTGGCACTCAATGCTTTCTTCAAAGTAGGCTCATCCAAATCCTCGGCTTCACGTAACAAAGGCAATAATTGTCTGACTGCAACTTCTGCAATGTGCGACTGTTTATCCGGATACTGTCCGATCGCAGAAGCAAGCAATTCTAAGGAATCGCGCAAAGTCGAGATGAAATTGGCCGAACTTGGGTGAATGCCGAAAAGTCGCATGCGAAATGTGCAGATGGTGGTCGAAACTGACTTTGGATAATTCTGCAGGAGATAGTCCAGCACGTGTTGAAGGATTCGTTCAATGCAGGATAGCTGATCGAACTCGGCGATCATGTCGAAGAATCGTTCCGCAAACGCAGGTTTGCCTTGGAACTGTTTGGTGGCGGCGTCGAATATGGCCATTGGTATAGCTCCGGTCAGTATCGGTGCAGACGCCATGTTCTGCAAGGCAACCTCGTCCACGCCGTCTTCTTTCCCGAGGCTTGGGTTCACATCCTCTGCTGAGACAACCGGTAATGCAATCATATTTTCATCCTCCTCTTCTCCATTTGCGGCGTTGCTCTGCGTGCGATCAATATCCAAACCAAGCACCTTCCTTCGGCCTCCAATCTTTGCGATGTAGATTGTCTCTAGCTTCGCGTACTCCAGCCATATTTTCTCCGACTTTTGACAGAATCTCAGACCACGTTGCATGTAACTTCGAGCGTTTGTAATGTCGGCTTGCGAATCCATGTAGTACTCCGCAGCGTAGATCCAGACATCGGGTTTCGCAGGGTGTAGACGGACGATGGACGTGAAAATCTCGTTCAGCTTCTTGAAGGCCTTTTCTTTGCGCGCATACTCGATATACTGCATCCATAATTCCAGGTCGCCTGAAAACTTCTTCACGCCGCGATTGTACAGAAAGAATATGTTTTTCTGTCCGCTCCCAGACGACTTTACACCTAGTCTTTTCACATGCTTCCGGCGAAGAGCCTCCACATTCTTCTCGAACTCGATGTATCGTTGGAAATCGGAGGTCGATGCGCCTCTGGCATTTATTATATGTTCGAAGTCGGAGCGCTTTTTCGCTATTGAGCTGATCTCTTCCTAGAATTTGTGAGTATTGCAGGCCAGATTCAAGTTGCGACAAAAAGACTAACCCTCGAGAAAATCTTCTTGCGCTCAAGCTCATTGAGTTCTGAGACTCCATGTTCGAGATAGTAACGCGCTTTGTCACTTGGACCAGCCATGTTGTCGACTTTAAATTGATTATTTGGTAGATCGAACTTTTTGGTTTCACGCTCCAAAAAAAGTTCACAAGATCTAAGCCAAGGCCTCGGCACGGAGCTCGCGCCGGGCCGTTCGGAGCTCGCTGCACCTCAGTAAACATTTCAGGAGAACACGCGTGTTCAACTTTCGATTTCCTACAATTCTCGACGCTCTTTAATTTTTCTTTTTCGTTCTTTGGGTGGGAGAGATCAATTGACACTCCCATTCAATCATTCATCATGGCTCCAAAATATAAGGAAGGAGAGACAGTTGCTGCAGTAAGCTCTCCGCATAACTGTCCTACTATGAAATGCTCACTCCACACGAATAGTTCAACGGAAAATGGATCTCATATGCACATACGACTGTAGCTTATTGTAAGGACTTCAGCCACATATACTGGAATTTTGAACTGACGGTTGCATAGGCGCATTTCTCGGTGCTCTTATTGTTGGAGTGTAACTTCACCCCTACTACCCCTCATACCCCGTCATCAATTCTAAGCCGCGCAGATACCTCCATTACCACAAGATCGTTCAAAATGAGTTCTATGTCAGTATAAGGAAGCAATCACAGTCTGAATAAACACCAACAATATTATAGGGATATCCAGAGGAATGGTTTCCATCTGTATCTGCCACTATTGGCGACCGTTACCCTGAACGATCTGTCTTTATGCTCTTTATTGCCCTTACATCTGGTAAGACATCCACCACGGGGATCCAGCCTGATACTGACAGTTCTAGGTCCTCGATTCGCCCTCGTCGGACTCTGGTACATCCTCACACGACGCCCGAACGCTACCCTGCCTAAGTTCGTTGCTGGCGTGGGCATTTTCCGAACACTTACCTGCGGCGGCTGGACCTACGTTACTTCGACGGATGATCATGATTGGCATGATATCTTCATGATTTCGTACCTCGTTGCGACCCTGCCATGGACTCTCGGAGTTCTTGCACTTAGTCCCACAAATCCCACCGCTCTGAAATACAGGAAGATCTTTGCTGGCAGCTTCTTCGGCACATTGGTGCCATTGATCTATTTCTTCATCCAACACAAGGTGCACCGAGTTGCTGGAGGTATGATAGGCTAGCTACCTTGCTTTATGGCGCACACTGACAGTCACAGCTTACACCACCTATGCCTTTTTCGAATGGTCCCTGGTTTTACTGGATGTAGCCTTCGACGCCGTTACTTTTATTGAATTCTCGAACTTGGAGATTGTTGTGAAGGACGTTCGTGGCATCACTCGCGGGTATGTCCCTTGGCTACCAAAGTAGATAGTCAGGCTATCACGAAATTCAACCGATATACGAACAATATCTGATCTTCTGTGTCCATATAGAGCGGGTAACAAAGCTGTCGCCGATGCTGTGTTGGAGAAAGAGTACGTGTCCACTTGACTGTAATTGAACTGTGCCTCTAACTTTCTCGCAGAAGGGAGAAGGAAGTTGCCCAAGTCTTTGCTAGTGGCTTTTCCTGGGTCGGTGTCTTCGACGCCGCTGCTGATGTCTACAATGGGGTACTATGACCTTCATCCAAAAGCCTTGAGCTATGCTTACTTGTTGTAGTTCGTCTTCTGGTCCATGTTGACCTCCCTGGGTCTTTGCGTCTGGTGTATGTTCAATTCGACGAGGCTTGGGTTTGAGCTAATGTGAACAGATTTCCCACTCTGGCATATGGGTATTTCCGGTTATGAGGTGCTTGTTATGTGCACCGTTTCGCCGTTCTTGCTCGGCATCAGGTCACTTCGTTTCCTTGTTGTCCGCCATGTGCGCATCGTCCATCTTCTATCACTCTCTGGTATGCTCGCATTCCTCGCCAAATCCCCAGAGAATCGTCTCTTCTCCGTTGGCTTTGGTGTATGGATGGCTTGTCTTGGTTGGTCGGCCACCTTCTTTGCAGAACGGTCTCAGCCACATCGTCTCGAGGCCCGTATCTCTGCGTTCTCTCTTGGTCTTCTCGCTTCCAGCGTCGCCAAATTCTCCTTCTGGACAAACAACCCCGTCTGGCCCGTCATGCATGCAGCAAACGGTGGCTGGAACAAACTTGGCTTCGCTCTCGCCGTTCTTGCCATCCTGAGGTCAACTAGGGCTACCGCAAGCTCTGGAGCTGACTCTCCCGCTCCTGGCCCCACCAAAGGATCGCCAGCCCTCGCTGGACTGGGACTTGCTGGTCTGTTCTTTGCGATGCATTCCTTACTATCGGATTCAAGCACAATGATTCTCTGGGTCTGGGAGGGCTACCCTGTTCGTGGCCCACTTGCTGTTCCCCACGGCGCATGGACTCTTCTGGCAATGGGAGCTGGTCTCGTTCTTGGTCTTTTTGCGCCTTCCCTTGCCCGCTCCTGGGTCCTCTACGGAATCGGTTCCATTGGTGCCGCCGTTCTGACTACTACTAGCCACTGGACAGGATACTATGGTGCTCTTACACTCACTGTCTACGTCATGGCTGCAGCCCCTGTCTTCATTGCCCATGCCGCCCGTCACTCACCAGCCACTACTTTCGGTCTGGGTTTCCTCATTTACAACATCCTTGTGCTTGCCCACGTATGGGTAGTTGCCTATGCTTTCGTTCCTGGAGGTCCCCTCATGCGCGAGCACACCGATTGGGTTATGACTGCTATGATGCTCTTCATGGGCTGCGGCGTCTTCTCTCTCAGTGCCCAACCCAGCGCACCAACCATCAAGAAATACAAGGGCAAGCCAAACCCAGCTGCCGGCAGACAGCGATCCTACTACCTATACATTCTCCTCGGTCTCGAGCTCTTGGCAACTGCAATTGCATACCTCCGCTTCCCATCGTACAATTACACCCCTTACCATCCCGAAGAGAAGTCGGTCACAGCCGGTATCTGGACCATCCACTTCTCTCTCGACAACGACATGTGGAGCTCCGAGCACCGTATGCGCGACGTCATCAAAGAGCTCGAACTCGATGTCGTCGGCCTGCTCGAATCTGATCTCCAGCGAATCATCATGGGCAACCGAGACACCACCCAATTCCTTGCTGAGGATCTCGGCATGTACGTTGACTTCGGCCCCGGACCCAACAAACACACCTGGGGCTCTGCACTCCTTTCCAAGTTCCCCATCGTCAACTCCACTCACCACCTCCTCCCTTCGCCGGTTGGCGAACTTGCGCCTGCCATCCACGCCACGCTGGACATGTACGGCCGCTACGTCGACGTCTTCGTCTTCCACTCTGGACAAGAAGAAGATCCCGAGGACCGCCGCCTCCAGTCCGAATACCTCGCGAAGCTCATGAAGGAGACACCCCGCCCCTCGATCCTTCTCAGCTACCTCGTCACGAAGCCAGGCCAGGGCAACTACAACACCTACGTTGGCGAGAAGAGCGGCATGCGCGACGTCGACCCCAGCGATTGGGACAGATGGTGCGAGTACATTCTCTACAAGGGACTCAAGAGGACGGGTTACGCCCGTGTCAGCAGGAGCACAATCACAGACACTGAGATTCAGGTACGTATCATTCACTCACCCTTTCCCTCTCAGCCCGTTGCTACAGAGTGGGAAGAGTATGTTAAGGATTTTCGATTTGCTAACGTATATCTATCACAGGCTGCCAAGTTCGTCGTCGACCAGCCGGAGGGCACGAACGACTTCATCCCCGAGGAGCAGGTTCCTCCAGGGTTGAGGTTCCCAGCGCTGTTCCGCGGCCAGGGTGTCAGAGGACACGCCTACCATGTGTTCAACGAGCCTAGGTACTTCGCGTAGGAATGATGCTTCGCCATTAGAATAAGAATGAGAAAATAGTCACTTGGGTTTTTTGGGGGGAAAGGAAACGAACATAAGGGGTAGGTACTGGCCGGTGTTTTTTTCCACGGCGTAAATCTGGTCCATTTCTCAGAAAACGTGTATAATATCTACAAGTGTACAAATCCTTTGTTTTGGCTCTGGAAAATCGTGTCAGAAAACATTGATTGATTCGTGACACTGGTTTGTGATGCTGCTTTAATCCTTCGGCGGTAGCATGACCACGTACTCCCTCTCACTGCCAGCGAATCTCAAGATATCCTTATCCCTCAATTCGAAATACCGACCCGCCTCGATGTCCTCGTCGTTCAACTCCGTCCCATTACTACTTTCCAAATCGATGATATACGGCTTCACCTTGCCCTTGACCTTCTTGACTCCGTACTCGTCCTCGACCGTCTTGGAGATGTACCGAAACTGTATCGCGGCGTGTTGCTGGCTCGCGCTCGGGTGCTCCAGCACAATGTCCGCGACCTCCCTCGCCCGACCCAACAGCCAGCAACTCTGCGTGCCCAAATCGACCTTGCCCAGGTACTCGTCGCCCTTGAAGATGGAGATGGTCCACGGGGCAGACGGAGGAGGCTTGCGCGCCTCAGGCGGCTCGTGGTACTTGAGCGAGATCTTGGTGCCCTCCACTCTATTCGCCTCTTTCGCGAGGAGGCCCGTCGTCTTGAAGTTCGGTTTCTCGCGCTCGGGCGGCGCGCCGCCGTACTTGGTAGGCGGCTGCGCGGAGTCGTCCAGCCCGCGGAACGAGACCTCCTGCGACGGGAGCGCCTTGCGCGAGCGTGGGTGCGGGGACGCAGAGCCCGCGGATGGGGAGCGACGACGGCGTTTGTGGTCTCGCGAGCCGGAGCGGTCGTCTGTCCGCCGTCGACGTCGGTCCTTCGAGCGCGACCGATCGCGACGGGAGTCATCTCGCCTTCGGCGGTCCCTCGAGCGGTCCCGCCTGCGGTCTCGGGAGCCGTTGTCTCGTCTTTGGCCTCGTTCGCGCTCGCGCTCGCGTGAGGGGCGGTAGGGTTCTGGGGAGGTGTCGCGGTTGCGTCGTTGGTTGTCGGAGTCGGGTCTCGTTCTAGGTTCTGTTGTGGATGGGTCCTGCGGCGCATCCCTGGGTTTCCGAGGGGGAGATCGACTGCGAGATCTGTGTTTTGGTGGTCTGGTGCGGTCCTCTCGGTTTTCTTGAGTCCCCCATCCTGTGTTTGCTTCTCTGCTTCTACTCCTTCGACGTGAGGTCTGTCCGTCGTTGGGACCTTTGCCCGCGGTCAGAGCTTGTCTGGCGCTCCATGGTGATAGCTCTCTGCTTCCGTGTCTGTCTCCTCCTGCCATGGTATCGGCTCGGTACGTCGGATACTGAGGTTCCAATTGGTTGTTTATGAGCTCAAAGCTATAAACGGGATCGTGTATGCGACCTTGGACACTTTTCTGCTAGGCAACGGAGGGTAAGGCGGTTGCCGCTGAGGCGTATAAAACCGCTAATCGCTTGTAGGAAAAAGCTAAAGAGCTGAACGATAGATTTAGGAAGTCACTAGCATAGATCAGTGGGCCTTCACCGACAACATGCACGGCGTTCACAAATTATTGCGGCGCAGTGGCTTTGGGAGCTTGAATCTTGAAGTCGAGATGGTTGTAAGGATTAAGCTAGCCGCGGTTGGGCGCTCGGACCCCCGGCCAAGATATCTCATCGATGGGCGGTTGTCTCCAACTCTGGATTCGCCATTCATCGTAGGCACACCTCCGCCTGCGTTTCAGACCTCAGGATCAATAGTTTCACACGGTCTATCTTTACTTCGCACCCACTCGTCTCCCTACGAGGGACGTTGTGGCCCCCGCGCGGGTTCTGCCATCCTGCTTTCTTGATGGCGACCTTACCCAAGTAGTCCGTGATGTGTACTGTTGAAGAATAGACGCCGTAGACATTCTGCCGAGATGGATTCGTATGTGACATACGCAAGAGGTAATAAGGAGTGCCTTCCTTTGCATCTAAATTTGCGCTGTTTTCCTCTTCTCAAAATAGCCCCTCTTGCCATTGTCACTCGTTTCATTCATTCAGTGTGCTACTTTTGGGACTTTTATGCAAAAACAAAACTGTCCATTCAATTCGATCTCACGGAACGGTCTTGCGACAACCAATTGGCCGATCACAGGCCTGCAAACCTGGAAGCCCATGACAAGAGCCTCAATCGCGTTGTGGTTCTCTGGGAGCAACCAGCATTAGCGAAACACCAGATGCAATACATTCGTATACGAGCCTCAACAGACGTCACAGAATGAGTTCGAAGAAGTTTTTCTCCTGGTCCAAGAATCGCTCACCGTCGGAGCCATACCATCGGACTGGTGGGCTTCTGACCATTGACACAAGCGTGGGTGACAAAGGCAAGGAGCCGGGTCCGGCTGTGCCTTCAAAGGTAAGATAGGTCAAGTTCAATGGATGTCTGATGTGCTGTCTCCTGATTTATTGGACGAGGCACGGCGACGTGGTTCTGCAGCACCAAGGCGCACAATAAGCGTTGTCCAAAGGGCATTTGCAAGGGTGTTGCAGATGCAGCTGCGTTGTGGACTATCATGATTCGCTAAGAACCACTACAGAACACACCACGGAACGGGAGACGACGCCCTCCAAACCTCAACCTCACCATTCCACGAGGTTACAATGGCCATCTCAATTGTTTGACTCCCGCGTCTGCCCGTCATAATGCAGCTTTTGTCAATTCCGCAACCAATCTGTTGGCCGTTGTCAATGACATGCTACGCTCTCCAGCTTTGAGCGCCTCTCTATGTCCCAGATCTGCCGAGATACATAAGCCTCTTCCCAGTCGGCCACGTTCCGTGTCACTACCGTCTACACCGGACCTGCCCGTCGAACTTCCAGGATCAATCCTTCTCGACAATCAGGGCCTCCCCTCAGCGCCCGTTGCGGGTCCCTCAACCCATAGCTCAGATACAATGAGGTCCGTCCGCAGCGGGAATCCCATTAGCTCCAATGCCGCAGCTAAATCAACTCCTTCAAAGGTGCTGCAGCATAAGTCGAGTTTGAGCGAATCCAGTCTGAAAAGACGTTCAAAGTCACGGCCTAATTTGATAACAACGCCCACTACTCAGTCCACCGAAAGTAAACTCACAGCGTGCTCTGCTTCGACGAATGGTGGTCAAACAATTGCCAGTAATGATTCAACGCAAGCTTGTGTGGGCGTAGAGAGACAATTGCAACCCGCGCCATTGATAGTAGAAGAGAAGCTTCTGAAAAGGGCCAGCGGAGAGGGCTCAAGTCGTCGGAATGAAGTGAGTTCAGTCCATTGTTTGCCAGTCGAGATGATCCATCAATTGTCCAAAATCGTTGTGATATGTTGGAACAAGCCGTCTTTCCCAAAGGTGTCCGAAAAGAAACATTGCCAGATCCTGTTCTCAGCTTGGTGAATGACTTGTTTTTGCGCCCATGACATGGCCGATTTTGCTCGAGAGTTTGAAACAAGTGATTTGAGTATACTGACATACTGATAGGCCAACACATCAACCACTCCAACACCGACATCTGTACGAAGTCAACGTATTGAGGAATTGAAGGCTACAATAACTGCACAGGACAGTACTATCTCAACTTTACAAGCGCAATTCGGTAGCTTGCGCAAATCTCACGAAGCAGAGATAGCTAGTCTGCAAGATGCACATTCAGCTGCGGTCGCGTCTCTTCAAGATTACACACGAGTGTTAGAAGAGCAACAAAGTCAGCGCACGCTTCACCACGGTAAGTTGATTCAATCATTCATTTGTCTCGTTTTGTATGGCCTTGCGTGTTCTCGACACATACAGTACAGCCACTCCCTTCATGTGTACTTTCCCGTTAGACATGTCTCTACGCATTATTGTGCGCCGAGTGTCAAACTCCACCCTAAGTTACAGGATGTTGTCGGTCCGCGGCTATCTCTTCTGTGGTACCTGGTACCTGATTATTGGTTTTCCAGTGATGTATCATTGGGATACAAGAGCTAATTATGTTCTACTAGCCTCCAGCAACCACTTTTTAATGTTACTTGATACCACCGAAAACCCATTATCTCCTGGACTCCAATCTCCGACAAAAGATAGTCCTCTAACGGCTGCCGGTACGAACTCTGCCAATTCGATTAGATCCTTCCAGTCGGCACTCGAGCAGCAAACACGGCAAACAAAGGATAACGCTGAAATGGAAAATCTTAAGCGTAAACTTAGTGCCGCGCGACGACCCGAGACGGGGAACCGAGATATGGTGCGGGAGCTCAATCAATATAAACAGAACAATACCGCTTTGCAAAAGCAAATCGAATCCTTGATGGCCAAATTGAACGAGTCAAGGAAGAACGAACGGCTCCTATCTTCGACATTGGCAGATATTGACAAGAATGTCACGCAATGGCAAGAGAAAGCTAAGAAGGTTGAGAAGTTGGAGAAAAGCACGGCGGCTATGCAGAATAGCATTGATCATTTGTCTCATCGGTTGGAACTGGCCAATTGCGACAAACTGGATGCTCAAGAAGCACTGCTCAATGCTAGGATGCGGCAATCCCCCTTTGATCCAAAATTGCCGAACCAGCACCTCTCCAATCATCTACCAAACGAACCTCATATGAGCATGAGTACCGTTTTCTCATCGGGCTCACCCTCAAGCCATGGAAATGATCCACATGAGTCATCGACACTTGCTGCATTCATTGCACATATAGAACGACTACAAGAACAGCTTAAACAGAAAGATGTTTCTTTAGGAGAAGCCGACGAAAAATATGGCGACCTTCGAGACCAGCATGAATTGCTGGTACGCGAACACCATGACCTGACTCTTCACTGTGACATACAGAGCAAGATCCTCGGCAAGAATAAACAGTCTGAGATATACATCGATCAGCTACGAACGGCCATTATTGAGCGAGAATCAATGATCGGTGAGAAGGACAAGGCCCTTCGTATGGTGGAACGGCAATTAGAGCACCACAAGCTACTCCTACATGCAGAGATCAGACGACATGCAACTATGTCATTATTCACCGACACGAATACCGAACCACTGCCCGACCTTACATCTCTGGCCTCCAAGGAGGACATTGATCGGTGGATACTGCGTCTTCAGGCGCGCTTAAGAAAAGATGTTTCCTCGGAAGGCAGCGATAATCAGTTTTCTCAGATGAATATAGATGACTTGCGGAAAGAGATCGACTTCTATGTTCGCGAGATCATCTATTACAAGCTTGACATCAAGGGCTACAAATCAGACATCAAGAAACTCAAGAATATTGCGCAACGAATGGGTGACTACGGCAGTCGTACCAACGATGTTGAATCCCCTACTCCTTCGCTATGCCGCTGCGGCGATACCCCCGTCCGAGCTCGATTTCCATTTGGAGTTGCGGGACTAAGCATCTCCAACACGCCCTCGCCGATATCGACGGGCCCCATCTCCGCATCCGCATCCACCAAGCAACCGACGCCAACACCCACGGAAACGAAACCGTTAGCTTCTGAGCCTTCTTCAGGCGATACCTTGAAGCCTACCGTTACCACACCCTTACAAGCCACATTTGATCAAGCCTCTATCAGAGTTGCGGTCCCGCAAACACCAACCCGTAAGACGGCCGGCAACGTAGCCAACGAGGCGGATGGAATTGATCCCGGCATCTCACCCAGATCCAACCCGAGGCTCTCTCCCGACAGGAGGAGACCCACGGTAAGAGAATCACTTACGAAAGCAGCTTTGGAATCTGACAACCCGTGCCAGCCCACATCACCTGGTCAAGAACGGTCGTGCGAGATGGCTACGAATTTTCCGCTGAGCACTCCAGCTGCACCCAAGAGGATGGATACGCAGCGTAGTAATAGTGACTCGATCATTCAGATGTATGCGGCGCCGCGGACTCCAGAATGGTCTCCCGCAGCAGTTTCGGTTGTACCAAATGGAGAGGTCACAGATAATGCAAGAATCGTGGGAACGAGGACCAGGTCAGCCTCCGTTTCGGAAGCTACGAAAGAGAAGTCCACTCCCGAACGTCCACCACGTCCAAAGTACGGCCTCTACGAATCTCCAGCCAGCAAAGGCCTGAACAATGAGACCTCTACGGCCCCACGGGTGGATGTCATGGCTGAGGCATTGAAGAATCCACCTGCGCAATCGAGGCCTACATTGCAAGCCCGCTTCGAAGGCAAACTCGCCGACCTGACGAAGGAAGTTCGAGGCCTGTCGAGCAACCACCTCTCTCGTTCTAACTCGACTGGCTCCAATTCAGCCATACCGCCTCCACTGTCTCTCCGCCCACGAGCCGGCTCAGCAGGATCCAGCACAGCAGCGATCGGACAGGTCGCATCACCTCAACGCAAACCAAGCGATGCATCAGGCGCCAGCGTCCCTTTCATCATCGCCATGCCATCACCCTACGTGACGAACCCCCCTCTCTCGCCGTCGCCCACTCCAACCCTTCCACCACCCACCTGCTCCATCACATCCAAATCAGCAACGAAACCGCAACCTTCAACAAGCAGAACCGGGGTCGGCGGCACGATGGCGAGCTCCACTCCCTTAACATCCCCAATCTCCCCTCCGCACCCAGACTCCGCGAAATCATTCTTCGACGCCGCGGACGGCGGCAGCAGCAACACATCCAAAATCCCCTCACCCAGACAAGCACCAGCATCACACAGCCGCAACGTAAGTCTCAACAGCATCGGCCGCAAAGGCACGCCCGCCACCTCCGCAATCGAGGGTCTCACTACCCATTCCCACCACCACCATCACCACCATTCGCGGAACGCAAGCGCAAGCAGCACGACAAGCGCGACATACAGCCTGCGAAACGCAGTTCAGGGCCTCCCGGCCTCGCTCATCAAGGGCAAAGGGAAGGCGAGGAAGGAGAGTATCTCGGGCCCGACGCCGCTGGCTAGTCCTTTTGATGTCGAGCGTGGGGTGGTGGGTGCTGTGGGTGGTGGAGGCATTGGAGAGGCGATTTGAGCGGTCGATCATATCTGCATATATTTCCCATTGTACCTTTCCGGCACGACGTCTCCCTCTCCATCACTCACGAAATTTAACGACTTGAAGACATGCCCACGAATCTCTTTTTGTATCAACTTTTAATTCAATTGTCCTATTTCTCTACTGTCTTTAGTTGATAGCATCGCATATCATATCATCATATCAGCATCGCATGCATGTACGTATGTATGTATATAGGATAGCATGGCGGGAATGAATATTAGCAGAAACATCCACACACACATGTGCACTCCTCTTGAATCGATACGAGAAATTACAATAGTGATACATTGTTCGCTACTGACGTCTACCCTGTTAGTTCGATTGACAGTGCGTACGGGTTCTGATATATGGTACGGCGAATCGTTGATAGACTTGCACGAGAGGGAGAATATGTATGTCTGTATGTGTGTATACATTTGTATGAGATTAATAATCTAAGCATTAGTTCGCCACTACAACTCTCGTCACACACACTCTTTGTTTCTGGTTCAAATGTGCGGGGTGTTTAGTTGGGAAGGAAGACAATATCGTTGCGCCTGACTGCCCAGTTTAGAGAACGATAGTAATGTATCAACACATGTGCGTTCCCGGGCAGGTCAATACGTGCATGCATGTATATATCCACGTACATCCTATACCTACCCTACATTCACATATCTACTCAATGCACCCATAAAACTTACCAACCCGCTGCCATCCAGGCCGCCGTCTTACATGCTACGATCGATGTAAGCATGGGTTTTGAAGGCGGACGAAACGAAAAAGCAGCACAAGAGGGCGATTTTACCCGGGCCAGCGAATCACGGAAGGGGGATTATAGCAATGAGAGGCAGGTCGTGTTTCGGGCTTGCCTAAGTTTTGCGTTCGATGGGATGGGATGGATATCTTGGGGGAGGGGTATGTTTGTGTGAAAGTGTGCAGGGCTGCTGGCTGGGCTGTGGGTTGAGGGGAGGAGGAGGGGTTGTGTGGTATGGTATGGTGTACCTTGGGAGTGTGGATGTGAATGTGTGTGTGATGTGGACACCTCTTTTTATGCGGGGTGCATAAAGCTTGTTGTGTGTGCGTATGTATGTTTTAAGTTTTGATTTTTTTTTCTGTTGCATGGAGGGGGAATGGAAGAATAGGGCGGATAAAACAGCAGTGGGTGTGATGTCAAATTGTCGATCAGATAGATTGCTGGGAGGTTCGCTCGCTTGAGCTTGTCAAAATGCAGAAACGCGAATGCGAATTTGCGGCGGAACAGGACGGACGATTGGCGGTGGGTACGATCGCCGTCATGAGACCTCGCTCGTCTCCGTGTCGTTGTACTTGTAATTACGGGCTTGGGATTTTTTCTTTGGATTGATTGCGATTGCGAGGAAAGGTCGGTAATGAAGGAAGGCGAATGACTCGTCTCGAAGCCTCTGTTGGAAGCGAAGTTCTTGTGATTTTCTCTTGGAGCAGACGACGATCGGGGAGAACATAGAAGGATTTACCTACTGTACGAGGAGAGGAGAGGAGGTGATGGATCGGAGAGAGGTCGGGTAGATGAAGATCTGGATTGGAACGGAGCTGTTCGTTCCAGGGTTGGGTTGGTTTCCCTGTAATGCACATTGCAATTGCAGCGCAGGATACCTCGTGCAAGAGGCATGGGAATGATGAAAAGCAAGCAAGTATACAGGCAAGCAAACGAGCTTGCTACCAACAGAAGAAGCAAATACTTACGCATGGCGAGTACCACGCTCATGTCATGGTCTCATACGACAATCTGAATCGGACGAACAGGATTTGTACAACTGGGTAGCGAGATCTTGCATACATATACAAGACGAAGTAGGTATGCTTCCTCCGTGATGGCCGGTACAATAGTCGGTGGTGGTGGACCCATGCACAGTGTCCCACTGGCTTCCCACTTGATGGCGCCAGCCGCTGCTCCACTTGCTGTTGCTGCTGCGCATAAAAGGGCGGCGACTCTGCGAGGCTACTGTACAGCCCATAGGCCGACCCCGCAAATGGAGTGTAAGTGGTGTGGATGGGTGGGTTGGCAGTCCACGATGGATGCTGTCTCGCATGTTGTGAAACGGACCGCCTGGATCATGCTTTGGGTTTGATGTTAGATTTGCACGGAGTGGTGGTGTGTCTGTAGTTAGTGGATGAGAGAATTGAATGTGTGCGGATAGGGCGGAGCACAGCAATGTGAGGTCTTTGACCCTTTGTACTGTAGTTGTCCCAAGCTCTTGAAGGGAATATTGGCCAATATTTGAAGATGGATTGAAAGGTTCTAGTTGGAGTCGTCGAGATTGCCTGTTCGGGGAGGGAAGATAGGGTGGACCAATGAGAAGGACATGGGATGGAAGGATTGGGAAAGACAAGAGATGACAATAACCAAATGTAGGGGTGAACACCTCCAACCCGGGAAGACAAGAGGAGGGCCGTTCGGAAGGTTGGATGAATGGATGGGATGGAAGATGGTGAACAGCGAACAGTGAACAGTGAAAGGATGGATTTCCCCTGGGTGGCGTTAGATAGTGGTGGATGTTATATATCACTATGCCTATACGGGACTAGCGAAGAACGTGGATGATCACTAGTCAGGTGAACGTATCCCATAATGGATTAGTGACTTGGAGTCTGGGTTGCTTAGCGCGTTCCCCTGGCGAGACGAACTGGGTCCGAGCGTCAGGGGTAATGGCGATCGTGATTGGCTACCGTCTCTGCTCCTATTGCATGTAACTACTCTGTATGTACTCCGTACCTAGGTAGTTATTGTCTTTGGTCAATTGAATGCAGATGTGCCAATGTGGCTATCACAGTACCTGTGGTTAAAGATAGATAACATGCAGGCAGAATAATAGGCGGAAGAAGTGTACGCGTACTCTTCAGCCCCCGGAACAGTTCTCTCTGTCTCATCAAGGTGGTACGATCAAAGGCTGCTATGCCGTCTTCACAAGAGAAGATAAGAAAATAGAAGAAAGAGGAAGAGAGAGCTATTGGATGGTCAGCATTCGTCCTTCAGAACCAACAATATAGGTATCATGCATGTAATATAGGTACCTACCTACACAAAGCAGATATCGTATCTTTATGCACAAACATCACCACCACCACTACCAGAGTGCTTATCCACGCTGCACAGTACGTCGACCATCAGATCAGAGTTGGATGCTATCATCATCATGTAGTTTCAAAGACAAAGTGTCACCAGGATTCCCCCTCTTTCTCCTCTCTCTCCTCTCTGGTTTGCATTCCGGCCGCCACCGCCGAGAGAGTCAGGGTCAGGGTCGGGGCCAGGGTGAGAGTTAAGGGTATCCCGGGCGGCTGCGTAAACGAGCGAGGGGTGAGCCTGATCATCCACTACTTAGCACTTGTATTCAATAGTGAATGACGAGGGACAGTAGGCGAATTGGCGGAATGACCATCTAAAGAGGGGAAAGGGAGAGAAGAGGAGATATCTCGTAGCCAGAGAAGGGAAGGTTATTATTGATTGGCACCATTCATTGCATTGGGAGAAGGATGAACGAATGATCACCATCTATTCGGTATTCTTCTACTTCCTCTTGATCCTTCTATTCTTTCTTCTTTTCCTTCTTCTTCTTCTAATTAATTAATCTTCTTCTTCTTCAAGATCGTCCCCTCTGCCTCCCTATACCCTATAGGTAGTAGTCACTGCATGCATATAGGTACATACTCGTATACTCCTTACATGAATCCACGCGCACTCCCGCTGGCTGCAATCAACCCAACAACCCATGCATTGATTCAATCCATTCTTCCTTATTCTCTTCTTACAGTATTTGTGTATACATACACAGTTTATGGAGTAAGGTGTGTTTATATTTCTAATAATCCATATAACCGCATATCGACCTTTCACCCTACCCATCCTACCTTGCCTTACTTTACATACCTCACACCTACACCAAGACTACTATACTACTAGTAGCTGCATTCTCCCTGACTCTCCCGCCGCAATCTTCCCATAATTGTTGCATCTCTGCAGCTCTGCATTTCTTCTCGGTTTGCTTGCCTTGTCAAGCTTACCTGTAGGTTAGGCTTTCCCATTTGCTACGTGCCGTGGGTACGCTGCCATTGAGAGACCGCCGTTAGAGACCCCTGAAAAGTCTACTAGACCATCTGCACCATCCGAGTCAAACTCTCCCCACGAGTCCCACACCCACACCCAAACCCAAACTCACGCCCACTCACACTCAACTCCTACTCACCATCGCCGACACTTTTCCTCTTCCATCTCCATTTCCTCTTCCTTCTTGGAACAAACTTCGGCCTGCGCGGTCCGCCTCCGTGCCATTCCACCACCTCCTCCTCCTCCACCATCACCACGATTGTTTGACCAACGCCGTGTCATGCTCTCATTCTCGTTTCTAATTCTCTCTCTTATCTCTTCAGGCCTCAACGGCGTACACTGCTCGCACAATTGTCAACGATCCAGCTGCGCTGGCTCTGACTTCTCCTAATAGCCACCAACGCCAGCGGAAGAGGCACCGCACCACACACGCACATACACATACACACTCACACTCTCTTACACGCCAATCCTCGCCGTCACACTCCTGCAGCCATCATTGACCTGCAGCATACTGACTATTTTCGACCTCTCAGCATACCCGAAATAGTTGCACAGCTCCATCCTCGCCCCAACTGCGTTCGTTGGTCGCTGTGTGAAACCGACGGCTCTTCCACATCTTTTTTCCCCGTTACGCGCTGGGGCCGGAGAATGTTAAACTGCCGTACCTCTCCACCACCTCCCAACGATCCCCGAACCCTGAGCACGCCGTACTCCCTCGGCCAAGAGCATGCCTGATTACGGTTCATCCACTGGAGATGCGCGCGACGACACGAGACCGGTAACTCCCACCGACTTCCCCAAACCACGCAACGGCAAGAGCGGCTTGCGCGCCCTCAACACCCGCCTCACCCAGCAGGAAACTTTCTACGACGACCCCACCCCGGTGGACAACCGACTGGACAACATGGCACATGATCAATTGAGGGACTCGCACGACCTGTCATTGCACGACAGCGTCCGGAACTCCATCGTTGATAACATGCTGCTCTCCCTGGACCAGTTTGGCACGGCCGGTCCGGCAATCTCCAACCCAGCTGCACTTTATTCCAACTTCGACGACGACGACTTCTTCCTAAACAAGAACCCATACCCACCGCCGAAGCCGACCCGCCATCGAGGCCAGACCTATGCATCCTCCCAATCCTCCGATTATGACACCCACGTCGATGACACAGCCTCGCGGTACTCGAACCACCACCGCACGCGGAGGAGCAATAGCAGCAACAACATTCCAGCCGCGATGAGCCGCAAGAGTAGCATGAGGGGATACCCCAGCCTGCGGGAGAAGCAGACGACTGGCTCATTCGCGGACTACCAGCAGGCCGGACACTCGAGGGGCAATGCCAAGAAAGGAAGCAAAGGTAGCAATTCCTCGAGTATGGACTTTGGACATGGCGGATTTCTAGGTGCGCACCGGCTTGGCTTTGGACGACGTTCAGCCAGCTTCGACCACGGCAGCCTCGTCGACCGTTCAGGAGGTCCGTCAACCAAGGGCGATTCCCTGCTGGAGAGGACGAGGTCTGCCTACCAAAACTACGACTATGATGCCGCTCCGGAGCCTACCATTCCCGCTGGCCCAAGGAGGATCCAGGAACAACCCCCTCAATCGCCCATTGCGTATCCCCCTCAGCCTTCATACGCGCCACCACAAGCTCCAGTCGTTCGCCGGAAAGCTAGCGTTCGATCCACAGCTACAAACAAGACTCTCCGGAAGAACAAGAGCCAGCCGGAGCCAAACATGAGGCTCCAAGCGCAAGAATTTGTGAACGCAAGCACCCTGCGTGATCTGCCACCCGTCCCTTCATATCAAGATCCTCCCGCTCCATCTCCCACGGTGGCGACACGGAAACAGCCTTTCCAGAACTACATGCAGTCTCAGGCCCAGCCCCCCTCGACACCCGCATCAACACCAAAGGAGAAACCTGGCTTTTTCAGGCGCATGTTTGGCGTCAGTTCGTCCAAGGGACCAGCGCAAACGACGAACTCGTCCGTAAACTCTAGCATATCCCACCAAGATGCGTCCCCAGCCTCCGTACACAACCGCGCGACCGATGTCAACTCGTTATATTCACAGGCCCGACCACAGACGACACCCAGCAGCTCTAACCATATCGCCTCGCAGCTCAAAGCACCTCCACCACCCCAGACAGCCAACTCGGCCCAGAGAGAGGCCCAGCCTCCACCTCCTGTTTTGGCGAAGAAGCATTCCTCATTCTTCAGGCGGAGGAAGAAGTCCATCACTGACAGCTCACGACCGCCGCCCATAATGGCTATGGATTTCCAACCCCCGAAGCCCGTAGACCTCCCCGATCGCCAGCCCAGTCCAGGTGTTAGCAGCCTACGCAAGGTCATGAACCCATACTTAAACGATCCTTCGAGCCCTACGAAATACCAGGGAGCCCGACAGCAGCAGGTGGATGTGGATGAGGACCTGACTAGCGGTGTGCATCTGAGTGGCTTCTCGCCTGGCTACAAACCTCATAAAGATGCAACGGTCCGCTCCGTGAAACCGAACTCGCGTGACACGAACGAGACTCCACCCTCATCGAGAGGCGAGCAATTGAAAACGGCGCATGCCGCCAGCAACAGCAGCCCCAAGCTGAAGTTGAAGATGAAGCACGCTGGTGGTAGGACAACGCTCGCTAACTCGCACGAAGACACCTTCCTTGCAGATAGCAGCAGCTGCAATGAGGACTACGGCGGTCGTGCAACGCCATCAGGCGAGAAGCAGGCAGACTTGCTGGGCCCGCGTCCAGCAGAATCCGGCACCGATAATGCTAGGATTCAACATTCTGTGTCACACTCTGCATCAGAAGCCGAGGACGAAGGATGGGTGATCACGACACCACCCAAGAAAGAGCAGGCATCGGTAAGAAAGGCAGCAGGAAAATCCCAGCGTGTGTGGCTAGAGCCTACGTCGTCCGAAGAAGACCTCAAAGCCACGGCGCGAAATGGTGCAGACAGGAAGGAGTCACATGTCGACGGATTAGATGGAAATGACCGTGGTGCTACTACCACCGAGCGCCTCTCGCTACCTTTGGAAGGTGCACGAACATCGCAAAAGTCGTTAGAGAAGTCGTCGGTAGAGAAGGCGTCGCCCACGTCGGCACAAGCGGAAACTCCATCGACAGCGAATGACGAAGTTTTCCACTCAGCATCCAGTCTGCCCGTCGTCCAGGTCGAAAGTCGCGAATCCGACGGCATGCCTGCGATCGTAGAGCAGACGACGTTCCTCGAAGAACGCCCCACGGATGCTGACCGACAGCGTGCATTCGACATCTTCACCGGCGCAGACCCGGCCGTGCAGAAGGGCCAGGCGGCTGCCGTTTTGGGAGATATGACCCTAACAAGTTCCCGCGTTAGGAAGGCATACATGGAGCTGTTCGACTGGACCGGCTTCAACATCCTCGCTGCCATGAGGGACCTATGCGGGAAGCTCACCCTCAAGGCAGAAACACAGCAAGTCGACCGTATTCTGATGAGCCTCTCAGAGCGGTGGTGCGAGTGCAACGTCAACCACGGCTTCAAGGCAGCCGATGTCGTTCACACCATTTGCTACTCCGTACTACTGCTCAACACCGATCTGCACCTTGCAGATATTGAGTCTCGTATGACTCGCAACCAGTTCGTCAAGAACACATTGCCGACGGTGGTTCGTGTCTGCAAGGAGGCCATCAAGGACGCTGGGGAGGAAACTCTAAGGCCACAGTCGACACAATTCAGGAGGGGATCGATTCCCTGGAACGACAAATCCGAACCGAATTCACCTTCTGCTGATGTGTCTAGCTTTGGCATAGAAGAAGAACCTCTTGAAGGCAGGAGAGCACGGAGTCGCCTTTCGGTAAAGCCGCCAATGCGCTCTGGATCCGACGGCCCAGGAGTGGACTCTGCCTCCGCTGAGTGCAATGTCCTCGTTAACTCCCCTCATAACGCCTCCATGAAGGCATGGGAAATGCAGATCGAGACAGTCCTCAAGGAGTTTTACAACTCGATTCGCCAACAGAGATTGCCCCTGCACGGTGCATCGAACCTACAAGTTCACGAGCAGCCATCATCGAACAACCTGTCCGTGAGCGGGTTGCTGCGTCGCACTCCTAGCGTACTAAGCAAAGCACCTTCTGACAACATCAGCTACCGCGGCAGGTCTCAAACCGACTTTAGAAGCGTCGGCAACCGCTGGCAATCCAAGACACGATCTAGGCCGAGACTGTATCCCAACTCGACAGTTGCATCCAGTCGAACTAGTTTGGATGATACATCTGTGTGGTCACCTGCAGGATCGAGCACATGGAGCAAATACTCCTTCGGAAAGACGCAAACATCAATGTCGGTGGATTCCCTAGGCTCACATTTTGCCCATGGGGATTACCAACAGGCCATTGGTTTCGCCAATGCCTTGAGCCAGGCCATCATTCGTGAGGAAGGCATGACGATAGCCAGCCACGAAGAATTCGCCCGTGTTGCTCCGTTGCTGGAGGACGAAACACTAGAACTGGTTGGCGCTCCATGGGCCAAAGAAGGCATACTTAAACACAAGCACCACTTGGAGGCATTGGACAAAAAGGCAAAGGATCGTACCTGGAACGAATGCTTTGCGGTTGTCGAGAAAGGCTACATGCGCCTCTTCTCATTCAGCGCGAATTCGAAATCCATGCGAATCAAGAATAAGTCACGACCTTCGACAGGCGGTGTTGTTGGAGGTGGAAACTGGATGGACAACGCGGAAGCCTTAGATAGCTTCCCGCTCAGGCAGTCCATCGCGAGTGCCTTGCCTCCACCGGGGTATTCGAAGTCTCGACCTCACGTCTGGGCGCTGTCTCTACCCACCGGTGCCGTCCATCTCTTCCAGGTCGGTACGCCAGACATTGTCCGAGAATTCGTGTCTACGGCGAACTACTGGTCCGCGAGATTGTCCAAGGAACCCCTCATGGGCGGTGTTAGCAGCATGGAGTATGGATGGGGTGAGAATGTTATCAACACTGCCCTCATCCGTCAAGACAGCACTCCGTCTACGCAGGGGCACGCTCACAGGCCCAGTATGGCTAGCTCTCTTCGCAGCTCTGTAGATCACGCAACAGGCACCGTCAAAGCTCGACTTCCTGGCGACAAGGCCAACCTGCACGATTGGAGTCCCCCCACGCAGAGCATGATGGCAAGCAACCTTATGGAGGTTGACCAGCTGAGAGCTCTCACGGATTATGTTAAGAATGTTGAGGCCGAGTTGTCGCGTCACAACGAACTGAGAGCACCCATGCTCATTGCCGTAAGTTAATCCCAGATCTCACGATGGATATCTCTAACAAATGGATAGTTCTCTCCTCGACACCCCAATGCTGCCAAAGCAATGGCAAACTGGGAGCGCAAGTCGTCTTACTTGCTTCGGGAGATCGTCAAATTCCGGACCTACATCGACTCGCTGTCCGCAGCACAGACGCATAAAGACAAGATCTATGCTGAGCGTGATGCGGAAACAGCTCGGGAGGAGGCCGAAGAGGAGGCAGCACGATTGGCGCATGCAGCAACGGCAGAGACTGACGGTGGGGATGAAGTCCACGCAGCTTCCCAGTCCCAATCCCAGTCCCAGCCGATCTCTGCCTAAGCCATTCCGTGTTGTGTTCTATACTGACTATGTGATCATGGGTAGGGCTCACACCTCTACGACGTACGATGCGGAGACTCAAACTTCTTCACTCCTCACGTTCGAGGTTCCGATCCCACACTTGATGGACGGCAGATGCGAGATTATTTCCTTTCCTCATTGTATACTCACACGATCTTCGTGTCGCCATTCGGCTTACCGATTTCATTTTCCTTTTATAACCTGTTCTAAGCGTGTCCGCCCGAAGACGAAGAAACGTATTGTACGATCGATTGCATATTCGTTGCATGGGATGATGGGGTAGATCCTGGGCGTGCAGCATATTCGTGGAGTCAGGACGAAGCCATCTACATTCTAGACGCGCGTCCGAAAGTATTACACCTGTGTTATCTTGTAATGATGGATGGAAGGGAGTTGTTTTTTTAACTAAGGAGGGAGTATGTTCATGCATGCATTTCGTAACAGGCGCGGTGGTATACAGCGCTTTTTCCCCTTACCCCCACGACATTTTGGTGCTATCATCACCACCTTTCTCCTTTTTCTTCATCATCTTTTTCACCTTCTCTTCTCTTCTTCCCATTCTAAAAGGTCGGCTTTTGCTTTTTTAAACATATATGTATCGTTAATATCGAGCGGGTGGACAGAAAGGCATGATGGTTTGGTAGGAGAGGGAAGTTTTGATATCAGGAACGGAGAGGCGACAGGAGAGAGACTCGCTCTCGTTCGGGGGATTTATCCCCTTCGTAATAATGATATACCCCAACTTATACACATACCCATACATCTATCTATGCGTACCTCATATGTTGGAATTACTGTTTTGACGTGCCGGCGGCCGTGGTGGTGTCTCTAATGCACCTTGTTCCAAGTCACGACCTTCTGTATGTCTTCATGTCCGCATGGAGAGGTACAATGAGTAGTCCAAGGGACCAGGGACACAGAAAAAGTACGTTCGTGATCGTGTTCACGTGAATGAGAGAACGTGGCTGCGGTTGGGCCGTGTGGCTGTAGGTAGGCACTTTGAATCATGGTATGGCTCTCATCGTTACGAGTAACGTTAGATGCATGGCATGAAGGGTCTCTCTGAGTTTACAATCCCACGAAGCCACAAAAGCTCATCGGGCATGCCGCGCGCTACGCTACGCTACAGTACGATTCAATCCACTGCTGCTGTCCCAGATACGTCTTTTGTAGGCTCGCACGCACGTCGTAGGGTAGTAGACGAGAAAAAAGTCGACAGGGGGGTTGGGGGAGGAGGGAGATCTAGAACGTCTAGCCAGACACCCAAACGACCCCCCCTGTAAGAGCTATAGAGCGAACTGTGGAGTGTAGTGGACGTACGGGCTGTTTTTTGCGCAAGCCACGGGACGAGTGGCTTTCTGCTGGGGTAGGTTAGGTACATAGGTACCTGGGTAGGTACTTTAGGTATATATGGCGGTGGTTTGTGATTTGTGGTTTCGCGTGTGAAGGCAAGGCGTATGGAGTTTCTATTGTATGGGGATTGTATTGTTTAGAGGGTGAGGTCGAGATGTAGACAAGACAAGAAATGACATGAAGCTTTTCATATGCAATACGAACTCGATACGTACGTGATGTTTACAGTTCGTTGGCTCTGTTCGGCGTTCCGAGGTGGGACTGTACATGTGATAGAGTGTCGTCGGCCATCTACCTACCGACTATCTACAGTGGTGCTTGTGGTGATGGGGATTTCTTGTATGGGGATTTTGTGGAGGAAGTACTAGGGGATACAGTGTATGTATGTATCTTTGTAGGTACTTGCCTATAGTCTCTATGGGATTCCGCTGGAACGAATGGAAAAGGTTGACCGTTACCCATCGCCATGGCTGCGTCCACAGATTTTATTTAGTGTTCTTTCTCGTTCACGTCGTTGGCTGTGCCTGTTCGTGTGGAATGGTGTGTAGGTATGTATGTATGCTCGATAAGTACGGGTAGATGGGGCATGTGGACATGTAGAGATGGTGATAGGACTGAGCGGTGGGACTTTTTCAGCTGTGTTGGTGGTGGAGATGTTTACCGCAACTCTTTCGGATCCTTCGAATGTTTTCACCGTTCGGAGGTTCTTCTGTTCATCATGACTTTGTTGCTGTTTGTCGCCGAATATCATTTTTCGTTATGGAATCCTTCCGTGTTCAAAAAAAAAAAAAAAGGAATAAAATGAAATCTAAAGATTATAAATCAATCAAAAATGCACGGCGAAAAGCAAAGGGCAAGGCAAGTGGCTTGAACCGCCGTGGACATCACGAACAGATGGGATGGGGTGGGATGGGACGAAATGGACAAGGCTCGCGGGTCGGGCGCAGACACACGGACACCAGCGCACGCGAGGAGTGGGAACAATGATCTGATCTGGATCTCCCTAATCACCACCACTACCGTACCTAACTAGTCACCAACACGAGGACCTTAGACCTAATGTACTAGTCAATCATCCCAGGTCTAAGGTCAAAGGTTAAACCTTAAACAAGTTACAAGACGAACAACCGGTTAGGTCATTACGATAATGAGGAAGAGAGAGTGACGGAAGGGGAATGGACGGAGAGAGGATAGGGTATGGTTTGTGTGGCACCATGGCCCACCGACTGCAGTTCGGCATGCCCGCGAGGAAAAGACGAGAAAAGTAAACGATGCAGTATGCAGATGCAGAAGCGGGTATGGATGGGTTTCCCGTTTGGAGGTCGGGAGCGAGGGTTGCTTTCTCATGTGGCATGCCAGAACCCAGACTCGGACGGGTTCGACACCGAATTTGCTCGATTGATTGATTGAATGGGCTGCGGTGTACGGAGAGGGTAGGTACCTCGTAACGATAGGTAGTATCTGATGGACCATACCATATGGCATACGTACCTATGGTAAAGGGTTTGTCTCTCTTGCAAGGGTAAGGCTACGGCCAGTCAGTCAGTCGGTCCATCTGCCAGCGCGACGCGCGAGCGATATGATGGGCCCGCTTATGCACGACAGCCGTAGGTGATGCTGCAGAGGACGGGTGCTGGGGACTGATTCGCCGGGCTTGGAGATTTGGACAATCTACGGAGTAGGTATACACGGTAACTTAGTTGAGAGGGTGGATGGGGCCTTGTCCACGTTGCAGAGGCGCGGGTGGAGATTTGGACATGAGCCGCTATCTGGCAATGGTCGTTGTAGGTGGTCATTGTAGTGGATGTTGTTTATCTTTAAGATGAGGATGGCGATGGATAGTGGACTGATTTGATTCATGGGATGGGACGGGAGCGGCACGGCAGTGGGAACGGGATGGATCTGATCTTTGAAGATGTTGGGCGGGTAGAAGACATTCGGTATTACTGGATCCTTTGTAATGTTGTTTTTCTTCTATCATCCAAAATCCTTCAGTTGGGTAGTATAGGATGTGTCTGTTCATCATACTACAGAAGAGCATCAAGGTTGAAGCATAGGAATCGAGATGGCCATGCCAATTCGTTTTGTCGGTATAGCCACGGTACGGTACACTGCAGAGGGATATGCAGACAGTGGAAATGTGGACGTGGCCTATTTCTGATTGCTATGTCTTCCCCTGTCCCCATTCTTGTGGACGGTAACACCAGTAGAGATATAGGCGCAAATAGGGATTGAGATGGAATTGTGAACTTGCCGATATTCTCCTTTGGACGAGGTAGCACATGCACACCAAGACTCCTCGAGGACCTTGACACGCACGCACACAGTAAAGGCCACGCTTGGGCAGGACGCAAACCCACGCCGCGGACGCCCACGACGCCCCAAGTGGCTTCGTGGACTACCGGAAGGGGTTAGTGCTGGACAGGTTAGCATCGCACAACGTACAGTAGCAGCAGTTTCTCGACCCAAGTGACCCAACGCTGCTCGTAGTTCGCTCGTCCCGGTCGACGGTTCGACTAAAACCATCTCGTGTGGTGATTGACTTGTCCTCGAACGGGTTGGGAGCAACGAGTCTTCGCGTCTTCTAGTCTTCTAGCCTTCTAGCCTTCTATCCGTTGTACCCCTTAATCCCCATTTTCCCCTCAAAGTCCAGAGTGATCAGCATTTATCTTTCCCTTCACGTCCCCGTCAGGCCTCAATCGGACACATCCACAGACACAGACACAGACACAGACACAGACACAGACACAGACACAGACAGAGGGCTCTCTTCCATTCCAATCCACTCGTTCAATAGACGCCCGTTTTGGCCATTCCTCGGACGTTGCTGGCGGTTAACATCTCCGTTTGGTTTACGGTGAAAGTTGTTACTCTCGGGCGCTTTCCCCAGGTGGATCTAGTCAACCCAATAATCCCATCCATTTCAGCCCTACTCTCTTACACAGTATACTCTTGCACTCTCTCTACAGTATACGAGACTCTGGACCAACCTGGATCCAAACAAGACGACAAAAGACCAAAGACCAGAGACGGAAACGAATAACAGTCCGAAGACATCACCTGCACCTTTTCAGTGGTGAATTGGTTGTAATACTTACGAGATTGCCGCCACTTCTTCCACCGCCATCTCGCCATTTCCATCCTCATCTTCACATACACCATACATACACCTCCATCCATCTACAGACCTTGCGAAACCCTGCTTCAGCCGCACTCTCCCTCTTCCTCTCAATCAATCATCACAATCTTTTTTTAAATCCTTCTTACCCTATCTCTACCTCTACCTCTACCTCCATTTTCACTCTTGTTATTCCTTTCACGGTTCCGTCCGACATCCTCCACCCGTTCTTCATCTTCTTCTTTTCCCCGACTCGCCATAGCCATTTCCCAAAACCGACTTTGCTCGACTAGTCCTTCGCTGACGGCACGCCCGATCCGAGCACAACGCAACTCGACTCCGCACCCTCTCGCTCGCTCTCTGACCTTTCTCTCGCCCTCTCCACCCTCTCACTCACCTCTCCTCCTCCTTCCTGACACCTTGCTCCTCCTAATTCCTCATCGCATACACACACGCATACCCTCATGTCTTACTATCCAGGGCAGCAGTACAACGGCGGGCAGGGCAATTACGGCCCTCCCCCACCCCAGAATTATGGCCCTCCTCAAGGCGGCTATCCTCCGCAAAACTATGGTCCTCCGTAAGTTGTTGCTATGCGCGCCGCTCATACCCAACCCGAGTGGGGTGGGGTGCTGAGATTCTCGACAACATGACTTTGCTGACCCTCTACCCTCTCATCAGTCCACCACAACAACAGTATGGCTACGGCGGCCCTCCTCCGTCCCATTCCCCTCAACCTCCCTACAATAATGGCTACGGGCAAGGCCCTCCCCCGCAGCAGTACGGCTACAATCAGGTATGCTTGAGCTCCCCTTCCACAATCCCAACTTAATCCCATCTGAGCTGCGGCTGACGCGTTGACACAGAGCCCGGCCCCTCAACAGTACGGATACAACCAAGGTCCTCCGCCGCCGCAGAACTATGCTCCTCCGCAGCACCAGCGTCCCGGTACGTTAATTCGCAATCTACCAAGCCGTTCAAGTGGCTAATGAACACAGGTCCCCCGCCGCAGCAACACAGCAGCAACGGATATGGGCCGCCACCGCCGCCAACGCAACCCCAGAACTTCGGTCATGGAGCCCCCAATAACTATTCCTTCCAGTACTCGGCCTGCGACGGCAAGAAGAAGGCTCTCTTGATCGGCATCAATTACTTCGGACAGCGTGGACAGCTCCGGGGTTGCATCAACGATGTCAAGAACATGTCGTCGTACCTCAACGGCCACTTCGGCTACAAGAGGGAGGACATGGTGACTCTGACCGACGACCAGCAGAACCCCATGAGCCAGCCGACCAAGGCCAACATCCTCCGTGCCATGCACTGGTTGGTCAAGGACGCGAGGCCGAACGATTCTCTTTTCTTCCATTACTCTGGTATGTTTTCACCTTGATTCTCCATATGCGATTGCCAATACTAACATACTCTGTGCAGGTCACGGTGGACAGACCAAGGATCTCGACGGAGATGAGGATGATGGTTACGACGAGGTCATCTACCCGGTGGATTTCCGCACCGCCGGCCACATCGTCGACGACGAGATGCATCTCATCATGGTGCAGTCCCTACAACCAGGTGTGCGCCTGACAGCCATTTTCGACTCGTGCCACTCTGGATCCGCCCTCGACCTTCCCTACATCTACTCCACCCAAGGTGTCCTCAAGGAGCCCAACCTTGCCAAGGAAGCTGGTCAGGGTCTGCTTGGTATCGTATCATCGTACGCGAAGAACGATATCGGCAGTATGCTTTCTACCGCTTCCGCCATGTTCAAGAAGGTCACTACCGGAGACGAGGTCTACAAGAGGAATCTCAAGACGAAGACAAGTCCTGCAGACGTCATCATGTGGAGTGGATCCAAGGATACCCAGACTTCGTAAGTTTCTGCTTTTCGTCAAGCCTCTGCGGACTACCTAGCTAACTTATCAAAAGTGCCGATGCATCGATCGGAGGTGAAGCCACAGGCGCCATGTCATACGCCTTCATTGCCAGCTTGAAGAAGAACCCCAAGCAGAGCTACGTGCAGTTGCTGAACAGCATCCGTGACGAGCTCGAGGGCAAGTATGACCAGAAGCCTCAGCTTAGCTGCAGTCATCCACTGAGTAAGTTGACACCTACCGTCCGCTGCAAAGAGATTCGACTAACAATGTGCTTTTTAGATGTCGATTTACTCTATGTCATGTAGAGAGTCGTAAGTTTTGATGGGTGGCGCGCCGGCACATGTAAAAATGAAAGGCTATGAACGGCCTTTTGCGATCGACATTGTTGAATCTGATTATTGATGGAAACGAATGATACCACACCTTTTGGCATTGTAGATTTTTTTCTTTTCTTATGGGGAACGTTCCCGATCGTGTTTCTCAATTATTTCCATTATTGTTATTCACACTCGTGGAGCACTTTTCCTTACACCAAAAGGGGACATGGAAAGAGGGAATGGACGGATCGGCACGGCCGTGGACTATGACGGGACCTTGGATAAGATTCAGGGAACGATGTGACCATGAGAAACGGTCTACTGTAGATATTGGAATATGGACTTGGATATGGATTTGGGATAGGGCGTGGAGGTTTATTAGCATTTCGTGTCTCTCAAATCGGTCATTGGCGCGGCGTTCGCTTTTGATGCTTTTGTTGGTGTCGAGACCTTTGCAGTCCGATTGGAATGATAAAGAAATTCCTTTACAGAGACGCAAACATTGAATATTGTATTGTATGATCTTGGTTGTACATGTGCATTTTGTCCTTTCCAAGTCATGCCATTGAAATGTTGTCTGTAGTTGTTACATAACACGTACTTTGCTCTGCTACAAGTGGGCTGGAGCTTGGGCCACTCTCCATCCGAACATCCACCCACCAATTGACGCCATCCCCCATTGGAGCTTTGTGATGCTTTCTCGACGTCATCAATCAATTCCTCATCATCATCACACATGAAAGTCCTACGTTTAGGAGGGAACCAATCCCTTTAAATACCTCCCCGGTACCTCATCCTCCAAAAATCCTTCAACCTCAAAAAACACCAATTCCAACATCCCTTTCCAATCCTCCACGAATCCATCCATCCATCTCCTAGGACTCATCCTACCACTTTCAAACTTCAAACCAAAACCCAATACAAAACAGCCAAAATGTTCCGCACCGCTCTTGCCCGCCAGGCCCGCCTCTTCTCCACCTCCCCGGTCGTCCGCAAGAGCCCCGTCGAGACCGTCAAGGACGCCGCCAAGGCAGTCGACCGAACCATTTCCGATGCCGCCGTCAAGGGAATCGAGACCGGTGGTACGTAGTTCACCTATCGTCCCTTTTGCAATCCCTAATCCCAATTACTCTTTACAATTGCTTTCTTTACGTGCAACTTCGCTAACAAAGTCTTTCCAACAGAGTCCGCCGCCCAAGCCGTGAAGGAAGCCCTCCCCGAGTCCGCAGGCCAGGCAAAGGGCCAGGCCCACGAGGCCGCCGGAGAGGCGAAGGGCAAGGCCAGCGAGCTCGCCGGCGAGGCAAAGGGCAAGGCGCAGGAGCTCAAGGGCCAGGCTAAGGCCAAGGTCCAGTAGAGTGACATCTACTTGACTACTTTACTCACCCTTCGTCTTCAATTCGGACGAATGAATGAACGAACGAACGACCTGTTAGCACCGGGGAAAAATGAGCCTGGATGGAGGGGGGAGGCTAGCTAGCTGCTTCTCTTCTTGTTGAGATGTCTTTGGGTGCTGGAGAACGGTTTGACGATTGCATGCATGCATAATGGCGTAGTTGTCTTTTGACACCTTCCTCCCTGGCTCCTGTTCTATATTTATGGCATTGTCTGCTTGCTCATACATAAAAGATAGGGCAGGATAAGACGTGACAGGGCATAACAGAGCAAGGCAGGATATGGGAGGGGTTATGTATAATGTTAATGAAATTAATCAAATTCAAAAAAAAGTGCAACATCTTCACCATTGCTGTCCTTTTCACCACCACGTTTGCCATCACTTCACCTTCATCTTCACTATCAATTCACTGTCACTTTACTGTCACTTCACTGCTTACTGTTATCTCTACTGTCACGATTCACTATCCTCTTTACTGTTCATCTTCACTGTCCATCTTCACTGGCCTTTCTACTGACATCTTTGCTGACACTTCACTGACCTTCACCAACACTTTACTAACACTTCTCTACCACTTCACTACCACTGTAATGTTCACTATCACTGTCCCCGTTCTTCACCTTCCTCTTCGCTGTCACGTTCACTGTGTGATATTCCTGTTCACTGTCCTCTTCACCAGCATGTTCACTGTCACTTCACCATTATCTTCCTTGCCTTTTCACTGTGATCTTAACTGTTCTCTGTTATGTATGTTTACCATTATTTTCACGTTCACGTTCAAACGTACGTTTACCTTCACTGTCATTCACTCTTCACGTTCATCTTCATCTTCATCTTCATCTCCACATTCACCCGTACCGTCACTTAAAGGAAGACAGGACAACGTTATAGATATAGTCAATTACCATGAATTATTCATCATTCATCATATCTCTAGATCGCAATATTAACAAGCCGTCGTCTCCACCAACCACTACACATCACACATCAAACATTACTTATATACCTCGTACCAGAAACCATCACACGTCTAGACTAGGAAAACAGCCCCTTCTGCCAGAAATCGCACCTCCCGTTCTGGTTCGAGTCCTTGACGATCCGGATGCCCGTGTCGCTGATCCGCAGCACCCGCGCCTCCTTCTCGCCGTCCCCGTACGTCTGGAACTCTCCGATGACGCCGCCTGCGTTTGCGGCCGCCGCGTTGGCGGAGGGGACACCTTCCTCCGTGAACGACGTGATGTAGCCCTGCAGCGCGGCCGCGACGGTCGCGTTGCGGACGCCCAGGGGCGAGGAGGCCGGTGCGAGCGGCCCGCCGTCCCAGAACGTGTAGCTGAGGTCCTGGCCGTGGATGCCCGGCGGGACGGCGAAGAGGTACGAGTACGAGGATGCATTGTTGGCGTCGGCGGAGAGGGTGAGGTACCGCGTGTTGCAGGTGAAGATGGACTCGGCGACGATGAGGGCCGCGCGGTCGTACTCAGTCGTGTAGAGTTCTGTGACGTTGGCGGTGGTGTTGGTGCCCTTGGAGCCCACGGGCGGGTAGAGTTCCGTGGTCACGTAGTCGATGACTCTCTGGGGGATGTAAGGGAACACGCCGCGCAGTTGGCGGTTTATGTCGGCTGTGGAATTGATGTTCGGGGGCGTGAAGAGGACTCCCTCGGCGGTGTTGTGGCCGACCATGATCTCCACGTCCTTGTCGAAGCGGCCTTGGGCTAGGAGTTGAGGGGGCTGGGCGGGCGTGAAGTTGCCGTCCACGACGGGGCCGTAGATGTAGGAGCCGTACGGCGCCTCGAGGACTTGGAGCGAGTTGGCGCGGATGAGGGCTTCGGTGGGGACCTTGCGAAGCTCAGCGAGGGTGGTAGTGTTGGTCAAGTTCAGGAGGCGTTGGAAGGCATCTTCTTGCTGGAGTTGCGAGGAGACCGGAAGCCAGCCTGGGGATTGCGGGATTGCTCGTTGGAAGGGTGCTGGGCCTTGAGAACCGCCGTATGCGGTGATCTGGTGCATGATGCTGCCGCCGCCTGCGCTCTCGCCGAAGACCGTCACGCGGTCAGGATCGCCGCCGAAGAGGTGGATGTTCTTCTTGACCCATTCGAGCGCGAATCTCTGGTCTAGGAGCGCGAGATTGGCGGTGCCGCCCTCGGCTTGGTAGGTAGGTCCGGATGTGAAGCCCATGGCGCCCAAGCGGTAGTTTAGCGCTACATACACGATATCTCCCTCGCCGTTAGTAGTGCTGTTGTAGCCGCTCATTGCGAGGAGCCCGGCTGGGTTCGTGTACTTGTTGCCCCCGACATAGCCGCCGCCGTAGATCCATACCAGGACGGGTGCGCCTTTGCTCTTGCCATTACTATAACCGTTGCTTTGAGACTTGCCAGTGGAGTTGAAGACCTTCTCAGGTACGAAGACATCGAGGAAGAGGCAATCCTCGGATGCTCGGGGGTCCTGGCGTGCCACCGGGGTAGTTTGGTTCGATGGGGTTGGAACATATGGCTGTGTATAGTTGAAAGGAAGGCCAAGGAACCGCGATGTGAGGAATTGAACAGCTACAGAGTTCCAACCTGTTCCGGCCTGAGGGCATATCCTGCCGATGCTGCCATTGTTAATGGAAGATCGGTTCTTTTCTGGTGCTGCTGGCGGCGCGAATCGAAGTTCTCCTAATGGAGGCGCTGCATAGCGGATGTTGGAGAAATTGTAGAAGCGGTAAGACTCCTATTACGTGTGAGGTTAGAGCTGTGTTTCTATGCTATGCTGGTCAACATAATGGAAGGTCTACTTACATTAAAGTTGCTTGCCTGATGGAGCTCATAGCCCAAGTCCACCACAGGCAGTGACGCGTTCTCGGCGTATGCTGCTCCCAGCAAAGCGACAACTGTCGCCGCAAGCTTCAACATGGTTTGACGATACTATATATTAATCCACGTTCACTTTCCCTACAGTAGCTCGTTCGGATTGACGACGAAGAACCACAAGCTGCGCTATTGAACGGTCAATGGCAAGCAACCCAGCAAGCAGAAGTGACAACCCAGATATGCGTTGTAAACAACCGCAATGGACACAAGCAAGCAGCGAGCAGCGAACAGCACGCAGACCCTTGGTTACGTATGGAAAGGAAGCACCCGGGGTCAAGAAGAGAGGGCTAGCCGCATCTTTTAAAGGAACAATTGCTTCCACATCCTTTCGTGGCATGCCAGCAAGGCAAGCAGGGCTACCTAGCTCTAGCTACCTAGTTCGATGGGGCGAGCTGGGATGTGAGCTTACTGTGATCCTCCCCACACCGCGGAGAGAGGCGGCAGCGGACCAAAAAGATACCCGATCGACTCCATCAATTACTGCGGAGAATGGTCGGGATGGGTGCTAGAGCCTGAGCGAATTCATCAGCAATTCGATTGGACCAGGGGGGGTTGGGTGGATGGAGATGGGCACAAAAAGTCGGGAGGTCATGGTATCCGTTTGGGGTAAAGAAGGCTTTCCGCCATTGAAATTCGATAGCTCCATGTGCCGGCAGCTCTCATGCAGCTGCTGGGTGTAGCTACTCGGATATGGACAAATAATGGTCTGGATCAGCAAAATGAGAACGAGGATGATTGTGCGAGGTATGGATGACAACAAAGGATTGGGATGGTCTGCTCGTCTACGTCATGCATGTGATGGAAAATGCGCGGGGAAAGTCCGAACAGAACATGGGGGAATGCGCCAACCTCGGCCATTCATCTTACACTTTCACACTCTTACACCCGCAACTTGCACCTGAACCTTACCTGTCCTGTCCTGTCCTGTCCTGTCCTGCTCATGCGAGTATATTATCCCCAGTCATGCTGATTTTCCATTTTTGTACATCCTTCGGCATACACAATACAGGTAGGTTACACCATACATCCAAGGTTGGGTGAACATAGGAGATATGCCTTTACATCCTCAATGGCATCAATGGACAGCAACTGCGAGTATTGGAGCTCACACAATGTCACACCGACTACTTCCCGCTCCTTTCCTCAATGCGTAAAAGGTACGAGGTACTTTACTCCAATGTACTACTACGCCGTCCTCACGCGTAAGCACCCCCGTAAGCCCCCAGACGGACACACTGCACAAATCGAGCCCACGGCCCGCAAGCTACAAGCCACGAGCGTTCGAATCCAGGAACGTTGCTCCGCGGCGTTGCTTGGATCGGCTTAAATCGCATCTGAACGAGTTGCTGATGTGCACACCTCGATGTATTTGTACGAGTTAGCAGCGAACGCCATTAGACGACGCCATGGTAGCTTCTGCTATTCCGCCGAACTGTTTTCCCCAGGACGATGTACTGTGTACCCCAGATCTGGAGCTCGTGCCTCGTCCCCCACATGTGAAGATGCACAACACGGGTTAGGTAGACATCTGTGCAATGTGCCCTACCCTACCCCGGAATACGAGAAAATTCACATGCGGTCCTACTCAACACTCGCATGCCGAGTTAAAGGGAAAAGCTTGCACACTAGGTATAGCCGCCATGCGTTGAGAGACATTAGAATAGCGATGCACACGCAGTGGCTTCAATGAAATATCTACGCAGTGCTTGTCAGTTCTATCGACTCCTTGGACGCATTGGATTCTGATGGAATATGCAATAACGATTTACGAGATAGACACATTCATTTCTTCCCCATTAAGCAGTTTTGTCCCCCTGGATGTGTTTGTAGCCTCCATATCATACCTGCGTTGCATTAAGCATCAAACCAGTAGCCAGACCCCTTCCTAGTTCATGCAAGATATAATTACAACTTATCCCTTCAACTGTTACCCCATGTGTACATGATCCTTTCCAGGAGATACCACATACATAAATAGAGAATACATGCATTTCCAAACAAATGTAGTAGATACCACGCAAAGCTTTGGTATCCATCCCAATCCCAGCAAAGCGGGCACGCACGCGCGGGGTACCCCAGATATTATGAACCAAGTACAGAATATGGACCCTTCACTGTGTACCTTTCCCCATTACGACGTTACGACAACGCAAACATAAACCCATCTATCGATCAATGCTCATGAAACAAAACACCTTAAACAAAGCACCATTCATCCTAGACAACTAAGAAAATAAGAAAGAGATAGAAACTGGCCCACAACCCCTCCTCCATTATGTCCCCCTCCATAGTCCTAGCCTTCGACGTCTACGGCACCCTCCTCTCCACCTCCTCCATCGCCTCAAAGCTATCCCAGCACTTCGGCGCCGCCCACGACGCGGACGCTCTGGCGACTGAATGGCGGAGGACGCAATTGGAGTACACGTTCCGGTTGAACAGTATGGGTATGAACCCATCCTCCAAGTAAGTCCCATAGTAGGAGTTCCGAGTAACAAAACGAGAAAATAGGTAAATACCACCCCTTCACAGCCGTAACACGCACCTCGCTCCTACAAACCCTGCTCTCCGCTTCCATCCCCACCCCCACGGAGGAAACGATCTCAGACATCATGGCCGCGTACGACGCGCTAGAGGCATTCCCGGACGTTGCGCCTCTCCTTACGCAGCTCGAGTCCCCCCCTTCGTCGTCGGTTGACAAGGTGACGGCTGTGTTGTTTTCGAACGGCACGCGCGACATGATCGCCTCGTCTATGGCGAACTCGCGGGGGATGAAGGGAAGGGGGAATGTGTTTGGGAAGGTGGTTGTGGTGGATGATGTGGTGCGGAGGTATAAGCCGGCGCCTGAGGTGTACAGGCACCTGTGTGAAGAGGTTGGGAGGGAAGAGGGGGAGGGGGTGTGGTTGGTTAGTGGGAATCCGTTTGATGTTGTCGGGGCGAAGGCTTTTGGGCTGAGGGCTGCTTGGGTGGATAGGGAGGGGAGGGGGTGGGTGGATAGGTTGTTGGATGGGGATGAGGAGGGACTGAGGCCGGATGTTGTTGTTAGGGGGGTTGATGAGGTCGTTGGGAGGGTTGAGGAGTTCTTGGGGACGGGGAAGTAGATGTATATATGTGATGTGATGAATTATGATATATTGATCCAACATCCTATATGTCAAAAAGAGTGTCACGAAGTCGAGTCATGATATCGATATAGGATGTAGGATATGATACTCCAGCCCTACCTCTTCCTCCACCGCACCCTCCCCACCCACTTAACCCAAGCCCTCACGTCCTCCCTCTCCTCCAACAATTCGACGCTCCAGAACTCCCTCGCTAGCTCCTCGTTGCTCGCAGCCCGGTGCACGAAGCTGTGGCACGCACGGCATAACCAAGCGACGCTGTTCAGCATCTCCTCGGCGTGCCAGCCGCGCTTCCGAACCCGATCGTGCGTGGACCGCGGGATCAGGTGGTGATACGTCAGGGGGATCCAGTCGCGGTGGCAGAGCTCGCACTCGGTGGTGCGGGTCGTGGTCCAGATCGGCGGCGGGGACGTCGTGGAGGTGATGTAGGCGTCGAGGATGGAGTGGAAGAAGTTGTGCAGGTCTGTGGCGTCGGGTTCTGGTGGGAGGAGGCTGTAGGAAGAGAGGTTCTCGATTGCGATTGGGGAGATGGTGGAGAGGAGGTTTGTCGTTGTTGATGCGGTGACAGGTGTGGAGTATTCGTCTTGTAGTCGTGCTGAGTCTTTCCATTTGGCGTATGATAATGTCCGGAGAGTCTCTGGCAAAGATGGGAATATGAGACTTGATAGATACTATGTATCATCGATCAACATTGGTCCTAGGATTTCATGTACCATCAATTCGGAAGCTCCTTACATCTATGAATTCCCCTAGATCCTCAGCATCGCTTCCATCATTCAGGTCGGTACTCTGGACTGTTGAGACCGGCTCAATTGAAGTTTTATCTTTCGAGTGATTTCTGACAGAACTCAGTCTCCCTTTTCTCCTCTTTCTGCTCTTAGTGCCCTCAATTGGCCTTGCTAGAATTCGAAGGACGGGGTCGCTAAGGCATTCGCGAAACGTCTCATAATTCGATTGTTCGTCGGGATGTATGTCGTCACTCATGGTCACTGATTATTTAATGTATATCTCTGCAGCATGTAGAACAGTCTAGGTCGTGATATGGCGAAGGAGGAAGACATTGTGCGTGGGTGGTGACAGCGTTGGTATATGTATGTACGCTGCCGCGATGATGTAGGTCGTTGATTGCTCTCAATGACGAGTAGTGGCGGGGGCGGGGCCATTGTTGCTGCCCTCATTACTCGTAGCACGCCAGAGCGCGATTGTGCACATCTGGGAGATAAGGGCAAGGGCGGAGTTTGTCGAGAACATTCTTAACTTAAGCCTGGTTTTGTATATTATAGAAACTCTGAGAACGAGCTGGCAAAACTTGCAACCGTGTGTAGTTAGTTAGTCGTGGTGGCTGAATATGAGCCATAGCGCGGAAGGGCGCCAAAGGCAGCAACATACGGAGCACCTTTTGACATGCACGAATCGTTGTGAGACGCAGCGAAAGCCCATGTTCTATCATTCGCTCTAAACGGGGTGTATAGTCCCAGACCATTGTAACAGCCCATTGTCCAAAATAACATCAGACCATCCAGACTCCCAAACGATCCAGTCACCTATTTAGACAGCCATGCACAAAGCAAGCAACGCCCTGCCAGATGCATTTACTTTCCACCCATTTATACGAACCACCGGATGTCCCTCGAAAAGAATGCACACATCCACACAGTTGACTTTGAAATGGTAGGGTTCCGGAGCTTCATCGTCAGTTATGACGTTCATTTCTTCTTGCCCTTTCCGCGTTTTGCGCTTCCCATGGCGGCCTCCCTTCTCCTTGCCTCACGCTCCATCTGTTCTGCCCTGGCTTTCTCTGCCTCTGCCCTCTCCTCGGCTTCGGCCTTCTTCCTGGCAGCCTCGGCCTCACGACGCTCCCTGACGAGCGCCAAACGCTCCAAATCACTGCGCGCCTGGTCGGTCTTGCCTTCAGCGTGCATCTTCTCGTATCTTGCCTTGGCCTGCTGAGCCTCCAAGGCCTCGCGCTCCCGGCGTGACAGCTGCGAGATGTCCTTGGCCTTGCCTTTGCTGCTCTCCGCAGGCTCTTTGGCGACGGGCTTCGCGGCCTGGCTGCGCGCCTTGGCGGTGTGGTTCGGGTTCGCGGGCATATCGTCGTCATCGTCGTCTTCCTCCTCCTCGGAGTCGGTGGGTAGGTCACCGGGGGCGGCGACCTTCTGCTGCTGCTTTGCTATCGCGGCCTGCTTACGGGCTTTTGCGGCGGCGCGGCGCTCCTCGCGGGTGAGCTCCTGCTTGGGCTGGCCGTCGTCCTCGGAGGATTCCTCCTCAGAGTCTTCCTCTTCTTCTTCAGAGGACTCGTCGTCCTTCTTGGATGGTTCCTGCGATTATCCGTTAGTAGTGTGTTCATGTGCTGAGTGTGCCTGTTTTGGGGGAGCGGAGACATACACCCCACATGCCTTCGACCTCGCCATCAGCATTGATGGGCTGGAGGTCTCTCGAGAAGTGCTTTCCGCCGCCACGCTTGGGCTTGCTGAACTTGCCGCCTCGGCCACGTGCTGAAGACATGGTGAATATGGGTGTAGATATGTGTGCGCGTAGAAACTATGTGCGAGGAGACCGGAGTCTTCTTTTTTTCGCCGAGTTGTTGGCTTGCAAGGCGGGTTTGTAGCGTCGTGTGTGGGTGAGGAGGGATCGTGGGTACCGAGTGTGACTGGTAGGTAATATATATGGTGGAGCCCTTGAGGGAAGGGGAATGTTTGAAACTAATCCACGGCAGTCTGTCAGCGCCCTGAAGATGATTTATCCAGGAAGAAGGAGGGCCATGATACGTACCGATAAGTGGTGTGAATTTGGAGAGGCTACCAAAATGTGAGGAGGATAGAGTGAATACTTTTGGTAGTGTAGTGATGTCCTAGTCGTAGTGCGTAGTGGGAGAGGCGCTTGAGTGACTTGACCCCGCCAGTCCCAAGTTCCTTTTCCAACTCATCCCTCGTCACTCGTCGCCTGTTCCACGCCATCCCCTATCCGGTATAACCCCCCTCACCTCCTCCCCACCCTGGTCAGGTCCGTTCACCGGCTTAGTCATCCCAAAAAATCGAATATCATTCGCATCCCAGCTGTTCCTCTTTTCTTCTTTTCTTCTTCTTCTTCTTCATGAAAACGAACCCTTCCAATTCACTCTAAGCCATCCTTCTACATGATGCATTGGAGGGGAAAGAGGAGGGAAGAGTGAATGAAGAAATTCAAAGCGTCCGCTTACCCCCTTCTCTTCGATGTTAGAAGTTCCGCTTCTTTCGTGGTGCGAAGGTAAATAATTTATGACGACACATACACACGCGTTTTTACCACGCCTACCTAGCCTAGGTAGGTAGCTATGTAGTAACTAGGTATCCATCTAATCATCTACTCGGTACACGTCTATCCAACTTGTGCCTGAAAGACATCGCGCTCAGTAGACATGTTCCTGGTCCTTGGAACTCCCCCTATCGCTCGTGATTGAATAGCTCGTTCTGCTTTCCCCATCTTTTCTCCTGACCCTGGCAACATATGCAAATAAGTAACCACACCGTACTTGATGTACTATCTTATGTACCCTATACTCATCGTGAGCCGCAATACCATCGCCTCCTGATACTTCTCTGTTCTTCATACCAAGTAGTTCGACCATCTTGTAAACCTGCTCTTCTATCCTCCTCCCTGCGATGCAAGACAGCTTTTCATGGATTTTGTTACTAGCTGTTGCATTCGCCATTCTCCTCTTAGAAGTTTCAAGCAAGCCCTCATATTCATTCGACCGGGCCAATACTACAAGACCATAGGATCGAAACAAACAACTCAGTCTCGGTCAACTTCTGTCTACATCGCTCTTTCAACTTGCACGTTCAATCAAAGTCAACGATACTGGGAGAATTGCATGCATTATCATTCTCTAATCCGGAAGAGCTATCATATCTGAATTTGGTCATGGCCAGAGAAAGCCCCAAGAGAAGAGGGACAGACCCAAGGCATGCCAAAATTTATCTGCTCGTTATCTGGATCCCATTCCCATTCCAATTTCCGTATCCATTCCCATTATTATATCCTCCATTTTCATTGATCCGTTGATATGATTCCCTCCGAGATTTTGACGCCCCACAAGAAGCATCTCTAAGGAGGAACCGGATTCATCGCATGGAAAGAGATAGTCAAAGTCGTGAGCCAGTCATCCCCTACCGCCAGTGGTTTGATAGCGTCAAGCCTGACACTCAAGGTTTCGGAGATGTCTAGATGAACCACATCGCCTCGCGAATGCCCTTGGGCATGTCGACGAGAGGAGGAGCTTCCACCTGGGCCTTGAGCGGGGTTCCAGTCGAGGTTTCCTGCTTAGCCTTCTGCTCTTTCTTGCCGGAAGAGACTGGAGAGTCCGAGACATGGGCACGGGCGCGGTCCGCAGCCAAGTGAGCATAGTAGACGGCTGGGTGCAGCGAGACTGGTGTCGTCGAACGAGCATACTGGAACGAATGCTCAAAGATGAGCGCCTGTAGCTCCGTAGACTGAAACTCGGCTTCATTCAAAATGACCTGATAATGTATAGGCCTAGCGGTACCCTTGATCGCAACGTGAGGGCACAGGTAGAAGTCGAACTCGAAAGGGTGGGTGCATCCAGTCTCTACGAGAGTGCCAGGAATTGGATTGCCGTTACGATCACCCTTCTCAGGGAAGAAGCGGATGTGATGGCGTTTACCAGCAATGACCACCGTGAACTTGGGAATGTCCTTGCATCCGATACGCCTGAAGGTCTCCTTCAAGTCGTGGACTTCGTTCTCCAGCACAGCGGCATATTGTCCTTCAGAGACACCATCACGAATATAGAGAAGTCGCTTTGGTGCTAAGCCTCCTCCAACGCGCTCGCACCAGCGCCTGGCCATATCGCCAAAGTGAGTATTGATGTTGTGTCTAGTCAACATTTCGATACGGCAGCCATTCGTCTGTACTTCGGCCCAGTAACGAGTGAAATGTTGATCTCTGGAAACGGTAATGGCGGCGAAGGAAGCCTTCTCATCTGAACCCGCGCCAGGGGCTGGGTGAGAGACGTCAGCGCCAACAATCATTGTTGAAGTCGAAGCCGCCTTGGGATTAATCTTCGCCATATAGGTAGACCTGGCCCAAGAAGTCGCGCCACCAAGCTTTGCGTTGACCTTCATGCAAACGTTGGAGATGTACTGAGACTGGTTGTTTTGCACATGCCTGCTTTGCAAGACCTGGGAAGCTATACCGAAGCGGCAATCCATGGACTTCTTGATACGCCGATAGACCTCAACGTTTCGATCGTTCACGATGAAGAACATGAAGTTTGGACGCTTGTTGAACGTGTTTCCGGTCGCGTTGAAGGCCTTTGCTACCAACTCACCCCCATCGCTGAGGTGACCTAGGCCGATCCATGGCTGTTTACCACGTGCAGGGTTGTTGGTATCCGGCTTGATAACTCCACCATGTCCTTCGAAGATCTTGATAAAGTTCTGAGCGAAGGCCTTAACTTGTTCAGGAGAACAAGTGTGCGGGGCGGAGATGACACAGATGCCCCAGGATTCAAGAGGACGGTCATTGGCAATGATGAATCGCTTGCCGTCGAAGCGCCAGCGACCCGCAACGAGGTCTCGCTCTGGAACGGGGGTGGGTTTGCTCACTGGACCGAAGCCGAGAGATGGCGGTGGCAGGACACGTGCTTTGACACGAGTAGGAGTGTCAGTGACCTTGATTCCATACTTCTTCAAGTAAGGATCATTTGGCCAATCGAGCAACTTAACACCAAAGTTCACGGCTTGACGACGTTCCGCGGGGAGGGTGACGGCGAACTTAATCATGGCCGATGTTTGCTTATCGCTCAGCTTCGCATTGTATCGTTGGTTCGGGTCAATGCGAAGATACTCGATGGGAAGATAGACTGGGCCACCACGGATCTTCTTGGTCATCCGAGCCACCGGTAGACCAGGGGCCAGGTTGATCTTGTACTTGTCCTTGAAGTACTGCTGGACCGAAATTTGTCGCTTCTTCTTTGGTTCAACGTCGCTCTTGTCATCAGGATCGGGGAATTTCGCCTCAGTCGGATCCATGCCGCAGATTTCGTCAATCGTCCATTGAGTTTCTTCACCCTTCTTGTGATAGGCAGTAACTCCGACCCGACGATAACGAGTGAGATCCCTCCTGAAGTAAGACTGTCGCCAATCTTTGGATCGGGCCTCTTTGAATCGCTGTTGCAATTGTGGGTAGGTGCAATCAAAAGCCTGCATGAGCGAACGTCCAAGCTCTTGAGCTCGCCAGAAGGTACCGTTGGCGACATCAACATTGAGGGAAAGCCCCTTGGTGCCTTGGTTGATCAATGTTGGACGCAAAGATGAGAAGACGCCTTTGAAAGCCTCGATACCTCCACCAAGATCAGCCCGCTTTTCTCCACGTTGGAAGAATGACTTCTTGATTTGAGTATAGTTGCGAGAAGGTTGTTCGCGTAGGACATGATCGAAGAAGTTGATCGTGTCGATGCACTCCGGTGTCCAATTGATATGCCCAGACAAGAAGGCATCGATGACGGTGTAATCGATCTTACGGGTATGGCGGAGAAAGATTGTATGCTTGTTGCGGCTTGGGCCAGGACCGCGATTTCTAGGGGTCTTGCCGGCCTTGCGAGCCTTTTCATCATCTTCTTCATCGAGATCAACGATGATACGAACCTCATCGCGTGGCAATTTCGAGGAGGACCTGTTCGTGTTAGCAACACCATTACTAATTAATCTTCAAGCCGCCAACGTACCATGCAAGTTTATTCCCATCATAGATCCAATGTCCATTACCAAGTTCCTTCTTGGTAGTCTCAGAAGCCCAAAGCTTCTTGATCAAGGCCCGCTTATCCTGAACTCCAGGGCTCCAAGAGACATCGTACTGATGTGCAACACCGTTCGGGTTCTGAAGGACCTGATATGTGTTCAGGGAAACGAACGCCTCTCGTCCATATTGGTTGAGGATGGGAGGCCGCTGAGGTAGACCTTGGGGGATCGTAGACTTCTTCTCATTAGTTTCTATATGGAAATTCCGATACCGCTTGTCGTCTTGGATGTGGGACCTCTTGGAAGAGGAGGGGTTGTTGGTAGACATGGTGAAAGGCAGAGAGTGTGTAGAAGGGGAGTAAAAAGAGCAGAAAGTGAGGAGAAATGTGACAAGACTGGAGGATGAGAGTTGTATGCAATGATGGATCGAGTTGTAGCTCGATGTGTCAGGGATGGGGAAGAGGAACAGTTGGGGGGAACGGAGGGTTTATATAGACACCACAAGCTCATGATGGGACGAGATGAGCAGCATACAATGCCCACTCATTAGGCACATGATGGCCTGAGCTGTTTGTCCGTTCATGTACACATGATGCATGAACAAGGGAGTGGAGTGAATGTGAATTGTGAAAATGAATATGGGCCGTTTACTTACCCCACGCGCGGCATACCAGCCAGCCATACCTAAGAACTCCGAGATGTTCTTGAGGTCACGTTCATTCGAGTAATTAATCGGCACGAGTGCGCTAGAGTCACCATGGCCGTCATAGGCCGCAATAGGCTTTGCGGTGCCTTGCTGAGCGGTGTCACGAGAAGATTGCTGCGTATCAGTGGAGCTCGAGGCGGCCTTCTCCTGCCCAGCTCGCTTCTTTCCAGGACCGGCCATAGTGAAGTCTAAAAGAACCGTCAGCGGTGAGGCTTATCAAACGGAAGATAATAGAAGGAGGGCCGAACAAACCGTGTGAGGGCGTTGGTAGCGAGTTCGTGGAAGCCTAGGTAGGCGAGACGGGAGCTTCACGTACTAACGAAGAGGCGTTAACGAGATGATTGCAGTGAAGTGGGAATTGAAACCGAAACGTGGGGTGAAAGAAAACGATGGGCAAAGAGTGTATGTGAAAGAGGGCCTGTGCTGGTAGTTCCAAACAGAGAGTGTGAGATGAATATGAAGGAGATGGTAGGTTTACCAAAAAGACGCGTCGCGAGTGCAATGATTGTTCGAAGTGAAAGAAAACAGTATATGATCGAACTTACAGTGATGAGGAGCTTTATCAAGAGATGATGATGATGATGATCACCAGCACCGTCGGCTAGTTGTGATCGTGCGTTTGCAATTTTGTCTTTCCTCAGACTTGGTGAGCCTCGGTTGTAGTAGAAAGAGAAGTTATTGATGTGACGAGACAGAGAGGATTGCAGATTGTAAGTGAGCTGGAATGAAAGATCGGTGTGTGAAGGAGAGAGAACAGAAAGGTCAACTGAAATAGATATCAAGTCAGGCTGAAGTTTCTGGTAGAGGTGGAATAGAGGAGGAGGAGGAGGAAGGTGGAAGAGGAAGGCGGAAGAGGAAGGTGGAAGAGAGAGGCCGATATATATAAACTTTAGAGGTAAGAGCGAGCCTTGGCGTGGTTTGTTGTTGTTGTTACTCTCAAAGGGCAGTTGGCAAGTAAAGTTGGCAAGTGAAGTTGGTGATTGTGGGGCGGTAGGCAACTTAGCAAATGAGTTTGATGCTGTTGCAAAGTGTCTTTCACCTGAGTTTGACCAATCAGGCAAGCAAGAGGTCGGAGCAAAGCAATAGTAAAGTTAAGATTATGAGAGAAGTGGAAACCTGTCAGTCCAGTACGCTAGGATAGTTGTCTGGTGACATTAAGAACCCTTTCCTGATTCCAAGTTGAGGGATTGACTTGAGGAATCACGTATTCAAGCTACGTTGGGATCTATGGCCTTTGAGACTACATGTAGCCAGCGGTGTTTCTTCTTGCGTTTCGAGAAGACTGTATGACATATTCACTTCCGGAAGCTTTGAATCTCATGGGTGAAAGTCTTTTCGTAATTCTTTCATACTAAGCTATTATACATCGCTCTCGGCGAATCCACTTTTGGATTTACTCAAACTGCAAAGAACTGATGATTTTTGCGTTCCCTGCATACTTCCAAGGAAAGCTCTCTTCACAAGTTATGGCCAGAAACCCAATGCAAAAATGAGACCTCTTGCATGAATGGTAGTGGAAGAAAGGAGCAAACACCATGACCCTACGACGCCGTCCTATGCAAAGTGCGAGTGTATGTATCCGCATCAAGGCGGTTCGCTCAAGTAGACGCAGATAAAATAAGAAAATTGTCCCGAAGGCTGATGCTCGATTGTTGTTTGAGTTCCCATAGCTTGGTGATATGCGTGACGAGATGTTTCCGTCAGAGTCGCTCTCTCATCGTCCATAGTAACCTACAGAGACTTGTTAGTACACCGGTTCTGACCTCGGGTTTGATATTACTAACCTCCCATGTTGGACGGCGGAGCTCCCCACGCCATGTTCATAGGCGGTGGAGCATATGCATTGACCGGTGTCGGCGTCTGCACCGGCATTGACATAGGCGTGGGTGCTTGCTGCTGTTGTCGTTTGTCACGAGAAACATCCGTCACCCGAAGAAGACCAGCCAGCTTCTCAGGGTTGAAACGGGTCGCGTGATACGATTGTGCTCCGGGAATAATGCTCAGAAGGAAATTAATCTCTCGAGGAATTGAAGTGGGTTGGGCGGCAGCTGGAGTGTTTGACATCCCCTCTGAAGCACGTGCAAGGTTGCTGCGTCGTGCAGCATCAAGGCGTCTGCCTGCTGCACCTTTCAGTGGTGACTCTCCACGCATCATTTTACGAGGTTGGGCAACATCGTTATCGACCTCGTCAAACGATCGCTTCGGCGAATTAGTAACGGGAAGAAAGGCCTCGGCGATCCTGGGCGAATTGATCACAGGGGCGGGTTGGGCATCCTGTATTTGCGGCACTGGCGGCGCGGGAACAGGACTGGGGGGTTGTTCGATAGTAGGAATGATGTTGATCATCACAGGCTTCATTTGTGTCTTCCACGAAATGATTGGCAGAACAGCTGTCGGATCAAAGCTTGGGGCTGACGGTTCGGCCTCAGTGGAGAAGCGCTGAGCAAAACGAACAAGTCGCGGGTCTTCCGGGAATAAATCATGCATGCGCTTTTCAAGCTTCACGATTTGTGCAAGTTCGCCGTAACTGGACTCATACTTGTGAAAGTACAGAAAGAGCGGCTTGGTACGTGCTGCCCCGCCATCCTTCTGTACAAGGCGGTTCACAAGAATTTCGAACACTGATCGAGCATCTGGTACAGTCAGTTCTCGTCCATAGAAAGAAAAGAGGGAAGGGGGTTGTCTCACTTGTAGCATCATTCTGTCTTACAAGATGCTTAATGTACTCTAGAGCGAATTGCTCGTCGTCAGGGAAAAGCTTCATGCCACGATCGAAAATCTTGGTGGCTGCAGCGTCCTGATAGCAGTGGTGCTCGATGAGCGCACTCGCGATGTAAGTATCGCTCACGAGCTTGCCCTTCTTACGGGCCTCAGCAAATATACCTCTGAAGCCGGGGCCCATGCCTGCAGGTGGATTGGGTTGTCCCTTCCCTTGAATTCGGCGCATGGTCCGCATAAGCGCGATCCAGGCGAAAGATAATGTCTTCCTCAGCGTCTGAATTTGGGCATTGTAGCCAGCAGAGATAGCTTGTAGTTGAGACTGGAGGATCTCTGCTTTTGCGTTCTGACGCCTCTCAACCTTTGCAGCTTGCTCTGCTTCATCATCATCCGAATCATAATCGGAATCGCGGTTTCCGTGCGCTCGAGCTGCATCTTCGGCAGCCATCTGTGCTGCATGAGTCTCCTTTGCCCGAGTGAGAGCATGCTCTTCGCGCTTCTTCATCTTGTTCGTGAGGTCATACAGAGCGTCGAGAACCTTGTTGAACGGCTCACGTACGGCTTCGCCTTTCCGAACATTCTCCTTGTCGTCGTCGAACTCCCCCTTCAGTTCAATCTGATGTGCTTTCCGGAATGCAAGAAGACAGCTTTCGGGGTTAGCTTCCATGCCTTGAGTCAGGAAGTTGTCGCCATCCTCAGTGAGATCGTTGTCGTAGGCCCATTCGGCGGCATCGAACCATAACTGAGGCCAGAAACGGAGCGCCATTAGCGCCTGCTTGTAGAGATACAGCACCCGCTTGTTGTACGTGGCTTGGTTGGTGTCCTTCAAATACAGAGGGTCGTTCTTCTCCCATTCGATCCAGGCTTTCCAGAGCGTCACTTGGTTCATGTATGCGTCGTGTCCATCGAAACCTTTCGCCGGTGGCAGTTTTGGAAGAGTTGCCCGGTCCACCCCCTTGATCAGCCCCTCAAGCACGTTGTTGGCACTTCTAGCATTCATATACAGCTGGGAATTTTCTTGCATGTTCTTGCGGCCCTGTAACGGAAGAAGTAAGTATATGGTGAGTGAGTGCGGGATAATTGCAATGACTTACAGTCGCTTTGTTGAAGCTCATCTCGAACTTGTCGTACTCTCGCCAGATTTCGAGGGTGGCGTTTGTGGGAACAGCGACAGCGCGCTGGTAGATCTTGCGCAGCATATCCATCTTCTGCATATCCTGCCAGCCCTGACCGCCCAATGTACCCGGACCCGATTTGATGAACTCAATATAATCCAACCATAATCTACCAGAAGAAATATCGATTCCGACTGTCTCAAGAACAAATTCGTATACCTGATGGATGACAGCACGCTTAGATTCATCTACAGTCACATTGTGAACACGTCGAATGTAGTTGACATAGGTAGCCCAAAGACCGACATGGGGATTGTTGGCAATAGAACGGTTGAAGAGGGCTTCGACCCGTTGATTGTTTTCCTGCTGCTGCTGTTCCATGTTCACATACTCGATCCATTGGTCGGCCTATCCGATTGTCAGTTAAATACTTGGCATATGGAAATGTTGGCTTACGGCTGAAGGAAAGACCTGGAAGAACCTATCAAATACGAGCCGTGCGTCGTCGATCTTGTGGCGCCTGCGATGTTCTTCGATTAGACTCAACCATGCTTCGATATCACCACGGGAATCCTCAGCAATCCTATCCTCGAATTGACCCACTCGATCTTGAGGAAGGCGCGCCGGCTTCTGAAGGGGAGCAGCGGCGGCAGGAGCAGGGGTGACTGAAGCTGTAGCAGAGCGCGCTGGTTGTAGTTTAGTAGCGTCTGGGATTGGGGTACTGCCATTAGGGACAACTGGAGCAGAGTGGGGAGCAGTGTCATTGACAGCGACAGAAGTAGAGATGGAAGCACCAAATGGACCCTGAGCTTGAGCACTATGTACTGGTACATTTTGAGTTTGAGAGGGATTGGAAATGGATGGTGTGTTTGTATGGGAACGCTGCGGTGAAATTGTAGAAACCCCAGCCGCACTAGCATTCTGCAGCGCAGCCCCTGTTGCCTCTGTCACTTCATCCTCATCTTCGCTTTCATCAACAAATCCTCCTATTGTGCGAGGTTGCTTCGTAGGCACCTGTGCAGGGGCAGGGACAGCCGGCGGTTGTTCCTGAGCATCCTCTGCTGCCGCTGGAGGTGTGTTGGTGGCTGATTGAGGAATCGACTCAGCGCTTTCTTGCTGATACTCCTCTTCGTGGGTCGCGACGTATGGCTCGTAGCCAGCAGATGGGTCGTACTCTTCCTCCTCTTCTTCATCGTCGTTCGCGTCTTCACCAGCTTGCTCAGCTAGAGAATAGTCACCAGCAGGGTCATACTCCTTTTGCGCGTTGAGAAATGCGAGCTCGGGATCCATGTCTGCCATGATCGCGAATTGTGTGCGACCGATCTGAGGGATGCTCGTGTCAGTCGAGGTGATTGTGTTTGAGTCGCAAAGACAAAAGTCGGAACCAGTAAATGGGGCTTACTGCTCGCGTGCAAACTGCACTTCACAGCTATCCTCACGCAGAGCACTAGACGGAGCTTAGGGGATGGATTTGTCTAGAAAATCAGTTGTAACGGAGGATGGAAGGCAGTGACTGGGCCTTTTGTTTGTCGTTTCGTTGTTTCGTGATGAAGTGCGATCTCGAGTTCGACAGATGAAAGAGGGAACGCCGGCGCGCTGGCTGATTTCTCCGAGCCTTGGCAACGACCCTGGTCCAATGAGCCGCGATCCCAGCCTCGCCGGGCTATGTCATGAATAGGCACCTCCGACTTCAACTAACCCACCTCCTCATACCCATTCCCCATCATTTACTGCACATGTTGCGACGTCCAATGTGGTGAGACTCTCTTTTACCAGAAAACCGCGGCCCTTGAATCCACCTACAATCATTAAATCCACCAATACCCACCCAGAGTATCCTCCACATACCTCAGCGGGGGACCGTTTCTGTCCGGTCCTGTCCTAGTAATCGCAATCGGTCTTTAGGACAACATACACCATGAATCCTCACATATCCCTTCCCCGACCCACAGGTGGACCTTCAAACTTTGGAAGCACTGCGCCCTCCAATCGCAATGAAGGAGTCCGTATGCCGCGCTTCTTCAAGCGTCTCTTCAAGTTCCCGCAGATGGACTTTGAAATGGCCATTTGGGAGATGCTGAACCTAATAATAGCACCGAAGAAGGTGTTCCGCTCGATATACTACCATGTAAACTCCCCCTCCAATGCGACGGCTTGGATCCACGAATCGCGACAGCTGACGATTGCGCCCAGAAACAAACAAAGAATACATGGCATCGGCCTGACCCATCGTTTACCTATCTACTTTCCTTCTTTCTGCTCCTTACGAGTCTCGCGTGGGGATTCGCATACGCGGACGGGTTCCCCCAGACACTGCATATAACCTTCGTGTTCATATTCATACACTTTCTGCTCCTATCGCTTCTCACATCGACGCTATTCTACTTCCTCGTCGGTCGACTCCTTGGACCAGGCGTGAAAGGACTGCCCGGTCGCAGAAGGCAAGGGCTGTTCAACGTGGAGGACGGAGACGAAGGCAGCGAGCTTGAATTTGGATACTGCTGGGATGTCGCCATAAGAGCGTTCGTACCCATCTGGGTCTTTCTGTTTGTGGTACAATTTCTGCTCATGCCAGTCATTGCCACGAAGCATTGGTAAGTCCCCGCTAGAAGCCAGCTTCATATTACGGACTTAGATGCTGATCGACAACCAGGGTTTCTCTCTTCTTTGGAAATTCTCTCTACCTCCTTGCGCTGAACTACTACTTCATCATCACCTTCCTCGGCTACAATGCGCTTCCGTTCCTGCACCACACCGAGCTGCTCCTCGCTCCCATCGCTTTATGCACCATCTTATGGTTCGCAAGCTTGTTTGGTCTCAACCTTCCCAAGCACCTAGCGCCGGTACTGTGGGCAGGCGCAAGATTGCGCAAGGACGTTTGAGGCAATCAACTGGAGTAGGTTAGCGTGTCGTATGAAGTGAGGAATACTGGTATGCATGTACGATATATGAGGAGCTTCATGTTCCGGGTTGCAATCTGAGTCTATTGAGAGAACGAGTTGACGGGCGGAGTGACCCTATCCGGCGTTTTAAAGGATTTCAAAGAGTTACATCGCGGCATATACACTCTGGTTGTAGCATTTCTAGCGAGCATGGGTCATTGTAAATAGGAAAAGGTAATCTTCGCATCTCGCGGTAGAAAAATTTGTCTTTTCCTGTGTCCTATGATACATTGATACATTATGGTCATAAAAGACTATGTGACTGTTTGAAAGTGTATACAGTCCCAAGTGTGGACTGAGTGGAAAAGTGGAGTTAAATGGTCTACACCACGGGAGTCCCTCCTGAACAAGAACAGAACTATGACCCCCTACTCTAGCCAATGCATCTGCGCCGTTCTATGCACCCATGATAACGCCGTTCTATTTTTACAGTCCCGTTCGGTATATCGTAGTCTTACAAAGTTCTCTTCTCTTTAGTCTCGTCGTAGCATTGGATTTTGTCGCCGATCTTGAATGCTTCCCAGTTCTCGAAACCGATGCCACATTCGGTGTCCTTGCGCATTTCGTCGACTTCTTTCTTCTGGCTCTTGAGCGAGTTGATGATGCCTATTTGGAAATGTTAGTAATTGTTGGCGATGCAGGAAATTTGAGAGAACTGGAGTGAACATACCATCAAATACGACAACATCGCCGCGCAGAACCTTAGCCTTGGTATTCTTCTTCACAATGCCATTTCTGACCTTAGAACCCGCAACCTTCACCGTCTTCTTTCCTCCAAGGCCGATCTCGAAGATGGCGGCAATTTCGACCTCACCAGTGACCTTCTGAGTGATCTTGGGAGCTAGCTTCTCGCTCAAAAGTTCCTTGACGTTCTCAACCACTCTGTAAATGATGTTTGAGTCCAAGATCTTTACGCCCTTCAAAGCAGCCAGGGAGGAGATACTTGGGGGAACAACGGTGTTAAAGTTGACAATATGGCCAGATGCATCCGCAGCATGTTGCACATCGAATTCGGAGGGAGATCCTACACCGTGGCGGAGAATGCGGGTACCAACTTCGTTGTTTCCGATAGCAACAATTGAATCAATGACTGCCTCTGCCGATCCAGAAACATCTGCTTTAACGATGAAGTTTACAATCTCTGGTCCGCTTTCCTTCTTGATAGATTCGGGAGCTGCCTCGCCATTCTTTGCAGCCAGAGCGGCTGCTTCTTCGGCTTCTCGACGCTCGCTTTCGAGACGACGGGACTCGTTGATGGCTTCAACGTCCTTCGCCATTTGCTCGCGCTCGATCTTTTCCGTGCGAAGTTCTGCTACGGCCGCTGCTTCGTGATCATCCTGCGCCTGCAGAGCCTCGTCGCCAGCGATCGGTTGCTCACGCCATCCATCCACCTCGACAGGCATTCCAGGTCCAGCTTCCTGGACCATGGCGCCATTCTCGTTGCGGAGACTTCGAACGCGAGTCCATGTTTTGCCCGCAACTAGACACTGTCCGGGCCGGAGGGTTCCATTGCGAACGAGAACGGTTGCAACCTTGCCACTCTTCTTCGTGGTACCTTCAAGAACCCAGCCTTCCACATTCGCCACAGGATCTGCGCGATGATCCAGGATTTCCGATTGAGTGGTAATGGCCTCTTCCAGGTCTGCGATACCTTGGCCAGTCTTGCCACTGACAAGCACCGTCTGAATATCACCGCCGAAATCCTCGACTTCAAGACCATGCCGTCCTAGGTCAAGCTTCACATTGTCAGGATCTGCTTGAGCTCTGTCGATCTTGTTGATGGCCACAATGATAGGCACTTTAGCTGCCTGCGCATGCTTGATGGCTTCCACGGTCTGGGGCATGACGGAGTCATCGGCGGCAACGACAAGAACCACAATATCAGTGACATTGGCACCGCGTGCGCGCATGGTCTCAAACGCGGCGTGTCCTGGTGTGTCCAAAAAGGTAATCTTCTTGCCAGACGCAAGCGGTACGCTGAAAGCGCCAATGTGCTGTGTGATACCACCAAACTCTCCTGCGGCCACGCTAGATTTACGTATGAAATCCAGAATCGTAGTCTTGCCATGGTCGACGTGGCCCATAATAGTCACGACAGGAGGACGGTTAGGCAGCGCTGCATATTCCTCGGGCGAGAGTGGTTCTGCTGGGTAGATGTCTCCATCCTTGCCGTCGTCCTGGAATATCGGTTCGAAATTATACTCCTGCGCAATGAGACCTGCATGCTCAGCATTAAGAATATGGTCGTTCTGAACCTCTTCGAACCCTAGCTCTTCAAGTTTGCGGACGAAATCCTCAACACGTAATTTCAGCACCGTTGCTAAATTAGCGACACTGATGAACTCAGGTAGGGAAACAGGGGTAGGTTCGGCTTTGGCCATTTGTGCTGCCTTCTTCGCCTCTTTTCGTTCCCGTTTCCGGTCGGATTTGCTGATGACTCGTTCGCTCAGTTCCTCCTCGTCCCGCATCACGCGGTTGAACCTCTGCGTATTAGCACCTCGCTGGCGGCGCTGGGGCGCTTCGTATCGATTGCGAGCCTCCTCCGGTTCCGCTTCATCAATTGCAAAACGACGGCGTCTTCGCTCCATGGCTTCGGAATTCCGTTGGTTTTTCTTATCTTCTTGGATTGCTGGACCTGACATTTGCGACTCCTCATGGCGAGTTTCGTTCTTGCGTGCCCAAGCCTCCGCCTCGTCTCTCAACGATGGTGCAGGCTTAGGGGCTTGGACAGCACGCGGTTGGTTTTGACGGACGACTGGCTGATTAGGACAATCCCGGTTAGTGTGCCCTTCCTGTCCACATGTGAAGCATTTCACACGAGAATTCGTGCCCCGACTTAGTCGAGGGGCAGTTCGCGCTCCGACCTTTTGATTATTGGATGAATTGTTTCCCAGCAATTCGTCAATTGCGCTCTGATCCCAAGTTTGTTTCGGTATCGCACGCGGTGCGTTTATCGGCTCGGACTTAGATAAGGGAGCGTTGCGCCGTCTAAGATGCGGAGCTTGGCCAAACTGAGGGGAATTGGTAATTGGAGGGCTGGATCCCATATCCACTTTGAAGTTCTGGCGAGACGCTTGGTGGTCCCTCGGACGCTGACCGAATCTATCATTGCTCTGGTTTCGGGCCGGTCGATTGTTTGTAAAGGGAGTTGAACGTTGTGAGGTCTGTCTTCCATGTTGGTTTCCATAGCTCCCACTCCCCATCCGGTCGTTCGGTATTACCCGCCTGGCAATGTTATGCTGATGTGAATTGGCATTATGATGCGGCGCTCGGGATTGCTGGGTACGCTGAAGCGTGGGCTGCTGTGAGAGTAGCGATTGTCTCAGCCGCTCTGCCTGGGTCAATGGGCGCGCTGCAGGCCTCTCTTCCTTGTATAATTGTGCTTCTGTGTCAGGGTGAGGGGCTTTGTTGGATGATGTGATATGCCTCCTCTGCGTCAACGAGGAGGTGAAAGCAGCCGCATTGGGAACGGCAAGTTGACGAGTGGCGCAAAAGATGCAGATATCGCGGGGCGAGGACACCTGAGAAATGGCATGTCAGTAAAACCTTCGGCATCGTGCAATTGAGATGGTGATGGAATCATACCCGTAGTCCCTGTGCTCTGTGCATTGTTGATGAGACTGAGGTCTTTGAAAGAGGTATCCTGATCCTTCAAAAAGTTTCTCAGACGTCGGCGGTTTAGTTCATCACTCCCGCGGGCGGACGCCGCTCCACTCACCCATTACTAACGCGCTCGGGCCAAGTTCCTGTCTAGTCTGAAAATGGACTAGTCCCACTGATCCACACTTACACACTTACAGAACAGCGGAGAGACCACAAGGAGTCTAAGGAGATAGTCCGCTGACCTCCATCCAACGGCATCCCTCACTCAGATCTATGCTGTCATCCGGTAGCTGAGGATCTTTAAATATAGCAAAACAGGCAGAGACAACAACTAACACATTCTTCTTTTGTCTCTCGTGTAGCTTACACCAGCGTGAAAAACCTCTCGCTAATGAGGTGGCATGCAACACTGACATCGTATTCTTAGCATGTCTTAGGCAGCCTACATTTCCCGGTCGCACATGTACGCAATCCCAGTCTCTCTTTCTCTCTCGAAAAAAGGATAAAGTCTCTGGACTGGTCTTGAGATCGAGATTGGAACCAAGATAGAACGCACATTTTCCCCTTCCACAGATGAACAACAACTTCGAACTGCCTCCCCTGCTACGTTTACCACCTGAACTGCGCCGGGAGATCTACTCCTACTTGAATCTTGCTCCCAGCCCCGAAGAAGAGATCACGACGATAAATTATGCCCTAGACTGGCCATTCTTCGAACATCCCAGCTCAACCACTTTCACCGCACACCAAGTGGACAGATGCAGATGTCCACAGCAATCATCCCGTCGAACTAACACTCGCACCGAAGACCACATCTACACTCGCTACGTCTGCCACGGCCCGGAGGTCCAATTCGCTACCAGATCGCGGTCACTATGGGTTCTCGAGAAGCCAGGCCCCGCATTCAACATACTCCGGCCCGCATCCCAGGATGAGAAGGAGAGACGGCCCGATGCTGGCATAATCAGCGTCAACAAGACCATCTACCGCGAGACAATACCGCTACTATATCGCCAACGCAATTTCCTTTTCCTCACGAGTATCTGTTCTCGGGGCCGCTATCAAGCATATGCTACCCAGCAATGGCTTTCTCTCCACACGGCCTACGCTCGCTCGCAGATTACGAGTATTAGTCTGCTTTGCCAGGAAAACGAAGAAGATTGTCGACTCCGCGACGTAGCAATGTCCTATGTCAATTTCTCCAAATTTGCCTTGAGGCATCTGGTGAACTTCCAGTCCCTCTGTTTGAATGTCTGGTCATCGGACATCCCGCTGTATCCGTTTGCTATGCTCTTCCACAGGCCGGAAATGCGTATATATGTCAAAACTCATGTCGGAGATCCCGAGCTTTATGGCTTTTACGATGAAGGGACTTTCATGAGCCAATTCGGCGACCCGAACGGTCAGTGGGCTGAGAGTTATGAGAAGCATGTCAAAGAGCTGGGATCCGAGGAACACGATTCAGAGGAGTCTGTCGTTGACGAAGTAGTGTAGTGCTAATTTGCACTGAGATATACATAGTCAAAAATTAATTTTAAACTGTCGCAGATTGTTTTTGTACTTGAGTCCCGTGAAGACCGATCGCTAATCATCGATCGCGAGGAAAGTCCGTCCTCATCTTGACAGTCTAGGAAAGTTGTGATAGTTCTCGAAATTTCATTGTACTTATTATGTTCATGTCTTCCCCCAAAGTTCGATCTGTAAATTTGCAATAATTTCAATTCGCCATATTCTACGTGTTTTTTTATTACGATTCCGTTCTACCGCTGATGCTCCAGCTTCATAACCATTCGAGCTTTATGATTGAGACCTTTCATTAAACTTCAGCTCCGTGTCATCGAGCGGGATCTCCAGAAGCAAGATGCTACTTCTGGGATATGTTCTCCGCAATTAAAGGGGGGTTGCAAAGTACATAGTCAAGGGCACTGCAGCGGCGCATGTATGATCTAATGGGATGCATGTTGGACACAGACGAAAGCATTTCATAGAGAAGTTATCATTTTCACTGCTGTATGTGTGCATCGATTCGCTACGAACAATGCCATGCTAGAACCTGGTTTCGTTTTTCTCCCAATGCAGTTTCTGCCCTTTTTAATCTGTCAAAGGAAACCAGGCACAGATATCTTCCTTTCACCTAGGCATTGTGATTCATTTCGAATCTAATCATTTCGTTGCCTCTGCGGTTGTCTCACCCCCGACCTCTTTCTTAGTTTCAGACAAATACTTGGTGGGACCATTGTCCTTGGCCAAATTTCTTGCTCCCTTTCCTCGCGCTTTCGAAAGCGCGACCGCAAGATCGGCAAGGAATCTCTTCGGAAGTCGCTCGTCGTCTAGAAGGGCCTTCTCAAGGTCGAAAGTGCTCCAGAAGTCGACAAGAAGGCGCCTAAGGGGACTTTGTTCTGGCGTATTCTTGTAGACGAAGTCTACATTGTAATACGGAGGGATGTACCATTTCCCGTCGATCCTGACTTCGGATAATTCAAAGAGTGCCTCGATCGTTGCATTCTTGGCCGTATCGTTTATTAACTTGTCGGAAAGACAGAATAGATTACACAGACTTTGATATTCCGTTTGGATTTCGGGAATCGTAATTTCAGTGATTTCGTCAGGGCCTCGCTTTCTGGATGCGATCTTGCCGAAGTAGGAGAAACTGAGCCACAGGCGGAAGATCTTGGGACTATCCTGGGGTAAGTTGACCACGCCATCGGTCGACTCTGTCCAACTTGCGCCGAGGGCACGCTGAAAGTATTCGGAATGAGCTGCCGATTTTGATTAGATGATTCAAGTCACTTCAGTATATGTTATCCTCTTTGGGCTTTACCACATAGAATACTCCTGTGAGCACTGAAGCTTTCCTTTGCGTCGTCTTTACCAACGATGATAGTGATGATGCTGGAAGTGAGCAGCCTAAACGGTTCTTAGTCCCCCGTAGAGCATATTCGGTGGATTTCTTATGAGGACTTACTCCGAGGCCGCAGTCTCATGTACTCTTTTCTTGTTGATGTTTTCTGTTGTCATGTTGAAGGAGGACCAGAGTGTGGTATGCTGATGTTTCCGTGAGAAGGAGAGGAACAGGACGCCGGTGTTTGTGAAGGACCGGGTGGATTGCAGTGAGTGGAGAAGGACAAAAGAAAAGCCGGCAAGCCAATCTTGGTTTTATGTTATATTGTGCCTCACGACTTCACCTTCACTCTAGTCAGTCTTGGCAAAAATCTGGCTCAGGCTTCGTAACTCTACAGAGAACATCACTTCTATGCCTCGAATCTAACACCATCATTCATGCGTCGAACAAGTCTGACTTCAGGACTCCTTTTAGTTCTTGAAGGTTCTTTAAGCACCCTCCCGCTCTCTGTACTCTTTCCTCTTCCGCATCCTGAAATGCATTTGCCTCACACAAGTAAAGTCCTGCATGAACTCCTCCTTGACGGAATCACGACAAGCATTCAAATCGTCGTCTACACCCGCCCGCAACAGAATATCCACCAGTAGCTTTCTCATGGGAGAGTCGCTCATCGTTCCTTGGTAGATGACGTTCACGCACTCGAATGGAGGTGTTGCGCGAGGAGCCATTTTATGCATCCTGATGACGATGGCTTCCCTGGCGATCCGGTCGTCGAGCTTCTCGCATAGGCTGTAGAGCTTGCATAGGTCGATGTATTCTTTGTTAATCTCTTCTGGGCTCATGACCTGAGTCAAGACTTTGATGTCGATAGGGTGAATTGTGCAGAGTTTGCCTCTCACGACGTGTGTGAGCCAGAAGTGAACAATTGGTGGTTCGTCTTCAAGTAAATAGACGGTTCTGTGCTGTTGGTAGAGCGGGCTTTCGACGGCATTTTTGAAGAAGGCCGAGCGAGCTTTGAATGTGTCAATGGAATTGATATTTCATCATGGCCAGTGAGGCGTACAGCAGACGGCGGTTGAATCAGCGATGAAGACTTTCTGATTCTCTTTCAGACCGCATTGAATGATCTAACTGTACCGATGCCTCGAAGCTTGAGACGGTCAGGAAGTGAGTCGACGAAGGGTAAAATGAATGACATGGTATTACCTTATTGGAGTCTCAAGACGAGACAAGCGATAGGGAGTGACCCGCATAATTTGATGGAATCTTGAGTGATTGGGGAGCTATGGTGGATGTTAGAATGTTGAAGGAAGCTGCACTAGCCAGTGGCATGTCGGGCGACACACGCATTCACGTGCAACTTGACTTTCACCACCATGATTTAGCAATGGCGAAGTTGGTCGTTGCAAATCATCTGTGAAAATTTGTCATTGCAGTCGACATTTCGCTCTTACCCCTTTCATAATGTTCCAATACAAAACCACAGTGAAATGACATTTGACAAACAACTGACTATAGAATGAACATTTCTAGCGATAGTGTGTCTATGAATTCTACCTTCGCCTTGAATTCTTATATGCATCTCCTTCATCTCCTATACCCACCCAACAAAACCCCATCCTTATCCTCCTCATCCTCCATCATCCCCACCCCCGCCTTCCTCAATCCCCTAATCAGCATCCCCGGATGCACCACCAAAAACACCACCGTCCCCGCAAACAGCAAACTGGCATCAAAAACATACATCAACGCCTCAGTCCTCACAATCGACCCGTCCGCCCCCTCCGCAAACTCCACAAACCTAAACACATTCCTCGCCAGAAACAAAACACTGACCGCATACAACCCCCACACGTACTTCCTCCACCGTATATGCGCCCTTCTCGACGCAGATGTCGGCTCCCTATTCAACCTCACATGCAACACCGCCACCATCCCCACGAAACACAACAGAGCGACAAGCTGCACCCCCAACCCCCCAAGCACAATCTTCATCCCCTGCGCCGCGCCCTCGGGACCACTGGCCTGCGCCGCGGACCCCCACATCTGGCAGACGAAGCTGGCGATGTCTATGACGACGAAGAGCGTTGTGGTCTTCTTTGGGCCGAGGAGCGAGTGTTGTCGGGCGTCCAGGGCGGTCGCGAAGCGCCCGAGGGTCATGTAGACGGTTGCTGCGAGGAGGGGCGCGGAGCCGAGGATCAGCATCATTTGGATGAGGTAGGGGGTGCCGTTGCGGATGTTTTGGTGCGCCCATGCGCGGCCGTAGTAGCCTCCTGCTTCGCCTGGGAAAGCCGTGTTGTTAGGTTTTGAGTTGAGTGAGTAGGTGGGTGAGGGAGGTCTTACCAATGCAGCCGAGGATGAAGGGGATGAAGAACCAGCTCTGGAATGTGACCATGTAGCCGAAATGCAGGACGGCTGCGATACCGAAGAGAACTACGAATGTCCATGCTGCCGGTGCGGAAGGAGTGTACGGGAATAGGTCGAAGTCGGCGATACCGCGCGCTTGATGCGCAGTGTGCTCGTACATTTTTGTATTGCAAAGTTTCTCTTGAAATAAAGGGAAAGATAGTTAAGGAAATCGGACTAGAAATTGGAAAAAGAGAGAGAGAGGGAATAGACGTTAATAATGGAAGATAAATGCTGGAGTGGCGGAAACCCGAACTTTTATATACAACATGTCGATGGTGTTGAATGATATGCTCGCATAGCCGCGTATTCGTATTCTAAGAGAGCGCTGTGCGAGAACATCGTGACAGCGATTACGTAGACAGATGAAACGCAGCGTTGGACTATGAGCAGCAAAATTAGTACGAACGGACCGAATTGTGGGCCAGTACCATATGTATACGTATCGTCGAAACAGGAAGACCTTGCGAGGTTGACTGTTGGTCTTTGAACGTCGGAAATGCTCTCTTTGGACCTGTGCTAGTGTTGCAGCCGCGTGCTGGGTTATCAGAATGGACATAGGGGTGTGCTACAACGTTCATAAGCAATAATTGGATTAAAGTGACATCAGAAACGGTTTAAAATTCACTTGTGCCTTGCATCCAATCAGTTCGTGTAAATATAATCATCTTGAAAATTGTGACCGAAAACTAGGTAACTTCGCGTTTTTGCGTATACCTCATGTCGTACATAGTCGAATATCTGCCATAAAATAATATAAACTAGGAAAACGAAGAAGCCGCGCGCTAATACCGATTCCAAACCAATAATGCCTATACCCATATACGTACACATATCCTGCAATCGATGAAGCAAGAAAAGATCAGCAAACCACCCAAAGAAACTCCCAATGGCAGTTCACCGGCGGCGCTCGTTCGTCGAGTCGTCCATGAGCCCGAAATCGCCATCAGCCAGCGGCTCCGGATCGACCATGCTGAGCTCTCCAAACTCGCTGCTCACATCCTCCTCCTCGCTCTCGTCTTCGGACTCAGCGTGATTGACAGAAACAATAGGTGTCGTCTTGGGCGCATCGGAGGGCTTCGGCGTTCGCAGCATCTCTTCTAACGGAGGGGAGAACTTTTGACTATCGATGTCGATCATCTGGATCTTATGCTCGTCTTCGCTGTCAGTGTCGACAGACGGTCGCTGTTGCGGTGGGGCGGCTGGTGTGGGCACCATGTTCGAAGGGACCTGATTTCGTTGAGACGACGCGGACGCGAAGTCAAAGGAGCTGCTTGATGGCGATGTAGTAGGCGGCGCATCTGCCGTCAGGTCAATGAGGGAGCTTTGCGTCACGGTTGCCGGCGCAGAGTTCAGTCTGTTCATCTCAGGCATGGCCGATTGGTTTCGCACGAATGGCTGTTGGCCACCAGGTCGCTGTTGTATGAATGGCCTTGGTGCTGGGAAGGACGCAGCTCTCTCTGCCGTTGGAGTGTGCTCTGTTCTTCCTAATTCAGGAGTTCTCCTATCCGATACCACGATCATATTTGTTGCTGTCTCAGTAGATGGATCTTGCTTGTTGCTGTCCTTGTTGTGTCGTTTGACATGCTCTCGTGCCCGCTTTTTCTTCTGCTCGGAGATCTCCAGTGCTCGTTCCTGCTCGGCAACCTTGTTGAAGTCGATGTCCCCGAATTCAGCCTTGACCAGAATCTTGCCAACGAGGAAGCGGTAACGGTCGTGGCCATTTACGAGTTTGCTAACGTTCAAATTCTCCACACCGTAAACATCACGCACCTCCTGGAGTCCAGCAACGCCCATCTGCAACTTTGTGGATCGGTAAAGGAAGCCTAGGATGTAATCTTCGGTACTGAAGACATTGACAACACGAGCGGCCACGACTGAGCGTATCTGTCTCCAGGTACGACTATCCGAAGGAACGGGGGCTCCCATAAGGATTACCGATTCGACGAGTCCAAAGGCATTCTGTTCGGCGAGCTCAACCAAGCACGAGTAGATGACCCGTGCACCGATTGAGTAGCCCATGAGAGTCACGGGTCGCTCTCCCTGGACTTTGTCCATCAGTGCTCTAGCCATTACTTTACCGGCCTTGTCGGCGCGTGCGATGGCAACTGAGAACGGATTGTCGAGGACGCTCGCTGCTTTGACCAAACCCAAGGGCCACAATCCGGCATAGAGTGCGCCGAGAAGAGTTTGGCTAACAACAGTATACGTTACTCCGTCCCATGCATAGCTGAACAACACATCGTTTAAGGAGTTGCCCATACGCAACATGGAGTCCAATTCGAAGCGGAGTGCAAAAGGTTCGCTTCCGGTTGAGTCGACCACCTCCCACGGCTTGTTCACGTCCGAGGGACTGTTGAGCCAACCACTGATGCCTATCGAGACTCGGAGTCGATGCTGCTCTCGCTTCTCGGGGTCTCGTGCTTCTTGGTCTTCAGTCCACTCCTCAGCACGTTGTATAGACGGCCTCTCTGGATCTATCAAATCTGCATTAGCACACGTACACTCCACATCGCCAGTAGCCACATACCTCGGACAGGAATAAATTCGAAGTCCTCGACTTCACGAGCATATTGTCTCATAATGCGTCCCGTCATTTTTCCACCGTAGGCACCAAACAGCGACCCAACGAGAACAGAACTGCCAGCCAGAGTACCAAGCAGACCGGCCACAGCCCCTAGACCCAACCCGCCCATGACGGTGCCAACACCAGCAGCAAGTAGAGGTGCGGCTAGACCCCCAGTAACACCGATCAGCACGGCACCTCCCACTGCAGCGAGACCGATCTTCCACTTGCTCGATGCTGAATCGTTCGCAGCCTGCTTCTTCGCCGACTCCTCCGCATCCATCTGCGACGCAGCCGACGCGAGTAGCCCCTGAGCAACCGTCTTCTCATGCTCTGCCAGCAAGTCCACCCCCAGAATAAAACTGCTGGCCAACCGCATGAGCAGCACTCTCGAATGCGCCGGATAATGCTCCAAGCTAAGCAGCAACAGCAACACGCAATGGAGCACCAACACCCTCTTCGGCTCCTCAAACTCAAGGAGCTTGTTCTCAATAACATCGTAATGACCATACGTCTTCTTCCCATTGCTGCCCCTCTTCGACGATGGCGAAGCCTTACTCTCAAACGGATCCCCCCCGAAATCAATGAGCAGCGAATTGCCCTGCCTCGCCCTCTCCGCCTCGTCGAGCGCCGCCTTCCTCTTCACCTTCGCCTGCCTCACGACCTCGCCCCGCACGCACAGCACGTCGCAGACGCGGTGCATGACGCCCGCACGCCACTTATCGAAGAACGTGAGGGCGCCCCTCCGCAGCCCCTGCATCTGCGTCGACTCTACTTCTTGCCGCCTGTACTGGAAGGCCCGCTCGGCCGCCTGCGCCGCCTCATCTTGCGGCCCGTCGAAGCTGATCAGGTCGTGTACGGGCGAGGTAGCGGGCTTCGCGTCGCGCGACTTTGAAGCCCCGCTCCCGGTCGCATTGTTGCCGGACGGCGGCGTGGTCGTCTCGTGCGTCTTGTTTGGGTCGAATGTCGCGAGCAGGTCGGCGCGCATCGCATCGGTGCAGAGCAGCACGAGGAGTGCGAGCTCCACGCGGAGCGTCGGCGTGTCGAGGACGGTGGTCAGGGAGGCGCCTTCGTCTGGTTTGGCAGCTTCGGGGCCCGCGCCCGTGATCACGTTGGCCATTTTGAAGAGCACCATTGCTGCTGCTGCTGAGAGTGGAAGGCTTGCTGGTGGAGCAGCCTACGGTTTCTCTGGGTGGTTACTGTATAGATATCTACAGGCAGCACTTTTCGCTGCCTGCTGGTGGGAATCAAAGGAGAGACATGGTGGTAATCTCTAAACTCCGCCCCTCCCCCGAAACGGTTTGGGGCCTAATTTTCTACATGGGGATGGAATTCTAGGCCTCCAAGGTTCATGGCAGATAGGAGTGTCTGCGTTTCAGCAGATGGTAGTTTTATTGTTCTCAGTACAGAGACAAATGAAGCGTATTCGTAGTATCTCTCCAGAGGTGTTGTTGTGCATGTGCGGCGTTTAGCAGGGTCCAAGCCATTTCCACTTCAACGATGAATCGCGCGCTAAAACGTGACTTCGCGTCAGCGTGTCAATTAGCACATGCAAAGAATTCCAGAGCGGGAAAAGGGTATGATCGACCAAGCAATCAAGCTGGTGTCTCCCTTTTCAGGGAAGAGGATATTTACATAGTCATTTGGGTACTCAGGGTTGATACAGTCTGACATATGATGCACAAAATGTCTGTTCAATGGATTTTTGTTTTTTTGATTGTTTCATGCTTTGCTAATAAGTCCGTAACTAGCGAATGTAATACTACACCTAGACTACATACACTGACAGATACTACCCAATGCATGCAAGTCCCTAACGACTAATATGAGGGGGACGAACTACCAAGATAGTATAGTGAAGACAATAGAGGTTCAACATCCGTCAATCTTTTCCATAGTCGACTATGATAAAAGGGAAACGGCTAGATCAAAGAAAAAGCCGACGTGAGAGAGATTTAATCGACGGTTTTAAGAAAGAGCATTGCTACTGTTGTCGAAAGACAAGTGACGATTGAACCTTGAGAGGGGGGAATCTCAGACCAGGAGGTGGGGGAGCATGAAGGCCGCCCTCACGGAGAAGGAAGAGAGATGGAGAGAGACAGAGGGTAGGAAAAGCATTGGAGAACGGGAATGACCCTACGCTATGCATGCGAACTTGAGAAACAAAGGAAACTGGAGATTAACAGAGATGCTGTAGATGGGAAATTACCCCTGATACTTTAAGCATCGCCAAACATATCAGCAACACCTGCAAGGCCGGGGGATGTGCCCCTGACGATGGTCGCAGATTGGTCGACACTCATGTATTGCTCTTCGAAAGCGGTTTTCTTCTTTGGCTTCGCCCGCTCGATCTTTCCCTGTTCGTGGATGCTCACACCACGGACGCTGGAGAGTAGGTCAAGAATGATGCTACGCTGGAGGCGCTCGTCGCTGCGGTTCGCACCACGGAGTCGAGCAAGGCGTCGGTCTACGCGGTAGACGTCGCCCATTCCGGGGAGACTGAGGAGGATGTTTCGAGGGATGTCTTCGTCAAGGTGGATGATTCCTGCGATCAAGATTGCAAGGTCCTTCTGGCAATCAACAAAGTAGGGCTCGTGGAGCGATGTGATCGCATTCTTAAAGATCTCGTCGCAGAAGAAGTCGCGGATTGGCGACTTCTCTCGGAAGCGCGGTAGAAGGTTGCGCAGGGCGCGAACGATGGTCACGACGGACCTGGTGTCGCGGACGCGGAGAGTGGAGTTGCAGAAGAGGAGGATAGGTTCGAGGACAGAAGAGGTGGTGAGGATGAAGTGGTGCATGGGAACCTCGTTGGGGGCTTGACCTTCCTGGCGGGAGAGGTCGCTACGGGAGTCGAGCAGAACAGCTACGAGAGAGACGGAGGTGAATGTGAGTTGTCTCAATATGCTCTCATTCTTCATCTCATCCGTGAGATTGTCATTCTCACCAGACTCTGCAATCTGTCGGTTGATGAAGTCCCATTCCGACGTAATCTTCCTGTTCAACTCTCTGAAGAGGCCTTCTATCATCGGTGGTAAGAATTGCGGTCGGAGCTGCGCGGGGCAACCTTCGATGAGATGGGTTGACACGCTCAATAGAACTGACAGATGATGAGCCGATAGTGCAGATGCATTTGCGAACAGAGCCTGACTAAGGGGACCAGGAAGATCTGCAATGCCGTAGAAGAAATCGCGGAAGCGAGTCAATGAGTAGAGAATGTAGTAGGAGCTCTCGCGGATCTGTCGAACTGTCCCACGCACAGTAGAGGCGAAGCCTTCATAGGTTGACTTGGAACCGCTAACGCGAGAGAAGAAGTCTTCCCGGCTTTCGGTTGAGATGCCGGCTTGCCAGAACCTGTCAGTCAAGACTCTGCTAATGACCTGCTGCAGCTCAATTGGAAGATGAGACCAGCTTGATTCGACATTGTTGAACGCTTGAGCGTAGCTAACAAGCTGCAGCAAGTTTGGGAGTATGACGGGTATGGCTTCAGCCCAAAGCACAGCCGCAGTCTCATATGCAGGGGAGCCATCGCGGAGCTTCTCGATGGACGCAGCCAGCAAAGTCTTGGTAAGACGAAGAGGAAGGCGGTTTGATCGTTGCAATATCTCCGCCTGCAGTGCCTGTCCTTCGGCAGGGAGAGCGTGTTCGGACCAGTCCGACACACCCCTGAAGTTGTGGGCTGAGAAGAAGTCCGGCAACCGATCCATAGCTAGAACACCACAGAAAGACTGGAATGTAGATATCGAATTCGTGAAATCATCGTTGCGCCAAGCTTCCTTGACCTGGCCGAGCAATTGCTTCATTCGAGCTTCTTGCGTTCCACGGTCCAGTGTCGTCGATCGATGTATGATGATGAACAAGAACGCGTTGAATGCCATCCGCTGTCTATCGTCCGTATCAGGCAATGCAATCATTTCGTTAATCTTCTGCTCTAAGCTATCATAAACCTTCATAAAGTCATCTGGAAATTTCATAGCGAGTTTCTGCATCTCGAGACTGCAGACACGTTCGAGGTCCTTGACTGCCTCCGAGTACTGGGTAAATGCCGTGTTATCAGCAAGTTTCACCGTCAGCATATGCTCGAGGAATGTCAAGGCAAAGGCAGGCCGGTTGGGCAGTGCTTTTGTCGAAAACGTAGACATGAGCTGGATAACCTTCTTAGAGATCTCGGGATCTTCGAATCGTGCCTGGAGAAGCTGTCGACACCATTGCTCGAAAGAGTCTTCCATTGTGTTACGCATTTGGTCGTCCTGCTGTGGATCGTCAGCCGCACCATGGGTCGATAACCACTTCAGGTAACCTTTCAGAGCCGCGTCGATGATGGTAACTTGCGCATCGACCTGCAGAACAGGGGCAGAGCTCTTGGAAAATGTTTGCGCTTTGACATGTCAGCGTACGCTATAATCTACTAAGGGATTACAACTTACGTTGAAAGGGCGGCTGGCCGTCATACAGCCGCTGGAAAGTATTGGTGGCCTGTCCCAAGATGTGTTCCATAGCCTCCACTGGCGTTCTCCGAACAAGAACCTCGATCACCTCTGCACAGAACCGACGGTAGTTGCCCAAAAATGCATGCCTTTCAGGAACGGTATCGATGTCCTCATTGAGGAAAAGAATCGTGACGTCTTCCGAATCCTCCGGGAACGATTCGTATCGTACCAGACGAGCGCAGCAAGTCTCTAGCAGGCCGCCGATCATCTGGGTCACCACCTCTGAATCGCGAACGATCCGCGAGCGCAATAGCTTCGTCCAACAGTGAAGAACGGGAATTGACACCACCAGACTTGGGTTCCGGAAGATGTCGAACAGAAGTCCAAAAATGCCAGCGAGATCGCTACCCTCCGGAACGCTCTGCGGCTTTTGTTCGATGAACAGACCCAAGCTATTAGCCAACTAATACATCGTCAGTTTTTCTGTGTCTAGAAATATGCCAAACGTCAAGATTACCTCCGAAAGCTTCTTGCAAAGGTTGTACTTTTGCTCGTTGAGATCGTGCGCGTTCATATCGGCCAAGGTCCAATTGTACACCTCGCGCAGCAGCGAGACGCTACCAGGCGTGAACATGGGGCAGACCAGTTCCACGAATTCGTCGTCATGAAGATGGTGCCTGCTGTAGATAGCCTGCAAAACCTCGACGGATGCCTACACGTCCAAGAATCAGTAAACGATCGGAGGGAACGAAATCTGCAAAAAGGCTGGCTGGGTGACTACCAATTGTAATTCCACCACAGGCACAGCCAATGGCTTGCAAACATGTTCTATGACCTGGACGGCGACTATCGCTTTCGGGATGACCCATGACATGCAGGCGCGGAGCGCATTCATGGTCTTCACGGCGCAGAGCCGCACGCGCTCCTGGTTTTGGTAGTCCTGCGACAAACACCACGTCAGATTATCACACAGTCTCTTCAGCCAACCCTCGTCGCCGCATCGCACATCCAAGCCCTTGTCTCGTGAGGGGAGGTGTTCGGCGAGAACGGCGGCGGGAGTGAATATCTCGACGCAGGCGCGGCCCAGATCGCTGCCTCGTAAACCTGCAGTAGTGTCTTCGCGGTTGAAAATTTCCTCGGAAAGTGTCTCGAGGATGTACAGGACGACGGCCTGGTGGTGAAGAGAGCTTCGCCACAGCTCCACGAGCTGCTCGTCCATATTCATCCACTCTGCCGCCCATGATCGTTTTGCGACTTCGGTCCATAGCTGAGCCACTTTGTTCCGCAGGTAGACTGGATCCTCCTCTGAGATGTTTTGCGCCAATTCAATAACGTAGTTCCGCAGCGCGGCTCCTTGCTCTTCCGAGAAATCCTCCCAATTGTACTTTATGGAGTATTCCAGCATGGTCAGGCCATAGTGCCGGAGCTGCGCAGGCTGCGACCTGTCGAGGGCGAGGGTGTGGCCATGTGAGGGAGCTTCCGGGTGCCGTTTGGCCTGCTCTAGATATTCCGTAGCTTGTCGGCGGGTATCGTTTGTGGAGGAGGGACTGTAGATGGCCTGCAGAGCCTGTAAGACCTGGGAGAGGTCATTTTGAGCAGCGCCGTTGGGCTGTTGGGAGGTGCTGCTGGCGCTGCCGTTGGCAGTAGCAGTCTGCGGGGTTTTCGCAGCCCCAGCGTCCATGGGCTCGGTGGCTCTGGAATACGCTGTGACGAAAGGAAGCTGTGGCTGCTGGAGGGAGACGTCAATGTCAAGCTTGATCTGCAAAGAGGGCGTGGGCTAGAGAGTAGGGTTCGAAGTTTGCTGCGGGTAATACAGGTAGATACAGTTGAGTATACGAGTTGCGGCGTACCTTGGCGGTGTAAACGGCGGCGTGAAAGCGCTGTTTTTGGGTCTGGTTTTGGGTTTGGTGCTGGTGCTGCTGGCGGAGGTGGAGGTGCTGGTGCTGCTGGTACTGGTTCTGACGGTGCTGTTCCAGCTTCAGCTCACGCTCACTACTGCTGCTACCACTATTACAAAAAGTATTACCAACCTCGTCGTCGGCGGTGGTGAAAGGAAAGTAGATGGGACCGGGAGCCATGGTCCGGAGATACTCAAGAAGACAAACAATTCCTCAACGAACGATAAAGAGTCATACGCATAACAACACAGACACACATACAGCAAACACACGCACACCCCGTACTTTTCACTTCTTCAGCCTGTTCAGAGTGCCACAAACGTCGCGCTTATTAGGCTGCCGTTGGGGGGCGCTGTGCAAGTACCAATATGTACCTATGTACTCTGTATGGACATACAAGTTCCGCCTGGAGGATGTGGCGCGCGTATGTCCCACAACGCGCTGTCACCTGGTGATGCCGATGTTGGTGCTGCCGATGCTGATATTGATGCTGCTGGGAGGTGGTGGAAGAAGCGACAAAGGTGTGCATGAATACTCCACCAAACAGTAATGTACGTGTTCACTGTGTGCGTGTGTCTCCTGTCTTTTTCTCTGCTCGTTGATGCGATGGCTATCATTCTACCTGCTATGAATCCATTTACGCGCTCGACTATGTGCCAATATATCCGACGCAGTCAGGTGGCGATACCTGCTGAGGGACCTGAGCCTTCGCCTGATCGTGTGAGACGGTGAACAAACAGACGAGTATCTCGTGTGTGAAATCCACCAGCGGACTCAACCTCAACTGTTTTGGTGAGGTCAAATGGGACGCGCGACAAAATCGCTGACACGGCCGTACAACACCTGACAATCGCATGATTTGGACCATTTCAGCCATAAGTTATTACATCATCCTGCATAAAGGGCCTAGATTCATAGTCATTTGTATTATCATCTATATTCGTCCATGAATAAATTGCCATCAAAGGTTCTAGAAGTCATCACCTGTCCCGCCATTTAGCATCGTGAGCAACATGAGCGTCTTCATACTTCAAAACAACCATGTATGTACAGGTCTGCTATTGTCGATCGCGAACATAATGATCATTATTGTTATGCAAGATCATGATCTAGTCGATTTGGCTAAACACATTGAGAAGAAGACTACTGCGCCGCACCTCGTATTTGTTTATGCTTGTCCTGTAGAAACCCCTCCCACCCAAGAACTGAACATCATGCAACTATATGCTGACCAAATGTCCCTAATCAGCCCCGAGCCGAACTCCATAGAACGCCTAACATTCCCCCACATTGGGGCCATAATAGCTAGGATGAAACCCCATCAACACTGAGAGAGAAACATGACCGAAAAGAGATGATATCCTGCTTGCTCGCTTGCTCACATGACCGCGCATGCATTCTTCTGGCATTGTCGGAGGTAGCCCTCGTCCTCTTCTGTTCCTGATCCGGCGCCCGTCTTCCGCACTACTCCCTTTACGGTAATCGTCTGATCTCCCTCCGCATGCCACCACCTGAGGATCTGCTGCTCCACTCCTTCCGACTCTTCAACTGTAATAGTCCACTTGCCCCCAGATACCTCCACACTCGTCTGTCCATTGGGGAAGTGGAACTCGGGCAGGAATGCCACCGTGGGCGCATCCTCTTTGGTTGGACTTGGCGCTGTGAGCGCAATTTTGAACGTACTGTTGCGTAAATCGAATCCAAACGACTTGAGCAGTCCATGAGTAGCCACTGGAGTCGGACGTACAAAAGCTTCCGCTGCACGCAAACCCCGGACATCGCCGCCATTGGATTGAGAACTCATGTTCTCCGCAGTCAACGTCTTCTTAAGGTTGCCAGGAGAGACACTGAGTGTATCCGAGGCTTGTGCTTGGGAAAATGATGGCGAACCTGTGTCCAATGACGCCCGTGAATCGGCGAGTGTGAATGCACCCGGGGGAAGCGCTTTGTCGTCCACAGAGTAGATGGAAAGGTCTTCACCGTTCCATTGATCTCCCCAGTAATGGTTATTCTAATTAACAGTCAGTTTGAGTGCCAATCTTGTGCTTGAAGCGCAAATCGTACCGTTGCAACATAAGTCCAAAGAGTGAAGCCGTTCGCATTACTCTCTTCAAGCGCAAAGTGGTTGGCATCTAGTGCCGCAATCTGGCTGCTGTAATCGCCGGTGCGATACGCATACTTATCGTCCATGTCGTAGGGTATACCGATCTCAGTAAACACACACGGATGCACACCCAAGTATTTTTCTCCTTCCTCGCGTATTGCCCTGAGCTGGGCAGCAAAACAATTCCTAATGGCAGTTTCACCAATCTTGATCGCGAAAGCTGGTGTGAGGTATCTGCCTCGCAAAACGCCGAAAACATCAATATTCCATACCCGATTCCATTTCTTCGTAAGTAGCGTAATGCCGTCGTAAAAGTGTGGCGAGAAAATCATGTTTGGATCATCGTCCTGGGTTCCCTTCACGTTGGGAGGGATCTCAAGTACTGGTGGTTGGAAAAACATCAACGAGTCCGGGAAGATCCTCTTGACCATAGCACTATACTTGCGGTAATGGCCCAGCCAGTAATTATTCACAAAGTATTCGTAATCGACTTTGGCGCCAGTCTTTGGGTGTTTGCCAAAGTAGTCCTTTCGTAATACCGTATCGGTCGCGGGGTCCCATACGCCGTGTTGCGCCCAGAGGCACTCGCCCAATTTCCATCCTGGATCACGCTTCCATCCGTATTTCGTATCGTCGGAATCCGCAGAAAGCCATGCTTGCTTGCCTTCAGGGTCTACTAGAACTGTGCCAGACTTGTACGGTCCCATAGCCCCAAAGTCCCACGTCTCGACCTCGCAAGCTCTACCCGATCCGGTAAGTATCGCCTGCCAAGCAGTGGGAGAGGTCCCCTTCTGCAACTTTTGCTCGCTGGGGATGACGGTCAAGTCCTGGTGGCTAATCAAGCCTTTATTCGGTTCGTTCAAGCTCTCCCATCCGACGACGGGGTCGTGCCAGATGTCGCCAGCTTCGTGGATTCGCTTCGCCAGATGCTCGCATGCGCCGAAGAAATGCTCTTCTAGGTAGTCCTGGATATTCTTCCCATCAATGATCGCCTTCGGTGCGAAGTCCCTGCCTGCGAAGAATAGCGTGAATATCACCTGGCAGGCGAAACGTGTGTAGTTGGTCGCCCATATCATCTTGGGATACTTGTCTGGTTCCGGAACGACATTTTGTACAAGGGCTGCTTGGGTGACGTCGAAGAATCTGGGGTTCAACCCGCAGGCATAGAGTGTCCATAATGGGGCTCCTGAGCCACCGGAGAATCGTGACCACTGGTGGTTATGTTAGAGAATCTGCCCTCAGTTCGGATAGGAGTTCTACGTACAGCATCCTGATGAGGATCCATGAAGATATAGAATCCATATCCCTTCGCCACTCGGAGAATGGAGATGGTATGTTGTATCCACTCTTCATCATATTTTCCCGGACCCTCGTGTTCTATGGCTTCCCATGTGAAGATATATCTTATAGTGTTGTAACCCCAGCCGCGTAATCGTGCAAAGTGCGTCGGTGCATCGTCTACGGAGAACGGCCTGTTAACGAAGGAGACATGGTCGGCATCGAAGAAGCCCTCTGGTATGTGTGAAGGTTGATCTGGATTGGCAGGAAATTTCGCGTCGCCCGCAGCGTTGATGCCGTGGAGCGTCACAACCCGGTTCTCGTTGTCTCGAAATGTGGCGCCGTCTATTCGCAAGCGGAGAGGTGACATGATATGGATTCTGTCTTGAGGAGAGACAGGAGGGGGAGGGAAGGAGAAGAGGTGGAGGAGGAGAAGGAGGAGGTTGAAGCGGTGGAAACGAGGAAGTGCGCGAGGGCGGCTGGCAGTCTTATTTAGTCAGAGTCCTTAAACAGAGATCGCGGCAAGCCTCAGTGCATGCAGCTTGGAGATGTCATCACCAAGTCCCAGGTTAGTTCAGTTAGCAGACATGGATTAATGGGCCTCCCGCCTTGGCACGCAGTGACCAATACGAGCTGACCTTCGCCGCAGGTGAGTGGTTCATCTAAGTGCGAAAGGACAAGTTGACAACTTTCAACGTCTCGCAGATAATCTCACAACATCCTTCCCTATTTAACCCCACGACACCCAGCCTTGCGTCTCGATGATATAGGAGACTCCTCTAACACCTCATCCATCGTACTCGCGGTCGCGATTCGCTCAACATAAATTCCCTCGAGTCATTCCTAAATCGCCGCCTCCGCCATGATTCTCCGACTGGGCTCTCTGGCCTTGGGCCTTCTCTCTGCCTCTCCTCTGGCCAGCGCACTCTCTGCCTCCGACATCCCGGCAGATATTCCTGTGTCGCAGCTGATCAAAGATGCTACCATTAAACTTGCAAGTGGCAATTCGCAGGATGCGCTCACCTACTTCGATGTTGCCATCTCCCGCGACCCGCAGAACTATCTCACCATCTTCCGACGGGGAGCCGCATACCTTTCCTTGGGCAAGACTGTCCAGGCACAAACCGACTTTGACAAGGTTTTGGAGTTGAAGCCCGGTTTTGAAGGAGCGCTTTTGCAGCGCGCAAAGATACAGAGCAGGAAGGCCAATTGGGCAGCGGCCAGAAAGGACTACGAGGCTGCGGGAAAGACTGAGGAGATCGTGCAGCTCGAAGAGGCACAGGGTGCAGCGGTGCTTGCCACCGAGGCTGCAGAGAAGGGCGACTGGGAGACGTGTGTAACGCAAGCCGGTGTTGCGATTATGATTGCGGGCGCAGCCTATGACATCAGGAAGACCAGAGCAAAGTGTCGATTCGAGAAGGGAGAAGTCATTGAGGGCATTAGCGACCTCCAGCATCTCTTACAGATCAACACTGGTGATATCGAACCGTATCTCCAGAGCTCCGCCATGGCATTCTACTCGTTGGGCGAAACCGACAAAGGTCTCAAGTCCATTGCACAATGTCTTCAGTCAGATCCAGATTCAAAGAAGTGCATGAAGCTGCGACGAAGAGAAAAGAACCTCAACAAGGATATCGAGAAGGTTCGAGCATTGTTCGAGAAGCGCCAATATGTCGCTGCGACGAAACTGTTGATCCCCCGCGGCGAAGACCCCGGGTTGCTCAAGGAGATCAAGGAGGACTTCAAGGAATACACCGAACAAGGCTACATTTACAAGAACTCGCCCGAGGGGCTTTACTCAAGCTTGGTCGAACTCACCTGTGAGGCGTACATGGGCGTAAGTTTCCTCGATCAAACGCTGCAAGGTGATTGCTAACTTCGTGATAGGGCAACAACGTTGCAAAAGCGACGCCATACTGCAAGGAGGCATTGGAATTGATTCCAAACTCGTTGCATGGTCTTCTCAACCAAGCCCAGAGGCAATTAGATAGCGATGATTTCGAAGATGCGATCCGCACTCTCGAAGCGGCCAAGGAGCACCACGGCCAGACCGAGAAGATCCATGAGCTTCTGAACAAAGCCCATACCCTCCTGAAGCGTTCCAAGCAAAAGGATTACTACAAGGTCCTCGGTCTCAGTCGTGACGCCGACGATCGCGACATCAAGAAGGCCTACCGCAAGCTCAGCAAGCAGTATCACCCGGACAAGGCCTCAGCGAACAATATCACTCCTGAGGAGGCTCAGAAGAAGATGGCTGCGGTCAACGAAGCCTACGAAGTGTTAAGCGACCCCGAACTCAAGGCACGCTTTGACAATGGTGACGACCCGAACGATCAAGAGCAACAAAGCCAGGGATTCCATGGATCTCCATTCGGAGGCTTTGGTGGACAACAAGGCCAGCAATTTTTCTTCAGAAACGGCCCCGGACAGGGATTCAAGTTTTCTGGCGGCTTTGGTTTCCCTTAGGGGAGTGCATTTTATAGTGGCATGGCGTTTTCGGGCATTCTCGTTTGCATTGGTACGGTGTTTGCCTCTGGGAGGAAAGGTGTTATGGGCATTAACGAAAGATGATATCAAGATATGCTTATATGGGTATCGCGGACTGTCTGAAACTGGACGCTTCCGTCGAGATCAAAACACAAGGAATAAACAACCTTTCAACCATTTTTACGCGTGCAATACGAGTCTAGTGATGATAAAGTGATCTTGAAAGTACACACGCAATCTGGAAGAGACCAGCCCTGTACTACTTAGCAAAAGATCCGCGGCAAAGTTAAGTACTGTCCATGATTATTGGCATCCGAGCGACTGGCAATCGTAAGTTGAACAGGTACTACTCCGGTAGTACTACCTACGAGATACTTTTGCATGCCATAAACACCTTCCATACTCTTCCTCGTACCATCAGTGTTGACGATCACTCCAATCCAAAACCACGATGAGATCAAGGAAATTCGGCGATTTTTCTTTTGATCCATAGGTGCACAAGGCAAATAAAGACAACAAGGAGACACCGCATTCCAAAACACATATCCCTAGGCGGCCAACAACCGACCTCGAACGGACATTGACTCGAGCTGGCCAATCACATCAAATCGAAAGACGCTGATGAGCCTCGGTACCTACCCCAGTCCCCTCCAGCTCCACCAACGCGCCCGCGCCGGACATGCTAACATGTTCGACTGCAAAAAGTTGGGGAAAGCCCCAGCACTAACGTCGAATAAGTAGGTGTTAGACCAATTACAATGTTCAAACCCGTTTGACGAGGTACCGAGGCTGTTTGGATGAAAGAACAAGTGTGGGAGAAACATACTTACTCGTACGTTCTCCTCGCTCATCTTCTGTTACTATCCTCTCATCTGAATTCTACTCTGCACTTCTCCTTACCGTACTATCATTGCCCTCTATTGCTTCCTGACTGGGATCGATTTCGGGCTTCTCTGGCCTCAGATTTTGCTATCATCCGTTTAGAATAACTCACTGTCTTCGCACATCACACCTATAGCGAGACAATTCCATACATCGTCACAATCGCGCAGCAGAAAGGATTCGAAGCCTTTTCCTCCGCAACTCAGCCCGCCCATCCATTCGTCATGCCACACGCAAGCCTGACCCGTGACGCCGTCGCCACGCACAACACCCCAGAAGACCTGTGGACGATCATCGACCACAAAGTGTACGACGTGACCGACTTCGCCGACGCCCACCCAGGAGGCTCTGTAGTCCTCGAGCAAGTCGCAGGAACCGACGCCACGGAAGCATTCTACAACCTGCACCGGCACGAGGTGCTGCAGAAGTATGCGTCGCTGTGCATCGGGACGCTCGAGGGCGAGAAGTCCGAGGTGATTGAGCCGGAGATCGGTGGGCTGTCGCCCGTGCCGTATGCGGAGCCGCTGTGGCTGAGGCCGCAGTTCCACTCGCCATACTTCAATGACAGTCACAGGGCGTTGAGGAGGAAGGTGAGGGAGTTCGTGGACAAGTACGTCACGCCCGAGGCGCAGGAGAAAGAGAGGGACGGCACGTATATCAGCCAGGAGTTGATTGATCGGATGGCGGAGACGGGAATCTTGGGCATGAGGCTGGGACCTGGAAAGCATCTCCATGGGAAGAACCTCCTCGGTGTGGTCAAGGGAGAGGATTTCGACTATCTTCACGATCTCGTGCAGGCACAGGAATTTGCTAGGGCGAATGCTCGAGGGTTCCAGGATGGCAACATGGCGGGAATGTAAGTTACTCTTCTTACATTTGTTTGTTCTTCGGTGGGTATCTAGTCTGCTAAATTTTTGTACAGGATGATCTCGTTGACTGCGGTCCTGCAATGGATGGGCAACGAGGAGCTCAAGCAGAAAGTCACAGCCGAAGTTCTGGGAGGCAAGAAGAAGATGTGCCTGGCTATCACCGAGGCCTTTGCCGGTACGTTGCTCCCCATCTACGGACGGGTAGACATGTTCTACTCGACTCCGTACACATTTCAATAGTGTTCACATGACTAACCCACGATCCACAGGATCCGACGTCGCCGGCCTACGCACGACGGCGGAGAAGACGCCCGACGGCAAGCACTACATTGTGCGTGGCACGAAGAAGTGGATCACCAACGGCATGTGGTGCGATTACTTCGTCACGGGATGCAAGACGGAGAAGGGCTTCAGCGTGCTGCTGATCCCGCGTCAGGAGGGCGTCGAGACGTCTCTGATCAAGACGTCGTACTCGACGGCGGCGGGCACCGCATTTGTTGAGTTCAACAACGTAAAGGTTCCGGTGGAGAACATTTTGGGCGAGGAGGACAAGGGATTCATCGTGATCAGTAAGATATTTACTCTCGTCACCCTTTTCAAATCTGCATTTTCGGAAGGGTTGGAGAGGAAGGGGAAAGCTAACAGGTCACAGTGTCCAACTTCAACCACGAGCGGTTCATGATGGCGTGCGGTGTTAACCGATGGTCTCGAACGGTGGTAGAGGAGTGCCTGAAATGGTGTAACCAGCGCATAGTGTTCGGCAAGAAGCTCATTGAGCAGCCGGCGATACGACAGAAGTGAGTTCAGCTCCCCTGATTCAGCTTTTCCTGTTCCCCCTCCCTTCTTCACCTGTCATTCCCCCTTTTGGACACATTCCCATTCCCAATCCCCAATCCAATTCTATATATCTTGGCATTCTCCCAAACGGAAGCGGTCCTATTCTTAACGAAGCGACCGTTGCATCCACTGTACGACCTGTCCGGATGTCACCGAACGGTTATCGTACTACAGAACACTGTTCAATGCTTTCCCCCCTTCCCCGATCCCATTTCCAGATCTTGATTCTTAGATCTATTTCATGCTGTACCACCATCCCTTCTCCCCCTTCATTCCTCCCATCCACCTCGCCCTCCCCAAACGAAACATCCAACCAAACAACCAAACCCCCTTCAACAAAACTGACCAAACCCCAACAGACTCGCCAAAATGCTCGCCGCAATCGAAGCCTCTCAATCCTGGCTCGAGCTCCTCGCCCACCAAATGTCCAACATGACCTACGCACAACAAACCGCCCTCCTCGGCGGCCCCATCGCGCTCCTGAAGACGCACTCGACGCGCGTGGCGCACGAGATCGCCGACGAGGCCGTCAACATCTTCGGCGGGAGGGGTCTCACGCAGGGCGGCATGGGACGCGTCGTCGAGATGTTCCATCGCACGTACAAGTTTGATGCGATTTTGGGTGGTACCGAGGAGATTTTGGGGGATTTGGGGGTTAGGCAGGCGGTTAAGGGGTTTCCGAAGAGTATGCTTTAGGGGATGGGAGGGGGAGGATGTACGAATTGTAGAGGTGTAAAAGATATGAAGAGAGCGTATATATACATTAGGTAACTACCTATATATCAAATATGAAAGAAGAGAAGATATTATCACATAACCTACACTATCTACCATTCAAGCAAAAGTCAAGATTTTATTGTTTTTATGATAGTTACTACAGTAACAGCGTTGGTAGTGTATTTCATGTCTCCGAAGAGCTCTATATATAATTGCCTTACCTATACATATATGTATTCATGCACAAGCATACAGCGGCTCCCGCGGTAATCAACAACCCGCTGCGCAGGATAGATATCTAGATACCTTCTCACTCCTATTACTATTATTCTCTACGCATTACGAATCCATTCAATTCCCAGACATGAGAAGCATACTCAGCACCAGGAAAAGAGTAGATGCACGACTGCGTGGATGAAGGTAGTTCACATACCCACCCAAGCGTGACAGATTAGGAAGTGCACGATCGGAAGAACACCTCACAAACCTCATGACTCATGCCATTTTCATAGCATGTTCGGCGCAGGGATCACAATCAAGGATACGTAGACAGTAAGTTTCCAGGGAAGTGTGGTTAATTGCGATGATCGGTGTTCTTCGACATTTCCCCTCGAATATTGCCTGTTCGGTCTACGAATGTACCTATTTAGCAGTTGGGTGGGGGGGATCGGTGAGCAACCAGCGCCGGGGCGGGCAGGTTGCGCGAGAATGGTCGGTGAGCAGACGATTAAATGATGGGTTTGCCGGGGGGGAAGGGTTTGAATTAATTGAAGTTAAGTGGGGATAGGTGAAGGGTTTGGGAATTATGAGCGGTGGGAGTAAGTCTATCGATCGAATTTAATGTGAAGTACTCCGTAACTAAGTAGTAGTACTACTGTGTACTGTGTAGATGGTGATAGTGATGGCCATTAGCTATGGTGCGATTTGATGCGATTCGATTCGATTTGGATGGGCATTGCCACGCGGCGCGCGCAGGGCGGCAAGGACAGGCCAGGCCGCCTTTTTCCCACGTCCAGGTCCGGTGACCTCCCGCCCCCCTCCCCCTCCGTCCCGAACGTTCGTATTGGAGGTTTTTGGCGTTGGAGCGAGGGAGCGGGAGGGCTTTGGGATGGCGCAACTTGTGGAGGGGAGCTAGATCTAGAGCCGGGAACATTGTTGATAAGTCTAGGCGGTAGTTTGGCTAGATTGTAGATAGCAGATAGTACGAGTAGATAGCAAACGGTTGACAGGAAGAGTCTAGACATGTGATACTATGGAGAGGAGATGCATGGATGGGGGGATGCTAGAAGGAACAAGGAAGTATTGGATGGAACAAGAGGAATAAGGGATGGAAGGAATCAAAGGGAAGGGGAAACCTGGTGTTGCTGAGACATTGAGAGCATGATGGTACAAGAAAAGGATGGGATAGGACAAGATAGGATGAAATAGGATTTAGGATTGAATATGTTGAGATACAAACGAAGATCAAGGGAAAGGCGGCCGGAGTGGATGGAGTGGAAGCAGTCGAAGGAGTGGGTTCCTGCAGAACCGGAAAAGGCAGTTGAATCGAGCGACTGGCTTCGAGTACTCAGTAGTCTATCTTCAACATTTCCGGTTCCATCTCTCTTGTATCACTGCAACTTCTCGTCTCTGCTTGATTCCTAGGTAGACTACAGCTAGAGAGTGAGTATGACAAGTGCATTGATTAATTCTTAGCTGCAGTTGTGTTGCGTTGTGTTGTGCTGCGTTGCGCTGTGCTGTTCTGTGCTATGTGTCCCAGTCCCACTATGGCTTTGCCCTGCATAGATTAATTGATTGATGGGACTGTCAATTCAAGTCAAGCGGCATTGATCCAGTAGAGAGATGGTATGTGTGAGCACATGAGAGGACCGCCCATCCTATCCAACGAACCAAGAGAGTAGTAGCAGTAGGGGTAAGGGATACCAAGTATTCCTAATCACCTTTATGGAAGCATGGATGGATGCGTTGTACAAGATTCTTCCCATTAGCTATTATTCTTCGTATGCTGTAGGGAGTACCTATCCTGTATGTGTGTTTCGCTGTAATAATGCTGTCCATGTCTGTCTTCTTTCATTCTTTATTGCCCAGGCTAGTACTCCGTAGAGCCCAAGGTCCAGCTCTCGGATGATGGACGCATTCGAAGGGCTGGCCATGGTGGTAGACCGACCGTGGGGAGGACTAGCAGCCTCTCCAGCTTCTAGGCCTTTGTCGCTCTTCCGATGGATCTCGTCTCATCGATGGATGAATGGATGCATCGAAGGGATTTAAAACGTCAATCCTCAGTTTAGTCATCCTGCTACTAGGAAGAAGTAAATGGTCATACCAGGGAATAAGCAGTCATCACCAAGCAGCCGTTCGTTCCAGCGATAGATTAAGTCCGAGTCGTGCGGTGTGTTGTTGTGTATGTACGGTGCGGCGTGCATGAGCTGGCGGTCTAGGGGCATGCATGCCTATGAATGTTGTTCTGTACCGTACGGCATTGTATCAATGTATGCATTGTATGTATCTGGGTCTGTATCTAGGTAGGTATGCATGTATAGTATAGAACTATGTATGCACCTGTACTCCATGCGGTAGACTACTTGGGGATGGGACATTCATTACTTGCCGTTACTGGATGTTGGTCGGCCTGGTCGGCGGATCGCATGGACATGGGCATGGACACGGACATGGGCCTTGCTGGTAACACTTGTATTGCTTGTACTTGGGTCTTGGAACAGAACATTGTGCATATCATACCTAGTTTCTAGGCGTATTATATCCGTAAAAGAGTGGATGCGGGCGTGGACATGAACAGGGTCTGGGCTGTTAGCTGAGGTGGATGCCTTTGATGGTAGGGGTAAGCCTTAAGGGTGTGAGATTGAGGATGGCGAGGATGGGGAGGATGAGGCGAGGGGAGACGACATCAGGTAGGGAAGGGAAAGGAAGGGAAATGCAGAGAATAGAGGAACAGGATGAAGATGAGGATGGGGAACAGTCCGAGACGGGATAGGATGGGATAGGATTGGGATGGTCACAGGTCACATTGTCACCAGTCATCCCCAAGTGGTCATCATCAATTATCCTCGTGGTTGTGGCTGTAGCTGATACTCCGTAGTTGGAGCTGATACTGCTCGTTACTCCATTCATTGATGTTGCTGCTGATGTTCTTCATGTTACTTATTACTCCTGGTTAATGCTGCTGTATCAATAAAAGACAGTTCATGTGCCTTGATGCTGCGTCACCTTGATTGATCGATACTTGATGCTTTATTGATTCTTGATTCTTTTGAATACTCTTGTCTCAATCATCCTTTTCCTCTTCACCGTGTCTCTGTCCTCATTACTCTCCAACCATAACCATCTCCATCTATATATCTCTATCTCTTCCTCGAGTCCCTCAAGTATTCCCAGGTCTCCTCATCCTCCTGTCATATCCTGACCACTTCTGTGTTGCTACTCCACTTCCATTGCACTAGTTAAACGTATCTCTGACTCCGACGTCTCCATCGTCTCCATTGATCTACATCCTCTACCTTCCATCACCTTCCACTTCTCGTACTTCCGCAATCGCTAGCATTATTGTTCAATACAAACCCGACAAGCAACAGAACAAACAAGTCTCCCAAACAATTCCAGCATTTGAGAAAAGAAGGGAAACCAGAAGTAGCCTACGAATTCAACTACGACTACGATTACGACTACGGCCAGGAGCACGCGAGCATCCAGGATCATCGTCGTTGTCATCCTCCTCATTCTCAATCTCCGTCTTATCAATCAATCCACCAGGTAACCAAGTAATAACCAAGCATCCTCGTCCTGGTCTTTGCCTGACTTCGCCTCGCCTCGCCTTGACACGACGACGACTCCCAGCATTACCAACCTTTCCCAAAACCTTACCAAAACCTTGCCGCCCGGTCACTTTGTCGCCGCCAGCTCCAGCACCAGCGCCAGCGCCAACACCGACGCCAGCACCAAAAGCCCTTTAACGCCACAACGACATCATCCTGACCCTCGTTCCTCTTGAGTCTTTGCAGCTCTCTCTCGTCTCGGTCTCGCTCCCCCAACCGATTAAACCCTTTGAACCTTGTAAAAGCATTTTGCCCTTTGACTCCCCCAACCATTCGATTCGTACTACGAGTACTTATCCACTCTATCCTTCCACCTGACGCATCCGCATCCGCATCCGAGCTTCCTTACCAACGTTCCTCCCATTACCGCTGCTACCACCACCACCACCCATCTACTCTACATACCTACCTAGACACTACTACCACTGCCACTGCGCATTACTCACTACTGAACTACTACTAATTACCTCCTTTGCCTCCCTCTACTTCTACTCTCTTTCTTCCCTTCCTCTCCTCTCTCCTCTTCTATTCTCCTTTCCTCAACTCTGTCCACTACATCCAACCTACCACATCCACTGCAAACCATACACGTTCGCATTCACAAACCCCATAACCACCATCACCAACCACCACCAACACCACCAACACCACTTCACACACCCGCCTTCAACCATGCGTCGCACATCCAGCATCTCGAGCACCGCCAGCTCCGAAGAGGACACCATGCAAATCTTCGTCAAGGACGTTTCTGGAACAAGCAGTACGTTACACATTCTCCCCTTATTCTGTGTCTCCTGTCACCTCACGTTGCACGGCATCGCATGATTCCGATCCTCGGAACTGCGCCGTCGGCATCTCCGCGTGCGTGACCAGACCATCACCACATCCCTTCGCAACAACGACACTGCTGGCGTCCCACCTCATTCATCTCTCTCGTTTGAGATAATAATAAAACAATAACTAAGACACATGATGCTAACGGATAATCTCTACAGCAATCCCTCTCACAATCTCCCCTTCAACCTCAATATCCACCCTGCGCACTCTCCTCGCCCTCCGAACCAACCTTCCGACCGCTGATCTCCGCCTCGTCCACGCTGGAAAGCACCTCTCATCCACATCTACCACTCTCTCGGAATACGCGATCCCGCCAAACTCCACCCTACACCTAGCCCTCCCCATGCGCGGTGGCATGCCGCCCAAGAAGATCCGTTGCAGTTTCAAGGACTGCAAGGACCGTGCACAGCCCATCGTCGGCGACTGCGGATTCTGCACAGGTCACTACTGCGGGAAGCACAGGCTCTTGGAGGATCACAAGTGCGACGGTCTCGAGGACTGCAAGAAGGAGAGTCACGAGAGGAATGCGGACAAGTTGAACAGCGAGAGGACTGTCGCCATCAGGGGCGTCTAGATCCGTGCGTTACGTCACCGCCCAACCATGTCTCTTATCTTATCGCCAACCACAACATCGCGGAATGGGAACGAAGTGGAGTAGAGCGAGGGAAGACGATCAGACGACAAGAAGCCAGCCGCACTGCGTCACCTTTATTATCAGGAGGTGCGCACACGTGCAATCTTTGGCTGGCGGGTTTAAACGTTTTGCGTATAGACAAGACCACCTTTGTCCTATGCAGCACGGTGAAGAAGACAGACGATATTCCACGGTTCTACCGTTCTACCGGGTCGAATTCGTTTACCGATTTATATCGACGGCCGGTTTTGTTTTTAATGCGAATGCGATGCGATGCGATGCTTGCGATGCCCGTGCTAATGGTAATGCGACGGGGTTCCAGGCGTTGTTCCCTTTACCATCTGATTTTCGTTCACTCTTCTAGGGATACTTTTTCATCGACATCTATCTACTGTTGCTTTTTGTATCTATATGCGAAAAATGGATATCTAGCTCGAAAACTTGGGCGATTCCAGCCAAGGGTATATTTAACCATTATTTATCTACTAATATACATACCATCATCTACACAAGACAAGTCTTTCAGCTACATTGCGCATCTTGAAATGTCCCGATCGTTCCGAGGTTTTCCGCGTGACGCAACATGTCTGGTTCCGACCATCCGCGCAACCAACAACCATCATCACCCATTCGTTTCCCTTCGCACAAACAAATTTTCAGAATGTCTTATCTCGATGCATCATCAATATTGCTATTAGTCTAGCTTCACGCACCATGCCCTACACACCACACGACACACATCTCCGCGTACCATCCTCTCCCCCAACCTCGTCTCCGAAACACCACACGAACAGATATAGTTAACATATTTCCCCTCTTAATCAAGTCCCGCACGTCGAAGGAAACCTCACATATGCACTCTCGCCCCTCTTGAATTTGTCTACATTCTTAAATCAACTTACTAGAACGAACCTTAGACCCCTCACATTAAGAAACTCCACGTCCTCTGTATATCTCTACATGGACAGACCACGGCCAACACGTCCCTAGGAAGTCAAAAGCATCGATGACATGAATTTATTCCTTGAGAAATGCTGAATGGATGGATGAATGATGGAATGATACGCTTGTAACTTCTGAATGATCCATTTAACAACGAAAAAGATATGGAAAGTCGAAATGTAAAATGTGGAAGATAGCAGAGGACGATGGTGGGTTTTCGACGGTTTAGTACAGCTGTGTATGCGTGGTACTTTGTAGGGTTCGGTACCTAGGTACATATGATGGTTAGGGGGAACAGATCCGCATAAAGAGAGATGCTACAGAAACACACAGGTGCTTGGGGAAATAAACGAACGATGCCAGACATAAGCAATTGGGGTTCATGATGAGATACATGAGGAGGGCGGTGGGTTGGGGTAAATATCTACATGCCTCCCACTATTGTTACAATCACCACCGAAACCCCCTTGTATCCAGTAAATACTATTATATTATTCAATATTTAAATATAATAAGAATGTTGCGAAGACTTAAGAAAGACTTTTAGTGTTCTGTTATTCTGCCCTCTATTATATCTCTGTGGTCAGTCAAAGAACCTTATGAGCCTTCCTGAGACTATTGCCGGCTTCCACCTTAGGCTGAGAGCCATTTCTCGGAAACAAAGGAGTGTACAAGCTTGTAATAGTTTTCAATGTGTTGATTCACATTAGGTGATTGCAGTTGTGAACATCATCAAGAAGACTGTGTCAATGATGAACTCGAGTCGATCTGTTGGTCGTAATGAGCTCTACGGACACACTTCGAAGATTCTGGCCATCTTGAGAAATTTCCATGTGTCAGATTGGGCTATCCTATTGAGTGAGTGGAAATTTGCATGCAATGATGGTCCACAACAAAAAAAATGGTTACGACTGATACAGACCGGTTTTCCCGTGCCTATAGACTGTTAGCATTATGACCTTCTGGCTCTGTTTAGTAATACGTACTGTTTCCATTTGCTGTTAGTAACTTCGGCGTTCAGATAATGCGAGAATAATCTTACTGTAGCGCTGTTGTGCATCTTTGCAGTGTTTTGCCTTTTAAGAACAGTAGGTAGAAAGTTTATATGAAGTTTCTACTCGCCTAACACTGGGCTGATAGCTGCCTGTACATAAGGTTTGCGGTTAGTAGTGCGGGCAGAATGCTTAAGGCTGCCGCCTTCATTAAATGACTTGTTAATGCTAGCTAATAAATATGTCGTTTATTGCTTTCCTATCTAATTGCTGATGTTTGTTGCTGTTGGTTAGTGGTTAGATCTTAGTTTAACTGCTTCTTCTTATAACCACGAGTGTTTAAGCTACCTAGAGATTATAAGTTTATTTTCATCTGGCTGCCTGTGTTTAGTGTGTGCTCTTAATAACTCTTAATACTGTTAAGAGCTTGTATGTAATGTTTATTAACATATACAAGCTACAGTACGCTGTCCAGGATCAAGGATAGAGTGCAGTAAATATCACAAGATTAGGACAATGAAGCTAAATACAGCAGTGAAAATAAATAAATATGTTTTCTCTAACTAGCACGCCACTCTTTTAATATCGTCTTTAATAGCAGCGCATCTTTAAGCTTTCATTTATTGCACAACGAATAGAGATATATATTCTATCGCAGAGCCTTCTTGAAAAAACATGATTATTTTCTGCGCCCCCCCCCCCCACCTCGATCTCCATCGAGCTTCCTCAAGGAAAAATGTGAGCCTCGTCCTAGCTCACATCATTCTCGTCATGCAATATCATCTTCGTCTCATGACAATTCGACCTTAACTAAGTTTCCTCAAGGAAGCACGTGAGCTTCCTCTCATCTTTATCCCACAACAATTCGATCTCAACTAAGCTTCCTCAAGGAAGTACTGGATATTTACCGAGCTTTATTCGTAACTTTTTAATTCATACCAGGTCATTACTTGAGATTATTTGGGAGAGTAAATGTCCAAATGTTTGTTATTGGTGGTGGTGTGTGGTCGATAATTATGGAAGGTACGCTTAACAAACAACATCTACTCGCATCTTTAACTGTCCCCTTCCAACATCTACTACCAGACAGCCGCCTCCAACAAAATAGCCATGACGAAACGGGACCGCAATAAGGACCGAGATTCTGGAAACACGTCGTTCAATATTCAGAGGGATGGGTTCAGTACGACTGTAAATGTGACAGTCAACGTTCAAAGCATCCCAAACCAGACCAACCATCAGACCGAACCAACATCCGGAAACAAGGCGAACCGGAAAAGGAAACCTCATCGGCTAAACAAGAAGGCCAGGAAAGCCCTCAAGCTGGAGAAAGAGAGACAAGATGCAGCTCTCCAGTCTGATGCCGCCCAGGTTGCTGGGGGTTGGGACTCTGATAATGCGTTTCTGGCTGGTGAGTAGCTGATACCTCAGCGTTGAGTATGAAACATGAATTAGGCTTGCACGTATATCCTCAGATGGCCAGACGCACGATCCCGAGTCCTCCGCTACAAGACCGTTCCCAGATGACAGAGTGGATCAGGGTACAACACCTTCCTTAGGAGCTCAAATCAGCTACGACACAACACCGCTCCCAGATGACAAAGTGGACCAGGGTGCAACACCACCTTCAAGTGTGCCGTGCCCTAATAACAAGGTTATGTTAGGAGAACAAGCAAACGAAGGATGTGTCAAACCATGCAAAGGTCCAGGAGATGTTGCCATTGCTACAATATCAGGTCATCACAACAGCAACATTGATCTTGATAACATCAACCCACTACTCAAATACTATACGTCACCTTGCAAAGGTCTAGGAGATGTTGCCATCACTGCAGAGTCAGGTTAACAAAATAGCAACGACAATTCCAGTAACAACAATCCCGGTAACAACAATCCCGGTAACTACGACCCCAGTAACGATATTCCATCACCAGACGATTATGGTACAGGAACCACCAGCAACCCTATCAAGGTCAAGGACACACCAATTCAACGGCTAGAAGTGCACATGCTCACGACGTATCGTCTAGAAGTGCAAGATCTCCTCCATGTGAGACTCACTTCAGGACCTACTGGTGACATCTACCGCAGCATACCAAGGATCCTTTTCAATTGTGACCAAATTGATCCTAATTGGGATGCTTTTCGGGTACCTATTGGAGATTCCGGAAGAACAACAATACTCACTATTCCTGATATCCTGTCTCTACAACCTCAAGGTTTGCTTACCATTGGAATCTTAGATTTTGCGATTGAGTTTGAGTGCGCCAGCGACGCAGATAAAGGAGCTGTGGCAATAATGTATGCAAGAGAGACTTACACTCTATTACATACAAAGAAGACTGGGACAGACCTAACACGACATCTCTCCGACAAGTACCCATTTCTTGCGAACAGCAGAGTGAAAAGGCTTGTAATGGTTTTTCATGTGTTATATTTACATTAGGTAACTGTAGTTGCGAACAGTATGAACTCAAGTTAATACATTGGTAGTCATGAGGGAAAGAAAGCCGTGCACATTATTTCATGATAAATATACATACATAAGGTTAATGATACTACCAGAAGTACATTCATATTTTAGGTTACTTGTGTCTACATAGCATAAAATCATCAACTTTACATGAATGCACAAGTTGAATACACGTCCATAAATCTTGTTCAATTCGTACAAACTCATGTTTCTTGTTTATCCACGTCCCCTAAGACTCCATACACTCACCATTCATGTTATTCTACAGATCAATCTACACACCTAGAAATATAAGAAGCGCCGTTTTTATACGAACGTTTCCCTTGCATACCACACACGATTACAATCACTTCAATCCTCTCTCAGACATTGTTGCCCACACCTCTTGTAACGACAAATGGAGGAAACAATCACAGCACAAGCTCACGAACCAGTCCACGACTACATCTGAATCACAGCCGTATAACCGCCCTCGCAAGATGCAGCTAACAACCTAACCCAATCCAACTCACTCAATCCTCTGCGCACTCCACGCTTGTAACCAACTCACCACGCATATGAAGGCCCGTTCTGGAATGCCAACCACGGTCCCTGGGAAGCCCCGCAGCCACATGTCCATCATTCGAATGCCTAGTCGAGACGCACGGTAACGGCGACGGTGATCGAGTTCGTGTTTGGTAGTGGATGGCGATGACGAGAACCCCTTCATCCTAGTGCCGGCGAAGATGCTGCTTCTCCGCAGACCATATTGGAAAGGGCACCTCAAAGCTACGTTTGTCAAGGACGCTGGGATGGCAGTTGTGCTTGATACTGATATATCCGCGTATCGACGTAGCGAATTAGGGCGGAACGATCATACGGGTCGGGGGAGCATGGGCTTGTTGGAAGGATAGGTTGCTCGGTGTGTATGGTACGAGAAGGGGGTTGCCTGAAGGGTGAGCTTTACAGGTTGGAGTACGGATCGCTGGACTATATAGGCGGATCTCAAGGTGTTTTCGTTTGAACAGAGAAAGTGCGGCATAGATGTGGTATTTAAAGTCTGGATTCTGAATAGGAGGACGAGGATCTGCGGATTTGATTGCAATGCATGGTTCTTGGGTTGATTGTACGTAACTACTATGGAAACTTTATTATACTTGGGCGAGGCGAGATCCATTGATACTATGTTCTCCTGTCGCGAAGAGGATAACATTATATCTAGTGGCGGCTGCAACACCGATCAAAAAGTTTGAAAGAGATTCTCTCGAGCTGTATGCGCAGTGTTCGACATGATGAAAACTACTAGCCTCAGTGGAGATGGCCTGGAAAGAGGCCTATTTTGAGCGCTGTCTCATTTTGATATCATACAGACATGATTACCAGACGTGTGGCGCCAGCGCGCAAGTGATAAACCTCAAGCAGGCCCTTAAAAAGGCGACTGATCGCACCAGAACCAAGCGGCTAGGATCAACACACCCACTCCATCATCTGTTCTTGTGATGCAAACAGATCAGCCATTCATGGGGAGCGGAACTCCCAGCAATCGGTACCGCTCGGTGCAATGAGAAACAAGCAATGCAGGCCGATCTTGTCGAGCATGGCATCTGCACGCCGCGGAAGGGCCTTTTTAGTTCACGACTAATTACTTTCTCAAGGGCAGCGGGGCGGAGAGGGGAGGAGAGGAGAGGAAACTCGGGAGAGGAGTGGAAATGTTTCGTAAGGGAAACTGGGGAGGCGGAAGAGTAGTCCAGTGCGGTAGGGCTTGGGCGTGGCATTGTCTTGTCGGCTTGGTTACCAAGGCCATTATCGTACGATCCCCAAAGCCACCCATCCCGTCTCGCCCACGCGATCTAAATAACATGCACGCATGTTTTTCTATGTTTACCTGTTTGCTACCAGACTCCTCGAGCGGGGAAGATATTTTGGCATTCTTTCCCGGTGTGGTATCGTCTTCCAGCGGAGCGGGGAGGAGTGGAGCGGAGTGCGATTTGATCGGATGGGACATGGGCGTTCCATGCGGTCCGATCCTCTTCGTATCCCTTACGTACCAGAATCAGGCCTCCCGGCCAGGATTGGAACGAGATGTCTCAACATCGCGAGTTGAGCGGAGCGGACAGAGTGGACTGAAATAGTCTGAAGAAGGAGCGATCGCATAAATCGTGTGCTCAGATTCGTTGATATTTTCCATTATATCGATGTACCAGCGGAGCGGGCGATGACCTGGGCGCAAGGTCGAAGCGGTGGATGGTGTCTCCATGAGAACAATTCGTTTCTGGGCATGCTATGGTCATCGATTTATGCTTCTTTCCAAGACGAATATGCTCTTTACTTTCCACCTACCAAGAGCAACCCAGAGTCCTAATTTGTTTTGCATTCCTTTTCATCTTGACAGGGTGTTGAATAGGGGTAGAAGAGTTAGCAGAACAGCAAATGCCCGCATGGACTTTCGTTTGGGCACCATTCGTCTGGCATGGCAATGCCACCTGCGAGGTTTCTTATATGAGGCGCTCTCAACAATTCAGTTGGGTGACTCACGTCCTTTTGGGTGTTGTTGAAGATATGGGTCCCGTGACTCGCGAGTGTACCAACCCCTTTTCCAAGACATTGTTTAAATGGTTTCTTTTGACATCTCATGACAGTCCGATGGTTCCCGGAAGGTTCTTCCCTGTCAAGATCACATGCCGAGGATTATATGATACTTACCCAAACCCAAAGGTGTGCGGTGCTGCGGTCCAAGACTATTGGTTTTGAGGCGCGAGAGATGAGGACAGCGACGCCCAACACCATGTGCGTTTGTCGTGTACTGGAAAGGGTTTGGTGAACACGGGAGGCGCATGTGAGGCGGATTTACTCGCACGGAAGGGTCCATCATCCGGGCAAGTGGGCGACTGGTTGACGCCTAGCGAGCGGTAGTGAATTTAGTCTTTCGCGATGCTCATTATTGAGAGTGCACAAACGCGGCTGATTAGAATTTTGACAGATTTCAAGGGTTTTGCAAAACCTGCGAACTGAATTAATCTGCAGGAGTCGTACGTCACGGCCATACGTCAAATACGAATGCCCTCGATCTAGATGATCGGATAGATCAGATTCTTCGAATCGATCATTGCCACATCGACGCAGCGTTAGCACTTGAGACCGGCGATGATGCCAGGCCCGCCCACGGGACGATACGGGTACTCCATGTCCGGAGGAATAAAGCGCGGGGAAGAGTGGTGAGGAGAGCGTGGGAGGGTGGGTCCTAGACTCCTAACTTCTTGGAAAGTGGATACTGACGATGGCTCAACTCCATCCATAGACTGCCGTACCCTGACCGGTTTTGTGGCGCGTTACGCGTAGTAGGAGGTCCGTCATGACACGGCCAAAATATGGGATTGTTTAGTTGTTTAGATAGTCCTGCTAGGAACATACTTGTTGGAAGATGGTGAAGTTTGTTTTGTCGATTTGCAGCGCGGGCTGTGGTTTTGTAATTACTGTACCTATTAGTCGTGGGATGCTAACGAATTTGATGACGGAGTATTACTTAGGAAGTCCACATTCAGTGAGGATCTACATGGGCTTATCGAAGAAACAATACCAAATCTTTGGCCGGCGCCGTGTAGTGACTCGAGACGATGGTGGGCTACGAGAATCATAAACACGCTTCTCACTCTTCAAGGGTATCTAGTCTGACACTAGAGGATTTAAAGAGTAGACCACTGTGATTGGGGTAGTGGTCGTGGTCATGGGTCGTGGTAGTTAGAGGTATGATATTCGACTACATAGTACGCAGTAATTTTGACTATTCACGAATCGGGGTCAGATCAAGCGGCCGAATCGGGCATGACGAATATCAAGACAAGGGGGCCACTTGCCAATCTGGGCGGTTCCTTGTCCCTTTTCGAGTCGCTTGGGAGGTTCTGGCAAGGCGCAAGGGGGACCCTCAAGCCTCAACCCCAAAACTCTCTTTCTCCCAACTCTCGTCGATCAAACCGACAATCCATCGACCATTCATCCATCGTCTAACACATTGCGTGCCTCTCCAACCATCTGGCTCTCTCTTGGGCCTCTTGCCGTGCATTCCACCCCTTGTTCGCCGCGGCCAAATGTCCACTTCTTCAAGCCCCCCATCAAGGCTGAGAATCTACGACTCGTCATCATTGTACCCATATTTTACGAGTAGTATTTGTTCCTTTTCCCAATGTTGGCCACGGCGCCTAGGCATGGGTATTTTTTTTTTGATGATTATCTGATTATTTTTCTTTTTGGGTTTGGCAATCCCTTTATTCGCAGTCCTCGGAATCCACTCGCTCTGTGCAACGCGGGATCCAGACACTCTGTTCCGCGTGTGTCAAGTCACTATCTACTGCGCGTTTAAGAGTACTCACTCATGGACACGTTGTTTTCACCCAAATATGCCGTCATTTCATGCTGTGTGCCCGCATCACACGAAATACTGGGAACCGTCTAGTACGATGCCGGTCCCCTATCTTTGCATCTCACCACTCCACTGAGTCTTCTGTTTGTGCGTCTGCGTGGAACAGCACAGGGCAGAAGCATAAGAGATCCCGCCAAGGCGTCGATCTTGCGACCTAGATTCGGACCTTTAACACCTAAGCTGTTGAGGCTGTGTTATGTCAAGAGATAACAGATGACCCATGTAATGATGATGAACAGACTTACACACATTGTCATGATTGCTTCTGGCTTCTTGGGCTCATGGGTACGTACAGTGTGGTGGATCTCGTTGCGACGCACCCCTTGGAATTGTGGCATATTGCGACACCATCCCATCCCTCAGAAGACAGTGCCATGAGGCCGAGAGTGTGCACCTCTTTGTAAGAGGTACTCCGTACCCGTTACCCGCACCGCAGATGTACCCAACCGTTCCCAATTTCTACTCCTGTGCTGGTCAAGGAAGGATAAACAAAGAGAATTTCCTCTTCGATGATCATTCCCAAGATGTTCGGACCGTGGCCGTCTTGGTTGTACTTGCAAATGATGTTGTTTGTGGTCCCTTTCTCCCCATGTGCCATCTCTTGATATTCTTTCATTTGGCTGTTAGATAGTGCCGAGCGTGTTGCAGACTCGCCATGGCCTCAGCGGTAGTACGGTACCCATTCCGAAGAGATGCACAGATGCTTGCACAAAGTCGCATCGATGAGCGCATGGATAAGAGAATAGAGAGAAAGAGTGCTAGGTCGGGAATGCAGTCACTTTCTTGGCTGGTGGAACCCTCTATGATATACAACACAACCCTGATCGACCAATCATGTCTCTCCCCTCGTGACCTCCCCATCACAACCCCCGATCAATAATTCACTTCTCCCCACCACCCACTTCCCTACTCCCTCCCGCCGCCGCCCCTATTTGCCAAGTCCTTGAGCCTCCCGCTCCGCTATTTCCCTAATCTCTCCATCTCTTTCTTTCATTTTCCAGACGCCTTGCGCCTGCAGCTGGCCAGGATCACATCGTCTGCTGGTGGGCTGTGAAACATCCCGAAGGCCTTCAACTGCGGTACACCTCCTATCAAAATGCTTGGTCCATCCACATGGATAGATATGGGCCTTCGCTGAACCCAATCTGAATGACCATGTTTCGCGGTAGAGGGGCCGCGGTCTCCGCTCCTTGGTCCACCAGGTTGGGTGGCTACACAGCAATTCGCAATTCCCCATCCAATTGCGGTACTCACCCTTCTAGTCCAACGTGATGGAGGAAGGCGAGAAACTAAGAGGAGGAAGAAAGGAGACCTACGCAAATATGGCTGTTGCATGTGAATCGTTGAGAGAGAGGAGATAAGCATCTGATGATATCGTTAACCACCAAGGACAAGACAGGGAGAGGCTGCCATTGTCAACTTTAACGCCATACTGTCGATTCTGGCAAAGTCCTCGTGATGGCCGTCCGTAATACAGTTCCTCTGGTTCTCAATTCACCGTCCGGTAAGCCAAGCGGATCGTGATAGTCCGCATCCACATCACTCACCATCATATACCTTGGCGCTTCCTGGCCCACTGCGTCCGAGCTCATTGTACAAACATTCACTACCCTGCGGAGTTCACATTGGCTGTGGACCTTCATTGCTTGGCCATTCTTGGAACTGTTTCCTTGCGTTGCTTGTGTGCCGGTCTCTAATTCTCCATTACACGGCCGGTTTGACCACCACGTCACCATGGCTCAAAGCCCTCCTGCCCGCGGCCACTACGGAGGCTAATTCAACGCGCGTGCTTGGGCACTGGTGGATCCTTAGGGGGGTTGTCTACTATCAAACAATGTCATATCTTTGCCTCCCCCGGATCTTGGTATCTAATCCAGAAATGCTCTTAAGCCTTCAAGCCCGCCCATCCCGAGCACTGGCTCACCATTATTGTCTAGCACATCTCTACCGCGTTCACATCGAGCGCGCCCCCTCCAACACATCAGTGTTGAGCACCCCTTCTCTCTGCATAACTATCTTCCAATTCCCAAATCAGGCAAGACGCCCTTGGTCATAACACAATTCAATACACATCAACCTCAAACCAAACGACAACCACAACAAAAATATGAATTCCACTACAAACATTGTCGATGCCCAGTTCTCCAATGAACGCGGCAACCAGAGAGATCAAAGGTTTAGCGTTGCAATGTCAAACTGCACCACCGAAACAGCGTCGATGGCCGAAGCTTCACTGGCCACCTCAGTCGACCCACACCCTGAGGAGCCCAATTGGCCTCGAAACTGGAGAGCTTACACCTGCTGGACCGGCTGCTTCTTTCTCATGTTCAACTCATGGGGGCTAGTCAATGCTTATGGAACGTTTGCTTCGTATTATGTAGGCAACTCGCTCCGAAACACTGGCCAGTTGGAGTTGAACTTGATCGGCTCGATGCAGTCCTTCTTGGTTTTGCTCTTTTCTACTCCAGTAGGTAGACTATTGGATGCTGGATACTATCGTATTGTCATCGCTACGGGTGCCCTCCTCGTCCCCGCAGGCATGTTCACTCTTTCCTTAGTTCATCCTAAAGATAAGGATGCCATGGCCAACTACAGTGCCATTCTATGCACTCAAGGAGTCATGGTGGGAATAGGCATGGCCTGTTACTTTGTTACAAGCTCTCAAGGTACGTCTTTCATAGTCGTTGGTTGAAGACAGGTGCTCACAGGAAGCAGTTGCCGCTACATGGTTTCCAAACCGGAAAGGACTGGCCGTTGGCTTCGTTGCCTGCGGTGCTAGCGTAGCAGGTGTTGTATATCCTACAATGACTCGTTACCTGATTGAGGCTTTGGGTTTCGTTCAGGCTGTACGAGTAGTTGCTGGACTTGTTTGCTTGACGTCCGCCTTTTCATTCTTCTTTGCTGTCCCCAATCCGGCACATACCCACCCTAAACCCCAAACTTGGTCGGCTGTCGGCACTTGGATTGACGTCGAAGCCTTCAAGAACAAGTCCTTTCTCTGGTTTTCCGCCGCAGTTGCCTTTCTCTTCTTCGGATTCTACCCTGTTTTCTTCAACCTTGAAGAGGTGAGCCCTTGCCATCCTATCAATAGGAATAATTGTGTACTGACTAGTTGCAGTGGGCCGCAGTGTCTGGTTATGGGACGCGTGATGGTTCATCTGTACCCATGCACGTCCAACAATCCAGCGACAAGCCTCTACAGACATTCTGGTTGCTCACCATCATGAATGGTGCCTCGACCGTTGGTCGCCTCACCATGGCCGCATTCTCGGACAAGACGGGGCCTCTCAACATGCACATCATCGCACAAGTCATCTGTTCCCTACTCGTGCTCATTCTCTGGTCCCTCGCCAGGTCGACCGCCGCAGCCATCGCCTTCTGCGTTGTCTTTGGCGTCTTCTCCGGTGCCGTCATCGGCCTTCCCCCAGCCTCGATGGCAAACGTCCTCAACTGCACGTACAACACGCCCTCTTCGAAACACATTGGCCACGCGAAGTTGGGACAGTGGGTAGGCATGATGTACAGCATGGCAGCCATTCCAGCCTTGACGGGCCCAGTCATCGCCGGCTATCTTGTCACCCAGTATTCCGACTACATAACCGTACAAGGCTGGGCAGGCGCCAACCTTATGATCTCAGCTTTCTGCATGATGGGCTGCAGGTGGACTCTCCCCTGCAAGGACGGCGAGCTTGTAGCGACCAAAGTCGCCCGCATGCGAGGAACGCTCCGCGACGTCGACGAGGACGAGAAGACGATCTCCGGTGGCTACGAAACAGAGAGCGACAACGAGGTCCGAAATGGCCTTTCCGAAGCCACCACCCGTGTCCCCTCGATGCGACAGAACTCGGATGTAAAGATTGCTGAGGTCGGCAACACCGATGGCGTCCTTGGCTCCGACAAGAACGTGTAAGCCATGGTCGCAGTCACCGACCTTTCAAAATTCCACCTCCCCATTGCCATCCCTTTTAGCCTCGGGAGGGAGGGGGAAATGCATCTCGGCGTTCTATTGGAGTTTGGTACGATACAAGCATCAGAGGTTGTTCTCCTTACTTTTCCTTCTTTTTTTACCTCAAGATTTCTGGTAACGACATTTCCTTATTTTCCCATCTGATTCACATGTAGTTTTCCTTGACACACACAGATCACACACGTGCTGGTATCCCACGATCATGTCTCTTTTCCCCTTATCTATCTCCTTCATATGTTGTATTGATCTAGAATATTTTCCCTTCATCTTCAACACGTCTCCCTCCATTTTGCTCCTCCCATGAGATGAACGAGCGTAAACGCGACGCAACACGGCGTGTCTACATCTAGTGTTCCTTGATAACGGCCGAAAAAAAAAAATTCAAGTCCGAATCCTTTCTATGAACTAGTCTGCTCTTCCGATCATGACCGTGACTTGACTCGCGATTTTCGCACTGAACCTTGATTGTATGTGGATATTCCCACTGGCTGGCTGGATACACTGCAGGAGTACATCGTGATGATCGACTGAAGAGCCTTACAGGTCCCCGGAAACCAGGTAGGTCAAAGTCACAAGAGCATAGATTGGGCACCATCGCTCATCGCTCTCTCAGCTAAACGAAACCAATTCTTTCGGTGTCTAGCACCCCTGGTTTCTGAGATCACTACAACATCCCCCGGGACAAGAAATCAATTCTCCACAGTTTAATCAACAAATCTAAGCCTGTGCTGCTGCATCAACCACCGTGCCCAAAGAGGTACAAGATTGAGGCACCTGAGGGGGCAAGGGGAACAACCTATATCACGGGGCACATATAGCGTGTCGTTGATATTGAGAGCGTTTACCGTAAATCACCTTGTACCTTAGGTATTGCACAGCGGACGCATTTGTCCTGATGATTTAGATTGGGGAGTGAGTGGGTCCGGGGTAATAGGGGAGCGAAAAGACGGTGGACACGGAGTGCATTCGGTACTTTGGAAATCTGAATATGGCCGGAGTCGTGGAGACTCCGTGGTTATTATTATGGGGTATATTATTGCAGCTACGAAGAAGTATATTGTCGTAGAGTGAGCAGATTTTTTATGAGTATGTCTTAGTTGCACCCAGTGGGTCGGTGTTAGATTGAGTAGATCGGACATCAGATCTGGCACGCCCATCTGGCACGCCCCTGCGGCATGGCCGCAATTCACCGGGCAGGTGGAAATGCGGACGGAGGGGTTGAAGAGCGGTTTTGTTGAAGCCTGGAGCCTCTCAACATCATTGTCTTAGTTTGGAACGAACCAAGGTTGGAAAGTCTGTGGCCATGGACAACAGCATCTGTGAATTCCTTCACCGTATGTATAGTTATCTTTTCTCAGCGAGCGACGTAAAAGTAAGCGTTTTGATGCCCCTGATACCTCAGCCTTCGCTGCCGCCCTTGGAAATACTTGATTCTTGCTGGGCACTATACTGTTCACGAATATTGTGTACTTGGCGGGCGAGCGAGGGCTGTTCTGTTTGCACTGCCGCATGCAGCGTCTCATCCGCCACCTTTTGTGGCTGCCAATGCGGTTGTTTTGTTTTCATTTTATTGACCCCATGGGGGAAGGGAATCGATGTGGTCCTGTTTCATTATCTTATGGTTGCAAGTACCGGGTCGGTTGACTAGATGATAATATGGTACGAGTACGGGTACGGCGTGCACCGGTTCGTGTTGGTTCCTATAAGCAGATGTGGCCAAGTCAACAACGATGGAAAAGAACACTGCCCGACAGTAATATGAGAGTCCAGTGTATCTGAATCTGTTCATTTGTCAAGATGCTGATCGACATCATGAGTACGTACCTTTCCTCCGGTTTGGTCGCTGGGCTCTTTTGGCCATGCTAGGTAATCTGGGGCAAAGTCCGCGCACGAGAGAATCCTGCGCATCGCCTGGTTCACTTGCAATAATCCAAGAACGTGAGCACCGATTCTTGGCCGACTTCGTGGGTATCTGGATGGGATCGTCCCTAGAAAACCCGGTTTGCTCTTGGCGGCTGCATAGTAGGAGTACGTATCCCTACAGGACATGTGTGGACTTTCGGAGAAAGCAAAAGTGGGAGAGGCCTGGCCCCCGATCTTTCATCTTGCAGTGATCCAGCGCGGAGGGATTGGATACAGATAGCAACACGAAGGGTAGGCTCTGACGTAGCTCACCGACATCAGTCCGCTCGAGTAACTGTAGTCCCACCTTCTGTTCGAATGAAATCGACCATGGTCTCAATACTGAATTCGGCAAAATCGTAATTTCAGATGGATATGCGTGTGCGTGCAACGGTGAGATCAGCATGCGCCATGGCGGACGATGAATGTTGCACCAGCTGACGCTGAGATTGAAAGCACTCACGGGACTTGGTCTATTCTAGCCGGCAGACCAAGCAACCCTACTGTCGCTCATCATGGGTCCGGCATAGACGAAGAGGCTCAAAAATGTGGTGCCCGTGGCTAAACCCCAAGTTAGATAAAGTGCGCGGCAAAGGCGTTCGCGAAGGATCAGATCCAATCACCCGAAGTCCACGGCTTGCTGGCTGGACCTTGCTCACAGATGCGAGACTAGGGTGGAGGGGACGGGGGTAACATTAGTAGTGGGCAAAGGATGTACCCCAGACGCTGCAAGTAAATTCAAGTGCAATGCTGCTAGTAAAGCGCAGTTGAAAATGCTAGATTGAACCCTCGCAGGCTTGGATAACAGGCACGATAGAATTGCCTTGCTGCAGAGTTGTATTGGAACATCACCAAGCCGGAATATGCACATAACTCGAAAAAGACAGCGTAACGGCAGCGATACTTGATCAGTGCAGGGTTTTCGCCCAACGCCATGAACCATGGCCTCTCGTATTCGAATCGAGAAATTCCTCTCCGGGTGTTGGAAATCATCCTTGTGCCGTGAGTCGGCTGGAATGTGCACACCTGGTGCTGGGTAAAGTGGTGTCATAATACCAACACATTGGACAAGACGGAAGAACTACAACCTGTGCACCAATCGTACACAACAAAGTAAGCAACTGCGACTTCGAATTGGAAATAGGGCAGTTGTTGCGGAGAATTAATAAAAGAGGATGGCAAGTGCACAGCTCTCGAGATAAACGAGATCTTGGATCCTTCCCAATCTTTGACGGTAAAGTGGCATGATTTTACCGCCAGAGAGGACTCTTGGAGGCTCCAAGCTGGAAGCTTCTACATATTGGCTTCCGTGAATGCAAAGTCTCGAAAAGTAGATACTCTGTATTGTAGCCATACGAACTGCAGGAAGATTTCGATGCATCCCGAGGGCCTCTGCACTTCATGTGGCCTAGCCAACGGCAAATTTTTGGTTTCTTGGTAGAATCTAGAAAAACGATAGAAGCCACTCAACTATGGTGGTTGTTTCAACGAGACAAAGAAATAACACCCATAGCCTAGCAGCTAGGCGTAATGGGCAACGGTAGTTCCAAGATTCGTCGTACCTCTAGGCAGTGAGAAACCGCAAAACAAAGCTTTTGATCTTCTTGATCAGCCCGAGACCAGGTCACACTCCGTTACATGTTCGCAAAAGCCTGTAATGGTGTTGTTTGAGCGCTGCATAAGCCGGTAGGATCTCAATCATCGAGATTTCGATATCAAATCCTGTTGACTCTGGAATGTGGAGTGCATACGGAACTGTACATTCAATACATAATTCTTGGGGAAATAGCCACAATTGATACGTCTTCAATGTGGTGGTACCGTTTGTAGCAACAAGGAGTAGCTATGCCCGTCTCACCTGCTGTATTGGGTATCATTCAGCGTATATCCCCAGTCGCGAGTACCTGAATACCTGCATGTCTTTGTCGGCGCCCCTTGTCGAATACCCTACTCAATGTGAGGGTTCAGAAAAGGCAAATTCCGTCTCCGGCAATTGAGATTTGTGCGAGAGGTGTCCATACCGGTAATTCGGAAGTGAGTGATTACAACTTGGCGGGCATTGAAGGCACAGGAGTTCCAAAGGAAAGGGCAGAGATATCCATGCTCCCACACTGCAATAGTCCGCTGACTATAAAGACTGGGCATCGGGAGGAAACCTCCACATTCCGCCCTTGATTTGGCCTTCTGCATCGGACTCTCGTCGAAGAGTTATGTGGGGCCAGATTCATATTGGGCAATGCAAGCCTCACGGTCATACTTGCATGGCGGACTAGCAGACCAGCCCCTTCATGGATTAAACGCAATGCATCCTGGAAGACAATAATACACAAGCTGCCTTGGATAGTGCACAAGAAAGCGATGCCAATGATGCTCCCATGCAAGCATTTTATTTTCAGATCGTTATCTTTACTGCGTGGTAAGAGACTGCGTGAATTATGACGATATCATCATTTGTGATTTGAGTAAGATAGTATATGTCATTGATGGACCAGGAGAACTATTGACAACCTGTAACTGGATGCCAATCAAATACTTCGTAAACTTAATGGTTCGAAACATGAGTGAAGCTTGATTTCTCACTCTCCGAGTGCCTAGTATGAGCTGGACTTACTCAGGAGGTGAAAGCTTGTAGATTTTGGCAGTGTCTGATCCATGTGACTATCTCCCGAAGGCCTTGGACAACACTTTGCAGATACTTTGTGAACCCCGAAGAAAGGTTTACTGAAGCCGGGACAAGACATTGGGCACTTATTGTATGCTCACGCTTTGACCCTTTTGACGGCGGAAGCCAAGAGCTATGCAGTGCGAGCTCCACTCGTCACACCGTCGGCGATGTCTCGCCGGTCTTGATTCGTAAGATGTTTGATCCTGATTGCCACACTCAGCCCCGTCGGGTGGAAATACGGTGGAAAGAAGTATGCAGACTTCGACAGTGTCTGGTAGAAAAGAGTGAGGAAGGGAAGCAGGCCTGGGCATCTTGGCATGGTGGGTAAATTGCCTCAACAGGCCATTCCTGTCGTGCAAAGGGATATGCTTCTGGATAGAGCGCTTGGTAGATTTCTTCTCAAATCGTGTGTGAGGGGAAGATTTCCCGAGGGACAATGTAGCAGGTGGTTCGTTGAAATTGGAGGGCTTTGCCAAGATGATGCGCGATTATCTGAATTTTCAAAGTGATAGGGTAGGTGTATTGGGAAAACTAACTCAGCAGAGGGGAAGAGATTGGGGAATGCAAAGATGAACAGGAGAACGATTAGACTTGTAAGAGAGACGCAAAGAAGCAAGAAAGATTTGTGCATTATTTGCACGAAGTGGACAGACGAAAATCATGACTGCAACGCTTCAGATCTTCAGAAAACGCCATCAATGCAAGTACGAGAAAGTACCTCATATCCGTAAGATAAGAACAGAAAAGAAAAGAACAGAAAACACCTACGCTAATCGGCTGTACAGTTGGAAGCTGCGACATGTGCAACTTGACTTTTGTTAGGACGAATCCCTGGTTTCGTACCCTTCTTTGAATTCGAGATACGTTAATTTGTGTGCAAAGCCTCGTGTCATTGGTTTCCTCGACTTGGCGTTTGAACTCCAGGTTTCTCGGTGTGCTCCGCAATCGCCAGGACGCTGGTCGAGCTCTCACTACCGTCGTCGACACTCATACCAAGTGTCCGTCGAGCGAATTCTTTTTGTCCCTTTCCAACCGAGCTGCTGCTTTCCGGTAATTGTGCCAAAGCTTCTCCATTCGAGTCTGCCGCGTTGCTCGCAGTGGTTGGGGTGATTTGCAACCATTGCACCGAGGTACAACGTTTGACGAGCCGCACGGTCGTTTCGTCGACAGGTGCAAAATGATGGCCACTAGTCACCAGCAGGTGTAACAGACGGAGGATGTCTTCGCGTTTGTAATGAGGAGGTTTGCTTATCTGGCTATGCGCCAAAATAGGATGCAGAACCCTGAGGTACGTATGTCTCAACGCATTGGTGCTAGCAGAATCGGAAGGGAGATCTATAAGATTGCGGAGGATGACATCGACCAGGACGTGTAAGTCATTGGTATAAAAGTACTCGGCGGTAGACGTGTTGCCGAACAAAAGGTATAGAACCTTCAGAATCAAGAGCTGTAGAGAAGTTTCGGACTCGCGATTCAGCAACAGGATGAGATTACACCCGAAAGTCTTGTAGGTCATTCCATGAGTGGACAAGGCTTTGATGACGCGGTTTGTGACACTACCACTGCCACTCGCATGGTATGTTGTTGAGGCTACTAGATACTGCTCGTTCAAAACCAGCTACCAAATTCAGCTGAGAAACAAGGATATGATTTTGGACGCTTCTTACCAGCACGCGAATCACAGGGTAGTGGTAGGGGTCTTCGGCGTCGTCCGAAACGCCCTCGATGATGTCCAGCAGGTAAAGAATGAAAGTATCGTCCACGGTCACTGGATGCCAATTAGCTAACATCCTCGAGTCTTATCGCGGCATGGCAAATCTCGGACTGCCATACTCGAAGATGTACGCACTTAAATCCTCCCAACTAAGCCGCTGTATTCGAGAAGACTCGTACATCAACTCGAGAAGCATTTGATGCAGTCGAGTATCTTCCTGCACGGTAGGACTTCGTATCAACTCCACCAGACGTGGAAATACGCCCTCCTTCTGCATCATCTCGAAAGTGATATCAGTTCCATTATTGCGACCGTCATACAAAAGGAACGCAGCGACCACGTGGAGAGTAGGATTATCGTCTTCCTGTATTTCGATTCAGCTTGGATGCAGTGTGACCCGCTAGCCTGGTATCCAGTACCTGCAAGAGACAGTAGATTATCTGTCTTCGCACATATTCCTTATGTGTATTGAATAGCTCGCCTTCTATGAGACGAAACGTGCATTTCGCCACGCTGTAATCCGTTTGTAGGTACTCGGCTGGCAACAGAGTCAGTGGTGCGGCGGGGAAATGGACGCTGGACGCAAGGCACATTTATAATTCGTGGTGACATTGAGATAAGAGCGCAAGGCGTTGTCTATGATCTCGTGCTCTTGACAGCGTGTTGACGTAATATCGTCGAGCTCTATGTTGTTTTGTTAGCTTCAATGCGGGCAGTAGTGGGGGTGCGAACCAACCGTCCCAGAATTGTTGCTCATTTTCGAGGTTGTACGATACCTCAAACGCCATGCTGAGATCGCGAGAGAATCTCCAAAATCATCGTACCCAGCGCTGTTTGCAAAAATACTACAGTGGGCGGCAGGACTGAGGTTCCAGATGTTGTGTGGTGTGTTTGTAACGACAACTGCACCGAAGCTGTACGGAAATTTCTCGGCATCTCGAGACGTCACTGTTCCAATTTAGGCAAGCGCTTGCTTATGCGGTCTTTCAGGGGTGCTATAGGTCAAACTTCCATGTCCTTTTCTCCCTATCTACAACTGCATCCTTTCAACAGCAACCAAATCATCCAACAATCAGTAAACCTGTGATGTATGCAACTTATCACCGCCATGTTCGTTTCTGAACAACCGGACGCCGATCCTATGTTCGCCACACATACTAACTTCACATATTACGACACCCATCTGCCTCCATCTCAAGGACTTGAGAGGGTCAAATCTTGATGCCTGGAGGAGTTCATCGGTATCTTCAAATCCGCAAAGCTTCCATGGCTTCATGATTGACCATATTACCAACATATCATTCTAAGCATCGCTTACAAGCAGTCGTAAGCAATTCAAGGCAACCATTTATTCAAGCTGTATATATACCTCTATCAATTCACTACAATGAACCCCAACAATCACAATCGAAGTCCTCTTTCTTAAGAATCAAATTGAATCCAATCAAGTTCGCCATGTCTGAATCTGCAACTTCCACCATCGCTGGGAATTTCCCCACACGTGTACAGCACCTTCTCAACAAATTTTTTGAGATCGGTATGAAGATTGAGCCAGAGTCTGGCAAAGACTTCGTCGGATTGTTCACCAAGGACGGTGTTCTCAAGACGCATGAGACTGTTGTTCTACGCGGTCATGACGGTAAGTTTCAAGGACACCGACCAACCTCCACTGCGATAGCGGATGGCTACATGAATTTGCTCTTGCACAATCCATGAACATGCCTGATACTGACCAATTTCATAGAGCTTGCTACCGTGCATGCCAAACTCCATCCGGCATTGGAGTCTCGCTGGCACACTGTCTCGGGAACTTTTGTTTCGACCTCTTCGCCAGACACCGATTTTGCCGTTTTGGGTCGCTTCAATGATGTACTAAAGGATGGTAACGTGGTTGGCATGGATTTTACTGCACGCTTCATCGTTAAGGAGGAAGACGGAGTCGAGAAGCTCGGATCAGTCAGGGTTTGGACTGATCCAGCGGAAATGTTGGCTGCGTTCAAGAACGCAGAGCAGTCTCTCAACCTCAAGCATGAATAGTTCCCGAGTCGTTGGTACTTATGGACTTTCCATTTCTGCTAGTAGTACAACTACAAATGTCACCGTAGGAAAAATACGAGTTCCGCTCCTTAAACGCCCGCTCCCCGTGAGTCTCAGAATACCCGTATTATGTCATGTGCAAGGAACCTGGTTCCTTAAAACCTTTCCTCCAACCTTACTGTCATACCCGTGATGGGAATATGCTTAGTGCTCTTCTCCTTCTCGCGCTTTGCTTCGCGGTCTAGATTCCTTGCAATTGCTTCGCTTTGGATAGCACTGAGATTCTCGATACTCTGCACAATGCTTTCTTTACTGATACGACCGGGGAATAGGGCCTCCAGTTCTTGCTTTGTTGTAATGGCAAGCTGATCTTCCAGGGCATGTATAGCCTGAAATCTTAGCTCTGACAGTTCACGGTTGAATTTGTCTGAAGCTTCAACGCATGCCCTCTTCGTCGCAGCCTCGCTCTCATCAGCGCCTGCTGCCTGAGCTTTCCGTTTCTCTGCACGCAAGGCTTCCTTTTTGGCTTTGGCTGCAAGATACTTAGCCGAATGGCCAAGTGCGCTTCCTTCCTTCTTCACTACGGATGTAGTATTGAGAGGTGGAGCAGTAAAGAATAGGATTCGGCCCTGCTCATCACGCTGAAACTGCTCGCGAATTTCCGGAGGTATTTGGCTGTTTGCATGATCGCTAAGAACATACACCTCGACCGGCTGGGGGGCTTTATAACCCATGGGAGGTTGTTGCATCAACGGCTGCTGAAATGTTGGAGCAGGGCGTGAGGATGCGTATTGGGGCACCTGCGGGGGAGGCTGAGGTGTTTGGAATGGCATGATATTCTGGAAGTTCGCGGGCTGCTGAGGTGGATTTTGTGCCACATGAGGGACGGGCGACGCGGAATGTGTAGGGTAATGCGTCGAATGAGTTGGGGTGTATGCGATTTGTGCATTATGCGGTTGTGGAGTGGGTGCTGGCACAGGTGTTGCTACTGGCGCTTGGGCAATTGAATAGCTTCGCTGCGTCTCTGCACCGTACCCGTTGGGCACCTGAGGTGGGAGGGTTGGCGTAGTCATAGCCGGAGCAGGCGGGGGCTGTGGCGGAGGTGAAGGTGTGGGTTCGGGCGGTGGAGAGTCCTGAGAAACTGTTAATGCCTAGATATATACGTATTGTACAATGTGAAACTTACCTTCGGATCTCGAGGACGTCGGTGTACGGCGCCGATTTTTGGTGGAGCGTTTTCAGCACCCCACTCTGGTTTTGGAAGATCGTCGGTTTCCTTTTGGTCGTCTTTTAATAGATAGGCGATTGGGCTGGGGACCTTCTTGAGCTTCTTTGGTGCCTCAAATAGATCCATGACGTAGTCCTTATCACGAACTTCATCTGGGAGACAGCTTGCCCAGGTTTTGATCTTGTTGAGCTTGTGTTTCTCCTCATTATATCGCGCTTCACAAACATAGATCTCTTTGTCAGCCGGGAAATCGCGTGGACGACCCTTGTTGAATCGCGTGATGAACATGACAAAACATCGATCCACAACTTCGTCAATGCGATGATCGCGATATTGACCAGTTTTCACGACCTCGTTCTCCAAAAAGTGCCTGTCGAATCTGTGCACCGTCTGCTCGGGTCGATAGTACCAGCAAGCATTCACCCATCTAGCGCCGTCTGAATCTTGCCAAGTACGGTATATTTGGGCGACAACGGGCTTCGTAAGGTCATTTGGATTTTGGATATGGACCCAATCACCAACCTTCCAGAGTTCTCCGTTGTGAAGAATGCCGTTGGGCATGGGAATGCGTCCATCGTCCATTCCATAGTCAGCATCAGGCTTCTGCTTCTCTTCTTCTGCGATCCTGCGAGCTTCTTTCTGAAGGTACACAGCATCTTTGTAGATCTCACTTGTTTCTTCGTTGTACCGTTTGGCGTTCTCGAACATCAGCTCAACGTCCACCATAAAATGATCAACCGAGTTGTACTTCTTCCGCTTCAACTTCTTTTTCAGGACGTCCATTGCCATAGGCGTCTTGATTTCGGCATGGTATTCTGGCATGACAGATTTGTCAGGCACTCGCTCGAAAGCAGACACCATGAGCTTGTTCTCCGAGTTTCGCGGCTTCCTAATGCCTTTCATGATGGCCTTGATTCTTGCTTCCATTGGCGTGTCAACTCGTGGGGGTCGGCCTCGCTTCTTCCTCGCTTCAGGATCGTCTTTGCCCATATCATCTTTCGGTTTCACACCAGATTCGCGTTTGGTGATAGCTGCTGTTGATCTTGGACCTCGCCTCCTTTTGCGCTTATTCTCATCATCATCGTCGTCTTCGTCGTCCTCATCTTCCTCTTCATCATCCTCGTCCTCTTCCTCCTCTTCTTCATCAGGTGGCAGCGGGTCTTGCTCGGGGATCTCTCCTAGGTATGGTAGTGTCGCAGTCTCCTCTGTGATAAGCTTCTCTTCCACCAGTTTCTTGAGCTCCTCTTCTAACACCCTCTTCACCTCCAGCGCATCTACGTAAGCCTGTGAATCCTGTCTGTTGTAGACCTGAGCATTGTGTGGTACCAAAGCGAAGTCGCGAACAAACTCGGCAAAGTTTTTATATTCACGTTTCGCAACTTTCATTTTGATAGTGCTCAGAGCCACCGGCTCTTTGATTACTTCATAGTAATCTGGTAATTGGCGCTTGTTGACTTTTCGGTGGAAGAGGTTCGTAGGGTCATAATCACTAACAAATGGGGTCAATCTATATGGCCAAAAGCGTATGTCGGTCGCAGTTACTTACTCTTCAACCCTATGCGCATATATATTGTTCAGGACTGTAGACATACCCTTCCATTCGTCATCGGTGACAGTTGAAGGTGCGCCATCGGTTGCCGGAGGATCAGCAGCCTCTGTTGTTGGTACAGGCGTCGAGCTTGGTGCGCGTGCCGATGCCATCTTGATCAATGAACCGTATTCGAATGTACCAAGTGATTGTGCGGATGCGCGACACGGAGGCAATGCGCTTTCACTTGCGCGTCGCAAGGGCGTGTTGGAAGACGTGGATGCAGTCGCGAAAAGGCATGGTCCGAGCTTTCTGTCGGTTGAACCTGCCCTCCGTGATCGACACAGGGTGGCGCTTTCCGGCCTCGGTATCGACGTTCCGGGAGCTTCATTAACTAGCTACGACCATTTGTTCAGTGCTTTCTAATCGACATCAACCTTTGACCCCGCCATCTTTCACATTCCACAAGGTTCTATATTTGCCCTCATATAGTTCTCCGTTTTCTTCTCCCTAGACCTTTGTCGTAGATACATTCACAATCCTTCGCGACATAGTTCCGACTGTTGCCCACCGACCGACCTTCAACCAACCTATACATACCTCCGTAGCACGACATGCCGATACGAATTCGATTACGAGCTCCAAACGGGCAGCATACACTCTCGCTTGCTGATGATGCTGCTGTATCTGATCTTCTCACCCTCATAACGGAGAAAACAGAGCTGCCACTCTTCACGTTGAAGTGGGGGTTTCCTCCGCAACCACTAGATCCCTCATTATATGGCATGCCCACGAAACTAGCCGACACCGACCTCAAGCTCAACGGCGCACAGATCATAGTTATCGCACAAGAAACTGGTGATCCGAGCGAACGGGTGCAGTCGGAGGGAACAAGCGAGCAGTCGCAATCCGCGCCATTGTCTCTCAAGCGGAAACAGAACACGGAGCTGAAGGACACGCCCGACGTGCCTGTACCTTCGCGTGGTGGGACTATTGTCTTAAGAGTCATGCCAGATGACAACTCCTGCATGTTCCGAGCTTTGGGGAGTGCAGTCTTGTCCGACTCGCTAGATGGAATGACCGAGCTGCGGTCTCTCGTCGCCCAAGCAATTCAAGCAGACCCCGAAAGATTCAACGAGGCAATATTACAGAGGAAGCCCGATGAATACTGCCAGTGGATACAGTACCCCGACTCGTGGGGTGGCGGTATTGAGCTCAGCATCTTGTCTCAGGAGTTCGGTGTGGAGATCTGCAGTATCAACGTGCAAGATCAACGCGTTGACAGATTTAACGAGGGAAGTCCGCGACGCTGCATTCTGGTGTACTCTGGGATTCATTATGACACGGTTGCTTTTGTGCCTGACGGTGCTTCCACCCTTGACGCCGACTCCGACATTAAACTCTTCGATTCGAATGATGATGCAATCTTGCAAGCGGCAGTCCAACTATGCTCCGAACTTGCCAAGAAACATTACTATACAGATACACAAAAATTCGATATCAAATGCAACACCTGCGGCTGGACCGGGAATGGCGAAAGAGGTGCAGTAAAGCATGCGGAACAGACAGGTCATACAGATTTTGGTGAAGGTAACTAGGTTCTCAGCATTGTTCGACATTTTATCTATGACCTATTCATTATATATTTCAGACATATACCCAGATAGCTGCAGAGGGGGGCTTCACAATAAATCATTGGTACAGCACATAATTATACATATTTTCCTTATAGATCGGAACTAGCGTCGATCCCTCATGCCAGACACCGAATGTGTGAAGACAGATGATGAGTGCATTGATAATTGTGGTATATTTTCATTGGTATTTGAATTTCGAGTACTAACGCTTTACGCACCGAGAGACGGTGTAGACAGCTCCAATTGGATACAATGCCCATGATACTAGGTTCGCCGCTTGTAGTGCATGCATACAAAAGCAGGTAACGTAAAGCACTCCAGTGTTCAGGCGTTGTCAAGATTGGTAATCAAGCACTTCCACTGAGTGTATCCGCAAGACTGGTCCAACTCTCTTTTCTCCATGGAGCAAGCATAACACATCTCTGAGCATCAGCCACCAACCCAGTGCCCGCAAAAGCAGTTGCCAGACCGGTGGCATCTAAATCGCCCACAGGCGGTACATTCCTTCTTGCCGTTTCTCTAGCCATGATACCGGCGTAGCTCTCGTCTGTCGCTTCAGCGAGGTCTTGCCACCCTTGGTATTTCCATGGATTGAGCATGACGCTACGCTTAATCTCATTCAGAGCCTCCTGCTCGCCACCGGTTAGTATGGCTATAGCTTCGCAGATCTTCTCTACACGAGCAAGTTGGTGCGAGTCGAGGTTACGGTCCGTACGTAGGGCGGATAGATCTTCGAGAACGGCCTCGCATGTCTCAACATCATCGTCTACAACTGCCATTGCTCCTAGAAGCGTGACAATGCCAACGTGTCTTCCAGATCCTTCGACAGCAGCAAACAGCTGCTCCCGGGCGATGTCTTTCTCGTGCTCCTTGCCAGTCGCCCACAGGACTTCTGCGAGGAGGCAAATGATGTCTGGGTCTGATTGACTCTCCTCCAACGATGTGCGGAAGTAAGGTATGCTAGCATCGATATCTTGCAGGTAGTAGTGAGAAAGACCTGCGGTCAACCTGGCTGAGAGCCTGGTTTTGGCTAAAGCATTTGATGAGAGGACGGATTCGTCCTCGAAGTCCGAAAGAAGATCGATGGCAGTCTCGGCTTCTTCGACAGCAGAGGAGTAGGAGTTGGTAGCAAGCAGATTGCGTGCTAGATCAGTCTTGGCTTGTGCATAGCGTGCGAGAGCAGAAATAGCCTCAGAGGTCTCATACTCTTGCTCTGTAGTCTCACAGATGGAGTTCAAAGCTTTAATGGCAGCTTCGTGGTTACCGATCCTCTCCAAGAAGAGTGCTGCAAGGTGATTATGAGGTATATCATAAGGCGCTTGGAACCTTAATTGATGCAGCGCAAACAGGGGTTGAATAAGGTGTGTAATGTTGTTCGAAGCTGATGGCGATGATATTAGGTGGTCGAATGTTGAGACGGCGTATTGACGCTTGGTGATCAGATAGGAAGACTCCGATAACTCGAATGCATGAGTGAAGTGATTCAGTGCTTCGTTCGCATCGCCGCATAAAAGAGCGACGATACCCTCTCCTACCCAAGCCAAGGCATAATCCGGATCAGTCGATTGTGCACGGGAGAAGGCGGTATGTGCTAGCTCCTGGTCACTTTGGAGTAAATATAGTGTTCCCAAGTTCGTCCATGCCCGCACACTGCGCTCGTTCAGGTGCAGAGATCGCACAAATGCATGTTGGGCAACTTTTGGATTGAGCGTTGTGGTAATGACACCCAGTGAGTTCCAAAACTCGGAGTTTCCTGCCTCTAGCTCGATGGCACGCTTGAAGCATTTGATGGCTGCGCGCAAGAAGGTTGTCAGGCCCTGGTTTTCCTGCTCTTGTTCTAAACACACATGTGCTCGGTACTCGGTCCAGCCTAGATTGTACCAGGCCACAGCTTGAGCGTGAACATCGCCGACACAGCTAATTATTGCCCTCTTCTGGGCTAGAATAGAAGCATGGAGCACCATGGTCAATAATTCACTAGGCTTGAGGTTTGACTGATCAGCTTTTCCGATTTGTGCCAACTGTGAAGAACCGATGTCATCTAATTCGAGATGCGAATCATAATCGACCTGGGTTTCGCTGCTTGTAGGTGCCCGGAGAAGGCTCTCTACCGTTGCAAGTGAGACTGTGTTCAACTTCTCCTGTACCCATGTGAATATGGAAACAGCATCGCCGACAGCTTTCCAAAGATTGAATGCTTCGGGTTTATATTTGGTGATCGAAATCGCCACTTCGATCGCACGTTGTGCACTGGCAGAAGCTTCGCCGAAGAAACCACTGTCCACGCATCGCCAACTCTTCTCCACAAGTGTCTGCAACAATGCGATGGAAACACCAAATTCTTCTGACTTTTCGTTCAAGACTTCCTCGTAGCCTTTGATTGCCTCATCAAACTCACTCAGCTCTCGGTTGACATTGGCCAGCATGTACTTGGTAAACCAATTTGCACCTTCGCTCTTCTTCATAACGACTCCATCAGTTGGGTTTTCAGCATAGTTGAATGCACGTGACGCGGAATTGTAGCGCCCAGAATTGTGGTAACTCTCACCAAGACCAACATACGAATGATAATCGTCTGGACTGATGCGCAAGGCCGACAGGAAGGAAACGATGCTCTTCTGATACTCTTGCTTGTTCATTTGCACTACACCGAGTGCTGAGAAAGGCCAGCTCACGCCTTTCTTCTTTGAGCCTGGAGCAGGACGAACTTTGCCGGAATCCACAACTCGTTGAGATACGACCTCCACGATGTCCCATTCGCCCTGGTCTGCAAAGGATCGGGCGAGGCGTTCAGCCGCTAGTATCTCAGAGGGAGAAAGTTCAAAGGCCTTTTGAAAACACTGCCGAGCTCTTTTGCGGTCCTTGTTGTAGTCTTCATAGAATTCGCCAAGTTTTGTATACGGTGGAGCATAATTGGGATTGGCCTTGATGGCGGCGAGAAATCTCGAATATGCACCTTGTCGACTTTTCCGTGCAGTTTTGGAAGGATCCAGCTCCCACAAACACACTCCGATGCGGTACAACGTTTGCGCTCGCAATTCTCGACCGCGCTGATTTGAGGCATCCATTTGAGGGTATTCGAGGTATTCCTGTAATCGATCCAATCCGGCCTGGTAGTCGCCATTGAGAGCTTGACACCACGCCGCTTCAGCACCAATACGTCCGTTTGATAGGTCTTGGGATAGAGCTTGCTCGAGAAACTCAACCGCTTCACCATATTCTTCCTCTTCCTCTAGAATGAGACCAATTCCTATCAGAGCACTGGTAAAGTGAGGCTTCCGGTCTAATATGGAACGAAATATTTTCTTTGCTTCTGCATGATTCCGTGGCGCCTGGTAGTACACTAGAGCTGTGGCGAGCGTACTGCTCAGTGCATCCTTTACCCTAATGATGTGAATGACAATCGACAAATATAACAGCACAAAATATACCTTTGAAATGTAAGGTCAGTCTTTTTGGCCTCAGTAGCAGCAAGTTTCAGCCCTTTTCGAGTGGTCTCCACAGCAGCCTCGTATTCTTCCAATGAGAGCCAGTAGTCGCCTACCAGGCAGTGGGCGAGCGGAGAGCGTTTTGCCTCTTCCAAGCCTTCCTGATACAAATTCAGTATTCACAATCAATATTGGCGGTCGAACGTCTTACGCTCATCAGCTCCAGGCAATCTTGTTGCGAGAGGGGTGCATTTCGTGTTAGCGAAACCCCACCTTCGCTGAGATCAGGCTCATCAGGAGCTTCATCGGAAAGTGGGTATTTCGAGATTCCACTACTTAGATATCCTGTTAAGACTTTTGAGAGGCCTTTGTTTGGGAAGAACTGGACGAATTGGCGCAGAGTCTGAATATCTAGATCCAGCAGATCGTGCGCACTGTCCGCATGTGAAGCCATGCCAGTCGCGTATGCCCTTGCCGTACAGAAAACTTGGCTCTGAAACAGATGCCAAATGAAAAGTGATAAAGTAACGAGACTGATATATGGTACGCGTAAGCCGCGAAAGTTGCGGCGCTGTCGAGATGGAAGCAATGGGTTGACCGTGGGGTTGTTTGTTTGGTAGGGCTGAATTAGAGTTTTGGCACTAACGACGCAACGTCATGATCTCAGTTCCGAACACTTCAATTCCTGTCAACAACATTTCTACATCTTCATCATGGCGCCAATATAACATTCCTGCCCAGAGGCGCGCATACTTTTACGAAAATTCAGCGAGATAGAACGTAGAGACCTTCATCATGTCTACGAAAGCAGCCCTCAAAGCAGCAAAAACCGCGATCGATTCGAAGAAGTGGGATGAAGCTCGCGAGCAAGCGAACAACGTGCTCGAAAAGGACCCACAGAACTACTTCGCCAAACTCTTCCTCGGTCGCGCCTACGATGGTCTTGGGAAATTCGACGAATCCGCAAAAGCATACAGTGATGCAACAGAGATCAAGCCCGAGGAAGCACAGGCATGGCTTGGTCTGCGGGGCCTATACGAAAAGCAAGGACCTGCCAGAGTTGACGAGAATACGCGCGTAGGACTGAAACTGGCGGAAATATTCATGGAAGCCGATGATGCACACAAGGCACAGATTGCGATCGATAAACTGGTCGATCTTGCTCGAAAATATGGCACCCCGCCCGCATACGCACGCGCGCTCAAGGCTCAGCTACCAACTAGCCCCGTCTATTCTTATCTCGAGGGCCGCCTACCCAGCCCATCGCACACATACATGAGGATCGCTGAGATATACGAGAGGTCTGAAACGGAAACCATAAAGAAACAAATTGATGAGCGTAAAACTCGGCTCGGAGCGACAATAGAAGGCGTGACCACCCAGGTGAAGCAAGAGGTGTATGGCAAAAGTGAGCTCGAGGATATATATCAGGAGATCATAAACTGGACAAATGATGATGACCAGAGACGAGAGTATGAAGAAAAGCTACTCCAGATTGCCTACGAGCATCTATTAGTGCTGCCACCAGGACAGAAGGAGGAGAAGAGACAGAAGGTCATGAAATTGGCACACGATATGGTTGTTATCAAGCATCCATTCTACCTGGCCTGGCAGATCGAGCTAGAATGGCGGTCGGGTCTAGATATTGCGGTCTATTGATAGGGCGACCATGTTGATACTTCAGGTATCTCAACCATTCATAAACTAGGACGGCCGCAATGGGTCTTGAGTGTCTGGTACACTGAGAACCCTGCCACCCCGGCTCGTGTCACACATGTGACTGATATCTAAATGAAAACAAAGAAACATTAAAAATCCACCAGATGCACGCTTGTTCCATAACGCCTCGAATACCGATAGAAACTATTTATGCGTTTACAGCACCCACCACCCTCTTCTTCTCTTCGGTCGAGAAGATACTCTCGCCTTGCTTCAGGGCATGGATCAACATGGGTAGACTCTTTGCGGTGAAGTCTTGCGCTTCACGCACTTTGTTGAGATCGTCACCAAGTTCTGCGGTAATCTTTCTCAGGTAGATCGATGTGAAATCTTCGTCTGGTTGCGATGGCCGAGACTTTTGCTCTGCAGAGACATCGTGTGATGGTTCTTCGGCGTCAAGCATTGATGCATCTTCATCTACTTGAGTGACCGCATTCTTCTTCTTCCTAGCCTTCTTGATCGTTTCCTGTGGGTTGGATTCCTGCAAAGGCTTAGTGAAAGTAGGTTTAGATGGAACATTGAATATCCACATACTTCGGTCACAATAGCTTTTGTCGTCGACTTTTTGCGTTGTCTCTGCTCCACTTCGCTCTCGCTTTCTGAGGAGGATGAGACTAGAAATGCGTGGTCAGTATCGATCGGAATTATCTGTAAGTGTAATGACCATACCCTCTAGCCTGGACTTCTTCTTCCGTGAGCGCTTGCGCTTCTCTGTAACATTCGATTGATCCAGTCTCGCCATCTTTTTGTTTGTTTGTTTGTTTGATACTCGACGTGCAAAGTGAATGCGAGAATGAAATTCTCTTATCGGGAAAGCTTATCTCCACGTGATCATGTCTAGCTCCGTGAATCTCAAAGTGCATGCCATGCTCATTTGTACGCATGTCGAAGCAGCAGTTTACTTACGAGTACAAAATATCTCGATTTGGTCCAAATTAAACCTGTAACGCGTGACTCCTTTTGAAAATTATTGCTTAGGTAGGTAGGTAAAGAGAGAATAGAGAAAAATTTTCCTTATTCTACTGGTCACCAATGTACGTAGGTACCTTAATTACCTACCTAGGTACCTAGCCTATGATTTGCACTTAGCACATGCTCTAACTTTGAAGAGAAAGAGGTAAGAGCATTATTTCAAAGTGCTCGCGTCAGCCTACACCTTCCTAGGTGTTGTTCTTGACGTTTTAATCTTACGTGCAGCAGAATAATATGTCACCGACTGCTCCAATCAACTTCAAATGATGAATGCATTTATCGATAAGCCCCGCTCGGCTTCGATTGTTGTTTGGTACGACCGACGACATTGCATGCGGAAGACTCCGCAGAGTTGTTTATATCAACGCTGATGGTACTCGTAAGACAGCTGGTGCTAGCATTTTTCAAGATCAGCGACGGAAGAATTTGTTTTGATTACACCTAGACTCGGAAGGTGTAATTCTTTATTAGAGCACTCCCTCAAGGCTTGACCTTGGGACGTCATAAGAGGATCGCCATAACTACAACGGCTATGGATCCAGTGATACCGATAGTCGATTTTGATCGTTTCCTCCACGGGACCGAAGAGCAGAAACGGGAGGTAGCAAGAGGTATCGACAATGCGTTTCAGGAAGTCGGATTCGTATATCTGAAGAACCACGGCGTCGCGAAGGCACTAATTGAAGAATGCTTCGCATGGGTAGACCTCCCCCTCCGTCTTTCTCTCTATCGTAGGTGTTCCTTTACATAGCCACAGGTACTAATATAATGCAACGATCCAGTCTGAAAAATTCTTTTCCCTCCCTCTCTCTACCAAACAGCTATCCCCGCATCCACCAGGGGGCTCCCACCACCGCGGCTACTCCTCTCCTGGCCTTGAAAAGGTAACTCAAAACACCTTCGACGCCGAATCTATATCGAAAGCTCGCGAGATTCCAGACTGCAAAGAGTCATTTGAGTCCGGAAACCCTCTGGATAAGGCGCAGCCTAACATCTGGCCGCCTCCACATGTCATCCCTGGGTTCCGTGAGTTCCTGGAGGGATACTTCACGCAGTGTGGAGATCTGGTGCATAAGGTCCTGGAGTGCTTGGGGCTTGCTCTGGGAGTTGATGGACCTGGATTGGCGAAGACGCATTCGGATTCTTTGTTCCAGTTACGCTTATTGCATTATCCTGCCATCGCAGCAGAGGAGTTGAAGGGGGGAAGGAGGAGCAGGATAAATGCGCATAGCGACTTCGGGACGCTGACGCTACTTTTCCAGGACGCAGTTGGGGGGTTGGAGGTCGAAGATAGATTTCAAGAGGGCGTGTTTAGGGAGGTGGAGCCTGTGGAGGGCGCCGTGTTGGTGAATGTGGGGGATTTGATGGCGAGGTGGAGTAATGATCGGTGGAGGTCGACGGTGCATAGGGTTGGTGTGCCGAAGGCTATGGGTGACACGATGGAGGTAGTGCCGAGCAGGTATTCGATTCCGTTCTTTGCAACGGCAGATCCGGAAACGGTTATTGAGGCGTTGCCAGGGTGTTGGGGGGAGAGCAGACCGAAGAAGTATGAGACTGTCACTGCTTGGGGGTATGTGCAGATGAGGATGGCAGCCCTTTATGAGTAGGGACATTGCACAACATTGCAAGAGTCATTGTAAGGGGATAATTCTGCATTGAGTGGGGTATCAATATAAAGGAATCTGGGTTCTAACGAGTACAAATATTTTGATCTCTCACTTTGTCTCCTGAGTGACTCTTTGAAGGTATTGACGGAGGAGGGACTCAGTACTCTGCGGGTCGTCCCTCTCCTCGGAGTCCTTCCAATGGCGGTAAAATTCAAGGACCACTTCGACGGCGATGAGGGCGATGATGGCCCATTCGAGGCGGAGTCCATGCTTCTCACTAAGGGACTCCCGTAGCACGCTTGCGATCTCCTGTGCGAACCCAATTTTTTCGTTCAACACTTTGATGCGGACGCCAACATCAAGGGCACGTCCGACCTGGTCGTAGTACTCGCCAAGCCCCAATTCGTGGCGGCTGTCCCAGAAGATGTCAGGCATGGAGTCAGTGAGCTCAGAATAGAGGTTTAGTTGCGCTCGTATGCTTAATAACTCGCCTGTCTTGCGTAGGATGAAGGACCTCGTAAATGGAACGTTTTTCCGTCCAAGTGAGATGCTCTCGCCTTTCGCCAGCATCGTGGGGATTAATCGAGTGGAATCTTGATAGGCGCTGAGAAGACTTTCCAATACTGCCAGTTTGGTGGATCGGGCCAGCCCAGAAGAGAACGCGATCTTTGCCAGCACAGTATCCACCTCATGGCGTTGATCTGTTTCTTCGCTCACGTTTTCATTGGACTCGGGAATGTTGGCTTCAGCTCTTGTGCCCAGAATGATTGTATCTCCAATAATCTCACTGCTTTCGCTGGAGGGGTCCTCGAGATAGTCTAGATCTTCCGTCTCTAGGAGGTCCAGATGCGATCCTTCTGCAGCCGCCGGGAGTATCTTGTTCACCAGATGTAAAGCTTCTCTTTCTCGAACATTCCATGTTACGACCGTCCCGGAGGGGAAGATGAAGATGTCGCCCGATTGGAAATCCTTGACCTCGGACGGCCTTTCTGTTGTTGTGATGTGAATTACTTGAGGATAAAGCCCAGTCTGCAATGGATCGATTTCATATCCCTGAGCCCTGATGAGCCGGGCAGCAGCAGAGATGCTGTATTGTTCCGCAGCACAATACGCCGTCACATTCTGTTGAGAAGATGAGCGAGTTGTCACATATGATCGCACGGGAAAGTCACCACCAACCTTGGTCTCGGCATCTGGGTCTACGAATCGCTTATTCCCTTTCCCTCTTACGATCCCTCTCGATCTTTGAGCTTCAACAGCTACCCTCCTTAGCGACGACGTCTTCGCAGCATTCTTACGGGGAACTTTGCGATCCTGCGCTCGATTGTCATCTTTTGTGGGAGTTGCAGCTTCCGCCTCTTGTTTCTGGGTAAATTCGACCTTCTTCTCCCTAATTTTCGTCGACGATATTGATCGTACGGCTAGATTCGGAGCTTGCCATGCCGGACAAGTTGATCGCTTGGACAGTCGGGTGGGTCGTATCGCAGTTGGAGAAGCAAAACTCCTCTTCAAGGTGTTCGCCGCATTGATTCGCAGAAACGTCATCGCCAGCTCGACGGATATATGTACTTCGTACCCATTGAATCACGATCGAAGTCCAGAAGTTTTGGGAAGTGGAGCATCAGAAAAGATTCCGGATGCGCTACGATCGGAGCCTTGCAGGCCAGGGTCAGTTCCGAGGGCTTGGCAAACGACATCATTGGGCATCTGACGACCACACCTCTGCAAGCTCCCACGTCTCCGTCACTGACGCTTCTGGAGCTCCACTGGCGCTATTCTCTCCACAGACCGCAGCTCATGCCTCCAGCATGGCTGCGGAGTCGATCGAAGAAGAGCCCAAAGCGGCCCGCCGCGACGAACTCAAACGCCAACAAGCTACGAGCAATGGCAAGGAAGCCGCCCGGCATGTTTCAGACGATGAAGACGAGGACACTGAGGATGAGGCAGACGAAGAACCTAAACTCAAGTACACGCGACTGACAAGCAGTCTGGGGCCGGTGTATCGAAATGGGGACGCGACGAGCACCTTTTTGGTAGCTGGAGATAAGATGGTAGGACTCACGCTTCAAGAGAGCTTTCTATGAGCTTATTCCCCCGTCGCAACATACATGCTGAACTTGCAGTAGATTGTGGGCACGCATAACGGTAATATCGTACGTATCTGAAGCTCCTATGAAGCTCCGAACCCGCGCAATTGACTTGTATAGCACACCATGGCCACCCCTTCCTTCCAACCAATTCGAACATACAACGCGCATCCCTCGGCCTCGGTAACCTCCCTTTCAATATCGCCTTTCCCGCCTCCTATACCTACGGATCAAGCAAGCCTTTCCAATCAAGCAGAGCCATCAGATACACCGACAAGACAAGCGCCGACATCAGGCGGCCATCAATCATCTCCCCGCGCACTGCGGCAACCTGCAATTCCCCAGACTCCTTCCAACCAGATCTACATTGCTTCTTCATCGATTGATGGTTATGTGTGCGTATCCTCCTTGATCGATCCGAAGGACGTTACCTTGCGTAATTTTGGGCGACCAGTTCAAGCGGTTGCGCTTTCTCCAGAGTTCAAGTCTGATCGGTCATATCTATCTGGAGGCCTGGCCGGAGAGCTGATTCTGACAACCGGAGGCGCGACAGGAGTCCGACAAAATGCAAATACAAGCCATGCTTCTCAGGCGGCGCAAGGTTGGCTCGGAGCTATCGGGCTTGGTGGCAACTCAGGGAAAGATACCATTTTGCATTCTGGAGAGGGAAGCATTGGCACGATCAAGTGGTCGCTGTCTGGAAAATACGTTGTTTGGGTCAACGAGCATGGTATCCGTATCATGCGATCGAATTTACATCTGCACAGCGCCGATGCCGAATTTGCATGGAAGAGAATAGGCTTTATTGACCGACCAAACCGGAGAGCATGGGAGGATATGGCTGGTGTCTGGAAAGCTCGTGTTGAATGGGTGGATGATGAGTGTTTAGAATCAGATGAGGATTCTATCATCAGCCTGAACAGCAGCCAGGGCACGGAGAAGGCCGATTCTACTCTGCCCCATCAAAGATTAGACCAACCACAACCGGATTCCAAGAAAAAGACAAAAAGGAAAAAGAAGACGGAGAAACTTGTCATTGGCTGGGGCGATGCTGCCTGGGTGGTTCATGTAAAGCCCGGTGGAGCTGGGGTTGGTAAAGATGTTGGTGAGAGATCCGTTGGCAGCGCCGAGATCATCCATTTGTAAGTCGCCCTATCTTTTATATGGTTTTACTTATCTGACTCGATTCTAGCCTTCGATTCGACGATTGTATTGTTTCTGGCATATCGCTCTATACCCCTTCCTTACTTCTTGTTCTTGCATATCGAACGCGCGACGACGATGACAATCCCATCAACGACCCCGATACCACACCCCGACGCGGAATGCATAGGCGAGCGAACGGGCTCTCTCCAGAGCTGAAGCTGATAGATGCTGCAACATCTGATGAAGTGGAAGTGGACTCATTGACCATCAGCAGATTCGAGAGTCTTTCAGCTGCTGATTACCACCTCAATACTTTGTATGTACCGCATCCCAAAGCAATGACGCCGGCTCAAAGAAGCGCTCTTGAGGCCTTTGGGGGAGGTATATGGGACGCTGGACTGAGTGCGGCACGCATTTTCAGTTCCAGCGCGAGTGCTGTCAGTGTTCCGGTTAGCGGAGACCTTAAGGCAGCGTCATCAATTTCGTCCACTGGCGCTGGTAATGGATCAGGACTGAGTTCTTCGAAACGATCACTACCGGCTCATCCAAATGTTGCTACCGCTGGTTTGAAGGTCTTTATTCAAAGCCCTTATGATTGCGTTCTGGCCGTGAAGCGGGACCTGGCCGATCATTTTGCTTGGGAGTTAGAGCATGAGAATTATGAAGATGCATGGGAGTTGATTGAAGACCATCCAGAGATTGTTGCAACGGCCACGCAAAACTTCCCAGAATCATCTCCGACTAGCACTCCCACGAGGAAACAGGGAAGTCTGCACGAGTTCTTTGCGGACGAACATGCATCTCAGACAACCATATCGGCCCCACGAGCTAATCAGAATTCTGCGGTTGAAAAGGAAAAACGACGTATTGGTGACCTTTGGGTCCAGCAACTTGTGAATGCGGGAAATTGGGAAGAAGCCGGAAAGGTTGCTGGACGGGTGCTGGGAACATCAGCGAAATGGGAACATTGGGTGTGGAAATTCGCGCAAGCGAACCGTTTCAATGAAATCGCCCCATATCTCCCAAAGAAGCAGATGCAGCCCCCGTTGCCATCAATGGTTTACGCGGTGGTTCTTGGGCACTACATCATCAACGATCGGATACGCTTCAAACATTTGTTAGAGGATTGGGATACCGACCTCTACGATGTCAACAGCGTGCTTGAGGCAATCAAAAGCAAATTAGCTACTGGAGATGTCACTGAAGATACCGTGGAAGGTGGTGAACAGGGTCGAGACTGGAGGATCTTGCAAGATGCCTTGGCAAAACTGTACCTCGCAGACGGCCATCAACAAGACGCGCTACGGTGTTACATCCGTCTGCAGAATGCAGATGCAGCCATGTCCCTGATCCGCGAGTTCCACCTCGTGGAGTCAGTTCGAGACGACATCCCTGGATTCATCCTATTGCGCGTATCACGGGAGCAAATGGATAATGCCTCGTTGGAAGAGCTACGTGAAGCCTCTGCAGAGTCCATCAACGTCTTGGTTGATGAGGGCTGTCGTGGAATTATCCCGGCAGATGAAGTTGTAACTCAGCTCCGAGGAAAGGGGGATGCCTTCCAACCCTTTTTGTTCTTCTACCTAAAGTGCCTATGGAAGCCGGAAACCCACCAACGCAAGCAGCAGACGCCGAAAGAGCGCAGAGCAGCAGATCGTCTTGCCGCTGACGGTGTGATCATTGCTGAAGAGTTCGCCGACCTCATGGTCGAAATGTTTGCTGTGTATGATCGACAGCTTCTGATGGAGTATCTCAAGAAGTCTCAGCATTATGACCTCGGCAAAGCAACGACAATCTGTGAAGAGAGAGAGTACTACCCGGAACTTGTGTAAGTGATGTCTTTGAATACCATTGCTGTCTACTCTCTAACATTTGATAGCTACATACTGTCAAAGACAGGTCAGACAAAACGGGCGCTTTACCTTATTATTGAGAATCTATCAGATGTTTCGTTCGCCATCTCTTTTGCTAAGGAACAAGATGATCCTGATCTCTGGAACGATCTTCTTGATTACTCGATGGACAAACCACATTTCATCCGCGGCCTCCTTGAAGAGGTTGGCACGTCTATTGACCCCATTCAACTCGTCAAACGAATTCCCGAAGGGCTAGAGATTGAGGGCTTGAGAGATGGCATCGGTCGAATGGTTCGCGAATACGAGATTCAACACTCCATTTCGGAAGGCGTAGCCAAAGTTCTCCGCGGAGAAGTGGCCACAGGTATGGATACTCTTCGTGCGGGACAGAAGCGTGGTGTGAAATTCGAGGTTGTGCCCTGCGACGATGAAGATGAATCGCAGCAGTCCCACCATCTGAAAGTAGATGTTGAACCTAAGGGGGTTGATCCAGCCACAGCAGCAGCAGCAGCCACACCAAAGGACGACACTGCTGCCTCATCATACTTGGCGACGTCGTCAAATCTCCAGGCTGACCCCACTCCTGTCATCAATTTGGATTCCGATCCTGAGCCAGGTCATTGCACTGGTTGCCGTCAAGCTTTCACCCTACCCACGATGGAAGAAGAGGAGTTTACGGACGGCCCCATACCCAAATCTCGCGACACCCTTGTTGGATTTGCATGTGGACACGTTTTCCACCTCTCATGCCTGCTGCCAAAGACAAGTGCCAGTGCTAGCGTCGCTGCCACTTTACAGCAGCGTTTAGCGAACGACGCCCAATTCGGTGGAGGCTGGGGTCGAAGCGTAGGTGCAAAGGTAGCACACGCCCACGTCATAAAGAACGCCGTGGGTCGTGGCTGCGTGATATGTCGCGAACGGGAAGGTCTTGTCGAATCAACAGACACGTGAATTCGCAATCGATTAGGAGGATTTGTATATAAGGAAAGTCGGACATCTTTGGATTTCATCGTCATCGCATCACGATGATAGAACATTTCGTGGTTGTTTTAGTAGAGGTTATTTATCGGTTGTAAGGAATAGGAAGCATTCTCATAGTGGAGTTGCGCTATGCATAAGGGGCGCTGAAATCTTTGAACCTCTTTCATGTACAGTTTGCTTGATGAAGAACAGTTGTTTTGAATTTTCAGATATACTTGCAAAATACGAATCACTCCCAGTAAAGTGCTGTAGAAGATAATACATCCGTGAGACCATGTTATTCGCATCTTCCAGAGTCGATATGCTAAACGCCCATACAAATACATTTTAACCTCTTAATGACCAATGCCAGATAATTCTCGAAAACGTGTGTGCACACTGCAATTCACGAGAAAAGCCCGCCGCTAACGACCACACTTCCCGCAAACCATGCCGGCCACCAAACAAGCCAAACAACGACTTGTGTCCACAAGCCCCACACATGCCAGCCCTCTGCGGCTTGCACCAGCACCTGTCTCAGATCCATGCCGAAGAAGAAGACTGCAGCGCGAATGACGACGACGGGGTTCAGGATGGCGAGAATCACGCTGCCGATGATAGCGAAGATCTTATTCTTCGTTCCACGTATGAATGTCAGAGGTGTTGTCAAAATGCCGACGAGGAAGGATAAACTGAAGTTCAATGTGGCGAGCGCCGAGAGAAACATTCCAAGCAGCAAGAGCGAGAAACATTGGATGAGGTTGGATTCTTGAGGGGTAGGGCGCCTGAACGACTGCAGAATTGCGGCGGTGGCAAAGGGTAGGATCCCGGTCAGGCCGAGGATTGCATAAAATATCGGATCGAGGTACGACTCGTGGGTGTTATTGAAAAGGTAGAGGGGTAACAAGCCGAGGAAATGCGATATCGCAACAAAGGTTAGAGGAAGAGAGAGTCGGCGTTCTACGGTTTCGAGAGACTTAGTAGGGACGATGGCAACAGCAGAGTCTTTCTTGACCACGGTGACATCGGCTTTCTCCTTCTCCTGCTTGTCTTTGTTGCTAGTGGAGGCAGGATTGGGGGGTGTGGTGATAGACCGCCCGCTCAGAACCCACAGTGCTATTGAGGTGATTGAGAAGTTCATGGCGATCAACATAGCACTAGGTAGGTACGTGCCGATTGAGACAAAGCGATTAGCTTGGAGGAGTAGATAAAAAAAGAAACTCTGATGCAGGTGCTCTAACAGATTGTTCAAGCTCCTGAAAAGAGATTCGACTGTTCGACCGAGGCTCATTTCGTCATGCCAGCCGTCTCCCACAGTCTGAAGAGTAATCGCATCGACGTGGTAGGGAATGAAGGAACTGTGAGGTCCAGTGGCATGACCTAGTCCCTGGGAAATCATGCCTCGCAACATCGTCTGTAGACGCTCTTGGTAGCTGTCGTCGTGCTTCCACATGCGTTGTAATGTACACCCAATGCCCATCTGGCCACTGGCAATAGATACGGCGGTGTTGAATAGGTCGAGATTTGGAAGTTGTCCATTGACACCATCATACATGATGTGCAGTTTGTCGTAGCGATGGCCCCACGGCCCAGCAGGATAGTCCACAGCGACAGCACCTTGGAGAGCGCCACTCTTGATACTTAGAGGTTCGATTGTATCAGGGGAGTGTGAGTCGTGATATGCATCAACCCAAGCTTGGGAGCCGGTTGTGCTGTCACCAGGAATCAAGAATATCACGTCTTTTGACCACAGACTCCATCTCTTGAAGTAGCGAGCAAGTGATAAGACAAGAGCAACACCACTGTGGTTGATATCGCCCGCCATATTCCTCCAAGCCGCCATCATGACGACAGCCTCCGTGGCATCGGCGCGGGGGCCTTGAAGGACTGCATATACGTTTTCGTTCGATATGTTCCGGCCGGAGGCTTGGTAGGAGTATTTTTGGGTTGCCACTTTTAGATTGTTGGACTGGAATATCTCTGACAGTCTTTTCGATCGTCTGTGAAGAGTTAACGTTGTCCATTGCTCTCAAGCTTGGTGGTTTCTCCTTACTGATCAACGGAGCTCCCCGCCAAAGCAGCAACCTCTTGTCGGTATGCTCTGAAAACATTGTGTTCACTTCCAGTGAAATATGTGTGTACCTGCCCCGGTAGCAGTGCGTTTTCGGAAACGTAGGTATTACGGGAATATTCGTTGAGGGGGAGGATAAGTAGCCATACTACGCCAACTATGATGCAGAAGGCGGACAGGTAAGGTGGAATCTTGAGAATGCGGGCATCTTTGCGCAAAGCGAGGAGCGTCGCTGTTAAGATCTATTAGTACAAACAATGAAGCAGCTGTTGGACATGCAAATAACGTACCTAACAAAGCCATCTGCGCGGTCCTCCAATTCCTAGCACTACACTGTTGTTGCGGCTCTGCGGGCAATCGTGTTTGGGTCGTCGGTCATCTCGGGGGTTTTTAGCGCCCTTCCGAACCCCTGCACCTCCTTCATCGCGACAGCTTTCAAAGTCTCGCGCTTCTTACATCTGCTCACCAGCCTTCAAGAGATGCCTTCCCTTCCACAATTCAACCCTTTGCGGTTGCGATCGTACATTTTCCGACTGCCGTTATGTACACGCCTTCTCATCACAGCCATTGTGGGCCTTTGGATTGCGACGATTCCATTCGACTGGTTGCGGGAATGGGGAAGCCTCGAGCCAGACAAGGTTAATCTAGGAACAAGTACGTCTTTTCTTCCATCTCGCTCGAGACTTGGAGGTCTAAAAGTTGGAGATTTGGGGCGATTCTGTGGGAACTCAGAGCAAAGGGTGTTCGGTTTGGCCGGAGTGGAAAGAGATGGAGAAGGCCCTGGACAGTTCATAGAATCTGTGTTTCCTATAATTCGTAGGAGAATCATACGCTAACAATGTCCTCTCTCGTAGTGCACCGACTTAACTTGTTCCCCCTCCTACATCTCGGTTTCCTTCATATGCTGTTCAATGTCCTCGCACTTACACCTCTCTTGGAGCGATTTGAAGCGGAGTTTGGCACTTTGGTGACCCTGGCCCTATTTACCGGACGTAAGCATATAATATCATGTAGCCTCTTGGAGGACATCGTTGACTCGAATTAGCTTTCGGGACATTACCCGGTGGAATCTACACACTGCTTGAGAAGTTTGTTCTAAGAAGTAACACCAATGTAATGGGTGCAAGGTACGCGACGAATGTCCAACAACTTGGCTAGCTGGCTAATAAAGCATAGTATATGGGTATTTCTCTTGCTAGCCGCTGAAGCAATGAAGACGCACAAGGCAAACCCGAACTTCAACATTGGACCATATAAGATTCCAACCTGGACCACACCTTTAATTCTTGTCGTCTTCACATCTGTTTTGATACCTGGTGTAAGCTTCATCGGGCATCTATGCGGATTGGCTATTGGCTACCTATGTATGTGTTCCTACGAACTCACATTCCCTATCAGTACTGACAGACCTAGGGGGGCTTGGTTACATCAAATTCCTAGTACCGCATGAGAAGATCCTGAGATGGGTCGAGGGCAAACTCAATCTGCTTGGACGACTTCCACACTATGTCTCAGTCGATCAGAAGACATATGGACGCTACGGAGTTCTCCCTACCACTTCAAGTAGTCTGCCTAGAAGCCCTGAACCAGGACAACGGCTTGGTGCTTGAAGCGTTTTCTTCGTATGCTCGAAGTGTATATCACACCTGGTGCATACCATGCCCAGGATATTTGAATATTAAAGCACGTTCTGCTACTTTGTTATTGTCTTGATCGGCAATTTATAGACGGCTGGCGTTCTGGTATAACATCACAATGCATTAATGAGAGGGGGAGGAAAAGTTTGTGGGGGTGTAATACGGATCCTTTTCACTTGTCTATATTATTTTCTTATGACGCGAAGGAAAACCAACGTTGATTTTGCAATGGGCGTCTTGATAATGTCAAGCATATTTTAGCTCTATTCTGGTATATCAAGTCAGGCTCGATACATCATAACTAGGTACCTAATATTGTGCCCTCGGTAATTGTGTAGCGCGAAGACAATAAAGTAATGAACACATACGTTTCAAGTGATCCGAGTCTAGTGTTCAGCAATTCTCTTCTTGAATCGATCATCGCTCTGCTTTTCATGAAGCATCCTTCGCCGAGGGTCGTTAGTCCCGTAAAGTCGGTTAAGTCCACGTATCGGAACCCAGAATTCTCGTGATGCACCGCCTACTCAACATTTTCCCCGCACTGGTCTTTGTACAGGTACCGGTCTATCTAATGGCCCACTTTCGAAACGACCATCTGAGGATTTCTTTTCTCACAACACTTTTTTTTGGGTATATCTACAATTCAATTTCCAATTTCTCCATCAAAATCAAACAACACAAACAAGTCTCGTTGGTGTAGTTGGTTATCACGTGGGTCTCATATCTCCATATATGACTGCTTCAGAGAAGCGGAAATCCCAAGGCCGCCAGTTCGAGTCTGGCACGGGACAGTTGATTTTCTTTTTTTGCCGATTTGAAGGAATTGGCAATTAAATGATAACATAGCTGTCATCTTTCAGATAGCAATGGATGCTTGCTGTATGATTTTTTTTATTTGCCGCTTTTTAAGTATCTGTTTGAGCAAGTAGATCACCGATGCATTGCATATTCACAGGGATGTGCATGTGCGGATTAGTGTTCCTGATATTTTGTGTGAATTCGTTCATTTGATGTCATGATCATACTTGACTTGTCTACCTATCTATTTCAGGAGTGACGCCAATTCTATGAATACATGCAGCTTCATTCGTACTCTTGAGTTCTTGCTTGAGGTGACCCGTGATTGCACCACGAAGGCTGGTCTTTTCCATATTTAGAGTCTGCATAAGAAGAGAACCTCTGACACAAGCTCCATCCACAAAATGGTGCCTAACTTTGAATCTCTATGCAGCCCACACATCCTTGCCCACACCCTCGATCCAATTACCGAGCTGGTTGACGCTCGAATCCCATTCTCGCAACCGGCCCCTCATGCTCTCAATCTGCTTCATGTCCAGAACCTTTGGCTGCACCCAGTTGATTCGTGCAACCTCCGCAACTTGATCGATTGTGCCTCTCAACAAGCCCAAGCTCAAAGCCTTCATAATCAAGTGCTCGATCTCATTGGGCTGCACCTTGGTCTCTTCAGAAATTGTGGTGAATGTCATGGCGCGATCGTGAGGTGGGCGACGGAAAACGGTCTCGGTCAATGCGGAGAGTGAGATCTTCTGGTAGAGGAAGGTCTGGTGTTCTTTGAGGAGTGGAACCTTGGAGATGTTGCCAGCTAGAACATCGTAAGCGCGAAGATCGCCGCGGTTAAAGGCGAACAGTAGTTCTCGCAACCACGCGTGGGGAGTGTTAACGAGAGAATCGAGGATGGGGTGCAGCAGAAGCTCTCCGAAATTGTAGATGGAATCAGAGACTAGAGCAGCAATGCTAAGATCATAAGCTCGGGACTGACGCTCACGCAAGTCGAGATCGTCGAGGTCGATGCATGCAAGGAAGCGGAGGGCATTCTTGTAATATGATGCAAACTCATGGTTGACCTTGTAGTACTCTGCGTTTGCGCGGTAGAAAGCCGCATGAACGATGCTCTCCACTGAGTCGAAGCCTTCCAAGATTTGTTCACTTTCGTCCAGCTTCTTTCGCGCTCCATCGTAATCTTCTAACCGTAGTTGTATGCTTGCAGAGGCAACGGTCGCGTAAACATATGCGTCTTGTGAGGCGGGTTTGTTGACGCTCTTTGCGAGCGATGTGACGAAGCTGAGGCGTTCCTCATCATCTATGCTTGTTAGTTGTGTTATCTTTAATAGAGAATAGCCTTGCATACCTGAGTACTGTGTGGCGGCGCTCAGCCCAAGCTTGACAAGCTTAAGTTGGTTGATCTTGTTTGCAAAACTCTTGATGAATGTCTCGAAAAGCGGTATCCGTTGCTTTGCACTCTCAGAAATCTCGAAGTATTCCAACAGCTTGTCTGTAAGCTCGTGCCATAGCTTTCGCTCCCAGTAATCTTCGAAGTCAAGGAAGTAGGATTGGAGCTCGTCCGCTGCCTGATCTCGCTGATCCGCGAGGAGGTTGGGAATGGTATCGGGATCCATCGCCATGGTGAGAAGCTTCCAGTATCTTGAATGGTGCTTATCGATGGTTCCTGGGTAAGAAAGGTGTCGAAGATCTGAAATCCGATGTCGTAGTTGGCTGTTATTGCTGCGGGATGATGGTTGTAGCTCGACCGGCGTCCGGGCGATCGTCGGCATTACATAATGCCGCTCCGAAGAACGTCAAGCTGCAACACCAAAGCTTCATATCAACTCAACATCCGTACAGCCATTGAACGTCGCAGCTATGGCCGTGTCCCGCCATTGTGTTCGCTCCGGAGCGGGCTTGACAGCTCAATTGTCCGCTGCGTCGCGCGCAACGCAAATCCCAAAGATCCCCCAGCGCAGTCTCAATTCAGATGTTCGCAGTACGTTTTCACAACCTACAACGAATGCCCCTCACAACGTGTGCTGACAGCTAGTTATGTAGTTACTAGGACCGGAAAGCCGATTTTGACAGTTGCCGGCGGAAGGTGAGTAGCTCCATCATCTGAATCAGACTATATGTATGCTAACGGAAAGATAGGTCGTCTCTCGGAGGTACGGAAAGCGCATATAATCAATTCTGAACGACTGACTTACGATTTCCATCGCAGGCTACACCGCTACCGTTTTTGGCGCCACTGGTTTCCTGGGACGATACATTGTGAACAGGCTCGCGCGTGCGGGATGCACAGTCGTTGTACCTTACCGCGAGGAGATGGCGAAGCGTCATCTGAAGCTCACTGGAGATTTGGGACGTGTTGTTTTCTTGGAAATGGACCTGCGCAACACCGCTTCCATTGAGGAGAGTGTTCGCCATTCTGACATTGTCTACAATCTGATTGGTCGAGACTACCCCACCAAAAACTTCACACTTGATGATGTACATGTGGAGGGAACTGAGCGTATCGCGGAGGCTGTCGCCAAATATGACATCGACCGATTTGTCCACGTTTCTTCTCACAGCGCCAATCTAAACTCGACCTCGGAATTCTACCGCACCAAGGCACAGGGAGAGCAAGTGGCTCGAAGCATCTACCCGGAAACCACGATTGTCAGGCCCGCACCATTGTTCGGACATGAGGATCGTCTTTTGAACAGACTGGCTGGAGTTACCAACTTCATTACCTCGAATTGGATGCAAGAGCGCTTTTACCCGGTCCATGCCATTGATGTGGGCATGGCATTGGAGAAGATGGTCTATGACGATACCACTGCTGCCGAAACATACGAGCTGTACGGTCCCACGGAGTACAGCATGCAGGAGTTGGCCGAACTGGTCGACAAGGAAATCATCAAGCACAGGAGACACATCAACATTCCACCTCGTTTGTTGAAGCCAGTCGCACATTACTTGAACCGACTCCTTTGGTGGCCTGTCACTTCCGAGGCTGAAGTTGAGCGGGAATTCGTTGATCAGGAGATTGATCCTACCGCGAAGACCTTTGCCGATCTAGGAATCGAGCCCGTGGAGCTGAAGAGTCTCACTTATGAGTATCTGGTACGTCCCACATTTGCTAATCTCTTCAGGGGGATCCTGCTAACAATTCCATTAGAAAGGATACCGTAGCGCACAATACTATGATCTGCCCCCTATGACAGAGCGTGAGAAGAGGGAGGAGAAGAAGTACTTGCACGTCATTGACGACCAGTAGTTTTTCATTCGCATTCCCCGTATTCCAAATATATCATGTGTAAATAGCCGCTCGACTTTGGGGAGCGTACCCAAAAGGGTTTGTAGTAGATTAAACATTTCATTTGTCAGTTCAAGACAATCCGAGTCATATCCAGTAAAGCTGTGTCCTGAGTAGTAGGCGTACGATGCTAAAAGATCACCAATTGGTGGTTTGCGCGATCCCAAGGTCACTCAAGAGCATGTCTCGATGCATTGTGGTAGCATGACAACGGCAAGTATATCCTCTACACCGCGTAGTAGTATCGTCCTCAAAATCCATTCAGATCAGGTTTCCAAGACAAATTACATGTATAAGCATATCTTAGTCCAAGCCTCGAAACCATGGTCTCACTGTTAACATCATGCTGCTGGCTAAGTATTGCGTCCGACTTGTCAATCTGCTTGCGGATCAATCTTGTCAAAGTGCAACTACAATTTACGAGGTGATACTAAACACGGTTAACACAATACAATCAAAACGGTTTGGCACAAAATTGTTATTTTTTATACAAAATTTCAGTCCAGATCAAACTCCTTCAATCATTCATGATGATATGTGCAACATGCCTTTCATGTCATTTCCTCATTGAAACAAATATTAGGATGTATGTACGACCAAGGAGTCAAAATAGAATCTAACAATTAAATGAGCCTCAGAAAGTCTGACTATCCAGATGTGTCTTTCTTAGTACATACCATTGGAATTGCGGCACATTGGAATTGCGGCACATTGGAATACTTTCGCGATGTTCAGATCGCCTTAACGTCCTCTTTGGCCTTGAGTGCATCCATATGAAATATGTCCGGCTGAGACACCCACGGCTGATCTTTGACAGGCCCTTCTGTTTGAACAGAAAGAGCCTTCACAAAATCTGCCCTGAATTCCCGGTGTACATCTTCAACGCAGCTCTTTATCTTTTTCCCAGCGTCATGCCTTGACTCGACCCACAAATCCAGCACGGCGAGGCGTTCCGCCGATCCAGGCTTTGATAATTCGTAGAATATATTAACGAATCTCACGCCCGGAACTATTCTGTGGGTTGTGAAGAAATCCAAGAGCTTATTCGATGCGAATTTCTGGAATCCCTTGTCGCCTAATTTCACGCCGAGAAGGTAAGCGTCGGTGAGACAAGCGGCAGAATCTGTCCGAAGTGTGGTGATTTCGTCATTTCTCGAATATATCCATTGCACGTATATGTTAAATATAGTTGGGTCTACATTCTCTATAATGATGTCTTTGGCGTCGGGTCGTGTAGCTAGGGTATTCCGCCATTTGGGGGAGGATCGGACAAGAACGTCTTTGTGGACGACAAAAGTGTGGAACTGGCGGTTGCCAGAGATATAGACCTGAATCGTTGGGCGTTTACTTCTGTAAGCACTTTTAGTTAGAGAACGAGGCCTCCATGATCCAGGACTTACGGGTGAGCTATTGAGGTACTCATAACTGCTCCTGTAACGTCGAATTGTGGCAACTATAACGCCCAATCCCAATGATAAAAGCCCTTCTAGTTTGGCCCTATCTCATCATTAGTTCATGTATCCATCTGGGGTAACTTTAATCTCAATGAATCAAGACTACCGTGCGTCGAGTCACCTCTCTATACGACAGCCTATCCATGAAGTGCAAAATAACAACTAGATTGGCAGTCCAGCTTTCGAGGAAATGCGGTAGATACCATTCAATGCAACTCAACTTGCTTAAACAATTGAAGTAATTACATACCTTGTGTCTATTGAATGTACCCTAGTACTGTACTCAATGCACCGGATCGTCAAATGTTTGATTACTTCGATTTTTGCAGTGAAGTTGGTGCAGAACATGAAGTCGATGTAGGAGATTTAAATACTTCAAGGCAAATGGTGTTGCATTCATCCTAATTTTTACAGGATATGGATCCATGGTTTCGGATGACTTGGTTGGTGGGAGCGTGGTCTTAACAAAGGTTTGCCGTGTCTCTGGGTCACCCAACTCTGTTACTCGCAATATTTTTCGAGATCGCATGATCAAGATAGTTCAGAGCCGTACCATTTTGAATATGTTTTATGAGGAAACTTATTTCAATCCCCACAGCCACAATTAATGTTCCTAGAAAAGCTGCGACTCCAGTACCGATCCCAATCACATGGCATCATAATCGCAAGCCGCGAAGATGTCGAATGACTGGCTCCAGCCGCCTCCCCTACCATCCCTCGAACCGCATCTGAGTTTCCATGTCGGTAGTGATTATTCAGGTAATTAAAAAATGGAGGCAGCGGTGCAGTGACCCTGCGCAAAGCCTCGACACAAATCAACGTTACTATTCAACGATGAAGGACGACAAAGAGGCCTTATCATATATTCATAAAGCTCTGCATTTCGACCACGGCCTTTCTAGGAAAAACGGCGGATAAGAAGTCGTATATATCCCGGGGAACCGAGAATTTCCCTCGTTTTATTCTTCCGCAAGGGGGTTATCAATGAGAGGGCTTCTAAGTTTGCTGCAGGGTTCAGTCTTGTAAGTTGAAGACAAGCGATACGATAGTGGCGCTCGCTCGTGTAGGTCATCTGTTGGCATCCTTTTTTGATCTGTGAATTGTGTGTATGGGCTGAAATGACGTTCCTCTTCCTTCGGTAGAGGGCGAGAAGCCAAATGGGAGAAAAAGAATTAAGAATCTGTGATTTCATAGTGAGTAAGAAGAAAATGAAATACTTTTATGGATCTACGACTGTACTCTGATGACCTGGGAACGGTCCTTCCTAGTTGAGTCATTCTGGGTGTGTTGGGAAATGTCAACCATTGTTCAACCGCCATCCCAATCAGTTCAATTAGTACCAGCGTCACGGATCAATTTATCAAATAGCCATGAACAAGCCACAGTATCCTGAAGGCTCTAGTGTCAATTGATTCATTGTTAACAAAACGCTGGTCGGGTTTACCATATTGTGATAGAGATCTAAATTGTTGTTGAGAACTTTAAGTAATTACAGACAGTAAAGTTTCACGTGAAGGCATTATTGTGTAGCCTCAAACTTGTTTCATTCTGATATGTTTGTTTGCAATGCCACTGTGTGTTTTGAATGGCCTTCAAATTTCTTTTTACTACCAAAGTACCGCGGTTCATATTTCATGACCTTGAAGTTGGTCAAAACAGCAGGTATCAAATTCGAATATTACAGAGAGCTTTTTCTCCATGCTTCAGACTTCAACGTAAGTAGTCTGCGGGAGTGATCTGAGATAGACTCCTGCTGTAAGTAGCGTCCTATCCAGTATATCCCAGCCAAACTGTTGAGGAGCGTTGCGTATGCGTGAGTGAAGCGCATCTGGCGCATGACAGTGCCTCTAAGTGGGTGTCATCATACCTTGAGTATTTGCTCACAGCCTCTAGCTGGTAACTTGAGGTACCCGAGGGCATAACTTTGGTCAGCCTACCTCCAATCTTCCTCAATTTATCCCATTACACCACGTTACCTGAGCCAGCCGCGTCAGTCACATCGGTATCTTAGAACTGAACTCCTCTGTGACTTTATCCATGCCGTTCGGCCCTCTTCGCCACCAATATACTTAAGCCCCATCGTCAGTACCGGCACTGACAGATATATCCTTGCTATTCGCCTCATTATTACATTTCTCGGCGTCCCTGGGTCTGTCGCTTTATACTGTGGGATTCAACAACTCATGACTCAGACACTTCAAGAACGTACAGACCCAGGGACTGTCGATTTCATCATACCACATGCTCGTGACGTTGCTGCCCTTGGTCTTAAATATGCGCAACATGAAGATATGGAGCTCACCATGCCTACGTCTGTCTTCGATCTCATGGAAGAGGTATTCCATGGGCTCCACTCCCGGAAGCTGGTTTGAATCTTCGATGTGCTCTTCCAAAGTTTCAATGATTGCCCTTTTGAATTCCTTGTCATCCACAATGTTGCCGACAATCCAAGCTTTGCATAGTCGAAGAGTGCGCTGATCATGATTGTTAGATTCGGAGGTGTATGTTGCAATTCCTTTGCCGTAGATGAACTTCACATACGTGTCAAAGCCATCGACATCCAGCGATTGGCATTTGATAGTTTTGGCCTCGCTGTCCGGCGTCCAAGCGGCACGGCAAAAGGGGCAACGCTTATCGTCCCCTCTGGTATGCCATTGCGCAACGCAATCGTCGTGGAGGTTTTGGCCGCAGGTTTGGCAGTGGACAACATCATCCTTGGTGACTTCGAAGCCTTCGCGGCATATTGCGCATTCCTCGTCCAATTCCTTGCGGTTCTTTTGTAATAGGTTCTTGAAGTATTCGGAACGCGAGCAAATCAAGTCTTCGTGGACGTTGAAGGACCGATCCTTTGCGACTTTGACGGTGGCAAATCTTCTTCCGAGACTTTGATACTGTTAGAAGATGGCTATTTCGGTAGGACTATTTCTAACTCACATGACTGCTTTTTCCGACTGCTTCTTCTTCCTGGCCTGGGGCTGGGATTGGGCAGGTTGTGTACGCATGTTGGTATACGATCGTTGCTATCTCTCACTGTGAATTGTATGTCAGCATGTTTCTTCTGGATTGGGGGTGGTGCAGGAGATGCGGAGAACAGGTGAGAGAAGTGCTGATGACGGTTGAGCATGATCGTCAAAACAAGTGAGAATTTGACCTTGTATTGCGGCGAATCTATAATCCCTTGTGAAGCTTGAGGCGTTGTGAAGGTTAAGGCGTGAACAGAAAACAGAGGTGAAGGAAGGAGGGATCATAAACAATGAATGGCTAGGTGAATCTGTTAATTGTCTATCGCCTACATTTACCATTCGAACTTGAAACTCTTAGAAGTACATTGAATATCACTTATCAATCCTATCAATAGGTATGACTGTTTTTTTTAAAGAAAGAAGTCGTCTTCATTTATGGTCCTGTCGGCTCTTGGAGAGTTTTAAATTGTTGGCCGGCAGTAAAATCACTTGTTGCCTGCTTCCCACCACACCCCTCCCACACGCTCGTGATGAAGATTATGGTAACATCATGTGTCCACCTTCCCACGATTATTCCCTCCATGCGGTTCGATCACATCCCTAACGGAAAGGCTGCCTACCGGGACTGCCGCTTTCCCGACGAGCCCAGTCAAAGTTCCTGCTTGACCTCTCCAACAGTGACTCCACCGACTCCGGATTCAATGGTTGACGAACCGGTTCCCACTTTTGCGTAATTGCAAAATGCTGGAAGTCCTCACCTTCGTTTTCCGTCCCTAGTGGTGGGGCAAATCGGGGCTGCAGAAGCTGTGCGCGAAGGGCACTATTGGGATGTCGCAACGCAACCGGCCCACATGGGTTTGCCCGAGCAGACGACGAGACATGTTTTTTATGGGATGAAGCAGGACTCCACTTTAGGGACAAATGCGGCTTTGGAAGCGGGACACGTGGTGGTGTTTTTGGTACTTCGAACAATGCTGTAGCATCTGTTGCCGCACCACAGACGAACGAGGGAAGCTCAGGGAGCTTTACGTGCTTCGGACGGGGCTGCAGGTGAGAATTGGGAGACTCGATGCCTTTGGCTTTCAAGTCCTCAAAGCGAGCTTTGACTTCATGTACATAAGAAGGAGGTCCTTCGAGGTAGTCTTGGAAGTGTTTACAATTGATGCCCAGATCCACAAGCATCATTCGAACCGAAGAGCCTGTTTCGGTGCAATAGTAAGCAACATCGATAAGATACTTCGCTATTGGTCCATGAACTCCAGCTAGCTTCCGGAAATCAGACAATGCACGATGTAGCATAGCAGCATCTTCAAGCTGTTCAGCTGTAATCGCAAGACCTAGCGTGTTTTCGCAGCCTCCCACTGTCTTGTCTTCGTCGCGTGGTACGCGGGCGCGCTCCAAGTAGAACTTGGTGAAGTCTGCATATGCGAACGGTAAGGTGGCATGGCGGGTGTACATCGGGCTTTCTAGAAGTCTCGATAGGAGCTTCGAAGTCTTTGGTACTTCCTCGAGGGGGATCCGTATGAGATGCTTGCGTGGACTGACTTCGAGAATAACAAATGGCCCACCTTTTCCGACCTCTTGCTTGCCCAGCCTAAGTATTGTTAGTGCTATACATATGTAATTTCGATAATGACAAGCTACCAAGTTTCGTGGTTCCATGCTTCTTTCGATGGACGTGGCAGTCCGAGTGTTGAGTAGTATGCATCAACATCTTCGTCGGATACTATATCGTACTCTTCATCTTGTGGATCTGGTGTATTGGGGGAATGAATATGGATGAACTCATTCTTTTCAGTGGCATCAATGTCGATAGATAAATCAACAGGAGTCCTTCGGGTGGATCGTCCGAAGAGACCATGGAATCCTCGTCGAAATATATTCATGATCGGTAACGTATGCTCGGAACCTTGTTCCTAATCTTTGGTTGGGGTTGGTAGTGATTTGCCCGTTAAGCAGTGGGAGACAGGTCGTTAAATAAGGAATAGAAGAACATGATGAGGTGGCTGATCGGATATTGGGGAGCGTCAATGCGGTAGTTGCACCCCTCACTCTCCCAAGTAGTGGGTGAATCAAGCTAACTTTGGGTGAATCAAGCTAGTTATGGGTGAATCAACTCAATAACTATGTCGGCCCCAATGGCCGGGCCACCCAGCGACTAGTGTTACCAGTGAATCTCTATACATTGTCAACAATATCACGTGAACCAGGAGCTTCCTCTTTGAGCAGAAGATGAAATTGAAATGGTATGATTCGAAGTGATCTCCCCTTAGTACACGAAATTGATAGGCGGAACAGCGCAGTGCCGCAAATCCTATATACAAAATTACGCCAATATGATTTTCGATGCCATTTTATCTTTACTTCGTCTCGTTCTCGGGTGTTACGGCGAAAGTTGGTCGGACGAATCTGCGCATTGCCATTAGTAATCAAGTTCGACATTCAACAATTGACCCTGGATCCGCATACCGGTCGCTGTTGTAGACCTTCGTCTCTGTGCCCAAAAGCTCCTTCTCTCTCGCCTTGTCCGCAAGGTATCGTCGTACTTGATCCCGATCTTCCTCCGCTTGGAGCGCGGGGATGAGATGTATCCGCGCCCACATCTTCTCGCGGGCGAGTTCACTATTAATGTTAGCTTGCAAGATTATAATACCATGGCCGGCATCTAATTGACGAACTTGTGCTCCCTGATTCCCTGTCCGACTCTCCAGAATCCGTATGTCATAAGTACTGCGGTTCCGACGAGGTAGACGGCAGGCCTGAAGCCACGGGTGGGAAGGTTGCGCTTGTACTGGACGGGGCCGTAGCCGCCAGTGGGCGGCATATCCTGCGGCATCTTGATTGCGAGTGTGGTGGTGTCAATTGGGATTCGTAGGTTACAATTGTGGAGAGATGAGGTTGCGGGAGCTTCGAACCTGGATCGATATCTTGGCACGCTAATTACTTAAGCAAAAGTTTTGGAGATGAGAAATTTGGGGTGGACTCAAAATAAAAAAAGATCCTCAACAACAAACATGGAGTCGGAAGAACGACCTTCGAAATTACGGAAACTGGAGCATGGAGCTGAACCAGAGGTTGTGCATGTTCTTGATACGCCAACCGACATCGATGGCACTGGTCCAACGCCCGTACAACATGTTACCTCTGCCACTAATAACGATGGTGATGCTACTGAATATAACCTTCCGGCCAATGAAGGGGAAGAAGCGGCTCCTAAACTTTCTAAGAACCAATTGAAAAAGCAAAGGCGCTTTGAACGCTGGGAAGCGGGTCGTGAAGATCGCAAACAGAAGAGGAGGGAGAAGATTAAAGAGAAAAAGGAACGCAGGCGAGAAGTGTTTCGCGAAGCAGAAAGAACCGGTGACACAGCCAATCTGCCACCTCCTAGAAGAGATATGCGTCATAGGGGCCCAGATGGTGCACAGATGCCTATCACGGTAATCTTTGATTGCGACTTTGAGGACCTCATGTTCGACAATGAATTAAAATCACTCGGACTCCAGATCACCAGGTGCTATTCTGATAATCGAAAAGCACCATATCGGGCTCATCTGGCACTGTCTTCGTTCGGAGGCAAGATGAAGGAAAGATTTGACGGAATTCTCGCCAAGCAATATACATCCTGGAAGGGATTCCGTTTCTTTTCTGAAGACTTTGTAGAGGTTGCACAAAAGTCCAAGGAGTGGATGTCCGGAGAGAGGGGGGGCATTGTCGGCGGAGCTCTCGTCCAAGATGACAAAACCACAGAAAATGACAATGACGAAGGCGAGATCGTGTATTTATCCAGCGAAAGCGACGTCACCCTGGAGCGGTTGAAGCCAAACAGCACCTACATTATCGGCGGCCTTGTGGACAAGAACCGGCACAAGGGCATCTGTCACCGAAGAGCAGTTGAACGAGGAATCAAAACAGCCAAGCTACCAATTGGCCAATTCTTGGAGATGAAAAGTCGGCAGGTCCTGGTTACCAACCACGTTCTAGAGATTATGCTGAAATGGATGGAGTTTGGAGACTGGGGTAAAGCGTTTATGGAAGTCATTCCGAAGCGGAAGGGTGGAGTGCTGAAGGGTGAGGCAGAGGGGGGTGAGGAGGATGATGAGGACGACAAGGACGACGCGGATGAGGAACAGGGAACATCAGAAGCCAATGTAGACACTGATATCCAGATCTCGGAAGAGACCAACAACAGGGAATTGGGTGGCACATCTGCCGAAGAGGCCAGTGGGGAGGTGCAAAGTGTTGTTCCTACTTCCACTTCAGGATGAATGCTGGCAGCCTCCTACCGACGGGCGCAATTGTCCCAAAACATGTAAATGGATTAGATGATGGTTTGGTAACAGTTGAACATGCCATGATAGAGTCTGGCATGGTTCACTTCAAAAATACAATACAATGCAATGCTTCCCATTCACTTGCCAGTCACAGTTAGCGGCAAACAAGCTTTCCCCCGCAAGCGCTAGGCCAAGTGGCGGAAGCGATCTCTGAGCAGTCGGATGCACGCCATTACGTACCTGGCGACGCGACCAGGTCCGGATTGGAAGAAGGGACTCGAATCATCTTCTCTTTTCTTCCTCTTCCTTTCTTCCTCGTGCATGCCGCCCACATCCTCTTATCAATATTGTTCAACTATGTTGTAAGCATCGAGTGTCGATTCGACGGCTATTGTTGAGTTCCTTGGCAATCTGTCGGAATGTGTCAGCCCACTATGAACACATAACGTCACCGCTTCAATTCTACATCCTCTTTGTCACAACTCGTATCATTTTTGTTCGCAACCTGCAACAATCCCAGTCTCCACCCACTCCACCACCCGCGAGACAAGGCACCCGCACTGCCGATCCACCGTTTATCTAACCAAGGACCACCGCTTCTCATGCCGGCGACAACTGCAGATTCGCAATCGTCCCTCCCTTCTTCTTCTTCCTCCTCAACTTCGACCCCGACCTCGAACTCGACACGGTCCTCATCTTACTTCACCTACCCCGTCTCATATGCCGTGTCAGGGCTCCTACGTCGCCTAACGACCCCTTCGGACGAGGACAATAATCCCAGCAATAACAAGAACAACAACAGAAAGAGTATCGGTCAGACTGCAGCCTCAGGCATCACGAGCCTTTCCCAGAGCATCCAAAGCATCCTCAGTACCGACGACAACATGGACGGTGTATACACTCCCCCGCGACGGAATCATTCCCCCTTCCAACCGCCACCGCTCACACCGTTGACCCTAAAAGGTTGGAGACGCAGCACAACACAATCCGCAAGGCTACTGACCAAGGCACTGGCGGAAGAGATCCGGTTACTCGTGCCGCCACGGCTGCAACTGGTCGACGATTGGTCGTTGATTTATAGCCTGGAGCAAAACGGCGTGTCGCTGGCGACATTATACGAGAAATGCGACGATTATCGGGGGAAGCGAGGGGGCTTCGTACTTGTAATAAGGGATGGAGAGGGAGGGGTATGTCAGGATGAACTATTCATGAACCGTGATACTAATGCATGCATGCAGGTGTTTGGAGCATATCTTAGCGACGCACCGCACCCATCCCCTCATTTCTTCGGTAACGGTGAATGTTTCCTTTGGCGAGCGCACGTATTGCCCACCCTACCCGACCTTTCCAATCTACCTCCTCCGCCAAGTGCCGACACGACAAATGCTCAGAGGATGACTACAGTCGCCGCTCCGAAGAACACATTAAGCCCCCCGTCATCTGCTCATGGAAGTAGAAGCGGTACGAGCACACCTGAAAGAATACGTTTCAAAGCTTTCCCATACAGTGGTGTCAACGATTACATGATTTTCTGTGAGCACGGATTCTTAAGTGTTGGCGGAGGGTGAGTTTCCTAGATATCCACATATGATAGTCAGAGCTGACAGTTGCATAGGGATGGCCACTACGGATTGTGGCTTGATGATAATTTAGAAAACGGCGTGTCTTGCCCCTGCCCGACATTCGGCAATGAGCCACTCAGCGACGAAGGGAAGAAGTTCGAAGTCTTGGGCGTTGAGCTCTGGTATCTCGGCGCGTAATAGCTATTGCATCTAAAAAATTTACAGTTCAAGGGGCAGCCTTCCATTGCTGCAGGACTAAGTTCGGAGTTTCATTTTCTAGGGCGCTTATGATCTCTTCTCCATGATAGAGACCCAGGATACCTCAAGTGGATTTTGCATGAGACGGAAAACTTTAACTGGATTTACAAAACTTTATCATTAATCGGCGCAAAGCGCTCACATCTCGTACCATGTTGGACATCTAGATACATCTTAAAAGAAATCTTCCATGCCGCAATATTATGTTCATGTGATCGTTTCACTTGCCATTTGGTACCCCGTCATGCGTTGCGTTGTCCAAGACTTCAATATCTGTTGCACCCATCACCGCCTTCATAGCCTCGTCACAATAGTCCACCTGTTCCCTATAATAATGCTTCCAACCACAAACCTCCACCGCCTTCCCATTCAACAAGCCCGTCTTGCCGTCCCCCTTTTCCCCCCCTCCAACCTTGCCCCTCCCCTTCCCATCATCCTCACCCGCAACCAGCATAACCACCACCTTCGCGATCTTCTCCACCGGCGTGAAGTACTCCTCCGGAAAATTCTTCCACTCGTCACTTGTCAACAGATTCGTCTTCACGGTGCCAGGGCAAATCGCATTCACCCTGATCCCAGCCGTCTTGTAGTACAGCGGCGCAATGCTCCTCATGAACCCCACAACCGCGTGCTTCGTCGCCGTATACATCGGCGAGTAGTACGACGGATACAGCCCCCCGCACGACGCAGTCATCACCAGGCTCTTGTCGACGCACGAGGGCGTCTTCCGCATGTAGTGCAGTGCCAGACTCGCGGTGTTGATGACGGATTTGAGGTTGATGTCCACGATGGCGTGCATGCCTTTTGGTTCCGGGGGCGGGTCGACGGCCTGGTCTTCGTAGAAGTTTGCGTGTTCGGCGATGCCGGCGTTGGCGAAGACGAAGTCTATGCGTCGGTCGGTTTGGAAGATGGTGTTGAAGGTGGATGAGAGGGAGGTGTAGTCTGTGACGTTGGTTTGGTGGAATGTGGCGCCGAGGGTTGAGGCGGCTTGTTCGCCTCGTGTTGGGTGTAGGTCGAGGATGTGGATTTTCCAGTTGGGGAGTTGGGTTAGAGATTTTGCGACTTCGAGGCCCATTCCGGAAGCTTTTGAGATTGTTAGGAAATTGGGTGGATGTGTGGATATGTTGCTGGCCGATATGGTGGCAAGGAGAATTTACTTGCCTCCTCCTGTAATGACTGCAACCCTGTCTGAAGCCATTGTTTACTTTTAACTTGAATATTTAAATCTTGATTATTATAATTCTTCGAATTAGATCTCCTTTATTAGTGTATTCCAACCAATATAAATATTTCCTATAGTTAATTATCCAAACATTCAGCAGATACATATGCGAAGAATTGTCAACGACATGAATTATTTGAACACAAAGTTATCTGTGGGCCAAACGTAGTTTTATCTACCCATCTAATTTAGCTCACCATTGAACTACATCCGAATCTGGGGAAGAAGTATGTCTCCCCGCAATACGATCCGGAAAACCACTACCGTAACGGGATCTCATCAGCCAGACTACGAACAAAATGATTGGAAGTATTTGGGTGGAATTTTGGAACGTCGTTTGCATATTCTATAATCTTTAGATTTCCTGGAGAGTTTATGCCATCGCGCAGAGATATCCAGCAGTATAGATGGGATTGAGTGAAAGCACCATCACGTGACTGATCGATGGAGAGTATCTCCATGGTACATGCCCATTTTTGGCATACACCATTAGAATCAAAATAAAGACCATGTACGAGAGATGTAAACGCAAGTATCACCCGGTAAATGAATTGATATCTGGGATAATTGTGCGCGAATGATTCGAGGCTGTTTGGTACGGTGTCACGGGCTTTCATACCTACAATCAATCAAGCCTCACATATTATGGCAAGCCAAGAAAAACGTTATCATATGCTTCTTCGTGCTCTGGTGGAATATTGGAATGATGCCTGACGGGATTTGTCTTGTAAGCTTGGACGGACGCGATGTATGAGTTGGATGTGAGCTGTCGAGGATCGCTTGTCAAAACCATCTTTCTGCTGCCTAGAGTCACCTCTGGCAGCTCTGGCAGCTCTGGCAACTAGCAATGGGGGTGATGCAATCGCTTGATAATGTGGCAATATCGCCTTGTCTTCTAGGTGAGTATTCCGTCCACCAGTTGGAGGTTCCGAAACCTCGTGTTGGTGAACAACCAAAAATATCTTGACAAAAATATCTTGAGTCACTAGCTGTACGGAAAAGAGTACATTGAACAATTTCGAGGCAGCCAAAGTGAGTTGCTACCTTTCGACGCTCTTTGTCGCAAGGGGAGTTAGGTATGGAAAAGTAGTCTGTTGTTGTGGATTGTTTTCCGTTATGCCGCACTAGTTCTGAGTTCTGATGATTTCTAAATTTAAATTTGATCGACGTAGTACTGATTGAGAAGTGCAAGCAGTTACGTTTACTAGTGACAGAGTATGTTGTCTTGTGAGGCGAAGCAATTCTTTTCGTCGATGGGTTGATCACACGTTTGTGTCCTGATGAACAAACATCATTTTGATGTAGATTTAGAGTTAGTTGCTATTAAAAGAACAAAAACAAAAGCAGTTCCAGACTTGATATTCATTATGATAGAGGAAACATCAAATCTGGTATCAGTTGCATTTCCTCGACTGCCGCGTTGGCTGACCCGGTTCATATTTAGAAAATCCCAAGTGTTCGACGGCGTTTGATCTTAAATGTCCGACAACGATGGGGTGCTGTAACAAGTTAAAGGTACACACTTTGTTCATCCCTGCGTGAATCTGTTGTATATGCAGCGCAAAGGCAACCGGATTGGGGAGTATCAGTTCATTACATCTAAATCCATTCATTTCTTCCCCACGCTCAGATGTGACATTTCGGACATAACCGATGTAATGTTTCGTCGGTACATAAAGTCGACCGTCTGTAGGATTTGGAGACTCGTGGAGCAAGGACAAGGGTCCTGCCGCCACTCCGAGAGTGCAGAAGGATCAAGAGCGTTAGGGATGTTCCCAGGTCAGCAAGCCCCTTGATCTGCGTCACGTTGCAGGCGATGGGGCGAAGAAGAAAGACAATCTGCCGTTAAGCGGAAGAACTCTAAAAGCATGGTTGGATACTGGGCATGATCGGTGTCCGATCCGGGGGAGAATACCTTGCCTAAATTGTCAAACAGCTAGTTAATATCATTGCAATTGATTGACTTCCTCTTCTACCACAGAGCGTCGAGGCTATGACAAAAGAAGTAATGTACGACGGCCCAACGCCGGCCTTTTGAGTATTTGCGCACATGCAAATTTAATATCAACGTGCTACAGCCGGGACAGGGCTGTAGGTTTTGTGGAGGTCGTAGGTAGACGTGGGAGCCGCTAATGTACGAAGCACAGACTTCACCCGCTTCTCATCGCGGGTTTCAGAAGATCGAGTCTGCCTTGCGCTGGAGCCATCCCGCTTGATAGACGCGGTTGTTCAGTGAATCAGCGTCAATTCTCATCGGTTGGTCTCTCGCGAACCTCATGATTGTGATTTCCTTTGGCCCGTAGTCGGATACCCATGCCGCCTCATTCTTTGTTCCGACAATTTGCGACACGAAAGCTTCCGAAAGCCCACAAATATCGCGCCATTTGAGGCAGATTCAAGCCAGAATTCCAATCCAAGTGGATATCGTCAAGAAACGCTATGGCGCGCGATGTTCTCCATGCATGGAAATAATCAGTTCAGATTCTAATCGGCGGCTGGGGAAATTCTAGGATCGTCTGATCAAAGTGGAGCACTTTGACAAGTACCATTCAAGATGACGTCGAATAGAAGCCGAAGAAGCGAAAATCATTTGTTTCGATGCTACCAGTGTGTCTGTCGGAAGGATTCTGGAGTGCAGAGACACCCTGGGCTTACTAGGTTTGGAGAGTGTGCGGGATGTGACTTGTGTGAAGTTGTCATAATGTAGGTATTTTTAGAATGGGATTGTATGTAGATCGTGGCAGTGTAGCGGAATTGTTCTGCTCTAAGACCGATGCAGATGCTGGCATTTTCCTCAAAAGAGGTCTTTCGGTGGATGATGCCGAGAGGCCCATAATCAGAAAAGATAATGCAAATGGCAGTCCGAGATGTGAACACGTTATATTGACAGCCAAGGGTTACAGTCAATCAATGCAAAGAGAGTTATCGTGTACTGTGTACTTGTGATGAAGTGGGTGTGGTGAGGTTCAAACAAAGTGAAGGCTAGCAGATTACTCATCCCGCGAGGCAAACCTCCGTAAAGGGAAGCAACCATAGTTAATTCCAACCTCATCAACAACATAGCCGGTCCGTAGAGATGGCAACCGGAAAACTCTATACTGCGTACGTGCATGTTGCCCACTAGCTACATGCTGAATTCGGTAATTCCAATGTCTCATTGTTGCATTCTCTCGTGGCCGATCCTGATTCAGTCGAAGGATCAGTCCAAGTTGTTGACCCGGCTAATGCCCGTCGGAGACGGAGCCATTGACCAGGTCTATGTTAACAACCGCGTTGGACCGTCTACGCGACCAATCCTGCTATGTACTTGCTTACCACCTACATATGACACCCGTCATACGAGTAGTTAGTCGTAGGGGAGCTCAATCAAAGCCCTTGTCTTGATCAGATTGCTCGATCCGTGAGACGGAACCTAGATATTCGTGTCGACAGTTATTCCACCTGAAGAGAATTGCCTGAGGCTCCACAGAAGGAAATTCACTGTGATTCGATACATTCTCGAGGAACAAATAACTGTGGGGCAGTTGAGCATGGAGTGTGATTGTATCATAGAACTTGTGGTGCCTTGCTGCTCGGAAAAGTTACTGGCAGTGCTATGACGCGCGATCCCGGCCCGGATTGAACCATTGGTCTATGACTAAAGTTTACGGTCTTTCAAGAGGTTTATCACAAGCAGGCACATACATGATGAAATGAGGTCATAGTAAAATGGGATGGAGGGAGAAAAATTCTCATTGGATGGAGGATGCATCCGAAGGCGCTGCCATGAGCAATTGGGATACACATGACATGCTCTGACAAGAGTTGGATTGCAATCGGCACGGAACGATATTGACTTCAACTATGATGAAAGGGGGGCGACGATGTCGGCTCTAGAATGTCAACAATGGGTCGTTATTGTGGCCATTGGCTCGTGCTACGTTGTTGTTACTCGGTAAGTGGCCATGTTTCTCGCTTGACCATACAAGCACAAGTACAAGTACCAACCAAGTAGATGCACGGAAGCGATTTGACTTTCCAAACCGGCCTCAACACAGAAAAAGCACATGTGTATGCATGTACATACGGTACTCCTGTGGAAACGTTGTCACATATGTGGGGAATAATGGGATGCCATTACACAGTACGTACACACTTTTGCCAGAGCGGCATGCTAGCCCCCCCTTGGCATCAAGGAACAGGCCGAGCATGGCTTATTGTCCCTCATGCTCATCCGCTATTTCCAATTATTCCCATAAGCCATTGCGGGAGCCACGGTAGTTTATCGCAACTGTGGCCGGGCCGCGATGCTGCAACCCAGCCGGTTTTGGAGAAGAAAACTACCAGGGCAGGATGATTGGGCATGTTGGTATGAGTAGCAACACTGTAGGTACCTTAGAGGTTTGCTTGTTGTCCGTTCGAATATTCCGCGCGATGAAACGACTCTGACTCAGAAAAGTCCAATGAATGATGGAAGAGGGACAGGGTTTCGCTCGCACTCGGTTTTCGGTCGCGATAAATTACTAATTATACATGCTCCATCCTGGGTGACTTGGGGTGACTTGGGTCATCCACCTTCGCCCATTTTGGCCCCAACCGCTACAAAGCTAAGAGAAGCTAAGCAACTAACGAGCTAACGAGAACGACTTCCGGGTACACATTGCCGGAGACATGACCGGTCGCTTCAATCGACTCTCACACTCACCCAGTCCAGTCACCCAGTCACCCAGTGCAGTGCACAAGCGTAAGCCCACCCTTGTAAACCCCATTTCACACCGACTACTCTACTGAGTAGTAGTCGCTAGTGCTAAGAGACCTCCAGAATCCATACAGTACCATACCACACCATACCATACCATGCCATGCTGCCCCATTTCATTTTACCGCACCCACGTCCATGTCCATGCCATGCCCATGCCTCTACGGTTTACCCATGCACATGCCATGCTACCATGTTATCATGCTACCATGGCTGCTACTGTGCAAGGGTGGTTTTGACCTGTGATCGACCGTCCCATTATTCTTTCCCACTCTTCGCACTGGCTTCTCTGGGGAACCGCCAATTTGTTCCCCCCTTGTCCCCTGCTTTTTCCCCTTACCTTTCCGCCGTCTCTGATGTCGTCTTACAGCATCATACACTGTAGGTACTGTGTAGTTACTTGTATCCATACCTACTATGAACAGTGCTGAGCTCCACTTGCACGGCTATTCGATTAGAACACCCCATCCTAGGGTAGCTCCCATGAAACTTTCATTCTCTCAAGGCAGAATTGGACAGCTGTTCCGATGCTCTATTTCAAAGCCGTTATTCAGTTCCAATTCGGTAGACTGCTTCTTCGATACATGACACCTGTGCAAGCAACGACTGTCGAAAGGCTAGAGTACACTACACTACGGAATGCCTCGATTGTCGAAACGTGTGAAGGAGAACAATCCTGGCCTGGTCTTCGGCGAGCAGAGCTTGGTAAAGTACCGTTATGGCGGTACTCTTCACAGTTGCAGGGTTCGATTAGTTCGGAATATCATGACACTAGGCTCACCTGCGCCCACCACATTTGTGACAATTTTTTATGCAACTGTCGCTCCGAACGGGAGACAGCCACCGTACCATGTCAGAACGGGAAGCGCTCACTCTATCAGCGCTTCCCGGTCTGCTTCTCTAGTCCACCCTCTATTTCTTCTTCAGCCTCCCTAAGTAGGGTAAGATACCTCTCATTCCTGAAATCAGCGCATGTCTCCTTAACGAACTTTGGCTCATATCCCCATTCCAACGCACTGTCTGACTGCTTTTGCTAAGGGTTTCCTGGCCTCAGGATCCTCAAGTTTGCATTGGTTCAAATTAAGGCTCTACCTCACGGACCAATCAGTTGTGTGTCAGAAGTCTGCGAGACATCGAAACTCCGCCACTGCCCGCCACGTCGAGGTTTCCACCGTCGACCCTTCAGCCTTACTATACGGAAACGACCCCTAGAGCGGATCCTGACCATCTAAACATAATCACACACCCCAGTCCAACAGCTCTACTAGAGTCCTAACTAATCCCGGCCTGGTTTATCTCTTAAAGCATCAGCATTCTGCACCTCACTCATTCACTTAAGACCAAGTGCACCGTCCCCTTCTGGCAAACCTCTGGACCAAGCATTCTTCATCACGACCTTTCACCACTACGGGACTGTTTCCTTTGCCGACCGCCGTATACATCACCAGTGTCACATTTGGCAGATTGACTCAACCGAGTCACACGAAATAGCCATGGCCAACTTCTTCTCACCCGAAGCGGAAATGGTTCTGATGGGTCAAGACGATGGTCTAGGACACCTCTTTCCTTCAAGCAGCTGCCAGTCTCCTCCTAGCATCATGTACTCTCCACCGCTTCATCAAATGGCGCCTCAACCGACGACTACCCAACCTCCGCATGCGCCAATCTACTCACAACCACACGATTACCGACAAATGGTTACCTCACCGTACCCACCAAGCTCTTTCTGGCCATCACAACCTTCACAAATGGCGCCAACACATGTATCTTACTCAACATATCCTCCTATCTCATCAGTATGCTCGACCCAAACACTAGCACCAGATTCTGCACTCTTGCCACAAAGGTTAGGGTCTACGAGACCCGTACGATCTCTTTCAGCATCTTCATCGGGCACTCTGGGTATGCCGTTGAGACAAGCCTCTGAGCGCTCTCCTCCGTCCTTATCGCGGTCGTTGTCTCCGAGCTCACCAGACCTTCGAGCTTACGGATACCCCAACAAGAACGGAACATGGAGTTGTGCATACCCTGGATGTACTTCAAGAGCAGTTTTCACGCGGGGATGTGATTTAAGGAAGCACCACAAGAGACACACCAAATCATTTTTCTGTCGACACGAGGGTTGTCCACAATCTACGGGTGGGGGATTTTCAAGCAAGAAAGACCTCGCGAGGCACGAAGCAAAACATAACCCGGGTGTGCTCTGCGAATGGGATGGTTGCGACAGAGTCTTCAGCAGAGTCGACAACATGGTAAGCCCCTTCAAAGCAGAAATATTTACGGTCTTACCGCTAACTTCATATTTAGAGAGACCATGTTAAACGAATACACCTTAAAGCCGCCCGTTCAGGGGCTGGTGCTATGGCGAAGCAAGTGACTGTATAATCACCAATCTTGCGCCATGATGTACAGAAGCGGTTCCACCATCTCGACTGGATGTCTCTTGTAGTATCTTTTTCTCTTTTACCATCGCTTACGATACCCCATACGCATTCACGACACTCGCTCCACATTGGAAGATCCGCGGTAGCGGACGCAGGCGTTCTGCTACTTTGTTTTTACGTCACAAGCATCTCCGCATTTGAGCATTCTAGGAATTCAAGCATCAGGGAGATAAATGACGGACGGTCAACTGTACCAAGAAAGGAATATTGCATAACTTGGATAGAAGATCTTGCAGAACAAACAGGTTAAATTTATCCAAAATCGTCACACAGCCAATCGTTCACTTTTCCCGCTTTACGTCCGTAACCCGATACTCTGCGAACTCGACAAGACAGACTTGCCACTCGTGGACGCATACTGCGAGCATGGCAACTAAGCTACAGCCTGCCATTTGTCGATGTCATATATGTTCATGCTCAATTTACCTTTAGGTCGTGCCTTTCTAGAAACCGATGACAACAGCAATAATAATGAGCTAGAAACAGCAAGTATTGTTCCTTGGAACAGGTTTGGGAGCGCGCTCCCGCGTCACCGTCTGAAACGCCCGCAGTTGGTGGGCTGCCTAATTATGGCAAGGCTGACAGGCTGAGAAAACGGTTTGGCAACGGACGAAAGCGCCAATGGGTCGCAAGACGCCGTCGCCGCTAGATGAGCGAATCACCTCACCCCCACCCCACCAGGAAACTCTCTCGCATAGGCAGATAGATACAGCAGTAGCAGCACACTTTCGAGAAATGGTATGGTTACTTGTCCTTGGCGCCCTCACTGGACGAGTGGTGAGTTTTTCGGGAAGGTGGTCAGTTGGTGGCTGAAGGGCGCACAAGACTGGTCTCTGTACAGGTACAAGGATATACATACAATAAGCGTTTAGTACCAGTTTTTATTCGCTTACTTGGTTGGTGTTTAGATTTCAGACAGTGGAGCAAAACCTCGCACTACTAGCCATACGCGGTAAAGCAGGATTCAATTCTCTCTCTCGACTTGCCAGGGACGTAATCAGCGGCATTTACGATACAGCATCATCTAAGTGTATTTACTCTTACAAGCGGGCCTTCATTTCAATCAATCTCGAAGTTCGATACGGCTAAGACAGTTCGGTCATCGCATCTCGCTTGAGTGGAAGGCCGATGCAAAGAAAGCGATCGATGTCTGTTTCGAAGCCGCTTTTCACGTCATTGATAGCATGCACGTTTCCACTACTACTACTGGGACCGTGGAAAACGCGGACGGTCGCGTTTATTGATTGAAGAGGAGGGTCTGTGGCTTGCCCTGCCGACCATAGGCTAAGCGGCCCTAAAGGCGATGGAGGAAGGTGGAATGCTCATGCAATATTGATCACGTCGAATCGAGAACCAGTAATTCAGCATTATGAGGTCTGCCAATGCCCCTCGAAATCTCGTGGAATCTTGGGATTCCAGTTCACCAGTGCAAGTAACCTACATACATACGGCCTTCCAATCCCCGCAATTCCCAACCGTCAGAGCGATTAACGAATACGGAGTTGGGTCAACGACAAGTCACTTTTAATAGATTTAAGCATGCTGGAACCTCGTACCTTAATTCTTTCCTGACAATCATTGCTGCTTCAGAATTTTCCTTTTCGGCTTTGGAGGCTGGACAGGCACCACCGGAAGAATGCAAGAAGACCAGAAGCATTATTCAAAGTCCACTAATACACACAAGGATGCTGGATGAAGGGTTCAACGGGATGGTTGTTGTGAATGGGCTCCACCGCTTGCACGGTCCTTTGTCCCCGGCTTGCCCCTTGGAGAATGGAGAATTGGATCTCAAAATCGTCAGAACAGCGGACCGCCCACTCGCATGCGACCCGTTTCTGACCGCATCTTCGGTCGGGGCCAGTCAGTCAGTCAGTGCGGCAAAGAACAACGGAGAAATTGAGAGAGCCGCTTGTGCGAATGCGAGCAATTCTGGTACGGATGAGTCCTGTCATCAGTCTGGCTCGAATGTAGTCATGCAGGATCATAGAACGGGGCGAAGGTGAGATGGGACGCTATGTACGGCAAGCTTATGTCGCGATCTAAAAGCTTCGCATTCTCCTCCTGTGCCACTCTGACTGAATCTTTTTTTTTTCTCCTCTTTACTCATCGCAGGCAGATGCGAGAATCGCTCTAGGGCGATACCCGTCGAAGTACCGCCACCCCTACACACAGCACAGCACGGTTGAGTACAGTAAGTATCTACATGGCCGCAGTCGACTGTCGACTGTCCAGTGACTGTCCAGATACAGGCCAACCCCTGGCGCGTAGGATTCCACCACCAGCCCAATTAAGCGAGAATTGCACCCTTGGGACAGCGCTAGTACTAGTATAACTAAGTTGCATTAGTGTGCATTAGCGTCGATCTGCCACGCTCCCACGGGACAGGGGTCAACTACTCTGTTGGTGATTTGGTCCGCGATGATTTGCAGAAACACTGCAGTTGAGAGAACGTTCGCCCTGCCCTGTTATGTGCAGTGCAGTGCAATATTGGGGCCCATGGCCCATCGCACCGACCCAATTTCAATTCATGGCCCCCAATATCAATGACCAAATCACGATGATGATCATGATGATAATCTCTCGTCGTCTTAGCAAACAACAATTAATTCAACCATCTTGATTGAACATGTCCGTTTTCGACACATTGTAATTCCCTTTTCACTCAGCTGCGGATTTAGATCGCCGTCCATAACCTGGCGGCCCAAGACACCGATGCTTGCCTGCCTGCCTGTCACGGCGCAGCCAGTTTCCCTTCTGCAATCTGCACGTTGGTGGCCCGTTGGTCGTAACCCCCAAAGAAGCGCTGCATTCGCTGTTGCTTCCAGAAGGTCATCTTCCCCCGCCCGCTCTAACCGTCTCGTATTTGACATGCGCAACGTAAACCTATATTTACTACACTTAAGAACAACACATGGCGATGGAGGTGGCTATGTGCGATCGGACGAGTTTCAGGTTTTGCACTGTGGATGACGGACGGGTATTACTTTGCGAGATGGTATTGGAATCGCATGACTGACGTCCGAACCCCCGATGGCCAACAGCAGCAGCAGTAACCATTTCTGCACACGAGTTTTCTCCGACCGCATCTCCCCTACCCCTTGGACCTGCAGCCTGGTGTACCTATTGCTACAAATCGATAGTGGACCTCTTTTGTAGCTTTTCGCTGGACCATGAAGGGGCCCCGATGTTTTTGGGGGAACACACCAGCACCAGTGCCGGACCGTTGCTCGTCGGCTTTCGGCTTTCAGCGCTAAGTTAAGAGGTTCCACACCTTAACAAAACGTAAATTCATGGGCCGAGTCGCCGACAGTACACTAGGGAAGAAGCCACAACCCTTCGTATCTCCACGTTCTGCCCAAGCAAAGGTGGCACTCCACTCTGCTACTGTACTTGTAGCCTCCCGCCAACAACTAGAAGGGGACAACAGGGTATAAGATTTATCCACTTTGAGACATGCGCCAGTCTCTTCGCTCTAAAAGTGCAGAAAGATTTTATGACTGTCTGACGCTACGCTACGAGCTCTGTATAGTGTTCTGTCTAACAACGTCATGGACGCGACCTCGAATTCTGCACTCCTAGCTAGCAAGATAACCGAACGGGGACAATTAAGTCTTTCCTGAGCAAATTGCAAAAAGTCGCAAAAGACGAAGAGAATCTTAGCCCGCCCCAATGTCAAGGCCTTTGAACCCGGACCAAATCGCCAACAATAGAAATGACCCGGGACCCTTTCGACTTCTCACAGGCGGCAGCAAACACCCCGCGGAGCACACTGGGACGCTGTATCTTCCTAGGTACTCGACTAGGTCAATTGCAGTATGCGATACGTGCATGTTCCCCTTCTCGTCTGTTAGCGCAGAACAGCCCAGCCCCAGCCCACCAGCCCACCCTCCCCACTAAGTCCACTCTGGCACGCACGCAGAAACCCGCCTTCCGATTCATGTTAGCAAGTCACTTGTATTTCCACTAAATTGCGAGATATTGCCTAGCTTCTCTTCGAGTCTTACTCCTACCTGCCATTTCCACCCATTCACCATTCCCTTATCCTGAAATGCTTTATGGGCGGGGCAGCTCGTCTGTTGGGGTCTTATTGACCAACAAACACCAACAGCTTATGTTAATCTATAATGTATGCGTCTTGCGCACTTTTCATCGGTCAGCATCGCGCATGGCTTTCTCATACTTTTCTTAATAATCGAAAGAATGACATGAGACAATTTATTCCATCGGCCTCAATTCCTGAATGGGTATTTTACCTAGGTACTCAGGCAATTAGCGTCCTCAGAAAAGAGAGTATGCATTCACGTGCGTATACGTCACGTGCTTACGTATACCCTCATTTACCAGGCATGTCAGCCGACATCGGACGACCATTTTCCATTCCCTCTAACTACGAGTATCATTTGGTTTGAGAACGCGGCGTTGTGGACGCGTATGTTTCTACAACTGGATTGGGTGATTCGTATTCGCGTGACGCAAGTCAGAGCAGATTGGGCGTTTTTTTCTTATCGGATCAAATCTTATCTGATCTAGCTGATCTCTCTCACGAATTTGCGCTTACGGCCTCTCTGAATATCTTCATTGTAAGCCCGCTTATGTTTTGATGATTATACGCATAGCATGTCTTGTAGGTGACATTTTCAAGTTTCAGCCTCATCGTCTGCGTTTGTTGTAGCGCGTCGTAACTTGTTCTGTGAATCTCGTCTCATGATCTTGTAACGTCGATATGTATATCAAACAACTTCTCCCACTCCTCTCTCTTCCCCTCTACATTACTTCCGCCCAGACGACCGAAAATCATGCGCCTCACCCAAATGCAAACCACATCTTCAACGCGCTGCACTCGTCCATGCGCCAATGGGGCTCCTCGCTGAACCACAATGGGATGTCCTTCTTCCTGGCCACGGTCCCCGCTCATACGCAGCTCTACCACGGAACGTGGAAGGAAGAGGCGATCACGGGTACGGAATGGCTCGCGTTCGAACCGGAACATGCTTTGATTTTCGCACGCCCGAGACGCGGTGGTCCGCCTATGAAGCCGAAGCCTGGACACCCGCCGCCGTCGCCGCCGCCAGGGAAAGGACATCAGCCTCATCATGATGGACCACCACCACCACCAGGACCGTTCGACAAAGGTGGACCGCCACGGGGGAAAGGAGGGCCACCGCCGCCACCACCATTTCCCTTCGACTTCCACCATGGAGGCCCCGGAGATGCGAGAAGAAGAGACGGCAAAGGAAAGGAAGACCACCCTCACCACGACATGGCCGGCGCAGAACGCCAGCACCGACAGCAAATCCCCATGAACCACCATCCCGAAGGCAACAGCAACGACGAGGACGATGAAGACCCACCACGCCACGGATACCTGCACACCTACGCCCCGCCCAGACCGCTCAACCTCCTCTACATCGACGGCATGTCGGCCGGGAAGACGCCGAACGGCACGCTCGACACGCAGGACCTGCTGCTGCTCAACTGGACCTCGGCGGGGGCCGGCGAGAACATGTGGCGCGAGTACGATCGCGCGGTCGGCATGTGCAACATGACGAGGGACGTGTGGGCGGGCGGCAAGATCGATGGGGTTATCAGGATGGAAGGCGGGTTTGAGATTATTCTCTGCGATTTCGAGAAGTATGAATTCCCCTATGCTAACTATCACATACTGTTTAGTCATGTGTGAATTCATGCTAATCACGTGTAGGTCCGTCGAACTCAAAGAAGCCATGCCCGTTCGGGGCTGGAATTGGGGCGGCATGATGGGTGGGTGGTCGTACTACCAAGCCATCGCGAAGAGGTATCATGGTATTGGGGGTGGCCGGGTCGAATTGGATTATGACAACTTCGTTACCGTGTTCGACTACCCTGAAATGAACATCTGGGACAACGACGTTCAGTCTGACGTCCGCATGCCAAGACTGCAGAACGTAGCCGTGGATGACTTGGCGAAGGTGAGAGAAGCGGTCACAAGCATGATACTAGCGAGACAGGAGAGGAAAGAGAAAGGAGAAGACGACAGGAACTGGCAGGAGATCGTCGATATGGTGGTGATGCGCTACAGCTCCGCACTGCATTATCTGCAGACCAAGGCACGACATGACGGGGACCAATTCGCAGACGTCCTTGCCTCGTTGCTCCGTCCGTTCGTTGACAATCCTGAACGGAATAAGACGCTTGAGACGAGGCGCTGTGTCGCGCAGGTGGTGCCGGTACTGCCAGATGACTCCAAGAGTACGATTGGCTTGAGCCGTCGTTCCGTATACGATGTCACAGCGCGTATATGTGGCACGCTGCTCGCTGCGTACGATTCCTCCACGCAGGATATTTCGTTGTTGCCTAGACAGTCGTCATCTCCCCCGCCAGCACATGCGTTGGAGCTTGTCGACGAATTGGTGGCGTGGCTACAGTGGTCAACCTGGAAGGAGTGCAGGGGGTGTGAGGATGAAGAGCTTTGCATGATTCCAATTTGGCCGGTCGGAACGCATGAGGACCATAGGAATCCGCAATGTCGCAATGAGAAGTCGGCGAGCGAGAGACGTGGGTACTGGGGTTAGTGCAGGCTGTCTGGTGTAGGGTACGATGAGGGGTTGTGTAAGCTCACACAACACACACTCTCGATGTATGTAACGCGCTCCGCCTGTGGGTGGATATGGTATTGCTGTTACTTCTTTGGTTATTCTTGCATGGCTAGCCTTGTTTATACTGCGATGTCCATGGGCATGGTAGGCTAAGATATATGGTCACTCTCACAATAATTAATAGTTCCGCCAAACTCGCGTGCCTGGGCAATTTGAAAAGCTGGATTCAAGTGTTTAGACTCGTCGCCGGTGACTCTACTGTCCGTGCAATAGATGCGTCGAAAAGAGCTGCACCTTGATACGACTTATAGTCCCTAAGGAAAACAAGTCCCTTGACTCCTGCATCATAAAACCGATGTACCACTAAGGTCCTATTTCATGAAAGAGGGCGAGCTCCGCCCTCCCAAAGTGAGGCTACGAACCTCATCAGGAAATCAGTAAACTGACAAACAAATCCGGAAAATGCCCACGATTGGATGGAAAGCACATGATCATACCGAGGTGCATACCAATAAGAGAAAAGTGGCATTCTAGACGTTGAGACCGATCATTTATGCATCGCCTTGGCAGTTGTGTGGGTGAATCAGCATGTTAAATGATGTGCGGCGATTCCATAGGTGAAGATGGAATGCTCTACGTGCAAACAGAACTCAGAAGTCAGCTATTGCATTGCTCTGCTCGCCCATCCGTGTATGCCCCTACGAAAAACTTCTAGAGATATGCTCCCCATCGGGTATCGGGCCAATATTGTACGGATGATGCCTGTGCTAGCTAGGCATTGGCACTTCATCCTTGACCACGCTTATCTCATCAAGACGCGTGCGAGAGGCACACAGAGGTCTGGTGAGAAATCTTTCGCCTAGATGCCCATGCCTGACCGGTTCGTGCGAGATATCGAAGCCATTGCCATGTTCGGCAATTGCCATCGAGGCTCATGATCGAGCGGCGCCACAGTCCCCTGTGCCACGCTCTATAATTTATAAGGGCAATTGAGACGGATAAGCCACAATTGGTCAGATCATGGCAGAAAGCGCCGTCTGACCTTCATAAAGTTTGCGATGGGCGGATGGTTGCAGTAATACGCCCCATGATGCGGGTGCAGGCAAGGTGCACGCCAATGAGATTGATTCACTTCCGTAGTTTATGGTGGGCGTATACAGCCTTCATGGAGGAGAGCGAAGGTAGTCGGTGAGACAGTAATTGCCCGATTATGTTGAACTACAGCAGATCAAAGATGTTCTTGTGGACATGATCGCTGTCAGATACGTGGATATTCCCTTTACGAGGTTGGCGTTAGATGAGCGTGTGGGGCAATGCAGGTTGGGATTGGTCGATTCGACATAGGGCTGACTGGTGGCAACTGTTCAAATCCAAGCGAACAACATGTATACAACAGTCTGACTGAAGCGATGGGGATGCTTTGAGAAGTCGGTCAGGGAAGCGCGGCTATGGAGAACCCGTGGATACAGAAACCGTCGTCCTTCCCTTACATGCAGGGACCAAACGATACCGGCCATATGATTCGAGGTCCCATAAAGGAATGGCGTAAGAGATTACACCGGCCGAGGCAAGGCTTTATTGTGAATCAGGAGTATCTCTGTTTATCCGATGCCTGGACCTAGAATGACTGCAGCGTTGATCGATGCATATCAAAAGGTGATGGGTCACGTTGCACCAACAACCTTAGCAACAAAGTCATTGTCGGACGTACTCAATAGTCTCTTGTCGCTAGAACAGAAGCATTGCTATCGGTCAAGAGCTAGCAGCGCGCGTGGAGCTCTGTACGTTGTGAATGGGGAGATTTGCACCGTTCACAGATGTGTTCTTGAGCGAAAGATCTGCTAATCTTCATTTTGAGGTGCTCCGGGCGCGGGCTATCAAACGATGATATTAGGGAGCCAGGTGCTTCTCCTTTCGACTGTACACTTTGCTGTACTTAACAGAAAAGTATTTCTTGCGCCGTTGGCGTGTGAGCAATTTCATTTACACGGAGGTTCGACTAAGCGCGTGTGGCCATCTCAACGTGTGCGCTCTACTGATATGATGAGATGGCGTGCAAACTTTGGGTATCATGAGACTTCCAGAAGCGATGTGAATCGCTCGTATCAGCTAGATAAGCCTCCAAAGTTGGGATCGTTGACGACTCTCCAGAAGCCGTAGATGATGCCTAGGAAACAAAGCACCACCATAGCTTGGCCAACCCATTCGGGAAGACTCCGCGACGTGCCTTCTATGTCGCTGCTTGCAACGGAGGAGACATCCGGGCTAGGATAAGCTCTGTAGGTGCCATAGTCCGGGGGAGGTCCGACGAGGAGAGGGGAATGGGAAGAGTGGGTGGCGTCATCGTAGGACGGCGGAGGTTCTTCTGGAGGATATTCGTGATAGGCTGGGCGGTGCTCTGCAGATGGTGCGGGTAGCTGGCTCGGAGGAACCTATATGGAAGTGTCAATAGCTGCCGGATGGGCTATATAAGGCGATCTGGTAGAGATGTATCAAGACATACCGTATAATGATGGTTGTCCATGGCTAAGCTGTCATGTGTATGTGCAGATGCGAGGGTAGCGACAAGTAGAGTCTCTTATACACATCTAAACGACATGAAAACGGGAGTACGACCGTTGGATGGTATTGATTGTGTAGGCGTCGACCTATTGCAAAAGTAGAGTAGATATCTGGTATTGTAGCCGGTGTCGTCGTCTGTTGTTTGGTGTTGGACCCTCGTCGCCGCAGCCGCCGCCAATAAGCGCACGGGCTCCCGCCATTCGTTACGGTTACGAGTCTCGCAACGTCAACTCTTTCGGAGCTCCAAATATCAACGATAGGCAGAAGCTTCAAGATTCCCCATTCTGGCTCTTTAAGCATGTCAACCGTCCTCAAAACGATTTACGGTCACTTCTACAGCTGTTCGGCCCAGCATGTCTCATGATTCCCCTGCGAACTTGCAGCTATTTTCCCCAACGGGGTCTGGTCGCAATTCACCTTCCCCGCGAATCGCCCGCAACACCACCGAGGATGGTATTTACCCCCCATGCTTAGGGATTTCGACAGTCGCATAACTGACGCAATGATTCTACAGCTTTGTTGAAAAAGGACAAAGGCTATCGACGATATGCCGCCGGCGTCGAACGTGCTCTGGCCCTCTGGGACAGTACCCAGCAGGAATGGGCCGATTACATCTCGTTTCTTGCCCGGCTTTTAAAGGTTCACGGCTTCCTACTCTACGCCCTTCGAATCGTATAGCTCACACTATATACCCAGGCTCTACAAGCCCATTCTCCCGAAAATCCCATCGTCCCTCAAAGCGACGCGGTCGCCCTTCGATTGTCCCAATGTCTCAATCCTGCTCTTCCATCTGGCGTGCATCAGAAGGCCTTGGAAGTATACGAATACATTTTCTCGATTATTGGGGTAGGAATATCACAGCAGTACCAATATTAAAATTGCTGACCAGGTCAAGCACGATGATCTCGCACGCGACCTAAATATATACTTTCCTGGTCTGGCACCCGTTCTCTCCTTCGCTTCGCTGTCCGTCCGACCCTTATTTCTCTCCATCTTTGAGAACTATATTCTGAAATTAGATGGGGATTCTCTTCGGCCCGCGCTAAAGGCTGTAATTATGGCTCTCCTTCCAGGCCTCGAGGACGAAACAAGTGAAGACTTCGAGCGCATGGTCTCCGCGTTGGATAAGCTACGTTATGCAGTGCGATCACAGCCCGACGAGATCGTAGACGTCAAGAATGATGGTGAATCATCTCATTTTTGGCAATGCTTCTTTTTGGCTACCATAACCAATGAGTCAAGAAGACAAGGTGCTCTGGCATTTCTTGTTCGCCGTCTCCCGAAATTTCGTCCATCCTCAGGAGCACTCCCTACGGAAGCGGAGGCTGCTATCTCACCGGAACCAGGGCTGTTGGTTCGATGCTTCGAAGCCGGCCTATATGATACTCAACTGTTAATTCAGCGAAGCTTTTTGGATCTGCTCGTCACCCATCTTCCCTTGGACTCACCTGTTCTTCAGCAGCGAATTAGTGAAGGAGATCGTGAGCGTTTGGTTGCAGCCGCTGCGGGGGTTGTGTCGCGAAGAGACATGAGTCTAAATCGTAGATTGTGGGCATGGCTTCTCGGTCCTGAACCTAGTTCTGGTACAGATGACCCAGAAGCCCTTGCGTCTCCGACACAAACCCGGAATTCAGGTGTTGACATATCAGCACACCACGCCGCCTACTTTTCCCAATACGGCCTTCAAGCATTGACTCGAAGTGTTATAAAGATGATCGATAGGCAGGGCAAGGCAGCAACCGATCGAGCACGGCCATTCCGGATATGTTTGTCATTCATGGATCGATTAGAAGTTGGAGGCTTGGTTGTTCCTGAAATCTTCTTACCCGCATTGCAGAGCGTTCAAACATATAGCGAACTTGCCTCAAAAGAAGAGGTCGACGAAGTAATGCGAAGCGCCAGCACCTTCTTCGATGGCGTGGACAGCGGCTTAATCTGGGGAAAATTGATATTTCTGGTCACCTCGGCCTTGGATGCAAAAATTTCCAGCCGAGAGGAAGCAATTCGCCAGATCAGATTGGCAAAATTTGTACTCGCTCGTTTCAACCTAAAGGAAGAAGAGATGCTATTCCAACATATGCCTCTCATGATACTGGCGACGCTTGGTTCTCTAGACAGGGTGTTTAGTGAGCCTGCTGCAATCCAAGCTGTCGATCAGGAAGTTGTTGACATAGCTTTCGAGATCGTGGACTCGTTGGTGCAGATTGTGCCAGACCGCGCTGTTTCGGGGAGCTTTAGTCAGGAAAAGCAACTTCAGAACATCTTGAAGGAGCAACGCCAAACTATATTCTCGAAAGTCCGGGCATTCTATGAAGAGAACCAGGGAAACATCGATTTCGAGGATGCGCCATTCTCCGCAGCTGAAATAGGGCAGTACATCCTACGCGAATCTGCACGCACATTCACTACATCGATCCGACAAACCAAGGTTACCTCTCTGTTTGATATGTCCTCGAATATTCTCGCAAATCTCATCTTCAAAGTGCAGACATTGGACGTGCTGGATGAGCTGGATCTTGTGACCCAGTTTCAGGAAGTCCTGGCGTCCCAGACACAGCCCTCCTTTCCTCGACTTGCAGCAATTATAACAGTTCTCACCGCTTTACAAACGGCACGAAATGGTCAGCCTTTCGTTCCCGCTCCACGCTTACCGGATGTAATACATCCTTTGATCACGTCTCTTTGGGCAACACTTGCGCCGTTGATGCCGAAGTTTCATGTGGAAACGGTTCGTTGTATGCTACAGTTGCATGCCATGTCACCCGATTCCCGCATGGTAGAAGCGGCTGTAACATCCATTCTGATAGGACAGACTTCAAATGGGTTCTCCGATCCTGCAGCGCAAGCCGATAGTGCCAGACGCTTTGCCATCCTCTGGAATCATACCATGCATGAATTGAGCTTACAATCCGAGAAGCGCGGAAGTATTCCCAGGCGACCAAGTGGTACTGGTCTCCCGTCGCCAGCCGTTATACCCGGCGGATTCGCTGCAATCCTAACCAGGCCGTTACTTATTCTTCTTGACTCACTCTCGGGAGAAGGTACCGAGCTGCATGCGTTTACAAGAAGCTGGTTACAAGACCTCCCCACTCTCAACAGAGTTCTCGATATTTTGGTCGTTCACCTACAGTCTCTGACTTGTTTGAATACAACAGAAAGTCTTGCTCCGAACAGCACTGCCCATTTACAAATGCCTCGTCACAAGAAAGAAGATGACACTAGACAGTGTCTTTATTACCTCACACATGTGTTGGAGATTCTCAAACGCCCGTCACATTACACTTGGGTAACGTTGACAGAAGAATCTGTCCCGTCCGGCGACGCTACGCGGGTGTCGCTCCAAGAATGGCTTATACGTTTATGTCTCAAAGTACTTGCCATCGAGAATGGTAGTGGGGAACGACACCTTCAGGAGCTTTACAAAGTTGCTGTTATGATCATCTCACATATTTGTCATGGTCCGTTTGCCTCCTCAGTACGTGAGCTGGAACTCGAGGTGCCTTTAATGGCAAGGTTGACTACCGCTGGACCGTCATTGCAGAGTCTTCTCCTCGAAGCAGCTCTATCAACACTCAAATTACGAGCTACCCGTATCTCAGCAGAGTCACAGGGAGAGCCAAAACATCCACAACAACCAACACACAGATCGAGACTATCTCTTGTAATGGATAGAAGCTCGGTAGAGGTTGAACAGGAGCCCATCCCACCCCCTCCCCAGCTCGTTGAGTGTCTCAAGTATGGCTTTTCGTCCCCTGCCAGTCGTCTGGTGCTAGACGATTGGGTGCAATTCCTAACCGAGGTCTTACCACTGTTCGCCGATGCCATTTTCCAGAATCTACTTCCCTTGGTTGAGTGCCTCTGCAAGCAGATCAACAAAACTTTTCAAGAACTCAAATCTATCTTTAGCACTGATAGTTACAACACCAATGTGTCTCCCGAGTCGACCTTGATTTCGCTCATCAACGGTTTAGAGCAAATTTTGGCCAAAGCCCATGATCGATTGTTACTACAAGAAACAAAAAGCACGGCCAATAAATCTCCAGAGCTGCCACAAGGGTTTTTCGGAAATATGGTCTCGGGCGTTTTTGCATCCGACACTGGTCAAGCACGCACGCCAACCGCGAATAGTAGACTCACGGTATTGTTGTGTTTTCAGGACACAGTGCGCATTTGTTTCGCAATTTGGACTTGGGGAGGATTCGCTCCGAAAGACGGGCGGCTCGACCTGACATCTGCATCATCTTTTGGGTACACTTCATTAAGGATGCGCAATCGTGCTCGAAGGATTTTGGAACATCTTTTTGCCGCAGAAGCCTTGGAATGCTTAGAAACGTTGGTTGTGCTGTGGACGCAATCTACGAAGCAAGATATTCACGCGACTGCAGTAATGGGTCTTCTCAACGTCTTGAATGGGTCTAAGCCCAAACACACCATTCCAGCCATTTTCAATGCGGTGTATAGTAGGACAAACCCTGGTGCCTTAGATCCTCATCTGATGTCGACTTTGACGTCAGATCTGGCTGATACGGAGCTGGTTGCGTTCCTGGTCGACTACACAAAGTCGCTGGAGGATGACGCAATGGACGAGATCTGGGGAGACTGTCAGGTTTTCTTACGCGATGTCCTCGCGAACCCCCTACCTCATCGACAAATATTGCCTTGTCTACTGGAGTTTACTGCTGTGATTGGACAGAAGGTAGACAATACCAACTTCGGCGAGCAGCGGAGGATGAGAAAAGAATTAGCGGTGCGTCGTGTGTGTTGTTCACGAGGGCAAATTGCTGACTTTGACAGGACATCTTTACACGGATTCTAACAGCAGTCTTCACCACTCGATCCATGGGATTCTTACAAGAGCCTGCGCAGGCGGCGACATCTGATAAACATAACTCTACTAACGGCAGCCATGGTCAAAAACGTGCAGTCGATGTTGTCACCGTTCTCGCATCAATTGTGCCGCACCTACCTTCAATCTTAGTAGAGAACGATCGAGTCTTGACTGTGGTTTCCAGCATATCTACCAACGTAGTGGGCCCGACTTTCCGTGCAAAGGCTTTCCCAGATAACGTTTCCAAAACCATGCTGGACCTCCTCTACAAACTGGCACGAATCTCGCAGACCAGCAAGATGTGGAAGAAAGATATTTATGATGCGTTTTATGATCAGCGATTTTTCAATACACCGCTTGCGATACTGAAAGAATCATGGCTCCCCGTTCTCGCGCAATGGACTCACTCTGACAAAGACCGTTTACCGGATCTTCTTTCCAGACTGTCTGCTCCGACAACAGCAGGCATCATGTTTGGCGTAGGAGCGGCATCTGCTCGGCAAGAAGCTGACCGAAAGACCCAATTCACGTTACGACGGATCTCATTGCTTATCCTAGCCGGCCCCGCAGATGCCTTCACCACAAGTCTGCCACAAATCACAGAAAAGATTGTCGAACTCCTCACGGCGACGCCTGCTTCCTCTCCATCTTCCTCTACCCGAGCAGAAGTCATAGTCCTCCTACGTGCCCTAATCCTTCAAACATCACCCGTTCATCTAGCCCCTCTCTGGCCCATCATAAACGGTGAACTCACATCGAGCCTATCGTCTCTGTTGCCAGATGCAGAGAACAAAGATACGTACAATGGTCCCGGTATTATCCAAGCATGCAAGCTATTGGATGAACTTGTTGTACTCGATCCGGACGAATTCCAGCTCATAGAGTGGCTATTCATCACAGACACCATCGACGCTGTGTACAAGCCTACTGACCCGAGCTATACATCATCATTGACAGATGAGATAGCAGAGATTCTATCTGCATCCGGAACAGGAAACCTACGATCTACTCCACATGCCAATACGTCATCGTCCGGAGAACCAAAGAGGACGCTATATCTGGATCCACTGATCGAGGCATTAGAGAAGGAGGAAAATGCCGATATTAACGATATGGCAAGGCGAGAGCTTGTGGACAGGATCATCCGACCTTTCCTGGGAAGTTTGGCAATGGTCAAATTTGAGGCTACATATGGAGGTGGTGAGGCGGATCGGAAAGGGGTTTGGGACAGTATCGTTGCCGATGCTAGTGGCGTAGAGTAGTGCAGCAAAACAACGATCAACGAAGTGTTGGATGGCAGTTTCAATCAAATGATATACAATGCTTGAAGCTCTATGGCATAGTGAAATCTCACAAGCAAGCTAGAAGGTCTGATAGTTCGTTACGCACACAGCATAGACTGCTGTACAATCAATCATTCAAGCACGAAGAAATTATGCAATGCACATGGGAAGATAAAACTATCGCTACTGCAAGGTTGCCAATCATGCCTATGTGCCAAGATAAAAGAGCCCATCCACTTCATGATCAGAACATATCACAAACGCATTCGAACGCAGGACCCCGGTCACTATGGCATTGATATCATCGACTCCTCGCCTCAATATACACAGAATTAGTACAAGTCGTACAATACCACATTGATCAATCTACCTCTCCCAGACGAAGAAAGAAAAACATCAAAAAAGTGGGCACAGGCCTGCATTTCGCAAAATCGCACCCACTACCATTTCAAATCATCGTACATAAAAATCGCACGAAAATCGAACAGTAGAGAAGGGCCTCGGTCCTATTCACGGCTCCACTTCGCACCCGCACTTACACATCACCAAATGCCGTCGCGTGAACAGGTACGCGCGCGTGCTCCCACCACTCCGTCGCCGCCCCCCCCTTAGATCGGCGACTCGGGATTTCGCACTCGGGCGCACCCGTTTGGCCGTGTTCCACGTTTTTTCGCGAGGACAGGCCAGGAAGGCCCTCTCGCTGTCTTCCTTGGGAAAAGCCAAGTCCCGTCCAGCTTCCAAGTCTCTAGTTACTGGTTTCTTGTGGGGGGAGGGAGGGTCTCGGGTCCGGAGAGTCGGATATTAGGAGTTCCCGAGCGAGATTTTTTTTCATTTTGGATTAGGAGGATTTTACGATGCAGGGAGGAAAATTACAGTGACTCGAATACTGTGTTTGAGTAGTACTAGGTAATAGGAGTTTTAATGGGCCAAGTGATGGTTTGGACTTTTAGCTTTTTTCTTGGTGATGGTAATGGTGACGACGATGATGATGATGATGATGATGATAGAAGCGTTTATTGACTTGCTTGAACCTTCGTTTCTCGAACATTGACTTGCAATTTTGCACTTGTTTTCTAAGCACTTGCGAACTCGATCAAGGAATCTGTACTCTTCTTCTCTTGAAGGTCACGACTTTTGACCATGTGTGGCTAATGATCTTTTGTCGTCATCACGACCTTTTTTTCCCTTAACTCCGACGGGCGTCGGATGTAGGCTATATGAATGATTGGACATAGTACAATATTGCCGAAGGATGTAATCTCCACCAAGTAAATATGTCCTAGGGGAGAAGATCACATGATGAATATGGCCTTGCAAGGTGGAGATAGAGAGGAATTATCTCGGTGTTTGTTGTGGGATGGTGAATCGTTACTCTGGTGGAGTTTCCGAATTTCGCGCATATGGTTGCCGCAACCTGTTGGGATGAAAATGGGATACAATCCATTTTGATGTTGTGTCCGTTGCTGGCGTTGTTTCATGTACGGAAAAGGGACAGTGTTAGTCGCAACGGGTTCGTACAAGAGACCTGACGGAAACTACACAGTCAAATCCATGTAAAAGCGATGTATCAGCAGGGGGAAGATACACGACAAACTACAAGAAAGAATTACAAAAGAAGGAGGGAATGATCGCGAGGCTGACAAATTGGAGCAATTTGCAAGTCAAGAGTGCGGAATTGCATTTTTGCATTGTTCGGCCGAGTTCGTCCACTTTTATCCCCTACAGAAGGGGTTGAGCTCACACCCATCGCGATTGTAAAGCTGATTTACGTCTCACGTGAGATCGCGGTTCTCAAGAAGATATCGCGCAGGTGTTCCAGCCAGGGCAAATGGATCTTTAGTCAATGTTTTTGTTTTTCTGCGATATTGGCCGCGATGTATGACGTAAGAGATTGTTGCGACAACCCCAACAATCTCAAAGTATAGTTGAATATCATTTATCGAACCAAGAGAATGGTGAGGCCAACATAGAAGTACATGTGGGACCCTACTTGTGGGGGTGTGTACCGCCACCTCGGTTGCACATTCCGGTAGATCTAATCGATACCTGCGAAGCAGTGGGAAAAAGTGTATACAATGGATATGGATATCTCCAGGGGCCTTGGAAAAGAAAGGGAGGAGGAACTCGAGTCAGGCTTCCAAGGTCAAAAGTGTTCCAGACTGTTCGCTCGCAGCGATCACGATTCGACTTCAAGAACAGAGTCTCCACTACGATCACCCTGGTTATCAAGAAAAGCAGAAAATCGAGCGAGAAAGACTGATAGGATATGATTTGCTAGATAGGCCAACAAGGTGTTTTCCAGTTGGCCACTCTACTGTGGATCTACACTTAGCCACAGAGCTCTCCTCGCCTCGGCAAAAGCTTATTACTGCTCATTCGATCCACATCCGGTTTGTAAATACTGCATGTCCAGGTTGGGAAAGCAGGCTTTCAACCTTTTCCGTAAGTATTACGGCAAGACCTTCCCTAGCGTGTGACTTGTTGTGGATATTACATGCTAGTGAATGACATTGTGGTCGGCCAACGCTCTTGGACTGCATATTCGATGCAGTTTCCCAGGCTATGGGTGTGTGGACAATACAGAGGTATTGAAAATCGTTGGAGAATCGACAGGGTTGTGAATCCTGGAGAGACAGATAGTTGCATTGTAAGAAGCAAAAGTTGGTTCCTGTCGTCGCTGGACTTTTAGTAAAGTCTCCGCTCCCGCGAGCTGATGCATATGGTCCTTAGAGAAATAAGTTTGTCCTCGTAGATGCATCATGCAGGCCCACGTGGAAATGTTTCGGCGAGTTTCAGTACTGTGACCTCATCCATGATCCATAATTCTACCACATAGTTACACTAGAAGTGCAAGCCACCTAGACATCGAGATGGACTCTATGGATGAACAACTAGTCTGTCGTGACTGGCACATGAATTATCTGATGGCTGATTGAACGCCATCCAGCTGTGCGCTTATAGACCAAAAGAAATCGCGGGCATCGGATGCTGCAATAACTGGGGTTGGCCTTTTCCGACGTCTTGCTTCTATGCTCGCCGGAGCAGGCAAGTGGCAACATATGATAGGCTAAATAGCGATGCGTGATATTCTTGAACTTCAATTGATCGCGATTATTGCTCGTGTGATATGGATTCGCGCAGCCTAACTGTTCTGGTGGGCTTGAGAGTCGTTCATCGCGACCGAATTAGTCCATTTGCATCGATTCAAGAGCCTATCATTCATCGCCAAATGTCAAAAATATTGTGACACCACTACGTTGGTGCATCCTTCATACACTAACTCCGAAGTTGAGTATGGTATCTTCATTGGTAATCCCTATGCATTTCACTTGTAGAACATAAATGTTGAAGACGACGATGCTGACCAGAATGCGCTTTTCCCCACAAATCTTCTACAAGAAAATACACCATTACGATAGAATCGACTCCGCAATGTCTTACAAAGTGATCAAACTCGCTCTATCTAGCCAAGCGTAAGAGGTCCAGACCATTGTACACATCGGGCCTAACAACCTCCAGTGCACTTAGTTGATTCGGGCCGCGCACAACGGTGAGCGATAGTTAAGGGACGGAGCGTCGCGGGGTGTATTCCCTGCCCGATGGTTGGCCCCAAGCGAGTGATCTGACGTCGAAACCATACATCCATCATGCATCAGGTTTGTTGGGATGATTGAGTGTGCATGCAATCACTAACTTGCGATCTATGAGTGGAGTGAGCAATGAAAGTGGGTAATATGTCAAGACGTCCTTGAATTAAGGTCGGCAACGAAACTTGTAGTGCCTTGGTAGGTAGTGGCGTACGGCGTGCCCGTTGGAACGATGATCTAACGCAGTCCATCCACAATTTCGAGATACGAGTACTACGAATATGACTATCTAAAGGGATTACTCGTTTGTATAATAGCGCTCATTGCTTTAGTTGCATCATTTGTAGGGCTGGAAACTGAGGATTCATCACAATCTGTATCAGCCTTGAGACTGGCCGAGAATACTCCGACGAGGCAACAAGCCAGTAGATGATTCGGTCCGTTTTCGATTGAACGTTTCTCGTTTCCCTTCTGAAGTATCATGAAACGTGTGAACTGCTTTCGTGGTGTTAGCGTAGAGGTGTGGTGCAATGCTCTCAATTCGTCCACTATATGTACTACTTCACTAAAGTCGCAATGTAGATCTAGTGTCGTAAAATTGCTCGTTGTAACTACATTCTTTAGAGTTTCCGCTGTCATGCTTTCGAAACTGAACATTGTAGTGTCATCTGTGTATAATAACAATGTGCATCAACATCTTCACAATGTGCCACGTTCCATACAACAGAGATAGGACACAGCTGCAATAATTATGACGCAAAAGATTCTTAGGTAGAAACTATTCTCTTTCCACCTTTCTATTACGAATGACTCCACCAATGAAATTGCACACAATCGTCACGAATACCACATTCGAAAACGTCCAACCAAATGGATGCTGGTGCCTATTGAGTCAGTTATCAGAAGCCGCTGACATTTGGGGTATTGGATGCGTAAATTTGGTCACGAGTCCGCATATTTTAGCATTGAACCTGATAACCGGAATGCCAACGTGTAACAAAGCACACCCACTCTTTAAAAAGTTGAGGTTCGTGACAATTGTTCATAGTCGACATAGTGCACCCACCCTTGGCGTATTTCACATGCCCTTTACCAATGTATCCATATTAACATTGGCAGAGTGAATAGCATTTTCGTATAAATTTACGCAGAAATGTGGGGAAATGTCCAAACTACCAAACTATCTTACTCTATCACTTTCTCGATATTTACAACCAGAAACGTTCCCGCCAATCCCAAAAGCATTATCAACCACATCTACGAGATCTGACGATGACCCAACAAATCGATACCCGGTTCCGCTATCGAGTAGGATGCCCAAAGCTGCCTGCGTCGCCATGGGGCATGATGTACATCCCGTCCCCATCGGTAATGGATGGACACCCATTTAGGGTCCGGCAGATATTGTCAGCCAACAATGTGAAGGCCCGCGAAGTAATCTTTGGCCACCGCCATCGAGAAGGGAAACAGCTCGGGGGAACCCCAGCATTGACTATCCTCTCCGATGCGACCATTCCCACCGACTATATCCAAGAATGGAGCCGCACAGTTCAACAGTTATCGCAGTATTTCTCGAATTCTGGAGTCGACATCAGCATCGAAATCATGGACTATCAGGCATATGCCGGCGTATATATCAAATCAATTTCAGCAGATAACACCGAGCTCCTTGACCGCTGGGATCAGAAACAGGGAGAAATCGCAGACTGCTTCAGGAAGCTCAGGTGGTTTTCCGTGGACCTTGTCAGTCGTGGTATTCGAGATTCCAACATGCGCCCAACCATGCTTGTTAATGCCTCAGATACCGATGATGACGCTTGGACCGCAGCGCTTGAAAAAGCCCAAGAAATCATAAGTGATAATGGTCGTATTGAAGTAGATGTCGAATTACTTCATAACGAGGTAGGAATCCTAGCAAGCTCCGAGAGTGAGCTTCCCGAGTTATCGGAACTCTCGGCAGAAGAATTTGATGAAAAAGCCTACGAGGAGAAATTGTACGATAGGAAAAAATCGGAGGCAATCAGTCGGGAGGAGTATGTCAGCCCAAGGGTAGTTATGGCAGAAGACTTCGGTGCAAATCTTCATGTCGGAGCGTCTGTCGGCCATTCTGACGACACAAGCGGAACTCTGGGCGGCTTCTTTACCATGAAATTTCCAGAGTACAAGGAACCTATCCGATTCGGCGTGACGAATCATCATGTTCTTGCCAGGAATACACGGGAGAGGATTGATCGTCAAGATAAAGCAGTCGCAACACAATCTATCGAAGTCGCCTCACCATCCGACCTAGACCGCGAACGGTTCCTTTATAGACTTCGAGAAAGTATCATGCCCTTGAATGAGCGCATTCGCGATGCTAAACGCAAGTACCAAGCATTGTCGGACCCCACTTTGCGGGTTGATAGGCAGGACTGGCGCAACAAAAGGGCCGAACTTCGATCAACCAGAGACAAAATTACGGCCCTTGATACCCGAGCTGGAGCGCTGTTTGCTACATCAGGGCACCGCCAACGGGCTGATCCCTGTTACTCAGATGGGGAAGACTTGGAAGTTTCGCGAGCATCCATCCCTAGTCCTGCAGTCCCCTGTCAATGGAATGTAGACTGGGCTCTCTTTACAATTGACCCTCATCGTAAAATAATCGAGTATACCAAAGGAGATACCGTTTGGTACAATTACGTAGCGAGACGCAAGATCACCGAGCGGGGTTCGATCTGCCAACGAACTGCATATGATGTCGCAATGCTTGGCAGAACTTCAGGCTGGTCCACAGGCGTGATCAATCCGGCTATGTCTATGCTGAACCCAACAATAGCCTTCACCGAACCAGGTGATCGTGAGGAAACTCCTTTGCTGGCGCATGCAATCGTCAATTTAGACCCGTTGCAGCCATTTGCGAGAAAAGGTGATTCAGGCTCCTTTGTGCTTCACAATAATGATAGGGATGGTGTTGATGCAACAGTTCTAGGTCTTGTCACTGGATCAAGCAAAGTAGTGGCATATATGACGGCAATTGACCTGGTTGCCACAGATATGGAGGAGGATCTTGGGGGTGAAGTGATATTTCCTAGAGATGTTGGTGAGGTCCAAGCTGGCACATTATTTAAAAGAGTAGTCTACTACGATGATGAGTAGGTGGTTTTGGTCAAACGTCCTCAAACGTCCTATCACTATAGTAATGAGGAGGAAAGTTGATTGTCGGTAGGTTGGTTGGAACCAGGGATCTATCTATCTCGCTGGTGTGATTACCTACCTAATCCTTCCTCTCCGCCGATTGCCTCCTTACACAGGCGTGACCTGGTCGTGTCACACTACGGCGGGGGTAGTCCAGTCGTTTCTACCCTCGTTGTCCCAGAATGTAACAGTAGAGTATAAAGACTACAGCTAGCCTAGCAATGCCAAAAATTAAGAGAATGATAGTAGAGTCGTGTGACTACATGTAGTTTAGATGCATTCTTGAAAGCGACCAATGTAGATCACAATTTGTTTCTCTATCGAAATAGTGGTATATGGATGAAAGTAATCTGACAAGAAAAGGAAGCAAAGCAAAACCTGATCTTCATTTCGCAGGTGATTTTGGACTTTTCCCCCCACCCTTGCTGGTATAAGGCAATAATCTAACGTGTCGAGTTCGAGACTTAATCATTTGATGAAGCCCTTGGGACCACCCCAAGTACCATTGACGTGGTACTTTCCGTACACCCAAGGGAAAAAGTCCTTCTTGAGATGGAAGAACGCTCTCCTGGGCTCAATCTGATCAATGCCGAACATAGCGTTGAACGTCTCCTTCGGCACACCCCCGTACTTGAATTCCGCGAGAAGAACCTTGTCCTCTCCGGTCAAGAGAGGGCAAGACGTGTACCCGTCGTACTCAGCGCTGGGCTCCTTACCCTCCGCGACTTGGAGTAAGTTGGAGACGAGAACCGGTGCCTGGGAAGTGATGGCGGCGACGGTCTTGGACGTAGGGAGACTGGAGGCATCGCCGATCGACCAGACGTTGGCGTATTTCTTGTGCTGGGTGGTGTTGTCGTGGACGTCCACGTAGCCAGCCTCGTTACCGAGGCCGCTCTCCTTGATGAATGCGTGGGGCTTGTTCTTGGGAGATACGTGGAGGAAGTCGAAGTGCTTCTTGACTTCCTTCTGCTCCGGGCCAGTGAACGTGGCCGTGTTGCCGTCGATGGAAATGAGGTCGTGACCGAAAAGGCCCTCGACGCCTCTTTGCACGCGGAGCTCTTCGAGCTTGGCGCTGTACTTGGGGACGCCGAACATGGCTGGGAGACCGGTCGCAAAGGTGATGTTAATGGGTGATCCATCACCGGACTTGTAGAGGCCTGCTCGCTTCCAGTGATCGAGGGCGAGCCACATGATCTTCTGCGGAGCGCCAGCGCATTTGACGACGCCCGCGGGTTGGGTGAAGATGGCGTTGCCGGTTTTGAACTTCTGGATGGATTGGAATGCCTTGTCGCAGTAGTTGTAGTCATAGATTGTTGATACAAGCGCATCTGGGTTGGCGAGAGCTTCGGGCAATCCTTTGACACTTCCATTGTCAACGAAGACGCCGGGGACGACGACGAGCTGTTCGTAGCTGACTTTGCTACCGTCGCCGAGGGTTACTTCGTTTTGCTCTGGAGAGATGGATCCGACGGATTTGTTGTAAAATTTGAATTTGGGGTCCATCAGGCTGTCAAGGGGTCGTCGTAGCTCTTCCTTGTTCTTCAGTCCACCGCCAACAAGCGTCCATCCCGGTTGGTAATTATGCCATGTCGCGGGGTCGACAATGGCAATATCATCCTGTTTGAAATTGCCCTTTCGAAGAAGCTGGTGGCTGAGAGCAATACCAGCTGAGCCAGAGCCTACCACGACGATTTTGTGGCTGCGAGCCAGGCTGCTCACAGGCGAGACTGTTGCGAAGCTTCGAATTGCCTGCATTGTGGATCTTGTTTACCGCAAGTGTGAAGAGTGTTTTGATGAAGGATATCGCAGATCCCACGTGCTAACAATAGAACGAGAAAGGGAAAGGAGCGGGAAGCTAGCAGTGCAACAAAGAAAGCAATCCTTTTTGGCAAAACAGGAAGATTCGTCTTCCTCAGTATGTAGCAGACTCGACTGATGCTATTGCCAGTGAACCTGTGAGTGTTCGATACAAACAAAATGCTGACAATTGTCTCAAGCTGCTGAACGATAGGACATGTTTTGGTCGGCGGTGGTTCGATTTTTTCAGGGACGTTGAACTAACGTTATGAGGTGATTAGCCATTTCGCTGGACTGTCATTGGTTGGATGGGATGGTTCAGGGCTCCGCTTTCGGCGAGGTTGAGGCTGACTCGCTGACGTCCATCGGCGACCTGGGGACCTCATACACACACGACACTCGTTGCCCATATGGTAGAGCCCGAGATCATTCTTCAATGGTAATTACGTCTTATAGGATCAGTAAACATGTGTCAAATTCTCCATTTTAAAGTTCTAGGATTCTGGTTCTTCCACCCAGGTGTTTCTTAATTCTTCATCAACCACACCATGCAGAGAATTCAATCAGTTTCTCGTCCAACTCTAAGTGCAATTCGTCGACAAGCCATACCTACAACAGGACGAAGGACAGATCGGACATATACGACTGGAATCTTCAACGATACCCGCAGGTGCCTCCATCAACAGAATCGAAAGGAACAATACACACCACTGGGGAATCCTAAGCAGAACCAACGAACCCAACTCCACATATCAAGGTCTATGTCGTCAAGCCCATCAAAAATGATCAAACCAACCACTCCGGAGCCCACAATCCACAGCCTATTCGAGCCCCAAACCGGAACCTGGCAATACGTCGTCGCAGACCCATCCACCCACGACGCCGTCATAATCGACTCCGTCCTCGACTACGACCCCTCAACCCAGAAGATCACCACCAGCACCGCAGACTCCATCCTCCGCCTCATCACCAGCCACTCCTACAACGTGACCCACATCCTCGAGACCCACGCCCACGCCGACCACCTAACCGCAGCATCGTACCTCGCGGCCCGTCTCGCGCAGACCACGCAGGGCGGAACCAGGCCGCCGATCGGGATCGGGAGGCGCATCACGCAGGTGCAGAGCGCGTTCGGGCGCAAGTACGAAGTCCCAGAGGACGAACGCGCCGCCACGGTCTTCGACACGCTGTTCGACGACGACGAGACGTTCGCGATCGGCGGGTTGACGGCGCGCGTGGTCCATCTCCCCGGCCACACGCCCGACCACATCGGCTACGTCATCGGCGGTAAGTAAAATCCCCCTCCCCTTCAAGGTGACCGGAAGGAAAGCAATTGCTAACGAATTGTCATTGTCACGCGCAGACAACGTGTTCTGCGGCGACTCCATCTTCCCGCCGGACATCGGGACCGCGCGCTGCGACTTCCCCGGCGGCGACGCAGCGTCGCTGTACGCGTCGGCGCAGAAGCTGCTCGCGATGCCGGGACACGTGAGGATCTTCACGGGGCATGACTACCCGCCTGCGAGTCGGGGTGCGCCCGTGCCGTGGACGAGCGTCAGTGAGCATAGGGAGCGGAATGTGCATCTCGCGGGGGAGGTGGGCGTGCGGGAGTTCGTGGAGAGGAGGACGGAGAGGGATAGCGGGTTGGCGGCGCCGAGGCTGCTGCATCAGAGTTTGCAGGTTAATGTGCGGGCGGGGAGGTTGCCGGGACGGTCGGCGGATGGAGTGAGGTTGTTGAGGCTGCCGGTGAGGGTTGAGGGGGCCGAGTGGTGAGTGATGAATAATGGCGTTTATGGGATGGAGTTGTGAATGGAGTTTTATGTGTGAAGTACTTTTGGTGGTGGTGCGGTATGTTCGAATTCATATCTGTATAAATTGCATTTCGCATAGCTGTCGGAACATGAGTAGGGTATTTATATACAACCAGCAATTCTCCACTAGCCAGTCACTACGGACTTATCCAGCACTACTTCCCATACATTACAAGCAGAAGCAATCTGCATCCAACCCCATCATCCCCGACAAATCCAACCCATCAAGACCCTCCAACCACTGCACACTCCCCGCCATAGTCTCCGACGACACCGCCGCCGCATCCACAACAGCAGCAGCAGCATACCCACCATCTCCCACCTCCCCCTCACCACTACCGAACAGCGGCTGGAAAACCGCCGTAGCAGTCCTATTCAGCGCCCTCAGCACCACACCCGCAACATCCCAGTACCTCCCCAACGACCTCAAAACCCCATGGATCAACTTGACCCGCTCGTAATGCTGCGCCAGACACCCCCTCCCCGCGCGCAGATGCATCATCCCGGCCGACAACTGCACGACGGCGGAGAGCGCGAGCGGGTACACGAAGAACGGCGAGTGCCGCTGCACGGGGCACCGCAGCGCGGCGAGCATGGCGATCGTGCGTGACGCGTCGACCGCTTTCACCGAGTGCACGTGTTGTCGGGTGCAGGGGCAGACGGAGCGGGCGGAGTGGCCCCCCGGGAGGTGCGTGGTGGGTGGGACGGAGGAGGAGAGGTTGCCGCGCGGGAAGTGGAGGAGGATGGTGGCGTGTTGGAGGAGGGCGTGGGCGGAGAAGATGAGTTCGTCTGGCTCTGAGCCGTATGCGTTGACGATTTCGGGCTCGGTTTTCGAGGCGGGGAGATGGTGGAGGAAGGCGGCGAGGGCGTTGTCGAGGGATTGGATGCGGTCGCGGTGGATGATCGGGGTGTGGGCGTTGCTGTCGCCGTCGCTGTCGGGGTTGCTGGTCATGGTGACGACGCGGCCGAGGAGGTGGGCGGCTTGGATGCGGTAGGCGGAGGAGGAGAAGGTGGTTTCGTGGTCGGAGAAGATGCTGCTTTCGAAGGTGCTGAGGGAGGGGGCAGTGTAGAGGAAGACTTCGGAGGAGTAGAGCGAGTCTTCGCAGGGGAGGAGGACGTCCGCGATGATGGTATGGGTTGGGAAGGTGGATTTACGCTGGAGTGCGGCGACGCAGGCGTCTGTGATGTACAGTTCGTACCATGTTCGACGTAGGCTTTCTTCTTCTCTTGCATCGCCTTTCGAGTGGGAGGCGGCGAAGTCACGACGATGGAGGCCGAGAGATACTGCCATCTTCACTGCTGCGTCGAGCATCTGCTGGCCCTCATCCACTTCGTTCCGCGCGAAGAGGAGGATGGTGTACAGGATCCGCGCTTGCACCATCTCCGTCGTGTTCTGGTCTCCTTGTGCGAGTTCTCTTGCCGTGGCATCTCGTAGCGTAGCACTGGGTGTCGCTGAAGAGAAGTGACTCCCTATGAACTCAACCACGGCCTTGAGGTATCGCGGGTACCTCCGTTCCCAGTAGAAGCATCCTGGCAGTAGAATCGGATGGCTGTTGTGGAAGTTCAGATAGTACAGATTGACGAGCTGCTCGTCGTCGACACGATGCTGCTGTGGTCCGGCATCCCTTCGAATGGACGCAGCATCCCGAGCGACAGGTAGTGCCGGTGGGGTATCTTGAGCATGTCGGACATGGATGCCTGAAGACGTCTGAGCATCTATCGAAGCATTGAGGCCAAACTCGCCGACATCCGTGATCCAGTGAGTCGGTTCGGAGATGAAGCAGGGCGATTTGCGACTCGTATCCAGTTGGTCGGCATCAGGATTCGCTCGCTTTGTGCCCCGTCGTGTCCCTCGTTTCGATGAGGTGTAGGAGCAGGGTAGTCCTCGAGAGTTGCAGCGTCCGCAGATGGGTGTCGCGGCATCGCATTTCAGGTGCGTTCGGCGACACTCGAGACAGGCCAGTGGTGCGGGCCGCTGAGCGGTGACTCTCTCCGGGGAAGGCATGGCGATGATATCAGCGGTGGTGGTGGTGTACAGAGTGGAGTAGAGCCCGACGTCGAACGATAAAGATGGATGTTTTGAGACATTTGCATTTGTGGCGACATTGAGGGGGAAATGTGATTTTACTCTATTTCGTTTTGTTTGTCTTTCTTCATTAAAGTGAACGCCGACATAGAGGTCTGCATGTATGACAGTCGCCGACTCGCGTTTTGGTCGCCGGCCCTGGGATGAGCAATTTACGTGTGCTCAGAACTTCTCAGGAGGCTATGCCAATTGCTCGAGGTCGTCAACCCAACTTCCACTGGGAGTTAAGGCCTTGGATAGAGCCATCGAGTATCGCGAGCGCTACCTGAGGGTCAGGGCGATAATTCTGCATTCTTGATTGTGGTGTTGCGAAATCATCGCTTGCCAGGTCAAGTGTCGTCCATGTCCAGGCCAGTAGCTCCTAGGTCCACCATGCTCGGAAGCACCAAGTACTTTGCATACAGTACAATCATTGCCGTGATATCAAGACCATCGTTGTATTTTCCTTGAACGCACAAAGACAAAGCATCCAGCAGCAAGAATAAAGGTCGAAAGAGTATTCGTGGAGGTAAGTTCGCAGCACAAAGAACGAGAAACAATCCCATCCACCCCTCGATCAATCCTTGGCACGTACTCTCCACTCTCCACTCTACTCATCGAGAATCCAAAAATAGCCCCTTCACACCAAAAGGAAAAAAAAAAAGCGGAGGTGGCTCTGTCGCCGTGCCCTACCTCTCTGCCCTCGCTATATCCGGCGTGTGGCTGTTTAGTCTGGGGAATAATAGCATTTGACATCAGCTACCTTGTCACGCCCGATCTCGGTGATTTCTCGCACCTATGATGAGAAAAAAAAACAACGCAGTTATGCGTCCAATAGATACACCGTTGTTCATTCTCAATTTACCACCAATCCATCTCTCCCGCCCGCCATGACACGGCACGGGAAGAAAAGAAAAGTCTCAGGGCCTGATTGCGGCTTTCTCCATGGAGTAACAAGTCACGACTTCATGAACCACCGAGTCACATACCGGACCCACCCCATCCGGCCGGCCGTGGAAGTAAGACAGGAAAAACAAGCACACGATACGAGAGCCAAGCTTTCACCTTCCAAGACTCGACTCGACTCGACTCGGTGTCAGGCCGGCGGCATACGTACGCACGTATGGGATTCTTCATGCGGGAATATAGTCTACCTCCCCGGGCAAAGGTGGGAAAGAAGGATACAATGAGATTATAGCCAAGCTTTCTGCGGCCAAGAGTTTCTGGTCGGGAAGAGTGTAGTTGGGTGGAGCCGGGAGGAGGTAGGGTGGAGTGTAAGCTAGCATCGTCGTGCGTGGATGACGTAGGGGTTTGAGGGTGGGTTTCCCGGAGGCTGCTGCGTCGGGAATAAAAGATGCATATATGCATGTATGGGAATTAGAAGGGAGGGTAGGTGTGCGACTCACGCCATAGCTGAGGCTTGATTGATGCTTTGCGAGGCTGTAGATAGACGGTGAATGTGTACGTAGTGTAGTTACTTGCGCCGGGACTGAATGTCGAGGTCGGCACGGTCGTTGATGGAGATACTACGATATGCAGGGCAGGGCAGGGCAGGGCAGGGCAGGGCAGGGCACGGCTGACTTGAACCGACAGTGGTGGTGGTAGTGGTGGTGCACAGGCGCGCATTACGAGTTGACTATCCTCGAGTTCACCTCGAATAATGCCATTTTGGACACTCTTCATCAATACGCAGTAATGAATTCAAGTTGCATCTTTGGGATAATGAAGACCGTGCTCTCGTCCTTGACGCAGATGGCGGGCTTGGTAGAGATGCAAGTTGCTGAGGCAGCTTGTGGGGGAGGCGAAGGGGACATGGGGAGATGATGGGATCTCCTTCCAACGGCTCTAGCGGATGCAGACTAATTGTTGAGGCTCTGCGATGGTGCATGACGAACGACAGAGTCGCAGGAAGGGAATGCTAGTGAATGATGTGGTGTGAGAAGTGGTTTCTACGAGTACGAAGGACATTGCTCGGACGCGTGATTACTTTTCTCGCAGAATACGAAGATCATGCAAGCCATCTCCATCCATCCTCGTATTAGAAACTTCTTCGTGTCTTCCACGCTAAGGGACTAGTGGCCAGTGAGAAGGGAGGGATAGGCAAGGCCCGGTCAGCCACATTTCGATATCGGACCTCTGTGAAGGCCGAAGAGCGCGACTCTCGTAGTCCAAGGTGGTTAGGGTGGATGAGTGATTGGGTGATTGGATAGTAGAATGGTTGGGCCATCTCGTACGAGCGCGAAGTGCGGGACAGAACCCTTGTAGGGCTGAGGAGATTCCAGTCACGGTGAGTCCAAGCGAACAGAACCGGCCCAAGCGTACGCGGTTAATCTGCTAGGGAAATCGGGATATCCACACTAGGTGATTAGGAACTTAGCACTTGGACGAGTAGGCTTGTAGCTATGGGCTTGTCGTGTAGCCCTTCGCTTCCGCAGGTTGAAGAATGACAGCATCGTGCATCCGAGAGAGGTATGTGCGCGCCGGATATGCTGTGACCTCTTCTCGAATCTAATCATTGCAGGGGCAGGGCAGGGTTGCAGAACGAGTTGAGCAGATACTCGGCCATAAATCGGCCAACTTGGATTTGATCATTCTGAGATCAATACCACTTCGCTTGCTCGGGACGATCATCGTATCGTTCATGTATGTGCTACCTTATGTCGTTGTGTCTGTGTGCTCTCACTGTCTATTCTGTCGCCGGGAATAACGATTTGATATCCAGGACATAACACATTCAACGTCGCTGGAAATCAAAAAGTCGAACCATCTATTCTTGGAATCAAAAAATCTACAATGCTATCCACCAATCACGCCGCCCACCCGCGATACACGATCTTGCTCCCGTACTTCTCGCCCTTCTTCAGCACGACCTGCGACCTGTGTTCCGGCACATTGATCGCATTCACGTAGCGGCTGGGCTCCACGCAGAACCCAGAGCGCGCACCACGGGCGGGCACGCCCTCTACAGCAGGCACGTCGATGTACTTGCCCGTGTAGAACTGGAAGGCAGGCTCCGTGGTGCCAACCTCGAGGTGGATCTTCGTGTCCGGGTGGTAGAACGACGCGACCGTGTTCAACGGCTGCGAGCGCGTGTCGATGGGGATGCTGGCAGAGTCGGTGTTGACGACGAAGCAGTCGTCGATGTCGGGCTCCTTCTCGCCCAGCGTGAACGTCTTGTTCGACGTGACACCGGGGTACTCTTCGATGGGCCCTGTGGGGATGCCGCCGTCGTCGACGACCTGATACTTGTTCGTGATGAGCGTCACGTCCGTGCCGGCGATGGACGACGCGCCGGTCAGGTTGAAGTAGCTGTCACTCGTCGTTAGCGTGAGTCGTACACGCAACTCGCATACGCACACGCGGGTTACTCACCTGTGGTTCGTGATGTTGACTGCCGTCTCGCTGACCTCGTCACCGACGAGTTCGGCCTCGAATTCGATGTAGAGGATCTCCTTCTCCACGCCGTCGTGCGACGCCTTCTCCTGCGTGTACCAGACGCGGACCTCCACGGTGCCGGGGTAGCCCTCCTCGCCGTCGACGCTCGTGTACTTGAACAGCGTCGCCTGCTTTCCGTCCCTCTCGACGGCGGTGGGACCCTCCCACACCCTCTTCCCCCAGCCCTCGACGCCGCCGTGCAGCGAATTGGGGCCGTTGTTGACGGCCAATGGGTACTCCTTGCCGTTCAGAGAGTTGATCTTAGCTCCCGATACGCGGTTGGCGATCCGGCCAATGGTCTCCCCGAAGTAAGGTGCATTGTGCTGTTTATAGAGCTCGGCTGTGGGGAACCCCTGGACGATGTTCTGCCCCTTGACCTTGAACTCCTGGATGATTGCTCCCAGGGGCAGGAAGGTGAAGGCGTCGGTGGGAGACATGACTTGATCGTACTAGTAACTCTCTCTCGTATTGATGCTTGTGTTGATATCCAATGAAAATGACGTTTCTTGATTAACTGTGGCTGCCGTGTTAGCTCGACGGAATCTTGATATGTTCAGATTGATATCAATTTTCAATAGTTCTGAGGCTGGTGATTGGCAATTGATTGGCTGGAGGCTGTTGCGGTGGTGGGGTAGCTGTGACCTTTCCCCCCCTCCCTTCCCCCTGTGACGCGTTGCCGCGCGGCGGGGCTAAAGGTGTAATGGACCAGGAATATTGACATGACATGATCGAAGAATGATGGCAAGATTGAAGGACTTACGCTCAACGAGCAAGCTGGAGGTTATTGGCACAGCTAGCTGGCGATGAATTGATTCGGTCGGGAAGTTTATGCGTGGAAAGCAGCTGGGGTGAGTTATAAACGTCGTAGCAAAGAGAGAGGACAGGTGAAGTGATCAATTAGCCTAATGGATCGGAGAAATCCAGCAGCAATTCTTCCGGTGTGGAGTTGCTAATGGGCTAGCTGGAGCCGAAGTAGCAGCACGTGAGCTCCCATGTCTCTTGCAGCAGTTTAATGGGAGAGGAAATGTAGGGACGGTGTGTAGTCGATGAAAAAACAATGAAAGGATATTTTAGTGATGTGGTGCGAACTGCCGAGGGCTCGGAAGTACCGTCATCATCGCTACGAGCATCACGATAGTCTCTTTTGGTGTTGAAAATGTCTACAAATAGCAAGGATGAAATGATGTGGCTCAAAGTGGCTGAAAGTGGCTGCGTGGCTATCGAGCATAGCGCTTTTTGATTGGTCGATAAGTATCATGGACGAAAGCAGCGATAATGGGTGGTCTGATGGTCTGTGCGTGCCCATTTGGAATGGAAAGTGCAAAACCAGCTCGTCCTCTGTTCGTCCATTCGTCGTCCATTACTCATTGTCCCGTCTCGACTCTCCCCATTCACATCCCCATTCCCAATCTCTGCATACGGAAGCTTGATAATCATTCATCCCCACCCGGTCCCTTTTTATTTTTCCTTTATTCATCACATGTGAATTGTTAAGCGAGATTATCAATTATTTTTTTATCGTCTTTTTTACAAAGCTTCAAATTCCGCTATTCGTATTAAGAAACTTTTGATGCAAATTCAAGATGAGGAAGACGAAGATGAAGATGAAGATGAATGTGAAGATGAAAATAACGATGATAATCATAAAAAGGTATATACAATGAATGTTGGTACAAGACAATCAAGCAGAGCACAGCTGCTGAGTGGTAGTGATAGTAGTACTAGAGTTGATGATGATGATGATGATGATGATGAGGTGATTAATCATGATTTTAAATCCGGTCGCAATATCCGAGCTCTCTTCCCTCATCTTGTCAACCGTTGATCGTCAACAAGACGTCGTCCCATCTGTAACACATCAGATCCCCGAGGCGGAGAGTGGATGAATGGATGATAAATGTCATGTTCGATTGGTCCACCAGAGGACAAAGTGGACGGTGGACGTGGAACGGGTAGGTCGTCGCGGTTGAGGTCGAGACCATCTTTAGCGTTCCGGTCTAAACGTCATCCTTATCCCTCCATCCTCTTCCCAAAGCTGATTGTTGATCCACCCCGATTGGGAAGATGAGTAATGCAGGAGAATGATTAAGCCTCCCCCTCCTCTCTCCCTCTCCAATTCCCTTGTTGGCTCCCAAAGGAGCTACTAAAACGCCAAACCAATCCATGGCCGGATTCTCCAAAAAGTGTCGTTAAAAATTCTATAAGTCGGAACCATACCCAAAACGCTAGAACGCGGGACGTTTGCAGCAATAAATGTCAATCTCGGAAAGGTAGCGAACCTGCAATTTCTTTCCTTTGCGGGGAGAACAATAAGAAAAGAATCTCTTCCTTCTTTCTTTAAGCATTCATCGGGTTCTGGATGAAGCTACTGAAGTCGAGGTCGCTAGGTTCGTTCCACTCGGACATCATTGGTGCTCCGGGGATGACACATGGATCGAGAACCATGCCGTTCGAGTCGAAGCTGTTATACGAATCGAATGGGTACATGGGCTTGCCGAAGTCGATTGGCTCGTCCATCATCATGGGCTCCCACGTTTGTCGGTTCAATGCTGAAGGATCTAACGCACCGTTGTTCATGAACGCTGCCGGGGTGATTTGCTCTTGCTTGACGGATGGTGTGATTTGCGATTGCTTGGGGAAGGGGCTCTGCATTGGTGGTGTTGGTGGTGTCATGTGGCGCGTGAAGGGATCGTTGTAAGCAAGCATCCTAGTAGTAGGTGTTCCGCTGAAGGAAGATGCCGACGAGGAGGTGTGGTCGTGATCCGAATTGGAACTTATCGATCCGCGTCGGCGGGTGTATGGTGCGCCGCGCTCAAGAAGCTTGCGCTGCATGCGACTGCAGTCCTCCTCGAATCCCTCGTAGTTGCTGTTGCTATCACTGGTAGGGTGGAGAAGGTCAAGGCGTTCAAGGATGTCGTGTGTCAAAGGATGTCCAGATTGAGCATCGCGAAGAGGTGCACCAGGCCACCCTTGGCCAGTCTGGAGGCGTGAATATAGCTCTCGGAGACCTGCAACGAGTTGTGATTGTTGTTGCTCAAGCATCTCAACGTATCTGTAGAGATTATGTGAGCAATTGAACACAAGATAGCAGCTTAAGGAACGTTGAAGAGGAAAGAGAGACATACCCTTTGGGATAGACTTTGTCTTGCGACTTCTTCCTCTCACCAAAAACGCAGATAGCGTTGTCAGCTTTACACCTACTGCATGGGCTCGCGCCATCGCACTGGTTAAGGTTAGAAATCGATACATTGAATCACGTGGAGCAAGGCAGCATGGGAACTAGTACGTACCTTGGATTTCTTTAGACGGCAGCGGTCGCATGCTTTGCAAACACGCTTTCGAATGTTATCTTGGGCCTCCATTGAAGTAGATCGTTGAGAGGACATTGATAAAGTCTTTTGTGTGAAGATGGTGTGGTGATATGGTAATTATCGACAGTACTATTAGGTCGACAGGACAGGAAGTGTAGTCGATGTTCAAGTTCGATGTCTTGTTGGGTGGAGTAGGTAGTAACAAACTGGAGTAGATGTGTATACTATGGGGGAGGCTGAGGCAGTGAAGGAGGTATCAGGGTGATATATATCCTTATGCTGATCGATGTCGATTGACCGATTGACTGATGATGATGATTGTAAGCCTGGGGTGGGAGTTCCTTAAAACTAAATAAGGCCATGGCTTGAGTGGGCAGGATGGGATTATATCTCTTTTGCATCACAAGGTAGGTGGATGCGGACGTTCGGACTCAACGGCGCTGGGTGCGTGTAACAAAAGCGTAATATTGACGCGGAGACGACGTCCGGATTGCGAAAGCTCCCTTATTCGGCGATATCCATCCATTACGTCGGACCGGGTTCGATTACTTTTTGGCCGCAGACAGGGGACCAGGATTGGCGTACTACTGCGCCAACCTTACGAAGACGCACTTGGGCTCGGTCGAGCGAGTATAGACAAGCGCTGAGCAGTGACAAAGCGCGGCGCGAGACCGGCCTGGCACAGGGGAGGGTAGGGTAGGGTACGAGAGGGGGATCATGGATGGGAGGGTGGCTACCACACACACACACACATGCACACGCCCATACCCATACCCAGGGCTACGAATTGGCCTTTACGACGAATCCACTTTTTCCAGCTTCCTCCAAAGTTGCACAGCGGACATAAGAGAAAGAAAGAGAGAGAAAGAGTGTAGAGGAGTGGGTCAGCCACTACGACATTCCTACCACCATCTCCCACTAGGTAGATACTAAGAGGCGTCTATGGTTGAACGAGCCAACATCTGCGAGCATGCATGAGGTGTAGGTATGTGCGTGTTTCCGCACGCACGATCATACCACGTCAAGACACACAAAGATTCTTCATGGGCATCGGGGGGAAGAATTAAGGTTATGGTTGGATCGGCCTCTCTGTCCCTTGGTCGAAATCGTGCTTCATCTCGCAGCCTGGTCCATGATTGTTGATGTCCAAATTCAAATTCCAAGTCCAGTCCAAGTCCACATTTGGGCTGAAATCTAGTATTACCTAAATCGGTCCTCACCAAGATGATCAAAGAGCAGAATGGTGCAGCAACACCAGTAATCAGTAATAACTATGCCATACGTTAGGCGGTATGAGAGGTGACACGATACAGCGATCATCCTTCGAAACACTCTCACAACACACAAACGTTATCCCCAACATGCCCCCTTTCGCACGCATCGTACAGCACAAAAAATGTTTGGAGCGCATCATCGTACACACTCCCTCCCAATGATTCGGATGTCGGGACTTCTCCACACCCGCCCACGATCAAAACACCCATTCTTCCCCCTATGTAATACACGTACCGTACCAATTTGCTCCTTGTATGTACGATGTGCGACGACTCGTAGGCATCAGAGGCTCAGTTTCACGGACGAAGCATCGCGCTCGATTTCCAGCAGCCATTCTTCGGCCCTTTGATCGACGTCCCCTTGATCTCAATTACTTACCAACGTTGCCCAGGCGCCGAACGGCAATTATCAAGGCTGAATTTGTTACGAAGAGCAGGTCACATCCCTTCTTATTGAATCAACATGCAATTTTCTTCCAAACGTTATTTCCAGTAACTAGTAAATCATCATTCTGTCTGTGTACTCCACTCTTAACCTCAACTACCTGGTCTCGGCCGAAGCGTGGGAGCGCACATCTTCAAGTCTCCGTATAATACATTCTCCGCTGAAGCGCACATTCGCAATCATTATTGTTCAGGGCGTGCTACAAGATCATGTCGCTTCCAGGAAAAATGGCTCATATAATCCTAATCACTTGATTCCAAAACGTCCCCAGACCAGGATCTCAAGCGTGGGAATGGCCGAGTCTCCGGGACGACGACGACGCACTCGGACGAGCACCTCTTTGTCCCTCACCCTCGAATCACCCATCCTGGCCTATCACCATGCAGTCGGCCATCCAAAGAGCGAGTGCGCGAACGCTGGCCATAGTCAAACGCCCCCTCTGGACTGGTCTTTGTGAATAAAGCGAGCGGTCGTCTGTCAATCGTTAGCTCCGAGAAGCCATATTCAGCATAATGCCATCCTGGTCCACATCACCAATCCAGGGCTGCTGACGAGAAAGCCAACACGGGTATGACTCTTCACATGTGTGCGACGCCCTTTCAAAGGCAGGCTTTAACCACCCCCAAACAACTGGCCAGTCGCATCGTTCGCCCTCACGACCAAGATGATCCAAGTCCCCCACGGCGTTTTTCTTGTATAATGCAGACCCTCCCCCCGACCCGTGAGGTTACAAGTATTAGCTACCCCCTCTGGATTGCTTAGCAATAATCGTTCACCCCAGCCCTGCAGTGCGTGTATCAATTGTCACCGACATTGTGTGTTTATTCAACACAACTCTCCGGTTGTACAGCAGTACAATGTACCAGATGGACCATTTCGTACCCGCACCTGTCATCCACCCAACTTAATTTCTCATCATGACCGAGTTAAACTACCTTTGTGATAGTATGGATTGTATGCTAGCCATGGCCAACGCCTGGCAGCCCCGCTAAGGAACAAGAATATCGGTACCGGGCTGATTTCGCTCCCGAACGAAGGTGAACCGTGAACACGATCACCTCCTAGGCTCCTAGTAGACTCCCACCTTACGCTTGGGGCCGAGCCCTGTAGGACTTTTCCCTGCATTATCATTCGCAAAAACTCATGATGAGTGAAAAATGATGGGGAATTACTGAGCGTACCGTGTGCCGAGGCAGACTCTTTGGCAAAAGGGAATTCTGTTCATCAATTCATTCCTCTGCGACACTCTGCCATTCACTCTCTATTGCACAGATTTAAGCTTTTATCTAATGCTCGATTGGAGACTGATGAAATTGAGCAGTGTTTGAGACTTTATTGAACCGAGTGCGAGTCGTCGTCAGGCAAGCGTGGCTCAGGACGACCGCTTTCGTAACAGGTTTGCGAGGTTTCGTACCCCACCGTATCTCAGCGTATAGCAGTTAACGAGCCAGGCGGTTTCGCGCCTATCCACTTACGCCTGATGTAAACGAGTGCGAGATCGAGTTGAAGGATCAATCAATCAATCAATCAATCAATCAATCAATCAATCAATCCAATCCAATCCCACGCCCTCACCCCACTAATGGCGGTGCAGAGCTTCATTAAACATGCGTAACGTCAGCCGTTTGGGAAGCGGGAGAGAGCTGTAGCCTGTAAGCATGCGAAGTTGCGATGGTGGACTTTAGAACAAGGGCTACAATAATACACTCTAATGGCGCCCGCGATAGCAAAGCCACAGGGTCGCAGTCTGCCGGGTGTATGTATGCACAGGTCCTGTATATCGCAGTGTAGGTAGGCCAGATCAAGCTCCAAATCCATACATGATAACACGCAGCTAGACAGGAGCATCTTTCCTGATGATGTGATTGATCTTTTCTGCTGACTGTGCCTCCGCTTTGGGTTCTTTATAATAACACTCATAATATCTCCCCGACAAAGCGCTCGCTTCGTCGCTCTGTGCCGAACTTGTTTACGCCTCGTCGTAGCTTAAGGCGATATCTCAAGGCCACATCACCTATCACGAATCATCACGTATCTCTCCCATTTCAGGCGCCCTTGCATGAAACCTTATCTCATTCGATGACCCAGGCTAAACAAGGCTTTGATCATCGTGTGATTGCCAGATACCTAGATAGCACGATTAGACGAGAACAAGCTGTATCCATCAAGTCGAATCAATGCTCCCTTGAAATGCATGTCAACCTACGCGATCTCATCCACCCACTTTGACTAAGCCCTAATCCATGGCTTACCGTCCGATTGTATAGATATTATTTTCGCATGCGAAGCAAGGAAATCGCATTGTCCATTGCCTCTGGTTATCATGCAGAATTTCTCTGGTCGCTCCACGATGTGTCTGAATTCAACAAGAATCAAAAGATGGGTAGGTAGGGCAGGAGAGGGGTGAATGGAACCCGCAACCGTTCAACCAACCAACCAGCCAACCAACCGCCTGCATGCATTTCGCATTCATCTCTCGCATTTGAATAATTCGGTCGGGCAAAGGCGAGACTTTACCAACAACCAGCACTCTTCGTTCCCGCGAAAAGAAAAACAATCAACAAAAAGAAAAAGGCCCTGATTGCATTCATTGGCGATTCGAGTTCTGGTTGCCCTGTTGATGATTTGAACACTAGCAATGTCTAGCAACGTCTAGCATATCTAGCTCCCAGCGCGGAACGCAGCCGGTGTGAAGTGATTGGGGAGGGGAGCTTGGTGCACGATGCGGAGCATCACAATGGCTTACCCCATCTTTGGATGATCACCGTTTGGACAAGAGCTTCTTGGGGGGAGGGGGTGCTGCTGAGCTGCTTGAGCTGCTGAGTTTTGCTGGGCTCTTCACCCACGAAACTGCTTTCAGCGTCGCCTGATTTTACCCCACATTCCCATCGGATTCTACCACCTACGCCCTAACGTTACCTTTGCCTTCAAACGAAAGGGTCAGCATCGAGAAGAGGCCTTTTCTCTCGAGTCCAGACTCGAGCCACAGCTACAGAATGAGGAGAAGCAGCATTCTGCCCCTCTCAATCCCCTCATTCATCCCCCTCACCTCATCTCATCTCATCCCAACTAAGACCATTTCGTTCTCTAAATCCCCCTCATTCATCTCCTCCCTAACCAACTCACATTTAATACTGGCTCAGTGGGCGGGAACCATGTAGAGAGCTACCAAAGGTCACTGCGGATTGGGAACCACAGCACTACTACGCGGGGACTTGTAATGCTCTTTTTCCGTTCCCTATTCTTGGAGCACATCCATCCCAACAGCCCCAAATCATCTAGCGCTCTGGTGGTCTGCTAATCACCAGATGCATATTTCCGGACGAAGGGCGATGCTTTCGTGTTGATTTTTGGATTTTGGATTTTGGATTTTCATTTTTCTCTCCGAGCTCTCAGCGAAGAACGAACTTCCTCCATGGAGACCATGGAGGCTCACAAAGACCAACAAAAATAAGGCATCTTACGAGTACCAAGATGTACAGGGGGGGCCATGGGTTGGGGATACCCTTACTCGGGTCGCGATCGGAGAGTTACGCCCAGTGCAAAAAGAGTGATGGCATCATCGTACATCCGACTTATGC